ACTCTCTCTTCCGCTTCGATCAGCAACTCTCTCTTCCGCTTCGATCAACAACTCTCTCTTCCGCTTGGATCACAAACTCTTTTTGCTGCGATCCCGGAGACTTTTTTCCTTCGATCAGCAATCATCTTTTCCACTTCGATCAGCATCTCGCTTCCGCTTCCATCAACAACTGTCGCTCCCGTTTCGCGCGCGCGCGCAGTAGCGCAGTCATGAATTCGCTCGACCTCGTCATAAAGAAGATGCGAGCATACTACATATACAGTACCAGCAAAAAAGACGCGATATTCTAGACTCCGCAGGCAGAAGGGGTATCATCAAAAGGTTCAGCGGTTTAGTCGCTTCCGTTTCGATCAGAATTTCCCCCTTGCGCTCCAACCATCATCTTCTCCCTCTCCCTTCGATCTCCACATCTCGCTCAAAGCGTCTCGTCCAGCGCCATCCTTCTCAGACTTCACCTCCATCGACGCAGACCATTACTCAATCAATTCTCGCGCCGCCCACCATCGCCGTTACAGGCCGCAGGCTATGGATTCTTCTTTCTCTCTGTCTTCTTCTTCTCCAACCATGTACCTAGCGCGCTCGTAGGTAGATAGCTTATGTAATTTTGATAAAGTAAAGATAACTGAAGACCCCCTAGTACCCGCGTACCAAAGTCTAATTCCCCTTTGCCTCAACGGAATATCTATCTTCTTCTTCTCCTCCAACCATGTACCTAGCTCGCCCCTAGGTAGATAGCTTATGTAGTTTAGATAAAGTAAAGATAGCTGAAGACCCCCTGGCAACCGCGTACCAAAGTGAAAGTCCCAACGAAATATCTATCCTCTTCTACTGCTAACATGTACACCACAGGCTCTCCTCCCGTACGAAAACCACGCTAGATGAGCCGGCAAGCACATTGAGTGCGTCATTCGCAGAGAAGATGCCCGCAGCAACGGGAACATATATGCCCGCTGCTCTCGGCACGCTGCATAAGCCGTCGTGAGCCTCCCTTTCCACGCATACGCGCTCAACAACACGCCGAACCCATCCATCCCTTGCGGCAGAGCATTCTGTGGATCAAGGTCTCGCTGTACACGTGAGGTTGCTTGTACAGCTAACTATACGTGCTATTGTACATGCCCGCGAAGACCTCTAGGGTGGCCGTTGCGTGCGTTATACGTGCTATTGTATACGCCCATGAAGGCCTCCAGGGTGGCTGTTCCGTCGGCGGAATATTCAAGCGCACATCTCCCAGGTGGCTTCATACGCAAAGACCAGGAAATAGTGCTTAGGCTTCAGAACCGCTGCGTTCTATAGCGCGAGAGCGATGAACGAACCACTAAACCGTCGACCTCGACGAAAGTGCTACGGCATCAAGACCGGGTATTCGTCCTCACGTAATGCTAACTTTTCTCTGACTATGGCCAAGCCTAAACGGTAGGCAGGGCTCTGAGAAGGGTAAGCTATCTTTCATAACCCGCTCCTCTATCTCTTCTGCACGCTGAAATGCGATGCTTCGAAAGCCCCAAAAGGGCGACGCCGGCCACCACCATCACCTGCGCCATATGCAAATGCCGTAAAGCTATGCGAACTTCAGCGAGACATAAGACATTAAATGCACTTCTCATGTCACATAGCATCAACGAAAACCCAAAAATCCAAAATCCAAGATCCAAGATCCAAGATCCAATTTCTACCCACTTCACTTCCACTTCAACCGGCCGAGCCCCTTCTTCGAGCCTGACGCCTTCTCCGCGCTCTCAGCATCCTTCTCTGCCGCTTCAGCAGCGGCCCGCTCATCCTTAGTCGGGATACGGGGCTGCTCCGCGAATCTGATACCTGGGGCGCGAGGCGGCGCCAATCTCTCCTGTTGTTGTTGTCCCCGATGCTGCGTCAGGTGCTGCGTGCCGCGACCCGTCTCAAGAGGATCGCCTGCCTCTTCAGCCTCCGAGTCCGACTCGGGTGAGTCGTCCTCGCCCATTCCCAGAGCGCCGAGACGCCTTTTACGTTCTGCGGCTGTCTCGCCTTCGTCCATGCGGCTCTTGGTCGGATGCGTGGGCGAGACCGAGCGGCCGTCCTTGCGCTCGGGGGAGGAAGAGCCCTGGAGGGCACCAAGCCGGCGGCGCCGCTCGGCTGGTGTTTCCTCTTCATCCGCATCCTCATCTTGCTCTTGCTCTTCCTGCGTTGCCGTTGCCTGCCCTGCGAGACGGCGACGCCGCTGAGCAGCTGTCTCACCCCTGGTATTATCCATCGAGTATTTGGCGAGGTCTTTTCTGACAGAATGGAAGGGGATGTCTTCGTTGTCGCTGTCCACTAGAGTGAGTCCCTCTGGTCCGCGGTTCCTTTGCTCGTGCTCCGCGTCCGGTGACTCGATTTTGTGTATCTCAGCTTGGCCTTCTTCTCCGACGACCGCGGGCACTTGAGCAGCGGATGCGGCTTGTCGGCGTGCAGCGTCTTTGGCGTCCTCCCTTACCTCGCGCTTAACGGGATCGGGAACATCGCTGTCCTCCACGAACCTGGCGCGAGCTTTGGGGTCGAGCTTCGACATCTGTTGAATGAATTCAGCCTTGCTCATCCTGCGCCCCCCAGCGGTGACAGTGAATCGAATCCGGTCATCGTCGTCTTCATTCGTTGGCTTCTTTCCATCTACTGGCACAACCGGAGTCCCGGATGGACCAGCGTCGGCGTGAGGAGCGGGAATTCCCATGTACGTGCCCATCCTACGGAGACTCTGCATAGCACGACCACCGGTTTCCGCCATGGACGCCTTGCGATCTGGTGTAGGACGGTCTTTTGCAGCAGCGGGAATGTCGTATTTCTTGAGTACTTCTCCGTCCTCATCTTCAACGATAATGGTGTTACCGAACTGATAGGCAAGCGCTGGACCACGCTTCTGTGCAGGTTTGTGCGTCGGAGGCGGTGCCGCAGGCTCACCTTCGCCATGGTGATGCCAGCCTGAGAAGCTTTGCATTCGCTTGCGCCATTTGTTGGGATGCTCTACGCTGTCTTTGACCGCATTAATTGCCGTTTCCGGCGCCTGCTCGGCTGTCCCGCCATGCTCAGTCTGTGCAACGCCATGCTCGACATGCTTCTCTTCTTGAAGACGGCGTGCTTCGGCATTGTCCTCGGCCAGCCTTGCATCACCAGTCTCACCCTTGCGACTCTCTCTGACTCCAAGGACGTTGCCCTCTTCATCTTCGATGACCGTCTTGTCGCCTTCTTGATAGATTTCCTCTTCAGATTCCTCGCGCTGGAGCTTCTCCTTCGTTGCGGAACCTTCAGGAGATTCATCGCTGGCGACAGCTAGCGTATCCGAGTCCTGTAATGGTGATGTAGCATCAGGCTCGCGACTGCTCCTGCTAGGCTTGATGGCAGACTGGGAGATAGGCCCACCAGGACCTCGACCGGCGTCCCACCGTCTACGACGAGCGGTAGGGCGTAGCGAGCTTGCCCGACTTGAGTTCTCCTCCTCTTTCTGGCGGCGTAGAAAGTGGCCAGGGACTCCCACTGGCGGTAGCAAACCCGGGCCGGTCGCTTCTGTTTTCTCATCCACCGAGGACTCCGAAGGTCTGCGGCCAAGGGACATGGATGACTTAGACCGTGACTGGATCCGGGGAAGGCGTTCCATCCAGCTTGGGCCCTCTTCGTTTGCCTGAGTATATGAGAGCGTTAAGGTGAGCGTGTTGATGTGCTTTCCAAGAGTGAAGACAGCAATAGAGCTTCCGTGGACCAAGATACTGCAAATGACCAAGAAGCACGTGATGGGCCAAATCATCTCGATGATGATCAAGTGTTCGAAACCGGGTTCTGGTAGCACAGCCAGCGGTGTCGTAGTCTCAGTTTCCAGTTCAGATCTCGCCAAAATAGCCACGAACAGGCCACCGACTCCAATAGGGCCAAAGTGTCCGGCGAATAAAGCCTCCCGCCAGGTCTTAATGTCCGGTATGAGGGGTTTAAGAGCAAGCATGACGGGAATGCGGCGGAAGAAGAGGACAAGTAGGCCGAGGACGACGAGTCTCCAGGGCGAAATTCCGATCAGCGGCGCGTTGAAGAGATCCCACGGGATGATGGTGCCGAAGTATACGAAGAATGCCAAGTTGATTAGCAAATCGATAACGTTAGAAACGTGAGCCTCTTCGGTCTTTTCGAGAAACCACCCATCATTGGAAAAACCTACGCCGCAGGCAAACCCTATCAGTAGGTCATCCATCCCGAGCATACTTCCTGAGCCAGCGCAGAAGAGTGCGAGGACAAAGTAGAAGACGAGAAAACTCTCGCGGTCGATCCAGTCTTTCTCGTGGGCATAGCGGATTGCGCGGCGGGCGGCATAGCCAATGCAGACGCCGTAGAAGGCGCCAAATATACACTCGTAAAGGATGGTGTAGCAGAACCAATGGAACGAGACCTTGCTGGCGTCGGGGCGGTAGCGAATGAGGTAAATAGCGAGGTACACGAAGGGGAAGGCCATGCCGTCGTTGCAGCCAGACTCTGCAGAGAGCAAATCCCGAAGATGCTTTGGAACTCGCTTCGCGAACTTGCCCTTTCCGACGACGGATGAGGCCAAGACAGGGTCGGTAGCGGTGACGCATGCCGCAATGCACAGACTGTCGAGCCAGTTGAGTTCAGCCTTAAACAACCACCAGATGAACAGACTCGTGATCAGCCAGCCGAAGGTCATGACAGGGACAAGCAGGAATGTAACCGACCGCCAGTGCTTTTCCATGTATGCGCGGGGCAATTCGACTCCCACAGCGAAACACTGTACGACCAGGACAATGCGGGAAAACTCAAGGGTAATCAGGTCGACATTACCCCAGGTTTCCGGGTCTATCAGGTTGGCGGCATGCGGCCCGAATATAATGCCACATATTGTTGCAACGGTAGCTTCGCCAATGTACAGCCGCTCCTTGATGATGGAGGAGCACAACATGAACAGGCTGGTGAAGCCGCCGAGGATGATGTACACCAAGTGCGGCTTGGTAATGGAAAGATGCTCCCACGCCATGGTGACGTGCTTTGTTCCACCTTGTGTTGCTTGTCTTTACTTTTGGCGGGACGGGTCTCAAGCAAAGCGGTCGTAGCGGAGGGTCTGCTATAAGGGACTGTGGCACTCCTATGGTACGGTAAGGAGGCGATATGGGGCGTGCGACCGTAGTCGTAGAGAGTATAGAGAGCGTGTCCTAACGAGTGCGGGTGGGGTTATGTGGGAAGGATATCGGCGGTGGGACTGTGTCGTCCAGAGTGGCGGCCGCTAACGAGAAAAGTCGAATGCGCAGCTGAATGCATGTATGGAAAGGTCGCGCCCAGTCGCCGCTCCCTAAATGCCCTAGAGGCTCGTCAAGTGCGAACAGTGCAGGTGCGGAGGGAGGGGAAGGCGGGCGTGGTAGTCGCCGCCGAGTGTCTACGAAACGTAGGTCAGCGATGAGACAGTGAAGGGAACGGAAAGCCCAAGACGCGGGTGGAAGAAGTTGGCGAGCTTACAAAGGCTTAAAGGCTGGGCAAGTCGTCGCGCCGCGGCGCTTTCAACGCTTGGGACCGAGAAGCTCAACCTGCGCTGGATCTTCGGAACCGCTCGTCAATCTCCAGATCGCAAGCCAGTGTGCTGCCGCGATATCCGCTTTCCACGCTTGAACTCGCTCAATTGCGCTCCAATGCGCGACACAAAGGCTCTTTGGAGGACGGGAGATGCGCTGCAGAGGCTCGCAGCGCAGAGAGTGCAGAGTTGGCGGGCGATGAGCGAAGGTTGAGCGAAGGATGCTGGCAGTGTTTAATACTAGTGCAGCATTATCGTGCTGGGCCGCTTGGCGTGAGAAACGAACCCTTGGCCCACGTCGCCTCCACTCAGCGCCCAGACAGGCGGCCAATCGCGGCACGCACTCGCCCATCGCCGAGCGCAGTACTCGCGCCTTGAACCCTCCATCACGGCCGCACTTATCGAACGCAGCAGTGCTCGGCGGCGAGGTGCAGAAGATACGAAGACATATTCATCTGAGGCGCTTGTGGCGGATTGCCTCTGCCGTCAAAAGCCGGTCTCGCGACCACAGAGCACTGCGCGCACTCACTCCCATTCACTCTCCCGACCAGAAAGTCCGCAAGCCACGTGCAAGCCATCAACGTGACGGGGGCGCTATCCCCTCGTCGACCTGCAGCGTGGGGCGTCTGACAAACATACCGCATCGCGTAGATTGGCTGAGCGCGCCGACATAGCGTGTGCAGGAGCGAGTTTTGGACCCTTTGTGCATCACATGATGCGCAGAATGCACGCGAATCTGCAGCCCGAGAATCATTCACCTCAGTCAGCAAATCAGGGGCGGTGCTGCGCCGGGGGCCCAGTTGCGGCGGTGTACGATGGACTAATCAACGCGCAGCTGAGTCGTTCGGATTGCGTTGGACAGGCACAAGACGCCGTGGTCGGGACGATGCTTTTTCGAAGCCTTCAGCGTCGGGCGCGCGACGTGGAGATTTGAGACAGGAGAGACATGGCGAGTAGAAACATGCCAGGTACCTGTACGTACCAGAATATATACAACTCCCCACGCCAATCCGACTACATACAACACCTAGCCTTCAGCGAACACCACGTCGCCAGCCCAGCATAAAGCAGGTCCCTCCATCCCCGAGTGCGTGCCCAATAGATACCGGGATATGCCCATAAAGCTTCGACCCACGACGCCTCCAGGTCCATCCTGGATGCAAGCTAAAGCACATTTTGACCAACCCCGAAAAATCACCTTGGGAATTAGACATAAGAAATCAAGAATGCTATGCCCCTGCCGCCAGGGCTATACGCGCCCGAGTAGGTACCCCAAGATCCTTTTACATAAATGTCGTCATTACGTTCGTGATGCGGCGCCCGGGCGCCGTCAGGCCCAGCTTAATGCCCAACGGGCAGCCACGTTCGCCGCTCGTCCAGGCTCCTGCTGTTAACGCGACTCCCCGGAGTCAAGGGTATCTCGACACGACTGCGGCTTCCTCCTACCTCCCCCTCACTATCTTCGTCGTACGTGTCAGATAATCTGGCGAAGTAGTCTGCCAAGCCGGTAGTGGGAGAAGCGATGCTTTCGTAGAGCGGAGGGGGAGTCTCTATAGGCGGTGGTGGTTCTTCATCATCGAACGGTGGTGGGTTGAACGAGGGTGCTCGAAGAAGGTGTATCGGTCTTTGTAACTGGGAGTCTGTGGGTCCGCCGATGTGGGCAGCTTGTGGGCGCGCAAGAGCTGGACTTGGTAACGTGGCGTCCGAGTTGCCTCTTGAGCGCGATAATGAGCTCAAAGTCGGTACAAAGCTGGTGGGTGAAGTGCGCCGAACAGGCGCCCCAGGACAACCGCACTCGGGCATCCGCGCAGCTCCGTTACTGGGTTCCGGTGATGAGTATGCCGGCAGAGCCGTATTCGCTTGAGTCGCTTGGCAAGAAAGAATATGGAAAGGCGAGTCGATGGAGATCTCGAAATGCCGCCTCTTGCTTGGATCGTTTTGGTCGGGCTTCGAAAGTCGCATGACGATCTTGATCCAGTGGTGCACCTGGATGTTCTGATACGTGGTGTCGAAGTGCAACCTGGCAGATCTGTCTTTATCCTTCATGTTGTGGCAGCTCGGAAGCTGGACATTGAATTCCATCTCCGTGGGCCCCACGCCTGCATCACCGGTGCTGAGATCACCCAAAAGGTTGGTCGGATCCTGCACCTGGACTTCTTCGCCCCTCGCTGCTGCCGCTCTTTGATCATAGGGAACGCCACCGCCGGAGACAATCCTCATGGAGCTTCCTGGGAACGTACTTGTTGGAGGGCCGTCTGCTCGCTTCTCAAACAACTGGACTTTTCGGACCGGCTCCATCCGATGCACGCGCTTGTTGGAACAAAAGTACTCGATATTCTCAGTGACAAACACTTTTATCCTGTGGCACTGCACTTTCGCCAAAGGGGTCAGCTTGAAAGCGATGGGAACCTGAGCTCCGAGCGGGAACGATTTGCCTGAGATAACGATGTCATAGTGCAGCTGGTCCTCCCAGCTTCGGCTGATCGCAATGGGTTCAACCTGTTCCAGGGAACCTTCAGCTGGGGCACGGATGAGCGTTACTTCTTTCGTTCCCATGAGGTTGGCACGGAAGGCTCCAGCGCGCTCAACGATCGCTTCCAATTCGTATTTGACGGAACCAAGCTCGACATCGATGGTCTCAGGGAGATGGCTATCTAGGGGTAGTTCGAAATTGTACGTATACTCGCCCGGGTTGAAGGTCCTGTAACCCTTCTGTGCGACTGAAGGCCCGCTAGTTGATGATTCGCCCTTTCCGAAACTGCGCGACTGGTTTACTTGGAGAGACAAACGCTTCGCGTCCTTAGTGCTCAAGTTTGTTGACGAATTATTGGGCGATCCACTAAATAGGCCTTTCTGTGCTTGGGCGCTCGCCGGACTTTTGAACAGCTCAACACGGTCAGCGCCGGGACCAGCTTCCGCGGTGGGGAATTGCGCATTAAAAAATGGCCACGTGTGACCCATAATGCTATCTGTCTCCTCAAACTCGACCTTCTTGGGAGGAATGCCTTCATGTTCTGATTAGCGCATGGGCAGAAATTTGGAGCGAAAGGATTTCACCTTCAGGCCATTTTGTCGTTGCCTTCCCGCGGAACTTTAGCGTAATGGCCTTGATCTTTGCAGGCTTCGTCACGCGCAGATTCAGAGTGCCGCGAAGCATAGCTGTGCTCCGTTCCGAAGATGAGTTTTCTGTGTGCTCAAAGCCCTGCAGGAACAGCACCGGCTCAGTAAGAGCGATGCCGACAGTGATGCCGTTACCGGAGGCGAGAGGCTTCTCCTCCGGGACTGGCTTTACACTGCTACTCATCACGCTCTTCGCTGATGACCTCCCAGACGATCGGTGATCTACCAAGGCAGGACGCGGGCCGCCCACCACGGCAAGCGTGCTATTTGAGCTCCTTGGACTCGACCGCATCTCGCCTGTGGCCCACGACCACCGCCGGCTCTCGGGAGGAGACGAAAGAGAGGCTCTACGACTGCTTGTGGATGTTCGAGACGATGTGGATTCGGTCGGCTGCTGGTGGGGCGCAGCGAAGTGGGAGTCGATGAAGGAACGAAGGAAACGTTTGGCGTTATCCCGCGGACCCGCCAGCTTTTCTACGATGTACGACTTGCTGCTAGTCTGGCGTCGATATAAGGTAGGGTCGGGCGCAACGTGAGCGATGTGGATGCGGTGCGGCCGTCGATTCCGTCCTTGAAAGAGGCCGCGACGTGCGCGTGAAGGGTCGTGTAAATGCTCGGGGATGTAGGAGAGGCGTCCGCGATCGGTATAGACGTGATGGAACTCTGTCATGGCGGACAAGGTGTAAGCAGAGATCGATTGCGAGCGGCTCCGGCAGCTACGAGGCGAGGAACATTTGGGAGACGTGGAGAAATACTATAAGAAGCAGGAGACGTGAAGATCGAAAACAGACGGCTTTGTGCGACTCATTAAAGTCATGAGAGGGTACAAAGGGCTTCCTGGCTACGGTAGCATAGCCATGCCCATGGTTGATGCTTCGGGAAGGGGTTGCAGTGGAGTGCTCCTTGCGGAACAAAGACAAACGAAATGAGACAGGGACTCACACACGTCAAAAGACTGTCAGGAGCGTTGCGGGCATGGTAGGTTCAAATGGTTGGGCACCTGCCTTGGTGCAGCCGGGAGTGGAGCGGTCAACGTTCAGTGCGCGGAAGCGTGCGGGAATACCCTGCTCAGTACGTGGTGCGCTGGCTTGATGGGCAGTGCTGTGCCAGGTCAACAGCAGATTGCAGGGGCCGGCGAGTTAAAGAGCTCGCGGAACAGGGCCGTTATGAATTGCCAAACCAGGGCAGAGATGAGCCGTGGTCGACGCGCAGGGAAGCGGATGACGCGGGTGTGTGGGGTTTAGAGAGGCGTCGGCGGGGAGGATTGGCTGCGGAGAGGCGGTGCACGCGGCGATAGCGCGGATTATTCAGTGATGGCGGCGTCAAGACTGTGCACCATCTCAGTCGTCGGCGCAGGCAAAAGGGGGTGCAGTTTCTGGGAACACCGTGGACGACGCGGCCACTTTTCTAGGCGTGAGGTCGACAGCTGCTGAGATGGAAGCGCCGGACGCCAAATACGTCACCCGGGCGGGCTTTCACGATCCAAGGCACTCACACACGGGCAGGGCACTCTTTGCGCCCTCACCACAAGCAGTCTAGCCACCCGAGGTCGGATTGCTCGGCATCTCAAATGTCCTGTTGACCTGTGGGAAGCCCCGGACGGCTGCCCCTCAACACCACCGTGCGGCGGCCTGCAGCATGGCGATGGTGTCGTGCGAGCTGGCTGACGAAGGCACACGACTAAGCCACCCTGGGCGGCCTCGTCCTCATGTGAGGTCGAGACCAGAACGGTCGATACATACATCACCACTGGAGACGGCCAAGCTTTGGCATTCTGTGCATCCATCACCAGGGGCTCTCCGGGTCATGAGACGGCTTTCCTGTTTTCGAGGCTGCAGCATCCCACCGCGTTTTGCAAGGCGGGTGCGAGGGTTGGCAGGACGACCTCGCAAATCACGCGTTATTCCCGAGCTCAGGATGCCTGCTTTTGGGACGTCACGAAGAAGCGGGCCCCAAATCGCGCAGTGATCGGCAGCCGGGGGGTTCCTGCTTTTGGTCGTGCCCCAAAGTCCCATGGCAGACATGAGGTGATCGACAGCGATAGACAGCGACAGTCGGCGAGTTGCACTTTGCCATCACCGAGCGCGAGGCGAGAAAGAAGCTTTCTCCGGCGCAGCCCAGCGATTAAGCAATCCTGAACCGATGAATGCGTCATATTAATTCAGAAAAAGACGCAGTTGTGGGTAGGTCGGCAGGCACGCCTCGAAGTGGCGAGGCCGCGAATCTCGGAGATGGCACGGCAGGCGGCGGCAGATCTCGAACGATGTGGCGGTGATGCGCCGTTGTGGCTTCCCCCGATGTTGAGTCTAAATTACGCTCACGTGACCGCTCCCCGCAACGCGTCTGGCTCGCCAAGCTTTGATACGCGATGTTGCATTGCCCGAGCAGCGAGGCGCGACTTCGATGCATCAACCTCGACGACGATGGATGGCGCCATTGGGGGATATGGTCTGTCCGTCCCGGCACTCAACTATGTCGACTCCACGCTCACAGGACCCAGGAACGAGCCAGATGCCCCTCGCCGGGGCTGTTCTGTGCTGCACCTCCATCGCCCCCGAGCAGCGCGTAGGTACCTCCGTAGATATCGCGGGGCTTCACGCTGACACCGCATGACAGGCAGAGCTCGCAGCCATCGGCGCGCAGATGGGCGCAACCATCAAGCTCGACCTCACCTCGGACGTCACGCACCTCGTCGTCGGCAACATCAACAGCGCCAAGTACCGCTACGTCGCAAAGTCGCGCGAGGACGTCAAGGTCCTCCTGCCGCAATGGCTCGAGGCACTACGCACAGTGTGGATGGAGGGTGACGACGTCGACGTGGCGGAGCTCGAGGAGAAGTACCGGCTGCCGACATTCTACGGGCTCAAAATATGCCTCACTGGCTTTGACAATCGTACGGTCACAATGGTCATGGGACGGAATGGTGCTGACAGCGCATAGCGGAGCAGCGAAAGTTCATACAGGACACCGTCGTGCAGAACGGCGCGGAATACCACGGCGACTTGACCAAAAACATCACTCACCTGATCGCAGCCACCCCGTCTGGCAAGAAGTACGAGCACGCCGTCAACTGGAGGATGAAAGTAGTAAGCTGGGAGTGGTTTGAGCAGAGCAAAGAACGAGGCATGGCGCTGGACGAAAACTGCTATCATCCTACGATGCCGGCTGAAGAACGTGGGAAAGGCGCATGGGATCGTCGGCAGAGCACATCGCCTACTTTGGGCAAGCGCATGCGAGATACAGAGCAAGCCCAGATTTTAAATCCCCTGCGACGAAAACTACGGCGCTCTGCGAGCTCCCGAATGGGGAGCCAAAGCGAGGCCTTGTGGGCTGGCATTACCGCAGCTGGCTTAGAGAGGAAAAAGAATGAGGAGGATGACTGGACGGATAACAATTTTGCTAAGCAAGACGTACCACCGACAGATGCGCCAAGTGCAGAGGCGGAAGCGCAAGATGATGCGCAGCCCGAGGACGACTCTGCGTTTCGCCCTCGTCGGCCCCTCCCTGACGAAAACGGAATTTTCCAAGGACGGTTGGTGTTCGCGCACGGTTTCGACCAGAGCAAAGTATGCCATTGCCGGCCGCTGCCGATTCTAGTGATTCCAGACCAAGCTGACGCATACTCAGACCAACATTCTGCGCGAGCACTTGGACGGCAACGGAGCGATTGTGATTCGCGAATCTGCAGAACTCAACAAATTTTCCTCGGATGATCTTAGAAGGGGTTATCTCGTGATACCCCAAGATGTGCCGCTTGACCTCGCACCGCTTCCGGGAGGAGCGGAAGGCATGATCTTAGTCACCAATTGGTGGGTCGAGCGCTGTCTACACGGAAAATGCCTAGTGGACCCCGCAGACAACGTTCTATGCAGGCCTTTCAGTAAACTCAGTATTAGTGGTCAGTACTCCGAACTTTCCCAGCAAGGCCACCAGCAAAGCTGACGTCTCAGGGTTTGACGGCTTGACGATCAATATCACAGGCTTTACTGGCATCGAGCTTCTCCACGTGACGAAAGCAATTGCACTCATGGGTAAGGATTACGTGGGCACTGCCTCCGCTGTGCTGCACTTTTGTTGACTTTCTGCAGGGGCCACGTACGATGAGATTTTGTCCCTCAAAACTTCCGTCATGATCTGTCACACACGGAAGCCCAATCCCGACAAATTCAAATTCGCGACCGATAAGCACATTCCGGCTGTGCACGCGACTTGGCTGTGGGATTGCATACGCGGTGGCGAAGCACAGCCCTATGACACCTACCTACTAAACACAATCGTGCCTCATCCGCAGAAGCCGAAGCAAAAGCCTCAGGCTTCCTTCAAGGAGGTTCCTACAGCTCCGCTTTCTGAAGAAGACAGTCTCAAGCTCCGCCAGAAGAAGGCGCAGTCTGCAAAACACGGAACCAAACCCAGGGGTGGTGGTGCACGGCGTCCTGGCACGCTCGATCTTGCACTCTCTGGACCTACACCAATGTCTACGACAGGATCGTCTACTAATCCAAATACAAGCACTAATGATTTGAGTTTAGAGCAGGATGCGCAGCCTATAGGCGGCTTCGATGGCCCAGCTTCACTACCACTGCAAGACATCAACCCCAGCGTAAACTCCCCACGTAGGCGTTCGACCTCCTCAACAGGCTCGACCGCTCATCTAAATATGAAGACAAACTCTACGCGCTCGAACTCCATCTCAGATGCGCCGGTTATGCCGGCACCAGCTCCGCGGAAGTCGAAGCTAGGCAGGGGACCAACACCAGACTCCGTGATACCCGCAGGGGAGGATGACTCCGTCCTGCCTAACCCTGAACCGCACACTGAAGAGCCCAAGTCTAAACTTCCAGAGAAGGATTACTCCTCCATAATGTCGAAGCTTCTCGCGAACCGCAAGATCCCAACGAACCCTCCCAACGAAGAGTCTGGTCGCCGAAAACCACGTTCTCTCGGACGCGCTCAGTCTACCCGGTCAAACCCATCAAGCGTTGACGAGTTCCTTTCGCGAACGAGTTCGCGAGCGGAAGAAGAGGGCGAGGAGAAGAAAGTGTTCGAGGGGTATCAGCCTAGCCAGGAGCTCGGGTGGGATTCGCCGGGAGCTCAGAGGGCAAGAGAGAAGATGATTAAAGCGATGGGTGGGAAGGTCGAAGAGAGCAATGTCCTTGAAGGGATCGGGGTCGTGAGGGATGGGGCAAGTGATGCCGGATTAGGCCGGGCGAGTAGGAAGAGGAGGGGATGATTACATATTGATGGGTGTGAGATATGCGGTGGAAGAGATGTACAACTTTGGATGAAAATGCACAAAGGCGGTTATCTTGGGTTAAAGGAAGGTGACGCATAGCAAGCCAGGCGTTATGGGTAATGCATAGCGCGGCGTCAATAACACGCGGAAGCATAGAGACCATCAATCAATCGTATCTAACAAAGCGTTCGTTGCTCATACCACTGTTTCATTATGCCGCCGAATTTTACCATGCTCACTCTTTCAATCCGTATGTGACCTTCAGCCTCCTCGCTAAGTGCTCCCCGGCAGTGAGCACCTCACTCTCCCCGTCCGCATCCAGTCCTAGCCTTTCCCTCTGACTCTTCAACTCCTGAGCGCCTGTGTCACCGAAGTCCTCGATGACTTTACTAGGGACGGCTTCCAACTTCGCATCATCGAGCGGATGACAGAAATATGCCATGCTATACCGCTCCTCGCCCCCACCGCTGAAGGTCACGCGATGCACCGTGCTCTTCAGCATGCCGTTCGTCCAGAAGGACAGCAAGTCGCCGATGTTGACCAGGATCGGCGGGTCCGTCAGGGTCGATGGGAAAGGGTTAACAGGCACAGGCGCCCAACTGCTATCCTCTTTCAGAATCTCAAGTCCAGGCTGACCAGGCAGTCTGAACAGGAGAGTCACCGATCCGTAGTCAGAGTGCGCGCCTGCCCGGATAGATGCACCGTCCTCGGGAACAGAAGACTTGGGGTAGTACAGCATGCGGAAGATGGTGCCGGACGGGCCGCGCGATTGGTCGTGCCGCGTGGAGAACCAGGAGCTGCCGCCTTGGGAGGAGGGTATGGAGAGCGCGGTGCCGAGGAGGGTGAGGATGTTGGTGCAGAGCGTGTGGCAGGAGGTTTGGAAGCGGCTGATGAGATCGGAAGAGTCTGATAAGGGAGGTGGAAGGGGTTGGAGCTTTGGGTATGGCTCGGCTATGTTGAAGGCTCTGTGGGTTGGTGAGTTGGGTGAGGAGGAGGGGGAGATGGGAGGTGGGAGGTGGGATACTCTTTGGGGTCGCCTTGCTGGGAGGGAGTTAGCACTAAGACAGTCAATTCTGAGATGAAGACATTTCGGATTACAATATCAATGAAACTTTCCATTCGTACCTTCTGCCCTTTAGGATCAAGAGCCTCGCCTTGCATGGACACCCATCCGCGGTTCTTGCCTCCAGCCTTTTCGGAGCCCCAGGCGTATTCAGCCTTTTGGTCTGGAGATTGCTGGAAGTACTGACGCGACTAGAGATGGTCAGCAACGAAATGAGCTAGATAGAAATAGCTGTTATTACCAATTCGAACATTCCATGGATGTCCTTTGGCGATATCGTTACGCCGTCATTTTTGATAAAGAGGAAGCCATGTGTGGAGGCGGCGTCTAAAACTTCCTGGGCTACTCCCGGCGACGGATCCGATATGTCGATGACTGGGATTCCAGCGTCTTGCAATTCTGAATGGGGCATGGTGGACCTGATTGTAAGAATACCGTGGAGTAAGTGCTGACAGTGTAGACTAGGGACGATAAGCACCAGTGAGTGAGCTCGAATCGCAAGGAATCCCAACTGAAACTAAAAGAGTTTCTGAAGAAGGGAATATATATAGGAGTACCACGGCAAGCCGATTATCGAACGATATGATGAAAACGGGATGAGTGGGATGTCGGGCAGCTCCGAGAGGCGTTGTCCTACGGTACCTGGGCTAACGGCCCAAAAAGAGTTTAGCGCGTGTCCACAGGGCTGGCGCGCGCCAAGCACGAAGCTCTAACCGCGAGAGCTCCAACTTCGCCTGTCTTTCTACATTTTCCCCACCGTCTCTCCAGACACTCCCTTCTCGCCCGCCTCCGTGTCGCTGGAGGTCTGCCGCACTCGATCGGCTCGGCAGCTCTGCGCGGAGACATTCCTCACGCTCCTTGACCCATACTCGAAAGTCGAAATTCGGCGCCGTTCGCCATGATCCGCGATTTCGAGACGTGGAACAATGTGCTCGGCGAGGCGTCGCAGCTGGAGGAGCTGAGAGGCCTTCGCGTGGGCATTGAGGCCGCCGAATACCTCAAGAACCGCATACTAAATCATCCCCGTGCAAAAGAGCCGCTCGTACCTGCGCTGGGAGGCTTACACCTCGCCTTCAGGCCGCACATTGAGGAGGACCTGAACAAGTTCGCCAGCTACCAGATACAGCCATTCTTCGTCTTTAGTGGCCTAGATCTCGCACAGCAGGACGACCCGTTCCGACAGAGGCAGGAGGGCGCCGCAGCCATTGCAGCTGCCTGGAGCTTGTACGACAGCCACGACGCAGAGCAGTCAGTCGTCAGGTTTGGTGAATCTTGTCAGAACCCCGACTCTTTTTGCTGCTGTTACGAACTGACACTCATCAGCCTATGTCACGCCGGATGACCTCTTTCGCGCGCTGCAGTCCATCCTAGTTGAGAGGAAAGTTCCGTTCCTAGTCGCGCCGTACAGCGCATGGGCTCAGGTACCGTATCCACTCTTCGCCTCGATACACCCACTGACACAGACTAGCTCGCGTATCTTGATAAGCGCAATGAGGTGCAGGCTATCTCCGGGTCGTCCGAGCTCCTCCTCTTCGACTGTGACAGGGTCATCACATCCTGGGACCTCGAAGCTGGCACATTCAAGTGGATCAGGCGCGGAAACTGTGTCGCGGATCTGAGGAAATACGTGAACAACGCAGATATCGCTGACGACGTATTCGTTGACGCTTGCATCCTCGCTGGAACCCATTTCTTGCCTACCCTGCCGAGCCTCGATTCCCCCGCCCGGAATAAGCTGTCAAAGCCGATCGGAGCAATCGAGATGATAATGAGCGGAGGAAGGTCAGGCATATCGGTGGTCTTGAGCAATTCTGACGACCCGCGGTTCAAGCAATCAAACTATGTCGACCGGTACCGCAGGGCACGGCTGGCGGTGAAACACCATCCTGTCCTGACAGCTGAAGGCAAGATCGAACCTATGCTGGAGGGTCAGCTTCCAAACGATTCGCACGCGTTCATCGGGCAGCGGCTGCCTGAGGAGGTCTACTACTATCTGTCAAGAGGCCTCATCAACTCGCGCATTCTCAATTGGCGCGCAAGCAGCGAAATAATCGAAGCTCCGCCAGTGGATGGAGGGGTTTCTCCGCACTATCAGAACCTTGTCAGCACGAAGCTCACCCCATTGCGGACAACGGCGATCAACCTCCTATCATCCTCCCTTCACAACTGGTACCAGCACAAGGATCTCGACCTGAAGTGCTGGTTCCGGGTTGATTCAGACAGTGGAAAGCCAGTCTCAAGCACCATTAGTATGAGGGGACTTCCCGAGTGGCGAAGGATTGTGGACACATGGAACGTTAAGGAGGCCACATTCAGGGACACCGTCTCCAAGCACCAGGTAAGTGTGCTGTGTTCCTAGCGTCTACCTGCTTACTGACCATTCGCAGCCATGCGGGCACATTGGCTCAGCTGTATTGTCGCTACAAAACGCGGACTTTGCTTCAAGAACCGTCTCTAAAAAGGACGTAAATAATGTAAGTTCGTTTGCTACCTAGCTTAGACCTGACCTGACATCATTCAGCCTCTCAGCACGACCGACGAGATTCTATACAATTCGATCTGGCGGTTCCTCGCCCTGCGAGAGTATGTCGATACGAATCATAATCTGACTGCCTGGGGCAAGGTTCTGGCGACGACCATCGCTGCCCTCAAGGGCAATTCCGAGCTAGAGGAAGCTGCCGTCGTCGCTGTAGAACTCCTCCGCCTTGGTATACTCAATGGCGATGTTGAGATGTTCAACTATAATGGCGCCCCTATGCGCGGCGAACGTTAGTAACCCATGATTCGCTAGATGTTCCGGCGCTAACGGTTGTGCAGAGAAGGACAGGCAATTCAATCTCTTAATCTCTCGCGTTGCTGGGCTTGGCAGCCTACGCCACAGGCCGATCGGCTTCACAGGTCCTCTAAGCCACCATCTGCTCGGTTACAACTCAATCATCAACCTTGTCCGGCAGACTTTGCGAGACCTCGTGGAAGTTGCTGCCACGAACATGTTCATGAGTGCTTCCGCTAAGCGTGATCTTCCTAATCTCCCTGAGATCGCCATGAAGTGGGTCGTTCAGAATCCGCCTCAGTATAATGCTAATTGCCCAGCAGGCTACCTTTCCTCCTGCCGAACAACTGCGCTCTCAGCATCGCCGTGAAGTCATACCTTGACGAGCTCTTCAATGACCCGGATCCGTCCTCGCCGGAAGCCAAAGTACGTGTGCAGGAGACAACATCGAATCGCTACTTTCCACAATCCGAGGACATCGTCGGAGACCTAAAGAAGGCGTTTGGGCTCTGGGATGCCGTGTTTGAGGGTGTGAAGAATGCGGGTAATGTGCTGAAAGATTCTGAGAAGAAATACTGGATCCAAGCGAGCGAGTGGCTGAGTGTTCGGCGATAGGTGAAGAGCGATCAAGCACGTTTGGAATTGGAAAGCAAGAGCAATTAGTGCAATCGCATCGAGGACTCAGACCGCCGTGGCATTCCTCTACCGAGGGACGATGCGTAAACAGCGTAAATGCGCATCACGCCTAGCCGAGCAGGCCTGAGGACATTTTGTGAGATTAGTTACGGAACAGATAGTGGATTTATGCGCCGGAAAAGGAGGAAGATACAATGATATGTCGAATGTGCTTTCTCCGCTCGAGCTTCCAATCACAGTCTGGCTGAACCTTGGATTATTCAACGCTGGCTGACGCTTTGTTTACAGGGCTGATTCCCGTATACATCTTTACTTTCCCGATCTTTCCAATTAGCGCTCCCGGAGATCAAAGCGCTACCAGCTTCAATCGTTCGACAGCTTGGCTTTTGATCAGCTAACTCCGACTCCCAAGTAGTCCACTTGCGGAAGCGCATAAAGCGCAAAAGCTCACCGCCAATAGCGGTGCACGGAAGACACCTTCCACCTAGATGATCACCCCTCATCTCCTCGTATTAACGGAGCGGGGAATAAATGCGGGGGCTTACCTATTCGCAGACACCCGCATATACGTACGAGTTAGGCCGAACGCCCAACTTTAAACCCACCTGCTTTTGGGTGCGTTGCTGCGAGAGATGCAGCGCGCGATTGCTGCTGAAGCTAGAAATTAAACTGGTGCGTACGAGTTTGCGGGCCTTATGAGATAGCGCTGACAATATCACGTCAGTGGCCTAAGTGTCGGTACAAAAAACGAGACTCGTCGATAGTCGATCCCTCTCCGGATATTGTTGATGCGATATGCGATTGAGGAGACATAAAGAGGTTGAGGACTTCTTCATAGCTGGTAATTGATTACAGTGCCCTTTCTTCAGGTCTACAACTACTACTAGCGTCCAGCCGGTTGTAGACCAACACAATGGCTCCCGCAAACATATCCGCCCAACAGAGCAACATGAAAAGCACGCTTCCATCTGGTGCCACTCCTTATAATGTCCAGCTATCCACCGAGCACTCGCCAGGCTACACGCACGTCGAAGGGTTGACGAGAGAGAGCGCGGATACGGCCTCCGACTTGCTAATGCTGAATCACGCCAAGTACCACACGTACTTCCATAAACAAGTGGGACTTCACAGTGAGTCTCCGGTGCTCTTCAACACTATGGCCTGGGATTGTGACACGAAGTTTGTAGATCATATCGTTCACCAGTTATGCACTCTGTGGGCTCTTGGCGCCTCTCCAGCGGAAATGCAGACTGCGTACGACCTGAACAAGACGTTCCAACTCCCGCATTTCCATCATAATGCCGAGACTTTGGTGAAGATGAGGGACCCTGCATTCTTTAGAGAGTGTCTGGGGAAGTCGGAGTTTTATAACGACTATTTGCATTTCTTCCAGGATGAAATTGCGGAGAGGGGGGCTGAAGAAGTATTGAAGGAGTATGTTTTCAAAGGCGATGAGAGAGCCGATGATATGCTGGGACGGATGCACTCCGGTATCACTTCCTATTTACTCTTTCAGCACTCCATAATGCGTCGCTGATCTCCCTGAAGGCTTCCTACATCCCATCATCCACCTCGGCTTCTCCCTCGAATTTAACCAACCCTGCCTCGTTGCCGAATCCCTCGCTGGCGCATGCGTCCACGACAACTGGCCGCTCCCCATCCTGCTCTCCATCGAACAGCATCTCTCTTCCCACCCCGACACGCCCCGTAAATCTATGCTCTCCATCTTGCAAACACTGCAAACCGATCCCATCTTCGCCGCCGCCGCGAAAACAGGGGCCGTGCTAAACCGTGTCACCGACGCCCTCATCCCCCACGCCGGGCCCCAGCTATCCTCCCTCCTCGCCCAATGGCGCGTCGAACCCACGCAAGAAGACATCGCGTACAAAACCGCGGAAATGGCAAACCTATGCGCGTACACGCTAGCCGCAGCCCAACACCCCGCCAAAGAGCCAGCGATGGATTTCTTCATGATGCACAGCGTGAACCTCGGCGTTTTCTACCCCGTGTTCATGCGGCTGCACTGGTTGACACTGGAGCAGAAGGCCAGACTGCTGAATTGGAAGGGTTGGATGGATCTAGTTATATACGCGGCGTGCGCATGTCCGACCCTCTATTTGGATCGCGTCACGGACTACAAGCCTAAAGCCCCCGGAGGCTGGGACAATGTCGTATCCCGCGCAATACGCTACCCTGACGACGGACATACGGCGAAACTCATACGCGCTCTAATCGGCGCCCGCAATCTGTCTGCTTCTCATACCGCCAACCCGGAATTACCCCTCGCGCAAAAAGATTTCTTGCAAATAGCGCATATGACTATGGATTCTGTGGAGAGGATGCAGGATCCGGGATACAAGGTGCCGGAGAAGCTGAGCAAGTTTTATGGGGAGGCGCTGGGGTATGAGGACGAGGTTGTGCGGGTTGTGGCGAGATGGGTCAGGTGGCCGGGGATAGAGGGGGCGTGGGATGATTTTCCGGATTTGGAGGCGAGGGCGAGGTTGTAGGCTTGGGTTTGGGATGCGGATGGGAGGAGGGAGAGGAAGGACCTGAGTCTGTTGGGGCCGTTTTCTCGAACATGGTCTGTTTAAGTACGGTCGCTTTTGTACCGTTCCGCCGCTTCTGTCGTCTCGGAGTTTGCTTTTATTGTTCATATTAGGGCGACTGCAGCAGACTCATGCGCATCGACCTTTGAATCTTTTAGTCCACTATTTTTGTAATTAAAAATCCGATCTCGAACGCAGCATCAAGAGCGGCTCCTCTGTCTTCTCGAGGCAGACATGCATGATATTGGCGCTGTTTTAGTGGCGCCGTGGCACATTGCCGTGGTGCTGGTATCTTTTAAAGTGGTCTCACCGCTGAGGGTGTCGTGGAGAAGGGATGAAGAGGACTGGTGGAAGGGTTTATATACCCTAGGTTCATCTGTTTGGGCTCCAGCCCAGCGCCCCGATCCGACGTACACTCGCGGAGTGCCGCCAGCGAAGCCTGCTAAGCAGAACCGTGATTTGTACACAAAGCTTCAGCGAACCCAGACTAAAACGGACATCGCTAGACAACAAAGAACTCCAAATTCCTATGAAGCCTAGAGCAAATCTCCAGATATTTGCCCTCATTCTGCGCAAGCAATTCCCCATGCCGTACAAGGTAATCAATCCAAGTCATCGCAATATTCAACTTAAACTCCCGACGTCCCAACGCGCCCTTGATCTCCTCCAAGCTCAACAGCTTGAACGCCTCCACCTCATCGTCACAAGGCTTAGGCGTGACCGACAACTCCAACTCATACACGTACTGCGTCTGTGCCCGACTGGCCGGCTGACCATGATACGTCAGTACGCCACAAGGCTGGACACCATTCCGGCTGATATCTGCAGGAATCGACGCTTCCTCCTCGCCCTCGCGAACGAGGCAGTCGAGCGGTACTTCATCTGCGCGTAAACTACCCCCGACGCACATATCCAACTTTCCTGGATAGGTCATCTTGTTCTTCGATCGCTGGGCAACCCAGAACTTGCGGCCCTGGTCGGTGTTCGTGTATGCGATTAAAAAGACGCCGTACGTCCGGATGCCGAACAGACCCGCTGCTGAGCGGTCTATTTTGAGGACAGGCTCGCCGTTCGCGGTGTGCACGGCGCAGAGCTCCTTGGACAGTTTGCGCAGTTCGGAGACTTGGCCTCTTTGGTGCTCGCTCTGTAGAGTGGCGGCCATGAACGCATTTCTTTGCTCGATCCCGGACCCATGGGCGAGGATAACCAGCCTTTTTTCCGTATCTACGGTCCAAAATGAGGGCCAGGATATCTGCTTTGCCTTAGATTCGAGCATGTAGCCGAATGGCTGGGCGTAGCCCTCGATCATGAAGTAGAAGTACTCTTTCATGTGAGTGAGGTAAGCTTCCGGACTCCTTTGGAAGTACGGCCATCTGTATCCAGCGTGTGAGTAATATTCCTGAGAAAACGCTCGCCTCCGAGTACAGGGGAATACATGCCCATCTACTTGCTGAACGAGCTCGTAAAAGCTCGGTGTTTGATCCAGCGCCATCTCAATAGTCCCGCCGGTAAGTGCGGAAAAGCTTTGCTCGACACACAAGCCAAAAGGATTCTGAAGTTTTATTCAAAGGAGTTGCATATGCTAGTTCTCCCGATGCGAGTCCGTGCGAATTAGCAAAGATCGGGCGGTGTTAATGACTGCGTGGCATGCACTGAGGGCATTTGTTCCTGACCGACTGGTGCCGTCTTCCCGTTGGTAAGCCGAAGGAGGTAAGGTATATGAGGCCTATTACATGCCCGTTGATCTATGACTCGTCTGTGTGCTACCTGAGGCAATCTTGCGAAACCATGGCCCTACCCCGCACCTTGACACGAAGCAGCCGGTCGTGGAAGGCAAACGGACATTGCGTATCATACGATTTCCAGGTCGTGAAGTCCCCGCAATAAGGAAAAGAGCAGTGGTGAGGAGACAAATTTGCGGGAGGAGAGGTTTATATACCTGTTTTCCTCTGGACCAGTGGAGCAGCCCTACCTGTATCCCTTTCTCCGCAGCGTAAACCCGTATCTAGCTCCCTCCCCGATACGATTCCAGCTCTTCATCTCAATCTTCTGTAAGTCATTAATCACGCACCATAGATACCACATCACATGCAGAGGACACGCACGTGTTTCATCTCGCCAACCATCTCATTCCTCATCCCTTCATATATACAAATCCTTCGCCCTCCAACTCAGCACGCAGCAACGACCCACAAGGCCTGAAGCCTCCACGGCTACAAGACTCGAGATTGCTTATGTATACAGTCGCGGAATCAAAGTTCCGGTCCTTGTCTTGGCCCAAGAAAAAGGAAGAATGGGAAATGACGCCTCTCTAGTGGTGGCTCATTAAGGGAGAGTAAAAGCGTAGCGCACCGCGTGACGCTGTCGGTTTGCTGTGAGAGGCGTGAACTGGTATTAAGGAAAGTCAGAAACAGGGGAAACGACAACACCGCCGGTGAATGCAGCATGCCATGTGCGCTTAAGAAAATTCGAAAAAGTAGCAAGAAAATAATGAAGAAATAGAAACCCGCCTCCAATGTCATGCAGCATGAATAAAAGAGCAACACCAATGCGCCGTATCCGCCCTGTCCTTAGTCTTCAGGGTATTTTTTCACACAGCCATCATCGTACATCAAGCGTCAAACCAGAATCCATCTATATCTCCCCGGGACCCGCGTTACTACCTCAAAGCCTTAGTTGGAGCAGCACTTTTGCCAGCCCTCCTCATCCTCTTCTCGAGAAGGTTGTTGAGAAGGGAATCCAACTCGCTGCTTAACCCTGTCACAGTCCTCGTCTCCTCAACGAAAAGTCGTGCCATGATGGGATGATCGCGCCCTACAGGAACAACGCCAGTGGTGTCATTGATAACCAGCAGCATGTCCCTGATATCGCTCCCATCGTCAAGGTACGTTCGTAACGAGGAGTCTGACCAAGCAGGAAGCGATGTACTTTCTGACGAGTCGGGCGGCGAGGGTTCCATTTCCTTTGTCGGGATCGGTGCGGGTCGTGATGGCGGAGGTATCGAGGAATTCTGTGTGAGTTGCGTAGGCGAGGGCGAGGTATTGGGGCGTGAGGCTGCAAGACTGGGTTTGTTCGGTTGGCTGCTGGAGGGGCTGCCGTCGGGTGTGGGGGTTGATATCGGAGAACTGGTCTCTTGGCTCGATGTGTCGACAGTGAGACCGGGAGGGTGCTGAGAGTCTGACTCTTGGTCCTTCTCTTGAACAGTTTCTTTGCCCGGAGGCTGTGCATCTGCGGCCGACACGTGCACCGGAGATTCGGAGAGACGTCCGGTTGCCTCAGAGTCTGCTGGTTGTGCTGACTTTGCTTGCATCTCTGGGTCTGCGAAGGGATCCTTCTCATCTTCAGAGTCGAAGTCATCGAGCTGAACCCGCTGCTTAGCCTTCTTGACCTTCTCTGGTCTCGGCTCTCCGTTCTGTTGGCTCTTGAGCATATTCATGGGATTGAGCTTTGAAGCGGAAGAGTTGGAACGGGAACGACTGTCAGGAGATAGAGCGCGCTCTTCAATGGACGGTTTGGCCGTTTTGGCCGTATCTTCTTGCTCTGACGAGACCAAGCGCATTGTGGAAGTGGATTGCTGGGCAGGCTTGTCGCTGGGGGCCTCTTTTGCAGAGGGACTCTGCACCCTCGAAGGTTCTGGACTGTCCATTTTCGATACGCCTTTGCCCTTTGTTGGCGAGTCATCTCTTCCCCGTTGCGATTTCTGCAGCTTGCCTTTGCTTGGCTGGCGTTGCGGAGACGAGGCTCCGTTCTGCTCGGCAGCCGTACGGTCCAAGGAGTCATCCGAAGGTTTCGATTGGGGCGAGTTGCGGCCAAATTCCTCTGACTGCTTTTCAACATCGCTATCAACGGAGTCCAGGCCGGCGCTCTTGGTCTTCTTGTCTTTACGCTTGAACAGACCACTGAGCATCCCGGGCTTCTTCTCTTTCTTCTTCTTGTCCTCCTTAACCTTGTCTGCGAATCCGTTCTTTTCGAGGCTCTCCAGGCTCGGACCGCGCTCCCGTGAGCCTGTAGTGGAAGTACTTGAGTCGTCTCGCAATAGGTTCGGGGTAAGTGTGATCTTTCGTGTTTCTGTGGTTTCGTCCTTGAAGAACGAGTCGGTATTCCGCAGAGTACCATTTCGGGATACCTTGGGGTCCAAGGGTCGGTCAAATATTTCGTCGCTATTTCTCTGCTTGTCTGCTTCATCTTTGGTAGGCTCCTCAGACTCTTTCGATTCTGGCTCTGCTTTGCTCTTCACATCCTTCTTAGCGCCGTTGACTTTCAGCGGCTGGACCTTCAAGCTGTCATCTTGTTCGGGTTCGGTCTTCTCGACTGTGGCCTGCTGTGTTTGTGCCTGGTTTGGATCCGCGCCGCCGAACAACTCTTCCTCACCACCCTCATCGGACGAGTAGTCGTAATCCGAAGCCTCAACATAGGTAGGCGCTGCGAATTGGACAGTCTTGGCGTTGCGTCTTCGCATCGCTTTCTTGAGGGGGTTCTTCGTCTTCTCGGCGGTATCACCGAGCATGGTCGCTGAGAGGTCGATGTTTCGATGCTTGTTTAACCGTGCTAACCGCTCCGTTGGCGTCTCAATGTGTTCAGCGGGCAGATACCCTGCCGCCAGTTAGCAAAGTTCAACAGAAGCGCCCTTTCCACGTACCAATACTGCTATCTTTCACGACCCTCACTAACCACCAGTAGCTGTTGCTGTCGTCTAGGAGCACCATAGTGTCTCCCTTAGTAGCATTGGCCTGACCTTCGACGGTCGCCACAAATGTATGCAACGCATAGACAAATTCGAAATCAATGTCCTCTGTTTCTCGTAAGCATTCGCCTCCCCAGCCGGAATCGATGAATCGGGGGTCGTCAGAGAAGGAAACGTCATTAGATTCATCATCGTTGTCCAGTTCTTCGTCCCAGGAGTCGGCGTCACTGTCCGTCGTCCAAGAGTCGCCCTCTTCTTCTTCTTCTTCTTCTTCGCCTTTAGTAGGTCCAAGGGTGGGCGAGTCGTTCCGCTTCGGCATTTCTGTGAAAGGGTCCTCTAGCGTGTCCTTGAGAGGGCTGGGAACCGGTTCCAGCATAGATTGGGCATTCTCCTCGTCCAAATCAGAAAACAGCGATACTTGCGAGTCCAGGCGCATTGCTTGCAGCCGTTGCTCAACCATACTCAAATGTTGCGTCCTGGGGCTAATTTTGCGAACCTCTCCAGCGGTGGCGTCATCGTTCGATACGTTGGTGGTCCTTGGCCAGGCATACTCACCATGATGATGATCCGTTGACTGAGTGTTGTGCTTCTTCGGGGAAGATCGGAATGAAAAGGGTACAGGAGATGATCGATAAGGAGATTTTGAGACAGGCTCCGCGCCGCCAGCTGGGACTCGGAACGGTCTTCGAGCGGCGGCAGCAGCAGCGAGGGGAAAATGAATAGGCGTGTCGGTAAAGGGGGAAGAAGAGTCGAGGCACGTCGAAGAGGACGCGCTCGGCGAGAAGGTAGGCGAAGAGTCCGGGGTCGTAGAAGATCCTCGCTCTAGCCGATTCTCAGGATAACAAGGTAAAGAATACCCACCATCGTCTATCGAGGGCGAACTCGAGATTTTGTCCATCATGTCGTCATCCATGTCCTCCTCGACGTCGGCGTCCTGCATTTCGCCGTCGTCGCCGTCTCCAGTCATACCGCCGTTCAGCCGGACGGCGGTCTCGTCCTGCTGGAGATTTCGGTCTCCATGGCCGTTCGTCACCACGGTCCGTTCGTCGTCAGACCCGGGATCGTCTCGCAGCCCGTTTGTGTCAGCCCAGCCGTTTTGCAATCGCACTTCCTCGGAACTGCGCTCGTCGTCTACACGCCGCAGCGACGCTTCTTGGTGGGGTGCTGCAGGGCCGGCTCCGAGCGGGGCTGGGTGTTGCGGCTGGTGGGAGTGGTCCTGGGCGGTCGGAGAGGTCTTGTCTTGCAGGTCCAGGGTGTCTACAGCGAAACGAACGTTAGCACAGGTGCCCCCCCAACGCGCACAATGTGGTCCTGAGCCGTACCTGCCCTGATAATCTGTGGTCGCGTCATCCTAGCTCATGTCCTCCGGTGCAGCTGGGCTCTGCGTGATATATTGGACGTCGAGGGCTCGCCAAGGCCGGCTGCGGCGCAATGAATGCGAGGGGCGAACGGCTGCGGACAGGGCTGAAGCGACGGCTCGCGGGCGCGCTGAAAGGAATAATGGGTGGGATAAAGAGCGGAAGTCGTCCAGCGGCCAGCGTCGAGCGCATATACCGTGACGGTGTTTCTCGAGGAAAGAGAGACAGGCCCACCGGAGGAGGTGCGGAGTGCGTTGCGCTGACGGCGGTTTCAAGGCATGCCAGCCACGGTGGAGGGCGGCGCAGAAAGGAGCGACGTCGTTCGGGCTCGAGGATGCGGCGGCGGCGGACGGAGGGGCGGCGATTGTGCTCGCGGCGAGCACTTGTTGTTGTCGTGAGGAGTGTTGCGGGCGGTTTGGCCGGTGTTGCGAATTATTTTGGGCACTTGGTCGCTCGTTCCCGGATTCACGGGCCCCTGTTGCGCTGAAACAGGCCGTGCGCAGCTGAGATGACTCCAGATTGGCCCGCCACTCGCCCTGGCCCTTGTTCCTGGACGCCGCCGGCCATGCCAGTGGCCTTTAAAGGGGTCGCTCTATTCACAGCCGTCATGCTCGCCGCGATGGCCTTTCGCGATGCCTTTGGGAGGCTGCGCTCTCTCAGATCCCAGGACGCGACTCTGTTTGTTGTTGCGCACCCCAGGAACTGCCGGCTTCCCCGCAGCCGATGAAACAGCACCGACACGAGTGAACGGCATGACTTAAGACAACACCATCAAGACGCTCCGCCGCAGAACAGAACACCTCGCTCTACCTGCTGTTTCAATCTAGCGGACGCCTACGCTTGATCGCCACGTAGAGTTTGCGCCGTTTGCGAGATACCAGTGTTTGGCACCGCAGTGCATGAACGTGGCTGTTTGCATCCTGAGGGAGGGCGTTGTTCCTGAAGGCACGCGACCAACCTTCAAGCTCTGAAGGACACCTGGGAGTTGCTGAAGAAGCGGGGGCTAGGGACGCGCATGCACTACACCTGGTGAAGAGGCATAATTCACATTCGGGCATGAACCTCCTACATCCTAGCGACTTGTGTGCAACATTCGGTGCGGATCCAGACCGAATTCCAGCATCAATGCAACTACGCTCACAAGTCCGTCTAAAAAATACCATGAGGCTCGAAGTAGTGGTATCGGTGGTTGAATAGGATAAGTCTGCTGATTCGTCGCCCGAGCGCTTGCTGAAGCCTCTCCCGTACGCGCCGTGACATCACAGCGTCTACCTCGACACCTCTCCAATTACATCCCCAAGCGGCGGTATACTCGAGTACAGTACGTCACACGCAAGGTGCTATGGCATGGAAAGCTACTCCGATCATCCCAGCTCCTGCAACGCTGACAGTTTCCGAGCTAGGAACATCCTGTGAGGAGTTGTGATCTGGCAGTGGTAAGCCTCACTGTCGCTTTTGATCTGTTATTCGAATATTCATGTCCGCAGGATACTGCTGGCAGTACTAAGGAGCTGCTATACTGGGGCAACAGCCTGGCGCACGACTACTATGCCGGTGGGGGGTCGATCAAGCGCTCCGGTGTGGATGGAAAAGCCACAGCTGATAGAGCAGCTAATGGCATATGGCGTATGGCGTATGGACTACAAAAGGAAAGTAGTCGAAGAGTCTTTGAGATTCGATAGAAGTTCAATTTTACTGAGAGACAGCAACAGAGAGGAGGTAGATAGTCTTAGCCCGCAAACATCAGACAGGAAATGCACCGCTTGAGGAAGCACAATAAGATAAATGACCACGAAGGCAGAATTTCAAACCCGCCCGAGGAAAAGGAGAGCATACTCTAATTGGGAGAAATCAGTGTGCGCGCACACCCCCTTCAGCAGCAACCCAATTCATCAGTGTTGGAAGTAATACCTGAGGCCTCACCCCGTTGGCGTTCGCCCGCATCCCCCTTCTGCCCACCCATCTTCTTCCCACACTGCCTCGAGAATTCTTACTTTCGTATGCCCTCCAAAAGTCCTCTCACACAGGCCGTCCTTGTGTCCCTTCACGTCCCTACCCAACGCGCAATTCACCCCGCCGAACATAGCCCCTCTCAGAACCACGTTTCGTCCCAGGCACACTCCACGGGATCGACTTCCCTTACCAACATTCTATCCACTATTCACTATCCACGCTAATAGCTGTAGTACACTAAAGCAGGACCCAATAACAAATGAGTGGGTCTTCCTTGGAAAAGCACCATGAGAAGCGCAGAGGAAACCTGGGGGTGGAAGGTGTGTGGTGGGAGTTGCGACAGGTCATTGACGTCTGGTTAAGGGAGCAAGAATAAAAAGTAATACAGAGGAACCCCAGGCATCACCGGGCTGAAGACCGAAGACAGCAAGCTCGTCGATTCCAGGCAAATTGTTTCAATACGCTATGAAAAGCCCTCTTCGCTTCAGTTCAATTATAAAGTAGTAATACATCCCTCATCCCAAGCTCCTATTCTTCAAAAAGCAGTCAAACACCATGCAATGCAATCGAGAGAAACGCAGGGACTAATGCAACGCTAAGTATCGACAGAGGAATACGAAAGGGGGTATCGTGAAGATAGAAATGAATCGAAAGATGCGGCGGCCATGAGCAAATTGCCTCGTCCGCAAAAAGGACCAAACACCAGAATGACATAAAGAAACCGATGGAGGAATGGTGTGGGTGCTAGATGTATGCGCCCGGGGTGCGCGGGGATGTCCTCGCCTGCTTTCAGTTGTGTGACCCGAAAAGGGCCTCGGAAAGTGATGCCGTCCCCAAGCCGACGGCAAATGGTCCGCCCAGGGTAGTCCTCTTAGCCCTTCTTCTGCACGGGCGCAGCCGCAGGCGTAGGAGCGGCTAGCATGGCCTTAACGCGGTCAATTCTAGTGACCGCCTTCTCCAGCCTCTCCAGCCTAGCCATTTTGTCCTTGTCCTTCTTCTCTAGCTGCTCGACCCTCGCCTCGAGCTTCGCCCGCGCCTTGCGCTCCGCAGCCACCATCTCGTTGGCTTGCGAGAAGAGCTGCACGCTCAGCTCCTCGATCTCGCTATCTACTTTGCGTGCCTTCTCTTCCGCCTTAGCCCGCAGCGCGCGCTCCTTCTCCAGTTGCTCGAGGAGCTCGGCGTCCGAGATCGATGTTGGAGGTGCAGGCACAGCGGGCTGGCCTTGCGCAGGTGAGCCACGGCGGCCGGTGAGGAAGGAGAAGCGGGATTGCTTAGCGGACGTGGAGTTTGCGGTTGAGGGGCGCGGCTCTTCGTTCGAGGGTCTGCCGGGCGCGAGGGAATCGGAGGTATTCGATCGCGGGAGGCCACTCTGTGCGGCTCGCATGTTGCGCAGTTGGTCTTCGTAGTCGGCGCATTTGTCCACTGTTATCATATTGATATCAGTACCATGACTCGACGGGAGGGGCGCACGAGGCGTAGATCAGCGATAAACATACCAGCAGCAGTCGCCTTCTCCTTCAGCATCTCCACCTGCGACTCCAGCTCTCTTATGCGCCGCTGCGCGCCCTCAACTTCTCTCTCCACAGGCAAACTGGTGCCGCATTGCGGACAGCTGTGTGCTTTGGTCGCCATCTGTTTTGTGTGTATTGAGGGTGCCGGTGGGATCTCGATGGCGGCTGCCATGTCCTCTCCGCTCTCTGGGCGTTGTAAAAATGACGATGCCTCAGGCGAACAGGTGTACGGAAGTCAAGAATAGCAAATGTGCGTCACTGTCGGAAGCGCTGTGGTTGATTGCGAAACAGCGGGTTTCAGGTCCATCCTGGCCCCTTGCATATAGGGGTCCTCGCGCTATAACCCAACTTACTAAGCTCCCGTCAGCCCTACAGGTGGACCAACATTCACCGCATGGCAGGTTTTCACGAGAATCTATTCCCCTAAGAGAAAGCGAATGCTGTTCTCTCCCATGATATAATATCCGTGGCCAGCGTTGGGGTTATTATCTGTCCCTTTATTCAGTAGGCTAATCCTGCCCTGGACAACAATAATAGGTTCGCTCATCCAGCACTTTCCCAACACCAAAACTTCGAACTTCAGAGCCGGTGGAGTCGGAAGAATGAGGTATTAGCCAGGGAAATAATTAGGCTAGAGTGAGTGTCCTAGGTGCGTATAGATCTCAGCGACTGTCTGCACACATACTTCTCACTCCGCCTTCCAACGAGTAGATTATTTGCTCGCTGGATTTTACTCAGAGCAGGAGATGCCGCTTCTCTCTTTACGACTCAAGCTTCAAGCTCATCTTAGCCGTTGAAGAGGTAGGTCTCCTTACGTCACCCACTGGAAGAATTAGGGGTGAGACCTCACGCCTGAACTATGGTCGGCTCGCTTGATATCTGAGCGGCGGTGGTGTAGAAGATAGAGAGTATGTTTGCGTCAAGTGTTCTGAGCTCTTTGAGACGAACCCAGGCCTGTTCTAGAGGTGAGAGCTGTCGCAGATACTGTAGAGTGTGTGCAGCACCATGGTGTTCATTGGAAGCTTCGTCCAACCCGTCGTCAGGCACGACCCCGAGGCGCATTAGGCTTGTAAGCAAAGCTGGCAAGTCCGCACATCATGCCATTGGAGTCTCTTAAGCTGCAAAAATCCTTCTCACTTCCCCATCATCTTCCCCTTTCGCTTCACCTTCACCTGGGTGCGGGGCTCTTCGCATATTCTTCCGAGCATATCTTAGCAACTTTCTTCGCGAATGAACACATTCAGGATGGGATTTGCGTCCATCACCATGGGTCCACCGTTTATCAACCCACTTCTGGTTACCGATGCCCGTCCACACGACACTGCGTCCATAGTTCGCGCCTTGAAAGCCCACCACGCCGTTGTGCATGACATACACCGTGAGGAACGAGAAGAAAGACGACAACGGGAAGCCACTGAGCTACAGGCAGCTCAAGAGCAAGCCGCTCGGGAACTAGCTGCACATGGGCGGCGGGCACATATTCGGACTCCAACGTGGGTACTGAAACGAAAACGAGAGGACGATGTAGAGGAAGCCGCTCTTGAACAGGCCGCTCGTTGTTTTCCTACTCCTGCCCAGAGCCCGGTTGGCCTCAATCACCCGGCACTTGTGCATCCTCAAAATCCTCTTCCAGTTGATGCAGAGAACCACGCCTTCATCGCACCCCAAGAGACCTGCTCGCATCAGCCTCAGGGCTCCTCCCAGTGTGCCTTCTCCAACGCCGCTGCGATCCATCCCGGACTCTTGGGACTCAATCCCGCTCCCGTCTCGCCTCATGGCTCCTCTCCAGCTGCCTTCAACACTGCTGTCATCGACCCTAGACTCCTGGGACCCAATCCGGCTCTTGCCTCGCCTCTTCGCTGCTTCCAGACTCAGTTCACCGGCGCTGGTACTATCGACCCTCAGCGAACTGGCCCTGCTCAACCTCAGTTCGCCGGACCCACCGAGCCTTGGTCGATTGAAATCGACTTCTTCAAAATGCTCACGCCGAGCAAGAGCACCCCGAACATGAGCGCGCCGCACACGCACGCGTCGCACTTGAACATGCTGAGGACGGGTACTCCGAACATGATGCTGAACAGAGACACACCATGCATGCCCATGCCGAATATGAACGAATTGCTCTGGGAGAGGCAATGGGCCGATGCTGGCGTTGGCGCCGATGTGAGTGAGCACTGCTACGATTGCGGTCTTTCTCAATCGGTATATCCAGACCCAGGGCTTCTGGAACAATTGCATCAGGGACCAATATACCACATACCGAGTGCCATGAACGCCGACTGGAATGCTCGGTCAACAGCAACCATTTGGTTTCGCGGGACGGTAGCGTGATCAGTTGGGAATCCCATCGGTGTGCTCTCTAGCACTGCTGCCCGTTTGATCTTCGCTGACCTATTGGCCAGGTATAATTATGAGCGATCTCGTTGAAGTCCCTCCCTCGGTTGCACATACTGTCACCATCTCCACGAATCGCACTCGCTTTTCCTCTTTCTTGCGTGCGTGGAGACTATGGCCTTGAAACATTTCTCTTTCTTCTCCTTTTCATACGTTGGATAATGTCCCTTCGAAGAATCTCAGATATACGGCGTCCCGATTGACGGCTTTCATGCTGGCACTCCTTGCGATCAAGAATTACGAGCAACATTCTCCAGTGACGATTGAAGATACCCTCTCGGATATGGCAGCTAGGAGTCTAGGTGTTTCGGTATCCCGGCGCTGAGTGCCTGGCCATCCCAAATCCCATACCCCTAAAATAGCTCTTCTTATAAAGAAAAGTTCTCGAAACTTTTCGCCAGCCATCTCGCGTATTGTCATGCAGTTCATTGGTTGTTATGCTATCCATTGGTCCCTTGACCCTCGCCAAGGCAGGGCTAAAGTCACTCGTTCTACGCCATGGCGGTCTTCGGCTAACGCATACGAATGCCAAATATGGTAGAGTACGCATTTGAAAAGGTATATGAGGCTGGTGTGGCTTGAGCTGGATGCTGATAAAGGCACGAGTGTGGTGCATGGTCGTGAATGGTGCCACTTTGAAATCTTCGCTGCTTCAATTGACTGAAAGGTTCTGGACCGCGACTGCAACACTCTCTGTCACCGACTGCTCAAAATACCTCGACGGCGCTCCTAAAAAACCTCCATAATCGCATTCTCCAAGACCTGGGTCATCGGCTACTGTCCCATGGCACCAATCCCACACCCTTATACGAGCAACCTTCTGCTAGGCAAGCGATGCGATGACCCACCATCGTCCCTCTGCAAACCGCCCAGTCCCCGCACAAATCTTATCGTAGCCATCGTCTTCGGCGTTTCTATCCTTTTTATCCTCTTGCTTGCTTTCTAGTGGCATGGATGCCTTTGTTGCTGGAGTCGGAAGGCGGCGCGAGAGCGGTATTGGAAGACAGGGTACAACAAGGTTGAAGAGGGGAAGGAGAGCGGTGCAAGTGGATCCGGACCTACGATTGTTGTTGGAGTTGTGGCAACTGATGAAAGCTATGCCGATGGGGCCAGTGCTGGCGGAGGCGGAGGTGGAGATTTTGGTGGTGGTGGAGAAGATTGTGTTGTCATGTGATCTTACCTTTGGTAGGCTTGGGAGGAAGGTGTTCAATATCTCCAAAGACAGAGCAACCGGTCGTAGAAACTTGTTGTAACGAATGTCCTTTGTCCTTTCTCATTGAGCCCTGGTTGACAATCGCTCCCATAGTTCATGCTCTTATGCTCTTCGAACTGGGCGAGAACCTCAAATTGCCACTCATTTTTTCCGCTCTGAGAAAGACTGACGATTCTCGTCCCCGCATGCATGCAGCTAGCGAGCAGTAGGACCTCGGTAGGAACTTGATCCGCAGGAATGACTGAGGTTGTTTGGACGTCCAATCGTTTCAGACGCCATACTCCTCCACCTAGATTCATTTCCGCCAGTACTGTTCTTCGGCCGGCGGCGGGTGCGTTGATAAGTCGTATATGGTCGTCGTAGCTTCCAGTGAGCACAAGACCCCGCTGTTCGTCGGAATGCAGTGGAAGTATCGCAGTCACTCCTGCTCCGTGAATCTTTTTGTCCATCCAAGGCATTTTCCTGGGCGCTCCGTTCTCTGGCTGAACAGAGTGGTCCTGGTGATATTCCCAGTTGACGGTTACTTCCGCAAACTGAAGCGCGCTGTCGTCACCGCCGGAATATGCGCCAGAGCCATCAGGCAAAAATGCTAGCGTCCAAGCCTCCAGATCGTGCGCTGCTAACTCAACACTTGAGGCACAGCTCACATCCTCGCGGAGATCAATCTTCCCTAAACACACTTGTCCAGTAGACAGTGTCATCCCGACTGACAAATCTGTCGGATGCCAGGAGAACGCAGTTATGAGAACATCGTCGGGGAAGTATTCGACCGTTTTGATGTGTTCCATTCTCGGATGCATGCTAGGTTCGCGGTACATATGCGAATCGCGCTCATCTTTCAGTTGATATATTCCAATGGAACCGGTAGATGTTGCCACTCCGAAAAGATTCTTTCGACAATGTAGCGTACCGAAATGGAGGTCTAGAATCGCCGAAGGCGTAGAAAATGTTTGAGCAATATGGCTGTCCTTTTTCAGCACAACAGACCTGTAAACAGGACGGGTAATACATTCGAGCAGTGACGGGGGACTTTTCCCGTCCATCCATCGTATAATGGAAGATTGCGCCAGAATCCAGAGCCGGATTACGAGGCACGATATCGTTAGTGAAATTTGACTTACACATCGTCGCCTTCTACGTGGAGAAGGATCAAGCTTCCATTGCGTCGTTGGGTTGTTGGCTTTGGCGCGTCTTGTGCGGGGACTTCCGACTCAAGGTTGTATGTCCCAACGACGGCATAATGTTCGTCATCGGGCCAGAATTCCACGCAACTGGGCGGCAGATCAAGCGTGAGAGACCTGAGATGTTCAATTGAGGGCATGGTTTCTGGAGGAAGGGAAACGAGCTCCTCAGGTCAAAGGGAAGGAGCGCTTACGGCTTAGTGCCTTGGCGGTGCTCTACTTCTCCAGGACTCCTCCCCACCACCATCATCAGTGAACACTCTACTTTCGCATCGGCATCCGCTGCAATTGTCGATGCGCGAACCCTCATCTGACGCCATACGCTCTTTCCGACGTCAATTGTCCAATCGCTCAGTCGGTTGCGGTCAGCTCGAGCGCTGCGCCGAGTTGATGCCTTATTCGATCCCTGCATCGCCTCGTTGCAGCCTACACTAGTTTCGCCACAATCAGTGTCTCAACGTCAGCCGCTTCAAGACTCTACTGTCCACGGGTGTATTTAAGTCGCCTGAGAGCGCGTCTCTTTCGTGTTTTTCATCGACGCGTCTGATTCCATAATCGCGACTGGCTCTCCCAATCAACTCTATTATAATTGATCATAACCACAATGTCTGCGACACAGAGCATCCAGATTGCAGCGGCCACAGGCAGATACTCCAAGCGCAAGAGAGCCCAAGTCAACTACTACGAGGAAGATGCAGCCGAGGTAGAGTACGAAAAGGGGAACCAGTCCCAAGTGGAGTACTCGCTACCTAAGGTTTGACATACATCTGCGTGGTGGTCTTCATGGAACTAATAGCAGCGCAGAAGCGCAGGTCCGCACCCTCTTCCAAGCCTCTTCCAAAGCGCAAGATCTTTCCGTTTCTCCAGCTACCAGCGGAGATAAGGAATATCATATACGAAAATTGCCTCTCCGACCCAGCGGGCATCTATCTCGAGGCAACGACAAAGAAGTATCGTCGGACTGTCCAGCGTTGCCCAGAAGATCGCTTTCGTTATTTTCCGGCCATGCCTGATAGCGACGATGGAGCGAGTGACTCCGGTGATGAAGAGAAGGGACCTAGGAAGGAGTCTAGGCCAGGGATGCGCCGTCTTGTACCATCGCTCCTTGCGGTGTGCAAACAAATCAATCAAGAAGGCCGCGACATTCTTTACGGGAATCACTTCTACCTGGCCGATACCTTGGCGATGCACTCATTTCTTGTCGATCTGACACCGCGCGGGGCGTCGTTGCTGAAGCAAATCACCCTCATCTGTTGGGGCCAAGGCCGTGGCATCCACAAGGCATACAATCATGCTGGGTTCGCCGCTCTGGCGTCTGCGACCAATCTGGAGAAGTTCAAAGTGCACGGATATCGCGGGTGGAGCGCTGATTCGAAATCCGTGGCGAGGACGTTCTATCGCGACGCATTTCCTTGGTTGGAAGCCGTTGGAGCCGCTAAAGGGAAGCTCGATGCAGCCGTCGATATCATTGAGGTACGTGTCTCCTTGGGAAACCCGCTTGGGAGGCTCTTGGCGGATCGAGCACAGACAGGCATGCTGTCGTGTGAGTCCCCTCTTCGATGGCTTTCGCTAATGTATATCTTCAGGTGGCATGCAACAGCTTCACAGGACAGCCAATCTGGTGGTTGAACACTCAGCGCAACGGTTCTGGAATGTACAAGGACATGGATGGATTCCGAGCAGAGCTCAACAACCTTTTGGGCGGCCGCATGAAGATGATCAAGTCTAGGCCGCGTTAGGAGAGCGGCGGCTGTCCAATTCCAGAGGCGTTTGATTCGTTTCTATCAATGATTTCCGTCCCAGGATGAATGGCGCGAACAGGGGGCGTATGCGGTATATCACAAATTGTTTTAAGGAGCTCAGGTTGATCTTCAGCTTCGAATAGCAGATTTAGCGAGTATGTATCGTGGGTTTAGGGACTATCTGCGATAAGTCTGTCCTTTTGCTGCCCTTTTCGTGTCACTTCCTAATATTCACACTGCCGGACTCTCCCACCTTCTCTCCCATTCGCGCGGTCTTGATTTGCTCTCCATGTACCTCATGGCGACGTATGCGCATCGGTCCATACATAGTGCCCCGACATCGAGCTGTTATCGAAACGCGCAATCTACCTCGTCTAGTCTCAGGTCTCCGGATCTATAATGTCGAGGGAGACATGGATAGCAAGCGTTCGAGCCTTGGCCCTACGGCGAAGATCTCAGTATGAATCGCTCACTGCCGTCTCTGCGAGTGCTGGAAGCTTCATAAGGCTAGGCGCTTTCCCGATGCGGGTCGACGATAGGCGGTTGTGCCAATCGGCCAACGACATTGCGCGCCGGCATGAATCTTGCGCTCGATGCAGAAATGATACGACGAAGCTGGATATCTCAGTTTATCCTCGCAGTGGGCGAGATGCTCGCCAATCCCCGGTCGTGCAGGGGCTCGGCGCGCGCCCCGAGCTGTGCGCCGATGTTCATGTGAAGGTGCATGCCGCCAACGGCTAGCCGCAGCGCCACCGGCAAGCGACCCGTCACGTCTGCATCGTCACTAGCCCATCCAAGTCCGCCCAGCTCTCCAATGACTTCGATTCGCACCACCTGCGGCCGCCATGAGCAACGGCAGAAGCCATGCGTCCTGGCTTGTCGAGTCTCAGCTTCTTTTAACTCCGTCACCCGCCCTCGCAGCCGCCATCCTGACATGTGGACCCTAACGTGACGGCGTCCTCCAAGCTTCCCCCACCGCCGACAGCGCTTCTGCAAGTCACTCTTCCTGACCACCGAGCTGCAGCAGCTTGCATACACGCCCCGTAGCCGCTGTATCCGCCTTCCGCTCCCGCAGGCAGTCGCATTGCGCGCCGCGTGCAATTCGCTGCCGCGACTTTCACAGCTTACCGTATCCGCAGTCTCGAGCGTTCACAGGCAACCACGTAGCGGCGACCCGCAGCAGACGCCCGCCCGCCATGCCCGCAGACTCGCACTTCCAGTCGCCCTTCCAGTCTCCGAACGCAATCCCACCCCGCACCAGCTCCCACGGCATCGTAAACGGCGTCAAGAACAAGTCGTCAACCGTTCTGCGCCCGCTCTCAGAAATCGACTGGATGAGCCAGAGCAAGAAGAGCAAGCTCTACCACAGCCCCTCTGCCCCGCTCAGAGAGTCAAGTCTGCACTACACCATGAACCCACAGGCGACTACTCCCCACGCATACCCGACGCCCATGTCGTCCTCTTCCCCGCCGCCGGACCCTCTCAAGGGCGTCGGCGATGAACTGATATATGGACACCGGCACAGATGGACGGAAGAGAAGGAGCGCATATTGCTGGGCCCGTATGACTATCTAGTAGGGCATCCAGGCAAGGACATCCGCAGCCAGTGCATCGCCGCGTTTAACCAGTGGCTGAGGGTCCCGCCGGAGAGGTTGACAGTGATTACCCGCGTGGTCGGGATGTTGCATACAGCATCGCTATTGTATGGTTCCGCCAATTCTCCGACTGGCTCATCTACCCGCAGCTGACGCCGTGCAACAGAGTCGACGATGTGGAAGACAACTCGCTCCTCCGCCGCGGCATTCCGGTCGCCAATAGCATTTTCGGCGTTGCGCAAACCATCAACTCGGCCAATTATGTCTACTTCAAGGCGCTGCAAGAGTTGATGATTATGGGCAATCCTAAGTTGGTCGAAATCTTCACGGAAGAGCTGTTGAATCTCCATCGAGGCCAGGGCATGGATCTCTATTGGAGGGACAGTCTGACGTGCCCGAGCGAAGCAGACTACCTGGAGATGGTGGACAACAAGACGGGCGGCTTGTTCCGGCTGGCGATCAAGCTCATGCAGGCGGAAAGCGCCGTCAACATGTACGTTTCGCTTCCTCAGTTCTCCTATCGCTTCCGCTTACTGATCCCACCCAGCGACTGCTCTCCCGTCGTCTCAACCGTGGGCCTCCTCTTCCAGATCCTCGACGACCACCTCAACCTGTCCTCGACCTCCGGTTACTCCTCGCTCAAGGGCATGTGCGAGGATCTCACAGAAGGCAAATTCTCTTTCCCTGTCATCCACGCCATTCGCGCCGACCCCTCCAACCTTGTCCTTATCAACATCCTCAAGCAGAAGACGACTGATGAGGAAGTGAAGCGTTACGCCGTGCGCTATCTTGAAGAGAAGGGTAGCTTTGAGTACTCGAAGAAGGTCATTGGCGAGCTCAGACTGAAGGCTGAAGCGCTCATCCACGAAATTGAACGGGGCCTAGGCCAGGACGGCGTGGAAGGAGCGGATGCATTGAGGGCTGTACTTGCAAGGCTCGTGCTGCGATGACCGCTTTAGTCTATCTGTGCCTTCTTGACGAGCGTTGAGTAAGGCATTTGCACGTTGCATGGGTGTTACGTTTCACGAAGTTCCGACATTCATGTCTCTCTTTACTACTCGGCATATATTGCATTGGCGCCTCTGCGGTGGGCTATCTTTTCAGCGGGCATAGAAGAATGGCTACCTTGATCGCTGATGAGCGGTTGGATGCGATATTTAGTTAGATATACCAGAACATCAACAGTGACGATGGCTCTGTCACTTCTCATATTAGAGCTGCGAACCTCTCATCTATCCCTCAAGCGTATTTCTCCGGCTCTTCTCAGGCCTTTGCTCCCTCCCCAGCGTGACCTCCAAGGCTTGAATCAACGCTTTCTCATCATACCTAACAAAGCTCTCCCCTTCCACCCGCCTCCCATAGACCTTGATCGTCTCAATCCCAACCTCATTTAGCGCCTCTTTATCCACTCTCGGCGTCCCCGGTCCCGTTAGATGTATCAAATGCGTCACATAAGCGCCATACTCATGCTTCCCGGCCTCTCCCACGAAACTTCTGCTCTCTGCGCCGGCTTTAGCGATCGCGGCGACGAAGTCCATGGCGGAGAAAGGGGAAGAGGAGGGGCCTGTTTCGCGGTCGGTGGTCGAGTTGAGGATGAGGATTTTGTAGCGTATGGCGGGATTCGCAATGGCGTCGCCGACGCCTTTGAGGATGAGGGAGGGGATGAGAGATGTGTAGAGGGAGCCGATGCTGTAGATGACTGCTTGGGTTTCTCTGAGAGCATTGATGACTATTGGATTCGCGGCGAGGCGGATTTCTTGGCCGTAGGGGTTGATGTACCATAGTCGTTCTATCCGGGCGGGGAGGTCGTCTTCGTCTGCTTTGGAGAAGTTGATGTATTGCTTTCTTAGCGTGGGGAGGGATCCGGGGAGATTTGCATCCTCGATGGCATCGTGGTACTCCGTATCTTCGTCTTTGGATGGGGCTGCGTTGTCCAAAGCCGTGGTTACTGAGGGATGCGAGATGGAGTTCTGGCCGGTGATGACCATACCGTTAGCGAGGCCCGCGGAGATGTGGTGCGTAAAGTTTGTGTTTATGGCGGGCAGGACTGAGGTGTGGTTAGGTACTGAGCACACGCTTGAGAGAAGGTAGATAGCCGATTCGAAGGAGCCCGTAAAGAGGCGAGCGCTGGAATGCTGTTAGCGATGGAGTATTAGAAGTGGGAGTAGGGAGACATGATATCAAAGAATCAGCACCGGATGAGTCGAAAGCTCATGAGACCCAATGCAAAGTAGTGACGTGCAGAAGAGTGGTGTGGGAAGTTGAAAACAATTTGATAGAGCAATGAAAGCAGACAAGGCGCTCACCCTGTCAGAAATAGATTCCCAATGCTTGCACCGGAAAAGTCGAACGTGGAGCTCGGCCTGCGCCTCTTCAAGATCTCAAAGTTGACCAGATTGAGAATGGCTCGGATGAGCTCTTTCTTCGCTGTTGTTATATTGGTCCAAAGAGAATGGTCCGCTTCGACGATGTGCAGCCATTCCAGCTTTGCCGCATCCCTGTCTTTCGGAAGTCTATGGTTGAAGAAGACCTTGATAGCGGCTTTCTCGCTGTCGTCGTGATCGGGGTCATCTGGGATGAGACGGACGAGACGACCTGAAGGTTGCATGTGAGTCAGAGTCGGATCGACCAAACCAATGACGATACTTGAATATATGTCCACATACTTCGTACATCACCGATACCTAATCTGCATCAGTCGATCTGTTTGCGGAGCTTTCATGCTATCCATACCAGGCCCTCCGAACACCCTTATCAACTCAGACGAGCTCCCGCCATTGTCACTGATCGGGATAACATAGCTTAGATGGCACTTCTTATTCTCTCTGACAGTCTTGAAAACATCAACGAGGTTGTTGGCAGCGCTACCGCCGGAGAAAACAACTATGCCTTTCCGCTTGCCGTTATTCATGACCGGCGTTGGCGTGCTGCTGCCGGTGAGGGAGAAAAAGGATTCCGCAGGCATGATGACGTAGGTTAGGAAGGTCGACCGCAATGGGTCGCGAAGTATTATAGCTCAGGGCATGATGGGATATGGACAGAGTGTTCACTTGGGTTGGGCTGTTCTTTCACGGGATAAATTTAGGAGAGGGAGGAGTCATAGGAAAGACGCCAACTTGGGGTTACCGGATTCGGTCAGCTTCTTAGCTGATGCAACATTGGGGTATCATGCGCCACATCAGCCCCCAGAGCTCCATATTATCAGATACGTCGGGATTGGTAATCTTGCAGTGTTTGAAGCCGATTTTGTGGATTGAGGATTTTGTACAGAATGAGTCCTCGGCTCGAAAGGAGTCGTGAAGTACATTGCTCTCCCCTCCTCTGCCCCCGCACCACGTCCGTCTCATCCTCCCAATATTCCAGCAAGCGAATATAGGAGATGCCAGCTCAGATCTATCCCGCCATGCCAAATCGACGCGTGTTGCAGCTAGGATGGCGCACCGTGTCCTTGCCGCCTCTCCAAGCCAAACTCCATTCCTCTCCGGTATTATGATTCCTGTGCCGCAGCCGCCTCCTCGCGCTCCTTCCTCCGTGCCCGCTTCTCCAGCAGACTGTCTCGTCGGTCGGCCAGTATCTTGTATTGTCGCTGCTCGACGCCCATGAGCCAGTAGCCGAAGCTGCCGCCGATGCCTGCGTAGACGGGGTACACCCAGAGCGATTCCCTGTTGAAGAGCGGCCGCATTTCAATGCCGAGCTGCCATAGTCGCACGCCGACGCCTATATAGAGCCATGGTTGTTAGTAGGCAGCTCTAGCGGTAGTCCGAGATGAAGCTCGGAGGGGTGGTGAGAGATTTACCGAGTCCGCTCCAGAAGAGCACCTTGTGAACCATTGTGAGCGCCCGAGAGTAGGTGCGGATGCGTGGAGATGTGCGGAGACTGCGATTGAGGGGAGGCAGTGTGTATCGCGATAGCAAAAGGGGCAGGGTGTGTTGTGGTTCGCGTCTTGGTGGCCCTGCCGGGATGAGGCCTGGGTTGGTGAAGCTCAGATCTGAGCCGAGAGACGATCACGTGCATGCCAAGACACCAACGTCAGGAACGCTTCCCCGGCGAAAACGAAAGCCAAACTCTTGATCTGCAAGTACCAATCTCTATTCAACATTATTCAATCGCCTCTCGTTTGGACCGCACGCGAGCTCTCGCCGCTCTCCGGCGACACTTTGGTCGCTGCCGATCGCTGCAAGGAGAGCTCCCGAGCGCGGCGTTACGCCGACAGATTTCCCGGCCCCTGCGTCGCTGGTCGCAACGCCTGCATCGTGAACTTTCTCAACCATCCCCCGATTCTACACACAACACTCGTCCGCCATGGCGGACGTCAGCCGCAAGCGCTCGCTCGACGGCGACGACTCTGGCCCTTTTGCGCGGAAGAAGATGAAGCCCTCCGACCTTCCCCTCACGCAGGCCCAGCGAGTTACCATCGACAACTTGGTCCATACCTTTCGCAAGAAGGGCGAATATGATGCTTTGCGCAGACTCGTCATGTCGCAATATGATGCGGATGTAAGTACTGTATCTATCCCCATGCTGGATAAGGCAGTAATTGCTCATGCTGAACATTCGTAGCCCGCCAAACCCGCGTTACTCTCGTCTCTGGAAGAGCTTGTCGACCGCGAGACCGATCGCAACCCCTCTCTACTGTCCAAAGACCCCCGAATAGCTGCGACACTGCTAGAAGGAGCTGGAGAACGCAGCGATATCTACAAGCCCGTCCACGAAACCGTTGCAGCGATGATTAGCCAGTTGATGGACACTCAAGGTCTTTCTAAAATGCGCGAATATCGAGTCAAGGAAGTGGGAGAGGACGCCGCCGCCGAAGAGGAGAAACGCGGAAGCAAAAGCGAGGAAGACTGGGCTAGAGAGGCAGAGGAGCGGCGACAAGAGCGAGCAATCGCACGAGAGAAAGAGCTGGAGAAGGAGCGTGAGAGAGAGCGAGAAGAGAAGCAAAGAAGAGAGGAGCGCCGTCGCCGTGAGCGCGAAGAAGACGAGGCTCGTGAGAAGGCACGCCAAGAACGTGAGGAGCGGAGACGCAAGGAACGAGAGGAGCGTGACAAGGACGAGGAAGAGCGTAGACGTCTAGACAGGGATCGCATTGAGAAGGAAAAGGAGGAAAGGCGCGCTCGACGTAAGCGGGAAGACGAAGAGAGGGAAGCTGAGCGAGAAGCTCGCCTCAAGAGGATACGTGAAGAAGACCGCGAACGAGAACGGCGGTTTGAGCTCGAGCGCGAACGTCACCGAAGCAGCCGAGCTCGCAGCAGAACCCCAGATCGTGATAGAGAAAAGGAGAGGGATCGCGACAGGGGCAGGCGCAGGAGCCGGACCAAATCCCCCGAGCCGGTCAAACCACTCAAGCCTGAAGACATCAAGGTCGATGACGACTTAGCGCTCCAGTTACTTCTCCAGGAGAGCGAAGAGATGAAGAAATCACGAAAGAGACCCGTCCTTGAGCGATCCGAATCTTTGGAACCACCTTCACGGAAAGCGCAACCCCCAAAATCGCTCGTTCCACGAGACCCAGTTGCCGCCCGGCTCGCAGCTATCGGGAGCAAAGCTCAGTCACCGGCAAATAAGTCACCCAGCAAACAAGATGCCAAATCAGCCGCCTCCCCCGCCGCTGCCACAACGCCCACGATCGCTGCCAAGGACGAAGACACAATTATGGATGATGCCCCGCCGGTCAAGTCCCCTGAACCACCCCGGAGGTCGAGATGGGACCAGCCGCCGCCATCTATCGTTGAGGAGAAGCCTCGCGGTCGTTCGCGATCCCGCAGTGTCAGCGTCCGAAATCGCAGTCGAAGCCGTTCCCGTTCACGGGGTAGCCGCTACGATAGACGAGCTTCCCGTATGGAAGAAGACCGCCGATCTCGACGAGATGACGATCGATACTCCTACAGGGGTCGCGATGACAGCAGGCGCCGAGATAAAGACGACCGCGACGATAGGCGTTCGCGGCGTGCCGAGCGGGACCGAGAATCGCGACATAGCCGCAGTCCGTCTAGGGAGACATACTCCAGTCGCCGCAAATCCCGCTATGAGTCTCGTAGTCGATCGGTCCATGATCGTAGGAGAGATAGGCATCGCTCCCGCTCACGCTCCCGCTCCCGTGGAGCTCGTCGATATCGCGATCGCTCACCGCCGCCTCGGCGCCGCCATCGCACACGCTCCAGGAGCCCAGATGGCATCGACCGTTATGTTCCTGGTGGAGCTGCTGCAGTTGCTGCGGCTAGTCGCAAACGTGAAGACACCCCCGAGAGAAGCTATCGATCGCGAGATTACGACCGCTGGGATGGCGATAGGGGTGGTAGAAGCCGGCTGGCAGACTCGGACCGCTATCTGCCTGGTCGCGAGTCTACCGATGATGACCGAGATCGCGATAGGGACCGCGACAGGGACAGGGACCGCCACCGCGACCGGGATCGCGATACTCGGAGACGCGATCGCAGCAGATCCAGGAGCCGCACGCGGAGAAGGAGCCGGAGCCGTAGTCGAGAGCGCCGCCGGTAGACGTGTGGTTGTTCAACTTAGATCAGTGTATGACTATTACTTTCTTTTGCACGGCCGCTCCAGCGACGTACGGCCTACTTTCAAGGGGCTGGAACAAGGGATGCGCAGTATCCTAACAGCGGCGGCCACGCTCGGCCTTTTCGCGTTATGTTTCTTCTAATACGGCGAAAGCATGCGCTGCTACTTAGCTTTTACATCCTTGCGATAGCCGTAGTCAAAACCGTACTGTTTAATTGGATATGTATTCACCTCACTGGGGTTAGAAGCCGGTCAGAGAGCATCCTAGTTTGACGCTATGGTATCTGCTACATCGCGACTGCACGCTTCGCTCTCCATATTCAATGAGCCGTGACACATATCGAAGAGCTCGGCCTCGCATGACGAATACATCTAGGCAGATACCTTGATGGGGCATCCTGTTGCGCTTTATTTCAATGGAGAGAGTTTGACCCAAAGCGCTGCAGCTGTTCTCAATGATAGATAGATCCCTACCCCTTCCCTCCCTAGACGCGCGCTGTGCAGAGAGAAACTCTACGCTCTCTCTATCTCTATCCCTTCCGTAGCACTGGCATCTGCCTTTTTGCGGCACCACCGGGAGCGCGTCATTCTCGCCAAGCCATATGCACGAATACGGCTACGGCTAGCAATGGCAAGAACGCAGATGAGACATAGACGCGGTTTTTCGTCTCTCTCGCTGTCTGTCTGCCGGGTTACGTAGAGTCGCTTTGGAACTGCGATTGTGCTAATCCCGTGTTCTAGACTTTAGAGCAGAATGCATGGAGTGAAATGAATGAGCGGCCAATCAATCCGGGCCCAGAACCCGCATGGGGAGAGCTGCTGTGCTATCCACTACCAACTAGGTACTGTTGAGTCTTGGTTGCTGAGGTGGTGGATACTCTGGTAGTAGAACCGACGCCCGGGCAGGCAAGCAAGCAAGCAGACACGGTATTCGAACACCGAACAGACTACATTTCCCCATCTACATCCTTCGCATCATCACAAGCACAGCCTATATATAGCCACACGCGATTTTCTCATTGGAATCCAAGCTGCTGCTCCAGCGCAGCATTAACATATTATACAAGATAAACGCTCGACAGCTTTCAAAGTATTGTGCTGCAACGCCACGCACGGCAGCCCTAGGTTCCAGTCAATTCCTCCAAATGAAAAAGGGGGTATGAGAAAGGCGAGACATCTTTATGTGAGACATCTCGTCAAGACTGAAGGCAAATAGCGTATGCAACCTGGACCCAAACGAATGGCGACCCCTTCTTTTTCGCTTCCTGCATGATAAATCGAGCCTGCGGGAATCACAACTCAAACCCCCGATGCAATTGCATTACCAACAAAAGAAAAGGCACAGGAGGCGGTATCGAGGTCATACGGTCATGTCTTGGAAAGGGATCGTGGGGGAAAAGAAAGCAACGAAAAGAAGATGGAAGCCTGGGTATGGTTGGTTGCAAAGGAATCGAAATCATGGAAGAAGTAGCAGGCCGTGTCTAAGCAATTAAAGAAGACGATACTTTGAATGTTGAAGAGAGATTATTGTCCTTGGTTGTAGGCGACCCAGGCGTCGTGTGCTTCCCGCAGTACTGAAGACCGGTTAGCGAGCACAATGTGAAGAAGGGTATGAATTTGCTTACTCTGGAGAACCTGGGCCTGAGCAATAAAAGTCTCACAAGCGCACTGTAGGGTCCGCCCGTCGACGAAGTCGAATACGACACTGTTAGGTAGTTCTTGTCTATCCGGGTCCGGTGCATACGGCGTCCGGAATTCGGTCAGGTGGAAGCGCTTGATGATGCCTTTCGATTGCTGTCGCCGACATTAGTATTATGCTCTTTATGCAGGAGCAGCCCAGAGACAAACCTCGTTCGATCTAGAGAGACTTAGGACTAGATTTCCCATGGTGTCAACCTCCACCCATCTCCGTTTCCATAGCTATATTGCAAGTTAGTGTGGTCAAAATACGTGGCAGCTGGAATTCAGACTTACCAGGGTATCCGGGAATTGGATGTTGAGGTCACCAACCTGGACAGGTGGTGGAGGTTCGCGAAGCGAGGGTAGAGTGGACAAAAAGTCCTCTTCGGGAAGGGTTGCGCTGGCGGCCGAGTTCTTCCGAGAGATCGAGGAGATGGACGACATACGCTTGAACAATTTACTCGTCCTAGAGTCTTTCTTCTCCTTCTTCTCCTCGCGCTTCTCGTCGCCACTCTCGAAGCTGTAAATGGACATACTGCGTGGAGGTGCTCCGGGTGATCTTGACTCGCTAAGTCGACGACCGAATGACCGCCAACTGCTTTCAGAAGATGATCGAGGGAGCGCGGAAGAGCTTGCTTCTCTGGAATGAGACGATGAAGGAGGCCTCGGAGACGTGGGTTCGGCCTTCGTGGGGCTATGCTTCGTGCTAGAGGGCGGCCGCATCAACCTTTGGTGATCGATGATGATCGGGCTCTGATGCAGCTCCAGCGGGGTGTTTTCGGTCGGCATCGTCAAGGTAGGCTTCTGAACTCGCGCGTCTCGTACGATGCGGGCCGTGACTTGGACAGATTCGGGCTTCTGGGACCCTTTCTGCTTGTTGTACACCGTTGGCTGATTCAGTTCGATAGTCTTGGGCGGTGGCTGCAACACAGGCTTTTTGTTAGGCGTTGGTGAAGTGGCTCTATTGGCAAAGGAAGCACGACTAAGACGCTGAATGGGCTTCCCTTCTGGGGAGTTTCCAGAGGGGGGTGTTGAGAAGAATGACGATTTGCGTTGGGCAACAATCGAATTACTGGCGTCGGGCGTCGCAACTGGACTTACTGAAGCTGACGAGTCCCTGTTGGATTTCTCTGCAAGGGCCTTGATTCTCTGTGAGATGCCTGATGAGACGTTGATCTTCTTCGCCGTCACCACGGTATCCGTGTTGGCATGGGTTAGCCAAGGTCCGGAGGATTTGCGGGAGCTAGGCTGCTCTGGCGTGAGGCGACCAGGTTTGATATACTGCTGCGATGATGACCTTTCGAGGATGGAATATTCGGATACGGACGCTTTCCGAGGAAAGAAAGGCGTTATGGGCGACTTGGAAACGGATATTGGCTTGGCTTCCTCCAGCTTCGCGCTCTGCAATTCCTCCATGAAGGAATCATCAGACAGGTACTCGGCTTCGGAATTTTCAGCGCTTAGATGGACCGGATCGATCACAGCGCGGCGCTTGTCCTTGCCCTCCAGGAAGCTTTGGCCTATCGGTGCTGTCAGAATCATAGACTCCCTTTTCTGTTTCCTGCTTTGCGCCTCATCCTGTCCTGGGGTCTCAGGTAGTGGCATGTATATCATGGATTCTCGGTTGGACTTCCTCCGCGATCGCGGATCTTCCGGATCGGTTGGCGGCATAAGGACCATGGATTCTCTCTTGCTTCTCCGGGATAAAAAAGCATCTGAATCAGGGGTAGGGGTCAACGTCGCTGGTGCTGGTTCTTCGGGCTGGCTTGAGATCTTCACCGAAGGGACAGGCGTCCGATTTTCTGGGACGACCGTCGGGGAGCTTTCGATGGAGTCTTCTTCATCCTCCTTTTCGGACGACCCTGTGGGTTTCTCATCTCCTGCTCCCAAGCTCGTTTCGGTGTCGACAGGCTTCGTCTCGTCTGCAGGTGCATGGTGATCATCTTCCGATATCGAGGAAGGCCTTGTGGAGGGGGCGCAGGATGATCCCTGAGTTTGCGCAGATGTCGGCGAAGAAGCGGAAGCAGCAGAATGTAGGTCATCCGTCTCCGTCTGGGCGGCGGTCACTTCCGCGCTCTGGTCTTCCTGACCAGACGGGGGTTTGGTTTCGTCAGTAATTAAGCCTCCCTGGTTTGACGCAATCTCCTCGACTACATCCTGCGAGGTTGCTGGCTCCACCTCGGACTTAGAGGCGGTGCGGTCCTCCTCCACTTGCGCCGTTTGCTCGGGAGAGCTCTTCTCGGCCGGTATCTCAGAGTCCTTAGCTTCGGCCCCAGCGCCAGTATCCGCACTCTCAGCCGCGGCCTCAGCTGCTTTCGCTTCCCTCTCTTTCAGAGCCTTCATTTGTTTCTTCCGCAGCTCCAAAGCCTTCATCAACCTCTGTTTTTCTGGCGTAATGCCTGTGGACCTGTGGTTGCGGCTACTGTGTGCATTGATAGGCATGGACTTGACGCTGGCCGGACCCTTCGGTAGATAGGACGGTGAGGAGGGCATGTCGGGGATAGCAGGAACGGGAGGTGGCGCAGAGAAAGCGATGCTGGGTACAATGCTGGTGTCTCTCGACTTTGGGCGTTTCGGCTCCGCCTTTTTCCGATTTCCAGCTCGTAGCCCTGGCGGCAAGGACGAGACGGGCCTTGATGCGCCTTGAACGCCATCACCAGAAGTATGGGGGCGCTTGATATCCAGTGATTGCTTTGGCCTCGGGCCCAGCTTCACCTTGGGCTTGCTATATTGCGCATAAATCTCGGCGTACAGGTCGGCGAGGGCTGGTCGTGCGGTCTGAGAGGACATGCGCGGATCGGGGCCATGCTCGAACAGTGAGTCGTAATTCTTGAAGCTGTCTCTGTGGCTTGCTGCCTTGGGATCCACCTGCTCCTTTGTCTCCGTCACCGTCTCAATCGTTACGTGGGACAGCTCAGGCGTGCCTTTGGTGCCCTCCGCGGCTTTTGTCTCTTGTGCCGCTGTAGCAGTATTTGTCCCCTCTGCATCTTCGCTCTTCGCAGCGGGCTCCACAATCACCGGTTTAGACGACGCGGCGGTCACTGGTCTTGCTGTCTCGGCGGAATCACCTGCGTTACTCTGCCCTTCCTCGGCATCTTCTGTAATCTCGTCCAGCTTGTGGCGCTTCGACGAGCCGCTGGAGGAGCAGCTCGACGGCGCGGCGGTGTGCAGGGAGCACGCAGAAGTGAGGGCGGCGTCGCTGAGCTCTTCGGCGGTAGTAACAGAGATTATGGAGTCGTGCGGGGTGAACTTTTCGGTGACAGCTGTGAAATGAACGGCAACGCGGGCTGTTGCATATGTCAGTGCCACTACAGCGCAGCATTGGGGGCCGACCTGCCTTGTAGTAGCCGCGACGTCCCCTCGGGCACATATTTGATCAAGACCTTGCGCCGGCGGTATAGCAAGAAGCCGTACAGCGGCGACCTCTCCTCGTAGTGCGCGATGGCGCCGCGAGCCTCTGCTGCTCCGCCGGTGCCGCGGGTGAGCACGTCGACCTCGTCTCGTGAAGCGTACTTGAGCAGGAACCTGTGCACGCGGTATTAGCATCGTAAAATTGATATTGCGGTGTGCGAGGTGTGTGTTACCATCCTCCCGCCTCGGCGAGGGCGCCCTGGTACGCTTCGGCTACCTTGACATCGTCGAGCCCGTTCAGAGACATTGCGGGCGCGGCGGCGACGGCAGACGGCAGGCAGGTTGCTCCCTCTCAGCGCCTTGGAGCGGCCTTCAAGAGGTCTTCGTCGGCGGCGGATCGAGAGTTGACGTTGGGGGACTGTGCGCGGCCGTCAGGGGTATGTTGCAGGACAGGACGGCCTCGTTGGCGGAGGGTCAGACGGGGGTGGAGCGGACCATCTGTTCCGGCGGTAGCGACGATACGAAAGGCAGACTCCAGCGGCGTGCAGTCAGTCAGTCTGTCTTTCACTGTGCGCCGGGCACGAGCAGCGAGCGTGAGGGGCAGCAATAACGGCTGTCTGTGAGGGTTCAGGTACGCGCAGGGAGTTTTGTTTCAGCTCCGCCAAGGCTCTGGTAGCTCCACACATGGCGTCGGCCATCGACGCGGCCCGCGAGTAAGAAGAAATTCCCCTCGCACTGCACACACATGCACAGTCCTTCCGAGCCGCCAGCGCCATGCGAGCCATCGGACTGTACGCGCGCGTTACGAGCAGCCTCGCACTAGCATACGACTTCACGCCTGCGTGGAGCCCACGGTTGGGGAGCCGGAGCGCTGTGGGACTAGCACACCTCGACGACGTCTTCGACGGGGGGAAATAAGAACGCGTCAGGCGCTCTCACTTGAAGCGCGCAAAGTCGCGACAACCTGGAATGCGTCCGCCACCTCCAAGCATACCAGGAATGTGATTCGAACTTGCAATCCCTCGCTCCCCATGAGCTTCCAACCCAAGGCCTGCCCCGCGTTCCGCAACAGCAGCCCTGCCAGTAAATTGGCACTCTGCTCCGCCACCACCATGAAGCTCCAATCACCCGCAAACAGCGCCTGCACACCTTACTTCATGTCTTGGAGCTAGCGGCTGATCGCCCTCCGTCATGCACGATGGACTCGGCAGCGCTCTGACTTTCTTTTGACGTCCCGGGCTTCCGTCCCAAGCAATCATCAACCGCCATCTTCGAGCACCCGAGCATCCTTTGCAGCAATAGCAGCGTCGCTTTCAAAACATCGCATTCTCATCCAGCAAGCTCATAATCTGCTGATTCCCGTAATACCAATCACTCAGCTCGCTCCCTTGAACCCCACCCACATCCAATATCCCGGTCCCTACCTCCATCCCGAAGTCCAACTCGCCCAAGGAATCTGGTAGATTGTAGAGCAAGGTTGGGTCTGCGGTGAGCGAAGACGTAGCGTTGGAATCGAAGTAGAGCCGCCCAGCCTGGCAGAGTAGCTCATACAGTCGGTATGGGTGTGTGATCGAAGACTCTGGCGAAGCAGACTCGTCAGGCTGCAGCGAGGCTGCGAAGCGATCTAGACGGGCTAGGTCGGTGGCATCTAGAACCTGGACGGCGCGGGTAAACAGGATGCTGAACGGGACGAAGGGGCAGTGCAGAATCGCCCTGTTCGATGTAGCAGTCAGTTTAGAAAGTTGGTGACGGGATGCCATTGGTCAGCTCACCAATTAATATATCTCGTCACCATGAACGAGTCATTCTTGCAGGCCCGTACATCCCTCATACACTGATCGTGTATGTCCAAAGCATCGCGAGCAGCCGCAACACACTCGTCCAAAACGCCGCCTAGGGAGTTCGCAGCCATTGGAATGGCCCTAAGTATCAAGCAGAGCAACGAAGATTCGCAAATCAGGTCGCACCGCAGATACACGACTCGCATCGGATCCGTTGCGACGTCGCCGGGGTGGTTGATGGCATCCTGCGACAGGCCGTCAGCGAAATCAGGGATGAGTGAAAGCATTGAAGGCATACTGAAATCTCGCCGTTCAATTCGTGGATCAGTGCTCGCAGCTCTCCAGCGAGCGCCCCAGCGATATGTCCGCGTTCATCACCCGGTCTCGATAAGCCGGTCGGGCTGTAGAGTTGATCGTAGACCTTCCCCTGGATCCTCGCAAGCCTGACCTGCCGTGACTCTCCTGGGTAGCCAACCGGTAACGTAATCTCAGCATCGTGGATGTTAGACGATCGGCCGAGTCTATGCGACAGCCCTCTCTCCATCTTGTACATACTCCAAAAGAGACGCTCCTGAGCAGCTCGTAGAGGCCGGTCGTTCTCTCCTGAGGAGCGGAGGCGGTGATATCCCAGCGTCTGGCAAAGATTCGCGGCAGCCGAGATGAAAGTCCAGGCCGTTGTACCTTGAGAGTTTTCAATCGCGTTGTAAGTCTGTTCTTTACCATTAGCGAGCATTCCTCGTCCGCAGGTAATGAAAATACGCACCCCAAGCGTCAAAGCAGCAACGACCTCCATAGAGGCGGGTAAGAGAAGCGGGAGCCGCGAAAGAGCGCTATGGAGGTTCTTGCGACAGAGTCTGCAGTATTCGCCGTAGTCTCGACGCCCAGATACAACGACGTGCTCAAAGAATACGTAGGATAGGTAACCGTTGGCTAGGATGAAGTCGACCTCCGTGTAATCGTCAACGGCAAAGTAGACCTTTTGACAGATGTCGGTGAACTTTTGTAGAGGTAGAATCCTGGATATCCAGTCAATTCTGGTATTCGACTCGTGATCTGATGTTCGTGTTAGGGAGCTTGACTTCCATTGGTAATCAGCGACGAACCCTTAGCCCATCGCAGTACCGCGACTACAGCCTCCAAAGGAGGCATGGGAGGATTGGCCAGATCTTTCGCGAGGCCGGAATCCGGAGTTGGGCCTCGCACGGAAGCAGGCCCTTCCAAAGCCTGGACAAGGTTTCTCAATGATGAAACCATTTCGCTCGCTTCAGGCCCGTCATTTCTTAGAACTCTATCTTCGACGACAGCTTTGACAAAATCGACGATATGAGCCGAATGATTCCACAGTGTTTCACCTTCGTATGCAGAGACGGATTGATGTTCACCAGGTAGTTTCATCGAACGAGCTCGATTGAGTTGCAAAAGGGGGCTAGCTGCATGCTGTTCTTCATCTAGGGACACGTGAAGACCCTGTAAAAGAAGTTTGATGCCATCGATGTCTCTTGCAATGCCGTCGATTTTCTGTTCGCTAGATCGTTAAGACCAGATGAGTACTTCTCCTGGAGGAGTCTACGCCGGATGGGCTCACTATTGTGCTGATATCAACACCCTCTGCTTGGGACTTGGTGCATTGGATGCCACTGCGCTGTGGGTGCAGTCGAGCCTAGCGGAGGTGCAATTCGAACATGGTGACCCTCTGTCACAGCCGATCTGCGCGATGGTGATCCATTAGATTCCCATTTCTTTCTTCGACGTGCGAGATCGGAACGCATTACTTTTCGAGCACGACATTGATCACACTGATCGTCAAATTTTAGCTTGCGTCGATAGGAGAGTACCACTCTAGAGCTTACTGCGCGGCGGGCGATTGCTGGGCGGCTCTTTGAACGGCCATCGGTGTCGTGTCCGCGGAATTCCATGTTTCAGCCACGTTCTGTGATGAAAATCGGCTGCAGTGCGGTGTGGTATGGCCATCGACAGTAACACATGCTCGGAGAGCGAGGTAGGAGTGGTATTGCTAGAGATGACAAATGCAGCGATGTTGCCAGTTGAGACGGATTCGCGCGGGTTTCCGAACGCCCTTACCTAAGGTGGATTCCGGGGCCCTGATTGGCTGGCTGATGCTCATCCTCAGTCCAACTCAACGTCCGCGGGCTTCCATTGCCTGAAGGAAGTGGCCTTGCGGATTACACTCGAGGAGCCTTGGAATAGACGGCGCCCTATGCACCATGGAGTCGGACTACAAGTAGCCATGTGTCCTCTCCAGGAGTCGAGTTACTCACCACATTTCGCCTACGTCAAATCCGTTCTCAAACATTCATAATGGGCAACAATATCCTCATCACCGGTGCCGCAGGCTACATGTAGGATCCGCCCACGTCCTGATTGCCCCTAACTGATACAAGCACAGTGGCGGCTCTGTCCTTGCGAACTTCATATCTCGAACAAGCGGCCCGATCAAGGCGGCACAGATCAGCGCCGCAGTTCGATCGGAAGAGCAAGCCCAAAAGCTCTCAAAGCTGGGTGTCAATGTGATCCAAGTCGACCTCGTCGACGAAACGGCCGTGAAGGAAGCCGTGCTGCGCAATGAGAGTGCGTCGAAACCCTAGAACTGTTCGGCTAGGATGCTCACGATGTCTTAGTCGATATTGTCGTGCATACAGCAAGCGCGATAGATGGGCGAATCCCATCCCACCTGATCAAAGCCCTTGGTCAGCGTCGCAAAGTCAGTGGAGAAGAGACTTACTTCATCCATGTGAGTCTGTCTGCCATCTACTTTCCAACAATCTGTTGATTCCAAGACAGTCGTCTATAACCACGCTCTTTTCTGAAGAAGGCGGCTGGCCGTATGGGCAAGTAAGGGATACCGATACGGTTTTCGAAAAAGAGAAGGAGATAGGGGGACCGCATCCTGTTCGACAGGTGAGTCGTGCCATCTTCCTGGATCATCCCGTTGTGCAGACGCGGTTTCTCACCCTCCGCTCAGACCAATATCCTCGTTACCGAGCAAGCCAAAGCACACGGTGTTACAAGCTTCAACATCGTGGTGCCGCACGTCTGTGAGTAGTCTTGTGACTGTATCTTTGATCAATTGAACCAGTGCTGAGGCTATAATAGACGGAAGAGGCAGCGGCGAGTGGAGGAAGCTGTCCGTGAGCATCCCGGCATACGTCCGAACTAGTATGGCGCACAAGATCGTCTACAAATTCGACAAGGATGGTGTAAGCCAGCCAGAGTGACGGTAGTCTCCTAATGAAATATACTAACACCCTGATAGCACCCACCCGCAGCGCATATCTCAGACCTGATAGAGCTCTATGCTCTCCTCGTAGAGAAGATCTTGCAGAAAGAGCGGATTCCGAGCGGCGAGGAGGGCTACTACTTCGCAATGGCCCATAGGACTCCTTGGTGGGCCGCCATGGACCGCATCGCTCAGTCTTTGCATGCGCGTGGTCTTGTTGCAGAGTCCAAACCATCAATCTGGCCTAGCGACAAGATGGCGGCCGACTATCTTGGGTTTCCGGTCCTGTACGTGCGTGCGATGGGGACCTCTAGGTAAGCGCCCCTCTCCACCGGCATGGGCATGTCTAGCTGACGAGTGGCCTAGTGGGGATCTTGTACCTGTCAACGCATATCGGCTAGGATGGAAGCCGAAGTGGGACGAGGAGCAATTCCTGGCGAGCATCGACGATGAGGTCCAAGCCGTGCTGGAGCTAGACACGGTCAAGGCTACCATTTTTGACCTGCTGACCTCTGCGGATAAGTGAGGAGGCGTCTTAGAGCCCGTCAGGGCGGAATCTTAAGGATCGTCTTTCGCTTTCAATTCTATGTCCGACAATTGTTCTCTTGCTCCTTGCTGCTCTTCCGCCGCGGCGAGCGACGGGTTGTGTTCCTGTGTGGAAAGTGAGACATCTGACGTTATTTGCTTGTGTCTATGTGGATCGCGTTGCAGTCGAGCATTTGGCGAGAAAGTGAGGTCAGGAGTATTGACGCCTCGGAGGCTGCAATCGGTCCCGCGGCCCGATCCAATGGGCCGGTCGGCAGCGGCCGCTACGCCATCACTCTCAAAGTTCCACTACAACAACTCTCCCTTTCTCGACACTCGTCAAATTTTATTTAGTCTTCTCTATTATTCTCTAGCTAGACTTCGTGTACACATTCTCTCCCCGTCCCTTCCAAAACTTCCCAAATTGAATCGCGCATCCCATCCCATCACCATGACATCACTCCCCGCCATCGACTCGCTCCCACACCTCCCAGACTCCGACCTCACACAAGTCCTTGACCTCCTCTTCGAGCCGTCCCCACCACTGCACGAGCTCTCGCTCCCAGTCCTCCGCACAGCAACCTTCCCCAGCTACCACACACTAATCGTCGCCGTCAATGCGCAATTGACTGCGCTAGCGCACTCCGATAAGCCGGAGGATGTAGCGAAGCTGTCGGAGATCCTGTGCTCGCATCCGCGGCTGGGAGAGAAGAAAGTGGACAGCGAACAGAGTCGGACGGAGCAGGCACAGTTGCAGACGGGTGGAGAGGAGGAGACGGAGAAGCTAGCCGCGTTGAATCGCGAGTATGAGGCGAAGTTTCCGGGACTGAGATATGTGTAAGTGGTGTTCGCTAGCATTCTGCAAGTGCACTGGGAGCTATTGCCTTGTTGATGATGTGATTTGGTTCTGCTGGCGAAGAGAGACGCTGATTAGTCTGCAGTGTCTTCGTCAATGGCCGCTCTCGGCCCGTCATCATGGAGAATATGAGAGCCAGGATTGACCGCGGCGATATTAGAGCAGAGCGGCAAGAAGCGACTCAGGTGTGTAAGCCTCTAAGTTTCCCAATCGGACGCTAGCTCACGAGGTGCTAGGCAATGTGCGATATCGCTGATGATCGAGCTATCAAGCTCTTAAAAGCGCCTGCGAACAGCGATGATCTGCGAAATCATTTCCATTCTGGCATTCGGGGAGATTGATGGATGGGCGTGCGGGTTTAGTAGATGCGGAGTGTAGATCGATGCAGCTGTCATTACCGGAGTAAACGAAAAGTCGGTCGTGAAGGGAGAGTTTCGGACTGCTTGGATCGTGAGCGACCTTTATATTACTCTCACCGCGTCCGGGATGAACTTCTTCTTGAAGAGGGTTCACAAAAGGAATTGAACATGACAAGCGTGTAGTTCCTTAGAGTGTGATCAAATCAAGAACAGAGCAGTGTACTTTCATTTCAACCGGCCCTCCAGTCCCAGAAAAGTGAAACCATCACTCATCCTAGGCCCACGCGATGCAAAGAGACATGACCAAAGTCACTGCATGATAAAGCCAACGAATAGGGGTATACAAAGGTAAAGACAGACGCGAAAGCCCATATACCCAAAAGACCCACACACGTAAGCCACACCAACCAATTCCCCTAACGCCAATTTCCCGCAGACAAATATGGAAATGTGAGTTGGTCTCCAGTTTTTCGTTACTCCGATTGTGATGCAGCCAGCCTAGCCCAATCCGCCCGTGGATGCCAAAATTTTTTTTATGGAGCGCCGATGCGATGCGTAAACCTTCCGGATGTAGATAGATAGCAGAGACGATGCGCTGCGCAGCTTGTGGAGCGCCGTGGAATGGTGGAAACGCCGGATATCGATGTGGCGGAGGATAGGAGATTCGTACAGAGGGTATATCGTAGAGATGCGGGTGGTGTATAGCGTGGGAGGCGTGTATAGGAAGCGTGAATAGGAAGCATGAATAGGATGCGTGAGCGCCTAGCATTTGACCGAGGCGTGATAGGCGGCCCTCATGACCCGAACTGCATGAACATGAAGTTCCGCTGCCGTTCCTTCTCTTGCTCCCTGTCCCCGTCCTCCCGCCGCAGCAGCACTTCGGGGGGATCGAGGAGAGGAGACACCGGGTCCCTTCCGGTGCCCCTATCGTCCACCGTAACGGAAAAGGGTGCGAAGTTCGGCGACGACGAGGTAGGGCTCACGACCGGTTCTAAGGGAACTGAGGAAAAGTTTGGCGAAAGGGGGGCCAGGACGCCTTGGGCGGTTGCAAAAAGTGCCGGGAAGTCAGGAGACGTTGATGATAGTCGGGTCCCTCCAGAAGCCTGCGGTGGGTCGACAACGAAAGCGCTTGGCCAGACAGCGTCCGCACCGTGGTCAACCTGGTCGTAATCTCCTACGACAGGCTCGCCCGGGTCCAAGACGCTGAAGTCAGAGTAGAAGGTCTGAGGCGGCGTCTTCTCTGCTTCAGTGTCCCTCCTACTCGGACTTGCTGCAGGGGCGGAGGGCTGACGCGAGGATGTGGAGGAGTGAGCGTCCTCGCGCACCTCCGCATCGTAGTCGCCTGTCTCGTATTCGTCGTCGAGATGAGCATACGGATCTGGGATGTCGTCTTCCACGTCGAAAGCATCGTAATTAGATAGACCAAGGGGTGATGGTGGCAAAGGAAGGTACGATCTCCGCGGTGACGTGGAGCGGGGTGGCGAGTACGAATATGCGTCATTCGGTGAACGGTACTCTGCGACACCGTCCGCGTCGCGGCCGCGCAAGGGTGGCGAAGGAGAAGGGGAAGCGGTAGGAGAGCCGTCGGGAGAAGGACCTGATAGCTCGAAGTGATCTCCGCTCCTGACTGCATATGCCGGCGGGAACGAATCTCCTTTCGCCAACACAGGCCGGGTGTGCGTGTCGTGGCTGCCATATATGAAAGCCAGTTTCGCCAGCTTGAGCTGCTCCTGCTCCCTTTCTTGTTCCACCAGTACTCTTCCAAGTGACATCTCGGTCTCCCGCGCTGATATAGTCTGCCGCCTGATGCGGTTCAGGATGGCAGCCTTGCGTAGCAGATTGCGACCCAGTGCTTTCTGCTTCGCCCACACTGCAATCTTAGAGCTTCCTCGGTCCACGATGTTGGTAGCCGGGTGCGAGAACTGAGGAGACAGCCGAGACGTTATGAGGAACAGCCTCAGCCTCCGCTTCTTCTTGTGTAGAGACGAATGTTCACCGTCCACGTCTGCGGCCGCTCGACAACGCTTCCTCGGCCGGGGAGGGGACGGCCGGGATGGAAAGGAGAGAGCCATCTCGGGCTGGTGTGCTATCCGGAAAATGAATACAGGGTCCGCTGTATCATGTGATGGAAAGGTGAAACTGATATGCTGGCTCGAAATCGGTGGTGTAGACGCGAAGGGCGATGTCATCGTCCTCGGGCGGCCCGCTTCCTTCGTCGTCGGCTGGGGAGCGTTGAGGTGGAAGCCCGACTCGACATACTCGCTCCGCTTGTCTGTCGTATGACACAGAGATCCGGGCGTCAGAGGAGGAGACAGCACGCCAAGCCGTTGTTGTACATCGGGACGAAACCCAGCCAGAAGTAGGTGCGGATGCGGCGGGAAAGCTAGCAATTGGCGTGGATCGGAGGGAGTGCTTGACTCGCAGCCTACAGGCAGGCTACAAGGACGCCGAGAAAGCATGTAATAGCAATGCCCCTCAAGGCATCACGAGACCCGTGTTTCCAAGCCCGAGTGCCGGATTAAATGAAAGACGGAACGTGGTGTCGGCACATGTGGGCCGTTGGGAGCGGACGATGGCTGGAGGCGTCCAGGAGATGTGATGAAGGGAGGAGTGAATTAGTGAATTAGTGACTTTAGGTGGAGGCGCCTAATAATAATATCTCTCAGCAAGTGGGCATCATTCTTGTCTGATGACCCGAAGCTTTGGGCAGTGCGGAGAAGAACCTGGCACCCCAGATGCAAGCCTGTCCGCAGCCCGCCCTGTGCGCGTGCCTCGAAGACCCTTGGTCTGCGAGTCACCCTCCCATTGGAGCACACCACGAAGCCGCATGTTCCCCATAAGAAGACGCAGGATCGAGCGTTGGCAAAATCTGCAGAGTCTGACATTTCCTCGCCATCTGTGAGGCTACAGGCACGTCGAGGCGACGAAAAGTGCAACCACTGACGTCGATCGCGCAGTGCGCACGCGAGCGGCCCCGTTTCGAGGGCAAGGAGAAAAGGAGAAGAGCGCTCCAGACGGCACCGTGACGGCGCGGAGAAAATCTCCAAGTGATCGAATGTGCGAATAGAAATGAGGCTGGCAGGGCCCAGGGTCCACGACGTTCGAGCAACCCAGGTCCTCACGTCTCTCGAAGCGGAAACGCGTTGCGACTGAGGCTGTGATCGACGAAGAGTTTTCCCTCGCTCCTCCAACGAGAGTGCCGGAATTTCTGCGCCTCGTACTACTTGTTCTTGACGACAGTCAGCCTCCTGCCGTGACGTTTCCGCGCTGCGAGGGCTGTTTTCTTCTTCTGCTCCCAAGGGCAGCGAGCATCGTCATGCAGGCCCTGCGAGGGAGCGGATGATGGCCCGCGACCCAGTTTTGATCAGCCTGGCCCTGAGAATCTGGAGCCTCCGATGTCCAGGGACTGGCTTCTGCGCTTCTGGATCAGATCGCCCCGGCTCTCCACCCTGTCGAGTAACGTTTTGCATGCGAGCGGGACTGTTTGAACAAAAGCAGTACTTGCCCCCATTTCCTCGCAATGCCTCGAAGCTTCACTTTCGCTCAAATCCTGCTGTTCAGGAATCGGTGTGCGAGAAGCCCTTGCAACGGCCACAGTCACAGCAGTCTGTCACACTCGAAGAATCCATCGCGATGCTACCCCCGCTGGTCGGTTGCCTTGTGACGTCTAGCCCAACCGCTGAGAGCTCTCGGTGCCTGACAGCTGTCAGACTGTGAGTGAAATAAAAATTTTCACTGCCGTTTGCGGATTACGAAGCGTTGCACGCTGGCATCCGGCGCAGCGTTGGCTCTCGAGCGGGGATAGCCTCCCAATCGTTCACTCTGCTGACCGCCGCCAATCCGTTCGACGTCTGCGAGTGGTGAGTAGTACCTTTGATGCTGTACGACACCCGGGTCCTTCAACCTTCTCCGCACCGGAGGCGCACTGCTACGTGCGACATCGCTCTGACCTGCATTGTGGAGTAAAGCTCCCGCTCCACTCGACGCCGTGCATCGTGTGTTGAAACGCCCCCGGTGGCATTCTTTTACGTATTGCGTGCTTCGCTGTCGTGTCTCGCAGAGGTTGCACCACGACGTCGTCGCTGAGTGGTCTGGAGCCTGTCCGTCACCACCGGTCACGAGACTCTAGCGTTCACATCGCGCATCGGCGCACTCCACCACCCTCCGGGGTCGTTGCCTCGGCATCCACATGCACCTACAATCGTCCAGGTACAGTAGTGTACATTGCCTCCGGTGTCCTGCCAGGTACGGCGCTACACTCTCGGTTTCGCTTGCGCCTCCTCACATTTCTTCTTCGACGCCCATCGGATGATGTTACGAGGCCCGAGCCGGCTTTCTCCTTTCTTCAGGAGAAGAAATCACGCAAAGAAGCAATGCCGTGAGAAACTTGGTTGCACATGCTGTGAACGAAACTTCGCGACTGCCAGAGTCTCATTGGCTGCTGCACACTGCACAGCATCCTTGACAGAGAGCAAAACAGCCCTGGAGCCATGCGAGGAGAAATGTCGCCGCCGAGCGGAGCAGGAGTGACATTTCCGTAGCCAAGACCTACTCCAGAGCACGAGCTCTCCGCGCCCAGACAGCACGGCGCACAGCGCAAAAGGAAAGCTAAGCTGGCGAGCCTTCTCCTCGCAGGTTTAGCAAAATGCCGCGCTTGTCGATATTCAATCGCGTAAATTGGCCGTGTGTACAGCGCTGTACCACGAGGTGTGATGGCTTGCAGTGCTTTTGCATACTCGTCGCATATGCTTTGCAGCTGGATAAATTGGACGTCGAACTCTATTTCCACTGCAGTATAGTATACGCCAATGGTCATGTTCAACGTATAGTGTCCACGTACGTCTACGATGGTATTCACGAAAATGCGATAGTGCGCGGTGCCTTGCACAACGAATGGACGGCGGAGTAACGGGCCAAGCTGGGCGTTGCGGGAGGAAGACACCGCGTCCCCGTCCCGCTCCGTATCGAAGATCCTAGAATAGAAACCCATAAATTAACGATGCTCTTGATTATCACTTACTCTCCACGATATCGCTCGCAGTCGTCGCTCAGCAGCTCGCGTGCAAAGCACTCCCGGAAGAAATCAACCCGTAAACACGTACACCTCCTGCGTTGACCCGCCGAACAAGTATGCAGCCCGAATGACGAAAGAGAGCCCGGACCGCCTGGTCTTTGCCCGCTATGCAAGAAGAATCGAAGAACCGAGGTATATGTACAAATCTATACAGCAGATGATGGCTAAGCGTTCGGTACTGGCGGGCTATACCCTCGCTTTCATCTCAGGCGAGAGTATCTTGTCTTCGACTTTCCTCATCAGCTTGTTCGTTTGCTCGGCAAGCGTAAGGGTGAGAATCTACTAAGCGTCAGCATATCATTCCGGCCGTTCCGAGCGTGCGAAGGTGTTGGACGCACTGTGTGTGGGAGAATGCGCGCAAGATGCGCGAAGTAGCCCTTGTACACGGCCAGAACTCCCTCCGTCTTGATGGTCCGGTACAGGCAGTCGAACGCTGAGCTGTAGAGGTTGCCTGTTTGGTTGTACATTCGCGACATAACGGTGTCCGGAGGGTGCATAACGCAGCAGACGACGAAGCCGCTAGCGGTGCTACTTGCAATGTGTAGTGGCATTCCCTCCTCCATCCCAAGATGCCTAACTAACCGCCTCTTTGCGAAGAAGTATGTAGGCAGCTGTACGGAGCTACCAAAGCCAGTGCGGACCATTGCTGGCACTACACCTCTGTATAGACCCCTCACGCCCTCATGGTGCCATATCTGCCTCATGCCATCTATCGCGTTCTTGTAGTGGTGCTGCGTGCCGACCGGGAGGAACGGCGAGAAGGATTGTAATCGCGTCTTGACGAGGAAAAAGGGCGAGCCGGCTGCGGCGCCGAGGATGCCTGATGCGGCGCCTGAGAAGAGGTTGATGCCGAAGGACTGGACGGACGAGTCTTTGTAAACGGCGTTGGTAATCGTCTTGCGCACCGGCTCGTAGAAGCCCAGCCGGCAGCCGTTGAGGGTCATCTGGTAAACATACTACGCGTTCGTTAGATATCGCGCCATGAGTCTCCATAGTTGATGTCCCATACTGCACATCCTAGTCCTCGCAGCAGTCCCCGGGGTCCTTCATTCTTCAAAATGACACCAACGCCGTGAAACACGCCTTTGTATAACCGCACTGCCTCTTTCTTTGACTGGAGCTCTCCCTGCAATTGCAACCTGTACCCCGTTAACCAAGTGCGCATCGTGAGCGCCGACGCGTCGCATACCGGATCTTGACCGTCTCGAATCCGTGAGTAACCGTCACAGCACCGCACGCCGCAATGCCTCCAGCGATGAAAGATCTAGGCAAATAGAGCATCAGACTTCATTCTCACAATGCCGGAGGACGGCCTACCCCGTGGTTGTAGCCATTTCGTGGCTCTTGCCTCGCTTTTCACGCTCGGAAACTGGACGAAAGCGCAACCCACGCCGCTCACTTTTCGAAGATGTTGCTACCGAGACTTCATAGAGGGAAGATTGCAGTAAAGAGGGAAGAGGCAAGAGGTGGCGCCAGGCGTGGGCACGGCGCTGATGGTGAGAATTTCGCAAACTGATCTGAATAATCTTTGGAAGTGAATTCCCGATTCCGGAGGTTTGCCGGCGCAGGGCCGCCGACAAGCGAGGGTCCAAGCTCCCAGCTTCACATTCCGCAGCTTGCCATTTGACTGTGGGGAGCTCTGCAAATCCCCAAGCGCAGAGGGAGACGCACTCCTACTCTGGGCGTGCCAACCACGACCAAGAGATGCTACTTGAGTGCAAGTAGCCCACCGAACCACCACCATGGCGACGGGATCAGCCACTCCCGGCGCCCCTCCACCCCCAGCAGGCCCTCCGACGCAGAAAGTTAGCGACGTCATAACAGCCTTTAGGCCTTCGAGAGTGAGCTATCCTACCATTTTAGTATATCGCGCATGTGTGAATGCTAAAGTAGTGTTAGCGCTTCAAATCCCCCAGCCCCAGCACCTCCATCACCTCCCTCGACTTCGACGACACAGGCGAGCTCGCCATCGTAGCACGCGACGACGACACGCTCCAGATCTACAACTGCAAGGAGGGCAAGCACGCGAAGGAGCTCAAGAGCCAGAAGTACGGCGTGCATCTCGCGCGCTTCTCACACCATGCGCAGAGTATCATCTACGCCAGTACGAAGGTGGACGACACAATTCGCTTCCTCTCTACGCACGACAACTCCTACATCCGCTACTTCAAAGGGCATACGGATACGGTGACCTCAATCGGACTATGTCCCTCCTCTGATCAGTTCATATCGTGCTCCCGCGATAACACCGTCCGGTTGTGGAACCTGCAGTCGCCTAACTTCTACGGCCTGCTCAACCTCCACGCTCCCTATCTTGCATCCTACGACCCCTCTGCTACGGTTATTGCCATCGCGTCTCCTCCCACACACTCCGTTCTTCTCTACGACGTGCGCAACTTCGACAAACCGCCATTTGCCAGCTTCGACCTGATGGAACTTGAGCAGCGCTTCCTGGGTCCACAGGGCGGAGAATGGACAAAGATGGAGTTCACAAATGATGGAAAGAGTCTGATTATCAGCACAACGGGCAGTGGCCACTTCGTCCTGGATGCCTTCTCAGGCGAGATCACACACTTCTGCTACCGCAAATCCGGACACTCGGGTCGCCTCGCCCCGGGAGCAGCACCCCCAGGCCACGGCGCAAACGCAGCGAATGGAACAAGTGCGGCACTCGGACAGGGTGATGTTTGCGCAACTCCCGATGGCCAATACCTCGTAGGCGGCAGCGGAGAGGAAGGACTCCTCGTCTGGGACATTGCGAAGGCCCCGACAGCGAACAACTACCTCGAGCCGATAGAAGCGCTACCCGGCCACGGCAAAGCGGCAATCGTAGGATACAACCCGAGGACGAATCTCATGGCGAGCGCGGATAGGGATCTCTTGCTCTGGCAGCCAGACCCGGATCTCATGATGTAAGAGGACGTTGCATGAAGAACATTTTGATCTTTTTAGTTGTTCTACCTTGGCAAGATAGGATACTAACAGGTATGTCAAGACCAGATGTGCAGCTGGCGAGGATGCATGGCCTGAAGATCGGAGAATGAGCCGGATACAACGGGAGCGCAACGCGCAGGCTTTGGGAAGGAACGAGCGCGTGCTCGGGCAGGATGAGCAGCTCCGGCAAAGTAAACTCGAATCTCCACTACGGCCAAAATGGGAGCCGGCCGATGATCCCGGACAGGCGGCTTTCAGAGTATTGGGAGAGGGTGATCTAGTAAGCTCCGCGCGCAGCTAGTGCACATTAGCAGAAATATTGGAGGAAATGATAGAAAGTAGACAGGCATATTCGCCGCCTAAGCAGCGTCCTGCTTCTTTGCTCGAGATATCTGGTGATGCGAACGTCTTCCGCCATACTAGAACCTCTGGCGTCTCCAGGATCATTCGTCATGCTCCCGCCCTTGAGTATTACGCCAAGTTGTACCGTACACGGAGCATGTTTCTTATCGATTCCGGGGCTCAAGTGCTTTGAACGCCTTTTAGTACGTTTGCGAGCGTTCCCATATTATTCGTCATGCTCCCATCCCTTGGGTATCATGCCAATGGGCTGCGGTCTCCACAGCCCGATCTTCTTCTGCGGCCCCCGCATCTTCATCACCGTAGCACCTTCGTTGCTCAGTGACAGAGACCGTGCCCTTTCAACGGCCTGTACCTCCATCTCTTCCCCTCCCGGCTCTGGCGCCACTCCTTGCACTCCCTCGCTCTCCATGGGCTCGTCGCCCTTAGCGGCCTCCAAGATCCTGAGCCACCCTTCCTGTCCCGGTGAACTCTCTTTGAGCAATGCCTCTACCAGCTTCAGCGTCCAGAACGTGGGTGCCGCGAAGCACAGCCCGAGGACGTGGTCTCGCAGTTTCTGTTCAGCATTCAGAGAGCGAGATCGAGGGCGTTTCGAGCGCTGGCGTGCTTGATGCCATTCTTGCGAGGAGAGGATGTGCAGCAGCCACTCGTACAAACCTTCTCTTACCGGGTCTAGCTCGGGCCTGACTGTGCCCCTCGACGTCGTCGCGCTTATGGCGCTAATCATCCGGTCGAGCAGCGTCCGAAGAAAGGAGGATGCAGATTCCGAGAGCGCGAGCAGGAACGGCGTCCAGATGAGAAAAGCGCCGGACATACTCGTCCCGAGCCGCCTGTCGACGGGCAAGACAGTCGTCTCCTCGACTAGGAGCTCCACAAGTACGCCCTCCGTCCGCGATCTAGGCGCATCGAGGAAGAGATAGCTCGCCACTGCGCCCTCTGCCGCCTTCATCTCCCTCTCCACCTTCTTACTCTTGATCTCGCTCTTCCGCTCCTTGACATACGTCTTCAACACGCCCTGCAGTCTCCCCCTCACCTCTGCGCTCCCCAGACTCCCCGGTTCATCATGCCTTCCGCTCGCAAAGGCGGCGTCGAGATGCGACCAATACCATTCCCAGAGCCAGTCGAGGCTCTCTTTCGCAGCGCGCTTTAGCTCCGCGAGCGAGGGGAGGTGCCGATGCACGATGCAGTGCCGCGTCTCGAGGAGGGTGACTGGGAATTGGAGCGACTTTTCGGGGGGGAACCAGGAGGGGCGGTCGCGGGAGAGCTCGGTGCGCGTGTCGGATACGCCGGTTACGAACCTGGGATAGATTTAGAACGGGCAGCGTATGTAGGAATTTGCGGCAATGACGGGAGTTGTTCGGGAGGAGGGGTGGTTTCTTGAGTAGAGGGGTAACGAGAATGACAATTGGAGTTCTGATATGCGGAGTGCCGCAAGACGTGGAAGGATGTCCAAACTCCGAATTCTTAGTGAAATGAGCACTCCTACCTCGAGATAGCAGTAGCATACAGAAGCCGCAAAGCGTTATGCGGCAGTCTATCCTGCTCATCTTGCAGTATTGCATCCATGAGATCTGCCGTGGATTCCAGCAGAAGGGGTAGCTCTGCCTTCCGCAGCCGCCAGGCGAATATCTACACACTCATCAGTATCACAGGACGCCACCCGCATGACACATTCATGCCTCCAGCTTCCATCAATCAAACATACCTTGCCCACCGCTCTCCCCCTCCCATCCCCCTCCACACCCTCTCCCCGACTGAACAAATCCCGCCGCAGCTCTCGCAGCTCCTCCGCCCCGCGCCACGGCGTAACCACAAGCCTATCCTCCATGCACACTCCCATCGCCTTGGTGTACCAAACCGTCGTGCAAAGACCAAATAAAGAGGCGCTATCCCACACCCTCCTTCCAAGGTTGACCAGACTCGCAGCACCGCATGCACGTGAATGCGCGCGCGACGCAGTTCTCCGAATTTTCTTATCGATACTGACTCGCGTACGCAGCCAATGAGGCAGCCCCGCAGCTCAGGGCGGTGCATACACACCCAGACAGCTCACTTGCAGACATGCAGCACGACTGCGCAGTAGACTAGCTAAGCGGCTTGGAGTGCCTGGCGAACTGGGGGGAAACAAGGAAACTACGGCGAGCCCGGAGGTGAGACAGTGCTAAGCTGCTTCGCACGCGGGCTGCGCTGCCTCGGCAGTAGCGCAGACAGCTTCGGTGAAGGCTTCCGAGACGTGAGATTCGGTGTCATGGTAGGCGTTAGCGGCAGGCGTACCAAGCGACGGGCACGGCAGTTGCAAGTGATGATTGGAGTCGGTGTATGATGTAGATCTTGTTGTTTGATGGTTATGCTATTCATACATGCGTCATATCTCGCTGAGACATACATGGTTCGCGCGAGTCGAGCCGCTGGCTCCACTCTCGCTGACTGCCAATGAAGGCGAGGGGTATCTGTGTCAGTCCTGTAGTGGCCATAATTTTCCAAATGTCCCAAACACCAACGCTATGCTATATGCTGAAAAAGGAAATGCTGAAAAAGAGAAATTCCAAAAATGGGTGTCGTGGGCTCAGACCAGAATCGTTTGAAACTAGGCCGGCCGTCCTGCACTGCTGTTTACAGCCAGCCGTAGCCGATACCAGCGTCCCGCACTGGCATGGAAGGCTGCTTCAACTGTTGAAACCACCACTCCTTGCTGATGGTCTCATCCTCGTCGAAGAAGAAGCTCTGGCCCTCCATGCTGCCTGGTGTTTGAGGCTTGACGGTTACAGGCACCTGAGGCTGTTGGCGTGCGGGCGGTGGTGGCGGTGGCTCCTCGACGCTGCCCTCTGAGCTCGCATCGTCTGCCTCGCCGTCGTTGTCGTCATCGTCATCGTCCTCCTCCTCGGGCGGCTGCCACGTTTCCTCAAGCTTCAAGCCCTTGCCTGTAGCTTCGACGAGCCCCGAGCTCCAGGTCAAGGCCGGATCGGGCAAATCATAGAGGCCCATGCCGACCAACTCTTTCCCTGAGTCTTCCATTTCCTCGTCTGCTGCCTCTAGCTCTTGCTCCATTGCCGGATTCTGAATCGGGAGGAAGTCGGTTGAGCCGTGCTGCGAGTCCATGGCTTGGGCTTGATTCTTCCGCGCCCACTCCTGGAGGTACCATGGCATTGGTTCGGTGGCGGGCGTCGAATACGAAGACAGAGCATACGACGGGGTTTGCCAGCTACCGTCGGATTCCTGGGAGCCTCGGTGTGCCTCGTGGCCGTTGGGGTAGGCCGGGTAGTTTTGCACTGGCTCGGCATGCATTGAATTCCTCGCGGATAGAGAGTAGAAGTCGGAACCATATGCTGAGTTCCTCGAGGAAGCGGCGTAATGGCGGGACCAGTCCTGCGGTTGCGTATGTTCGAACGCTGCTGATGAGTGGGATGGGGCGTTGAAGTGCGTGGAGGCCGGGTGCCAGCTCATTGGTCGTGCGGGCGCTGGTTGCTGCTGGCCCTCGGTGGCCTCCTCCTCTCCGGTCAGGCCCATCATCATGTTGTAGTGGTCGTCCAGCGTTGCATAGAGCTTCGTGCCGATAGTGGTCTTCCGCCTCTCAGCGGTGCCGGGGCTGTTGTGGTTGCTCCTGGGCTTTTCGATGCGAGAGGCACGGCAGCCAGACTGGCTGGCAGAGCTTCGTGAGGTGCGGCGTGTTGATTGTGAGGCTGACATGTGTGTGGAGGGGCTGGCCATCTCGTAGGGTGATAATGTATAGGCCATGGTGGGCATCGGTGGATTGATATGTCGAAATAGTTTGCGTAGAGGAGCGCTGTCAGGTGGTCGAACGGGTCACAAATACCAGTCAGACCCGAGGGTGTGCGTAGCATGGGGGCATCTGCATAGGTATATGGGGTGCCAAGAGATATAGACAGATTGGGAAGGATGGATGGAAGATTTTGGAAGGCGGCAACCACGCGGCCCAAGCCATGGGTTGACGGCAGGACCAAGGCTAGGAGAAGGGCAAGACTACCAAGAGCGGAATAGATGCAGACCAGGAAGCGAAGGATATTGACTATACGGGGCCATCAAGGATGACTGGGGGGAGGAACGGTGCTGTGACGGCCGGTGGCAGTGGCACGGCTGGAACGCGGGCAGGAGCTGATCAACGAAGTCATGGTTGGAGACGCAGGCGACGAAAAGAAAAGCCAAATTGTGACCGAATCACAGGGCCGGCGGACGGAGCCATGAGCGCGCGGGTAAGTATCATGGCGCAACGGAGATCCGTGCAGAGTGCAGCATGGCGGGTTCGACGAGACAGTGCTGGACGATGATGCCGGGCGAGCTAGTGCGACCGGGCTCTGGGACCGGTACATACGCTGTACGGCGCGACTCAGCTGGGCCTTCTCGCGGGCCGGGGCTGGGGGTTGGGGTGTCGTGTGCGTGGGGCGGTGGGCGGTGGCCGTCGAGGCGGTCAACTGCTCCTACGCTGCTCGACTAGCCCGGCGCGAGCGTGTTGGACGAGCGAAGGAAGCAGGACGACGGTGCATGGCGAGGCCAGCGCTCGGCACCGCTAGGCCATGGCTGAGGGATGTGCACGACGTGCACGACCTCGCTCGACGCTCGACGGCCGCCGCCCATGTTTAGCCGCGCCAGCGAGTGGCATAATTAGCGGCAGGTGAGCCGGCGTGATACCACGCAGCTATTATTGAGGGGAGGACGGTGGAGGGGGGGTTCAGCAGGCGCTCGTGTCAACAACGGCAGGCAGCGCCGCCGCCAGGGGGGCAGGGGATGCCGGGGGCGCTGGGGAAAGTAGTTTCGGAAAGAGTGGAAGAGCGACGACTGCGACCGACCGCGACGACGTGCCATCCGCTATTCACCCCAGGCCTGGGCGCGCCAATGGTGGCCGCGCGCTGGGTCGCACTCGCGCATGCAGCCGGCAAACCGCGAAACCACGCTGCTGGCCCACGGCCTCCTCCAAGCGCGATCGGGGCCTGCTGGCGGGAGTCGCTGGGCGGCGCTGATTCGCCAGTCGCCAGCCGAACGCTTCCAGAAATCGCCATGCGGCCGGCCTGCTCCCTGTCTGCTCCCTGCCTCTCCCATGATGCCCCATCACAGGGCGATGCTCTTGTCGATGCAGCATCAGACGCCTGCACGCGCTGGCCGGGGTCGCACAGCCAACGGCGGCGCCGCACCGGAAATTGCAGCAATCAGCGCACCGCATTCGCCCGGCACCCGCAGCCCTCCAGCCTCGAGCGAGTCCTGCGCTCACCGGCCGCGACCTCCCGCTTGCCCTCAACCCCCGAGCGTGGGAGCGCGCCATCGCCGCGGATTGCGCCCAGCTGCCTCGAGTCTCCCATCCCTGCCCATACGCCGAGAAAAAGCACGCCGATGCCTCCTCCACCGGAATCGCGAGTGGAGCCCGTCGCTGAAACCGCTGCAGCATGCTAACGTGAACTTTGCGCAGCCTGCACGCTACAGCTGCCTCCACCGAGCCACCGGCGTGAATAATACGGACACGACACCGAGTCCTCCCAGCACAAACCCAACCCGTCTGACAGCGTGATCAGGCTCCCGGCAAAGACTTGTGAGACGGGAAGCCGTCATGGCAAAACGCGCGTTCACTTCGGTGCAGTGCCAGGACGCTTGTTGACAGCTTTTGCCCCTCGCCTGCCTCGCCTGTACGTGTTTCCTCAGCGTGCATAATGTATAGAGACTAATTACTATAGGCCGCCGCCCAAACCGTGCCCTCGCTGCCATGAAGATTTCCGAGTCGAGTTCGATATTGTGCAGCGTTGCCACCGTCGGCGCCCCGACACACCTCCAGCGACTCGCCGTGCCCCAATTATTGTCTTTAAGGGGTTCGTGATGCCTGCCGCTACTGAGATAAAGCGATCCCATATGCACAGCCGGATGGACTCGCTAACCGCGATGTTGGCCACCTGAGGCTGTCCCAACCGCAGAGGTCACCGAGACATGCCCTCGGGCGAGCTCCCACGGTGACCAGGCTCGAAGCGGTAATACCGTTTTTGATAACTCGATAACGAGAAATCCCCGGGGCGTGGCTTGTGCGATGCAGCCGAAGCGCCGATGAACCCTGGTATCGTCCCGTCTGGGTGATCGACAGCGGTCGACGCGGGCAAGGGCGGATTCAGGCGGCGGGCAAACGAACTGGCCATGTCAGGGGCCTCGTGTCTTGTCGCCATCTGGAGAAGGCGGGCCAGACAAAAACAGTGCATGCGAACCGATTTTGTGGACGTGCATGGGTGCATCATCACTGCACCGCTTGTTGACGTTCGCCTGGCTGCAAGACCAACGCCATCGAACTTCTGATGCCGATGCCTCGTGCTGACGCAATCCAATAAGAAAGGCCAATGGCAGCTTCTTCACGCCACTGGCTGTGAGCAAGATGCGCTTATTTCCCTTGGGCAGGCCCACTCAACTAACTGCAAGATGCGCAGCAATATACTCTCCTCCGATCTGGTCAGCGAAGCAGGAGAGGCGCAGGCGGAAGCACGGCGTTGCAGGCGGCACTTCCTGGGCCAAATGCAAATATGCAGCATGGCTTGAGTCGTATGCCATGTATCCGCTCATTATCGGGCACATCCCACGCATCACACGTCGGCGCGGGACCAAGGTTGCAAATGGCCCAGCTTAGGCTTCCCAAATCCTCTGTGGATAATTGCCTCGCAGTCGTACCGCTTGTGCATCACGAGACGAATGTGCTGGAACCTGGAAGTTGTCGGCCCGTGGACCATGTTCGAGATTGTCATGGCTGGCTTGCCAGTGCACACGCAACTGGTTCGGTATCGGATCGCGTTCGAGCTGGACGCTGACCTGCGTCTCGCATGTTACTGCGGCATCTCAGGTTGCGAGATGAGGTGGGCGGCACACTGACAGCCACGACAGCATTGTTGATTTCAGCGCCTGCGGAGGCTCGTCAATCAAAATTGTGAAGGGCATGAGCCGTGGTTTCAGCAGCGCCTCCAGGATCCGTTGGTCAGTCTACCGAAGCATGTGCGGGGCCAGCAGTTTTGAAATGCTCCACCTAGCCCAGCCTCAGCCCGGCAATCTGCAGCTCGGGAAGAAACCCTTTATGACGTACTGTACCCTCGTCCCACGAGAGGAGTGGGTCCGAACGTGGCGTCGCATCGTGGACTGTTAGAAAAATCAAAATGGCTGCGGCATGAGCGGCTTTGTCAACGACGCCGCCCCTAGCCATCTCACGCTTCGCAAGCCCCTGCGCTGGCATCCCCATCTAGCGCTCCACCCGTACGAGCTATTTGGAGCCCCTTCCGGCTGCTCAGGACCTGAGCGTGCGACAATGCGTGCCTTGCGAGGCGGCATAGTGGTGCTGCAGTGCGTCACCGTCGAAAACGAACGGAAGCCATCGAAACCGCCTACCTCCGTCCTTGTCCGGTTACACAAGCCCGACTAGGGACGCAGGAAGCGAGACGAGCACAAGTGGCATCGGTAGATTTCGTACCAGCGGAAGGCCGGCTGCATTAACCTTTGTATGTGTGGAGATCTGCCAGGACTTATAATGCTACGTGTTCTAGACTCTGTCTAGGCAGGCCAAACACTGAAATTTCACTTGCGGACAGCCGGCGCCGAATCCATGACTTTAATGTTCATGGGGCTTGCGGCACCATCCATCACTTTACAGTTTTGGGCCTGACTCAGCACTCAGCCAATCATCCGGCGCCCCACTGTCTTCTCCTCAGTCTTCGATTGGCGCCCAATCCGGAAATCGGTGAGCGTCCTTCGGTGCCCTCACGGCGCATGCAGCCTATCAATATCTGCCAGTCATGCGCGCCTTCGCAAGCAGAATCTTCCATGGCGCAGCGGTCCGCACATGCAAGCGACTGTGACAAACCCGAGGAGGCATGGAGATTGAGCTCGCTCTGAGCCTCCAACCAACCCATGGATCATGCAGAGGAGTCATGTCCTGGACAAGCCTGGTGTCGCGGGTGTTGCTGCTGACCAGCGAAATTCGCCAACCACTCAGGAGGCGGGCCAGCAGTTTGTGCAACATGGAAGGGAGCAACTCGCATATTAGGTCGCTCGCAGAACCAAGTATTGTCGGGCTTGCCTTCATGTGGGACGCCGTTCCCCTTTACGGAGTCTTATTCCACCAAATCAGTCTGGTGCCACGACAGGAGGTACATCTTGCAACACGGCCACGTCGTGTTCAATCGCTTGCCATCCTCGCCGGTGATGAAACTGTTCTTCGGCCGGGGTTGATCGTCCGGCGACAGAGATGACATCCATGTCTCTCCACTATGCAAGGTCAACCTTCCTGCAAGCGCTGCGCATCTCTACACCAAAGCGCCTCACCACTCCACCACTCCACTACCAGTCGTGTTTGCCCTCGCCCTGCCGCTCGATAATCACCCGGAATAGTCCTTGTCCCCGGCCAGGTGCAATTTTCGCGTTACATTACTTCAGCTTACGACGATCCCGCCGGTTGATCGTTGCAACACGGGAGGAGGAACGACGCATCCTTAACTAAGAATCAGGCGTCTGCACGGGCGCATGATGTTGCGGATGTGTGGGCTTCGGTGATATTACAGCCCTTTATACAACAGCTGCCTATTACCTTCACTGCCGAGGTCGGACCCCGTCAACCTACATTTATGCTTACTGGTTGCAGTAACACCACCGTAAGAGGCCTGTCTTCATGTAGGAAGCACACCCCGACTTAGCCGTAGCCGGCCAATCTTCGTCCTTGGTTTTCAAGGATCTGCGTACTAGACCTTCGCCTGTGTGAGTCCTACAAAATGTGCAGTGGCGCGCCCAAGTCACCTCTAAATCTCCTTCATGCAGCGCTTGGCCGTCTCCTGCCGACCGTGTGGAAGGGGATGCGTGCATGCAAGTGGCTGACGTCGCCGTCGCATGGACTTGAGTATCAATCTTTCCAAGGTTGCCATTCGGTCCGAACGTTACGCGCTTACAAGTGTACGACAGCCGGTTTCTCCACGCAGGAATCCTCCAACGGTACAACACGGAAATAATCCGCGGATACGGAGTCTGCAGCTGTCCTCTTGCAGCCACAGATCCGATGAGTCGCCAGCCTGTCTCACCAACATATTGTTCCCCCAGCCTAAATCATCCCACACGGCCGCCTCGACGATCTCTCGTTTATACGTATCCGAGTTCCTAGCTGACCGCCTGAAGCCTCCTTCTCTATTCTGCCAAGCTGCGATCGTAAACAACAGTCACCCGCAACCGCTGCGCTGCCGACCTTAGGAGATCCTAGTGGAGTGCTATATTTGGCTGGGCAAGATCACCTAGGATCGTAGAACGCCCGTCCGGCGACCCGATATTTGCCCTCAAACGACAGCCCTCTCACACGGCGGCGAACACCGCTGTTTGTCGGCATGGTCCCAACCGGCGGGCTGCCTTTACATGGACAGGCTGATGATGCAGCAAAAGTCCCGTCGGCAGCCGTAGTGTTACTCCATTGCTTTACGAAGCACACCACCTCAGCAAGCCAGGAATTCCTGAACCGTTTCAAACAGATCGCTTCACACATCCCCAGGCTCATCTCCACGATGCAGCGAGGGTTTACCGTGCTGAACGGCCTTGTTTCATCTCCAAATAGCTTTTTGCTTCTCCCGCGTCTGCTGCTGCTATTTCCCGTCGTGTCATCTCTCCTTCTCAGGCTGATTGCTGCAGCTTCACCGCGGATCCAGCGTCGTCTCCTTTCAGTTTACCTTCCCGTTTCGTCGCAGATGCCAGGCTTCATGCACATGCTGTCCTACGAGGAAGCTTACCTGCGCCGAGCGGTCCTTTGTAACTCGGTTGCGTTGGCCACTCGGAACGACAGAACACACCACAGTGAGAGAGGCGGCGCTCAAAGTCATGGTCGATGCCTGGGGTCGTGAAGGTTCCGCATGGCTTCGCGCCGATGCGGATCCCAGCGCTGGAATTGCCCTTCATCGCACGCTCTCCGTCCATCGTCTTGTCCTACTCTCCTCGTCTCTATCTTTCAGCTTAGTCAGAAAAGCGAAGCACAGAAAACTCCCACCTTCCTACGTCAAAGGGCGCCTTCAACTACCACGACATCTACTCCAGCGGGGGCCATATCATGGCTCACTCCAGCGGTCGCTACGAGACATTCTCTAGAAGCTATAGCTGCAAGTCAGATTTTTTCATTGACTATATTGAGTGCCCGCCTACTCGGAAACGGCCCCATTATCCACGTCAGGATTTCGTTCCAATGTCAGGTTTCTGTTCGAGGCTGAGGCGGCGGAGCGCTGCGTCTATATCCTTCGGACTCCGGGACGGCAGCCTGAGCGCCCACGTGCTGATCGGACTCACCCCAAGGACTAATCGAGCGCGCGTGCGAAGGACCCAACAGACCTTCTCGAAGCCGGAAGATTCGTTGCTCGTGCAGCGAAGGATTCGAGACAACGCGACGGCTTGATCGAGGAACTGCTTGAGCTTGCTGCAGGCGCGGTATGCGCAGGAGTGTCAGTGCTGTCCGAACCGCAGGCTTGTCACATGAAAATAGCAGCGCGTTTGTGAGCGTTGTTAGTATCTAGCGAAGGAGCGCATGCATGCGATGGTATTGTGAGGGCTTGTTGGACGGAGGGAGTGCTACATCCTTCTCTATCTGCAGTCAATTATCGATCCATCCCTTAACGTTTCCAAGCACAGCCAAGGACGTCTTCGCGGCGTCGAGTCCGGTAGGAGCGTCGCTGATTCTCCGTCCTGCACTTCAGCGATACTGCTTCGTAGCGACCCACGACTAGGAAGGATGATTTTCTCCAAACAGCTGGTCTGTAAGCGTTGGTCCTGGTATGATCCGTCCATACTCGAACAGGCTGCGGCATAGGTGATTTGAGACGGTTTCTCTTGCTCTCAACAGGCATGCTTCGCACTACGCCTTCCGTGCAGTGGGCAGTAGTATGAAGTATGCCGGACAAGTATAATCTGAGAGGTCTAGTGCCCAAACGAAGCTCACATATACAGATGAGGCTGCGATTACCTGGTAGCTGGACGAGGCCTCGGTCTCATCCAGCATCATGAAATAGGTTTCCCGCTACCCACTATGAACGGCCGACCCCATCCCAAAGGTTCTGCTTTCATTGCTGTTATATTGTCTCAACTTCCTTCAAAACGCGCACCCGAGGTGTTCGAGAGCCGCGGAATTTCGACGGGTCGCTGTCGTCACTAGGCCTGTTCTGAGCCTCCGTCTCAGTCTCGCGAGCGCCCGGCGCGAAGTTCTACGTCGGCCCCGAACGTTTTCAATCAGGGCCAGGCAGAACTACATGTGGTCAACCTTTTCTTCGCATCCGGTCTCCTTATCAGCCCAACGGACGCGTCGGTGTCCCAGCGCTATACTCTCAAGCATCGAGCTTTTAAAAGCCTCCCAATGCAGATCAACTTGCTACCGCTATCAATTCTCTCTTCGCGCCGCTGTGGAACAGCGTTCCGCTCGCTCCTAAGAAGCTCACTTTGAGCGGGCTTCCTAGTCTAACGACATCGTCCTCCGAGCGGTGGCTCCTCCCGTTTCCTGAACAACCTCCCCAGCGACGCGAAGGCAGGACCGTCGAGCGTCTCCTTTCGCTCTCCACTTCTTGTGGATCCTCTCTTTTATCTTCTTCATGCCCTCCTATCTTCGTCGCACCCTGTCTCATAGCCTACCTACGAACTCCGGGCTTCAAACTTTTTGTACACAGTCTAATACCCATGTTCGGGAACCTTGAACAAGCAAAACCGACTCCAACTTGTGGCCAGCAATTCGGCACGTCTATGAAGTAGGTCAGATAGCCACCTAGACAGTTCAAGTTCCTCTGTAGAAGATAATGAGCCAATACTGAGCTATCCCATTTCTCATCGTCGTATCTAGACCCCTTCTCCTAACTATAGCTTTCCCTTCACCCTAGATCATCTCCCTCATCAAAGCCACTGAAGCCTCTGCTCCCAGACTGAGCGCGATTATCCTCACTGTGATGTTCTTTGTCGATGCCGACATCCCTCAAGGACCTCTTCGAGCATATATATACGTCCCTGCTCTATGGGCTCGGATGCGCGCTCAGAGGGCGTCGTACGTGGGCTCTTTATCTCGCGTCGCATTGACTTCACGCTGCATCTATGTACTCAAGCGCATACTCAACGTTAGCACCAGACTCTCTACATGACTGTGCCATTCTCATAGCACCATGCCCTTGTGAACGAGCAAAGCTACGCTTTTCAACTTTTCGTGTTGACATCTAACCAGGAAGACGTACATTTCGATCCATCCATAGCACCGCGCTTGGGATATCACTTTTAAGCCCGACCTAGCCCCGTCCAGCCCAGCCCGGCGAGAACCCGAAACGAAAGAAAAGCCCTCTAGCATACGATGCCTGCTTTGTATTTTACACGGTGCTCGTGTGGCACCTCAACAACCACCGCTTCATTCTCCAATGCATGCAAAAGAAAATATCAACCCGCGCCAATCCTCTTCCTCGTTCTCCCGGAGGAAAGATCACTTAGCCCATGACCATGCCCTTGAGACCGGCCATGTCGCCCTCCTTGGCCGCAATTTCAAAGTATCCGTAGATGATAGTGACAGCCAGCAAGATTCCAGTTCCACTGCCTAGAGCGCCGAGGAGATCGCTACCAACGGAGAGAGCACCGATGCAAGCACCACCGAAAGCTGCAGCCGTAGGGATAACGCGCTTCAATTCCTTGTACATGGACTCCTCGCGGTGACCAGCCATCACAAGACCTTGTTCCTTGAGCTGCTTGGCGACATCGCGCGGAGAGGAGCCGGAGACTTCGATCCAGGTCTTGGAGAAGACGGCGCAGGCGACGAGCATGTAGACGATGAAGATAGCGGTCTTAAGCGGGTCGGAGAGAGCCTCAGTGATGCTGAGAGGTGGGGACCTGACTATGTTAGTGCTTAACGACAATCGCGAGAATAAAGACGTACATGTAGTAGGCAATGCCAGAGGTAGCGAACAGCTGGGCAGATCCCTCACGCGGCTCCCAGACACCGAGGAGGCGGACCAGGAGGTTGTCCGAGAAGCGGGAGAACAGCATCTGGCTGATCAGGAAGACGTTGGAGGAGAGAGCCGACTGCAGCATGATGGGCATGTTGGAGGTGTAGAAAAGACGGACGGGGTACGAGCCGCGGACACCACGCTGGCGGGCAGACTTGACCGGGATCTCGACGCGGAAGCCCTGGAGGTAGATGACGGCGCCAAACACGACGACGGTGGCCAGCAAGTTCATTACGTTGGGGAGATTCTGGCGGTAGAAAGCCTCGCGAAGAGCAATAGTCTTGTTCGGCCAGGTGAACAGCAGATGCACAAGGGCAATGATGGCACCCTCGAATTCGGGGCCACGACCGGTGTTAATGGTGGTCGGGGAGAAGGCCTTCCACATGATGGACTCGCAGATATTAGTCGCGATGAATAGAGAGATACCGCTACCAAGACCATAGCCCTTCTGGAGGAGCTCGTCGAGGAGAATGACGATCAAACCGGCGATTATCAGCTGGATGACGAGGAGCACGCAGATACCGGCGCCGAGGTCGGACGGTTGGCCATAGAGACCGGAGATGACATAGACGACGGCCTGACCGAAGGAGAGGAGGATGGCGAGGAGCTTCTGCGCGGTCTGGTAGAGCTCGCGGTCCGACTTCAGGTCCAGGTTGACATCAATGAGGTGAGTGCCAGCGAGGAGCTGGAAAACCATGCCCGACGAGATGATTGGCGTTATACCCAGCTCCATCAGCGTTCCTCGGTTACTCGCCATCATCATACGCAGCCAGTATAGCGGATCGGACGTGTCTGAGGAGACAATGCCGTAGAGCGGCATCTGGCTCATGACCAGGAAGACGAGGAGCGTGAGACCCGTCCATACCAGCCGGTTGTTGAAGGGAACCTTGCTCTCCGGTAGCTGGATCTCCGGGACGAGGGGGACGAAGGGTTTGACAAGGTCGAGGAACCGTACTACATGGCGCCGACATGTTAGCCAGCTGTGCGGAGACTCTTCGCACAATTGCCAGCGCTGCAATTGCGCGGGGCGGGGAGCACTTACGGCCGCTCATGATTGCGGTTCAATGGGCCCGGCAGCAGACAAAGGAGACAAAAGAAGTGAAGGCGCGGTGGTGTGGAATTAGTTGGAGATGAGGGATGGACGAGGGGGCCGTGAGGAGCTGCCTTCTGGCAACCGCAACGTGTGCGTTCGAAAAGTCGGATTATGTAAGCGCGCTAAGCTTAAGCTTCATCCCTGACCGGACTTTCTTTCACCCATCGCCCACCTGCACGTCCTTAGGCCACGCTGGCCTCCAACTTTCGAAGCATCGCGAAGAATCAAGCCCTTCCGCCTGAGTCTGTCTCAACTCTGAGGACAGATGTGGCGTTTGGGGAGAGTTCACGGTAGGACGACAGTGTCCACACGACCTTGGGACTGCCTTGCCAACATCCGTGGACCACCCATACGGTACAGCACAGGATCGGGCTAGATGTCCATTGCACTTTGGTCTCACACTCACTACGTGGGCGAGGTTTGCGAACCTGTCATGCGCGGCGAATAGACTTCATGGCTTCATTCTTTCCTATCATGCATTAGCCTTCCGTCATTTCTCTGCAGTCTACCCTTACCTGATGCCATTGGTTCGAAATACCATATAGCATTCACACATTTTACACCTTTCACGTCTGGTCCATCTCATGCAAGTTTGGTTGTGTTAAATTGCTTCAGTCCACTTTCGCGGGATACGCATCCATCTTATCCAAGTGAATTTCTAGCACTTGAATAGATCGCAATTCTCAGAGGAACCATAGTATGCGCTGATTGGTGGTTGCAGCGAATGCGATTTTAGCGCGAAAGCTCAGACCAGCACCTTCACGATGCGAACCTAACGGACCACTGGGCGCTGGCCTTTGAGGGGAGCGATCTCCTGGGCACCTCTAAACCTCTCATATCTACCGAGCCCTTCCAGAATAGGTCAGCTTAGCGATTGCGAGCTTCAGCATAGCGAGTGCGACTCTTCATGACAACATCACGGTGCTTGGACAAGTGCCACAATGTATTTAGGGAGAATGTCTGCTCTTTTGTTCATTCGCATCGTCTCAACCGTCGAGAGGAAAGCTCATCCCATTCTCCCTGCTTCTTTGTTGACTGCTTGGAAGTTCTCTCTAGTACCGCCCGTTCCATCTCAAAGCCAGCGTCACTATGGCGAATCCACCCAAGTCGGAGCAGTTTGACTGGGAGATGTTTCGCTACGTCCCTTCCCTTGTCGGCGCCATCATCGCTCTCATCATATTTTCTATAATGGCTGTCCTACACTTCTGGCAGTGGCTGCGTCTCAGGAACCACATCGTCATTTACGTTATCATAGGGACACTATGTTCGTCGACGTCCGCTCTATGCCAATCTCGAACTCCCGCTAATATTTGCTCTGCAGGTGAAATAGGCGGCTTTGGGGCACGTATCGGCTCACACTACGACAACGAATCATGGGCGCCTTTCATCGTCCAGGGGACCCTTCTCCTGGTCGGACCGCTCTTCTTCGCCGCCACGATATATATGATGCTGGGACGGACTGTCCGAATGGCCGGAGGAGAAGATGTTTCCCTCATCAAGCCGACATGGTACACACGGTTGTTCGTCGGGGCGGACATCAGCACGCTCGTCCTCCAGGGGCTAGGTAAGCTACCGAAGACGCAAGCTCCTCGTGAAGACTAGAATACTGATCCCCTACAGGTGCATCTATCATGGGCTCTATGCAGCTCAAGCTCGCTCTTGCTGGCGAGAAGATCGTAATCGCCGGTCTCGCACTCCAAGTCACAACCTTCGTCCTCTTCCTCATCGCTTCTTTCGATTTCAGCGTTCGAATGGACCGGAAAGCTCGGGATACACCGCACAGCGCCGCGAGTGGCGATTGGAAGAAGGTGCTCTGGATGCTCTACAGCGTAAGCTCGTTGATCCTCCTCCGCTGCATCTTTCGCGTCATCGAATACGCCATGGGCAACGCATCGTATCTGATTGCGCACGAGTGGACACTCTACGTTTTTGACGCCGTGCCGATGTTCGTTGTGCTTGTTCTACTGTTGGTTTTGCAGCCCACAAAGTATGTGCCGAAGGAGAACAAGAAGCTGAGCGTTTCAAGCGGCGATACGGAGCGTGGAATCGTGGAACATAAGTGAGTGGAATGAGCGTCCTGGGCATACATATCCTCGCAAGCTTTTCCGTTTTCGGAGTTCGTATCGGTTTTATCAGGCTACTTCCCCATTTTCGCGGCTATAAGGAGTTGAGGCAAGGAGCAGCTTGGCGTAATGTTTCTCTCGCGAAATCCTTTCCTAACATTGCACATTGTCAAGCTTCCTCTTTTAGCGGCGCGACGATGTCGGAATCGTAGACTTCCTGTAAGCTTATCTAATTCAAGTCATGACGTAATCATTTCTATCTAAGCCACTTCAAGGCATCTAAGTGCAGCGCTAGGCATCCTTTGAGCATCGTCTAGGTTAAGCATCACTTCACAGATCACACATCCCTTGATCCTCACCCCCTCTAACGCGTCCTTGCTAATTGTAGACTGCTATTAACCAGCTTGATAGATTACCAGTCATCCTCATGGTTCGTCGCAGCGCCGGATTTGTGAGCAAACGGCCGCATAAGAAGTCTCGGGGCGGATGCCTGTCATGTAAAAGGAAGAAGGTTAAGGTAAATTACTCCGTTCATGGTCGCTCGGATGGGGTTTAGTAACGCATTGCAGTGCGACGAAGGTCAACCAGCTTGCGGATATTGCACGGTCCGAAAGCTAGAATGCGTCTACCCTCAGGAGTCCAAATCGGCATCAACCAGTCCACCATCGGAGAATCCACTATCATGGACTCCGCCCCCAGATGGCGAAAGCGACTCCAACGAAAATGCTTTCCAAGTGGCGCCCTGGCTCACCCCAGCTACGGTTACATCCTCAGGTCAGCTTTCGAAAATTGACCTTGAGCTGCTACACCACTATAAGTTATCCGTCTGGCCGACCTTGAGTTTCCGGGAAGATGAAGCGGTTCACGCCCTCAATCGCGACTGGGTACCGAAGATGTCGCTCTCTCGGGACTACCTACTTTATGCGATCCTAAGCATCTCCGCCTCCCATAGCAACGCCTTCCGACCGAACGCTCAGGCGAAGAACCTCTCTGTGCTGTATCGTCAAAAGGCCCTCGGCACATACAGCAAAGCGTTGTCGAATATTACGTCGGAGAATTATGAAACTCTCCTGATCACGTCTACTTTCATGATGATCATGGTGCCTCCGCCAGAGGTCCTCTGCGATGATTCGGCCTGGCTAACCTGGTTGTCTTCTCTACTCTCCATGATGCAGGGCCTTCGCGTCCTAGCGAGCTTGAAATGGGCCGCTGGTATCGAGAAGCTCACCGTCTTTCCACTCTTCAAAAGGGAGCTGAGAACGCTGCCTCCACCACCAATCATCACCGTGCCGCCCGATCCTCGCCTCTACGCGAATACTCGGCCCCCTGGAGAGGATCCCGTCCACCCCAACCCACCCAACACGTACGATCCGCCTCTATTTGAAACTGTCCCTGCGGGACTGGATATGTCGAATCTCCCGTTCCGCCCACAGGAGCTCATGAGCGCGGGGAAAGTGCCACACGCACCCGTTAAATGGAGAAAGAACCCCTCCTGGATGATCCCCTCGCCGGCCTTCCTCCCTCCGCCCCTTATGGCGCTCCTAAAGACCCTCGTCGACCCGTCGGAAACAGGACCACTAGACCTACACAGGCCCACACTAGTGCCAACCCTGCACGCTCTCTCTCCCATCTTCCTCTCCCTCTACTACTATCACCTCAATCCGGACCTCTACGTGCGCATCTTCGTCCTGCCCACCTTCCTCACGCCCGAATTCTTCGCACTCGTCCGCTCGCGCGAGCCCCGCGCCCTCATCATAATAGGCTGGTGGTTCGCATTTGTAAGGCTGATTCCGAATATGTGGTTGTTTGAGGGGATAGCGCCGAGGGTGCTGCAGGCCGTTAGTAATGAGATTATGCGGTGCAACGATAAGATGTTGTTAGATGCTATGGAGGGCGCGTATCGGATTGTGAGCACGTACGAGAGAGTTGGGAGGGAGGCGGCGGCGAGGAGCGTGTTTGAGGGGTGGGACGGGGTTAGGTGGGACGAGGGGCCGACGAAGGAGGAGGAGTGGAGGGTTGAGGAGGCGTCTAGGGAGGAGCAGTGGAGATTTGAGGAATTGGTTGATTTGAGTGCTGCGGGATGAGCAGACTTTAGAGTGCTTGGGCTACCCATGAGATACCACCGTCTCTAATTGATGCAAGTTATTCATCCCGCTGTGTAGTGCAAGTGCCTTGTACACCCTCCCAAGCGCATCATGTGCCGAAATCCTGTGTCACCACCCCTCACGTCGACACTGCCCCTTCAACAGGATCGCCCGCCTAGTTATCGCCACGCTCCGTCTCGTCCCCAACCGGTCTAGGCTCCCTCATCATGCAATACAGCGTAATCTTCCCGTCCTCTCCCTCCCCATCCCGGCAATCCATCTCCCTCACCAGCTTGAATCCAAACTTCTCGTAAATCGCCACGTTCGGCTCCTCCCTGCTACTCTCCAGATAACACCACACGCTCTCCTTATCCGCCTGCTTGAGCACCTCCTCCATCAGCGCCCTCCCCACACCCTTGCCCTGCGCCTCCGGCAGCACCGTGACGATATTACAGAAATAGTACCCCTTCTCACTCGTCCAGAGCTCTTCCTGCGCCTCGGCTTGCCGCGCCTTCCATATCCAGTAGCGCTTTGTGGAGAGCCCGCCCCGGCCGTACCACAGGTTCATCCGGATTTGGGATAGCCAGAGCCACCAGAAGGAGAGGTAGAGTGACCAGGACTGGGGTTGTGACGGAGGGTGGGGTGGGAGCCACATGGCGCAGCCGAGGATCTTGGACGGGTTCGAGGTGTCGCGTGCGACATGAAAGAGGCCGTGTTGGATGCCCCAGCGGCAGCGGAGGGTCAGGGAGACGCGGTTGCGCGTGAGCGAGATCTGAATGCGTTGTCAGCGGGGTCGGAAGCAAAGGATGGCATGGGGGCTTGCCTTTGAACGGTCGGGATACACCCAGCGATTGTAGGGGTCCTCGGCAAACGCTTGCTGAATTGTATCAATTGCGCCGTCGATGTCGGCTTCGGTCATGCGAGAGACTTGGATAGGCATCTTGAACAGTGTTGGGCGGTCTTGAGGACGCTGTCGGGGGGTTTAAGGTGGGAGAAAGTCGGGGAAAGTGGTCGTCGAGGGACGGTGAAGGGGAAGAGAGAAAACCGTATTAGCCATGATCATTGCAGGGAGAATGGCGGCGTGAGGTTGGCTTTGGCATGCGACGATGCAGATAGGCGATTACTTGGGAAGGTGCACGCGGGGCGCACGTGAGGGGCTACGACGAAAACAGGAGGCGTAAGCGATCAGTATCTCACCTCTGGGAGGCTTGGCGCTGCTCATCAATCTGATCCCTCAGCCTCGCTGGTGAGAATGGACGTCCACCCTACGTGCTCTGCATTACTCGAAAGGCTCCAGATCGAAGGCGACACTCATGCCTCCAAGCTCTTGGACATCCATCGCTGGCCTTCCAATCGTCCGATATGACTTCAGCCACCTTAGCTAGCCGGGAACGGCCTCCTGACGACCTCGAACTGGCGCAAACGATATCATGGAATAGCCGACAAACGCAACATACTTCTGCTAAACTGGCATCTTACCTTCAGGCTGTGGATAGGGCCGATGCTTACGACACTTTCATCAAGCACGGAGTGACCGACTTGTGGTTTCCATTTCCCAAGCAGACGCTTCGGCAGCTTTTGAAGGACCCCCACGCTGAGAAGAAATTTGCGGATATGCAAGAAGGAAACTATGATTCCCTGGATGCCAGAGAGATGAATCCGCTGGTAGAGCCCTACCATCTGGTGTTCGAGGATGGCGAAGAGGTTGTGAGAAGTGACAGGATCCTTGGCGAGGGAGGACATGGGATCGTTGAGCAGGTGACTCTACCAACGCGACCACAGCCGCTGGTGTGCGTGCGCAAGAGGATAGGAAGACCGAAGCAGATGAACGCCCAGAGGAAGCTTTTCGAGGCATTCTCTCGAGAGATCAATGTAATGCGCCAGGTGCATCATCGGCATTGCGTGCAATTCACGGGAAGCTACTCCGATTACGACTCAGTGGCCATTCTCTCGTCGCCTGTTGCTGATATGGATCTTGCTACTTTCTTAGACTTGCCTGATTTGTCGCCGGCACAGTCCGATACTCTACATCGCGGCCTCGGATGTCTATGCAGTGCCCTGAACTACCTTCACGAGAAGAAAATTCGGTGAGTAGATTTTCATATAAAGAGGCTTGCTGGAATGTGCGCACGGAGCTCTCAGAAAATTGAAAGGCCGGCTCACGGTACCCATATTTTGTGCAAGGACATTGACCTGTTACAGACACGAAGACCTGAAGCCTCAGAACATCCTCATACACGGAGATAACATTCTGCTCACGGACTTTGGTTTCAGGTATGGATCATAAAGCCCAAGCTCGATCCTCTCAGTCTTACCCTCGCTAGTCTAGACTTTTCGGATGAATGTATTTCAACTACAACGGGTCGCCCTTCTGCGTGGACGGCCCGTTACGCAGCCCCAGAGATCCTGAATTTTGAACCACGCAATAGAGCAACCGATATCTACGCGCTTGGTTGCATAATTGTCGAAATACTCTCGGCTCTTCACGAGGTTCGCCTGTCCGATCTGAAGACATATTGGGCGACCACTGGGAACGGCCATCGTAGCTTTACCCGGAATGTAGAAGCAACATCTGCATGGCATTTCCATTTGTCTTCGCAGTGCGATTGGAAACACAAGACCCTTCTTGCCTTTACTAGGATCATGCTCGATCCAAACCGAGCCATTCGGCCCTCAGCCCAGCAAATCGTGGACAAACTCACGGACTTGGACCTCCTCCTCCCCAGTTTCCCCAAGATTGGGCGTTGCTGTCGCTCGGAGATGCCTAGTGGGGGCGCAATGAGATACGGCCAATACAGCATTCCCTGGAAGAGACTCACCGGGTTCTTCCTCCCCGCCTTCTCCGACAAGCATACATTTATTCTAGTAGACCTCGATTTGAAGGTCATTGCCTCCAAGAGCAATGGTGCAATATATGATGGACCGGCCAGCGAACTCGGGTACTACTTTGTATCCCTTGACAAAGTCGAAGACGCGTGTCGCCGCCTTCGCACCACGGCCCCTAGCGTGGAAGCCACCCAGGAATTTTGGCACGCTCACAGAGGCCACAACATCAGAGCATACACTTGCGGAGTCCTGCATGCCATGGCTAGTGCCCAAGTGACACCTTTGAAATACACCTTGTTGCGGCAATTCTTTGACCATGTCACGCTACACCATATGCCGCCAGAAAATACCACGATTTCGGCATGGAGGGTAGTACAAATCTCCTTGGTACCAATCTGTTTTCCGAAGTTGGAAAGCTACGGGTCGTTCTTTTTCATTATCTCCTGTAGACTTGACGAAGACGATCCGTACATGCTACGGAGCGCGCAGTACAACGAACAACAATCGGAGGTGTTACCCTCGGCCAACTAGAATGAAGCGGTGCGAGCGCTAAATCTCTAGGTAATATTCACTCGATAATATAGTAGCCTCGTTGGTAGGACTTGCATTCATGCGAAACGCGCCTGACTATGACATGGAATGGGATTGGCGACTCGCTTTACGGACCGGTCTCCACGAGGATACCAATTATCGGCCCCTGAGGTCTCCAGCCCGCGGACAATGTACAAATGCCGAATCGACCATGGAATGGCTGACGTTGTTGCTCAACAGAGTAGACTGTCGGCTCTCCTTCGAGCTATTGCGGGATTGGATCTGGTTGGTGAGGGATGCCCAGGATTTCCCTTCACCGCCTTGAGGCCTTAACTTACAGAACTATGTGGATATATAGCCTTCACCGCTTCCGTATTGGACGGCTTGATGTGTGTTTGCAAGCGAAGTGGCGGCATCACGGAGTGAAGGCGTGTCCACACCGCCAGTTAGGAAAAGCCGCGTACTGTAGCATAGAGTGAGGAGATCTCATTTAGCCAGCTATCCCTAATGCTCAATCTTCTGTAGCTCCATCGTCTTTCTCTTCTCCTTACAAAAAACTGCTTGTGTACTGCTCCCGTCGATTTGCTTTTCCATCTCCTTTCGCGTGGTACCACGTCTCCTTGATCGTCTGGCTCGAGGCATCGCAGTTGTGGCAGCAATCTTCACCGTCTCTTCATTCTACAAGTCGTCCTCGACCTGCAGTCTCCTTCACCTTCATTTGCTCTGAAACCTTCGTCTCTCCCGCTGGTCCTCACGCGCCTAATCTATAGGACCTCATCAAGGAGCAGGATATCTACATTCAGACCGACCGCTGCCCCGTCTTCTCCTCTTCCTACTCTTGGGCCCATAATACCACGCTCTGCCTCTGTCAGCTCACCAGACATACCAGTTCTAACTCGCTATTCGCCTATCTTGACCTGAGCTGCCTCCAGTCGAGCCAAATATCGTACCCCAAGGACAAACAGATCGAACGAGAGAGTGTCATATCAGCTTCCGCGTGGTCCGCTTTGGGTAACTGGCGATATACAGATACCTGAGCTGGACGTGCCTCACCTCTGGTTGATGACGAGCGAATTTTAGATGACGATTGTGAGTAGGACTTCGGATGACAACTGAAAAGGCGGCAGCAATGAGGGTGAAGCGCCTACGCTAGGGAGGGGCACAAGAGCGAGGCGATGTACGTTGGTAGGAAGGAACAAGGACGGGGAGACTTGCGATCGAGTTATGTTGGGAGGTGAAGGTGTATCACCCTGCGCGGAGAGTTGCCGCCGTGGCTGCTTGCGGCGCACAGATACATCAAATCTCCAAGCACGTGGAGGAGGCAACAACCCAGCCGGCCTCCGTCGCACCTTCCTCACTCACTTACGCAATTACACCGCCCCTCTAGCGCGCCTACCCTCTCACACGCGCGTTCGCGCACACACCACCAAATCCGCGCCCCACATAATTTTTGTGTATATATATTGAACAAACGAGCAACTCCATCACCAAGAACCACAAGCGCACCCCGCGGCTCGGAGCTGCTTAAGATGCCCTGGAATAGCGGTTCGGAAGTCTGACTGCCGTACAACCCTATCCGGTCTAGCAACATCTTATACCATACGAGCTAAATGCGTGGCCTCGTGAGTTCGAGTATGAAGTACCGCTAAGCTGAATAAGCTTCGCATGATGGAAAAATACTCAAGATCCTAATCAGAAAAACTCTAATAGGTTTTCTGAGCCAAGCGAGGCTTCGGCTTCTTTTTGCAATTTTTTTTACCTTTATTTTTGGCTAGGAAGGTGGGTGGTTGGAAGGTTGGAAGGTTGGTATGGATGGGTGAGGTGTGGCTATACGCGTGCAAGACCGCGTACTGGCCTAGCGGTCAAGCATACGAAGGAGAGGATGATGGACGGCTAATAGCTTTCTTACTACATCTCAGGCAAGTACACTGGAAGTTAACACGGAGTGCATTTTATTGCTACCTTGCCATATACTCCTAACCTACATTCAAATGAATGACTTCGAATACATTAAACCCGTCATCCAAAGGTATCACATCACCGCATGCCCAATCCCATGCGCCAACCCATATACAAAGAACGGATCCCCCTCCCCCGCCCCTACGTTAAAAGCTTCATCATACTCTCCGCTAAAACCCCCAAATGATATTCCCCCTTGTAGACCGCCTTGGGCTTCTTTTCCAACCCCATCAGCTCGTACACCGCCATCTGCGCCGTCCTCACACTGTACTCCACCGTGAACACCGTGTCCTCGGGCACCTCGACAAACTGGCCCACGAACGCGAGATTCGTGCTGCCCTCCGGAACTACGGCTGGACGGTCGCCCGGCTCGCGCGTCAGGAATTGCGATGTGATATAGGGCATCATGCACGGCTTGACGATGGCGTGCTCGAGGATGTTCTCCGCGGGGAAGTGCAGGTGGCCGAGGAGCTCGGTCAGGATCTCTTGGCCGGTGCATTCAGTCATGGGCTTCTTGACGTAGTTGCCCTCTTTGTCGCCGCAGAGGCCGTAGCCCCAGAAGACGTCGATGCCGAGGGGCTGGTCGACAAAGTGTGGCTGGTGCGGGATGACGATGGAGAGCAGCCAGTTGCTGTCCTTGAAGGTCATGAGCGCTCCCGTGCCGGGCTCGTTGTGGCTGAAGCCTTCGATGCGGCGGAGGAACTCCGGGTCGCTGAGGGTCACGGTAAACGACTCCCATTCTGACTCGCTGATGCGGGATGTGAAGTTGGAGGGGTTGCCAAATTTCTCGTTCTTGGCGGCGAGCTTGTGCCAGAGGTCCCAGGCGCCGTCCGTCAGTTTCTCGTCGACGACTTTAGGTGGCGGAGAGTCGTTGTCGCCGACGCTGGAATTGGACGTCATGCTGCCGAGGGTTACGATGACGATGTCCTGCGGGTCGAGTTGCGCGCTCATCGGCGTGCCGTCTTGCACCATGTGCAGTTCGTCGACGGTGGTGGGAATGCCCTCGATGAAGTCGATATCCACGACACGCGTGTTGTAGCGGAAGTCCACGCCCTGGTTCTCGAGATACTTCTGGATGGGCCGAATGATCGAATCGTATTGGTTATACGGGGTGCGGTCGACGCCAGCCAGCGTGCTAATGCGCGAGAACTCGTGCAGGAAGCGGTGCAGGTAGCGACGGAACTCGACCGCGCTGTGCCAGGGCTGGAAAGCGAACGTGGTGGCCCACATGTACCAGAACTTGGTCTTGAAGAACTCTGGCGGGAAGCACTCGTCGATGCGTTTCTTGCCTAGGCTCTTCTCGGTTTCCAGGGTGAGCTTGATGAGGTCGAGACGCTCGGTCATGTTGAGGCCCAATTTGGAGGTGTCGAGGATTTCGGCCCTGTCTTCGCCTTCGGCAACCAGTCTGGCCTTGGAGTGCGTCTGATGCTCCTTCTTGGCGTTGAAGTCCTTGATCTCTTGCATGACGGTCTTCTCTTCATCTTCGAGTGTCGGAATTCGTTCAAGCAAGTCGTAGGTGCAGTTGTACGAGGAGTTCAGCATTCTTCCTCCACGGATGAGGTAGCCTGAGGATGGATCGCCGGCGCCATCCATGGATCCGCCCATGACCGGGAGGGCCTCCAGGATGTGAATGTTCTTGGCTGGGACTTTGGCATCTTGGATGAGGTGGACGGCAGCGGCTAGGGATCCAATTCCACCGCCGACAAGGTACGCTTGTGTCTGCTCAGGGTCACGGTGGGGTGGCTCCTGGTGGTTTTGTTTTGTGAACGGAATGCGCGGCATGGTTGGGAAAGTAGATTTCAGCAGACTCTGGGTGGCTTATTGAGGTCAACGGGAAGTGTCGAAGGGCATATTTTGCCTGAGCGGGCCCACCATATAAGATGTAGGGCGAGATCGCATGATGACAATGATCATGCTATCACGTGTCAAAGCAACAACATCATAGTCTCGGCCGACGGACCATTCAGGAACCATGAGTGTTCACTACGGGCATTTACTGCCGCAAGATCAGGTTATGCGGGGTGCATACGGATGCTTCCGGACTCGTCTTTGTGCTTCTTGGAGCTCCAGTTGCGCGGCAACTGGTCATAGGGCCTGAGATCAGGCGAGGCCGACATGAGAAAGCCGAGGAACAAGATGTCGTGATCTGGCGAGGAGCGCGAAGCCTAGGGATTTATGGGAGACCTACTATTAATTGTGGGAGAAGGAATGAGAGAGAAATGGGTGTAGATGAGGTCGAGAGGTCGCTTACTGATTAGATAAGCGCTTCATGCACTACTTTGTTTGGCTCTCCCAGAGCGACAGCACACTCGCCGTTCGTGCACAAATTCAACCCAGTTTGGAGATTGATCAGAGGTTCTGCAACGTAATGGAAGCTTTCGAAGCAATGAGTAACCACCTTGGGACAAGGCTGAGTTGCCGCCTCTCATGTGGACAGTAAAGAGGGCCCAAGAAGCATCCTTCTTTCGCATTTCAAGCATATATCTATTGCAAAAGAGGCACATAGCCCGTTTCTTCACCCTAGACTCCGGCAAATGCAAGCAACCTGTACGCCATCCCATGCATCAGAGAGCCCGGCCTCCACGTTCACCCGTGTCTAGACCCCCGACGAAGACCTGCTCTCATCCTCCACCCCTCGCTAGTATCTCCTCCCGCTCCAGGACCTCCTTCTTGAACTTGATCAAGAACACCGTCTTCCCAGGCCACAGCGGCGCGCCCTTCCCATCCTTCCCCTCCTCCTGCTCTCCCACACTATGTGCAGACACACCCTCCGTTGGAAAACCCGCGCCGTCGCACACGCCCTCTATTATGCCCGCCACGAATGCCGCGCAATTCAAGCTCGACATCTCGCGTGGTAGTGATATGTACGTATTCACCATCGGCTCGTTGTCGAACAACATGTACTGCGCTGAGTCTGTTCCCGAGCGCTCGAGCGCATCCGCGGGTCGCCCAAAGAGGTGTCGGTATAGCGTTTGCGCGATGAACTGGAGGAGCGGGAGGATGCGCGTGGGGCGGATCGAGGCGAGCGGATTTGAGCTTCTGCTTAGGAGTAGGTCGAGGAGTCGGACGCCGATGGGGTAGCCCTGGTTGTTTAACCTGCACAGACGTGCGATTACTATGCTGCAACTTGCGAGTAGATAACGGGCGTGTGTAGCCTACCGCTGCTCCAAATCCCCGACATCCCTCGCCCCTCTCTGCGCATAGGCAATCATTTCAATGAACAGATACGCAAATGCCGCCCTGCTAAGCTCCGCATTCTTACTCCGGTTTAGATTCCGGTCGTATATCGTCTTCTTGTTCGACGGGTAGCGCAGGCCGGGGCCTGAGGACGGCGTGCTGCTCATTGCTGTGCTGGTGCCTGCCGGCGCGGGGCGGTTGTAGTGGGAGGACTGCGGAGGAAGGGATTGCGGGCGCGGAGGAGGATGCGAGGGGAGTGAGGACTGGCGGATCGGAAATGTGGTGGACATTGCGGGCGTTGGAGATTGGGGTTAGGTGCTGGAGCGTGCGTTCCTCTTTCGGGTTGGCCGTGCCAAGACTTGGGGAACGACATGTCATCCTTGACGCCCACGGCACACGAATATGAGACCTCCGCGCTCTATATTTCGGAATCTCGTCCTGTGCATTGGAATCTTGCAAAGCGTCATACTCCTCCTTGACAGAGCACTCAACGCCTCGCTCCGACCATGCTACCGCCCGTACCGTCGACAGGATCCGGTGAGGTGTTATATCTGGCTTAGGCACTTCCAGATGGGGCTGATATGGAGAGCCTGTCTGTCCAGCGTGCTCTTTGTATCGGTCAGGCAGCACAGGAAAGGCGGGATCGTTGGTGCAGGTATGTTCATGCTTTGGGCAGCTTGGGGATGCATCGTGTGGGCATGAAAGGAGCGTGAGCGCTTCGACGGAGCAGTGTCTTGTCCCATTGTAGCATGGTTCTCGGAATGGCGTAGGTAGCTCCTTCTTGAAGCACTCCCAAGGTCTCTGGAGACAGTCTCCTGTGCTCCTGCTCGTGTAAGTGGCATGCTAACAGCCCTCAGTGAATTGCGGCGGCTTTACTGCATCTCCCGTCCCCCATTCGGGCGCCGAAGGCCAATAGCACGCGCATTTTGGACAGGCTCACGTTAGTTAGAGCAGCCTCTTAGAAAATAAAGCTATCTAGTTGCGAAATAGCTCTAGAATAGAGAGGGGCATAGGCAAGATTTTCCAAGCACTGAATCGGCCCATGTTGTGAGACAGCGGCTGTTGAAGACATCTCACATGTTATCGCATTGATTGATACATGGCCAGCAACCTTATACCTGGCCGGACAAGCCCCCAAATACACGAGCAGCGCGCGTTATTAGCCATGATTGCCGAGGCATTCACGACCTGATGAGCCATTGCCCGAGGCATTGGGCATAATACCAGTAGAGCCCCCATCGTTGAGCGGTTTATTTTAAAAGACCGCGAGCTTTTGGAGCTGCATGCGTACAGCTTGGACTCACAAGGGGCGCAGTACCACGGACATAAGATGAAAGAGGCAATTATTTAAGGCCGGAACAGAATCGTGCGTCCGCTGTTCTCTGCATAGCCTACTTTGGTAGCGAACGGTTGGCGTCGTCCCTCCGGCATCGTAGGAGGGAAGCCTTAGTTTACGATTCCTCACAAGCTGATCGTAGGGCAAGATATCACAGTTACTACATGCTGAGTGGCAGCTTAGACGAAGAAGAGACACGGAACAACTCAGAACAAGTCTGTCGGATAGTGGTCTATGGGCCAGAAGAACAGGGCGTCCGACTTTAAGATCAAATAGCCGCACAACCTTAGATAACCGCAAAGCCTTAGATATAAGAAGCATAAAAAGCTCTGGTACACCGATTAGATGGCCACGCTACTAGGAAACAGAATTCTGGCACTTGGCCAGGATGGTCATGGGTTCTAGTCCCAGTCCTCATCCCGGTGTTCCGGCACTTGGAAATACCTCGCGATTTGCTGTCGGATATCGTTGCCGATAGCTGTGTCCTGCCTCGAGCACTGCTCGCACGTCGGGATAGCTGTCATTGCAGGCGTTTTCCGTGACAGTGTGTTCATCACAGAGCGCGTCGAGCCGCTCATTTAGGGTCCTGTCTGGGATGGCGGCCCGCTCGAGACGATCTAGTTGTTCTTCCAGCATAATAACCCGAGCTTGCCGTTGCCGTTGCCGTCGCTCGTCTTCTCGTTTTCTTGCAATCTGCGTCGCTTCCATCTTGCCAGCAACGAAGTTCTGGTAGGCTGGCAAGCCGGTATCAAGCTCCCGTTGCTGTTGCTTGATGTAAAGCGGAAGTGAAAGACGGAAGAATTCACACTCTCGCCACTTCTCCGTGGCTTCCTCGTGTAGCTGAATGCCTAGATTGGCGGAGCTGACAGCAATACCAGCCGGGGCAATGTTGAAACCCTGTCCAGTGTAGTAGTAGCCTGCACTAATGCGGGTGAAGAGTTCTTCTGCTAGTCGGGACTCCCTGTAGCTGGCTAGATAGGCAATTGTGTATGACTCTATTCTGAAGCGCGTGCTCTAGGGGCGCTGACTCAGCGTGGGCGCTCTTTCTCGCGGTAGTAGAAGGCTGGCATACGAAGAATACGTGGAGTCACACACGCATACCACGAGCCATGTTCTGTGCACCTCCAGGTGCCTGTGAGTCGTAGAGGCGCGTTCGATGTAGTATCAGGCTTCAGCACCGCAAGGATATGTTCAGTCATACGGCCATTCATACCCGTATAGAGGAGAGTATCAACCTCCACAGCCCGCCCAATATCCGCCGGCGCAGTATCCGCCGGCGCAACAACAAGCACTTCAGTACCCGCCGGCGCAACAATACCCGCGCGCGCAACATCCGCCTGCGCAGTACCCACCTGCGCAGTATTTGCCAGCGCAGTATCCGCCAGCGTGGTATCCGCCAGCGCAGCATCCGCCCGCGTATCCTCCGCAATATCCGCACCATGCCCCTCCCCCGGCCAACTATCCGCCGGCGGTCTACCCGCCGCCACCCGAATTCTTGAACACCATATCATATCGCCTCGTGGAAATGGCGAACGACGCTGCCACCCGGATTGCCTGGCCTGGAGGCTAACAGACACCGAACTGAGCTGAAATTCCTACGTAGCCACCCTCCTCTCCTATGGTCTCCGCACTCAACACTCTTAGGCGTCGCTATCGGAGTTGTCAAAGGCATTCCAGTGGTCCGAGAAATCTATCGCACGCGCCCTCTGATAACGGCGGTTCTTCTTCTTATCCTTCTCCGCAAGGCGCTCGTGCTCCAACTCCTTCGCCTTCGCCACTGACACTGCCTCGGACGGCCTCTTCAACTTCTCAATCTCACCCTTCAGCTCCCTGGTTGCCTTCCTCTCCGCTTTTAGCAGCTTTGCCTTCTTCTCGTGCTTGTGCTGCAGCGACTCCTTCTCCTTCCTATGCTGGAACACCATATTCTCCATCTTTTGGAACTGCTCTTTCAGTTTGCGGTTCTCCTCTAGCAGCAGTTTATTCTTGTCCTCCCAACTCTTGAAGAGGTTATATTGTGAAAGCGGCCTCTCGTCTTTCTGTTGGCGCAACATTGCGATCTCGAGGTCCTTTTCTTCAATGATCCGTTTCTGCTCCGCTTCCTGCGCCCTCATTTCATCCCATTCTTTCATGAAGAAGCCAGCGGCGTCGTTACGGTGGATGTTGCTGGTGCTCTTCGAGACATCTTCGCCGCCTCTCAGACGGGTAAGTTCCAAGACCCTTTCGAGACGATCGACCCGATCGCTGAGCTCTTTGTGTCGCCGCTCGTTGTCTTCCGGCCTGGCGCCTGACACTGTAGGCAAAGGGGTATTCAGTGAGCTTTGACTCTTGTTTGGTGTGACGGGTCCGGAACGTGGCGTCGTAGCTAGCTTTGGATAGGAACTCGACTGAACACTAAGGTTCGCGAAAAGTGTGTCATATTCACCCATCTGTTCATTATGAGCATTTCCCAACAATTTACCGGACAGGGGGGATGGCAGACCACGACGGTACGGGCCGGTTCGGCATCCAATGGTCATCTAACTCGCACAATACCGGGCAATCGTAAGCACGGAGACCTGCCGAGCTCTATTAGAATGACACGCGCACTACGGTAAGTAAGCGAGCAACTTACCCAGAACCGCAAGGCGCTGACGGGGAGGCAGTGCCTGGCGTTTACGGCGCGGTAGACTTGTCGAAGAGTGCAATTTGACCAGAATGCTGGAAGCAGCTTGCCTGAGGGTGTCACACACAACAGCAAATTGCACAACTGGGGCCCTAGTTATGCGTCGCCACGGAAACCACTCCGCCGTCACTAGCTCCGGGAAATGAACAAGCGGCGAGTCGCGCAGCAAATAAGGTCGATGCGGGGAGGGAAGGGGGCGAGATTTAAGGACCAGAGACGAGACTCTCCCAGTCTGGTGGGTGAGGCGAGGTGAGGTAAGGGAGGGTTAGAGGGTGTGGGCTGCGCGGTGACGCGCTGGCACATGATACACCACTTTTGGCAAGAGCTGGCAGGAGCGGGCAGAAGCGGACAAGAAGGCGGTGAGCAAGCATACTGGTGAAGGTGGGCGTGAGGATTCTAAGTCTGGAGAAGACTACGGGACTTACTATGTGAAGAGCCGCCCCCGTACATGTCCAACACTGACCACAATGCCAACCTCCGCACTCTTACCCACATAAGTTGGCAATGATAATGACACTGGATCAACAGCTGTGACCGTGTTGCTATAATTGATACGCAAACATCTGGTCCATGCGTCCGACTAGTCCTTCACATGGCTTAATGTATTGTCGAACCAAAAAGCCTGTCACGAAGGAATCAAAGAGTGTAACTGCTCCGCTCACTGCAAAGCGTTATCCGTGGCCGTGGCCTGACGACAGACGGCCTCCAGACCACGCTTTGAGCGCCACTCGTCATGTTCAGCTCCAGTCCGAGGGTACTCTCCGCCCAATTCCTCTGGTACCGTGACCTCGTCATCATATAGATCCACTCCAATATTGTTCTTCGCATCCACGTAGTTCGCACCAACAACCTTCGTTCGCCCCTCCTCTTCCGGCTTCCTCCACTCGCGGTACCATCTCTCTAACTTATCCCGCACAATCATTTGGTTCGACTGAAACATCGTTCTCAACTTGTGGAAGTCTCCGCGATGGATCTTGAACTCGATCGGAATCGCAACAGTAGTCTCATCGCCCACGGTTCCGTCGTCGCGCAGATGTGCATCTCCGGAGCGCTCGATGAGCAAATCTGCACGCAATCCCGCACACTGTTTCTTCAACTTTTCCAACTCCGCAAGCGCCTCGTTTCTCTCCTTCCTCATCTTTCGCTCCGAGGCAAGGCGCTGGTTCTTGTCGTGAACGGCCTCTTTCGCTTTCTCTTCCTCCTGAGCCGCAACGTTCTTCGCATTCCTGACTTTCTTGTTCGCGCCCTTGAGCTTCCTCCCTTTCCCTTCGTTCTCATAACATAATGTTGCGTACTCTCGCTCCGCAGTATCCAGCTCCTTCTTGAGTGCGTTGTTCTCGGTTCGCAGCCGCTGATTCTCTGGCTCGAGCCGGTTGAGGCGAGTCACTACGTCCGAAGGAAAAGCTGGATCTTCTGAGGCCCTCGCAATGAGACGTTTTCGCAATGTCTCGTTCTCTTTCGCGTATTCCTTTGCCTGTGCCTCCCACTTGTCTCGCTCTTTCCTCAGTTCTTCCATCGCTTCCTCAATAAGCATTGTGCCCGACATCATATTCGTGACACTCAGCTGGAGCCCATCCATCGTCTCATCCAGACCATCCAAGTTGTCCTCGCAGTGTTCCTCAGGGCGTGCTCGCATGTCCGCAGCGTCATGCGTCCTCGTGTCGCAGGAGCTACTACCCTCTGGTCCGCATAGAGTAGTAGGTGATACGATTCCCTGTGAGACACTTGTGTGGCAAGACTCCGGCGCAGCATCTAGGCATTCCACCTCGAAGAGAAATTCTAGACCGAGACTCATCTACACATCGTTAACATTTATCCAAAGCCGGCGTAGCAGGTACAATGACTTACTATGACTGGACCGTTCGCGCGGGCAATGCGTTTACATCGGATTGCGGCAAATCGACCAGAAATGCCGAAAGATGTCGGGCCAAATCTGGAAGGCAGTCGACGTGAGATGAGGCAGCAATGCTGGTAGCTGTTCGCTCGAGCGAGTGTCACACTGCAGAAGCACAAAACGAGCCCCGGTCCTCCTCCGTCACCGCAGAATCCGCGGCGCCGCCACCAACACAGCGAAAGGAACAAGCGGCAAGCAGCGAAAGAAGTGAGTCAACGCGTAAAGAGGGAGAAGACGCGGGCCGAAGGTTCAGAACCGAGACGCCCTCGTAGTGCGCGCTGAGGGAGCGGAGTGAAGGAGTGAGCGTGGCAATGGATGTGCGGGGCACTTCCTAAAGTTGTCCTCGGCGCGGTGACGCGCTAGCACGTGACGCTTCGCTTTGGGCAGGAGCGGAAAGGAAGGCGGTAAACAAGTGCGCAAATGAAGATGAGAGTGAGCATGGCGATTCTGAGTTTGGGATTCCTGCGTAAAGAGCCGCCTTCGTACGTGTCCAAAGCCGTGCAAGGTTTCACGGCGCCCATATGTCCTCGGATCTCGTACTCATTGAGACATCTGGAGACACGAGCATCGAACGCTGAGAGTGTCTGAACAAAGTTACAGAGCATCCGAGCTGGCGACTAGTGGCCCATCCATGGCCCCTCGTGAATGGCATCTACTCTTTCCGTGCGTTGGCCATCTTCGCCGCTCTGCCCTGGGCGCGCTTCTATTGAACGATGCGGACCGTGTGGACGAGAGGAACCTTCACCGCGTCAACGGAAGCCAGCTTTCCTGGAGGGGGCAGTGGCGGACAGTCACGGTCTTGGAAGTACTGTATTAGCAACGTGTGAATGGGAGAGATAGAACATACCTTGACCTACTCTGGGAGTGCGGGTGGAGCAGACGACGGTCTAGTAGCGGACGTTGATGTAGAGTTAGCCAGTACCATCCTCTGCCTCCAACCGTGCGGACAAGTCGAGTTTCCGCCTCGAGCGCTTGCTCTTTTCCTTGCTGGCACGTTTGTCGTGCTCCACCTTTTCTATCTCTGCGTGGGCTTCGAACAAGGCTTCTCTCAGCTTTGTTGTAAGCCTTCGATGGTGTGTAGAAGATTGGCTCGGGGCATTCGAAGTAGGGGACACGTGTGAGATGTCCTCAATCGCCGTGGGGAATCGCATAAGCAATCAAGTATATTCAAACGAAAACGCTAGACAAGACTCATGATTCCCACATACAGTCTACCACCCCAATCAAGATCCCCCATCCAACCTACAACACGCCCCTCTTCACGAACTGAATCGGGATATCCACCGTCTTCGCCCGCAGATACTCACAGCAGTTCTTTCCCAGCGTATCATACGTCGAGCATGCATCGTAACCCCGATCGAGATGGTCGTGCAGCAGGAAGTGCACGGCGCGAATATTGGGCATCTCAAAGCGATCAATCGGCTTGCCCTTGTATTCCTCGGGGCCCAGCAGCTCCTTAATCTTGTTGATAGTCAGCAGGCTGCGCAGCCACTCCCACTCGTCGTTGTGGCGCACGAAGAAGCCCACGTTGCAGTCAGAGCACTTGTCGCCCGAGCGGCCCAGCACGATGGAGCCGAGCGGGAGGCGCACGGTGGGGCCGAAGCTGTCGAGCGGAACGGGGTTCGTGGTCTCGTAGGACGGCTGCTGGCGGTCGTAGGTGCGGAATTCGGGGGCGAGAGGCATGTCGATGACCTTCTTGCCGTCTTTGAAGCCCTCGGTTTCGGCGCCGTCCCAGAGGCAGTGCACGCGCTGCTGCAGGGCGGCCTGCGGGAGCAGGGACGGGTGGTACTCGTAGTAGGGCTTGCCTTCTGCCTGGCGCATGTCGTTGCCGAGCGAAGCACCGGGGCAGGACTGCAGGAAGGTGACCATGGAGATGCGGAAGAAGCCCTGGGGGTTGCGCATGTTGAGGAGCTCGCGGTCTTTAGATTGAGCGAAGATGCGGAAGTCAACGGTGGCGACGTCCTGGTTGCGCGCGTCGATTACGGAGGAGCCGTTTTGCATGAACTTGAGCGTCGTGAACTTTTTGAGAGTCTCCTCGCCAAGTTCGTATTTGACTTGTTCTTCTGTCCACCTGCACTTCTCCTCGATGTGCAGACCGCAAAGGTAGACGTGGTACTCAGCTTGCCAGCCAGCGAAGCCCGTGAGGCCAACCTTGGTCGTCGGCGGTGGCGGTAGGCCCTTGACGCCAGAGACCTTGACCTGATCCTCGCCAACCTGCTCAATCTTGATGTCCTCGATCTGGGCGGTGACGTCGCAGTTGTAGTATTGGGGGCCTTGGATTTCGTAGAGGAGCTGCGAGGTGACCGAGGCCACAGTCATCTCACCGCCCGTGTTCTTCTCTTTGCACATGATGCCCTCACCTTTGTGGTCGATGGCGCAGATGGGGAAGCCCAAGTTGAGGTGCTTGCCGGCGGCGAGGAGCGAGCGGAAATCAGCGCAGTATCCCCCAGAAACGTAGGCGGAGCATTCCAGAAGATGGCCTACGACAGTCAGTACGGAGATTCGCTTTGATGGCTCGCCGGGTGGAACCTACCAATGATGAGCGATCCAGCAAGCTCATCGAACATATCGTTTGTCCACTCATGCCACCAACTGTCGCGGTTAGCCAATGCCACTCAAGAGCGTGATCGAGACATACGCAGCGGCACCGATGATAGGAGAAGCGTCCGACACACGACCCGCGATGACAATGTCAGCGCCCTCAGTGAGCGCCTTTGCAATACCCATGCCGCCGAGGTAGCACTGCGCGCAGACGGGTTCCAGACCCCATTCCGCGACCGATTTGTTGTGCATCAGGCTCCTGAATCCCTCGCCCTTGTTCAGCATGCCCTTGACGGTACCGGTAACGTCGTCGCCCTCAATCCAAGCAACCTTGAGGTTATATCCCAGCTCCTTGACTTTCTTATCCACGAGCTGCGCAAGGAGCTCGGTGTCAGACGCGCCGGCGTTTACAGCGAGCTTGACGCCCTTGCTCGCGAGGTCTGGGACAGCGGGCAGGAAGCAGTCGAGGAAGTTCTCGGCGAACATGGCGTAGTCGAGCTTCTCCTCAAAAGTGCGCGCCTGGAGCATTTGCTCCATATTCTTGATCTTGCCGGTGCCGTGGATGGTCATGGTCAGCTCGGAAAGCCAGTCCCCGACAATGACATCAACTTCCTCATTCTTCGCCAGACTGGCGATGGCGCGGACACGGTCTGAGAAACCGCCGGAGGCGCCGGCGACGCGAACGGGGCGGCGGGTTGCAGGGGCCATATTGGAGAGCTCTGTTTAAATGTTGAGACGGAAGGGTGACGCGGGAAGGGCTCACTGAGGAAGTAGACCTAAGGAGAGGAAGCTGTGGGAAGATATAGATGTCCATGTCGGGAGCGGACCCGACTAACATGGATGTAGAACGCATGGAAACGTGGCGGCGGTTGTGCATTTCCGCAGAAAGGCGAGTGTAGCTGGATCAGAGCTGTGGAGACCGATGCACCCCTCGTGGAACAGATGACGCTAGCCATCTCAGGGTAGTGTAGGGTTCGGCCGAGCATACCCGGCGAGCACGAGGGGTAAAACCACGTGAGCCCCGCATTTTGATAACCCGACGTCGCGGAGTGTCGGTCGGACAGGTGTCGGGGTCTCGGCGAGGCTCTGGCGGATGCTTAAATCCGTACTCCGAGGAATCGTGGAAAAGTGTTGATGTCCAACTTCGGCCGAACGATGGTGCTGACTGACATCTGCGGGTCAGGAGACGCCTATGCAGCACTCATGTGTCAGTCGCTGCCAGGCGCGCTCGACAGATACGAGACCGCTCTCTTGTTGAGGGACTCCGAGTCCCAATCGCAGGCGTAGCAGCAGCAATTCGTCATATGGCTCTCCGAGCGGGCGCTCTTGGTTTGAAGTCTCATCAACTCTTTACGTGTAAGGGATTGCTTGAGTCTACGTAACTGACGCCTTGCTGCGCAGAGAGCAGCCCATGTTACTTTTGTACTACTGTTGTACCCTCAGGAATACCAATCACGAATCGTGGATCCGTTAGGATTCGTGCTTGAGGGGTTTCGGAGATTCCTCGAATGCGGAATATGGCATCATTCAAGCGGGTAGTTGAGCAACACTTTAGTGATAGAAGAGAAGCATAGACGAATGAGATGGCAAGAAAAGGGACTTGAAATACGAATCGCCGGGCATCTGGACAAAAATGAAACGGGGAGGAGGTCGTGCACTGACATGAAGAAGCCAGATACCGTTTGCTTCCGACAGATACGAGAGAGTCCGTACCGAAAGTAAAGGCAGAAGCCGGTGCTGATGACATTATTGAAAGTAAGAGACGTGGTGGCATTGGATGCCGCCAGGGCAGCTGATAGCGTGTTTCTTTGCGAGTTGGCCCGAGCGCCCGCGCCTTGCCCGCGCGCTCCCCGCCGACGTCAACACCCTTCCTTCGACCCCTCACACGCTCCTGGCAATGATGGGCACCGCTCGACGCCCTATAATTCTTTCCGATGACCCCGACCCCAACCATGTCTCGCTGCCCTCCTACATCAGGCGCCACGTAAACCTCGGTTTCAACTCCAACGATGTCGCCGCGCTCATCAGCGCCATTGATTCCAGCCAGAAACCCCAACTACCGACGTTACCGCACCTCCCTGCCGAAATTCTCCTACATATACTGGAACACGTACCGATCGATCACATTTTGACCTGGAGGCTTGTGTGTCGCGGCTTCCGCGATGCAATTGATGGCCCGGTCATGTACGAGTGCCTAAAGAGGGCTGAGTTGATTGGCTATCTAGGACCTCGGGCAGGACACCCACTCGACCTAGTTATGGAAGCGGACTACGAGCGGATAAAGCTTGTGCGCGCATCTTTCGAAAGACTCGAGGATTGTACAACAACGGAGGGGATTGCTGTGCAAGGTCGGGCGAAATGGAGCGCGACACACGCGATTTTTCAGCTTGAAGACGAATGGTGGGAATCGTTCTCGCTCATCCGCGCCAAATATGACAGGAACGGCAGTTGGAAACATCTCCTTGAGGCTCTGGAGCTTCTCAGTGAAGAAGACAGCTACGGGACATTGAGGTGGTGCATGAGGCTCGACAAAGCAGTCTTGGATCTTGAATTACCTGTGGAAGCGCTGAAGGGATATCTTCAGGTCGACTTACAGAACAAAAAGGTGTTGGTTGAGTGGAAGGACTTGCTTTTCCGTTTCATAAAGACGGAGACATTGCTCAGGACTATGATGGAAGAGGTGAGCAGCATACCATCAATAGCATCCGCCCAACATGTGTTCGCTGACACACATGACCAGAAACGCGACTCCGCGTTCACCTTCAGCTATGAAGAAGATTGCCTCAGAGCTCTCCGTCGCCATTGCCTCCGCGCCGCGCTAGACCTGAACGACCGATCGGACCGGCAGATCAACTGGGCTATGAACCTCCTCTGCCCTCTGTTTGGGCAACAACGTTACGATCACGCGGACTCACTCTTTGGCGGTCTCGAATACGCCGAGGACGATGCCATTGCTGTTCTGACCGTGCTCCGCAAAGAAGCCGCCATGAGCCCTCGGCAGATCGCTCAGCTCCGCCAGCTAGCTCACCACAGAATAGCAATGGAAGAAGAGCTAGGAAACACGGACAAGTTATTTGGAGACTTTACCAGCGCTGTGTTCGGAATAAGCCCAGCCCTATGCATCTTGTTCCATCAGTTGCCCAAGGTTCCATGTAATCCTCTTGCGTGGAGCGATGAAGTGACGGTGCGGGAGGCGGAGCGGATACGTATATGGCAGACGCAAAAGAAGACAAGGCAGCAGTTGGCTGTTTTGATGAAGGGCACTGTGGAGGCTCTTTCGCTGCCGGACGATGCATTTGATGATCTAGAGAGCGATTTCTGACACGTCATTTCTTCAGCTGAGACACCCGTCAATATTTATGCCAGTTACGCACTTTCTTTCGGGGCTTTATTCATTACCCCCCTCGGCTTTGGAGCGACGATGGACGTGAGTGAACCTTGCGAGGCCTTTGGTACCTTCGCAGATGCAAGGTCACATCAATTCTGGGCATATCCTGCGGTGCAACACCAATTCGGCGCCTTCGATCCACTTAGGGTTATTCACACCGTGCATACAGGATGCGACAAATTGTACCGTGCGTTCGACGACTTGCTCCCGTCTCGTCTCTACGCATAATTACAAGCGATGACAAATGAACGCATCGTTCGAGGCCTTCTCGTGAGTTCCTTGGAACTCTCAACCACTAGCATTCGGAACATATCATTATTCCTACTTTACACGATGTGAGCCGCCTTCGAGGAACTGCGCCGCTTACTGAACCTCACTCTCTGCCTCCTCCCTTGGGCTCTTCGCCTCCACTCGCGGCTTGAAGCGATCGAGCTTTTCGTCGGCCCAATGTGGCCGCTTGTCGAAAGCAAACTGCAAGATTTCGGGCCTTTGATAATGCCCGGCCGCATCGATCCACACCTTGACGGCACCCATGGAGGAGAAGTCGATTTCGCCCTGCACCAGCTTCTCTTCCGCACCGGTATGCGGTCCAGCAATATAAGCACAGAAGGGGTGCAGGATCGAGGACCAACCACCTCCGGCCTTGACCATATCTTGCTCTCCCAAGTTTTCCTTCATCCAGTTGAGGCATGTCTCGTCGACGTAATTGGACGCGGTGATGACGAAGACCTGAGCGGTCAGGGCATGCGTCTTCATCAGCGCTTCGATCTGGGCATCCGCGACGGCCTCGAAACCGGCCATGGTCGACAGAGCCGGCCACGCACCAGCGTGAATGTGCTGGTTCTGCATGAGCAAGGCCTGGCGAGCTCCGTTCATGGTGTGCTCCCAGCAGGCCAGACCACCGAGATTGTACCCCAAGGAGAGTGGCCAGTTGCGCAGGGTGCTACCGTTGCCTTGGGCCCAGACCAGGCGCTCGACGTACGTGGGCTGGAGCTTTCGATGCACACCCAGAATTGTGCCGTCGTTCTCGATGATGACCTGCGAATTGAAGAGCGTATGGCCTCCCGCAACACGCTCTGAAATGCCTAGGTTGATTGCGACTCCGGTCCGGCGACAGGCATCTTGAAGGGCGCTCATGTCCTCGCCATTCGGCTCGACGACGACACTCTCCTCGGCATACTTGGCCAATGCGCCAACCTGCTTCAGCGGTGGGTAACATTCGATCCAGTACTATGGAAACGATCAGCATGGGACTCGGAAGATTCCTTTTTGCTTACTGCAGCTGCAGGGAGGGACCCACGGGATATCCAGGCACAAATGTCTCAGGGAAGACCACCAATTTGATATCTTCCTCGGCTGCTTGCTCGATGAGCCGGATGACTTTCTTTATCGTGGCCTTCTTGTCCATGAAGGCCGGCGCAGCGTGCGCCGCAGCCACCTTGAACTTGGTCATCTTAGAGGCCATGGCTTCAGAGCGTAACGCAAATTCAACAACCGGATGAAGGTGCAAAAAGTTCCTAGGCTATGGTGGTACGATAAGGAGGGGTGCAGAGAGGAGAGGGGGGAACGGGTGCGAAAACCCGAGAGAGCGGTTCATCTCGCCGAGACACTGCTCGGCGTGGCTCGCTACTCGCGGGTGCAGGTTTTAGTTTCCGCGACAACGCAGCCGTTTCCCCAAGCAGCATAAGCTCGCCCTGTCACGTAGCCATCAGCCGAGGTCTAAGCCTGCCTTGGTATCGATTATTATTCTCTCCTTGGATCCCCTGACCTGTATCTCGCTTACCTACCCGTTCCTGGACCCTTGAAACCGCTCAGGGACCGTCAACAGGGCCGGGCAAGAAGAAAAAGTGGACTCAAATTGGGCACCCATGGCATTTCGGCGGTTTTCCGCTCGCTGGGCGGCGGTTGGGTGGAACGGGAAGACGTTGAAGAGCAGGCTCCCCTCTCTGCGTCTTCCATCTGAAATTTGTCTCGCCCACGGCCTGAATGTCTTAGCTGTCAAACGGCTTCTCGTTCATGGCCGACTACTTTTCGAATCCCCCGCCAGGCTTGGACCTGAATGAGTCGCGCACTGCTTCGAACAATGCCATTGGCATCGTCCTTTTCGTTCTTTCCGCGGTTTTCGTGGGGTTGCGGCTCCTCACGCGGCTGAAGTACCAGCAGGCGAAACTCGGATTAGATGACTGGCTCATGAACCTCGGGCTTGTAAGTCGAGAATTATTCGCATTTAATGCAATTCTGACCACCGCAGGCCCTCAATGCTGGGAATCTAGCCTGCTGTATAGCGGGTAAGCCGAAACTCTATCGTGATGACCCCGCGGGCGCGTGGCTGACACTAGTGGAGGCGGGTTCTATGGCCTTGGAAAACACATATACACCCTAGGTCCCTACGAAATGCGAAAGATTACAATCGTAGGTTATCTATTGTCTACTCTGCGTATCGATGAGCTAATTCCTTCTAGATCACATTCGCATATGTCTTTATTTATGCATGGAGCGTGTGCATCATCAAGTACAGCATTATCGCCCTCTATAGACGCATCTTTGGCATGTCATGGCTGGGATGGTGGTGCGTCTTCTTGACCACTGGCTATCTTATCACCAACCACATCGTACTGCCACTGTACACCAAACCCCTATCGTATTACTGGAACCAATGGTACGGCGCTGAGGGCGTTGTCCAGGTGGACGAAGCAAAGGTCAGTCATGCCAGCCATCTCTCAAGCTATAGGCTAATTCAACTCAGTTCTACCTGGGCGTCGGCATCATCAACCTCTTCGGCGACATCTGCATCCTCACCGTCCCCGTAACGCATGTCCTCAAACTCCAAATGGAAATCACGCAGAAGATCGCCGTCCTCTTCATGTTCCTGCTCGGTAGTTTTGTCTGCTTCGCCTCCCTGTACCGCATCATCACCATCGTCCACCTCACCCAAACCACCGACATCAGCTACGCAAAGAGCGACGTCTTCATCTGGTCCTCCGTCGAGCCCTCCATAGGCATCATCTCGGGCTGCCTGCCCACCCTCCGCCCACTACTCATGCACATCCTCGAAGCCGTGTTTGGCTACGTTCCCGCAAGCGCGCATGCCTCCAGCGAAGGTTCCAGCCCTCTCGAGACCATCTCCAAGAAACGCACGCGCAAGATCAACAAGCGCGACGTGCTCGACGAGACGCAGTTCACGCAGCTTGGCGACGATGCAGATACTGACGGCAGTGCGGGAAAGGACCGGTCGAGATTCCAGTCCGGGAACCGGAGGCCTGCGGAAGACGAGATGGGATTGACAACGGTGGTCCAGGGTAAAGATAGCCAGGTTAGCGTGGGGATGAGGACGGATCAAGAGAGCTTGGAGAGTACACGGAACGGGAGTGGGATCACGGTGTCGAAGGAGTTCGCGTGGGGTGAGAATACGCATGCTCGGTGAGAGAGGGGAGGGAGAACGCCAGGAGAGACCTGACGCGTGTGCCAGGCCACACGACATCCAGTGCTGCATGAGCAAAATTCAAAGCATGCTGCGGCGAAAGAGGCGTATCGTTTGTTCACGAAGGCAAGAAGCGTGGCGTTTGGGAGTCCAGTCATGGGAGGTATCTGCATGCCTATCATAGAGCCCTTTGGGGCGATTTCGGTCAGCCTACTGGTAGGCTTTAGCGACTTCATATTGACTATAGAGTATGATCTACTCTGCTCAGCTATTCCCGCAAAGCCGCTACGCTGTATGCTCTCCTCTCGGCTTTGGTACTGACTTTTAGGTATGAGACAGTCGGTTTTCGTATCATGTTCGAAATGTCCATTTCCTAGACAGCGGTATTCCGACCTTCTGCACGAACAAGGAGCGGGGTATAGAAAATAGCGAAAGAAGAGTTCCACGCGACTTTGGAGGATCTAGATCTTCTAGTCTATAAGTCAAAGACATCGCTGCGCCGGGACATGCTCAACGGAACAAACAGAAAACAACCAGAACGGAAAATGGAATAGCCATGCCAACAAATCCTCTACACAACCCGCTCCCACTACGCACCATCCCCATCTCTAATTCGCAAAAACCGGCGTCCTCCCATCCCACTCCGCGCCCTCCGCCGCATCCACCAAAAACCCCGCCACACTCATCTTGCTCACCGTATCGAACCCGCCAATTCCCTCCCCCTCGTCCCCAAAGAACCGCAACGCTTTCCTCTCCCCTTCCGCCAGCCGCGTCGGCCGCGCCATGACGAAATTCACCCCGCTCTCTCGCACCAGCTGGTCGACGGCTTCGTGGTCCTGGTACCCGACGCCCATGTTCGAGTACCGGATCAGCGGCTTGATGAGGCAGGACAGCGAGGCGTACGACGAGCCGACGCCTTGGGCTTGCAGGGTGACGAGTTTGGTTTGTGTGGTGGAGCTGTGGGTTTTGATAGTGGAGAGGATGTTGATGTGCGCGTCGTGCATTAGATGAGGTGGCGATGTGGGTTTTGCAAACGGACTGTCGCTTGCGCGGGCGTTGTTCAGCGTGACGATGACGGCTGCGGGTAGCGAATCTGGGACTGCTGTGAAGGCCTTTCCTACGTCGACCGCGGAGAGCGGGGTCCCGGTGACGATGGTGAGGTTCTGGCTGGTGGTGGAGAGGGATGAGGGGTTGCGGACGAGGGCTGTGACGGAGTGGCCTCGTGAGAGAGCTTCTTGGACGACGAGTTCGCCGACGCGGCCTGAGGCGCCGATGATGAGGAAGCGCATTTTGGTTCTTGTTGAGGTTTCGTGGGTTGGTACTTTTGGATGGTTCGTGGATGAAGACTAAGTCGACTTTGAGGCACTGCGCGGATGTGTGAAGATGTCTGAATTGCTTGATTACGATTGATCCAGTGACCGAATGGTTTCTTATAAACTTCCATCTCTTTAGTATACCATATAGAGAGACGAGGCTGGGCGTGTGGCACAGTCCGGTGTTGAGGGTCGGCGGCCGCTGAAGATCGTGTTCGTCCGACCGTGTCCGGCATCTCCGACCTCCGCGCCCGACTCAGCCGAGCTTAGCGCGAGCGGTCGCCGGCGTCCGTGATTGGCTCCGAGGGATACATATCCGCATCGCGACGGACGAGTAGATATTGGTGTGGCTGCGATGCTCCAGGCGCACTTCATTCATTCAAGCTTCTAGCGCGTCCTCGCCATTTGGATCCGTGTAGCGCGTGATGGTTCGTCCGGCAATATCTCGCCAGAGGCAGAGAAGCATCGAGGCGCATAACTTCCGTCCCCAGCTGCGTCGTGGTGTAGATGGTTAAGGGAAAGACTACGATTACGCTGACCAGTCGACGGAGGCCTTCTCCTAGGACCTCCTGCGCGACTCGTCTTCCATCGATTCAATCAATATCAAGCCAGTGGAGGTCACAGGCCACAGGGATAGCGTATACTTGCGGGCGATCGGTCTTCACGGACTCGGTGCGCTCGTTCTTAGCGGCTGCGAAGGTCCCTGGGGCATCCATTCGCAGCGAGTCCTTCTCCATTGAACCACAAAGCGCTGATATATCTGATATCACGCCCAAGGAGGCTGTGGTACGGTTCGCTAAGTTGGGGAAGGGGCGTGCAGCGGGGACATGGCCAGGATTTGCTCGGCGTTGCCGGCGGATACGCTGCTAGACCTGGAGTTGTAGTCGATTCATCAGCTCATAGTGCCTTGAACGACCAAGTCCAACGCCGAGAGGGCTTATTGAAGAGGGGTGAAGCTTGATGGTGGATGTCGAAGCTTGGGGGCGCTTGGAAGTGAGTTGCGCACAGACGATGAGTGGTAGTTTTCCCCCCTTTCCGCTCCAACACTCAACCACTTTGCATCTGCAACGGTGTCCATTGCAATGTCAACGAGCATCATGAAAACCGCAGAAGAAACGTTCCAAAGACCCACGTCAGCCCATAACACTGAAGGATCGCCCTGGGATCAGAGCGCTAACCTGAGGCACTCCAACCCCGCCAAGCGCCATGAAACTTCCAAGAACCTTAGGAAAGTCTGTTGAAACCCACCGTGTCCACTCACAAACACGCTGAAGGAGGATCGCCCAAGCGGTCCGACTCGAGATGCCCTTTTGCTTCCTTATCGCGGGTTTCGTCCAAGCATCTCAGCACGCTGCCGAGCCTAGATCAAGCATCCGTCCAAGAAACTCACACGCCAAGCCGTCCGCTGTCACCACTCTTGAAACCGCGATCCCCGCGCTTTGCAGGATGAACATTGAAAAGAGCGAGGGTGCCCAGAGATTATGCTGCAAGCCGACTTTTTGTTGAAGATGCCGTTCATGAATCCAAAGGGAATGTCGACGCTGGGGCACACGTTTAGGTTAGCACATACGCTTCCTTGACCCCACGGCCGCATGGACTGACAAAGACACAGAAACTTCGACCAGACAATTCTCACCGTCAAGGTCGGGAAGGGCGATTGTCCAGAGTCTTTCAGCTGCCATCGGGAGCTGCTCCGAAGATGCTCCGCGTACTTTGATCGCGCCCTGCAACAGCAAAGCTCCTCGCCCTACAAAACCGGAGACTCCGCCCTCGAGCTGGAGGACACAAACCCCGATGTCTTCGACGCCTTTATGATGTGGCTTTATACCGGTCACATCCCGCATCATCTGATCGAAGGCGGCAAGGAAGTGCAAGCCCCCACGCACTCCATTAATCTCAATGGAGACGCGAACGGCACCTCTACTCCTGACCAGAGTGACGACGTGGATGCGGCGTCGTGGGGCATCAACCTCGACAGCGACGACACGCCTGTGGACGGCCAGCAGAACGGCGAGACGACGCCCGCTCCTGAGAATGGAGCCGAGAAGATACCCGGCGATGGCGAGAGCGAGAAGAGCGGCGCAGCACCTCCGACCCGCTTGACCGCTGCCGAGAAACCAGACATTCCAAAAGAGACACTCTGTCCTTGCTGCTCGCGGCCGTACAAGTGGCGAGGTCTAGAAGGCTTCCTCGAGCGACGATTCATCGCCCTCTACGTCTTTGCGCACCGCTACGAGATACCCAAACTGCGTCGTGACGTTATTGTGGCCTGGCAAACCAATGACGAGATACTACAATCAATGCGTAGGTGCGCGTGATCCGAATAGTGAACATTTTGCTAACCTGGCCGCCGCTGTGTAGCTGATCACGACAACGTTATCACCGCATACGAAAGCCTGCCTCCAGACTCGCCGCTGTGCAGGTACTTCCTCGACATGTATACCGTTTACTGGGACCCCGCAAAAGACAACGAGCGCATGATTGCCCTCCGGTCACAACTGCCGCAGGCATTCCTCTTCGAGCTAGCCACCGCGTTAGCGAAGGGCGAGCGACCGAAGACGGAAAAGGAGTGGTGCGAGTGGCACGAGCATGAAGACGAGGCAGCGAAGAAGGCTTGCCTAGAGGAAATGGTGAAGGATCCGGCGGCTGCCAAAGCCATGAAGAGGATTAAGGATACGAAGGGGTGGAAAGGCCTCGTGCTCAAGAAGGGAAAGCGGTAGTCGTCATGCACACGAGCCTCGAAGGCACCCAGAACCCATACGCCGATTTTCTTTTTTGTGGTAAAAGACGGCGTTCCATGTAAGAGTTTCAGCGATCGCAGGTTTCAGTCAGATCAATCGACCCAGATATACCCGATACAGAACACACGATATTTTCAGTCAAAGCCTTCCTGATTTTCCATACTTGAGACTCTTTTCCCTCATACCTACAAGCGTATGCGAAGTTACGTAGCGTCAATTGCGTGGCTATTATTGCGCGCTCACGTACCCCATTCGGCCATCTGAACGGACCTTGCCCATCCTCACTCCCAGCTACCTCTCTAGGTAGCATCCAGGCTATACTACGTAGATACCACGCCAGACGCCAGACGCCATCCAATGTAAGCAAATGGCGCCCTTTCCGCAACCCAACTCGTATCTCCACCTTCGCTCATAGTACGCAGTCACTCTCCCTATACGCCAAGTTTCCACTCAAGCAAGCTTTCCAGCAGCCATTGCACCTACTAAAGCTTGCGCTATCGCACCGTTTTAGTAACCGTCCGCGTCGTCGTCGTCGCAACCCTCGACGTAGAAACCGAAACCCGCGTCGTCGTGATATACGCATACACGGTCCTTGTCGTAGTCCTGCTCCACACTGTAGAGATCGAGGTCGCCGTGGTCGATGCAGTCGTGGCCTGTATTTGGAGCTGCGTGGTCGTACTCGTGCTCGTCAGCGTCTGTGTCGTCGTCGACAGTGGAATCGTTGCAGTCGTAGTATCGGTCACGGTGATGGCGAACGAAGGTAACGCGCAGTCGATGTCGTAGTAGTAGTATGGCTGCGTGGCGTCGGCGATGAAGAAGTTCTCCCTAAAACACAACATATCTATCAGCCTCTGCTCTCGCCTCCTCGTCGAGGGAGACTTACAGCCAATCGCCAAAAAACTCGCAATACTGCGCATCCGCATCTGACCAGTAGCTATACCGGAAGCTCTTGCAGCTCGGATAGCTGCTCTTGCAGAAGTCGGCGCAGAGACCGAAGGTGGACGCCGCTTTGGAGAAGAAGTTGCTCATATAGAAGAAGGTGGTGGAGCTGTTGTAGGAGCCGACGCCGCCGCATATTTGAGCGGCTGCGGCACTGCTGGTGAATAGGAGGAGAGAGAATGATATAAGGGACATATTTGGGGACGAATCAGGTCGGGTGCTTTGGCCGATGGAGAACGCAGTACCGAAAGAGAATAAATCGAGAAAGGAGTCAAAACACGATACACAAGAGAACGAAACCTTAGAAAAGTCTGCGTTCTCGATGTGGCGCAGAGCAAGCTTTTAGCCGCGCGGGAACGGCTTCTATGAGATCCACATGAGGTCGCATTGTTGTCGTTGGGATGTGGAATGCTACGATGGAATGAAGACCGCGTTATGATGTCGCCATTGGCGTCATATATGAAGTCATAAAGCTGTGAATAAGACTGCCCCTAGCCATTTAGGACGTCAGAAATAGGACATCATGTGCCTGACGTAGGGATTCTATGTTATGGTGGAAGTACACTCTGGTAGAATGCGAGCGCTCCGAATACTAGGACGAAAGACATGAGGGGAGTTACTCTCAAGGCGTGACTTCACTCCCCCAGGAAGTCAAACCACAGAGAGCAAGACATCACCAGGCAAGTCCCCCCCCAAATTCTTCCAGGATCAGAGATATCGTAGTATACCTTTCGATCTCGCGGATCCAGAAAGGCCACATGCTGACAGCTACGCCAACCAGTACAGGAACTGCGCAAATCACGTAAACGCACCGTTCTGTTCGATGCCCCTTCCGTCCTCTGTCCAATGCATATCCGAGACATCTATTTACGCAGCAGTGTTGCATTTCGAGCTTAAAGCTTCAAGCATCGCCCGCCCCTGCAAACCTGGCAACAATCGGCATCGGTACTGCAAGCCGCTATCGTTCGTTAGCGCTTTAAAGACCTTTACTATTCAACTCCTAGAGCACGGGTACTGACATCCAATAGCAGGGCAGCGCTTCTCGACAAAGACATTGCGCGGTTCCTCGACGGATGGCATAGCAACAGCTGTGGCGAGAAAGGTGGTGAATACCACGAGAGTGAGCTTCATCTTGACAAACTCGATTCGGGGAGACTTCCAGGGACAGTGAGGAAGGTAAAGTAGGCTGGGAGTAAAGTATTGCGCTTGTGCTCTTCGAGTGAGGAACTTTGAGGCTGCTTTATATAATTGTTTGGGGCGAAGAATCCTGAAGGAAGGCTTACCATTGCTTAGGTTAAACGGCTTACATTTCCCGCACATCTTACCCGGTTAAGTCGCTGGACATGATCCGGCGTCGCAAGTGTTCCTGCGGGATGGATGGGCTTGTACTCGGCTCTTCTCCCAGATTGTATTCGATTGTACTTCGCACCCCCCACCCGGCTAACCATTAGTTGGGGGTTTCTGTCTTCACTCTCGAAACTAAAAACAAAGCTCAGGTGGAGCTGTGAAGAGGAAATCCCCTGTTGTTCTGCACCTCCCAGCGAGCCATAGGGAAAATATTAGGGAAATCTATGCGCGAGAGAATCAACCACCAAATTCCTCCACTACCGCCGCGCCAATCCGTCGATCTAGCTCCAGCATATTCAAGAACCAGTCTACCATTCATCCTCAAACTCAAACGTAATCGGAGGCGCAGGTCCATCATCGACATCTAGGGCTTTAACACCAGTAGACGCAGCCGGTGTAACATTCCCATCATTCGGCCTCCTATCAAAACACTCACTCGTATTCAGATCAATATACTGCGTGGCATACGCCCTCACCGCCTCCAACTGGTTCTTCATACAACCTTGGTCCTTATCCAAATAGCTCGAGATCGGCACGCCATTTATATCATAGTCCAGCCATGTCCCAAGCTGCGCAAAGTCCTCGGCCGGACTAGAGTTCGCGTAGTTATCCGGCACACAGGAGTCGGCGTCGTACGCATCAGTAAACGTAGATTGGGAGGAAAAGCCCTTGTCGACAGAATGAAAGGATTCGTGCGCGAAGGCTGCGTCGTCGATGGGCCCGCGGATGACGAAGCGGTCGTTGTTTGAGCCGCCGGACTTGCCGATCGAGCCATCTGGACGGCTCCCGTCAAGGATGAAGATGTGGACGACATGGCTGCGCACGCCGGGGGGAACGCGTCCGAATGCATTCACCATCTGGTCGACGCTGAGCTGCGCGTCTGTGCAGCGACACACAGTCCATGGCTTGTCGGGGCAGTCGGCATATGCAACGTCGAAGACTTCGACATTAGCGATTTCGCAGTTTCGGCGCGGATCGTCTGTGCCTTTTGCGGCGTTGGCGGTGTCGTAGCAGAATTGGGGGTAGGACCCGGCGTCCCATTTGTTTACTGTGCTGGCTGCGAAGGGCGGCTTCCGCTCGTCTTTTTCGTCGAGGATGGCGAAGTCTTCCAGGAAGGCTGTCTTTTGGGCGAGGATGAGGGAGGGGATGGTGAGGAGCGAGGTGAAGAGGATGGAGCGAGTGGATGGTGCCATGGTGGTGTAAAGAATGACTATACAGAACAAATGGATGGAAATCGATGGATAGATGCACTTAGATGCTGTGAGCATACCCTAGAGGTACGATTCGCTTCTTATATCCATCGAAGAGATTAACCTGAGCTTCTTACCTTCAATCTCCGTCTTCCTCGCAGCCTTGAAACTCCACATACACGGTCAAACCGCATCACGCACGCCGCTGCATACCCTTTCGCCCACTACACCCTCATCTGCTAAAAAAAGACGTCCCGTTTCCAGTCCCCGTCCAGTCATAATTCCTCCGCTCCACAGATCCTTCCGCAATAAGCATAAACGATCCACTTCCATCGGCACCTTAATACAGCGGACTCCGGGATGAGGATGAAACCTTCCAGATTCCTTCTATCCTCCCAACGGCGTGCGGTGGCCTGTGGCTTTGCGACCTACCGGAATAAGCAAAAGAGCGGGGCGATCGGGAGGGAAGGATGCGTATCCTTGCTCCCGCTGACACTGCGCAAATATAACCCGGGTTTTCTCGATTTGGCGCTAGAGTCGAGTAGTGTTCCGTGCCTTGGATGTAAAATGCAAGCCGTGTGGCATGGATGATGCATGTGTATGATTTTCCTTTGGCACCCTTTCCTACAAGTACTGCAATCGCAGCGGCTCTATTTATGCGCCGACTGCAATAAGACGGATCCCACTAACCCCAGAGCGTACCAAAAGCCTCCAGGGCTAGCTTTTGTGTTTGTTTATGATGGAACATTGCGAATAGTCTGCGCTTCCTCGAAGTGTTCGTCTGAGGTTCTATTCCGCTTATGTTTTACAGCCGGCAAAGCCGCTCTTGCGTGCGTTTCGTTTCGATTCCTTCCGGATCTTACCATGTATCTAGACTTTATGCTTTATGTACAGTAAGCGTTGTTGAAGGGTAGTGACGATTCGTCTGCTTCCTATGGCTTCGGCAGACGACCTTGCTCCCGATGTACTGACCCCAGGAGTTGTAGTTTGAATTGTTCCAGTAGGCCTCGCATCAAATTTCGTTCGCGAACGTAGCACTACACTGAATAACGAAGATTTGGTGCTTCCTTGTAATAATGTCCTTTCTCAAAATACCTTTTCGGGCATTCCCCTGAGTCTTCCACTCGAGGAGCAGTCATTTTGACCGGACCATGTTAGTGCGCCTTCCAAGAGGTGTTCCACATTCCCTAAACGACAAATTTCATGTTGAAACCCGCCTTCGTTGGGGGAAATATCTCTTTCACAGCCCAATCTTCCCACCAGCCTGGTATAAAAGTCAAGCATCGCAGCGAGCTAGCCTCAACCTCCAACGCACCATCGCCTTCAACCCAAACAAGCCCCTCGACCTCGACCGCTAGCCGGAAAACAACTACTGCCCCACGATTCATCACCGACAAACTACTCCACTATGCCGCCCAATGCCACCTCTAAACCCTCCGGGACGAACCGACACCACGCCTTCACGACTCCCGCTCCACTACCCCCTGCACCCCCCTCAATACGCGGCATCCAGCATCTCTCAATCGTATCCCCCGACACCGACACCAGCCCCGAACCCAGCCCCTTCTCTTCAACCCTAGCCCAAGCCTCATCCACCCGCCCAACGCGTTGGCGGTACACCTTCTCGCCGCCCCGTGTCTCCCAACGCCACGCACCCGTGTCCACTCCATCCCTCCTCCCCTCCCCGCCCCCCGGCTACCCCCCTCGCAACCCCGACCCCTTCGCCTGGGACCGCAACCACCCGCCCACCTGGCCGGTGATCCACCTGCCGTACCACGGCGCGGCGCAGCAAGCGCAGCCGACGTCGATCGAGCACATGCTGGTGCACGTGCACTACAAGGGCCGCGGAGCGCAGACGCTGCGCCAGCTGCTGTGCGACGCGATCGACGAGCAGGAGACGGAGGAGGAGAAGGTAGAGCTGGAGATGCGGACGTTTTTGAGCTGGCCGTTTAATGTGGCGGCGGATGGGGGCTGGAAGGAGGTGAGTGGGGTGAGGAGGGAGGAGTGGGGGGTTTGGTGGGGGTTGAGGATGGAGGAGGTGAGTTAGTTGACTTTTTGCGATTATGTGGTTGAGGGAGAGCTGACTTGGGTGGTGTAGTTAAGGCAGGAGGAAGAGGAGCGGGATGAGAGGGAGGATAAGGAGTGGGGGATGATTTAGCTGAGAATTTGGACTTGGGAGGTCGACGTGGAGGAATTTGGGGCGATTGAATATGGAAGTCCCCCGATGCATTTCGGGCATGTCATTAGTTAATGGGTGCGGCGACAGTTCCAGACTGTAAAGGAGCAGACGAGAAATGAACATGGGAGTGGTTTCCATTCAGAGTAGGAGGGGATGTGAAATAAAGAGACCCATCAAGAGCTTTAGAAAATGAAAACGCATCCCTACCCAACACGCCTTTCCTCCACCGCCACAATAACCCCATCTATCAACCGCCGGACCTACTTCCTTGTTGCATTATGCCTCTCCTTCTCCTTCCGCGCCAAAGTCTCAAACGCCTTCTTACCCTTACCGTGCTGGGCGCTTTCATGCCCAGTGAGCAAAGATCCATCGGCAGCTCGCTGAGTATTACCCTTCTTCACCGGCTGAGCGGGAGCTGTGATCTTGAGGACACCGACGTGCTGTACGGCAGGTTTCTTGACGGCCGCAGCGTAACTTGATTCATTGTTGGTGGTAGTGGAAGGAGGATGAGCAGTATCCGTGAGTGATAGAGGAGCAGGCGTAGAGGGGATGCTCTCGCTCGCAACTGGGGGGGAGAGGCCGGAAGCGGGAGGGGCGTCAGAAGCAGGCAAGGAGCTGATCGGAGTCTGTGTGGGAGGCGCTTCCCCTTCCGCCGGCTGTGGCGGATTTGATGCGCCCTCCGACCCACCGTCCTGCCTGCGCTGCCGGCCTCGCTCCATGCGAGACTGATTGAGCTTGTCCCACTCTGGCTTGAGTCGAGTTAGCTCGACACTTACCTCCGCTCTACTGCCTTTCGTGTCCTCCAACTGCTTCTCAGCAATCGTCAACTCGGCTCGACACTGCTGAATCAGTATGTCTATATGCTCGTCCGCCGTCGTGCCCTCTCCTGTCCGGACAATGACAGGCTCGGACAGCGCGATTTCACTGCGCCGGGGATTGCCTTTCAGCGCCTCCTCTTTCTGCTTCTTCACGTCTTCCAGTTCACGATCTTTGGCTTGGAGCTGCTGCTGGAGTTCGTAAAGCTCGTCGGACAGGCGGATGTTTTCAGCTTGCATTTCCTCGTCGGCGGATCTGAGGGTGTTTGGGTCCCGCGTCGTTCGCTGCCTCAGTTTCTGCTTCAATTTCACAATCTCATTCTTGCGATTCTCAAGGTCCACCTCGCGGCTCCGCGCTTCAGAACGGAGGTCATCGATGGTCCGCTGATTCTGCAGATCTTCTTGCGCCCACATAAGCTGCGATTCCAGGGTTCTCATTTTGGCTTGGGCTTCTTGAGCTTGGCGGGCCATGTCGTTTGCTTGCGTGGTCATGGCGCTCTGAAGATTGCTGAGTTCCGCCTGCAGATCGCTGATTGTGGACTCCTGGGATGTTGCCTTTTCTCTTGCGTTCCGAAGTTGCACGCACGCAGAGTGGAATTGCTTCTGCACACCCGCGAGTTGGTCACGAAGCATCTGTTCGGCTTTACCGCGGACAACCGCCTCACCCAGAGGCTGGAAGTACTGCGGAACTTCGGCTGCGTTTGGTTTTATATCGCCCGCCTTCTGGGACTCGCTGGTCAGCCGCACAATCTCCTGCTCTTTTCGCTCTAGCTCTCCCTTAGCCGCTTGCAACAGTTGTCGGCACTGGGAAAGTTCGCAAGTCTTCTCTTCGAGCTGCTGTCGATCGACATACGCAAGGCCGCGGAGGCCGGCCAGATCGCTCTCGGCCCGCCTAACGTCCGACTCTTTCTGGATGATAGCGATTCTGAGGTCGTAATTGGCTTGGATGAGCTTATTGAGCTCCTCAGAAAAGCGGCGGATATGCTCGCGTAGTCCGCTGAGATTGCCTTGGAGGGCCCGCAAGCTGACGGCGTCAATATTGGCGAACTGCTGCATCCATGTGAACAGCTCTTCGAATGATCGCACGTCGGCTTCGGCTTTCTGGGACTCCTCGTTGACGATGGCTACCTGCGTGTCCCGAGTTCGCCGATGGATTGCAATAGCCGCTTCAACCTCGCCTTCCGCAGCAAATGGCGGAGCTGGTTGTTGAGGGGACCCCAACTGGACGGAGGGGTGGCCGACAGCGCCGGGTGCGCCGCTGTTGGTTAAGCTGAGCGCTTGGGGTCCGGATGCATCCTCTTGATTTTCGGCGGGAAGCGCTCCCCCAAGTGCCCTGGTGCGCTTCCACTCCTTGCTGAGCGCCTCCGCAAGCCTCCGCACCAACGTGTCTTCGTGATGACAAAGGCCTCCCACAGCCTCGACGATGCCGGTAGAATCGAGAATCGTATCGCTCGGCCTCATGCTCTTTCTAAGAGTAACAAGGATTTCGAACAAGTTCCTGGAGAGGTGCTTCTCGGCAGCAAAATGGGAAATGAGTCTGGCGTAATACTGGACGTCCGAAACACTCAGTGCGCCGGAGCTAAGCTCCGGGTTCGCCATATCGACGGGTAGGACCAAGAATGCAGGGCTCAATCAAGTGGTAAGAGTTGGAGGTTGGATGTGGGATGTCGATGAGGTGCGCGGATGTTAGCGTCGAGGAGAGGGCGCCCGTCGTTCATTAATATCCTCCGAGGCGAATCGGTGAACCGGTGTGAGGACGGTACACACGGAGCGCGACGACAGTGCACACAGCGCTCAATCACTAACACCCCTCTTCGCAGCGGGGCTTCCTTTGCGAGGCCGACTCTTAGCGACCCATCCTCCTCTCTGCACCGAACAGCTCGACTGCCATCCAGCGAGTAGATCTATACGCCGACGCTAAAGCTCTACCGCAGACGTTCCATCCATCCCAAGCAATGCAAAGCGCCACGAAGAGACGCGCCGCGGCCGCTTTGCGGAGTACTCGCTCCAATGCGGTCGTCCTCAAAGACAACAACGGCAACATAATCGATCTCAACAAGATCTCGGTAGTCGCAGGGAACGGGGAGAGTACTATACGTTTGGGGGCATTCGATGGCGGTTCCAGTGCACCCGCTGGGCCGTCCCAGGAAAGCGCCACGACTAATTTGATCGCCCCGGGCTCGTTGCATGGGCGCTCTGGGACGGCGGCGATCAAAGACGGCGACGGAAACTTGACGGCGTCCCCCAAAGCTGCGGCTGAGGTAGCGGTCCCAAACCGAGGCAGCTTGGGCGGCACAGGAGATCGCCGCAGCGAATCCAGGAAGAGCGGTCCTGTACCTCAAGCAGCGTCCACCAAAGCCTTCTCCACACCTCCCTTAGGCGGCACTGGCAGCGATCCCGAGACAGGCACCCAAAACGCCAGAGACAGAGCGGTCGAAGTAGCCCGCGGCGGACCCAGGGAGAGCGGACCTACAGCGTCAACTGCGGCATCTTCCACACCCCCGACGGCGGCTCCTGCCCATCCTCTCTCCTACAACGCACCGCCCATCCCCCCGGCCCCTTCAAACCCCGTCTCTCCCTTCCCCCCTCCCAACCCTCGCCACAAGGCCCCTCCACACCACCACCCTCCCACCGCATGCGCCCACCAAACCTGCCACTTCATCAACAAGCCCGGCCAACTGCAGCACTGCTCCTTCGGTGTCTGCCCCCTCTGCCGCGACATCAACACGCTGGTCCAACAAGTCGAATCCAGCCTCTACACGCGGTGGGAGCGGGACGTCCGCGACCGCGAGGCGGTGCATAAGCGGGTCGTAGACGCATTTCATGCCCGGCATGCGGAGGAGTTGTCCAGGCTGAGGGCTGCGGCTGCGCAGTTCAAGCCTGTAGGCGACTTGGGAGGCCCGTACGCGGCGGAGCAGACGACCAATTTGGATGGGAGAAATGACGGGACGGAAAAGACGGCCGAAGCGGGAGATAAAGATAACGAGCTGCTCGAGCTAGAGCGAAGCCACGAGCAGGCGATAGAAGAGTTGAAAACCCAGCACCAACACTCGATAACCCAACTGAACGCCTCCCACGCAGAGACGGTATCGCAACTTCAAGCCCAGCACCAACACGCCCTATCCGCGGTAGAAAAGCAGTCCCAAAACCACCTCACCACCACACACGACATCTACACGCAATCGATCTGGGACCAGAAGCTCCAGAGCGAGGAAGACATCGCCAATCTGCACACGCACTACGCAAAGGAAATCGAGCAGCTCAAAGCTCAACACGACGAAGAAATCTCCCACCTCAACGCCCGCATCGCTGACCTGACAGAGAGCCTCGCAGCCGCTAAACCCGCCAAACCAGGTAAATCCGCCAAAGACATCCAACTCGACGAGCTGCGCGAGAAAGTAGCCCAGACGCGCCAAGCCACGGCGAAGGAGGCGGCGGAGCTGCAAAAGGAGCGCGAGGATTTGAGCAAGCTGAAAGCCGCTATAACGGCTGCGAGCCCGCCGCCCGCGTTCAAGGTGACTGTAAAGCCGGACAAGAAGGGCAAGGACAAGAGGAGGCAGAATGAAGGAGCTGGGAAAGAACCAGCCTAGGAGACGGACGTGTGAGGTGGTTCCGGGACGGGCGAACTTCGGCTGGTGTCTGATTGGCCGGCTTTCCTGAGCCCACGGTACTGTAGACCAGACAGCATGGCACCATGGCAATTGGCGCATAGATTGGACACATAAAGCGGGCCCGTAGACCAATTACCATTAAGCTGGACTTCTCGTCTATTCTACGTCGTTACCTCTACAACCACCCCTAGCCTAGAAACACCACGGTGTCTCGTCCACAGTATCCAAACCATCCTCCTCTAAATATGTACTCGAATCGAATGCGTGATACAGTCTCGTCCCCTCCGGGCGTGCGCCCTGTTGAATAAGGCAGGTGCCTGTTAATGCTCATTATGCTCCTCCGCCAATGCTGAATATCGTACATAGAAATAGCAGCGCAGAGCTCTGGTTGTGCTGAATCGAGGCGAACCGTCTAGATAAGTAAATGATACTACGACTGGGTAAAGCCGATCTAGAGAATTAATGCCGCTCCGAGGATGCCGACAACAGCGCCGAAGGTTTCTCGTCGAGGGACACGGGTGGGCACGGCGCCACCAGTCGATTCTGGAGGCGCATCGGGAACCTGCGTGTCGGTGGCTACAGCGGACGTTGCTGGTGCAGAAGAAAACCGCGAAGACGCGCCGGAAGAGAGGCCGGTGCTGGGCGCGGTGCCGTTGATAGAGGCGATTGGTGTGGCGCTGATGGAAGCGGAGCTTGAGACTGAGCTGGCGATGCTGCTCGCCTCCGCTGTGCTTGACGCTACGGAGGACGAGCTCGAGGACGTGGGCTGTTCAACGTAGGAGACCACGATGCGGATCTCGTCGCACTGGCCGCCAATCCACTGGTCGTACAGGTTGAAGAAGCCACCGCTGCCGCACTTCCACCACCGCGTAGAGCCGCCAATGGCCAGCGAACTGTTATCGCAGACCGAAAAGCCGCCTGTGTATATAGCGCCCGCTTGCGGAGGACCGTCGAACTGGAACTGGCGGTTTGCGACGATGGAGCCGATGCGGTTGTAGGGGTCTTTGAGGATGCCGTCCTCGAGCGTGCAGACGAGCGCGTTACTTCCGGCCTACGGTGGTGTCAGCTTGGCATGCTTGCCAATTCAGCGTGGGAAGACGCATACCTCCACGGCTGTTTCTCGTTTCCTGGACGGCGCAGGTTCGTAGCCGATTGTGAAATTGCCTTCAGCCGTGGTTTCGCATCCCTCTGGTGGAGGCTCTTCGGGCGCAATGCCCTCTGGCACGTCGTCCGCGAAGGCGGTGGCCGCGAAGGCGAGCGCGGCAAGAATGCTGGAGGCGCGCATCGTGGGGTGCCGTTGGTCTGTCCGCTGGGTAATCGATATGGGAGATAGAGCGCTGCCGCCGTCACGGTCGCGCGTATTAAGAATTAAGAATTAAGATGCGGCGATACAGAATACTGCAGCAGCGGAAGACAGTGCTGGGTGTGCTGTATCGGAGCGGAGGGATGGGGGAGACAAAGAGGCTGGAGTACGCGTCCTGATTAAATTGTTGGTGCTACCCACCTCCAGCAAGGAAACGGCGTGGCGCTAAACCGGGCGTGCCTGCCAATCTGCGCGTGTCGGGGAAAGCGCGCTGCCAAGCGAAGAGAAACTAGCCCGTGCCCCTGAAAACAGATTGATTGTGACGGCAATGGCGTCCGCACCGGGCGGCCGGTGGCTCGTGCCGTAGCGATCGCGATGTGTCCAAGATGGAAGCCGCGAAACAAACACCATGATCGCTGCTTCCAAGATCCAAGACCTCCAAGATCCGACAAGACCCATCGCCAACCTCAACTGCTTGCAAGAAAAGCTGTCGAAGCCTTTTGCCGTGTCACTATCCTGCACAGTCCCCTGCCACCGTCCTGCAGGCCCTAAATTCGGGTGGCTAACACCGGACTCCGTGGCTGGGGATGATACATCCACAGGCGACTCCGACGACGGCACCGCAGGCACCATCTCATGTGACGCATACGCGCACAGCACTCCGTGTGCCCATTAGACGAAGCTACCGTAGTTCGGCTTGTACGTGTTGCCCGCCGCCGTCGAAAAACTAATCCCACCCTGCAGCATGGTTTGGTTAGCCATGTTGTTGAACTGCTGCTGCATCTGGAGACCGTGAAGCTTCAGCGCCGCTTCCTGCTGCGTCGTGCCTCCGCCGGGCTGGCCTTGCGCGGCTCCCGGCTGCGCGCGCTGCATCGCTGCAGCAATCTCCTCACAAACTCGAGACACCGCCCCAGTGCCAATGGCCGCGGCTCGGGACGCGAGTGCAGGCAACGGAGTCTGGTCGCGTTTCTGGATGTCCGGCTGGTTGAGGACGCCGGGCTTGTACGTGTCGGCACAGAAGGTTTGTAGCACCTTGTCCAGGCTCTCCGGCTGGTGGCACATTTCGAGGAAGAAGTACTTGTACCATCCAGCGCGATTGAGGGCGGGCATGTATGTTGGATAGGTAGAATTCGCGGACGCGGGTTCTGTGGGTATCTTTATGTCTTGAGAGTGCGACTGGTGCTGGAAGTTCCAGATGGGCATCAACGATGCCTGGCAGGGAACCATGACGTGGGGGATCTGCTCCAGGCTCCAGAGCTTCGCAAACGCGCTGTAAGAATCGTATGCGAAGAGTTCTAGGGGATGGTGAGTATTATTCACACGCAATCCTGCGAGAAACTTACGCGCTGCGTCATCCGCCAGCCCCTGCGCCTTCCAGCTTTCCAGGATCTTGCTCGCCTCCAGCATTCCTGTGGCTTGCGGCTCAAACTTCCGGTCCAGCGCATCAAATACTAAATCGGCAATGATATAGAACTCTCTCGTCGGCAGCTCTGTAGCCGGATCCGCGAACCGCCAAGGATCGGCCAGAGGCAGCGTGCTCATGCTCACAGCGCGCCGTGGGATCGTGAATCCAGGTCCGGGTGATTGGCTCTGTGACCCAGAAGGCCGGTAAGCTTGATATTGTGAGCCTTGCCCAGGCGGGTTCGAAGGCGGTCGCTGCGGATTTGAGCTTTCCACAAGGGTCAGGCTGCCCAGGTCTGCCGGTAATTCAGCGATGAACGCAGTAGGCGCAGATTGTGGGGCAGCATTCTGCGGAGCCGGCGTGGGCGGTTGGGATTGCTGTTGCTCTTGCGGCCCCGGGGGAGCATTTGACGGCGCATGCGGTTGGTTTTGCGACGCTAGATGGGCTGGTGGAGGACTAACAGAAGGCGGAATCTGATGTTGCGTTTGCGCGTGCGGAGTCATGGGTGACATGGGCGCCCATTGCTGCTGCTGCTGTTGATTAGGATGTATTGGGACAGGAGGTGCCGCGCCGGCAGTATGAGGGAGTGGACTGGGGTTGAAGTGTTGCGTCTGCGGCGGAGGGGAAGACGTCTGGTTTGCAGCTGGCGTCGGCGGAGCCCACTGTTGCTGCTGCTGATCAACGGGCTGAACATTAGGGTTAGGGGAAGCGTTGGGAGGGTGTGGAGAGTGCGCTGTTGTGTTCTGGAGCTGCGTCTGTGAGCTCCCAACGACGCCTGTCTGCTGCCCAGCGAATTGTCCGGGTTGAGCCTGGGCCTGCGGGTTCTGTCCTTCGGCTGACCCCTGACTGAACTGTCCCTGCTGGAACTGTCCCTGGGGAGGTTGTCCTTGTGGTTGACCCCCTGCATTCCCGCCCTGTGCGAACATGTTCGGGTTGTAGCCGGCATTGGGCTGCTGCGGCGCGGCTTGAGGATTCGGGGACTGCGGTGTCTGCTGAGGGAAGTAATTGCTCTGCGCTGAGTTGCCAGAGGCCGGTGTTCCATAATTCGACTGCGGAAAGGGACTTTGCTGAGGGGTCTGATATGCGCTCTGCTGCTGCTGGGGTTGAGGGCTGAACTGCTGGCCTTGCTGCTGATAGTTCGGAGGCTGATTCTGCTGCTGGTGCTGCTGATAACTGTGGTAGCTCTCAAGATGCTGAGGGGTGGTCTGCGCAGACTGCTTGCTTCCCAATTTCGAGCTTATAGTCTTCCCTAGCTTGTTCAACATGGGCTTTCCGGTCGTGACCGCTTGATTCAGCATCTGTCCGAACGCAGCGGTAGGTTTATGGGACTGATGTGATTGAGCAGGCGGGCCATACGATGGCGCGGAGGACTGGTACGGCGAAGAGCCTTGCGGCTGGTAGTACTGCTGTTGCTGCGGATTGAAGCCCTGAGCTGGAGGGGCGTTCTGGTTCGGCGGCGCGTATGCCCCAGGAGGAGGCGCTGACGGAAACTGGGACATGGTGAATAGCTAAAGGATTACGATTGAGGCCGAGGCACTCCAGGAGAGCGCGTCTTTAAAGCTGGTGGGATACATGTTCGGATCAGCCGCACGGAACACGAGCCTTGGCATTGTGGCTTGCGGTCTAGACGAGGGTTGGAAGAAAGGGTCAAAGGTCGGATATCGAGACGTTAGGCAGTAGAGAGTGGACTCAAGCATCGCAAAGAACACTTCCTGAGGTGTGCAGAACTGAAGCCAAGCAATGTACGAGGTGTTGAACAACGGGTTTCGCGCTGTGTATCGCCTGACCAATAGGAGCGCGGACGAGGCCGCAAGTGGGGTTTTCGACTTCAACTTCAACCTCGTGCGTCATACAGATCTTCTTTAAGGTGGCGTCGCTTGCGGTAGTACAATTAAGCGCATCCCGCTCCTGATTGATTCGTACTGAAAGGCTATCATGCGAGGGGCATCGGACTGCTGTGCCTTACCCCGCCCGGTAGGCAACCACATTCTCTCCTTCAAGCTCCCCTTAACTCCGTCAACATCTCATATTGTCTTAAGAAACTCGCGCGCCATTCAAGATCAAATCCCGTCTTCAATCACCCATCATGACGTCCAAGAAGGAGGAGGTTCAATACTTCGTCTACAAACATCCTATCTTCTTCCGACTCCTCTGCCTCTGCACCTGCCCATTCGCATGTTGTTTCACGTGTCCATTGTACTGTTACATACGAGAGCCGACCCTTCCTTCGAGGTGTGGTACTATGGCCATAAAGAACCGAGAGCGAAAGCATGAACGAATGTCAGCCGTCCATTTCGAGCATCGAGGACGTGCCATCAACCGCCGGCGGAACAGCTTATCTATCGGCAAGCCCACCGGGCGCTTCACACGAATGCTCAGGAAGAGGACCTCGGATCAAGCAGCATCTCCGCTCTTCTCGAAGTTACCCACCGAAATTCGAGAGGCAATCTTTGAAGCAGTCCTCGTCGAGACAGGCGCGGTTTTACTAGCATCATCCGGTCCCGGGTACAGCTACTTTGACAGATTCAGTCGCATCGTGGGCTTGGTCTGCGATAGGGCAACTGAGGATCATATAGACCAGATACCATGGGGTCTTCCTCGCGGCCCCGATGCAAGTCTCGCCCTGCTATGTACCTGCCGCCGGATCTATACCGAAGCCCTCCCTATCCTGTACTCGCGAACGCAATTCGCTTTCAGAGAGACCGGAGACTGCGTTGCATTTTCCCAAATAACGCCAAAGCCGCATCTGCAACGCATTCGCTCTCTTCGAATAGATATTTATTGCGGCAACGCATATGCGCTGTACGGGCTCCCGAGAACTATTTGGACCGAGCTGTTTCTAAAAGCGATCTCGTCTATGGAGAGCCTGCAGTCGTTATATCCGGTTTTCGTTTTGGATCGATCCTGGATCTGGCCTCAAGAGTCGTCCAGTTGCATGCAACTCGCGGAGGAGTACTCCGAGAAGCTGGTGGAGGCAGTCTCGGAGCGATGCAAGGTACATTTGTCTGTATTAAAAGAGAACGAGCCGGTTCGTCAATTGACAAAGAAAGGGACCAAGAACGTCTGAAAGAGTGGTAGGATATACACCTCCTTTCCATCCTGGTGTTGTGGGCGGTCGCACTGTGTGTTCAGATCAAAGACGAGCCGTGAATATTAGAACGTAGCAGGCGCTCGAACGTTGAAATGTTGATGAATACCTCGAGTTGATGAAATGGGCGAGCATTAGGCAATTGTAACTTGTGATGGGAAATCCCTAGGGGTGACGATTGACGGTGTCGTCCAATGAGAGGGCGGAAAAAAAAGGCACCAAACCGTTGGCTCGTGCGGACTTGCTGACCTCAACCCAACTCCAGCCCCTCAATTTTCTCTTCACCTCATACGGCGCGTTTAGTATCATGTAGCCATAGCATCGACGGTAAACAGCATGAAGATACGAGATACGAGGCTTGCAACGCGCAGTCCCGAGACGAATACGAGCTTCGCAATTGGCTTGGCCCTTTTCTAAGCCACCCAGGCAGAGATCACTCTCTTGTTATCCACCACTCAACACTACCATCCGCCTCAATCCACTGTCGAGCTTTTTCAGTCTCACGGTAACTACTGCGAAGCACTTCGAGAAGCATCATGGCGCCATGGAGGGACGAACTGCAGTACTACAATTTCAAACATCCGACCTTCTTCAAGTACTTCTTCATCCTCACCTGTCCCTTTACATGCTGCTGCGTATTCGCATATTGCTACATACATCCTCCAGCATTCTACATGTGTGGTAACGCCGCGAGAGACGCACAACAACGAAAACTCAAAAAGATGTCCGCCATCAACTTCGAACACCGAGGTCGCACAGTCAACCGTCGAAACAGCCTCTCCGTCGGAAAGCCCACTGGACTGTGTACGCGATTGCTCAGGAAGAAAACGTCCAGCCAATTGGAATCACCACTAACGAGGTTGCCGCCGGAGCTACGCGCCATGATCTTCGAACTAGCCATGATCGATACTGGGGCAGTTTATATTCACACCGTCCGCAAATACTCCGCGAAATTCGACCGGCTTCGAGGTCTAGCTAGCGACTCAGAGCCAGGCCATCCTCCAGACCTATCGGATTGCAGCCCCCATCTGCGCCCGTTGGACGCTGGCACCACTGCCTTACTTTCCACATGCCGCCTGTTCTATAGCGAAGCGCTCCCCATTCTCTACAGAAGGCCGCGATTCATATTCAACACCCTGGGCGACTTGATCGCCTTCTCACTCATAACGCCGAAGACGCATCTGCGACTCATCCACTCCATCTGCATTGACTGTCATATATTTAGAATCTCTGGCCTAACGCCATTACGTCCTGATCCAGTGGGTTCTTTCGCGAATGTTGTTCAGGCTATGGAGGGTTTGCAAACGGTGTTCTTGGCGTTCAATGTCAGCACGCCTAGCCGTGGTGGGTTTCTACTTCCGTCTGCGATGATGGGGGAAGCGCTCAAGTTTTTCAACGCAGCAAGGAAGGAGACTGCAGCGAGATGCACTGTGCATCTAATGTTGTACGATGGCCGAGAAGTGCGCTATGAAACGGTGGAGAAGGGTGGAGGAGTTGAATTGGAGGGTGTCGTTCTCAGCTGATGCCAGCCTTGCGATTGGCCAGGCGGCCCACACCTTGCGGCACAGTGCATCCTAGGCAACTACTTCGACATTTAACGACGCCAGCCCCCACTTCTGAGAGTGTCTTCTCTTCTCCGGCTTCAGATACAACCACCGATGGCTACGCGACGGCTTTTACCCTAAGCCATGGCGATTAGAAGAGGCGTCTCCGTAATCTCTGCCATACGATACTGGATATATGACTGGCGCGCGAAAAGCAATCGAAGGTTCAAACGTCGGTCGCTCCTCGTCAACCGCCGAAATAGCCTCTCCGTCCGCGAGCCTAGGCGCTGGTGGAGGAAAACCGCCGATCAGAAAGAGTGTTACATCTACACCAAATTGCCGCCTGAAATTCGGGAGATGATATTCGACCTAGTCATGACCGAGACAGGCATTTTACATATCGGCGTTGAATGGGATGCTCAGTGCACGCTTCTTCGTCTCGAATGCAATCCATGCTTCCGGACAGAGAGCGTCCTCCCAGATCATTACCCTTGCAAGTCCGGACGCCGCAACCCCACCGATATGAGCATTTCTCGGGCTCCGGATGTAATTCCTCTGCTGACGACGTGTCGCTTTATGTAAGTTTACACCTGAACACCCCGTCTCAATCACCATATCTTTCATATTTCAAAGGATTCAAGCAAGCTAACCGAAGCGTGCAGTTACACTGAGGCGATCCGTATCCTCTACTCCCGCACCCACTTCTGCTTTCATAGCGGGGACTACTTTAACATATTCGCAGCCATGACGCCAAGAGCACATCTCAGCAAAATCCGCCGCATAAGTCTCGACTATTTCCGCGGCAACATTGGTATTGAATTCCCCAGATCAAGTTCGAACGAATGGGTAGCAAAGATGAAAGCCACTGTTTCTGCCGTTCGATTCATGCCCAGTCTGCAGGAGCTGTACCTGACATGGCCTGGTGAGGGCGTCGTCGAGGATGAGCATCCGGGCCTTTCTTTTGTGAAGTGCTCGCGGGTGGATATTAGCGGGCTGGTCGAGGCAATGCATACTGCGTGTCGCTTGCTTTTGTTCGCTTATGATATGGACGGATACGACGTCTCGGATATAAGGAAAGACCCGCTGAGACGAAAGTGCTTGGGCAGATGGTCATTGCTGGAGGCGGTGGAACATCTATCCAGAACGCAGATTACATGAGGCCTTTTCCTCGGCTCATCCCAGCCCTGTGAGCGGTGGGGCATGCTCGGCTGTGCCACGCTGCTCGTTTAGGCAGCCATTATAAGTCCCCGGACCTCCGTCACCCTTCACCCTTGCTTCATGGACCATTTTCTTCCTACAGCTTAAAAGATCAAGACCAATACAGCCATTAACCATACGGCAGCTCAGTGGTGTGGTAGATCAAAGGTGTTCCCTCGCCGTGCTTCGCCGAAGTCCACAATGCACTATCGCCTACGGAAATGGCTACTACGCAAACGGCCTCACGAGGTTAGTGGTCTGAGGTTCCAGGATCGAGCACGCGCTATCGCTCGTCGAACCAGTCTCTCCAGCACCAAACCGGACCGATCCAGGATAACTGCCGACCAAAAGGAATCTCCAATATACGCCAAATTGCCAATAGAGATCCGGGAGTCCATCTTCGATTTCGCAATGACCGATACAGGCGTCCTGCATATCAGGTCAGTGATGAAATGCCGACGTGGCCGAAACGAGTGCGTCCGTCTAGCGTGCACCGCATGCTTTAGGGTTGATGATATCACACCGGACCATGGCTCTTGCGGACGCGACTTCCGTGGCCCGGCGGATATGAAGCGGTCTCGAGCCGCTATCAACATCACCCCTTTACTGACAACGTGTCGCCTTGTGTAAGCGCTGTCCATTTCCACCCCGGAAGTAGAGAAGACTGACAGCGTTCTTCTAGGTACACCGAAGCTGTCAGTGTCCTATATTCCCAGACGCACTTTGTCTTCGAGACGGTCGGAGCCGCTGCCACATTCTGCTCCATCACACCCACGCCACACCTACGCCATATCCGTCGAATCAGCTTCGACTTTCCCGGCAACTATATGCGCGTCCCTATTCCCAACGAGGACTCCGATGAGTGGACGGAGGCCATTCTCTCCGGTCTTCGCTCAATGACGAGTCTGCGGGAAGTCTATCTCAGGTCTACATGTTTTTTGTCCTGCTACGACCGCGACAATTTCCGTGATGAGGATGTTCTTGCGCGCATGACGGAAGGTGAGAAGCATTTCGGGGTTGCTATTGAAGCGATGCCAAAGAATTGCCGGATGTTTATGTTTGCGCGTTTCATGTGTGTGTGGTGGGTTGTAGTGGAGATAAGGAAGGAGCCTAGAAGAAGGACGGATTGGGGATGGTGGTCACATTCTGAAGCGATCATGCTTCTATCAGGGACACACGAAGGTGCGCTGCCGTCTACGGAGTGCCCACGCTTAGCACCGATCAGCGATCTTCTCTTTGGTTGACAAAGTTAGCCAACCAGCTTAGGTATCAAGGTAACCATAAGACACAAACATGCTGCTCATCGCATTTGGCGGATGTTGACAGAGCTAGTAGTGACAGCGACAAAAGTTGCTCTTCGGGAATGCTGACATCTCCCCAAACTCTGGTCCTACCACACAAATGTTACCAGTCCTTGAGAGAAAAGAATTTCACTTTCCTCCTCGCTCTCCCTGGAAGCATCCGACTGCTAAAATACCAGTGTCTCTACCTCCGCAAAGACATCCACATCTACTTTCGCAACCACAATCATGGCTCCAAGCGTCCTTCGATTCGCGCGCTTCGGCTTCAAGACGTCGAAAACGTTTCCCGTCCACCAGAAAGCGCAGCCCATAAACGAGAACGCAGGACCACAAAAAGCAGAAAAGAAAAACCCAAATAACACCACGAAGGCTTACAGACTGAAAGATCTCCTCAGGAAATCTAAGACTTCGCCTACTAGCGCGCGTTCCGAGGACGATGTAGAAGTAGAAGTAGACGAGCAGACCGAGACCATTGATGAAGAGCCACCAGAACCTCGCCATGGAATAGCCACTGAAGCACCCCCATCTATCTTTTCCTCGCAAGAAACAATCTCCGAAATCCCCCACCTCAGAACCCTCGACACCACGACCCCACGCACCTCGCTCCTTCCCACCCCCAACGCCTCCGAAACCGACACTCTGACCCTCGCCCACCTCCGCGAGCAAAGCGAGCGCATCTCCCACGCCGAACTGACTCTCCACCAAGCCGAATACAGGTTCGCAAGAGAAGGAATACGCGAAGTGCAGCGAAACAAGGCGATGCTGCACATCCCCAACCCATTTACACCGTCGAAATGCGTGGTTAACCCCGAGGACGACGCACTGTTAGCTATATGCAGGCTGGAGAAGGAACTGCGCGACGAGCTACGCCGCGCGAGGTGGGATGCACAGCTCCGCAGGCAGGTCGTGGTTCGCATTCCTATCAATCTGTCTTCACTAGAGTCCGGGCCGTTGGAGTGGGTCGAGCGGGCGAAATATCAGTTCGAGCCGGATGAGGAAGACGACGCAATGGAAGGGCAGATTGAAGGGGGTTTGGAAGCGTTGTGGGGTGCGGTGGGTGGGTTGAAGGGACTGGCGGGGGAGATTGGGAGGGAGGTTGGGATGCAGAATGAGAGGTTGGATGGGTTGGGGGAGAGGGTTGATAGGGTGGGTGACGGGATTGTGGGGAGTAGGTGGAGGTTGCGGGAGGGTGGGAGATGATGGAAGGCGGTCGGAGTGAAGACGCGCAAAACTAATAAGAGGAGCTGGGGTGTGTAGGAGGAGCTTCAAGGATATAGACATTGAGAAGAAACATATCTATGTACAACTGCAAGCAAAGAAATCGCAGAATAACGAACATGAAGCAAAATGCCTCACTTCCCTCCTCATCTATGAAGTATGCACAAAAGCAGTAAAATATGCACAAAGAGGAAGCTGTAAGGGAACAAAAAATAGACGGGAAATCTATAGGACAGCACCGAAACGAACCTCCACGCCACCTTCCTCCACCCAGGCTCTGTCGGCGGTTAAATACCTAGTTGCCTCCCACAGCAACAGTGAATAGCTGAGGACTGCCATCGAACACCGTCCCCGCGACATCGCTCCCGCCATCTGGCACCACGTCGTCGTACGGGAACGCATAACCCCTTCCGTCCCTCTGCACCTGGTGCACAATGCGCGCGTAGTGATTCGTAGTCGCGTTCTTGTAGTAGTTCGCTGGGGTGCTACCGTTGGGGAACTGATCCGTATCAAGCAGCGTACTGCGATTGAACGCGGCTGCGAGGCGGGGAATCACGGCGTTGCGCGCAGCGTTGCTTCCTGTGGCGAAGGGACCGGTGGAGCAGGAGAATATGTCGCGGGCGGACGGTTTGGAAAAGGAGCCGGCGGAGCCAAGAGTGAGCTGATTGTTACTCACGCGGCCCTTGAGGTTACCAGCGGCGGCTTGCGTGTTGATGGTAATGTCTTGGCTGCCGAACTTGGTCCATACTTGGTTGACATAGGCGTCCCAGTAACCGTTCCATGCATTTGGATTGCCGACAAGCAGCTGGTTTGGGGAGATCGCGCGGAGTGGCTGGCCGTTGTACGAATAGATGAGCTGGTCCCATGGGCGTCCATCCCGGCTTGCCTGCGCCTTGAGCTCGTTGACCACGGTTTGGAAGCCGTTCGCTGCCATGCCCGGCACGGTCTGCGTTTTGCCCGCGGTGTTCGTAAGCGAGAGGCTGATGGGAATGTTGATGAAGTCGACATAGCTGATGTTTGCGAAGAGCTGTGCGTCGTTGTAGGTGAATTCGCAGAAGGTCCAGGAGATGTTAAAGTTGAGATCGCTGGGGTTTGTGGTGGAAGGCTCGACTATTGCGGGACCAGGGTTTCTCAGGAAGGTAAGGCGCGAGCCGATGGAGAACCAGATCCTGCCGCCTGCTATCCTGGGAATGACGACGTTGACTGTGTTTCCAGGTGCTCCCAGCGGAATAGCACAGTCGACCTCGAGAGGCTGTAGCGTTTGCGAGGGCGAGGTCGGGTTGTAGACTGTGTGACCATCCGATTGAATCAAAATGGGACGGTTATTGTTGCTGAGCGCGAGGCCGGTGATGTATGCGAAGACATTGCTGGAATTGCTCTTGTTCTGCAACGCGATATTCAACGTGGTGGCTGTCGCATTGGAGATGGGTTGTTGGTGTTGGCCTGCCATGTCGTCTTCAGTCTGCTGCGGCGTCTTCTTGAGTACATTGTTGGAAGGACGAGTCTCTTTCTTATTGGTTCCGGAGGTTCCGAAGCAGGAGGCGGACTTGAGCTTGGCCGTAAATTTCTTGATGCTGTCCATGATGCAATATGGCGCTAAGTATGCAGGGGAATAAGAATAGCAGAAAAGCGAAAGGTGTACAAGGGAGAGGTGTGCCAAAGTCTGGTAAGTTTCACAATATGAGTAAACGTGTGCGACAAACTCCAAGGGAATGAATAGATTGATATTAAATAGACATCGATGGTAAGGGTGAATTGTAGGGCTGCGACTGATGTCACATTCGGAAGGGGTTGGCGCGATCGCCAAGGGTGCTGGTGGCTTGCGGTCATACAAGGAACCCAGCCAATCAGACGGCGTCGCCTCGCTCCTCCAGGAACCGGCCCGTCCGCCCATCCTGGATCGTGGAGCCACGCGTTCAAGGCTCGTGGCACCCATAACAGGGCTGGAGAGCTTGGCATTAGTATGCTGGAAACCTGCCTGGGAAACGAGTACTTTGTTTTCCATGTTGCTATACTTGGATGGAAGCCGAGAATTGTGGACAACGAAGGCTGTAAAGGAGACCTGGAAGGGAGAGAAAACAAGGCAAAAGCGACACACCGGATGGAGATTAGGCCAAGTAAAGAAGTAAATAGGGCTAGGAAACACCGCGAATGTCGAAGCACCCTCGGGTATGTGTGGTATACTTAGTTGTACGCGCGAGACACCACTGCGGCCGGGGATAAACTCAGGGTTAGGAAGGTGTTCAGCTCTCGTTGCACGCGCTGCTTACCTTCTCCGCACTGTTCCCCGCATTCATTCCTGTGCCACAGTCACAGGCTCCGTGAGCGATATTAGCTTCCCAGAACCGGATGCGGAGCGTTGCTTTTCATCGCCCATATGAAGACAACACACGCCAGACGCATCTGCTCTCCTCGCATCTTGTGATAGCGGATGTTCTAAGCACGCGCACGCTCGACTGCTCATCTCATGAAAGAAGAGAGTGAAAGGATAGGATGGAGGGCTGGAGGCAGTCGAATAGTCTGGGAATAGGGGACCAAAGAGGGGAGATCTACGTCATCGAGCTCGTAGGCGCCGTGTTCCGGAGACGATGCCGTCGGTATGCATTCTCATACACAACGGATGAGCTGTTCGTTTCGACAAAGCCAGGTAGGCGACGATAGATGGGAATGGTGCGCAGGAGTTGTTTCACACCAGCTCCGACGAAGCTGAAAGTGCCAAGACCAGACTAGCTTGAAAGAGGAATAGCGTCTTCACCTTCCTGGGGTCCGATTCCGACCGCCAGGCTTCGTCCTTTCCATCTCAACCGTCGTGACTCCTCTTGGCTGGCAATGCGAACGCAATAGCAGCTGAAGCACACTAGGCTCCGCTTTCCAAAGGGGAAACCCGCTCGGGATGGGTGGACAAATTCTCATGGCCCGGCTTGACGAAGCCACCACATCGCTAGCCGCTCTACATTCGCTACTCAACCATATCACTCGCTCATATTGATACCAGCACATGCATAGTCATGTCCAGACAGCGCAGAGACTCGCTTGGCTGGGAGATTATACAGACGACGCAGGAGCTTGCCCGCGAGCGCCAAATCATTGAAGGCCTCCAGATCCGCCTAAAACAACGCGAACATCGAGAGACTCGAGAATGCCTCCGCCAGACCGTCGACTGCCTAACAACCGCACTGCTCCGATTTGAGGACCAATATCGGGATCTTGCTGGCCGATACTATCAATATGCATAGTACGCACATGCCGACGCCAGCGTCAGCCAGCGTATACATCGGTCCGTAATCGACGCCTTTCACAACGATACACCCCTGTACGAACGAGCGTTCTTCCAGCCTTGGAGAGACCTGGAAAATGCAATCAAGTTGGCTCTAGAAGCACTAGGGGACGTCACCAGCAGCCACGAGCTCCGATTCCATCGCGCATCTCACGAAATATCCAACGGCATCATGCTCCGGACCAATATCGAAAGGGGCTTAGCGACACTGACCCACCACGTTATTCTTCTTGAGCGTATTCACTCTGTCAACCGGAGCGCAGGGATCGGAAGGTCTCCGCCCCGGAGCCAACGCAATCGGGCCCTTTGGTCGTGGATCACCTGCCTTCCAGAGGCCGCAAGGCTGCTTCGGGCAGGTAGAGATCCAGCGAAGATTATGGAAGACATGATTGGGACTTCTGAGGAACAGTTTGTCGATCGGCCCGACCCGCCTAGCGCTGTTAGCCCAAGCGTATACAGCACGGACACTCTTGTAGCCGCACAGGACGACGGCTTCAACGAGGGCGAGGGGAGCGATTGGGCGGCGGCTGACATTTTGAATAGCTATCAGGAAGATGGAGAGGCTCTAAGGCGCTCCCAGTCTGCGGACGACTGGGAAGTAGTGCCTTGGTCGGCACATCGGTGAGAGCGTATATAGATATCCTTGGTTGTTCCTCAATTGTTATCTGTTCTACAGAGATCTGGAGGAGTCTGACCAGATATCTCAAGTGAAGCGCTCTAGGAGGAGTCAATCCGTCACAACTTCGCCAGAAGTGTGGAGTTATGCATCGGGACCGCACTCGTAGCGAAAACATCTATACCGGCTTACGGTTATCGGAAGATCTTTGCACCTCCCCGCAGCACCGTACCGCTCCGGTCATTGTAGCTTAGGGATGTAAACGAGGTATGTGCCTCGCCCTCAACACAATGTGAGGTAATCCACCATTAGGACTCCATAACCCATTCACAGGTCAACAAAATGACAGTGTCTAGACATGTCTCTAGTATTCGCAGGTCTTTCACTCACAATGCTAAACCACTCCACGTTATAAAGGCCCCGCTCCTTCCTTTCTATCATAGAACAACCAGCGCCCGCGCAACCTAGAAAGAGGTCACATAAATGTCCTCGCAAGACACATCCCACAATGTCCAACCGAACGTCGCCACACAGGAGCATCGAGATCACATCACCGTAGCTATCGCTAGGACCCGCAATCGCATCCAGGAGCTCGAGCAGGTGCTACAGGCGGCCGATGCAAATACTCAGAGCGGAGGCCCTGGGATAGCACCGCATTCCCGCCGGCGTGCGGAAATGGATCTCGCTTCCCGTCGCCAGGTCTTGGAACAGCTTGAAGCTGAACAAGCGTCCTTCGAATCATCTCCCGCTGCGTCATCCAATACCGCTGCCTCTGTAGAGCCTTCGGCTTCAGATGCGCTTCTGGAACGGCCATCTGGTATTCGTACGCGTATCGCGCGTGTTCAAAACCAACTGACTGGCTACATTGGGAACAATGCTCCTGATACGCAACATTCGGGACGAGAACGACGCGCTCGCCCTCTCGGTTTCGGCTTTGCCGCCCTCAACCGGCTGAATGAATTGCAGGCTCGACTCCGGGCTTTTTCGAACGAGACAGCGGGCGCGTCAGATGCGAATCCGCGCGAGCTTCGAGATCGCCCTGCTATTTCGCGCCCTGCCACGCCTGAGAACCCTCCCGGTAGCAATGGTGGCTCTCCACTCCACGAGCCCGACCGCTCTAATATCCGCGTCACAGTCGGTGGTGCTCCTCTCGTTCCGGATCGTCTCCCGGCCTCGACTTCCGTTTCTACTACCGATAGCGGAGACGAAGCGCAAGAAGTCGAAGCCGCTTTGGCGCGCCTCAATGCTATTGAGGAATCCCGGCCAGTGCCGGCCCCTCGTCGGCCACGCCTTGGGGCTCTTCCTTCACCATCACACAATGATGTACGGAGCTCACCCTTATATGGCCGCACGGTACAACGCGTTCGTGCACTCCAAGCCCAGCTACTGGAACTACGCCTATCTGAGGAGAACCCGGCTGAGCGCGCGCGTATTCGGGAAGATCTTGAGTACCATCTCCAGGTCCGGACGCACTTACGCCAGCTGGAACGTACGCCCCCGCCACGGCCTCGGGAGGCGCGCTCGAGGCCGCTTTCGCGAGCTCACAATGCAGCTCCAACACAGCCTGCGCGAGCAAGCAATGACGCTCCTCCGCAGCCGGTTCCGATCAACTTCACGCTCAACTTGAATCTCAATTCGCTGCCGCAAAACGGTCAGAATCTGGTGCGCTTGGAGCACCCCAGCGGCCGGATGACGGTGAATCTGGATGGGGCCCGCGCAGCATCTGCAGCTGGCGCTGAGGCCGGTGGACCGGCAGTTCCAGCATCTTCTGAGCTGGGTGAGATTATTAATGAGCTGGGTGCTATTCTCAATACATATTTTGAGCAGGATAACGCATCCGGGGAGTAAGTTCTAGTCCTCTCACTAGGTTCACGAGCGCATGATCTAGTATGACGCTCGCTTCTTCAACCGTTTTCCAGACAGGCAATGGATGGTTTGAACGATAATGCTACATGCGTTCTTCACGGTAATCAATAATGAATAGTATTATACGATATATGGTAGGGACTTCTCATCTTCTGTCCCGCTCCCCCACATTGAAAAGTCGAGATCTGTGACAGAATGCTTCCCTGCTTAAGCCCGCCATTCCTATGCTTCTTCGTTAATCTTTCATTGTGCATTCTAAGCGTCCTTCCGCTAGCCAAAATGCGACGAATTCTGCACGGATGTGAAAGCACCCACAAAATTCTCCGCAACTTTTACGCCTTCACTCCGAATCCCCACCGCTGACCTGACCGTACCATAATACCTCTGTCGACCAATAAAATGACGACTCAACCTCGCAAATACTCCGCCCTCAGCAAGCAACCCAACCACACCCAACCCAATTCGATATCGCACTCGTGTCCAATCCCGTCCAATGAGCAGCGGAGGCATCCAGCTCTCCCCCGCCGAAACGAACGGCACCGGAGCCCTGTTATCCGCCGACAAGTCTTCCAAAATCGAAAAATGGCTCGATGCCTTTCCCCCCTCCCCCTTGGACTTCGAAGAAGCATACACCGAACGCGAAGCCACGCTCGCGCACTACCACGACTGGCACGACATGCACCAGCACGACGCCCTGCACATCCTACACAAACTCGACGCCTACGAGCGCAGATACCGCGCCCTCGGCTTCACATACCATACCGTTCCGCACGCGCTGCGGCACTCACCCACGCTCCAGGGTTGTCGGGCAATAGGACCAGGGGTCCTCCACCGCTTGGGCGGCGTCTTTGAACCGGCGACTCCGCAGTCGGAGCAGCCGTTCTTCCTCGCGTGGCGCACATGCGCGTCACTCGCTGCTAAGGTTATCGCTGAAGCTCGGGAGTTCCTTGACGCGGCTGATATTCCGGCTCTCGAGGCTGTGCATAGGCGCTGCGGGTACCTTCTTCGCGTGGCTGAGAGGGAATTGAAGGCTATTAGAGGGGCGATGCGCGCGGTTAGAGATATGGTGGAAGAAGTAGCCGGGAGGATCGATCCGGCTGCTCACCCTGCTGCGGACCTGAGTCAGGCGTTTGGAGTCGAGGGCGGGTTGTTTAGGCGGTGGATTTGGACGTTTCCAGAGGTGCAGGGGAAGGCGCCATTGGCTAGTAGAGTGGAATTTGAGGCTATTGCTCAGGATATGATTACTAAGGGAGTGATGGAGGGGAGGTGGTGGAGTGGGAAGTATGGAACTTCTGGTGAGTAGTAGAAGCCTTAAGACCTTCACTGAAAGTGTGAAGTCCTTATATGAAGCAGGATAGATTTGAATGAACCCTATCGATGCCGTACTGAAGAACTACCGTATTGATCGCAGAGGCTATAGAACGGGCCATAGTTTTAGAACTTCTCTTACTCTGAGCCACTCCAAGAATGTGAGTACTCAGAATATTCCTCACTGCTCCAATTCGAGTCACCTTCCATGCCTGACCGTTTACCCTTACCCATGTCCCTGTGCTTTTGGAAGGATCTGTGCGTTTCGGAATGCTTGTGTTTAATATTATCACCGCTCATGATGATTGTAGCGCCGGGACCCGTGCCGAAGACCGGAGCTGCCACACCGTGTTTTCCGGATGCTATCGTCGGCTGATAAATAAAACTCGGTTTCTCTCCCTTTATAATTCTATCTCTCTGCAAATGCGCACTCTCTGCGCCATCGCGGTCGTCCTCATGGGGCTCCGAAGGTCGTCGATCATTTCGGTCCGAGCGAGCTGCTTTTGGGGATTCGTGCCAAATTTTGATCCATCTTTGGATCTCGGATGATATTCTTATATATCCTGTATCCCCAAGTGAGCCATACTTGGCGATTTGGCGATGATCTCCAGGAAGACTGAAGCTTTGATATCCACTGATAAGGGCAGATTGGGGTTCCACAATCTACCAAGTGTGGTCAGCATCTGCATCAGCCGAGTACCTTAGGAATCCTTGACATACCATTCCCAGTATCTTCGTAGGCCGCTCTTCATTGCAGCACGTAACATACAAAGGGCGATTGCGCTCCCAACGGTCTCGCATAAGGGAAATAAACTCGTCTTGCAACCGTCGAAGGTCAGGATTACCGGACTCCAAGCTCTTAACGAGCTTATCGTTCACGCTCTGGAACCGGCCGATGAAGGACAGGATTACACTCGCCCATTGCTCTTGCGACGACCCTTGGTGCGGTGTCCCAAGGAACAGAATTCCCCACGTTGCTGTGACTATTGGGCGAAGATGGGCGCGATCCTGGGTCACTGAATGGAGGGAGTGCAGCAGGGCCTAGCGATGCTGATCAGCGCAATGATCTAGCAAACGCGAAACGTCACTATACCTGCTTCACTACTAGTCCACCAAGACTATGTGCGACGAAAATGATTGGGCGACTGCTTGGCGTGTTCATTCGTTCGTTCGCCAGGTCAGTGCATAGGCAGTCAGCATGGCCCAAGATGTCGTTGGATCCGACTCTCCCGCCACTGATGACGTCCGCATCGTAGCCCCAAGTCAGGATCCGGGCTTTAGGTATGTCCAAACGAAGCAATTTTTCCGGCCATAAACAGGTTGTGTTATCTGTTCGATGATACGTCCAGGTCGATTCCCGGCCTCCGCGTAGCCCGTGGACGAAGACAATACTGAGATGTTCTCGTTAGAAATCTGTATAGGTCTTGGGGTTGGAACTTACTCGACCTCAGCATTAGAAGGATCGCGAAGGCGTTTCATGCCTCTATCTCCCGTCTTATATTTTGGCCTCTTCTCCAGTGATTCCTCATATTTCACCACCGCTCCTGATGCCGCGTCGCTTGTTGCATCCAGTGGGAGGGTCCTTCCATTTGAGTGTCCTTGGAAAGTAAAAGCACGCTGCATTCCTCGAAGTAGGTTTGACATTTTCCGAATGATGTTGCGAAATGTTGAAAATGAACGATGCTTCGATCGGGTGAAGGTAAGTCCAGATATGCTCGGGGACTTGAAATATCATCAGACGGCCCTTGACCGGATCGTGGGGAGCTGAAGCAGATATCTGGTGATTTGTTCGTAAAAGGTGATAATGTAATAGGCTAGAATGTGATTGTGGCTTGAAGGTGGCTTGATCGCGTTATCCAGCGCGCCAACCTCAGTTGCTGCCATCAACCGAACCACCACCCAAGACTGAGCGACACAGCCTGTGACGCGTGATGATTTCAAGTTTTAGGTCACGCTGGAGTGCTCTTCAGCCCCGGCAACTAGAGTGGTCGCTACCCAGGGCAATGGTTCAAGAATCCTTGCCTCCGCAACGCTACCCTAGTTCCCGTCGCTCTAACTTTATTCTTTCTGGCTGTTAGGCATCATAGAGTAGATGGTGCTAGAGCATGGATCATGCGCGGCGAGACTGGGAACAGTGAGTAGAGTCCGTTTATGCCGTACTCCGCGCTAACTTTTTGGCAGCACACATGCACGAACGGGGAGCGCAACAAGTGAAACGACACTCCATAATGCACATCCATTTCATAAAGCGATTGCGGCAGGGGATCATGGAGTTTCAGCGCCTATTGAGAGCAGTGGCCCGAATGCGCGGGTAAGCGTAGGTACGTATTGGGTACCTTGCACGGAGATCTATTTTCTGACATAGGTAGTGGGTCAGATGAAAGGGATTCTCATCTGCCAAGGGTTCAATATGAGCACAAAGTCCATCATCGGGCTCATCGTGATTGTGGTCGTTATTGCGGGCGCTACCATTGGAGGCGTATTGGGTTCAAGAGCTGGCGGGAATGCTGGAAATGACAAAACGACGTCCACGAACAGCAACAATGGGTATGCAAGCAATAATACTAGCCATAAGAACACGCTAATTAAGTTATAGCGATACACCAATCATTCCCTTCGTCAATGACACAAGCACTCATGGAAACGAGACCGGGACGTTCGACATATCAAAGACGCCCGGCTACGACTTCTTCAATCCGAAACCCATGGTCGCGCAGTACGTCCGCTTTGCGAAATCCTTCGCAGAAGCACCAACCATTGCGATCGGAATGGTTCAGATCAACATCAGGCCAGGATCTGACACAGTGGGTCTCACCACCTACGCAGACCAAGCTTCCGGGGAGGGGTACATGATGCATGTGGACGCCGTAGGAGGCTCACAAGTGCACACCGCCAGACTCCAGTGGCTCGCCGTTCCACCTGAGATAACTGTAAATACGACGCAGTATCAGGCCGGCCATGCAAGCACACTGCAGAGTCGTCTGCGAGGGTCCAGCCATGACAACACGACTCTGCACGTCACGTTTCCTTACAAGTTTGACGTCGCTCCGAGCGTCGTCGTATGGATCGACGGCGTTGAAATGGCGAGCCGGACGGGTTCCGGCGACTGGCGACTCCGCACGTATTCGTCCGACGTAGATCTCAGCGGTTTCACCATGCACATCGATACCTGGAACAACACTGAGCTGTACGTCGGCAATGCCTCGTGGATCGCGTATTCCGGAGCATCCACGAACGTGATGTCTTCTTCCTTACGCACTTCAAACGTCCAACCACTCGATTCTACTAACTACACCTGGGGCGAAGTAGTGCATGCGGACTGGCCGGATTTGGTGAAGACTGGCAAAGCTCCTGTAGTGCTCGCGGCGTTCGGAATGTTCGACATTGATAATAATAGCCTCTTGCGCTTTTCGGCGCTAGATGCGAATGTCACCGCGGATGGTATTGATATGGAGATTGCTGGCGCCGAGCAGACGAGATTTAGGGATGGCGAGGTTCCGTATATAGCGATATTCTAATGTAGCCGAGAGATCCAATATAATCAACTCGCTTCCTAGTGGCCACAGGGGAATATTTTATTTCGTTGGATCTTGTTCAATTCGGTTCCCTCTACTGTGAAAACTCTGTAGGGGCCTGTATTAGAAAAGGCAGTTCGTCCTACTTTATAGAGGTGAAGAATCTGTGCTTGTATATATCTAGCTAATAGAAAAGGGGTAGTCCCATCTTCTGCGATTCTAATCTCATATGCACCCTACATATACAAGCCAGAAACTCTGCCATCCCCCCAGAATCATAAACGGACCTAGAATGTTCCTCTTAAGTCCACTGCTCCTCTCGATAGTATGCGATGAGCTTGGACAAATCGTCAGGGATAACGTTGCCAATGTCCCTTACTTTGACGTTCATCTCAACAGGGTATGCTTTTCCAAACCGAACGCGCGACGCGCGGTCGATGCTAGACCAAGGCTCTGCAAGCTGGATTGCAATGGGTTCTTTGGTAAGAGACTCGCCATGGAATAGCGAAGGCTCGCTCCCGACGGCGTACACGATTGAGTGTTCCGAAGGGTTAATTCCAGGCTTCAAAGTTCCTCTCCCAGAGTATGTCGTTATTGGACTGTGCACAATCGTTAGGATCCCTCACCAGCCACATGGAGCGGAAAGACATACCAGGCATAAACAAAACCTGTCCTCACCTGGACGATAACGAACCGACGCATCTGTGCAAAAGCCCGCTCTCCATATTTTACGACGTCATGATCGTCTCTTACCAATTCCTCGCTCGCTGCTTGGACGTGCAGCGTTGCAAAGACCTGTATGGCGTTGTTAATTGGCTTCTCTAAATGTAGTGCCTCAGGCTTCCAGGTCCTGCACGTTTACATACCTTGCCCGTTTCGAAGAATTGCCTTACCTCTCCCCCAGTTCTCATGCGATAATCTGTTATGGTGAGCAAAATATTTAATGTGTTACTAGAATAAATATACTGCTGTCCAATTTTTCGTACCACCCCCTCTCCGGTGTGCCAACAATCAGGTCCGGAAGTTGTTGCCGGATATAGGGGGACACTTTTCAGGTATTAGTCTGCTACGCTTTCCATGGATTCCGAGACAATGTTCTACACACCTCCTTTTGGCATATGAGGCCTTAGAGACTGACTGCTCTCGGCAGTTTGGGAGGAATCGGTCGAAAAGCAACCACGAGGGCGACTACGCGGCTTTAGACAATGCAGTGCAGCACGATGGGCATGGCTAACAGTGTTTCCAATGAGGAAGATGTACTCCCCTTCCCATAGACTTGCGTGTCTTTATACCAATGGTATGTGTAACCACCTTGATGGAGTCAGCTGCTTCACTCTTTCTCTGCGCTGGTGGAGATAGATCGTACCCTGACCATCCCTTGTGACATAGTAGAAATCCTGGTGTGGCGCACTCCAGGTCCAGACGAAGCTCCCTATGACTGCGACTTGATTATCGGGTACTGCGGTTTCTGAAGCACCTGATGCCATTTGACTTGCATCATTAATTTCAGCTTTTATAACCTCCTTTCGTGTAAGACTAGGGCTCTCGGAAGTTGTGGTGTGCAATTGAGTAGCGTAGCTTTCCGAAGCTACGGATGAGAGATGTGTGTCTGCTGATACTGGGTATGAACCCGCCGGCGGTGACAAGATCGTGGATAGGTTTCCGACGTCGAAGCCAATGGCTCTTGCTTGTTCCGGGTCCGATTGCAGTTGCCGTTGATGATATTCTGTGGGGAACCTGGTGTAATCCGTTTGTTGACATCCGTTGCAGAAATATCCAGAATTGCGTAGGAGTTTGAGGACCACCTGGGAAGCTGTGCAGCGATCTGCAGGTTCCCGTGCCGTCATCAAAGCACAAACGCCCGAAAGGTCTGCTCGAAAGCCCTTTAGCGCATTGGAACCGCTCTCACTCAGCTGACGATGGATATCGTCCATCGCATCATTAAAACACTGGCCAGGATCAACCTCCAAAGACTGGTCTAGAGCTGAGAGAATCTCGATGAATACACAGCCCAACGAGAAGACGTCCGATTTGGAGTTCCTGGATCCATAGTCAAGGACTTCTGGCGCTGAATACCTCCGTGTCAGAAAGTCGGGCTGACCGGCAGTCGTGCTATGAAGCGTCTGACTTGAGTCGAGAGAGTACCCGAAATCAGTGTAAACAACAGAGCCGCGATGAATGAGTATGTTCCGCGGTTTAATGTCCTTATGGCGGATCCGCTGCTTGTGCATAAAGGCTAGCCCACCAGCCAAACAACCAAAAGCCCGTTTGAGAGTGGCGACCTTAGCTTGGTCGACCTGACGGACGCCAGAAGTTTCGCTCTCCTCCATATCCTCTCGGAATCTGTCCAGGAAGGCATCCAGGTCGCCTTCGTCTGCAACAGGTTGCAGGATTAAGCCGACCTCGCGCTTGCCGATATAGGTGGCAAAAATGCGAATGATATGGTGGTGGCTGGCTAAGTTGCGTATGATGTTTATTTCGTTGTCGAAAACTCGTCTCCTCCCGTCTTTATCACGTGGCCCATATATGCGGATGGTTTTTCGAGCGAAAACAGCGCCTGTTACAGTATCTTCAACTTCTTCCACGTTGCCGCTGTGACCATGGCCCAGGCTCCTGATGAGACGGTACGGCAGTTCGTCCTCAGGCTCGAGAAGGTAGTCCTTGCCTTCTTCGACGGCTAGCACCCGCGGTGGGCGAAGTGGTAGGGAAGCGTCGGTGGAGCTATCCATTTCATCGATTCTGAAACATCCAACCAGGAACTTGAGAAAGAGGAACCTTCTCGAGAGGGCAAATGGTAAAAGAGAGGTCGCACATACGTTTAGGTGAAGGAGAGTCGGTGCCTAGGCGGGGCAGGAGGACTTGCGGAGAGTTGTGCTGCGGTTGAGGCGGTGAAGTTGCGGCTGCATTGGCGAATCTGATGATTGGCGTAGCAGTGACCAATGAGCTTCCGACTACACAGTTCTGATGGACCGATTTGCGGGAGTGAAGAATGCGGACGGTTTGAGCATGTGTAGTCGGTTGCCATGGATGGGGTGGCGAGACATTGTAATGCCTTCATCTTCCAGTCCACAATGACACATCCTCGAGATCTACATTGTTCAATGTTGCTTTAAAATACACCTTCAGCAGCCTTCTAAAGCGGATAACACTCTAAGAGAGGCAGCTAAAAGATCAACGTTAGCCATGACTTCTTCGATCCTTGGCATTCCGTTCGAGGGGGATGTTGTAGAGGCCATCTGTCACTACCAGACTATACTCCTCCAGGCAGACGCACGCATCGACAGGTACTTCGCCCGTATCGACGCTGACGAGAACAGCTACCGCACAATGGGTGAGCGCTACCACATCACCGAAAGTGCCGCCCGCGATCCAGCACGTTGCCCAGCTGACAAGCTAAAGCGTATGAAGGAAGCATTCGAGCTCTCCCGAGTGGAGGAGTACAACGCGTTCTTCGCGCCTTGGCAACAACTGATCGAGCTTCTGCATGAAGCCCGCCGTCATACCAAGCTCTCAGGAACCGCGGAAGAGCTACTGCAACGGATCAGGGTCGGGGCGGAATTGCTAGACAATGTCGCCGACCGCCGAGCTACGCTAGTTGATAAGCTATCAACGCTGCAGGAGGACGTGATTGCTCTGGTTCACGTAAACAATATAGTGTTAAGGCGCGGAGTGAATGCGCGATGGGCCCAGTCGTTCTCCGATCCTGACGATATGTTCCACATGCCGAACAGGAAAGGAGAGGAGTGGCAAATGTTTCGAGCCTGGATTTGGAGCTTGCCCGAGACACAGCGTGCCGTTCAGGCTGGCCGCTCAGTGGACGAAATTGCGGCTGAGACATTGTATAAGGATGACGAATCGATGGTGCGGGAGTAAGTGGAGTGAATGCCCCGAGCCGGTGCTCAACGCGTGAGTGCCATCGGGCATAGAGCGAGTGTCTATGCCCAATCAATCGAAAGAAAATTAGTAACTTGGACGTACCCAGCAATAGTCTCAAGCAGTTTTGTTCATACGTGCGGCCGAACGATGGGTACCCCAGATCGGAAATGCGTTTGGTCCCCGCGGTACGGAAAAAAGCTAACATCATAGATGCGTGTAATACGATATTAGGACTCTTAATTCCTCTTGCATTGCAGACAGATAAAGCCTGCGGCGGAGGAAAGGCTTTGAACGTACGTAGCACTTGCAGGAGTGCCCAGGCTAGAGGAATCATCAGCCGCCCAGCACAGCAAGCTCCTGCGAGGGACTCCTCACGCGTAGCGGCTAGGTAGGGCTTTCGATGACGAATTAGGAGCGGTAGCCCTGGTGGCAGGCGGGGTCCATAACGTAAAACCGCGGCCGGGAAGCTTGTGCGGCTCTGTTGCGACGTGTTCATTCGACTGCCGAGACCGCGTGATACACATGACCTCCAGGCTGCATAAGGCTTGCATGCAAGTTGAGCGCAACCCTGCCGAATCCCTTCCCAGATTTACACAACGGAAACAGCCGAAACAAGACTCGAAACAGATCCAGAACATATTCTCAAAGAAACAGATTAAGCTTAGTGATTTGGCAAGCGTAGAGAAAGCGGTAAATATGAATAGTCGCAAGGATTCCCTATGGTGGAAATATGTAGGCAAGAGCATTACGACTCCCCAACGTCGGCCAGAGTGGAATAAGCACTTCCTGCCGAAGCCCATAGGTAGAGGGACCAGCCGCGCCAACCTCAACGCCCGCGATCATATCTTCTTAATCCACGTTTCCCACACGAGGGGGCCAAGAAGACGCTCATATGGCTTCGTAGCGCTGGGTCGCAGGATCAAATGCAATTAGACCATGATCGCTATCATGTACAGCGGCCAGGGTCGCTTTGTTCGCGCCTGGAGAGTGTCGTGCCTTTTTCCGCCATCGGTGTCGCCTAGGAAGGTCTTTGGTACTAGGATAAGGAGCCGCAGCATTTTGAAATGAATGAGTCGCATCCTGAGGTTCAATCTCCGTGCTATCCCCTTCCCAAAGGCGGAGAGCCAGATTTGCCCAGTCTGGAATCCGTTCCGATGATTCCAATACCTGTCTGCGAAACTCAAAAACCTCAAGTGGTGACACTCGAAGCTTGTGAAGAAGCCACCTATTCACGCGATTTCTGGTGCTTTCGAATTGAATAAGGTAATCGCTCAGCGTGGACTGGGTATCGCTATCGGTGCCGAGAAGTAAAAGGCTATCTCCATCGCCGAATGAATACTCCACATCGAGATCGTCCAAAAGGCGTTCGTAGTCTTCGGCAATAGGAGTGAGATCCCCCAGACCACTAAGGCTGAAATTCATTCTTGTCTCGGTCGATTCGGATTCTGGAACAAACCCTTCTGCGGTCTCCGGTGCCGAATCGAAAAGATCTCGGGGGAACTGAAGCTCCCCTTCGGCCGGAGCGTTGCTTGATATGCTGGCGTTCCGTCTGCCGGCCTCGGGGGAGTCGGAAGACATCTGTGGGCCGCTAGGGGGTATTCTATCTACCGGTGAAACCAATGACTTCATTCCTCGCACGGCATCACCGAAACCGTCCGGAGATCCCGCTAAAGGGAGCTGACCAATCTTGACATTGGCGCCGACGAAGGCACCCTGAAACAGACTATATTGCCTCGGTTCCTCCTCTTCTCTTAGACGTCTTTCGGATTCTGACGCAGCTGACGATGGCTCGAACTCAATGGTGGAAGGGATCGTTTGATTGGTGGTCGACGTTGCCCGCAGCTTGAAGAAGTTTTCGAATCGGGTTTCCAAAGCATTATACTTCTCCTTCAAGGCAAATTCCTCTGCTCCGAGCTTGTTCTCTAGGCCTTCGTAGTCGTCCTCCTCTGGACCAACTTCGTCACGCGCTGCTTGCGACGCATCGAACAACTTCTTCAATTTTGGATCATCAAACATGGCCCCCTTCGCTCTACATTGCCGAAGATAGTCCATGAATTCGATGTCACACCTAGAGACGTTCTCTCGGCAGAGTTTTAGCTTCGTTCTTCTTTCTTGCACCTGAACACGAGACTTGATCACGTTTCCTTGCATGGAGACGAATTCGTCCAGCTCGTCGAAAAACTTTATGTATAGCGAATATGCAGCGGGGTCGATCCTAGGAGCGCCTTCAGGTCCTGAAGCTAAGAGATTTAATCCTTGCGGTGGCCCTGGTGGAAGTGGCTGCATCGTGTCATACAGAACCGGTCTGGGTCCCGCAAATCCACGTGAATTTGGGGGAAGAGGTGGTGGTGGGGGGGGAGGGAACAGAGGAGGGCTAAATTCTTCGTGATCCTTGGCCTCCTCGCTGACCTTGAAGCGTACGGTTGGAGGTTTTAAGATACCTTTGGGCCGCTGCGCGTTCGGGCTCGCATCTGAGCCTGAGATGCTCGAGGATCTTCTCATACTATCATGATGCAAGGGTTCCTCCTGACTACACCTCACCATGGCTTCATCAGACCATGTTTCGTTCTCTTGCTGGGACTTTCGCCGTGCGTGGCGCTCCAGTTTGTATAAGGTGTAGTCCGGCACGGTCTCTTCCTAGACGATTGTTAACTCGAAACTCTTTTCAAGCTATATAAAATTTAGCGGACCTGAGATTGATCCATTTACGCAGTCGCCTTTCGAACTTGGTAGACACAAGCTTTCACTCTTCTCGTGATGGCCTTAGAAATCTAGCAACGCGTTGGGGGACGGCGCATGCTGTGAGGGCGGTTCCCCATTGCAAGGCCAATAAAGCTAGTGCTAGAGACGCGATTTGGGTGTTGCGCTCCTATCCTGTTATGGTGATGCGCGGTGACAAGTGCAGTGAGCTGGCGATGAAGGCCGCCGAAAGCTGAGATGGAATGTCATTTTCGGCACGGGCCACCTCGCGTGGCGTCACGCTAAACTCGCATCTATTGGATGGATTCACCCCACGCCTCTAGCGCGCGATCTTATCAGTGCGACACCATCCCAGCAACCATCCCAGCAACCATCCACACCATCATTGGCGCACGCGATTTATATGGCTGCCCTGGTGCGCCAGCTGAATAACGAAGAGCCTCCTCCCGGCCTTGTTGCGTTCTCCCCGCTCAGCCCCGCGGTGGCTTTAAATAGGCAACCCCGCCTTCCGCGCGCGGCGATGGAGCGGGATCGACCGTTGCGAAGATGCGAACATGATTCAATACTCCGCCTGGGTGTGGTCACAGGAACACGAGCAGTTCTATTGCTGTTCTTATGATGCACAAGGTCAATTTCTCCAGTACCACTGGTCGGGAGCTGCCGCCGCGGCGCCCGCTGAAGTGACGGCGGTGGAGGCTTCGTCTTCTACAGCGACAGCAGCGTAGGTAGAAGCCACTTGCTTGCTCTGTCTGATAGGCGCTTGCCGCCATCAGATCCTTGTCGAGGACAGGGACTATTAGAAAACTGACGGACCTAATCGTAGACCCGACAAGCCACGGACTATACTACCGGCAGGACTCCCATCCCAGATACCGTACGATGGTTCGAGGTCCCCACCCGGCCACTACACGTCCCGATCGCTTCGTTCGGTGCTTCCACAAGACGTTCGAGAAACCGTGGGAGGCGATAAACCTCGTCGGCACATACAGACGGGAATAGATGGAAGGAATCACGAAGAGCTTGATCCGAGTATGGTGCCCGATTGCCCAGCCACGATATCGTGTCTTACATGTCCCAGGATATGCGCGGGTTATTCCGGAACACATACCGTACTTCTTCGTTCGCGGTCGGGTAAGCCAGCTGACATTCTTCTAGAATGAGCCTACTGGACTGTCTTTAGGCTAACCTAGGCTAGGTGTTCAAAATGCTATGGATCGAACCTGCGGGGCAAGCGAGCCTTGGGCAAACGCGTGGATCGACCCACTTTAGCGTCGTGACGTACAATCAAACGGCCTATGCGGAAATACGACGATTCATCGTTGTCAACAACAAGGGAACATTTAGTCAATGCATCCCAATACAGACGTATCGGAAGCAAGGAGCTACGAAGCCGGGACTCCTCGTTGAGGATCACGGTGTCGTTTATACCGGAGCCGAGTATACAACTCCACCTTCACTTCTTTACGGTGAAGGCATCACGAAGCAACCAATACGTGTGGAGCCCAAGGGAAATGAGTGGCTTCACCGGGAGTCCAGGATAAACTTTGGGAAGCCATATGCAGTAGAACACAACGTGAAGGTCCTGGAGATTGGCAATGTTGCCTCGGAGCACATGCATCTCCTAGAGACCTATTTCGAGGCGGCCATGAGGACATGAATCGTTTACCACATTCATAGTCGGTTGTTACGTTTCATTTTGACGGGTATGGCGATTACCCAAGTTCCGCAACATACGCAGATCTAGGTTTCGCCTCATCGCTGCATGTGCGATGGCTCGTTCTTATCATACGATCATACAAGCCTTGACGGGCCTGTACCGATTTACTCACCCTTTTCGTTATATTCTGAATTGTTTCTCATCGTTGCGATATGTTGACTACGGCACAGTGAGAATGTCTGAGCGAGGAGAGCTCAATTCTGAGCTTGCTGGGTCTCCAAAATAGTGAGACGTGGAATCTCATACTCTCCGATTCCCTGGTTATCCATGACTTTAACGAAGCGACGGTCTCGTTGATCATGTTGGTTCTTTATAATTAATGACACTCTGTTTTTTGACCGATGTCTAGGGTTTGCTTTACCTTGGTCCGCCGATCTTCGGGACATGACTCCGTCGGCTGTTTGTATACGGGGTCGCACAACTACCTAGGTAGTGAACGCAAAGGCCGTGATATGCTTGGCGTGAGATGCAATCCATCTTTCTGTAACCCAACGCCCCGGTACCCTGACGTTAAAATCCCATGAACGAGAGGAGACCACAAGTTGGGAGAGTGTGCATGAGCAGTCCCCCTAGGGGCGTGGCCCAATATCATCGCAGTCTAGTTTCTACTAGAGATATATAATTGATTGATGCCACAATACGGGGAGAAGCTTGTGTACCCTCTATTCTGCTTAAATCCTCATATCGGCCGTTGCATCGGGAACGTACTTGCGAGCAAGCGTAGCGACTATACCGCACCTTTCCCATCTAGCCCTAGCGGCTTCGCGACAAAATTTTTCCCCGAGGTGCTGTCGTGCAATACTCATTCCAACAACACCGCGATTGCGAGCGGCTTGGCGTGTCTACAACCAGGCTATGAGGAAACCCTGAAACCGTTGGGGGGAAAATACATGGAAAATTTTGTGAAGTTCCTGGCCTCAAATTCTTCCACCCCGCAAACGCCAACCGCCCGCGGGCACGACTGTTCCTCGCCGCGAACCTTGACTTGCCGTGGTTGAACCTACATTGCTCATTCAAGGACACAAGAGGAAAAGAGAAAGGGAAATAAGAGAAAACAGAAAACTTCCCCTGGAGTACGTATTCATGGCATCTTGCCAGACGCGTGTGTGCGCTCGATTGCAGAATCCAGCTGCAAGAGCGAGTAAGGACGTATGGTTTCCTCCCGTGTTAAGTATGATCATTAGTGCTGCCGTCTTCGCCGGTTTCCGCCCGATGTCTGTGAGTCAGATCTTCTGCGCGTATGCGGTATGTGCGGTCCGGGGACTTGGTATGCATTTGGCGCATGGAGGCTTGGATCGTTTCCTACACTCGGCGAAGCCTGGTACGGCGATTGCTGTGTTGGGAAAGGATTCGCATGACCAGCTGTAACGTCACCAGCTCCTAAAACTTCCTGAATAGGTGGCAGCATTTGGTGCCCCCCGGGTATTTGTGGATCAGCCTCTGGTTGGGTGCCGCTGGGAGAGTAAACCACACCAGCAGTCAAGACATTTGGAGCTGATGATGTTTGTGATGTGGTTCCGGAGTAAGAATACCGGGTCGTAGGAGATAGAGCATTGTTTCCTCGGATCCCCCAATGGAAGTTGAACTGGAAGATGAACTTCCATTCGTCGTCAGGATGAACCTGTCCAAAGTCCTCCACTTTGACGTTGTGCTCCACGGTATACACCTTGGCGAAATTCACTCGCGACAGGGGGTCCAAACCCTTCCACGGCTTGTTTGCAACTACCTGGATAGGCTCACCCATTGGCAATTCGTTTACATAGCTAGGGCGCTCTGCAGGTAATGGTTGCGGTGCTTCTGAGCCAGTGTAGATTATGGCGTGCTGGCTTTTCACCTTGGTCTCGGTCACGCCCCTTCTTCCATATGTCTGGATCGGCCTTGAAGTGTGTCAGTAAACGGCTTCGAAGTTGGAAAGAGTCTTCATCTGGTCTATTTGCGAAGGAGGACCGCAGTCGGTGCGTGCTCCCACCGATTCCGCTACTCTCGTAAGGAAAGATCCCGCTTACGTACAGACATGTGCAGCAGTTGTGGCCTTCCCGGACCACAACAAACCATCGGATCTTGCAGGACATTCTCTCTTGGAATCTCGTGGTCACGATGGTTGTATTATCGTTGGCGTCACCAGCTAGCTCTGGCCAGAGGATTCTAAAGACGACCCCGACTTTGAAAAATTCGTAGCCCGGGTAGCGGACATGGAAGTCTGATAGAGGTTATTACTTCCAAGGTTTCCACCATCTTTGTTGGGGCTACTTACTGGGATCAAGCTTCTCGACATAGCCGGCACTACCGAAGAGCTTCCTATGTGGCCTAACGCCCGGTATGACCTCTTCTTTGGGCTCTTTTTCAACATTTCGGGCCACTTCCTGCAATATTGGCTCGTTGGATGGTTCGGGCGATCTTGGGTGTAGCGGGCTCTGGAAGGGGCTTTGAAAAGGGCTCTGCACAGGGCTCTGCACAGGTGTGGAGTGCCCCAGAATGGCCCCTCGTTGGTGATACGGAACGGATTTGCCGATCTGCGGTGCCCAAGGACCTTGCGTATTTTGCTGCGCTTCATACTGGCTATGTCCCGTGGATCCAGGCGAAACCGGGAGTGGACCGTAGTGTTGGTAGGGGCTGAGTGGGTGATATTGCATCGGCCGCGGAAATTCCGCGAACTGCAAGAGACTATTTTGCTGGCCGCTGTGGGCCCATGGTATAAGCTGATGGCCTTGATGGACTGCTCCTTGCTGCACGGGGTACGGGGGATAATCGAATCCTCCGGTGCTTTCCGAAGCTGGAGGTTGAGCACAAGGGGCGCTTTCAACGGCTTGAACATCCTCCTTTTCAACGTCGTGCGCTGGAGTCGCGCCGTCATCAAGCGACAAATTCGAAAACGCGGTCGTCGCGCTCCAATCACTACTTCCCCGGCTCAGTTCCCGTCCGTGGGCTGGCTGAGGGGCGCCCTGTTGCTGTATCCTGTTTCGTCGCGTTCGTCAGCCGGCTCCCTCGACACGTTACATGGCGCCGTCTTACACATAGTCTTGCGGAAGAGATATTCTCTGCCCGCTCTCGTAGATGTAGCATTGCTCCTCGTTATCGACCCAGTAATGCTCGTTACGAGCCTTGTCAAATTCCCACTTCGTAAAGACCATTTGAACGCACGGATGCCCGGTTCGCAAGCACCCATGCTTTGTTTTAAATGGGTTCGCCCTCAGCTGGGCGGGATGAGGCTCAAAATACGAAGTTGGCCTTGATTGGTCTGCGAGGGTGGGAGGCCAAGACGCGCTGAACAGCTCACCCTGCAGTCGGGGAGCACAGGTGTGGCGTCGCTTCTTGCATGAGATACAAACATTATCGCCCCAGTCTGACGGCGCTTGCCGACATGCATAGACGCCAACGCTTCTGGGCTGCGTCGCCTTAGCGACGGGCTGAATACCTGGGAATACTGCCCGACGAGCACTTCTTCTTACCTAAATTTCGAAAACTCAAGCCCATCGGGCATTCAATGCTGGGCCCACCTCATGTTTGGCACGGGTGCCGATCCGCCGCCCGTTCCTGCAGAGCCGCATGGCCCACTCCCATTTAGGTAAAGCCACTCCGCCGATATCGTGCAGTGTGCGAGCGCAAGGCCGTTAACTTACAAGCCCCGGAAGAAAGGAGCTGGAGCAGGAAAGCACGAGATACAATGTCCCCGAAATTGGCTGGGCGCGTTCGCCCGAGCTTGCTCGCGTTCCGATTTCCAACTCCGATCCTTCGCACTCCTATCGTACTATATTACCCAACGCTGCAACATACTCTCCAAACGGCTCTCGGCGATCCAACGGCGCCCTTTCAAATGACGGCGCTACTAGACCGATGCTCGACACCAACGCTCAAATCTCGGTCATCCAGATATGGATGGCTGCGGTGCGCCAGATCACCTCGTTGCAGAACGTTATCCTCACAGCAAGGATGGATGTCAAGAGGGAGCGGACGCGCTGCCGCCAACAAGAGGAGTTCTTTGAGAGCATAATGGATTCGTTCATTGATCTGCTTCATTCAGCCACGACGCACGCTTCCTATGCTGAGTGCAAGAAAGATCTAGACGATCTATCACACAAAATGAAGGCTTCAAGGGAGGAGCTCAAAGTGCAGCGGCAGAGAAGCAATGAACTAGAAAATGGTCTTTCAAATCAGGAGTATCAGCTCACGAAGTTGGAGGAGGAGATCTATCAAAAGCTGGACACGGAGTTTCGGCTTGGCTCGCCCAAGCCTACATCACCACCTGCTCAACCGGCTTTCCCAACACAAAGACAATTCGAGACAGTTGATACCGATACATCACGGGGTCCGAGAGAGGAACTGTACTCGCGGATGGCCGACTTACGCATCCTTCTCGAAAGGCTGAACAACTTCGAATTCGATCTCAGGGACGAGCTAGACCAGCGGGACATTCTACGTGCAACCGGTCAATTCGACGTAAGCAGCGACGCGGCCTTTTTTGAAGAGACACGCGCGGAGCGTGCCAAGATCCAAACCGAGCTAGAGCAGGCACAAGCAGACGTCGAGCGCCTCAAGCAGCAATGCATACAGCGCGGTATCCAATTCGAAGACGTCCAATTTCATAATCTATTCAACGATGCCGACATCGACACCTTCTCTACGCCCTCGACCCAGGAAGAAGCAGCGATTCTACCACTGCCGGAAAGTCCCGGAGGTATCATCGGCAGTTTCCTAATCGCACGCGAGCGCGTCAAGAGGTGGCTGGATCCTTCCAGCCCGCAGAACCAGGGCAACAGTCCAGCCGAGCATGAGGGAGATAGCCAAGCGCGTCGGGAATCATGGTCGGACGTTGGTTGGGTGACGCCTGATAGCTGGCCTCGCCGTGAACGCCCTTCTGCAGGCGACGGGGCGCACGGCATGCCGGTGTGGAACTCAGGACCCCCGCCGGGATCGTCGCATCTTGAGGCTCTGCTGCGAGAATGCTCCACGGAAGTTTCACCCCTTCCAATCAAACAGATGCGCAGGCGCGAGAGTCATACGACATTGTAATGGATATCCCTTCCTCGTCTTTCTTTACCCAAAGCACCGCATCCAAGTGACATTTGTGCACCTCTTCAATTCAGCATATGCGCCTTCTTCACTCAGGCAATCAGTCCCGAGTGTAAGCCGCGGCCTTCCTTGTAAGAGCGCCCTCCTTGGGTGTAAGGCAACGCCACCCCTTCCAGCTGCCGCATCATTATGTATTGGCAGGATCAGAAGCAGGCAGCCACATCCTCTTCATCTTCAAGATCCCCTCAACCTTTCTGATCCGCGGATACCGTACCCCAGTTTCCATGCAGCTCGTATCAAACGTGGCTGCATGTTATCTTTCAAGTCGGCAGCCTTGCTGCACGACACCAGCGACCAATCCGAGGACGATTCGATATCACGTTCCACGAGCTCGTGACTGCCTGGTTCCCCACGCTCGTTCTTGGCTTTGTCGCGTCGTAGTGGAAGTTGATTTGGTGTGTTGCTTTGTGTGTAATCATGAGAAGCTGTCGTGATTGGTTGCCTCACTTTTGCGGCGCGGAACAGTGCGTTCCGCTCTGCCGCACGCGCGCGTCTCGTCGTAACGAATCTGTGTATTTTGGCGTACCAGAAGTGCGTCGGATTATTGACATCGGGATGGCGTGCGTACAGCATAACCGTTGCTGACTGGTAAGACAACTCATATAGCTCTGTTAGCACTCGAAGCAGTGCAGTGAATCCCTCTATTCCTATAAAGTATAGAGTCGGATTTTAGATACTTGTCGCCAAGTTGACGCGCTTTGTGATGAGATCATGTGCCACTTCAGGTCGCACTTAAGCTCAGGACACGCCCCTGCAGTCTCACTCTCCATAATAGCCACTCCCAGCTATTTGTATTCACGTGTAGACCACGCGCATGCTGGAGCTAGCGGCGTCGCTGGCACGCAGCAACGCGTTGATTGCTGATCAGGAGCAATCTGCGCCACAGCGCGGCATAGACATGGAAAGAGATAGAGAAGGGTGGTTGCGATGGGAAAGTCTTGCCACACATCTTCCTTGCCCTATTCCCATTTGGCCAGACCCTCAGGTGGAATGGGCCATTCCCTAGGCGTGCACCGTCCAAAGTACTGGCAAGCACACTGTTGTGGCGGAGGACACCTAATATCACTTAGTATATCAAGATGCATGTCTCCGCCTCATAGACAACCCTCACCTGACAGCATCGCCCGTCATGATATACGCCCACAACTTCTCGAACACACGTCCGCTTATATCATCAATTAGCTCCGATCGTAGGAGCCACTCCCTCATCCGTTCATAGTCCGCTCTAGATCTCCGATGTATCGTATCCCGAGTAACGGCAAACTGCGCACAACACTGGCTCGCAATCGTCCTTGGCAACTCAATTGACCCGAAAAGCTCCTTCCAGCTCTTGCCAATCTCCCTCTCAGCATCTTCGCGATGCACGCCTGGTCCCCACACCGTAGCATCGTGGTCAAGCGGGCGGATCTCGGCAGGGCAGGAGGGATACCAATCGCATCGAAGCGGGACGTAGCCATCTCTCTCTAGAGCTTGGATCTGCAGACTGTTGATAAGGTCCACCATGTCTCCTTCCTGATGCCAGGACTGCCGATGGCCGTGGATAAAGAGAGAATAGTTGGGTAGCGAGTTGTAGTTGGTAATAATGTACGACAGGTACATCATAGCCTCGTGTCCCTTATTTGCTGGAAACCATGCGGACGGCGGTGGATTTGGGTCGTCAAAATTGTAACGGTGGAGCTTCCACATGCTGTGGGTATTAACATGAGAGGGCGGGAGCAAGAGCAAACACCTGTTATTAACCTCTGATAGCCAACCCAAGTCTGTGTCCTTCTGCACAGCTGCCACGATTGCAGCGGATAGAGGCGTGTGGTCGTCTTTGTTAGCAGCGGTGCCAGAGTGCGAAGGAGAAGCGGCAAGTCCTGGCGGAAATGGTATGTATTTAGAGCCTCCAGAATACAAGTAAAAAGCTGCCGAGAGGGTAAGAAGAAGCACAGCGAATAGTGCCGCGACCTTCAGTTTCCGGCTCGAGAGCATAACGCTAATAGACCTGGAGAGGTTGAGAAGAGCGTAAAGCAAAGCAAATGTCGTAGAGCTGGGTGTTTTGCAATGCTGTGCCGCATCCGTATTCTTTTCCCGCAGTGACGCCGCCCCCTGGCAGTCGACACCCAAGCTCAGTGTGGCGAGTGTCTTGTGAAAGACCAACCTTTGGCACGTGCAGCCCTTGGACGCATTCCGAGGATGGGGTTCGACGGTAGTACAAGGAGCTCCCATTCTTTGTCACACCGATCTGGGCAGTGCGGCGACACTGGCGACAGCTCCTCGTACAAAGGGCACCTCTCGCTCAATTTGAACAATCAACCTATATCTCTTTATCGACAGGCTAACCGATGGAGCGATCCCTTCTCGTCTTAGTTCCTCTCATAACACTCTTTATTGTACATTACTCCTCCGCCCTTTCCTGCTATTCTTATGACGGCTTCTCCTATCCTGACCAGCAGATCTGTCCGGGTACTTCCCAATGCTGCGGCATTCAGGCCAACTGCACCCAGAATCGGCTTTGCGAGAACGAAGGGGAGCGCAAAGGCACTTTTGTAAGGGGGCCATGTGCTGTCCACCCGTGGGACCCAGCCGTCTGCGCAACTATTTGCCTCTACGGTACGTTTTCTCCTCCTCTCTTGACGGCTCAATTGTCAGCTAAGTAGTGAATGGGCAGATGAACAGCCTCAGGGCGGCGTGTTTCCTCGGGCAACGGTTTGCAATGACGGTAGCTATTGCTGTAACAACGATTCATCGTGTTGCGCCAACGGGAGCGGCGTGTTTCTCGACCGCGCAGGAAACATCATCGAGACCCAGTCACCATCGTCCTCGCCGACTCCATCGCTATCGCCTACGCCATCGTCAACTGCGTCCAGCCCTATCTCAACCACATCATCCTCGAGCAGCTCAGCCCCTATACAATCGAACCCATCCAGTTCCTTGTCTCATGGAGCCAAAGTGGGCCTGGGTGTCGGTATAAGCTTCGGAGCCATGGTCATCGTCGCCCTTGCGGTCATCCTTTGGTTCCTCTGGAAGCGACGCCAGCCTTCTGATCCTCATCATACCGCGCTTTCCGAACTACCCACGTTCTACTCATATCCGGCCGCTGGAAAGGACACCAATCAGTATCATGAGTTGCATGCGCCCGCGGCCGGAAGCCCACGGGAACTGCCCTAAACGTATGGCCTTTCTAGACATATGTTTCTCAGAGTGCAAGCGTCAGAGATTAGTTAGCAGGTGCAAGTGCCAGGCGGCTACTGTACTAGCAGGCAGAAAACCAGGCGCTGCCACCTAGACTGCTGGACGGGATAGGATAGTTTAACCAAGTTCCGCTATTCGAAATTCAACGTCTTCTGTACTCCATAGTCCCAATGCATAGGCGCGCTAAAAGCTTTGCCTAGATAGTTCTAGGACAGTTCTTTCAAGCCTTTCGCGTGCCCCTGCTTTCGCGACCTCCACAAGCCTATTTAATTGAATTTTCGGAAAAATCTATAGGCCCATTCAGATCGGTACCTGGTCAGTCAGCCGAGCTATCATGGAGTTTCAGCCGGTCCTTCATCATCGCAAACACATCGTCATATTGGTTTCAGTTGCCATCGCTGACATTCCATGGAGCTAGATCCTTGTGGTCGTCTGGGTTGGGGGGACTAGAAGGTCCTCGAATATGTCGGCGTCATTTTTGGCATCATCCTGCGTTGCGTCTTCCGCATCTTTAGTGAATCGTGAATCACTACGGTAACTTCCCCCCCCCCCCCCCCCCCCCCCCGCGTATTAAGGGGAAACCTGAGGCCCCTATTTATGTGGCATTCCTGTCCGGGAAGCTCCACGGCTACCGATTTAATGACTCCGTTGAGCTCGTCGGCTAAATCATTAATCTGCTTCCTAAGCGAAGTAGTGAGCCACTACTCGCAAGTCCATCAACTATGGTCGGCGTTCTGGTATAAGTGATCGCAATCGCCTCGACATGATTCCTGGAATTGATGATTATCAGTGAGACGTTTTGAAAGTTTAAAGTTATGACACTTCCCCGCGTAGAGCTAGAAACTTTCGAGTGGATCCGCACCACCTGTTTATCTTCCAGCGCCAATGACTTTGGCGTAAGTGAGCCAGAGCTCCTGCCTAAACTCGGGGTTCTTAAGAATCCTCTTCGAGTCCACTAACTGCTGGTCGCAGCCCATCTTAGGCTTCTATCTGATCATGTAATCAGTGGCGATTCTGGAAAACTTCACGTCGTTGCCGGATATCATCAAGTCTGCAATCTGTGGCTTTCAAATCGGAGTACCGGGCCATGCAATCATGTAATCCCATCTGGCTGGTATCTTTTGCACCTCACTGAGTATCTTTTTGGTACGTCCACATTCACGTTGCCTGAACATAGGTCGAGAGTAAGAGATAGTTTTTGGCCATCTTTCCCAAAGTCTTTCCATTCGTCCTTCTCGGTGAGTAATACAGGCCAAGCGCCTGCGTACCTAGAACAATTGATAAATCCCCATTCGTTAGGCGCGCCATTGGCTCCAATGGTTCCGTGTATCTCCAGGCACGTTTGACTCTGGAGATACCTTACGCTAAGCTAAAGGTGTATCGGAGTTCCTCGAGGCCACAATGTCAGGCTCCCACCAATCCGTCCTTACTAGAGCTCGTATGCCACTCTCGCCTCAAAAGCAAACAAGATTCTATCATCCGGCAGCCTAGCCACCGCCTCGATATCCATGACCACAAGCCCATGATCGGGTCCAAAATCTAGGAGCATAATATCGCCAACTATCTCATTGATTCCCTGGACTAGCGGCCTGCCGTAGGTATAATCATCTTCATCCCTTACGGTAAATGGTTTGCAATCTGAGATGTTCTTCTCATTTCTGTACTTGGGCTCGTCTTCGGAACTGGCTCGATGAACTTAGAGCTTAAGTGTCGCGTCAGCGAGTCCGGGTAGATGCCGGGTTCCTGTGTCGCCACGGAGGTAGAAGAATATGCGGTGCTCTCTATGTTTCGTTTCGTTAGCATCCGCCACGGATGATTGCCTGTCATGCCAATGTCGTGCGTACACAATCGGTGGATTTGGAGCTATAGTGAACTCGAGTATTTCGAAGAGCTGGTCGGCTGCTTTTTCACGAGAGTAATATGCTGGATTGTCGCCGGGAACCTTTTCGCGTTCGGCGTAATGGTCCCGGTCGACGAGCGCTGCCTGATGAGTTGCTGGGACGAAGTGAGAGTAGGACAGTGGTGCAAGAAGTAAAAGAAGATGAAACAGCTTCATTATGTTACGAGACGAAGGAGATGATGTGTACAGAGAGGAAAGTAAATGTGCCAACATGAGATCCAGTGGACAGTGCGTCATCTCGCCCTACACCTGAGTGCGTTCGTTGATCTAGCATCTGAGATGGCTCCCTTGTTAACCCCGCCCGCAATGCGAACTACGCCGCGTCTCAGAGTATGCATGTTTCCTTGGCGGACTTGCCCAAATGCGGCGTTTGAGTTAACGTCGTCTGCGCCGCAAGTCCTATCGTCGCGCCGCAAAGCCACATCTTCAGCCTTACCGTACCTGAGGCTGAAAATGGGCTGCCAGCGGCTCAGTGGCTGTGTCAGCTCAGACTCTCTGTCATTGGTCAATGCGTCCCGAGTATGCATGGTGGGGTAAATGGACAACGCAGAGCCCACGTGTCGAGGACTCGGCGGTCAGACCGGGGTAATGCAGAGCCCGAACCAGGAAGAGCCGCAAGATGGCTTTGACAGAATAAACAAGAAGACAGGCCCTACGTCAGCGATTCACATGTGGTGTGATGATGAAGGCCCGGAATAGTAGACCTACAAAAGCACCAAGGTACAGCTAGAGCTCTGGTCGCGAAAGCTATCCTTGGAGGTCGAAACCAACGTGGCATGTTCCATCATAAGTCTCAAAACGGTATATAGTTAGGCTAACGAGAACATGTTGATCCAAAGTATCCGGCAAAGGGATCAGGTTTAGATACAGATCCAGCAATAGGGTATCTACAATGAGGCGCCATGTTGCGCAGTTCCGAATCCGAACCAAAAAGGAGAGATCAGTTTCTCCTATGCCAAGGGCCGATCGATCGTCTCGAATTTTGATGCCGCTGAAAAAAAAGGATATAGAGGCATGATTCATGAAAACCGCAGGCGGGCCCGAAGGACAGATGCTCCAAAAAAGCGAATCCAGTCACCTATGAGTCGACCATCCGATGCAGTAAAAAAGGCCAAGGCCAAAAAGGTAGTAGTACATCGTGAGCTACGCGCCGAAGGCAAAGCCCACAATTCTAGACATTATTGTCCAATCATGCCAAGGTAGTCGTATACGCGATTGCCTTCCTCCAAATTCGCAATGTCCCTAGTAGCCTCCAAAGATATTGCGCTCTTGGTGTTAGCTCTATAAGAAGCCGGCGTTTTCTCCGGCGGAGGGGTATTAGAAGCTGATCCGGTATCCTGTTCAATATGCTGTTCGATGTCGTCGTTCGCTGAAACGGATCCTCTGGCAGGTTCATCGGCCCGATCTGTTAATTCAAGAGGCCAATATTCTTCAGCACAGTTGGCTAGAGAATTACGGTCGGAAACGGCGATGCCAAACCCATCCAGGATGTTGAGGTAGACTGTCCTCTGAATCGCGCTGCTCTTGAGACAATCTAAAAGCCAATCGCCCATGCGGCGCTTCGTAGCCGGATCATCCATAGCGGTGGAAAGCGCGCCATCGGTCTGAGCTCTAGTAACGGTGTCGAACGATAGCACTGCTCGTAAGTCCTGGTGGCTTGGATCGGACATCCGGCGACTCAATAATGTGTCGAGGTTGCTATACTTCATCGATTCCTGCTTCAGCCGCTGGGCTTTGACTTCATAGCTGGCAATTTTCTCCAATAAGGCGCTATATCTGTCAAAGAAACCCGATGATCCTGAAGGTTCGGTAATCTCGTTGGGGCTGGTCAGGCTTGGACGGGGACCGGTATCGAGGAGTCTAGACTGTTCAAACCGTAGGGAGTTGAACTCCCTCTTTAAACGGCCAAGGTCGGCCAGTGCCATCTGATACTCCTGGCCGATGAGTCCCACTCTAGGGTATGTATCTAGCAATGGCGGTGGGGGCGGTGGTGGCGGGGGACGGAAAAGCGGTGGCGGTGGCGGTGGCGGCGGCGGTGGCGCCTTATGTATTATTGGAATGCAAGCTCCATGTTGCGGCGGGGGTGGAGGTGGTGGAGGAGGAGGTGGTGGAGGCGGCGGTGGAGGTGGGGGTGGTGGTACTCCATGTATTCTTGGGATATAGGCGCCTGGAGGAGGTGGTGGAGGTGGCAGACGTGGGGATGGGAGTAGAGGATGGGCATGACTTGCAGGAACGCCATGATGTATGGAGCCCAACACATCGTTGACAAATAGATCCTGCATATCATACTGATAGAACATGTTTTCTTTCTCCATGAAGGTCCACTCAGACCCTCCAAGTGTGCGCTCGGCCTGCATGTATTCTTCCTCCATGGTGCCAATCCTGTCCCTTCCATCCACGACTCGGTCATACGCAGCAGCAAGCGACTCGGGGAAGGTGCCGTTATGCTCGTTGTAGAATTGGCGGACGAGGTTCATGAAATGCACCTCGGCATCGCTTGTAGCTATGCGATGGGTGTTTAGCGATTTCCTGGAGTTCCTCAGTTTCGCCCGGTCGATGAGTAACTTCTCTCGTGCGCGGGATAATGCTTTTTGGTCACGGGCGACCTCTTCCAACTTCTGGCGGATAGTTGGGATGCCATCCCTTCGGGCATCTTCAGAGCGTCCAGTATCTGGGTCGTGTCTGACCGGTCCATCATCGCGGCCTTGATGGCTCGCGGACTGCATGGTACCGGCTGTGGTATTATCTTCAGGCGCGGTCGGTCGTCATTCTTCTGTTGGTCGTATGGCGGCCCAATGCCGCAACGCCAGGCGAATCCAGGGGTGTTCGTGATGGATGCTCTACAATGCCTAGGGCTTTGTCGTGTAGCGTATGGCGGCCCAAGTACGAGTTGCTTCGAGGGCGTTGAGGACGTGGACAGAGCAGATAGGCAGAGTTGCGCGATATCGCATGGCCCAAAGACTGCACACCGGCGGGGACGCCCCAAGCGGATTGGAGGCAAGAAACGTAGAGAGGGCGAGGGCAGGCGACCGCAGTCTGGCAGGTCTGACGATGGACGGGATAAATACTACCCACGCAGCTGTGGGCGCCCGCCTGTCCTCGGGCTGCTCGTGCACAGCTGGCGCGTGAGGGGCGGTGCTCCACTCGGCTTGGCGCGAGGGATGACCAGCCACATGGCTCTTCAAGCGAGGTCACACCCTCTGCATCTCTCCCCAGTCACTCTGATCAACTGCAGATGCGGCTTGCAGCCCTTTTAAGCAATACCATCCCCGGCACGACAGCTCGCACATCCTCCAGGAGCGCATTTAATGGCAAGGCTCGCAGAGCCGCACTGCTAGGCAGCTCAGCTGCATCTAGTATCTCGACGCCCCGGCTTTTATCCGGGCCCGCATCCCACCATCGACGGCCAGCATGGCCTCCAGCAGCGGATACACATGGACCTGGAGCGACCAGTACCAGGATTACTACTATGTCACGGTCGAAGCAGGTCAGCTCTGCCATTTTGACGGCCGATTGCAGGACGAGCTAAATCAAGCCAAGGCAACTATGTGTACCACTGGCATAAACATATGCAAGAGGCAACGGCGACTGAAAATCGGACATTGTAGCTATAGCCCTTGATTGCACTAAACTGTGAGCGCCTACTAAAACCCTATAGTCATCAAACAGAAGGGAATGGTTTCTCTCAACCTCGCTACGCCAAAGCATCATATTTCCCCGAGCAGGGTGAGTAGATGCGGCCGTCCATATCAACTGTTCCTGACCCGATTTACAGAAAGTTACAGCAGTAGCTCGTACGGGCAAGCAAGGACGAACTACGGCACCGCCCAGTGGCCTGACAATGGTGCCTCGTACACGCAAGCAAGTTACGAACCCGGCACCGCACAGCCGCCTGACAACAGTGCCCCATACATGCCCGTGGGAGGTATGTAGATGCGACACTCAGAGCTTGGCGAGGTACTAATGTAGACTGGAAAGTTCCCAGCCATGAACGAGCAGGACTGCACGACTTCATTTCCGGCACACCCGAGAAGGGGTGGTACGAGCCTCTTGACTCCAGTGTGTGCGGCCTCTTTATGCTGCCGATTCAGCTGACCAAGTAGGTTACCGAATGAGAACCGGGAGTGAGGCGCATCAGTTCTTCAAGATAGGGAAGGTATGTAGTGCTGTCATGTGTGGAGCCTTATCAACCTTAGAAATCCTATTGACTCTCAGTGCAGGTTTTTGCGATGCTTCACATTGAGGCGGCAAGTGAGCAGCTTGCGAGACAAGGAAACAACAACATCACGGTAGTACGGTACGGTGAACGCGCCTATTCTCAGATACGGCGCTTTATCATCGTCGAGGTTAGGCGAGGATTCGTCTACGCATGGTACGTCCCTCTAAATTTCCGGACATCAGGATTTGCTAATCAGCTTCGTCAGTCCCATTTCGACATACGGCGGGCAGGGCACCCTCAAGTACGGCTGTGTCCCATCAGAACACTCGGTTGTCTACTTTATAGCAACGAAACCGACCCTATTTTGTCGCGAAGAACTGTTCAAAGAACCTATCGCAGTTCGTCCTGCGGATCCCAGCCTTAAAATGGATCCAGCATCGCGACTTAATTACGGAAAGACGTATCCAATCGAAATGAATGTGAAAGTCAAAGACATTGGAGATGTCATCCCGGAGGACCTCAGCAATCTCCTCGCCTACTATAGGGAGGTGAACGTATTGTAGGAGTTCGCATTGTCAATATCCCTTTTAGGTCATCTCATCATGTATTTGTATATCAACAACAATCCTGTGACTTCTCACGCTGCTAACCCTCTGAATCATTCGACTCCTCCTTGTTCTTCACCCCAATACCTTATGACTCTCTCCATGTGCTCCGGTATCACTAGTCCAATCTCTTTCACTTCCACGTCTCGGTCGATGGTGTAAGTCCTACCAAAGCGTATCCGAGAGGCAGGCTGTAATGTTACACCATTATCAACCGGTTCAACCTCAATCGGGTCCCTATCCATCCCTTTCTTGACCTCACCCTCGAAAGGCATCGGAGACGTTCCAGACAAATAGATGACTGCATGCTCTGCTGCAACGCAGCTCGGGTCCATCGTGCCTCTTCCAGAATAGGTTACCACAGGGCTGCTCCGTTAGCGTGAGTACTTGAACGGAAATCGTGTAACTGACCAGGCTTTCACCCTGGTGTCATCGACGGAAACGATAACAAATCGGTGAATTTGGGAGGACACTCGCTCCCCGAGACTATCCACGACGACGGAAACAACGTCGCTCCCGACCTCGCTCGTCTTTGGCCCCTTCGCCGACTTGTCTATTGTAGGCGGAACTCGGAGCATAGCAAAGACCTGGTGAATTGTCAGTTTAAGGGAACCTTATGTTGCGGAATGGTACGCACTCTGCCTCTTCTGAAGAATCCACGCCCTTCCGTCCCATCTCTCCTTCTAAAGCCTACGCATAATGAGAAGCTGAAAGCTTGAGATGGCAAGCTTACGTACTAAGGTCCACCCGATTTCCTGAAAGAATCGTCAGTCTTCGGTGCTTATTTTGGGACCCAATGCGAGAACTGTGGCCTCAAGAAATGGGGCCAACACCGCCTCGAGATAGCTTACCTGAGGATCGCGGAGTCGAGTGCGCGGTATAAGACCCATCGCCTGCTTGAAGGTACTTTGCGGGATAATCTCCGTCTTGCTGGATGGAATGCGGCTCTCCAAGAGACTGAGACACTTCTGGTTTGTGCCACTGATAAACGGGTTCCCCTGGGCTCGTGAGAAAGGTATCCAAGAGTTCATCGGATGTGCTTGATTTCCATACCATTCTCAGGATTATAAGTGACGTAATAATACGCCTGATGTGGCTCGCTCCAGGTCCAAGCGGGAGATACCGTGGCTTGAAACGAAGAGATTGAGGGCTCCGACGTCGTAATACCACCAGGCCTATCTTGATTCTCCTCTACTTTCAGCGTGCTCATGCGGTCCAGGACGAACGATGTTTCGATACTCCCTACAGTTGCGGACCTGGACAAGCTAAAGGGACCTTTCGAGTTTGTCGTCAGCTTGCATTGCAGACAAAGATAGTCCTCATGCTCTTGTATCTTAGAAAATACGTCGTAAGCATTAGGCCGATCTTCCGGGCTCTTCCTGATCATGGTCCTGCAGACATCGGCGAGGAATTCCATGGAGGGATCCACTGGCATCTGCTCCAGCTGGCTTTGGAGGCGCTCTATGTCGTTCGGGAATTCGCTTTCGTCGTCAATATCGGCGGCTCCAGTCAGAGTCGAGAGCAAATCCACGTATACGCAGCCCAACGCATACACATCTGATTTAGAGTTCCGGGGCTCGCGATCGAGTACTTCAGGAGCAGTATATCGTTTCGAAACGACAGGCTGGTTGTTCGTGGTGCTACTTTGTAGCTCACTGAAATCTAATGAGAATCCGAAATCCGCGTAGGTAACGCAGCCCTCATGAACCAAGATATTCCGGGGTTTGATATCTTTGTGGCGGATCCCAAGTTGATGCATGTATGCTAGACCGCCTGCTAAACATCCGAATGCTTGTTTCAAGATAGAGGAGTCGTCCCCCAACAGTTGTGTACCAGATCGCGAATTTTCGATAGGTTTCCGAACCCTATTCAGGAAATGTTCCAAGTCTCCGCCGTCCGCAGCCGGTTGTAGGATCAAGCCCACGGCCTCAGGGTTCGTCGTAGTGTATGTTGCAATCAGGCGTACGAAATGGTGGTGCCCCTTCACCTTGCCTACAATCTTGATTTCATTCTGATATGCCTTCCGTATCTCGTCCTTTCTCTTTTGGAGTCCACGGACGTAGATGTTTTTCCGCGCATAGACGCTGCCTTCATCCGGGTCTTTATCTTCGACCTTATCCACCACGCCGCTTCGACCATGACCCAGCTGTTTAAGGTACTTGAATGGGAGGTCGTTTAGCTCTTCGACCTCGTAATGGCGAGCTTTCTCGACGATGTTTGTAAGCGCGGCGAGGCCTTGGCTGTCGCTCATCTCTTAACGTAATTGTGAAAAGGGCGGGAACGGGCTACTGGTCGTCGCTCCAAATTGGCTTGGGGAGGGTTCGGCTGTGCCAGCTGTCGAAGGTTCAGTTCTCAGCCTGCTATGGCCATGGTTGGTGTCGTACCTGAAGCGCAAAGGGTTCCTAGGTCATCCAACCCTCAATTCATTCCGCTTGCCTACACGAGAATGCGACGGAGTCGTACAGGAGATCAGTAGTATGGGCCTACAGAGATTGTTGTGTGAAGAGTCTGCCAGGCATAAGTTCGCGAGGCCTCGAGGCTGGAAATGCCCAGACGCGGCTGCATGATAGGCGCCACTGATTGGCTCGCGACGCGCTGATCGAATGCGGCTCACCGGTCGGAGAACTTTTCATCGTGAGTGTTGTTGTGGCACGACGAGACGGATACAAGAACAATCTCTGTCTAGCTCACTGCTGCTTCGGAGCCAGCATAACGACAACATGATCTATGCGATCCGGCGAGGTTTCTCTGATTGAAAAGTTAAAGAGATCCGGCGCCGGGCACTCGAAGGATTCCGGTAACTACCGTGCTGTTGAAGCCTGAGAAATCGGGCCTAGGTGAGGTTTGCCATGGTGTTTTCAGGCCCACGGGTATCTATAATAGACCAAGGCTGACCCACCAGCGATCACATGAGCAGAACCGACATTTGGGGAACAGTGGAGCTTCCTCCAGCGCCACGCCCGCATCCGCGGTGCCGATCTACCCACACTGTACCTGCATATCGTAAACTTTTCCACGATGCCCGAAATCGACGCCCAACATACTGTCGGGCCCCTTGAGCAGGGGTAGTATATTGGGTATGGTCCTTCGCGCCGTTGCCATGAAATGACGTTACCCCACGGACCCCCACTTAGGCGTTGATGCACGCAATATTTGCGTGGGCTTCGCTTAATTTTCCTGTTCAAGACAACATGCCAATGGATTGGGCATCGTTAGGGACATGCATGGAAGACGCACTATATTTTCTGGAAAGGTGGCTTTTTTAATTTGCACGCGGTCTCTACTGTTAATGAACGGGCAGAATTAAGTCTAGAAGTGTGGCTGCTTTATGTTCTGCTCCCGTAACTCGTGGAAGCAGATCAGAGAAATAACTCCCGAAAAGCCCGGAAAATATGTCATAAGTTCAATTCACTTACACCACACGTCTTAAACGACATTTGCATTCGACAGCACTCACACAGTCTTGTTGAAGTGTGGCTACTCCAAGCTGTGGGCAGCCTTGGATATTGCTTATGGCTTGAGGTCATGCATCTCTCAGAAGGCAACTTGGTTCGCAAAAAGGCAACCAAACCCGCGTACTCGGGTCCGAAACAACCCTGGCCCCGCGGGAAATTTAAACAGCCTGACAGCCTTGCAGGCCAGGCCAAATAAACTGCCTGCGAAGTCCACACTCGATGTTGCCAAGTGCGCCGTCCAATAATCGGCTTCCTTTCCTTATTTGGAGCGCGCCATATAAGTCGGCCCCATCAACATTACCGCAACTTCCAGCGCCAGTACCACAGCGAGAGTACTTCTGAGAGCATATTCTGTAAGCGACGAAGTGTTTTGATGCTCTACGTCCTTTAGATAATCCAGTGTCGTGACAGGTACGATGGGCAAGTGACGTCGATGCGCATGCCTGATACTGCAGCCGTAGGATTCGTACCAACGTCAATTCCATCACCCAAGTCCCTAACTATATGGGACTCGGGGTAAGGTTCATCAGGAGGCTCTGATACTCTCGACTGGATAGTGGGAAGCTCATCGAAGCCACAAATACCTCAGAACCGCGTCACGGCCGGCGTGAATCCGCAGTCATTGGGCTGAGGGCCATGCCGTGAACACCGGATTTTCCTACCAACAATATTCTACCTGCGGTGTTTAAAAGTCCTGATTATGGACAGATTTCATTATTCCTGGGTTTCGAAGGGGCATTTGGGGCTGATTGGGCTGGCTCCATACTCCGAAGATAACATACTTGCATGGGCAGCGACGGAATCAGGATCGAATACACGAAAGGATCCGGGCATAATTCAAACATATTGGACAATATACTTTGCTTGCCGGCTCGCCTTACGTTCACGTCATCCCAAGGGCATAAAGTAGCCATATCCATTGGTCCATGTGCACTTAACTCCTGGATTGTAGCAATCGTTCAAGAGAACGCAAGGTGCCTTACCTGCGAGACAGCACCTAGATTGATTATTCTCTTTTGACGACACTGTCTGAATACCAGTGTATCCTGTCGCGACTGCATATCAAGTGGCTGTGGGTAGTCAAGAGCAGAGTGACCTCATAGCACGGTCTCACCTGGCTCGAGCTTTCCACTTGAGCCTCATCCACCAAGGTCTCGATATTGTGGCTGGATACGCTCATTCGTTCTTCAGCCCAGCGATAGGGCAGTCTTTCGCATCCCACAGCATGCAGTCTAACCCCTACACATCGCCCTAGACGCCCAATGCCACCCAATCGCCTAATTACTCACCCGATCCCGACCGCTCCTACCCGCGTTCTAATTTACTTCTTTGCTGACGCAAGGCATTGCGAAAGGGAGACGCGTATCGCCAAAGGGCAATCATTCGTGGAAGGTGAGCTAGCACTCCTCTGATTGGTCGCTTCACTTCCTGCCTTGCGGACGGTCACCCTCCGTCACGCCGCACACGTCCTACCATGATCCCAGCGCCGGATATCGAACTCCATGCGATACGGGATCCGTGCCGCCAGAATGAAATATCACGTTTGGGGCAGGAGCACGCTGATTCGTGGGGTGTAATTTCCATATTCGCTGAACTCCGGACTGAGATTGTATCGCCATCCTCGCGAGACAGGAGCAGGCTTGTGACCAACGGCGCAGTTACGGCGTATCAGGCTGTCGTACGGTTGCCCGCCAGGTAGAAGTTGGTGGAATACAGGCTGCCTTGCGATGCGATGATCCTATGGGAAGGTGTGGTGACGCATGCAGCACGCCTGAGCATCTTATCGTACTGCTCACTCCACAACTGCAGCTCCCCGCATGGCTGCGAGGAGTACTCGCCCACATCACCCACGCAGTGACTCATTCGAGCCGCACGTATTGCTTTTACCTATCCGCGCATCTAGGTAGTCCCAGACCCTAGAGCTTCGACCCGCATCGTTTGTGTCCAGTGACGCGGTAGGCAGCGCAACGTGGACCCAGAAACACGGGAGCCAGGGTGGATTGTGCTGACTGCATGAAGTGCGAGGTGGGTTGCATGTGCGTGGCCGGTGTTGATCGGGCTGAGTGCGGGAGCGCACGGGCACGAAGTGGGGCCCGCTGCCGTCTCGGGAAGTTGTAGCAGTCTGACGACTACCGAGAACCGAAAGAAATACGAACGAAAGCTGATGTGATGCTTTCAGCGCAAGAAAACAAGCAGCGATGGAAGAGCAATACTTACGTGGGCGAACGTCTCTACTGGGCGAGCAGTGATCCTAGGGAGTGGATGAATATGGTGTCCAAAAACAGAGCGCAGTCAGTGGGTTGCGATTCGTTCGTGTGGAACAGCCGGCGTGAGACCGCAAATTGAGGGGTACAGATCGCCAGCCATACACAAGAACCCGCATGAAGGACGCGACGAGCGCTATATTTGATCCAATATCGTCAGCGAATTGCCTAACATACGGCAAGGTTACAGTTGCGAGAAAGTCCGACACCGCATGGCTCCTGAGGGATCCCGCATCCCACATGGCTTGCGAAAGGCATTTTCAGCTGAAAAGCAAACGCGATGGCTGGCTTGGGAGAGCAAAGATCAAACAGTTCAATAGCGGACTGGTCGCACTGTCGCGGGTGGTCACATATGTCCGGGCTAGGGCTGAGTAGGGCGCTTGCCTGTTTGCCTCGTTTTCGTCCAATAGCGCTGTCTTACGAGCGACAGAAGGCTGGCTTCAGCCTCAGACTAGGCAATCGACGATATCCAACACTGATTTGATAGAGCAGCATGTGCACTATGCTCCACGACATGGAGGACGAAACCAAAGACATGGCTGAGGGTGAATGCTAGGCATCCATAGTGGATGTCTGGGTCATCCTGGATCTGTGACGTTGTTATCAGTAGAGAATATGGATAGACCAGTGAAATGGTGATCGGCTGTGATATGCCCGATGCAGCACTCCTTGTGCTCGCGTCCTTTCACGTCGATCGGGGCCGGGACATTTTGGCTTCGCGCTGCACCCTTTCAATATCCGAGGGCGCCTGACTGGACGACAATATGCATAGCTGAGGCAACGAAGTGTGATTCCAAACGCACCTTGGAAGGCTGGTGTAAGCTGAGTCTGTAGGCAAAGGTGCCCTGGTCGCGCAAAGATCCTTTGTCGGTCAGCGAAATTATTTCCCGGATGGAGGCTGGGGAGGCGTAGGAACGGACGTCCTTCGTATCCGGGCATTGTGAAGGAAAAGGGAGAAACCGAAGTATGGGGGAAGTCACCACAGGCTGGGCGTGGCATGCTCCAACAGTGAGCCGGACGGCTAACTGGTACGATTGAGATAGCGAGATAGATCGCAAACCAAAGGGCAATCATACATCTCCGAAAATATGATCTAATCCAAAGATATCCATGACATTAGAGACCGGGCGGCCATTCGAAACGCTCCTGTGGGTCGCCCCAAATAATATACACCATCATGGTGAAGCCATTATACGTCCCAATACCAGATAATTAGCGGCGAATCCAATACTGCAATCAAACCTTGTGTTGAAGAGCACGGCTCCAAGAGAATCCAAGTCCGACGGTCGTCGGATTGGCTCCATATCCGGGTATTTCGCTGAGAAGGGAATATGTTCAAGGGAATCCGGAAACGGTGTATTCCAAGGGAAGATGAAGTCCAATGAAATGGATACCCATATTCTTTGATGTTAAGGCCGTTACTAAATAGTCCACTGTCCTTGGGGTGTTTTTGGATAGAGTGCTCCCGAATGCTGAGTGAAAAGAGGCGCCGGCAGAAGGAGCACTGTTTCTGACCGAAGAGAAAGTATCCGATGACATATTGGCGGCTTCCAGGTGTATGATAGTCCAATCCTTGGTGTAGAGGTATTATTTCTCTCACTGCTGCCCCTGCACATAAATTAACTCATTTCTACAAGTGATATGCCGTTGTTCGTACCGTATACTGTGAGCTGCGATAGAAGAGGGAAGATGAGCTGCGCGTCTTTATATGTGATCGTATTCGTTCGGTCCAGTGCTTCTCCTGTTTCTCCGGCGGATAGCTCCATTCAGATGCTGGGCCATGGTACCCAGGTATATTTGAATTGACTCTCAGGTAGGTCGAGCAGTGCTGCTTCCCTGGTGAAATCGGAGGGTGATTGGCGGTGTGGAATGGTCCCGGACCTAACGTACTGAATGGAGATGCGCTGCGGAATGATGACACACTTGTTGCTCGAATGCTTTCGGCCATGGCCGGCTCTCCTTCCTTCCTGGTCCGGTCGACATTTTGCATGCGTTTCTGGGAGCATGATTCTGCAATTTCTGAACCGTTGGGTCTCATCACATGTCGACGGCACTCAGGATTCGAGGTTGCTCTGGGACGTTCAGAGATTGCGACAGAGTCTTCAGGTCGTAACAACTGCTGAGGGCTGGTACTTTCGGTGCAGGGTCCAACCCCTTCCGCAACGACTAGAGCGCCGAGATCCTGATGGCTGTCGTGGCGGCGAGATGTCAATGAACTTGAGGAATTATGGCTCGGAATAGGCAATTGAGCGGTGTTATTCTCAAGGCCGTGGAATGGTGCAGAGGGTATAGAGCCTGCTCCCTCGTTGTGGTCAGGTGGAGTATCATATTTCAACACAGGAACGCCGTTGGTTTCCGCCTCAGGGGTCTTGATTCGAATTCTTAGCTGTGGTACGAGTGGTTTCGATGACACCTCAACATGATCCGGGGTATTAATTCCAGCTAAGGGTGAGCCTGGTTCATAGATGTCATTAGGGCTGAGATCTGGGGGAAAGAAGGGTATCGAGTGGCTTGGCGACGGGTCGCTACTTGGGAATTTGAGCGGGGATTTGGACTCTTCGTCGAAATTAGGGCATTGACTAGTAAAACGTGTCAAGGGGGGCTTATCCTGAACTAATCTGGCAGGCTGTTCATTGCTGTCAGTTGTCCAATATTCCAAAGCACGGTCCTCCCAAGGATCACCAGCGGGGTCGACAATGCCCAATTCCTTTAGTATACCCAAGTACACAGTTCTTTGAATAGCGTTATTTTTCATGTAGTCCAGCAGCCACTCTCCGATCCTGCGGCGAGCTGCTGGGTCGGTTGAGAGTGTGGGGACGGCGGTATCCGTATGGGCCTTGACGAAGGCGTCGAAGGGATTCGGTGGCGGCTTCAAATGCGGGGGATCGGACATCCTTCGATCGGGCTGCATCGAGACTTGCTTTAGATTGTGCACTTTAACCTCGCTCTCGGTTATCCTGTCAAGGACGTGGAAGTACCTAGACGTAAAATCCGAATTCGTTGGGCTATCCTCTCGTGCTCCAGCCTTGATTGTTTCGGCAAGATCGTTGTCATCGAATTGTCGGGCTCTTTCCAGCCGAAGTGCTTCGAACTGCTTCCTCAGGACGTCAAATTCAGCCTTAGCGGCGTTGTACTCCTGGCCGGCGTCAATCGGCGAGGGAAGTGGCTCTTGGGGGGGCGAAGGTGGGGGGAGAGGTAGTGTTTCTTCCGCTGTGACAGGGCTTGGTCCGAAAAGGTCCGAAAACAGGCCTGAAAGTTCAAATTGGTAGACATCGTTCTCTTTATCCGTGAACGTCCATTCTGAGCCTCCGAGGTCGCGTTCAGCCTGCAGGTAATCTGCTTCCATGACCCCGAGCTTGTCACGCGCAGCTTCAACTTCGCGAAAGGGGGTAGCGACAGTAGGAGGTAGGTCGTTGACGTACTGTCGTAAGGCGTTCATGAAAGCGACTTCGGCATCTCCGGTTGCGATTCGTTGAGTGCGCAGCTCATTACCGGAAGATCTGAACTTTTCGCGCTGGACGAGTAGCTCCTCCCGCAGTTCGGCCAGCTCTTGTTGCATCCTCGATGCCCTCTCTAATCGTCGCTGGATCTCTGAAACGAGGTCGGGATCGCGCTTGCGTGGTCCCGTTGGTCCGGTGCCATTTCTGCCGGGATCCCTCACGTGGTGCAGGTCCGGCGGAAAGGACATGGCAAAAGATGAGGTTTTCTGTGGAGTTCGGTGGTTGTGACGAATGCATTCTTTAGGGGTTGAGGGAGGAAGTGAAGTTGCAACGACGTTTCAGGCCCGGGTTCGTTGTCACGTCGGTACGAGGAGACCCAAGCCGCATCCGGGCCGACAGCCTTAACGGAGCCTCGGGTCAGCGAGCATGATGGCTTCTGATGCAATGTCCGTCATACGTGGGTTAATATGAGAGGTCTGGAGCTAAGGAATGCTTGCAGTAGCGACAACGCGAATTCGAGCGGCAAGGGTCGGAGCGACGGCGCGATGGCGGGAAGCGTGGAAAGAGCGCAAAGGCCGCCACATATGTACGATGGACCCGCGAGGAGAAGGCTACAATCAGCGCACGGTGGCCGACGAGTCGTCAGGCTTATCGTGGGCGCCTTCATCTACCGCTCCCTGTGTAGTCTGTCGGCTGACCGTCCCAGGATGGTGGGTCGGCGGCACGATGCGTCGCCTTGTGGACTCCTGCAATGTTGGCTTGGCGGCGCAGCGCGGGATCGATCCGCCACAACCTCCACCCTGGCCGCTGTGTCACGCCCTCCAGCCCGACGCGCAGTAATGAAAGTCGCATATGCAACCAGTCTGTGGAGTCTCCGCCAAATCCATGCAGTCCGTTCAATCCGTTCAATCATCGTGCAGCCCCTCCATCCCCTCGTTTAAGGGATGCATTCGCAGAGCCTCAAAAGGCTCGGCAGTCAATGACCCTAAGTTGTATATATTGCCGCCAATCGCAGGGTGAAGCGCGCGACTGGTGCTACCCTACAAGATGGCCGATAGCAGCAGGCAGTGGACTTGGAACGGCGTAACGTGGACCTGGAGCGACCAGCACCAGGACTACTACTACGTCACACAGGATTCTGCGGGTGAGGCATCCTTTCGCCCGAAACAATGGCAGTAAGACAGAAGCTGGAGTGACTCACCTGATTAGGGCAATATCAGTACCACTTCTACAAGCAGCTCTACGCCCCCGCCCCGGAACCAACGAGCCCAGCTTCGGAAGGCAGCCAAAGCACAGGACATGCAGAGGCGCCAGCACAGGGGTAAGTAAATCTCGGTGGACACAAAACTAACGGTGCTGACATCAACATAGTCGGCTCAGGGTTGACTCCGGTACATATCCGTACTCAACCGGTGCATATCACCCCCTGACCGCTGCGACCCATGATGCTGGCTCTAGCCCTTACCGGGGCACTCCTTCTGCCAACGCAAATTATTATGCCGCTGGGCTTGCTCCATATCCTGTCGCCTCGAGCCATGGTAATACTACTGGCGGGGCACTGCCGCACATGCTTGATTTAGGTAAGCATACCGCAAGGTGCCGTAAGTATTTCAGCTTCTCATGTGGCCGCGTAAAGTTCCTCCGCAGGTCAGAAGCTCGCCGAACTTCATACCTGGAACGCCCGAGAAGGGCGAATGGGAGAGGTTGGACCCCAGTGAGCAGCACTCAGAACACGAGAGGTGTTCTCGACTAATGCAGTGGCCAAGGTTTTTATATGAGAACCGGTCCGCAAGCGCAGCAGTTCTTTAGGAAAGGAAGGGTATGCCTTCCCCACCCCAAGGCTACCCAACGGTTCGAATCGGTCGCTAATATGGAAGTCAGGTCTTTGCCATGCTATATTCCGAGGCTGCAAGCGAGAACATGGCGCGCGGCAATGAGAATGATGCTGTGACCATAATCCGATTCGGCGAGAGCGTCTACTCGCAGATTCGGCGCTTCGTCGTAGTGTCGGTAAGGCACGGCTTTGTCAAAGCCTGCGGCATCTCGACCTACAGCGGGCGTGGTACTCTGAAACCAGGCTGCAAACCAAAGGAACACGCGGCCGTTTATTTGTCGGGCTCATATCCAGTGACTTTCCAGGGAGAGGAATTGACCAAGGAGCCTATCGAGATCCAGCCAGCCGACTCTTCTGTGAGGATCACCGCCGCCTCTCGGGTCCGATTCGGCAAGACGTATCCGATCGAGTGGAATGTCAAAGTCAAAGACATTGGTCGCGTTATACCTGAGCATATCAGCAAGCTGATAACATACTGGAGAATGGAAGACAGGGATGAAGACGACTGAGTGCGAGACACCTACCTTACCAAATTGGCTCCATACGTTTTCGATCCCCTTTCACGTTGTTCGGACCCGTTCTTTTGGACTACAACGACAGTCACCGACGTTTCTCCTTGTCTACGTAATACGATTTGATGGATTTGGATTCGGATCTTCGCAGATTGCCTATATGGATAGTAGCTTGGTTCCAGAATGCCACATTTGGAGGGCGTCCGAAACACATCTGGGGGAATTCCACGATCAACGCCTGTTTCCTATATATACGTTAATGAATGACTTAAGATAACAAATACGTTCGAGAACACCCTTCTCGCACCTTGGTTTCGGATCTCAACAGACACTATGCCTTTGTGTTGCCAGAATCTTCCTGGTAATCCCAAGTTCCAAAAGAGGACATATAGCGATGCTGTCCCAACCTTGAACCATTGTTTGGACCGCAATCAATTTCGGACACGCGGGTGGTCGGAACGCTTGAAGATATTGAGTCTCGAATTGCTCGAAATCCTTCAGCGGCTCGACCGCATACTGCGTTATAAGGCCGTACTTTGGAAGTCCACTAATAATGGCACCTGTCTTCTTTTTGAGTTTGTCTACCAGCTAACCAGTTCGTAAGTCCTCCGATTCAACATCTTTGAAGCAGTGATAGGCCCTTCCTTGAGGGATCCGGCAGCCGCGACCGAAGCTAGGGTAAGATCCCGCAGAACCTATCGAAGCGGTGACGCGGACAATTAGCGAGCTGTCAACGATGACATGCAACTCTTCGAAGTGAACTCTGCCGGGGCGCACGATATGCTTCGCGCGGAGAACTACGTTCTTAGGTGCATGCCTCGATTTTCGTGTATTGATTTAGCCAAAGGCGTGCGCTAGCTCTTCTCCCACGTCAAGCTAGGCCAACATCTCCTCAGCACCGCCGTATATCGTGTGGAATTGGTCCAGCCTAGGGAGGAAGAAGCGGGGGCTTGTAAAACTCCCCGGAGCCGATAAAATAATATATGCGGCGGCATATTGATTTAAGTGCAGACGAGCGATGAGATATGGGGAGAGACATTATTGAAGAAAAGTTGTTGAAGAGACGATGAGAACCGGGAAAAGCGACAAGTGACGGGTGGAGCTCGGTTTATTGGTTTTTCCGACCCGCTACCCTAGTACACATATGGTTAGCGGGTATTCTTGCATTCAGAAAACTCCGAAAGTTCGGACCTCCGCACTTGAAGTTTAACAACGACCCGACGACTTGACAATGCCAGCCATGAAGCGTAAATTGAATGCACGCAATGAACCGGAAACGTCCGATTCTCTCTCATCCCCTGCCCAGCCCGCCCAAAAAGCCGCAGACCCCTCCCCGAAATCTGCAACGCCCACCTTTTCTACCTTTGGCCTTGACGGAAGACTTTTGCGCGCAGTACGTTCACAGCACTGGTCTGATCCCACGCTTGTTCAAGTAAGAGCGATACCTCTGGCGCTTGAAGGAAAGGACATACTGGCGCGGTCTGGAACAGGTGGGTCTTAATCAGGGTATATCTATCTGTATGAAGACGACGCTAAGTCAGCTAGGCACCGGAAAGACTGCAGCATACCTCCTTCCCATCCTCCATAACGTACTACGCCGAACCGGAAACCGCGAAACGTCTTCTCTCATCCTCGTCCCTACTAAAGAACTCGCCCTACAAGTCACGAAGGTCGCCCAGTCGCTCGCCGCATTTTGCGATGTCCGGGTACAGAACCTAGCCAGCAAGGAGTCAGAGGTGGTACAACGCGCAAAGCTTGCGGATCTGCCACAGATAGTGGTTGCTACGCCGGCACGAGCGGCGGCGAATATGAATAATGGGGCGCTATCGCTGAAGAGCCTCGCGCACCTGGTTGTGGACGAAGGGGATTTGGTTATGGGATATGGATTCAAAGAGGACCTCGACTACATCTCCCAGAACATACCAAAAGGAGTTCAAATCTTCTTGATGAGCGCCACCCTCAACACGGACGTGGACGCTGTGAAGGGCTTGTTTTGTCGGGATCCGGTCTTGTTGGACTTAGGCGCCCTTGAGAAGGACTCGCAGCAGGTCAAGCAATACGTCAGTACGTATATCCCAAGACTTTCTGAAACCCCACCGTGGCTTACGAGCCGCTCTACATACCCAATTTCCTATCCCTTCGCAAATTCGCTAACCATACCCTCTCTTTCAGTCAAATGTGCAGAAGAGGAGAAGTTTCTCCTCGCGTATGCCCTTTTCAAGCTCGATTTGATCAAAGGCAAAACAATTGTATTTGTGTAAGCGCATCCGGACCTGCTCTGGTTATCCACTTCGCTTGACCCCTTCCCACTCTCGCCCTTTCGCCCAGCTCTCCCGAGGACTCTGCTAACCGTAGTGCCATCTTAGCGGGGATGTCGATCGTTCCTACAGAGTCAAGCTCTTCCTCGAACAGTTTGGCATAAAAGCTTGCGTCTTAAACGCCGAACTCCCCCTGACCAGCCGGCTACACATAGTTGAAGAGTTTAACAAGAACATATACAACATTCTCATCGCCTCCGATGACACCGAGATTCTCGGCACCGAGAAGAAAAGCGACGAATCGAGGCCGAGGAAGAAGGCCAAGACGGACGACGGCAGGCCGGACTTTGGCATCTCACGCGGCATCGATTTCCGGAACGTTTCTTGTATTCTGAATTTTGACATGCCTTCATCCCGAAAGGCCTACGCCCACCGTATTGGGCGCACAGCTCGCGCTGGCAAATCTGGAACGGCTATATCCCTAGTCATTCCCAAGGATAAGTTCAAAAAGCACAAGCCCACTTCATGTACGTAAGGACGGGTTTAAACTGCATGCAGAGGCTTAACCTATTCATGACAGTACCCAACACTTTCCCCCATACTTTGATGAACTGTGCTAATCTTGTTCGCTCCAATCCAGTTCTGGGCTGCGAGAACGACGAGAAAGTGCTCGAGAAGATCGAAAAGCACCAGACAGAAGGCTCTGGGCTAGAGGATTACAAATTCGACATGAAGCGTCTGGAGCCGTTTCGCTATCGATTCGCGGATGCCCTACGAGCGGTGACGCGCATAGCCGTGCGCGAGGCGCGCGTCAAGGAGATCAGGATGGAGCTTGCGAAGAGCCAGAAGTTGAGCCGGTACTTTGAAGAACATCCCGACGAACTCGCACACCTTCGGCACGACCAGACGCTCAACCATCCAGCGAGGATTCAGGCCCATCTTAAGCACGTTCCTGACTATCTGTTACCGGGTGGCAAGAAGTCCCAGGACATTGGCTTCGTCAGCTTGAACAAGCCTAAGCCCAGGAGGTTCGTACAGAGGAAGGGCAAAAAGGTGGTGAGGGGGAAGAATGGCAAGATCGACCCGCTGAAGACGTTCAACGCAAGAGGAAGAGGCAAGAAGTGAAAGTCACGTGTCAAGACGGCTTCTTATGTCGCGAGGGAGGACGGAATCTGAGTCTTTAGGAGCCGACAAATGTTAGATGAGGAGCTTCTCACTCGTCCTGGGCTATGTACACGGCTATGTTGAGCAGATAGGACACCGAAGAGAAGCCGACTGATTCAAGGCTATGGCCACAGGTGGATATCGGAAGGGTGATAGTGTGCGAAGTTGAGAATCCGCCTACGGAAAAATTACTACTCAAAAGATATATTTTATCAATCCCAGAAACCAAAGCGACACCTCTTATCTCAACCACGCACTCCTACAGACAACAAATGCAGCGCACCACGTTCGGTAGTCCTTGCCGCCGCAGACGTGATGTGCATTTCCCATCTAGGTAGACTGTCCGCCACGTAGCGCACTTCCACGAATGGTACTTCCGCGCCCCCGTCCTCTCTTCTTGAGAGTGTGCATGTGAGGTGTCCCGCCAGCGGAAATTTCCCGATTCTGATCCCTTCGCTGTTCCATATTTAGTGGCATCCGTTGCATCTGCAGAGTGTACCAATCTTGAATTGACGCGGTAATGGCTTATTCGAGGGAAGTAGTGTCATCGTATAGCGCAGTTGAATGCAGCGATGGAGGTATTGTACCCCTACTGAGAAACCCTTCAGCAGAGGCCAAGGAGTGCTTTAAGGCCTCCTAGCCGAAGCAAAGCAGAATTAAAAGTAGTGCGCAGACAAAACAGTAGTGACCTGAGATCATACCTAATAGAGAATCCGACATTTGACACGATTTCTGTTTTTTTTTTCATAGCACACGTGGACATCGCAAAGGCACGAGTGCCGCTATCTCTCAACCCTCGCCCCTCCACAGCAGAAAAGGCCTATAACACGGGTAGCCGACAAACACCTTTCCCCTCCATCCAGGCCCGTCATCCTAGCAGCACGTCAACAAGACGGACTAATCACCATCTCATCTCATCTCATCCTCCAGGCCCGACTTTGCAATGGTGTTCTACTCCCCAGATCCGCCGAAATTCACACCATATCTGCCATTGATCGGCGCCCATCCCATCTCGACCTCAATCCCATCTTCACCTAGGCTCTTCTCCAAATCACCTGCAAACCCCTCAAGTCCTGCAACCATCGTGTTGAAGAACCGCATCCTCATGAACTTCGGCAGCGCCATCTTGACCAACTCTAGAACCACCTTCCTCATCGCGTCCTTATCGCTCTTTGTGTTCCTCCACAGCAGCACGACGGAGTCGAGGAAGCGGTCGATCTGCGCGTTGGGCGTCCGATCGCACGCGTCACGAGGCGTGGATAGCAGGCGCTGCGGGGCATAGGCTTCCCACATTAGTCTTCCGTACGCGTCCTGGGGGACGTTGTGGACGGCTGGGATGTCGACATGGAAGTTTGCCGTGACGATATCGTAGGCGAGCGTGGTGTACTTATTGAGAGCGTAGTCTGCTAGCTTCGGGACTTTGTACTTCTCGGCGACGATATAGGCGTGGACGTGGAGGTCTAGCATGGTGATGTACGGGTGGTGGTAGACCATTTCCTGCTCGAAAGGGTAGATGCCCCGGACGATGAAGTCTAGGAGAGACTAGTTAGCCGAGGTTCCGATGTAAGATAGAGGCTTGAGATATGCTATCCGGAAGGGCTTCAACGGTATGTGGGACGAGATCAACCCTTCAGATGTGCGTCGGAGTCATTACGTACTGATCATTGCCCTGACGGCGAACGGGAAATCGCCGCGGAGGCGAATAATCCGAGTGTGAGACTCCTATTGAGAGAGTCAGCATCACGTGTTCTTTGTGTCGCGCTTCCCAGCTCCGCTAAGACACTCAAGAATATCGGCCGCTTACCAGGATAGACCGAATGTGCTCTGGGCCGTCCTAATATTACCGTTAGGGTGCATGATAACCCCCAGACGCAGGTCACTTACACCGAGCAGAGCATCGAACACGTCAGAGAAGTACCCAGAGTAGCAACATAGCAGGTCCTTTTCGATCCTAGCTGTCATCGTCCCTTTCCAGCCAAAGAAAAGCACCACCTCGTTAGGCTCGAGATCCTCGAAGATACTAGACAGGTCAGTGTTCTGCTTAGAACCTAGAGGTTTCCATGCTTACTTCATTAATGGGGCGCTTGGGATAATACGCGCTCCTTCGAGGTGCTCGCCTTTCCTCAGACGCAGATGCTTCCTAGGAAGTGGAATGGCATGACCGTACGGACTACTCAAGCGGAGTCCCCCAATATTAAGACCGTCCGAATTTGGTGAAATCAGATCCTCCCCGCACGCCAACTGCTGCATGGTGGAGTGTTCTGGCTCGTGTATGTCGGGACCCGGACCATTGCGGAGGATGCTCGGGTCGCAATACCTACCGCTGCTTGCCACTTCACCGCAGGCGAATGCGTTCGGCGGGTCGCCCATAGCTGGAGCAGGCCCGTAGTAGCCCGTATACACATTAGCCGGCAACTGCTGAAGAGCGCGTCGCTGGCCAAGTGTTGCGTTCTGCGGCTGGTGACGTCGGCCATAGCCTCCGAACTGGTGTGCTTGGATCTGTGGTGCTGTCGAAGTCGGAAAGCCCCTAAGAGAATGCAAAGCAAGAGCAGCCTCATTCTCTCGATTGGATGGATAGGACCCCGGAGGCAGTGATGCGCCCGTTGAATTAGCCATACTGTGGCCTGGCTGATGGCTTTGACTGAGGCGGAACGCGTGGCTGGGAGTCCGGTATTGTCGAAGAGCTGGAAAATCCACGAAGGGAAGAGAAGAACAACCTCGCGACAGAAAAGAAAATCCTCGTCATACATGCAGACGCCGAGCCCGCAGTGAAGAAGAGCACGCAGGACGCGTCGGCGACGCGCCGTGAAGTGAAAGCGTAGGGCGCAACGCATGGAGCTCGGTGTGGACGCACAGCAATGGGTCGGAAAATGTGCAAACGATGTGAATTGAGCTACACCCGTCGCCATCATCAGTATAACGACAAAATGGTGAAGTGAAGTAGAAAGTACGAGATCCCGACCGAATATGCCCTGAGGCGCCGTGTATGCTAATCCGCTCCGTTCCTACCAGGATGAATCCGATAGAGATGCAAGCCTCACCTAACAAATGGACCAATTGAAATACATGACCGCAGGAAAGGAAAGGCTGGAGGCCTTGGAAGACTTATTCGCGACAGAAAGGAGGAGTCGTTGGTTTCCCTGGGCAAGCGACTTCACCGCGCCTACTTCAGCCGTGCAGCTAGCTCTTTGATGAAGTCGATCCTGAACGCCGGTATTTCGTCCATGAGTTTGAACACTCTCGCCGCTGTCTTTCCGCCTTGAAGAATGTATTGTTCCGAATGGTCTGCGCAGAGCTTCACGGCTACCTTCCGGAGATCGTCTTCTCCAGCTGAGCGTGTCGAAGCGTAGATGACCCGGATGGCCTGGAAAAATTTGTCCTTATTGACCTCGACCCGAGACAGCACGGATGCTCGAGCCTCGAACTTGTCTACCGCCAGCTGCTTCAGTCCCGGGATGCTGTAGCGCTCGGCGAGGAGGTAAATGTCGATGTGAGGGCTGAGCGTATATATCATATAACCTGCGCTGCTCAAGCCCAAGAACTTATCGGCGTAGTCAAGTTGATAGCAGTACTGTAACATCGCGTCGACGGCGTCAGGGTCGTCAGCGCTGAGGTCGATGGTCTGCACTGATGTCTCCTACGCGCTGTTAGCGCTCGTAAGTAGCGAAATAAAATGGCACGTACTAATGAAGCCTTTGCGCAGACCTTCGCGAACCATTGCGAATGACTGCACATGATGATGCGGTGTACATGATACTCATCGTCTCTGCAGCGGACTACCAGATCTGAGAATTGTGCGTCGTCGAAGTGCCTGCATGTGTCAGCATGTTCAATATCTAGACGTGCTCATTCATCACTCTGGCCCAGCATTAAGCTGACTGAGCAACCTCCACTCTGCCCTCTTATATCTGCCAGACCAGGCGACCTATGTTGCGATTGCAACGAAGAGGCGCGAAGAACCTACCTTTTCAGACCCGCTGTCATGAAAGAAGCAGCATCGCGTGAGGGCTTGGGGTAGCATTGCCGCTTCTTTAGCCTTGTGGCTCCTGGACTCGTTGGCGAGACTTTGATGGTGGTGTCGTCTGCAAAGTCGGACGACCTCCTCGACAGCGCTTCCATCTGGCTCAACCTGAAACGATGAGGGCCGTATCGATACTCCGACCGATTAAGACTATGCATGTCATAAGTATGGACTGGAAATGGGCGAATGAAGGGCTAAATACGGCATTACTCACACGTTTCTAGGCGGTACTGCTGGCGTCGCAAACATATTTGGAGATAGTGCAAGACTCAACATTGCGCGTCGGGTTGTTGTGACTGCTATCAGGCCTGCTGTGCTCTTCTATGCAGATATCTGCGATTGCAGAGCTGGGACATCCAAGACTGGGTAAACGGAGATGGTTGATGTGATTTCACATAGCGAACCATGGTTTAGTAGAATAGATACGACGGCGCACGGCCCTCCAAAGAAAAACGACACGGGATGGGCAAGCTATAGGATGGCAGAACGGAATAAGAAAAAGATGGTCGTTAGTACGACGACCGATAATGACGATAGAGTATCATCCAAATGAGGAGAGGGCGTCCGGCCAATCAGATATGGGCACGCGGACTGCACTTGGCGCTATATGACGAGGGGCCTGCATGCTATCGATAGAGGCCTTTCCGAGCCAGCGGAACAGCCGGGGGAGTCAATTTGACGGCGGAGTGCAGCCTGCGCGGGGTGATTATCAACAGTTCGCATGACTGCCGACCGTGCTGAGAGCTTTGAGGCCGTCGAGGATGAACGGAAGAGCTTGCTGAGCCCATCCTTTCATTGATGTAGTCTTGTTTGCCGGTAGCGGATATCTGGCCGCGAGCTGAGTAGTGCCACAGAAGCTCTGCTTTACCATACTGTGCTTCCGGGAGCTGGTCATCTGCAACGGAAGAGCGACCTGGCCAGGGGAGCTGTCGCGCCCAAATGCGCGCCAGCAGATAGAAAGACGTTCGCGGGAGGTTGCACTGCATCCTTTGAAAATGGTCAGCCCCCAGCCTCACCATCCTGCTCCTTGGCACCCATTGGACCCTCGAAGTCGATGTTTTCGGACCGAATTCCTCGCCGATGAGAAGCAGCGGCGATAGCAGCGCTACAGCTTGGGACGACAGGCATAGTTGTCTTGATCCTGATGCGTGCCACAATAATGAGAACAACCGTCATAACCGCCAGAAAGGCAAGGGCACAGAGTACGTCTAGGAAGAAGTATCCATAGTCCGAAAAGTATCCAGAGTTCGAATCAAGGCGCGGGCCTGAACAAAGGCCGGTCTGCTCCTCATTGCGCCCCAATATATCCTCTAGGGATGCCCTCTTAAAGCTGGACCGTTATATATCTTCAAGCCGAGTCCTGTGAAAAGCGTGGATCCGAATAAGCGGCGACGAGGTTTCGGCAGGAGCTCACTGACTATACATACTTGTTCAAGCATGCTCAAAGCCTGGAACTTCGATAACGAAAGGCAAAGGGCTTGTTGAGACTATCCTGCGTCTGAAGATGGTGTAGGGCATGCGCTATCGGAGAGAAACGGCGACGAAGGGTATGTGAGCAGATACGTAGAGCCTAACAATCAGCAGTGATATTCCAGAGAGTAGGAGACCTTTCCCTAGAGGGACTCATTGTTGCAAGGTCTAAGTTGCTTAATCATGGACACATGTCCGCGTTTGGTGGGGGCCGCCAGTCGGCTGCCGCTCGACTCTCGGCAACGATGACTTCGTGACAGCAGTGGTCGCCGAATCTGCGTTATTTCTCCGGCGGCAGTTGCCCTTGGAAAGAAAACTCGCGGTGTGCGTTCCGGCGATTCTAGTTCGCCTATCGATTTGTAAGAGATCTTGCTGATACAGCGCAGCAGGAGTCTAGACGGCCGGGATTTGAAACGAGAGGTAATCGGCAATAGGGCGCCGTGGCAAGCCAATTGCGTCAAAGCCGTTGGAAACGCAGAGCTCCATCGTAACCGGCAGCTTAGATAGCGTCGTGCGGGTTTGTAGAGGTCTGATTTCCTGAATAGTAAGAGAGCGTGCCTGGACGGGTGCTGACGTCATCGAGTGCAGCGACCATCGACCATTGACGACGAAACGACCACGAAACTTAATGACGCTGACCATGATATCGCCGATGTTCGCCGTCAAGGCGAGTGCCATGGCGATATATAGGCCCAAATCCACTCACCTCTGCCATCTAAGCATTTTCCTCCACTATCAACCACCAGCGTACAACCGCCACCATGACTGCACATACTGCCAACGGACAGAAGAGCGGTGACATGTACCGTGATTACATCGACGACCGAAACTCAAAGGCGCAAGACACCCTTTACACCACGAGCAATGGCGTGCCGTACCCACACCCGTACGAGACGCAGCGCGTCGGCGAAAACGGACCTCTGCTGCTCCAGGATTTCCACCTGATTGACCTCTTCTCGCACTTCGACAGGGAGCGGATTCCAGAGCGGGTAGTCCACGCGAAGGGTTCCGGTGCGCACGGCTACTATAAGACAACGGATTCGCTGGAGGATCTGTGTCTGGCAGACATCTTCAAGCAAGGGAAGGAATGTCCAATCACCATTAGGTTCTCGACAGTTGGTGGTGAATCGGGGTCACACGACTGCGCTCGCGACCCTCGAGGGTTCTCCGTCAAATTCCGGACCGACGAGGGAAACTGGGATATGGTCGCCAACAACACTCCCGTCTTCTTTCTTCGAGATCCAGCGAAGTTCCCACATTTCATTCACACGCAGAAGCGTCATCCCGCAACGCATCTGACGCATGCCGATGACTCTACCATATTCTGGGACTACCTGTCCCAGAATCCTGAATCGATCCACCAGGTCATGGTTCTCATGGGTGACCGAGGCATCCCCGACGGATATCGGTTCATGCACGGATACAGTGGTCACACGATGAAGCTTGTCAACAAAGCTGGCGAGTGGGTGTACTGCCAGTTCCACATGAAGTCAAAGCAGGGAACGAAGTTTATCACCCAGCAGGACTCCGCGTCTAAGTCTCCCGACTACTCCCAGAAGGATCTGTTCTCCGCGATCGAGCGTGGCGACTTTCCGCGGTGGGATCTCTCGGTGCAGACGATGACTGCGAAGCAGGCCGAAGATCTCTGGGAAAAGCAGAAGATTAACGTCTTCGACTTGACGCATATTTGGCCGCAGAAGCAATTCCCTCTGCGTAAGGTCGGAGAATTCTTCTTGAATGAGAACGTCCAGAACTATTTCGCCGAAATCGAGCAGATCGCATTCAACCCATCGCACATGGTGCCGGGTATCGAACCATCGGCAGATCCTGTCCTCCAAAGTCGTCTCTTCTCGTATCCGGACACCCACCGGCATAGGGTTGGCGTCAACTACCAGCAGCTTCCGGTGAATTCAACGCGCGCCCCGTATCGGATGGGCAACTTCCAGCGCGACGGTAGCATGGCTTTTTATAACCAAGGTTCGCGACCAAACTATCTCTCCTCGATCGAGCCCATCTCCTTCCGCCAGCGCTCCGTCAATCTTGACAAGACCCATGGCCACTTCATCGGCGAGGCCGTCACCTTCTTGTCCGAGATCCGACCAGAGGACTTCAATGCCCCACGGACGTTGTGGGAGAAGGTGTTCGATGATGGCGCAAAGGAGCGATTCGTTGGTAACGTCTCCGGTCACATGGCCAACTGCTCGGACAAGGAGATCATCAAGAGGCAGATTGGCATCTTCCGCGAGGTCTCGGAGGATCTGGCCTCCCGTCTCGAGAAGGCCACAGGCGTAAAGGGCTACCCGGGCATTGCTGGCCTCCGCTTCAATGGCACCCACAACGGCATGGCGAAGGATGCGAGCCTAAGGGCTGCGAATGGAATGACTGAGAATGTCAGCTTGTCTGCGACGGACAATAACGGAGCGCCTGTGAAGGGGATGCACAAGGGGTATCCGAAGAATTAAGATTATGGAAAATGGAGTAACTGGATACCATCGTACCTTGCAGATTGCGGCGGAAAGTACTTCTACCTGCTCGTAGCATGTATATAAGTTGAGCGACCTGTCTTTCTTCAACCTGCTGTGAGAATAGTAGTTTTTGCCAGTGATGCTCTCCCAAGGCATACCGTTGTAGCAGTGTGCTATGCTAGAAATAGGAAGGAAGCGCCATAGATTCTGCTCGCTCTCTATGCAAGTGACCGTGAGATGACAATGCTGAGGTTGCTATCAAGGAGAGTGAGTCGAGTTTTGAGGTAGTAGTGGAGGAGTTCAGCTGTCATCATGATGTGTGAGCAGGGGCAACGCTCGGGATTGGAGCGTAAGCGAGCCGCGTCAGTAAACGCCAAGCCTCCATCTTCGGCCTTGTGCCTCGCGACATCCCTCCCAATCCACCGCCCACTTTGTCATGAAACCCTCTCCTCTTTCCACCTTTACCACAACGCCTTTCTCCACGACACATATCAAAACAAGCGGCTCCGCCCGCTTTACTCTCTCTCACCGATTCCCCGCCTCAAGCCATCATGGACCCCGCGTTGGACGCTCCCAAGCGCAATGACGCTATCGCCGGATTAGGGTTGGCCTGTGCAGTCACGTGAGGATACGGGATGCCATTAGTTCACTTTGGCAGTTCCGGGCGCGTTGCGGGACCCTCGAGGTTTTTCCACTCTACGCCCACAGCTCCCCCGTTCACGCATCATTGTCCCAGCCAGTACGCCAAACACTCTGCCGAGCACGTATCATGTTCTCATCGCACTGGGTCGCACTTGTTCTGTCGTCAATCCATCCCGTCGTCGCCCTTTGAAGCTCTCCACGGTGAGCTTTAAAGCCGCTCTCCGCTTTTGCAGCGTCCCCCTCTCCTCGTCACCACACACCCGCTCTCCTCGCCGGATAGCAGGCATCGCCCTGGGCCAGTCCCGCTGCCATTGGTATCTTTGCCGGGAAACACCCTTATTGCTCGTTCCCAGTTGCCTCGACTCATCCTTACCGCCTCTCACCTCGTCCGGCGACCGCCCTCGGTCCCAGCGCGCACGATACAGCTCGGGAGACGCGGCTCGGCCATCCTGGCCTCTTGTTCTATATTCTGCTTCTAGAGCGAAAGCACTGTCGCGGAATCGATGTCGCCGCGTCGGTCGTCGCGGGCTCGCACCACCCAGCCCCCACCCGGCGTGCAAGCAGCACACAGCAGCTCCTCGTCCTCCGCATCGTCGTCTCGCGGCGAAAGAGCGACGAGAGCTAATCATAAGCAGTCGTCGCCGCAGAAATCCTCGACCCCGCACTCCCTCTCCTCCGAAGAGATTGACGAGCCACCTCGTGGCTCGCAGCTAGAGCCGCCCCAGACCCGACGCCGAGCGCGCGAGCAGGACAATGACGAAGATGAGTCTGCGAAGCTTGACGATGAGCTCGAAGACGATATAGCCGAGGAGGATGAGGTCACACGATGCGTGTGTGGCCAGCTGGAATACCCAGGTCCACCATCGGACGCCGGCAAGTCCAAAGATGGCCATTCGTCTTCATTGACATATTATACCGTTCCGAGTGATGACGCAGGCGGCCTGTTCATCCAATGCGACATCTGCAAGGTCTGGCAGCATGGCGGATGCGTCGGCATCATGGACGAAGCTGCCAGCCCCGAAGAGTACTTCTGCGAGGAGTGCCGGAAAGACCTGCACAAGGTCATGACAAGTCCCAAAGGGTACGTCATTCGTTCAATTTCCCCAAGTCATGATCAATGGAACCCCCACCAGCGACGTGCCTCTGGTGGCCAGTTCACCCGAGCGTTGGCGCTGGAGCTGTTGCGCTAGAACAACGCACTCCCCAGCTCACTTGACAATGTCAAAGCTGACGACTCTCTGGCAACAGGCAAAAATACTCCCGTTACCTTCCCGTCTACGAGCAGAACCTCGGAAAGAACGCCCGCAAATCGTCCGTGTCGAAAGAAACGGAAAGTAAGACAGTGAGAGACAAGGAGCGCAATGCGAGGGCAAGCGTCGAGTCGCTCAGCAAGCGCCGGTCAACAATGAATAGCCGGGCCGCCTACGATGAGGATGAGGTGCTGCGGAAAGTGCTGGAAGAGAGTAAGCACGAGGGTGCGGCGCCTCCATCAGAGAACGGTAACCGCAAGAAGCGTAGTCGTGACGACAGCGAAGAGTGAGTCTGCTTGTTCCACGATATTTCAAGGAATGGCCGTTAACAAGCTTTACCACAGGGCCAACCCGGAAGTCAAGCGGCAGCGCACCAGCTCCAGCTCCCCCAGCAATTCCCCAGCCGTTGAGTCTGAAGACGACAACAGCAAGGCTTCTGCGCCAAAACAGAAGCCTCGTGGCGCTGCGGCGAGGAGTCAGCGCGAGAAAGAGCTTCGCGACAAGGAGCGCGAGAGAGAACGCGCGGAAGCTGCGAACAGACGCAAAGGCCGTGCGGAGCGAAGGAAAGGTGACGGTACGATGATCGTGTGTAGTACTTCTTATAGAGCTGACAATGCTGCAGAGTCCGAACCACCAGAAGCTACTCCGGCCGAAGATCCATCCATGGCGGCTTCAGCGTCGGAATCTGTACCGCCGGAAAATTCCTCCGCTGACCCCAAGCCCGCGCCTGCTCCCAAGAAGGGAGGTAGACCGCCGCAGAAGCGCCACAGCCGACTTGGTCGAAACCAGTACTCGAAAGACGCGCCCACGCCCGCAACGAATGGAGCATCTCCGGCCGCAAACGATGATGGGCCAAATTCGCCCCATATCAGCTCAGCGAATGGCGCTGGCAATGGACACGACAGCAGTGACGGGACCACCGGAAACAAACAAGCCAAAACAAAAAATTGGCGGTTACAGAAACTGTCGTGGCATGACATCCGTCGACCGGCGGGCGCCATGCAGAATTACATCGCCCAACGCCAGGTCGAGATGGCAGGAGAACGGAGTGCACTGGCGGCCGCTATCCAAGAGCCTGCGCCGACAACGAACGGGGACCTGAATCCGAGCGAGCCGAAGGCAGATGAGGACGAAATTGTCGTCTTCAAGGGGCTCAGCACATTGCAGATGATGGACCACCTAAGCCGAGATCTTGTCCACTGGCAACGACTGATTACGGAACAGAATGAGAAATAGCTGCAGCGCGCTTTTCTTTCGACCCCGTTCACTTCCGCTTCATCTATCCTTCACTATACATATTACCTTGTCGCGAGGGCATGTGCGATGAGGATTTTTCTGCATCGCGGTCTTTTTTTGGCTCAGTACTGGGTCTGCGGCGTGGGAATTGCAGCATGAGCTCGATCATCAGCATCTCGGGGGCGTTATTGCGGGACCTATTTTGGGCTATATCAAAACGATCGGCATGGATACCCTCCACTTCTTTCACCTCGCCACTGCGGTGTACGTCGGTGTACATGGTTTTCGGCATTCATATACTTCTTTTCGTTTGGATCAACGGTTGGCGCTGCTCGGTCGATGCAAGTGAGCGAAATCGCTATGACTAGTAGAGGACCTTTTCCCAATGTCCTCACTTGGACTGCTGTGGCACCTAAAACAATACTATTTCCGCTATTTTGCCCGTTCCTAACTCAATACAATTGCCAGAAGCGAATCCAAACCGAACGCCTGCTCACTAAGTATTCGCCGCAATCTTTCATGTACACCTCCCAAATTACACCAATAGAGATATTCCTCCCGATCCGCGAGCGTCCCTCTCTCACTGCCTAGCCTCTACTCCTCAGGCTTCCCAACCTTGATCTCCAATACATCCTTCCCCGCGCCCAACTTCATCAACTCCAGTATAGCCGGGAAGTTGTCGTCGGTCACGATGGTGTATTCAGGCCATACCTTGCGATCGCGTCCGGCTTCGCACCAGTGGATTTTTATCTCTTGGATCTGCTCGGTTTGCTCTTTGGATTTGTACTTGCTCATGACTGTTGGGTTGGCTGGGCATTAGCGAGAGGAGGGGAGGAAAGAGGAAAAAAGGGGGGAAAGGGGGGAACGGGAGGAGGAGGAAGGAGACGCACACTCAGAGCAGTTTGGCGAGTTGGCCATGGTGGATGTAACGAGTTTGTTGAGCGCCTTGAGCGAGGGCTTGCTGTTGGCGTCGATGAGGATTATTTCGTGGCGGTTCGAGGGCGGGAGCGTGAAGAGGACGGGGATGGACATTGTGGTCGTGACGGGGAGGATTTCTGCGGTACTGGTTGGTCTGCGGATGGATGAGGTAGCCGGAAGACTTCTTGGTGAGCGGAGGTCAACGAGAATGAACTGCAGAGTAGAACGAAGATGCGTCTCGGGGATTTTGGGACGAATCTAGGATATCATATCATACCTATAGGCACAGCGCGCAGGATTCCAGGCTTTGTTGGTGTTGGGTAATGCGGGAAAGCATGTACGTCACCGCGCATGGCCTGTGGCATCCCTGTGATCGCCGGTCGGTCTAGTCCGCGTGTGGGCTAGCGCATTACGAATGTGCGTGCCTGAGGCATCCGTGGGAGATGGATGCGCTGGCTTCTCTCATCCATCGAACTCGACGAGCTGTCTGCGCAACAATGGATTACTGGCGACCCAGGTATCGCGAAGAGACAGAGACGCGCCGGATCCGATAAAGGGTCGCGAATTAAAGACCGTTTTGGCACTTCGAGGGCGGTGCTTGTGGGTCGTTTCACGCGTCCGGAGGACTTCCAGTTGTCCGTTGTTGCCGCCGAAATGGCGTTCTCTGGCGCCTATGAGATGGTAGCGAACCATTGGTTCCAGCGGGCGTCAACCAGAGCGCAGACATGCCCAAATCAACGCATCGGTACCTTCGTACAAAGTGCTGTCAATGCCGTTACCAACCCCAGGAGCCCAAGCATCCGCTTCTGGCAGGAGACACGGACCGTTGCCCCACCATAGACGATCGTCTGAGGGTCTCGCGAGCAAGCGATCGCACGCAGGGACCGACGCAACTTCGATCTTCAAAGCGCGCACGAAGAGATGAAGGAGCCGGAGCTCTAGTATGCAGTTGTGAGAATTCGAAGCCGATTTTTCTGACAGCTAAACCCTGATTTCGCATTGCGGCTCCAGGTGGGACCGTGAAGCGTGAGAATAGCGAGGAATTGAAGGATGCCGGTATTATAGGGTTAGTTTGCATATATAAGAAAACACGGCTATTGCCGAACACGAAATGCTGCTGAAACGGGAACAAGCTTGACCCCTTCCGGCCTATCGGCTTTTTTCACCCATCTTGGCGCCTTACTCAGCCCAGCATAACAATACAGCCGCTCGACTACCGATCCCGCCGTCCAGCTTCCCCGCACGCGAGCCTTGGAACCCCACACAACCCTTGAAACGAGAGTGTACGTCCGGCCAGGACGCGTGACACGCGGAAGAAGCGCGGCCGAAACGGCTGGTTTATGTACCTACCGGCTCGCAAACCGTGGCAGCTTCTGCTGTCCTTCACCCTCCGCGCCTGAGCTCTACGAACCGTGTTTCCACGGTCTGTCGTAGCAGATGCGGGTTCCCGGTTTCTCCTTTGCATCTCCGAGACACCTCCGCCCAGCATGAGCTCCTCCAATTGCCTGGCGGGCTACCGGCTGGTTGCCTTTGGCCCGCGCCTGAGGCTCTGCGCTTCCACGCTCGCCTTCCGGACGACACCAATTGTCCAGCAGGAGTACACCACTAAGCGCGTCAAGCCACTGCAACCGAATGCACGCGTCCGGAGCCTAGCCCGCCCGCGACCGCTGTACCTGCAGACGCATGTTCCGCACATTCCCACCACGGCTGTCGCCCGCTATGCATCCCTTGCTTCGGAGCCGCATGACGAGGAGATCCCGACCTCCCCGCCCTTCACCGCCGGTCCGTATTCGACCCTGACCATCGGTATCCCCAAGGAGAGCTACCCCGGCGAACGCCGTGTCGCGATAACGCCGCAGAATGTCCAGCTGCTGCTGAAGAAGGGCTTCTCTCGCGTCTTGATCGAGCGTGGAGCGGGTCTGGAGGCGCAATTCACGGATGAGGCGTACGAGCAGGTCGGCGCTAAGACCGTCGACCGCAGGAGCGTCTTCTCGGAGAGTGACATTCTTCTCAAAGTTCGTGCGCTCAGCATCGATGGCGCTGATAGCGAGGTGGACGCCATTCGTGAGGGCGCCACCGTGATTTCTTTCCTTTACCCAATGCAGAATAAGCCTGTCGTAGATAGACTTGCGGACCGCAAAGCTACTGCATTTGCTATGGACATGGTTCCGCGCATTTCTCGAGCCCAAGTATTTGACGCATTGAGGTATACACTTACGCCCTCCCCAAGCTATTCTTGTGGCTAACCTGCAGCAAAGTTCCATGGCCAATATCGCTGGTTATAAGGCCGTCTTGGAAGCTTCGAACCAGTTCGGACGTTTCCTCACTGGCCAGGTCACTGCAGCGGGAAAGGTGCGTCACTGCCTGACGAACATGGAGCCGAATTACTGACTATACCCTAGATTCCTCCCTGCAAGGTTCTCGTCATCGGAGCTGGTGTAGCTGGCTTGAGCGCAATCGCAACGGTGAGCAGAATGCAGTCAATTCCAGAATTTACGCTGAATCTAGCACCGTAGGCCCGCCGGATGGGTGCCATCGTCCGCGGTTTCGACACCCGATCGGCAGCTCGCGAGCAAGTACAATCCCTTGGCGCAGAATTCATCGAAGTCGAGATTGAAGAGGAGGGGTCCGGCACGGGTGGCTACGCGAAAGAGATGTCCAAGGAGTTCATCGAAGCCGAGATGAAACTGTTCCATGAGCAGTGCCGCGAGGTCGACATTGTCGTCACTACAGCATTGATTCCTGGCAAGCCCGCTCCGAAGCTCATCACAAAAGCCATGCTTGCTTCGATGAGGCCTGGTTCAGTGATTGTAGATCTCGCAGCCGAAGCTGGTGGCAACTGCGAAGCGACGGTTCCGGGGAAATTGGCGAAATACCATGGAGTAACAATAATCGGTAAGAACTAGTCATCCACATTGCATATCATATGCTTAACGAAGGTGCAGGCTATACTGATCTCCCCTCCCGCCTACCGACGCAATCATCCACGCTCTACTCGAACAACATCACCAAGTTCCTGCTCTCTCTTGTCCCAAAAGACAAGAAAGAAAAGTACTACGACGTCGATCTCGAAGATGAAGTCACCCGCGGAGCCATCGTCACGTACAACGGTAAGGTCATTCCGCCAGCGCCTCGTCCCGCTCCTCCGCCCGCACCAGCTGCCAAAGCGCCTTCACCAGCAGATCAAGTTGCCAACATTGTTCAATTGACACCGTGGCAAAGCCAGACGCGCGAAGTTGCCGGTGTCACGGCGGCGATGAGCACTGCGGTCGCCCTTGGAAAATTCACCGGGTAAGGAGCTTGCTAGCCTGATCAAGTTTCAATATGCTAACAATCCGCAGTCCTATGTTCATGTCGAACGCGTTCACCTTTGCCCTAGCTAGTTTGATCGGATACCGGGTCGTCTGGGGTGTCGCTCCGGCTTTGCACTCCCCACTCATGTCCGTCACCAACGCTATTTCCGGTATGGTTGGAATAGGAGGATTCTTCGTCATGGGCGGCGGTTACCTGCCTGAGACTATTCCACAGACTCTGGGCGCCTTATCAGTTCTTCTGGCTTTCGTCAACGTATCGGGAGGCTTCGTCATCACCAAGCGCATGCTGGACATGTTCAGGCGCCCCACCGACCCTCCTGAATACCCCTGGCTTTACGCGATTCCGGCGGTTTTGTTCGGTGGAGGATATTTCGCTGCGGCTAGCACGGGAATGGCTGGTCTGGTCCAGGCCGGCTATCTTGTCAGTAGTGTCCTCTGCGTGAGCTCACTCTCTGGACTCGCTTCTCAGACTACGGCTCGTCGCGGGAACCTCCTCGGTATCCTCGGTGTCTTCTCCGGTATCCTCGCCTCTCTAGCGGCCGTCGGATTTGCACCGGATGTTCTCGCGCAGTTCGCTGGCCTTGCCACGGTTGGAACCATCGCCGGTATGGTCATTGGACGAAGGATTACACCTACGTCGCTTCCGCAGACAGTCGCTGCTCTGCACTCCGTTGTCGGTCTAGCCGCCGTGCTCACCAGCATTGGTAGCGTTTTGGGCCACGGCGGTGACATCTCCACCCTACACATGGTTAGCGCCTATCTGGGAGTCCTGATCGGTGGAGTAACATTCACCGGGAGTATCGTCGCTTTCCTCAAGCTAGCCGCAAAGATCTCCTCTCGACCCTTGATCCTCCCAGGACGCCATGTCATCAACTCCTCGCTTCTCGGCGCCAACATAGCGACAATGGGTGCATTCTTAACCTATGCCCCTGGAGCACCGCTTATAGGTGCTGCATGCCTGACCGCAAATGCGGCACTCAGCTTCATCAAAGGATACACGACTACCGCTGCAATAGGCGGCGCTGACATGCCCGTCGTCATCACAGTGCTGAACGCCTATTCTGGATTCGCACTGGTAGCCGAAGGCTTCATGTTGGATAACTCGCTACTAACAACCGTCGGCGCGCTCATTGGTGTCTCAGGTTCCATCCTCTCGTACATTATGTGCGTCGCCATGAACCGCTCGCTGACAAACGTGCTCTTCGGCGGCATCGCATCGACGCCACAGACGCAAGCGAAGATAGAAGGAGAAGTGACTAAGACGACCGCGGTAGAGACTGCAGAAGCATTAGCGAACGCTGAGAACGTCATCATCGTAAGTCCCTTTACCCTTTACACCAAATGGATAATTGCTAATATCCCAGGTCGTCGGCTACGGCATGGCCGTCGCCAAAGCGCAATACGCCATCTCCGACTTCGTCAAGCACCTCCGCTCGCGCGGCGTGAACGTGCGCTTCGCCATCCACCCGGTCGCCGGCCGCATGCCGGGCCAATGCAACGTGCTGCTCGCCGAGGCCTCGGTGCCCTACGACATCGTGCTGGAAATGGACGAGATCAACGACGACTTCGGCGACACAGATGTCACACTCGTCATCGGCGCCAACGACACCGTGAACCCGATTGCGCTGGAGCCTGGGTCCGCGATCGCGGGCATGCCTGTGCTGCATGCGTGGAAGAGCAAGCACGTTGTGATTATGAAGAGGGGCATGGCGAGCGGGTATGCCGATGTGCCGAATCCCATGTTTTACATGGAGAATACGAAGATGTTGTTTGGCGATGCGAATGATAGCTGTAATGGTGAGTTTTCGTCCGATCTTTATTTCTGATTATGGGGATGTTTGCTAACGCGAAATAGCTATCAAACGCGCGCTTGAAGAGCAGAAGTGAGATAGATAGTTCTAAGTACCATGGTGAATTTCTCCTCTGATCTAACAAGCGGACTTTTCGTTTCTTTTTGAGTATGCAGCTTGTGAGCATGTGTAGATACATGACTTTGGCATGCATTTGCAAGTGGGGCTTTGTATCTATCTAGATTTCAGGCATTCGATGCGAATAGGAATAGATTGCCCCTTTCTGCTCGATTCAAAGTCAGCTACCGTTCTAACACTTCATCCGCGCCCCCTTGTCCCATGCAAGGGAACTACTGGGTTTGCTACCTACCTTTCGGAATCGGAATCGGAATTGGGGGAATCGACAAGTGAATAAGTATGCGAGTCCGCGGGGGTGGATGGGCATCTTAGACGGAGGATTGCAGTGGACTAGAGACGTGAAGTCCTTTTTTTATTCTCTTGAAATGCTGGCTAATTCTTCAGTCCTGTGGCCGGTACCTTGATTCTTGCTCCATATCTTTCTTCGGCGTAGATTATTAGCTTCTCAGACCATCGGCTGCATCCAACAGTCAGTCCTCATCTCCATAAGTCGCGAAACAACGAACGAGCACAGCAATCAAGCAAGCAAGCAATCAATCCAGAAAAAAGTATAGTAACAAATGCATCATCGATTCGATTCAACCAATCCCATCCACCCAGGAGAGAAGCTATATACAAATCTCTCCTTCCCCCTTCCCCATGCATCGACTCAAAGGAAAGAAAAAAGCGACCGTAACTTCACTTCACCATCTTTCCGGCCCTCCTAGTTCCCGATATCCAGCTCCGTGCTCGGCTTGCCAATGCCAATCGTGTCATCGCCCGACGATCCACTTCTACAACCCAGGGAATTAGTCTCTGTCTGTCGGATGCAAGCAAGCTTTATCGGTCATGGAGGTCGAGATCTAGACGCCAATCTGTCCCTTGTCCCTTTTTGCAAACTCAGAAAAGTCGAACAAGAGCGACAGCGATTGATAACGTTGGGCGAAACAGAAGGGTAGGAGTTGGGGAAGTAATCGAGAGAGCAAGAAAAAGAGAAGACTTACCCAGGCGTGCACGGCCTCCAAGCAACATGCAGCTGCTGAGTAAAAGCCACAGTCGCATCGTCGTTGGACAGCTCGCCCGCGGCCGACGAGTTCGTCGACGTCAGCGAGAGGCGGTTGTTGATGTTGAGGATGCCGGTGGTGCCGCACGGCGACCAGATGACGGCCGTCGTCTCGACGTTGTCTTGCTTGGTGTAGACCTGGCCCATGTCGAGGGGCGGGCCGCCGTTGGCGGTCATGCGGGTCGTGGACTATTGCGTGTTAGGTCCTCACATGATGCTATTGTATGGGATAGAGGAGGATGGAGGGGCAGCTTACAGTCTTGCCAGCATCCTGGGAGAAGAAGTACGTCGTGATGAAAGTGCCGGTGACGCCCTTATCCAGGCGCGCCCAGCCGTGGTAGGTCGCGTCGACGACGGCGTACTGGAAGCCGCCCGGGTACTTGAGGTTGAGGTGCAGCTGGCAGTTCTTGGAGTGGTCGGCGGGCTTGGTGCCCGGGCCGATGTAGGTCTGGAACTGGTCGAAGCCGTAGGTGATGACCTCGGGGTAATTGTCAATATATATTATGCCGCGACATTTGTGCTTGGGGAGGTCATGGAGTTGCTGACGCCGCTCTCAGCAGGCAGAGCAATTGGGGGACATGTGGTGTGGAGAGGAACGAAGAGCAGCTTACGGTCTTGTCCGGCGACGTGCTGGTCGAGACGGAGCCTTGCGGACAGCCGTTGCCCGAGTAGGAGCTGTCGAGGATGGTGATCTGGGACGGGTCTGGGGCGGTGCCGGACTGGGGCACGGGGGTCGCGACAGCGAGGAGGGGGAGGAGGAAAGCGGCGATCTTGGAATGCATTTTGGTTTCAGGGAAAGAGCAATGGATGCGCTGGGATGGGTATCTGGATGCGAGCCTGTGAGAGGAATTGAACGCTGACGATCTGTGATGATCCTGACCGAGGGGAGGGAGACACGCGCCTTTATACCTGAAGCCAACCGCATATTTCAAATGTCTCGATGACACTACTACTCGCCCCGGATCCAGACAATCCAAAGCCAGCCCGGATCCTTCGTCGCCTAGCCTCTCGTCGTTGCCCATCTGGCCACTTCGCACCTCTCGTGCGTCGCCCATGACACCGCTTCAACCATCGCGAACACCGCAATTCGGCTAGGCCGCAGTTATTCTTAGACCACATATAGGTGCTCGGTATTAAAAGGCCATGGTCGTCTGGGACCTGGGTTACCTTCGGCTGCTCTTTGTGTAGGGCCGCAGACGATGTATATTGCGACGTATGATCTAGCTGGCGATGTTGATGAGCGCCAGGCGAGGCACAAGATGGCGAATACGAGGCCAGGACCACAGAATAGAAAGCTACGTGTAAGAGCAACCGTTACGGCCGGTGATCGCCGCATAGGACGAGAGGGGCGCCACAGGGGTTCCAAGAGCAGCGGGAAGAGACTTAGAGTAGGAATACGAAAAGCTTCGATGGAAGGTTAATTGAAACGTACCTGCAAGAGCCTCGCATTAGCCTTGTCGTTGACAGCTGCATTCCAAAAATAACACCTCGTTAGGGGAAAAATATATGACGGTACCGGAACGAAATATATGAAGTCAGGTGACGGGTGGCGACCGAGTGGATACCGTGCCGTGTGAGGCAGACATACCGCCTTGGGAGAATCCGACATCCGGGGAATCTGTGCTTACAGAACAGGTCTCGACCTGCATTGCTGTAATTTATGCGATAATTTTGTCGCTTGGCAACAACCGGCTATATGGATCTCGACGAACGCGGGCTCGCCGTTTTCCGACGATGGCGAGCCGCAGGGATCGGCCAGACCACGTATTGCCGCCTGCGCTTATTTCGAGGGAAAGCCGGAGGAGTATAAAGTGACCACAGCTTCTGCTAAACGACTTTGTTCTTCAATTTGTGACCAAATGAAAGTACATTAACTCGACCGTGACTGCACTGCGACTCCGCCTCAGACCTGGGCCCCGAAGACACCTCCAATCTGGGTAATCCTCAATACGGTCTCGATGTGCTCCAAGTTCAGGGCGGTGCATTGCCCATTGGCCAGCAATTGCGCTGCTTTGATCGCGTTCTTAATTTCTCGCCCGTTCATCTTCTTCTGCGCGAGCAATTGAACATCGGCCTCGTCGAGACCGACGCTCGAGGGAGGCAAGAAGTCGATCAGATTGTGCCAGACGCAGAGCCGGGCTTGCTCGTCAAGTTCGGGATACGAGATCTTGAGATGGATCCGGGACTCTAAGGCCTTGTCCAAAACCGAGACGCGGTTAGTGGTCAAGAACAGGACACCGCGATAATATTCCAGCATGCGAAGGAAGACTTCATCGTGTCAGTACACAGCAAATCGGGCGGTCAGTTGTGAAGCATACTAGACACGAGCTTGTTTCTCTCAAGCCCGTCAATAGTGCGTTGCTCAAGGAATACCTCAGTCTCATCGAGCAGCAGGATAGCTCGCCACTTGGTTGTCATTTCCAGAATATCGCCTAGGGAATGCTCCACCTCCGCGGAGTCGACGCCAAGTTGGGCGGCAGACATGGAGTAGAGCGGAACCTGCATGTGTTCGGCGACTATATTTAGAATTTCGGTCAGATACAATATCTGTCCCACTAGGAGGGAAAGATTGCCCACCTGACTCCGCTGTTAATGTCTTTCCTACGCCGGGTTCGCCATTGAGGAGCATTACGATGCCTTGGCCTACATGCACGTGAGTCTTCACCTCAAGCAGTATCAGAATGCTACGGGCTTGAAGAACACGAAGCGTATACATGCACCAATAGGCCCTGAAGCCCTTCGGGATGTACAATCGCGGTTCGCCGTTCTTCAATATAGGGCGTCGCTCCAGATCGTTTGGCTGTGTACGTACCTTTCCCCTCAATAACATCATCCAGAAGGCCCTCCGCATTCGTCTGATTTTGAGTGAAGGACAGTATCAGCTCCTTGTAGCCCGGAGGGAGAACGAGGTTATCGAACGCACGGTCGTCCCAGATGATGTCTTGGACGCTGTCGACTTTGAACTTGGCTGTAAATGGTCAGTGATGTAGATCAGACCGCATAGGCTGTTCTAATGATAGCATAGCGTATCCCGGCGTGTACGATGGACCCGTTGCAATCGCCAACTGTCCTATTACCTTGCATGCGAAATGATTGTGGACGTACCCCAGTTCTTGGTCTTCAACGAGTACCCCTTGATGACCGGAGCGCAAAGGGGGTACAAGTCATCCGAGAGTACCTTCGCTTCGGTATACGTTAGCATGGGCGTCTTATAATGACAGGCTTAGGGTTCGCTTACGTTCCATAGGCTGCCGCAGGACACCAGGTACAGGAGGCATGGGCATGGGTGGAAGTGGCGGGTTCATGTACATCCCTGTGCATGTCTGCATCGGCGGCAGCGGGGGCGGAGAGGCTCCGTATGGGGGGGCGGCCCCCGGCACATGAGTAGGCTCGACTTCTGCAGGTACTTTTGGGGCGAACGAGGTTGACCCGAGAGGCTATGAAGTTTATGATATACATTAGCAGGTGTTTTAGAACTCAGCAGAGAGAAGCTGGTACTTAGCACGTCTTAGTCTGCACTCGATCTACTGAAGGCCTTCAGGAGCGGCTTTCCCGGGCAAGAACTAAGGCATGCTGGTACGTGTACCGAGATAGACGTACCTCGAGAGGAAGGAGCCCACCGGAGTTGAATCGGTTGTACATTTCCGCATCGACGATAATTCGACTCTCCAGCTGACAGGGGAATTAGCATCGCTGATATTGGCTAGGAAAAAACACGAGCCTGACCTTTCGGTTGCGAATAGGAACGTTGCGTCTTCCGAAGCTTGCCGGTACCAGTTCCGCGAAGCCTCTGTACATCTTGTAGTGGTAGCCCTGAAGCTTCTCAAACTTCCTCCCCCTGGCCGCAAGTCTGCTCTCTATGGCGGCTGCTTCGCTGTTGAACTGAATAGGATATGCGTCCAGGTCGGTGATGGCTTTAGTGCCTTCGAACTCGCCGATGGAGAAGTTGTAGGAGCCATATCCGAAGGAGTACCCATCCCAGTCGACGTACTTGGAGTACAGGGAGAGACCATTGGGCTCAACCTCCGTCCTTTGGAGCTTCATGATCATCTCCTCGTCCTTCATTTGGCACAGAAGGAGATCGCCGGGCTTGAACAACGTCCAGAGGTACTTGTAGGTGATGACACCATGACTCAGAAGGTCGTGGTAGGTGGTGATGGTCTCATCCAGCTCCTTCTCGAGAACGTCATACAGTAACTTCGCGTGAACCCGCGTCATCTCGTCTTCCACCTCTTCGACCGCTTTCTTGAAACGACTCCAGCGATAGAAGAACGGCTCAAAGGGTGTTGTAAAGGTGACCTTCTTCAGCGTCGCCGTGATGCCGTCATATCCTTCGAAGACCTCTTCTAAAAGTGGCTTGAGGAGCGGGCTCTGTACAACAATGGAACTGACCACCATAGCCTTGGAGTTCGAGCCGTGGTACTTCCGGTTACGGACTATGAGTGCGAACTTCTGAACTGCTTCGGTCTCCTCCGGGTTAGGCCGGACATCTTCAGGGTATTCCTCGACCCCTGTGGCGGCGGTACGATTAGCAGATTGCTAACATTCGTGCCGTGAGCTTGGCTTACAGTTGACACAGCACATGCACTTCCTCTTTCCTTCCCACAGATTCTTTATGTCGGAGGTCATGCCTAAGCTTGGCAGCTCATCCTTGGTGTCCTTCCCCACCAATGGAAGGTCCGTCATCTTGTTGAGGCTTGACCCATTCGCCTCAGACGACGAGCTGGATATGCTCTTGACGTCAAAGTCCCTAGATTCATTTGTGACGTCCATGTTGCTGATATCGCAAGCGCAGTTAGGATGCTGGCAAGGCAGGCAAGGCAGGCCTCAACTCTTTATCAAGACATGCCATGCTAGGCAGCGACTGCTCGTGAGATTCCGGTGAGCTATGCGTTTTATCATTGGCGGGGTCCCTATCAGGCAGGCCGATGGGTCGCACAAGAGTGCAGGCAGGATTTGATTGGGGCCGCTTAGCTGCGAGGCAGCTGTGAGCGGCCGCTTCGTGCGGGGTGCATCTCAACGGGCTGAGCAACACGTGAGGCGATAGAAGTTTCACTGCGACATCAGGTCTGGAAAGATGAGCGTTGAGTTGAGATGCCGTTGATAAGAGCGAACGCAAGCCTCGGGCAGGATCTGGTCCGTCAAGTTCGCATTGGGATTAGCGCGTTTTGCGGGACCGCCTCGAAGCCTCACTTCTCTCTCCTCTAATGTCCGGAACGGTCAAAAGTAAATCATTCCACACTGGCATATTTAACAGCTTATCGAATTTTTCAGGGTCTAAAACCCGTCGGGACCGAGCATACTGATCTGCTGTTCCGCAGGCTATCATATCTTTTTGAATCGTCTGATCCTCTGTGTCTCCTTGGTGGACTTAGGGAGACATGAACCGATGGTAAGAGGCCAGATGTATGTATGTATGATGAGTGAACTTGCAAAGCAGAGGCAATCTAGTGAGATGGGATGGCAGGAAGGAAGCCTAAGCTCTCCTCTACTCGTCTGCGATGCCAGATGCCACCCATTTCGTGGATTCATAGTCTGTCCCATGCCCTTCCGCGTTCCTCGGAGATAAGCATTCCATCCCTTCCTTGCCGATACTTTCGCGGGCATTTGGGCGCTGCTGGTCTACTGTTCCCTTCCCGAAAGCCTTCAGGCACGCATAATCGCTGCTACTATACCTTTGCTCCTGTGCTAAGCTCACGCATGATGGGAGGATCCAGCGGCCCGTACATGCCGCGGAGCGTCGGGCGTGCTGACATTGAACTGATCGGTGAAGAGCGCTCGGCACCAGTGTTTACAAGTGTTGCCGGCAGCTTCACCCGTCGATTGGTATCTAGAGCGGGTAAGCAATCATGTTATAATGGCGCTTTGAACCTACGGGGCTGGCGTGAGACCCAGAAAGAGATAGTCAATATGCTATCGACATGCAGCTTGCGTTTCTGTTCCTGCAGCTGCAGATGCAGATGCAGATGCGAGAGACCCACTCAATGGACTTCGTCGAAGGCTCCAAGTCAGAAGAAGAACCACGGATCAATGGACGGGCAGGAGCCAATGGATTGCTCAAAGTAGGCCGGAATAGAGGAATTGGCAGCCAATCAGCGGAGCCGGTGTTTGATATAGAGTGTTATGCTTACCTATGGCAGGCATACGACATATGACGTGCGCGGAAGTACGGGGCGCAGATGCAGCCTTCCACTTGGGCTGACATGTTCAGATCCGCATGTGAAATATAGACGGGGATGCGATTGCGGATGATATGCAGGTACGCCGTTGTGGATGTCGTGTCGGGCTACATATGCGGCCTCGTCTCCGATCCGCCGATGAAATCGCTACATGTATATCAGCAAATCTTATAGATATGGAAACTCCTGAAGAAATATTGAAATCGGATCATCATCGGACGCGCCATAGAATCTATGCTCAGATACCCTCATGTTCGCTTATAAATGCCGAGCTAACGATCCCCGAACGATCCCCCATGCCTTCCCTGCAGCCCATCGTACAGTTGATGAACAACACACCATGATCCAAGCATTAGACTAATCGTACACAGCGCCACCCCTAACAAAAACCGAAAATTTTTTGTTCATCGCGACCTGCGCCGCGTCTGGATGGTCCTCAACACCTCCAGCCATCCGCCATCATCTTCATTATCTTCGTCTTCTGTACAAGAGACACAAAATAATCAGGGAACCGAAACTCAGACGGGTTTAATATGTCGCCACCATGTACTTACCGTTGTATGCTGCCAGATTGGGAGTTGGGCCGCTTCCTTGGACGACGATTGGGTTGCTATCGACAATTTGCACTGCAGCTCCTCCAGTCACAGAGGCCACAGGAGGGTCGGAGCTCGAGCCCCTAACCCGTAGCAAAGTGATGCGTATCCGATAGGTGCCGGCCTGGCGGATGCTGAGGTCGGAGAAGCGCATGTAGCCGACCCCGCGGGGGTCGTCGAGCTCCATGGAGGCGATGGAGCCATCCGCTTCGTCGTCGGAGAAGGGATGAATGGAATCGAAACGTCGGCCGGCGAGCAGTCCATTGAGGACCGCAGGATCAGTTGAGCCTGTCGAATTCGGGCCAGGGACCAGCGTGGCAACGGCGACAAGGTTGCTGGAATCAGCGATGGCGTCCTCGGGATTGGCATTGGTCGTCCGTAAACGGACAATAATGGTGCCGTTTAAGGAATAGCCGGCACGGGCGCTGGGAGGCGGTTGGACGATGATGTCCATGGCGTATCTGATGTCTTCTGGTGACACGGAATGCCGACCAGACCTGGAGCGGCGGCTGTTTCCAGAGTGGTGTGTTCTGCGAGCCGAGCCTCTTCCTAGCGCCCGTGGCCTTGCAACGTCAGCCATCGAGGTGCTTGCGGATGGTTCGGGATGGCCGTTGACTTCGCCGTTGACTTCGCCGTTGAGTAGCTCTGCGATTCGGGCCGATCGTCTTACTGACGCGCGGCTGGTGGTCCGGGAGATGGTGTTGCGGGAACTGGGTCTGATTCCTCTCCTCGAAGTGCTCCGGGCAGGGTTTGGATTTCTACCTCGTCCTCGTCCACGGCCCCTTTGCATCTGCCGAAGGATAAACCTATACGCGCTTAGTACAGTTACAGTGGAGCGTGCCGGGCAATGCTCAGCTTCAGCTGTTATGCCGCGCGGAAGAAATGAAGAGGAAACGAGAGGAATAGGCAAAAAGAGGGAGGAACGGGAAGACTGGCGAGCCCAAGAGGGACGGAGGGCTGCCAATGTATACTCAGGCCATGGGGACTGAGATTGGCGGAGTGTTGGATGCAGAGATATAGGAAATGAAGCTCAAGCCACGAGTCAGGCCCTCCCATCATATCTCTGTCGAGGCTGATATGCTATTGCCCGCCGGTGACGTCTATACGGGCCGCTACCGGAGTTGAGTCGGGCGCGTTGGGGCCGCTTTCCCAGGCCCTTTAATCTTATCAGGGCGTCTTTGCTGTGAGGATGTTGGGCAGGCCATATGGGCGCGGATATGGGAGGTGAGGTGAGGTCGAGAAAGCGTGTGCTAGGCCCCGGCCCGCCCCACAGGACGGCACGGGCTGCGACGCGCGCATCATGGCAGGGGAGCGTGATGGGGCCGTGATTGGAGCGCCATCAATGCGGCGACTTAGGCTAAAGACGGCGGGCTTCCGCATGCGCGGCGTCGAGCAAGAGAGCGAGGGAAAGGCTGACGACATAGTGGGGAGCAGATAAGACGGTAGGGCGGCGGGCAGGCTGGGATGGAGCAGGTGGTGTTGCAGCGCGGGCATTGACGAGCCCCTGCGCGCGAATGCATCATGGCAACCCGGCGCGCCATGTGGGCGGCAGGGATGCGCGCAAAGAGCGAAGCGAAATTGGGAGCCCTCACCTTCGTCACCTGTTGCACCGCGCGCGCGCTTCGTACTGTGGTGGACAGCGACAGGCTCGCGGGGTGCGTGCTGTTTCCGAGCGCTCGGAATGGACCCTTCGGACGCGCCGCTGCGGTGGCCGGTCGGAGCAGTCGGAGCAGTCGGAACGCTCACCGCAGGCGTCGGCGACGACAACGGACCGGTGCTTGGAGGTCCTCGGGCTCCTCGATGCGGCGACGAGATGTTCCGGGCGGCGCGCGCTCTTCGGGTCTAGACGGCGCCGGCGCGGGCAGAGCTGCTTGACGTCCTACACTACCATCGGTATATTAGCCATGCTTTCCCCTCGACCCCAAGCCCGCCCGCCAGCGGCCACCTTCGCCACGGCCCAGCAGCATGACGCCTGAGGACGCTTCCGACGACAGAGGCCCGCCGCTGGCCTCACACGCCCGTCCTGGAGGGCCGAGCTCGTCCGACGAGCCCTTCCTGGACGGGCCAGTGTCGCCGTGAGGGCACCCTCCGCTCCCGGATGGACTTACAGCTCGCGGCCCACGCTTCGGAATCTCCTTGCACCGTTGGCGATGAGGATGGATGGCTCCGTGTCTCAGTCGAGCAGAGTGCCAGGCTGCAGAGTGCTTCATGCAGTCGCGATGCCCTCCGTCGAGACGGCCCTCCGCCCATTTATACGCTCGCCGGTGGGCGTGCCTTCCATCGCCTGGCCCGCTCTTGCCTCTCCTGGCGGCGGTTGCAGCTGCTCTCCAGGGCGTCCCGCCTTCCCACTATTGGGCTCGACATCCTCTTCCTGAATCCGACTGCGCTGCCGCCTGCTTTTCTCCCTTCTGGCACCTCATGTGAATCAGATGGCGGCCCTGATGCCTGCCTGCCCTAGTCGTGCTGCGCCGCCCGCGAGGGTTGGAGTAAGCAAAAACGCAGCCTCATCTATGGTGGCGCGCTTAGCCCTGCATCCCCCAACCAAAAACGCCCGCCCATCTGTCTCGTGGCTGCTGCGAGATTGCCGATCGGACGGACGACGACATATCTGGTCTGTGACCGCCTACCGCCTTGGGACGCTCCTCCGCCTCATGACCACGATAAATGCCACCAATACCGGTCGAAAGGCCTCGTGTTCCCGCGGACCATGTCTGTACACCCTCTGAGGCTCCCAATGGAACGCCGTCTCATTGGTTTCGAAAAGCAAAATGACCTGCGACAAAAAGCACAAACACACATCCCTCATCCATGCTTCAGACCGCCCTGTGGCTGGCCAGTGCCTTCACAATGTCCGCCCGTAGCCACTGGCCCCAGTAGCGACTCTACTTCACCAGAATCGCGGCGACCGAACTTCTCCGCAACCCCATCTTCCCTGCTCAACGTGCATGTCAGCACAGACTAGCGGCCCGACCCAAGGCTGACGGACGGCTTCTTGCATAGCGTGCGTATAGAAAGCAACGTGCGAGCTGGAAACCGGGATCTCTACTCAGCAAGCGCCGAGCGTCGGACGACGTTGCGGATCGAGAAAACGTCCCTAAGGCGTCAGATCTCCCAGTGTTACTTTTACTTGGCGGAGTGCCGTGACGGCCGATTCGACGATTGCTTCAGCCCTTGTGAGTGTTCCATGCGTTTCTGCCTGGTGAGGCGCTGTCACACTTGTGTCATTATTCTTCGAACCTCAGCCCTGAAGTTCCATGTGGAATGGGCTCGAGAAAAGCTAGACGACGACCCAATTGTACCGCGCTTCTATTAACAAGTCGTTGCTTAAGTCGATCCTTGCTTCTGTTGAAAGCGAGGCATCCTGCCCAATAAAGACATCCGTACCCCTGCTCTGGAAAGCCACTCCAGGAGACCTTCAGGAGGTTAAGATCCGGACGTGGCTGCTCGACAGGCGTCTCTTCTGCGCTCTCAGCTCGAGGCGCTGATTCAGTCGACACAAGACGGACGCGTACCAACCCTGCTCAGCCCCATTTTTCCAAGCACGTCAACCGTTTTGGCAATGTCAGATCTCGTATGATCGAGCCGTCGAGTACAGATCACAGCGCATATGCAACCGTGCTTTTGCGGATGCGGAGCACACGCAGCCGATAACCGAGTTACTGGGACCAACCACGAATCTCCGAGCATCTGGGTCCTTCTACCCCTTCTCTTGCGTCGTCATGGAGGAGCGGGATCATGCATTCATATTGCAGAGGATGCTGCTTGCATCCACCTGCTCCACTTCGTCTGACCTTCATCATTCTTTATCAGTCTTTACCTGCAGATGGAGGACTTTCAACCATGGCCTAGATTTTTCGCCACCCGCACGTTCATGTATCTCCGGCTGGATTTGCGCCGGAAATGGCAGTGTGCAGGCATTGAGGATGATAATGCTCCGCGGCTCCGCGCTGACCGGTGAGGGAATGGGCATGGCCACCCTGCGCAGAGGGAAAACTCTGGCAGCGCTAAGAGAACACTCTGTCATGACCCTTAGACTGACTCTTCGCAGCCTCGACGTTATTGATTTCCCAAACAGAGCATCCGCCCACGGGTCCTGTCTGGCGACCGAGGCGACAGCTTCTGAAGATCCGCCGCCTCTTAGATCAGTATCTCGTTTCGATGTTCATATTTCTCCTTGGCCGGTTCCTCCATACTCGTCAATCAAAGCTTTTATCTGCTTTCAGAGGCCAGGTTTCAGATTCGAGTACAAGACATGCGCCGCGACCGCGTCACTTCCAGATCCGGGATTTTCGGCTATTGCATCCATGGCATCGGAAAACGCCGAATGTTACCAACAGGGCGAACTTGTCTCAGAAGAACTATTAATGGGCGTCTTGCGCTCTTCTGCGATAGCTGTGAACCGTGGGACAAACAGCTGTTCGTGGTCGAGCACGCTTCCAGCGTCTCTGGGCCTTCCAATACCATGGTATGCTCTTCCACCGCCAGCACATGACCGCCTTTTCGTCCTGAGTGGGCTCCACCTGGCGGCCGACTACCAATAGGGCTTTGAAGCCCTTCATCAAAACGCATCCGGATTCGCTATCCTGCGACCATCGATATCACTTTCACCGGTGCCAAATTCGGGTTCGATCAGTAACATCCTCGGCACAGCTATATCTAGACGTCCTTGCCAGCTAGGCTCGTACAAGAAATATTCGCAGCACCGATACCGCAGATTGGCGCCCTGGCAACCGGGTTATAGGTACACGATGGCGCTCGCACCGCGTCTGCCACAGCTTACCTATCATCCATAGAGCCCCACGTTCATTAAGCCTACGAAGGCTTTCAGGGCAACCTACGGGAAGCCGTCTCGGGATTATTCGGCATCCTCAGAAGCTCTCTCCTTTCTTTACTTCAAGCCTGCCTATTCCATATGCCGTAGACACACCGCTTGCGTCTTAAGCAATCACCCTCAGTCTCCGGGTGACCGGTAGCTGGCCTATTACCAACGTTCTTGGAGAGAGGGGGCCATCCATTGGAATGCTCAACTAATCAAGAGAACGAACACAAGCTCAGGCCATGTTGCCTACGCCGTCAAAACTCAGCGGACAGCTTACAGTCAACCAATGAGGATAACAATTTCCCATTGGTTGAGGATAACAATTTCCTGCAGCCTCATTGCCTCACTGCTCGGAAAATAATGCACCATTCACAAAGCCGTGAATTCCAGATATTCGGGACGACATTTATACTAACTTCCGATTCCGCGGGCGCAGAGCCGCGCATGACGTCACCGTAAGAGGTGGAGGCCACCTGGGACAATTTCTTTATCTTATCCTACACAGTACCAGCGTTACAAAACCTCGCCGGTCTTGCATGTGTACAATCGATATTGTCTTTTCTGCGTAGTTCTACAATAAGTATACCATTCAGTCCGCCGCATAGCCATGACGTAGCTCGTGTTCGAGCAGAGCTTATCAATGACTCACACGTTCTGGATATTGGACAGTAGTATCAGTTGAGGCTTTCCAACGTGCGCATACCTAGTATTTAGCTGGATCGCCTACTGGAGCTGGTAGTGCACGGAGCATAGCGGGAGGAAACTGGGATCGATAAGGAAGCATTAGTGCGATTTTCCGTGGGGTATGGACAGCGATTAGCCCAAGCCATGCCATCATTACCGCACTCGGAGACCAAGCCCTGGAACAGCAAGCACGCGAGCCCCGCAATAAATCTGCTCAAAGCTTGCAGAAAAACAGCGTTGACTTCTCGTGGATCCATGCTTCGAACTGGCGACTGGTCATCTTCTCTTCCATACGCCGCAATCCAGCCTGCCGATACCCCGACGAGCAACCCAACGAGCACCCCGATTTCACTTCAACCGAGCGCACGCGCCCGCTCTTATGTCGTGAAAACGTTCTGCAAACGCCAGGAACCATCCTTTCATGGTTTCACCCGTGCGACGGGTAGCATGGGCCAAACAGAAACTTGGAAGCTTTAGGAAGGAGCCACAACCACGTCGCCACTTCCTCGCCAACGCCCCACCTTCGATGAAATGTCTCGCCGCTGGTTCCGTCGCGAAGTCTTCCGCCTCCTCATTCTTTTCGCTGTCATCACCAGTATAGCATGGCTGTGGCTGTGGGATCCGCATGCCCAGCGGCCGCGGCCGATTGTGTACCCATTCGATGACGAGCGTCCGAAAGCGCAGCCGCATCCCATTGACCGACTCATAAGCAGTGCGCAACGGACGTTCGATGAGCTGATAGCGAAGAGGACTACGGATTTACAGGCCACCGCCAAGGCATACCGCCAGCGGCGGGGACGGCATCCGCCCCCCGGCTTCGAGGCGTGGTTTGCGTTTGCGAAAGACAATGACGCTCTCATTGTAGAGGACTTCTTCGACCAGATATATCACGACTTGAATCCCTTCTGGGGCATCCCCGCGAATCAAACCAGACAGCAGGCCAGGCTAGTGCCCGAGAAGGAGAAGATCACTGTCAGGAATGGCACTGTGCAGAACGAGAAGATCGAGAGAGAGTGGATGGAGCATTGGGTCGGCATGATCAAGGGGATCCAGCATCATTTGCCTGACGTCGATATACCGATCAACCTTATGGATGAGCCGCGTGTAATGGTTCCTTGGGAGGATGTCAATCGCTACGTACAGGTGGAGCGGGATTCGCGACAGGTGCTGCCGGTGGAAGAAGTAGTGGGAAGCGTGTCGGCCTTCGAAGCGGACGTGGATCTAGATGAGTCGGCCAAGATTCAATTTGGCTCGTCCAAATGGTACTGGGACGCTGCGCGGCTTTCATGCGCGCCGGACACACCATCTCGAGAGGTCCTTGCAGCTACTAACTTCACAGGCCCACCTCCGCCCCCCGATCTCTTCCCGTTGTTCTCCTTCGAAGGTTATGTGTCCAATTGGACGGCCGCCAAGGACCCATGTCTCCAACCAGAGCTTCGAGAGTCACACGGCAGTTTCGTGGAGCCGATTTCTAAGTCAACTACCCAAGCACTCGTTCCTTATTTTGGGGGCAGTAAGCTGCCAATGGTAAGTAGGATGATTGAGACATTTCCAAACTGCCTCCGCTGCACTATCCCATGAAGTCCTTCAGTCCGGTTTTCCCATGCTCAACCCCCTCCCCGCATCCTCTGTCTTAAGTACGAGTTCGGCTAACGGGCTTCTTCTATAGAACAACGATATCCTGATCCCGGCAGCAATGTACTGGCCAGATGCTTCTCTCTACTCCAGCGGCAAAAAGCACGGCAGCGAGTGGGAGGACAAAGCTACCGCCGTAATCTGGCGAGGCGCCGCAACAGGCGGACGAAACAGAGAAGAGAACTGGACGCGCTTCCAGCGACACCGTTTCGTCTCCCTCGTAAACGGCACCCAGGTCCGACTAGCACAACAGAACCCCGACGCCGCTCAAGGACCTAATTTCATCCTCCAACCATACGAGACCTACCGTGGAACAGCGGCCCAGCAGGTTGACTTGGGCACATGGCTCGACCAAATCGCAGACGTGGGCTTCACTTATCTCGTATGTTTCCCGGCAACAGGTAATGCCTCCTGTCCGTACACCGATCCCTACTTTGAGATCAAGAACGAGATGTCCTTGGACGTGCAGTACGAATATAAATACCTCCCCGACCTTGACGGCAACTCCTTCAGCGGTCGCTACCTCGCCTTCCTACGCTCGACCTCGCTGCCCCTCAAAGCAACAATCTACTCCGAGTGGCACGACTCGCGTCTCATACCGTGGCTGCATTTCGTCCCCATGCATAACTCTTTCGTAGAGGTGTACGGTATTCTAGAGTATTTCATCGGGTTCAGCATGGGGGTCGAGACAGACGGTGGCCAAGTGGTGATGGAAGGAGGGCACGATGAGGAGGCAAGGAAGATTGCGATGCAGGGGAAGGAGTGGGCAGAGAAGGTGCTGAGGAAAGAGGATATGCTGGTTTATGTCTTAAGACTGTTGCTGGAGTATAGGAGGGTATGCGATGATGAGAGGGCGAGGCTAGGGTTCGTAGGGGACTTGGAGGGGAAAGAGTAGGTTCGAGTAAAGAACCTGATTATTTAGAATCATCCTGTTTGCATATTATCAACATCAGTCCCCTACCTGCGCTGGTCGCCAGTGGGGAAGCAATCGACCTACCGGTGGCTGCAAGGCTCTTTCCGTCCACTTACCAAGTTCTTCCGCCCATTTATCGCCCACAGCAATGGTCTCTCGATCAAGGTCCTCCATATCCTGGGCTCGCAAGCCACTGCCAACTTCTAGATCAACGTTCTCCAAAGCCATGCCACCACCACTATTACCACCGTCACCACCGTCACCCCCAGACTCTCTTCTCGACCACGAAGCTAGAATATTCCTGTAAGACTTCTCGAGCTCCTCGCAAAGACCGGCAACATCAGCAGCGCCGCCCCATCCTTCAACAACAACTTTACCCAACCCCCGACACAGTCCATCATCGCCCTCTCCAACCGACCAATCGGTGTCCTCATCTTTCCACGTATACAGCCCATCTCTAAACTTGATGGTCCAATCTTTGACCACTCCGTCATTCCTCTTCCCTACATGCAATTTAATACTGCACTCCACAATCAGATACCCACGCCTGACTTCAATCTTGAGCCTCAAGAAATACCATCGCAGCTTCGGCACCACGCTCGGCGGAACCGCGCGACCGCGCTTCCAGGTCATAAAGCCAACGGCCTCTGTCCCGTACGTGAAGTACTCCATGACGTGCCGATTGTTCTTGTAGTACGATGGCAGGCTTTCGGCGCGAGTGGTCTGGGAGACGCGCGTGATGGCCGGTTCCGACACCGGGAACTCCCTTCGAAGGTCGGATACTGCAGTCGCTGATGCATAGATGTGGTGTGTGATGTCGGGGGGTAGGGGGATGCGGGAGAGGCCCTTGGGGGCGGAGGAGTGTGCTCCTGCCATGATTGGTGTCCGCTTGGGTGGGGACGAGGTGCTATCTAAGGCGAGAGATGTGCTTGCACGGTAGATGTGTAGCAGTCAGTCGCGGTAGTGAAGAACACAGTCTTATCGATGGTGACCCGAATGCACTCTCTTCGGGACGACTGTGTTCGCGAGAGAGTAGCGGACGCCCAGCAAGGCTTAGCGCGAAACCTGCCCCGCCAAACTTTTTTTGGAGCTTGCTGTGCCCTTCGTTGACTCCCACTGCACGCCGCCCAACGTAACCTTCTTTTTCTCTCTGGATGCGACCCACTCTCCCTTCCGCCACACGCCGACTGTTCAATTCTCTTCCTGACCCTTTCGCGAGGCTGGTGCCTGCGACTCATCCTTGTTTGACTCACAAACGCGTTACAGCTGCGGCCAACGTCGATAAATCCCCGCGCGGAGTCACAGCTACACGAGCATATTCGCACATCCACACGCGACCCTTCCTCCGACTACGCGACAATATCCCGCGCCCGTATACGCACCTCTCCGCGCAACTCAACAGCCCGTTCACACCTACGCGCCCCTACTCGCAAATCGACGTCCGACCATTCAAACCCTTCGCAAGCATGGACACGGCCAGCACAGAGCAAGCCGTCACAATCGATGACATAGCGTCGAAACTGAAGAACGTCGGCCTGGACCGCGTGCCCGCGGAACCCAACACATACCCCGCCCTTAACCCTTTCGACCTCTACCGCAGCCACATCACCGAGCTCCTCTCCCAGGCCACCGGCATCGATAAGAAGATCATATATCCGACGCTGCAATGGACAGCCAAACCAGAGAATGGCGATCTGCAGCTCGCGGCGCCGGCGCTCCGCGTCAAGGGCAAGGATATGAAGGAGTTCGCGAAGGAGATTGCGGAGAAATTCCCTGAGTCGCCGCTGGTTCAAAAGCCCGTTGTCAGCGGGACCTTTGTTGGGTTTTTCTTCAAGGCGGCGCCATTGACGCAACTAGTGTTGCCAATGATCCTCAAAGCGGGTCCGAGCTATGGTTTCAATCCGAACTTTGGGTTGCGCGATCCCAGCGATCCGTCCAAGGGCAGGAAGAAGGCAATAGTCGAGTTTAGCTCGCCCAACATAGCAAAGCCCTTCCACGCTGGACACCTCCGTTCCACCATCATCGGCGGCTTCCTGGCGAACCTCTACGAAGGCGCGGGGTGGGACGTGATACGGATGAATTACCTAGGCGACTGGGGAAAGCAGTATGGAGTACTGGCAATAGGGTACGACCTTTATGGCTCCGAGGAAGAATTGCAGAAGAACCCAGTCGGTCACCTCTATGACGTCTACGTCAAGATCAGCAAACGCGCGGCAGAGGAGGCAGAATCGATCAAGGCGAAGAAGGAAGAGATTGCTCAGCTAAAGGAGAAGGACGAAGACACCACCGCGCTCGAACAGGAGGTCAGGCATCTGGAAACCGAGGGCGTCGACGAGCAGGCCAGGGGCTATTTCAAGAGGATGAGTGACGGTGAGCCCACCGCGCTGGCGATATGGAGGAGGTTCCGGGATATGTCGATAGAAAAGATGTCGCAGACCTACGCCCGTCTGAATATCCGGTATGACGTCTACTCCGGAGAGAGCCAAGTGAAAGACGAAAGCATGCAGAGGGCAGCCGAATTGATGGAAAAGAAACAAGTCTCAGAGCTCAGTGAAGGAAGCGTACGTATGCCCTCCTGCCCATACCGGGCCTATCTCCCTGCCTATTGAGCCATGGGAGTGGCCACAGTCTCAGGTGCAAAGTCCGCTTCTGTTTTCTTACTCCTTTGCGTCAAGACCTCCACTAATTCATATCGGCAGGTGATCATAGACTTCAGTAAAATCGGCGCTAAGAAGCTCGGTAAAGCGGTCGTGAAGAAACGTGATGGGACCTCTCTGTACGCCCAAATGCCCCAACACAAAGTCTACGCCTCTGCCGAAATGTGTGCTGTTATTGTTCAAATCGCCCTACAAGGGCCGTTTCGCAATCAGCAGGCACTTGCTGAGACATAGGCTTACCACTCCCCACCCCTTGAGAGCTACGCTGACTTTGTGTAGATACCTCACGCGCGACATCGGCGCCGTGTTCGAGCGTCACGAGGCGTATGCCTTCGATAAGATGATATATGTGGTCGCCTCCCAGTAAGTCTAGCTGTGAAAGACATGGTCCCATACTAACCTCGCATGCAGGCAGGACCTCCATCTTGCGCAGCTTTTCAAGATCATTGACGCCGTTGGATATAAGGATATTGCCTCGAAACTCCAGTAAGTAGGCTGGGGTATAAACCGCATGTGTTGCGTCAAAGTACCTATTTCGTAGGTTCTAGATTGAGACATGGCGGCTCCCAAACTCCACGCTTCCGACTTGACGAGCTTCTCTGACTTTGTATGCAGGCACATCAACTTTGGGATGGTCATGGTCAGCAAAATCCGGATCTCCACGTCAGACGTGCTAATCATATCGTATCAGGGGATGAGTACGCGAAAGGGGACTGCAAAGTAGGCCACCCCCTTGTCTCCTATCCAAACACGTGCTAATCTTGCATTAGGTTCTTAAACGACATCTTGGAAGAGGTTGGGGCAAAGATGCACGAGGTGATGAGGGGAAACGCAGCGAAATATGAGCAGGTCCGTCAATTTCTTCGGGGTGTCTGTTATCCGGCTTCGGGTCGGGCCGGGCATCCCAGCCCCAAAGCAATCTCCCCTGACACTGCAGCAGGTCGAAGAACCAGACAAAACCGCAGATGTACTTGGAATTTCCGCCGTCATGGTTCAAGATATGAGGGGAAAGCGGATAAGTATGATGCCTTATAGTTTTGTCAACATGTTAATTTTTACTAACGTTTCAGACAACTACCACTTCGATATGGACAGAATGACGAGTTTTGAAGGCGACACAGGGCAAGTCTCTCCCACTATTCTTCCGTTATCCTTTACTAATGTGAAGGCAGGCCCTACCTGCAATATGCCCACGCGAGGCTCTGCTCAATCTACCGAAAAGCGGTCGCCGCCGTGCCGGATGTCGCCGACGTCGACCTCCAGGCTGCAGATCTCTCGCTGTTGCAAGAGCCACACGCCGTGGATCTCGTCCGCCAACTTGCTAGTTGGCCTGATGTCTTCATCAACACGGTCAAGACTCTGGAACCCGCTACAGTGCTTACATATCTATTCCGAATGTCGCATGCTGTAAGCTCCTCATATGACCATTTGCAGGTTGTCGGTTCCGAGAGGGAGGTCATGCTTGCGAGGTAAGTTTAGGAGGATTTTTAAGTGTCGCAGTGTCTAATTTACGCCACAGGCTCGCACTGTACACCTGTGCTCGTCAAGTCCTAAACAATGGCATGCGCCTCCTTGGGCTGAGCCCGGTCGAAAGGATGTAGTGTTGCAGCGCCGTTTCCATTAAGGTCTTGGATCCGGGTCCAAAGAGGTGACGATCATCCCACCATTATCATCTAGCATTGTGGTAATAGCCATTGGCGTTCAAAAACGATAGAGATGGGTATACGATATGGACGGTGTTAGCTTTGCGCAGTATGATAGTGTTGGCAGAAAAGCGGGGCCTGTCTTGTGGCTTCGGGATTGCATTTCTCGGATTGCTGCCGTCGGAAACAGATACCAGGAAGAACGAGGGGAATGGAATGCACAAGTTTCGAATATCCGGATGCAACTCGACTGGTGCGATCTGGGTCCTGTGTCTCCTTCGTCACCTAGGAAAAGTACCTGCTTAAGCCTCCCTGTATCCCCCTTACGAACTCTCAAACTCCCTAACAATCAACCTCCTTTGCCGTGCCCGTCGACTCTGCGTGCGGATTCTGCCCCGTCACACGTGCGTGGAAGTCGTCCCCATAGCCGGGCGAACGTACATCTTAACTCGTCGTTACCATCTGTACCCTTCTTTCCTTCTCTGCTTGACTAGTGCAAGGACGAAAGTGCTAGGGGGAAAGTCCTGCGTAATGCCAGCGACGTGGAGAATGTAAATGTTGATTACCAGGGCGGACGTTAGTTCTCCGAAGAAAGAACAGCAAAGAAAGTCCAGTAGGACGGACACCACGGGAAAAAAAATGCGAGGAAGAGTAGACTAGACTGGAGAACGAGGTAAATTGCCCGAAGAGAATTACGTGAGACGAAGACGCGATTACTATCCCCCAACCAGCCCAAGCCCATGCGGCCAGCCAACACCAGAAAATGCTACGCTACCCTTTTTACCTACCGAAACAAACCTAACCAAACCAAACCCAGTGCGCACCCAGCCATCCATCCCAAGGACGAACAATTTACAATTTGTCCAGCCTGATATGCTCAAACCGCATGTTGCCGTCCTTCTCGAAGCCAGACGTCATAACCTCCGCCTCCACCGACTCGAGGTCGACATGCGCGACTTCCGCCTCGTCGCCGTCGAAGATCTTGGCGACTTCTTCGAGCGTGGGGCCGCGCGTCTCGACGTAGGCGCAGCAGACGAAGATGAGCTCGAGGAAGATCCAGACCTGTGATGTGCGTTAGCATAAGCCAAGATCTCTGATATGTACGCCTAGTCTAGATACAGCGGAAAAGACTTACCGAGTAGATGGTATACAGCTTCCAGGTGGGCTTCAGGTGCTCGAAGCCGAGCGGGTTGACGTATTGGTTGATGGTCAAGGCGACTTGGATAAAGATGTTCATGATCATCAGGCCCTTGGCGCGGATCTTGAACGGCAGGATTTCCACGGTGTATGCGACGAGCAGGCCGGACCAGGCGAGCGCGTAGGCAAACGAGAAGATCCAGATGAATGCGATGACGGCGCGGCCAGCAGGGACGCTGTGCTTCTCCTCCTGCTGCGACGAGCAGATCGTCCAGAGAATGAAGGTTACGCACATCGAAGCGGTGGCGGCGATGAAGAGTGGACGGCGACCGACGCGGTCGACGAGCAGCGCGCAGGACACCGAAACAATGAGCGACATGATCGTGAGCCCGCCGTTGAGTCCAAGTTGTGTGTCCGCATCCTTGATGCCGATACTCTTGTAGACGTCCGTAGCGTAGTAGGACACGAGGCCGTTACCCGACCACTGGGAGAAGAGTCCCAGGGATGCAAGCAGCAACAGCCTGTACCTGTTTCCCTTCGTCTTGAAGAAGTCGAGGTAGGAGGAAGTCTTCTGGTATTGGAACTCCAGGCGCAGCGTCTCCCTGATCTCGTGGTACTCGAACTGGACCGTGGGATTGTCAAGATCTCCGTTGGCGTGATATTTGCCAAGGATGTTCAGAGCCTCTTCATTGCGGCCCTTTGCGATCAGCCATCGAGGAGATTCCGGAATGAAGAAGATGAACATAAGCTGGATGACGGAGGGAAACGCCTGGGTCAATGCTGGGACGCGCCAGCTCCAGTTGTTCTCGATGCGTTTGGTCCCAAATGTAAGCCACGTGCAGATGATGGCTCCGACATTCCAAAGACAGTTATAGATGGCAGTCACACGACCTCTGTGCTGCGGATGGCACAGCTCTGTGAGTAGCAGCGGGGACGAAAGCTGTGCCAGCGAATTCCCGAACCCCATCATGAAACGGCCGGCCATGAAGTAATTGAGGTTCTTCGCAGCGCCTTGGATCGCTGCGCCGACGATCATGACTACACATCCCAACGCGATGGCCGCCTTACGGCCAAAATTGTCGGCAATGTAAGGGGTGACTGGTAGTGAAGCAATGGCACCGATCGAGTAGAGAGCGGTAAGGAGTCCAAGAGTCGATCCCTTTGGGTCTCCGAAGTAAGTGGTAAAGGGGTGCAGAATGCGCAGGTTATTCAGCATAGATCTACCAGGAGTGAGCGATCTATCCCTATTGGCATCTGGTAGGAGCTTAACTCACCCATCGTAACCCGTAGTCGCTGAGGCGATACAGATAATGAAGGCCCAAAAGTAGAGCTTTCTCAGTCCAGGATCCTTCTTCCAGTCCACACGCGCCAGGTGAGGAGCCTCAGCCTGCGCCGTCTCCACATCGTTCTGCTTCATAACCGGAACCTTCCGACCCATAATGAGCGTCTCCCGTTACCGAATCGGGAAGTGTAAAAGCGGAAAGGAGTGTCTCGAAACAAAACAAACCGGAAGCTGCTGCAGGAGTATAAGAACCTGCAAGCTGAGCACACGTCGCGTGCAGGACAGGTTTCAGTTGAAGCTGGATAGATTGCTCTTCTTCTGAGCTCCATATATATGTTTCGTGGGGTAGACTCGCATGCCATGTTGATGCCGCTCATGGGTGGTCCTTGCACCCAGCCCAACGGTCCAGCGGACCGGGTAAATATGCGTAGATATATGTGGCTGCCCTACGCTTCACGCGGTTGGGGGTTGAGTTAGTTACAATATACCGTAAAGGGTAAGTAATCGGAGTGGTGGGCTGTCGTTTCGATTACAGTGTCGATCACTGTAAAGCAATCCACAGGCCGGAGGCCGGATCGTCCAGCCGGCTGTGCCTCGCGTATCGTGATTCAGCTGCGTTGGGGTTTACGAGAAGGGAATCGCAGGCCCAGGAACATGGACAAATACGAGAATAGAAAGTGCATGCTGCGCATGGACGGGGCGAGGTCTGTGGCACAGCGGTTTCGAAGGCTTCCAGAAGACGGCATAGAAGGTGGAAGGCATAGAATGCCTGCAGAACGGTAAAATGAACACTTGGCGTTGTCCCCTTACTCTAAGTTCATCTATCCAGTGACCGAGAACGTGGGCGTGACATGCGATTTGGGTAAGTGATGGGGTTGTGGTGTGGTTGTAGAAGCGTCTTCCCCAGATTATTGCGTGCTCGATCTCCGCCTTGCCGAGCACGTGCCACCTAATGCATCCTGGACAGCCCCACTAGTCTATATTGGGCGACGTCACCTTCTTCATGCATCGAAGGTTTTTCCTTCACGTGGACTTCAATTCTGGTCGTAAATGACAAACGTTTCCACAACAAGTTTCTGTCTATTCCGCACCGCTCAATCCAGCTCAGATCTGCCCTCCCCACTCGCGCCACCATTCATACACAGCAATGCCACCGGCTGTTTGTACGTTCAAGCTCCTCGTCACTCCTACCGTCTTGATCTCCACACAGCGATCCACAACCGCCAGCACCTCAGCCGTGATCCCACCCTTTTCGCTTCCTAGCACCAGGACACATTTCTTAGGCAACGTGCCTATACCCTTAACCCCCTTCTCTTCCCCAAGTATTCCGCTCCTGTCTGTCTGCTCAACGCCTACGACCTCATACCCCCGGCGCTTGAGCGATACAAGAAATTCAGGTATAGCGGGCATCCTCAGTTCGCGGATCGGGAAGTGCTTCTCAGAAGTGACGCTGGTCGCTTTGAAGTCTTTGTGGCCAGTTTTCTTCAGGTCATCAATGTAGAGTGCTTCGAGACCGAATGATTCTGAAATACGTGACAAGCCGCCTAGATTCGTGGGGTTGTCAATCAAAGAGGCAATGAGAATCACTGAGGCGGGACGTTTGGTCTGAGCACTAGGAGGACCAGGGGCAGGCAATAGGGAAATGACGTCGAAACCTGACTTTGTCTGAAAGAACGCTGGATTGGGCTCGGCGGCTTCTCCTGATATGACCGCTTGACCTTCTGACGGCAAAGAACTTTCTGGTGTCGTCCGGTTGGACTCCGTATCTCCGAGGGGAGTATGTGCTTGCGGAATCTGGGTGGATGAATGGCGGCTATCCTCAGCGTATAATGAGACGAACTCGTCATACACAACGCGCTCTATCTCTGGGGTTTCAATGGTAAGATACCGACCCTGAAATATGTCGACGATAGTATAATCTTTCACGGCATCCAGCGTCAGTGTGCGGATAGTCGAGGGCGCCGCACTGAACTTATCAAGGCCTCGAACATGGTTATTCAGGGCCTGAAAAGCCGGATTGTCTGTGATAGTGCTCCATTTTCTGTCCTCGGCAAGCCCGAAGATTGTTGGAAACAGAAAATGAGCCTCATGGCGTATATGCACCTTTGGGCTTGCGGATAAGGGCACGAGTTGTATCATGAGCTTGAGAGCGAAGTCTTCCGAATCCAAGAACGGGGCAACAAGGGTGGCTAGCTTTATCAAACTTGCGACATGAACTGGGCTGTTCTCATCTAGACTCGCAACGTCTTTCAATATACGCTGCGTCTTACTTGGGAAGCGACAATAGATGCGAGCAATTATCCACTCCAGGAGGAATCGGTAGCGTGGCCATGGCTCAAGGACCAGGGCATGTATGAAGACGTCCAAATACTGCTCAGCGTCTGACTCATTAATGCAGGATTCGGTCAACAGCAAGATGACCTGTAGCTGCAGAACGTCTTTCCATTTGCTGATGATCGGAATAGGCGGTTTTTGCGCCCTCCAAGGCTCGATAAGGCGATCAAACACTCGCTTCGCAAGAGCAAGCTGCTCTTCTGGAATCCGATTAAAGAGATCAATAATGGCTGCGTATCCGTACCACTCGCGCTGCCCGTAATACGAAGCATAGTCCCGATGTGGCAGATACTTCTGAAGCTTCCCCGCGGCGACGGCTTCGAATAGGAATTCTCTTTTTGGGTACGGAGGGTTGTTGATGAACCGGACGAAGAAATGTTCAAGCGGGAGGATGCTCATTATTTGAGGGACTAGGAAGCATGCTTTCCGGAGAGCGATTGCGAGAACGGGCAGAATATACGATCTACCTTCTGTGAGGCGCTGCAGCTGCGTGACGGCCTTGCTGAGAAAGTTCGTCAATGGGCTGTCTTCATCCGAGCCACCACTCGAATGCTCGCGAACGCAGATCCGCATACACGTCGCATGGAAGGACAAGGGAGGCAAATTGATGATGACTGGTCGGGGGTACTCCTGGCGATCTGCTTCTTCCCAATATGCCTCCAATACCTCCAACAGTTCATGTGGCGGAAAGCTCGTTGCCGAGTTCTTGTCGAGAATTGCGATGAATCTAGCACAAGCGAGGGCGAATGCATCGTTCTGAATAGACTTATGCCGTGACGTACGCAGCTGTTCCAGAAATCCTTGCAGTGGTGAGTCGTCGGTTTTTAGTTGAGAGATCGAATGCTGATTCATCGAATTGTCTGAGCCCGCGGGTGGGTAGTTGCCAAGAGCCTCAAACCTTGACATGAGGACACCATATCCCGGAAGGCCTTCAGGATGTAGCAATAGAGGGTCGGCAAATTTACTGAGCTGAACGCAATATGTGCAGCAAAGATCTGTGGCAATCTCTGGTAGACTGGGTATTCGCGAGATTCGAAAAATGAGTTCCAATTCCGCTGCTTCCAGAGTCGTAGGTTGGGCGTTAAAGCCGTTGAGAAGCCCTTCTAGCAGGTATAGGACCGATGATGCAAATATCTTTCCTCCTGTGTTGAGGATGAAGCTCAGAACCTTTGCGAGCAATCGCCGTCGATCCAGATCCGTTGGCATCGCTACGATAAACTTCGTAATGACATTTGAAAGTGCTGCACCATGACTGCAGCTCGTTATTGTTCGATCTGAGACTAGGGTAGAGGTGAAGAGGCTCCCTTGCGTTGCCCACGGGAGGTATCCTTCGACGAGAAAGTTTGCGTGAGCAGCGATCGGACCTTTCTCTTCAGTGACATATGCCAGGTACCAGTTTCCGACCAGTTTGCGTATGCCATCCTGAATCTTGTGTTTGAGTGCTGCTGATAGCAATGCTGTCGTCCAGTTAGGAGCAATAACGGACGTAGGGCCGAGTAGCGCAGTTAATTCTGGCAAGCAAGCTTGAACTTGGTTCGGGTACCGGTCCAGAATTATTGTTTCGAACAGTGTTGAGAACCTTTCGTATTGTGTCTCATATGTTGATCGCCGTTCAATAGACACAACCATCTGTGGTGTGTCGATGTTTCGTTGGGCAAGCAATAGCGATTGGCGGAGTATTCCGAGGCAGTACTTGCGCTGATCGGCAAAGCCTTCCAACAGGCCTATACGAAGCCTTGACCAGTACAGCGGATCATATACAGATTCGAGCTCCAAACCATTCGCACACGCGTAGACCACCCACTGAAACCAGGTCCTGAAGGCCTTCCCGGCGTTGATGGAGAAATATTCGGGAGGGAGCTCAAGGAGTCGCACGAAGAATGAGTGTCCAATCATATCGGTCTTGGCGACCGGCTTCTTGAGTTCGGGGTCTATGCGTAACCAAGGATCCGTGGCCTTATCCATGCACAGCGCAACTATAGGTGGCCTGGCCAACAGGTTAAGCAAGGCAGACAAGGTGTCGTGCACGGCTTCGTCAACAACGTCTTTGCCAACACAGCTAACCAGGAGTTCGAGAATCTCCGGCGTTATGTAATGATTCTGTGCCGGAGGAAGCCAGTAGGAGACCCTCAGGAAGTTGAGATAGGCCAGCGCTCTGTGCACATGTTCCTCTCTCGATGAGCTCTCTCCGCGATACACCAGTTCTTCCGAGTCGTTCCAGAACAACTCATCTCCAGTAATTTTGACCAAATAGTCGACCAATTGGCTAAAGATCTTGGATCCGACCTGCGCATTGCTCACGGACATGTCGGCAAGTGTGTACAAGCGGTCTACATCGTTCGACTCTATCGGGATGCGGCTGAGGATTAGATCACTGACTCTCCCGTATAACAACATTGTCTATCAGTGGTCAGCATGCATCATCAATTTCGGTAAGGTGTCCAAATACCAAATGGTAAAAGGCTTGCCATGACCCGCTGTGGAGTGGTAATATGACCCATATCGTGACGACAGCAATAGACACTTACTCTTTCGATAGGAGAAGAGGGTGGAAGAAGGCGGATACATGCCCTTAGCGTATGAAGATTAGAGGTGCTAGAGGGACTTCCTTCGAGCTTCTTCCAATAATAATCGAACGCAGTAGCCGTTGCGGCGTCATCGTAGAATTGAAGGATTGTCTCGACGTCTGACGCTTTCTGATCCGACAAGAGCTCATCGGGTAATTCAAGCATCTTGCCTAACTTGTCCTGCGTTCTCCGCTGCGCGAACTTCTCTTCAACTAGCGTGAGGTGCTTCGGAGTGCAACGCTACTAGGGAGCGTTGCACGGGGCTATCGTGAGGAATGCGCACGGAGATGGTTGCCAGGAATGCTCGGAGTCGTTTCGCATGGCTGGAACTTTTTCTTCCTTCTCTTCCAGCAATCGGTCGCGGCCACGTCGCTTTGGTTGCGCTGTCTGGAGGCTTAAGGTCGCGTCGACCACACGCATCAATTTTCTTCGGTGGGGCTTTGGGTCTGACGTAACGCGCGCCAATCAGATTATTTGTTTAGAGTTTACCCTATTGGGCTTAGCGCGTCCTGTGTATCCAGCAACCGCTAAACGACAACGTCGATGCACCTCCTCCACATCTTTAGGTCGCAGCAACTTAGGGAATATCTTTGCTTGCTGCTGGAAGACGTCATGGATCCACGCATGTATTCTAGCCTGCACTCTTCAACCGCTTCGGCGCCCTCACTGCGAGCGAGCGAGCCGATTGCGCTGATGGCGCCTCCACCGATGGCCGACGACCCGGGAAACGTCAAAGTCGTAGTGCGCTGCAGAGCCTTTGTTAGGAGAGGCAAGTCGCGGAGGGCTCTAGTCGTGTCTCATCTACTGACATTGCATAGAGCGAGAGAAGGGCACGCAATGTCTCATTCGCATGGATCCCGCTACTAACAGGACCATACTCCTCGCACCGAACGACGGCGACCTAGATTCAAATGCGCGCAAAGCATACGAAGACAAAGAGTTCCTCTTCGACAAGTCCTTCTGGTCCCACGACGAAGCCGACCCCCACTACGCACACCAAGAGGATGTTTACAGGTCGTTCGGGGAGGAGTTTCTCGACCACAACTTCAACGGATATCACACTTGTATTTTCGCATACGGTCAGACAGGGTCAGGCAAGAGCTACACCATGATGGGCACACCAGACAATCCTGGCTTGATACCGCGGACATGCGAGGAATTGTTCGACAGAATTCGAGAGGAGCCAACACCCAATACCAGCTACCATGTGCAGGTCTCTTACTTTGAGGTGTACAACGAGCACGTCCGAGATCTGCTGGTCGTGCGCACGAACCCGCCCATGTATCTGAAGATTCGCGAATCTCCAAAAGACGGCGTTTACGTCCAGGGCTTGACTGAAGTAGAGGTGAAGAGCTACAAAGACGTTGAACGGTTGATGAAGCTAGGAGACATGGTATGTATGCTGAGCTCCTGCATGAGCGGAGGTGTGGGGTGTGGTGTGTGGTGCTAATAGTGGCTGCAGAGCCGGACAACAGCGGCGACGAAGATGAACGACACTTCCTCTCGATCCCACGCCGTTTTCACCATCCGTCTCAAGCAGATCACACATTCCCTTCTGTCGGATGAGACAATCGAGCGAACTGCCCGAATGCGACTCGTCGATCTTGCAGGATCCGAACGTGCGAAATCCACAGAAGCCACGGGCCAGCGTTTGAAAGAAGGCGGGCAGATCAACAAGTCGCTGACTACCCTTGGTCGTGTGATCGCCGCGCTGGCGGATCCACGTCGGCACAATCCAAAGGGACGAAGACCAAGAGAAGTGGTGCCGTATCGAGATTCAGTTTTGACATGGCTCTTGAGAGACAGCTTGGGCGGTAACAGTAAGACCGCAATGGTGGCCTGTATCGCGCCGTGTGACTATGACGAAACACTGTCGACACTCCGATATGCTGATCAAGCGAAACGCATCCGCACGCGTGCTTCGGTCAACCAGGATTGCATGTCTGCCGCACAGCGTGATGCGCAGATCAAGGAGATGGCCGAACAAATTCGTTCTCTGCAAGTCAGTGTTAACGCAGCGAGCCAGAGGAAGAGAGAGGAGGCGACCGAACTGGAAGAGTACCAACGACAAGTTGCCATGATGCAGCGCCTCATGGAGGAGAACCGCCAGGTCTCAGATTGCAAGATCAAAGCCCTCACAGCTGAAGTCGAGGAGCTACGGCCCCTCAACGCAGCGCTCCGTTCCGAGATCGAGGCTCTGCGTCGACACTTGTCCCTGGCTCTAGGAGAGCTCAAGAACCCCATCATCTTGCCACCGCCTCAGCCTGCTTCTCCGGAGCTGGAACAGGACGGGTTTATCCATGTGAACAAGCGCGGAATGGAGAGTGGTGAGGATGGTAAAGAGAACTCTATCCCCATCCGTGCAGATGATGAGATGAGCGATGATGACTCGGACTCAGGATACGATGAAGGCGACCACGACGAGCTCGCCCAGGAGCTACAGAACGAAGCACAGGAGTTCCTGAAGGATCTCGGCTTATTCAGGAGGAAGGTCGGAGGCGACGTTGAGCGGTTCGGTGCGCGTGAAGAGTTGGGCAATTTGATCGTCAATTGAGTGGCTGCATCTGTCTGGTGTTTTGTTCCCCCCTGGGCAGATTACGGGAATGATGGTTGTGGGAGACTAGTTTTGTATACAAGATTGGACTCGGATTGGGTTATGAAAGCATTGAGCGAAGGCGTCCTGTTTCAATTGGGCTGTTCCAAGACCTCTCTCAATGGTATATAGTAGCTAGCCATAATTCAATAGCCAACACAATGGGTGTTGGAGACAGTCTTAAACGCTCTCGTAGTGACCTCGGAGCTTCTGGGAGCTTGCGCACGGACATTGACGACTCCAACCAGGCCGCAGCTCCTCCGCAACAGCATCGTCCATGATACCCCCATAACCCTCCCGTGACATGTCGAAGCCCACGGCGAACTGGGAGAAGCTGGGCGACAAGTTCTATCGGAAAGTCCAGCTCTATACCGCCGTCTTCGATCAAGACCTCGAACTTGAGAACTACAATGTGGTGGGGGCTCCGTACAGCGGCGCTGTAGGTACGACTCCAACCGCGCTGAGTCCACGACCGCATACTGATTTCTATAGCGATATACCGCGATGAAGACAAAATATATACCTACCGAGGCCCGCAGGCCTCGAAATCGAGCATCGATATCTATAGCTGTGCGGGGAAGCTGATCCGGCGCATAAACGTACGCAAACCGCGAGTGCAGCGCATTGCAAGTGGAGAGCGAGATGCTGACACGAACAGTGGGACAAAGGATCGATAAAAGGGCTTGGCTGGTCAGAAGACGAGAAGCTGCTCGTGGTGACTGAGGAGGGTACCGTGCGGTGCTACTACGACCTACAGGGCGACTTTGTGCCCTTTACGCTCGGCCACGTATGCTAGCCTACTCGTAAAGGTTTACTGAAGGCTAATAGTGTTCGCAGGGAGCAGACGAATACGGCGTTCAGTCCTGCAAGTTCTACGGCTCCGGCTTCGTCGCGCTTCTGGGGAACAACAACCTCATATCCGTAAGCTCGTACGCCGAACCACGCCCCAAACTCCTCGCGATACCTCCCTCCGATCCTATAATATCATGGTCGATAATACCGCCGGCATACTCTCTGTCACGCTCCGTCGAAGTCATACTCGCGATTGGGAAGACTCTATATGTCGTAGATGCGACAGAAGCCGAGGACCGAAGCTTCGATGCGGGCCCTTTCAGACATATAAGCGTGAGTCCAAGAGGCGAGTTTCTCGCATTCTATACGGACGATGGGAAGGTGTGGGTCGTGAGCGGAGACTGGAGTGACAAGCTGAGCGAGTACGACAGTAGGGTCAAGACGGTACCAAAGGATATGCAATGGTGCGGGAGCAACGCGGTCGCGCTGGCTTGGGAGGATGAAGTCCACCTCGTCGGGCCGAGAGGCGCAGTCACGAAGTTTTACTACGATGCTTGGATACATCTGCTACCAGACGTCGACGGTTTGCGGTTGCTAACGAACGACGTCTGCGAATACCTCCAGAAAGTCCCGGACGAAACGGTCGATGTCTTCCGGCTAGGGTCCGATTCTCCAGCTGCGAACCTCCTCGAAGCATCATCTCTCCTGGAGCAAAAGTCACCGAAAGCAGATGATCTGATCCAACTTATTCGTTCGGACCTCGCGGAAGCGGTCGATACATGTATCAAGGCCGCAGCTCACGAGTTCAATATCCACTGGCAGAAGTCTCTCCTTCGCGCTGCCTCATTCGGAAAGTCGGTCCTAGACCTCTATTCCAGCGACGACTTCGTCGAGACGTGCGACACCCTGCGCGTCCTAAACGCAGTCCGCTTCTACGAAATCGGCCTCCCTATAAGCTACGATCAATACCGACGCCTAACTCCCGAGAAACTCGTCGAGCGCCTCACAAACCGCAACGAATATCTCCTCGCACTGCGCGTAGCATCCTACCTCCACCTTCCCACCTCCCACATCCACGGCCACTGGGCGCAGCAAAAAGTCCGTGTCTCCACCGACACCGAAGAGCAAATATGCTCCCTCATCGTCAAGAAACTGCACGGCAAACCGGGCATCTCTTTCGAGGAGATTGCCCGTGCCGCCTACGACGAAGGACGCGTGCGCCTTGCCACGGAACTGCTGAACTACGAGCCGCGAGCCGGCAAACAAGTCCCCCTCCTGCTCAACATGAAAGAAGACAACATCGCGCTCGACAAAGCCATCGAGTCCGGCGACACGGATCTCATCTTCCACGTCCTCTTGCATCTGCGCAAAAAGCTCCCCCTGGCCAGTTTTTTCCGCGTAATCAACACCCGCCCCGTCGCAACCGCCCTCGTCGAATCCTCCGCCCTAGACCAAAACCGCGAGCTCCTGAAGGACCTCTACTACCAAGACGACCGGCGCCTCGACGGCTCCAATCTCCTGCTCAGCGAAGCCCTCGCTCAACCCAGCCTCTCCGCCTCCCTCGACAAGCTCAAACTCGCGTCGAAATATATAGCCGATAGTCGCGACGCCCCATCTGTCTTCCAGCGGCAGGCACTCGACGACGCAGCAAAGCTGCTCCGGCTGCAAGAGCAGTTCGAAAAGGACCTCGGGCCGCGCGACGGCGGGATTACCAGTCCGAGCTCCTCCTTCATCGGCCTAAGCGCCCACGAAACAATCTTCCAGCTGCTCCGACTCGGCCACAACAAGCGCGCCCTGAAGGTGCAAAGCGAATTCAAAATCCCCGACAAAACATACGCCTGGCTGCGCCTCCGCGCCCTCGTCAACGCGCGCCACTGGAACGAGCTCGAGGAGATCGGCAAGCAGAAGAAGAGCCCGATCGGCTGGGAGCCGTTCTTCAACGAGGTGCTGGCCGCGGGCAACACGCGCGTCGCGAGTATTTTCGTGCCCAAGTGCACGCAGCTGACGCCCGCGGAGAGGGTCGAGATGTGGACGAAGTGCGGGTTGCTTGTTAAGGCGGGGGAGGAGGCGATGAAGGCCAAGGATCGGGCGTTGCTGGAGGAGCTTAGGGTGAAGGCGGGCGGGAGTGCGGCTGTGGAGATAGAGCGCATGTTGGGGATGCTGCCGGCGGGGAGACGGTGATGGAGTGGCATCTATTAGGTCCATTTGCGGCGACAGAGGCTGTCTAGTATGTATAACATCTGAATTCTACCATGGACAGCGAAGCTTGTTTGGCATGGTATACATGTTTGGATTGCACGTCTGATGTACACGGTCTATACACAAATCTTCTTCTCTGAGAAAAAGGGTTACGCGGTCATGTTATGCCGCTCCAGCACCTCAGCTACCCTCTCCCTAACGCCCTGCTTGCCGCCATATTTCTCGAGGAGAGACGCCACAACATCCTCCTGCGTCTTCCCGCTCGCCTCCTGCAGGATTTCTTCTTCCCGCGGCAACCCAATCCATTGATGCGGATACTCGTTGTAATTCTTGTCGCTGATCAGCGCAAGCCCGGGCATTCCCTCCTCCCTCGCGAAGAACGCATTTACATCGCTCCTCTTGACTTCGGACAGCGTGTTGGGCTGCCAGTTTGGGCGTTCCTTCTTGCGCTCGATGAGTCGCGCGGTCACGCCTTCGACGAAGTCTGGGTGCGCCATGAAATGCGAGGCGATGTCGTATTCATGCTGGAAAGTTTCGGCGATGGACCAGCGGCGGCCGATGCGCATCTGTTGGAGGGTGACGGCGACGGCGATGGGGGAGCGGGTGTGGATAGTTTCGATGGTCTTGGAGGCCCATGTCTTAAGCTCTTCCGAAGACTTAGGCGAGTCTTTTACTTCGGCAAGGGAGTCCAAGATGGCCTGGATGCCGGGCTGGTCATGGTGGAAGGCGCGGTCGATTGCGGCTCGCAGTTCGCCCGAGATGTGTGGTCGTGGAGACGGGAGACCAGTGGAGTATTCTTCGATGGTGGCGTTGATGATCTTGAAGCGGTCTTGGAGGGAGGTGTAGTCTGGGAACTGGAGCTCTGCGAGGCGGGACTCGAGCTGTTGGAGGGTGGAACTGTGGATGTAGTGCGTTGCGACGCCGTGGTAGAAGGCGTCTACACCCTTGACCTGCTCGCTTGTGAGCGCGAGATAGGTTCCTAGGCTGCCTTCCATGCGCGGCAGAAAGAAAGAGGCGCCGACGTCGGGGAAGAAGCCGATTGTCGTTTCGGGCATGGCGAAGAGGGTGTTTTCGGTTGCGATGCGGAAGGGGGCGTGGATGGAGAGACCGACGCCGCCGCCCATTGTTATGCCGTCCATGAATGCTACGTAGGGCTTTGCGTAGGTGGCGATGAGGTGGTCGAGCTTGTATTCGAGACCGAAATAATCCGAGCTCCTCTGCTGGCCTTCTGGTCCCGTCTTGTTCCATTGCGCGAGCGCCGCGACGTCCCCGCCTGCACAAAATGCCCGCCCCGCGCCTTTTATTACTACCACGCCCGCCAGCTCACTCTTTGCCCATTCCTGTAACCGCGGGATTATCTTGCGCGCCATAGAGCCATTGAGCGAGTTGAGCTTCTTGGGCCGGTTGAGCTCGATTGCGCGGACGCCGTAGTTATTTGTGAAGATGACATCGTCGGGTTCATCGTCTGGTTGTGGGGCGAGGAGGTCATCTGTGGGGGTCGAGTACTGCATTGCTGTCAGTGTTCGATGCGGGAAGAAAGCTGCAGAATGACGGAGGGGTGTCGTACCTTCCTGCTCCCACTCATCCAGGCCGGCTGTGTAATCTTTGCGCGCAGCGGCATTGTGCGGGCCGTAGTCCGCGAGGCCCAGCTCAGCGGTGCTGTTGTGTATCTGAGAGATGTGCGGAGAGACATTGGGCGAACGGTTCGGAGAGATGCGCTGTGATGCAACTCTTGAAAGGCGCCGGAAAGGAACCTCGGATGTCCGCAACTCCAATTGAGTGCGAGTTTTCAGATGCCAAGAGGGTCAATTGGTCTTGAAGCAACGGTATCAAAGAATTGAGGCTCTGAATAAAGTCGAATTAAATGTTCAGTGGCTCGGGAAAGCTTTCCCGCTCCAAATCCACCTTCGAGGAGCTCTGCGTGGTTGCGGCAAGCTCATGGAAGCTCGGACGTCCGCCGCACGTGACAGCGAGGAGTAAGCAAAAATTCGCGCTAACAAAATAATGCGCTGCACCACCTCCGCCTCGACCGCAACTCCATCTCAACCGAGCTTTCTTTCATTCTCTCTGTATTAGTGCGGGATTCGCGTTCTTTTAATTGACTGCAACATGTCGTCCTTTTCGCGGGCTTTCTGGCGGACGTCGCGCAATGCGCTCAAGTACCAGAGGGGTGTCAATCCGGTGCAGCAGGTGCTGGGTGTTCAGGGTGGAAGCCGATATGTCAACGGCGTGAGGAGCTATGCTCAGGCTTTCCAGCGTGACAAGCCGCACGTCAATATCGGTATGCATGTACTGTGACGCTTTTGACGTTCAATGCTGATTGAGATAGGTACCATCGGTCACGTCGACCACGGAAAGGCACGATAGCCCTGTCTCCCCAATTTGTCCCCCGAGTCTAACCGACACAACAGACAACCCTCACAGCAGCTATCACAAAGCGTCAGGCAGAGAAGGGCATGTCCAAGTTCCTCGAATACGGCTCCATCGACAAAGCCCCCGAAGAACGAAAGCGTGGCATCACCATTGCGACCGCCCACATCGAGTACTCGACCGACAACAGGCACTATGCCCACGTCGACTGCCCCGGTCACGCCGATTACATCAAGAACATGATTACGGGTGCAGCGAACATGGACGGAGCTATCATTGTCGTGGCTGCGTCCGATGGTCAGATGTAAGATGCATCGAGGAATAGAAGGGACTGCAAGGACGGATGCTAATTATGGATGCCCAGGCCCCAAACCCGTGAGCACTTGCTCCTCGCCCGCCAAGTCGGTGTCCAGAGGATCGTCGTCTTTGTCAACAAGGTGGACGCAATTGAAGACAAGGAGATGTTGGAGCTCGTCGAGATGGAAATGCGCGAACTGCTCTCGTCCTACGGTTTCGAAGGCGATGAGACCCCCATCATCATGGGTTCCGCGCTCTGCGCCCTCGAGGGCCGCGAACCTGAAATCGGTGAGAAGAAGATCGATGAGCTGCTCGAGGCCGTCGACACCTGGATTCCCACACCGAAACGTGAGACCGACAAGCCCTTCCTCATGTCCGTAGAAGATGTCTTCTCCATTGCTGGCCGTGGTACCGTCGTTTCCGGTCGTGTGGAGCGCGGCATTCTGAAGAAGGATTCAGAAGTCGAGCTTGTCGGCAAGGGCACCGCGCCCATCAAGACCAAGGTCACCGACATTGAGACCTTCAAGAAGTCCTGCGACGAGTCAAGAGCAGGCGACAATTCTGGCCTTCTCCTGCGAGGTGTGAAGCGTGAGGACGTCAGGCGCGGTATGGTTGTTGCAGTCCCCAACACCGTCAAGGCGCACAAGAAGTTCCTGGTTTCTATGTACGTGCTGAGCAAGGAGGAGGGTGGCCGACACACGGGCTTCGGCGAGAACTACAGGCCGCAGATGTTCATCCGAACCGCCGACGAGAGCGCTGCTCTCTCGTGGCCCGAGGGAACCGAGAACCCGCACGACAAGCAGGTCATGCCCGGCGACAACATCGAGATGGTCTGTGAACTGCACCAGCCACACGTGCTCGAGTCCGGCCAGCGATTCAACATGCGTGAGGGTGGCCGCACGGTCGCCACCGGTCTTGTTACCCGGGTCCTAGAGTAAACACCGTCCGCGAAATCGAAGGCGGAAACCACTTGTAAAAGTATGAGACTCTCTTCCGACTGTAAGATCTGGGGGATGACTTTGTGGGAAACAACGACTTGTACAACACCTCTGGCACTATTACTGTACATCCCCGCTCTCCGCTTCTGCCCATACCGTTTTCCCCACATGTATTTTACACCGCTCGGTTGGGATGGACGTATAGACAATGGGTTGGCGTGGAGTTAACTCGTCTTGCATGCTTGAAGGTAGCTGAATTGAAAATAATGACATCAACATCCATGTGCCTCGTAGACAGCAACGATGGGCTTTACCCAAGCCACCTCATTCAAAAACCCCTGGCTAGCCTTGCCGTAAATCGTCTGCACATAAAAATTAGACACCCGTCTCCCATTTCCCGTAGCCCCATTTTTGTGTTATCCAAGCGAATCCACTTGTACAAAATCAGGCCCCTGACTTTGTACACCACAACGCCATACACCATATCCAAAGCAAAGGGGAGCCAAAAATAAGTGAACGGGTATTCCATACCCGATGCTGTGAAAACCCAAGACAACGCAAGACAAAAAGAATACGAAGATACATGGAGGGAGTCCAGCCAGGGCTATAAGCTGCGCTGGATGGGACGGGGCTGGAGCGCGGGAGATGCCGGCCCAAGTGATGAGGGGAATAGCGGCGTCTGCGACTCGGACATTTCGCGGATCTTCTTGAGCAGGTTGCTATTTGTGGTCAGCCACCGTCATAGTCACTCCTATTGATCCAACGGGGATATGACTTACTTGACAGGCAGGCTCAGCTTCTCCTCCTCCCTCAACAGGACTCCCACGATAGTATGCCGCCCCTTGGCATGATCTTCAAGATGCTCTGTAATCAACTGGCGCCCGATATCCTTACTTGCGCCGTATATTCGCCGGCTGCAGCCGTCGAAGGTGCATATCCAAGAATCGCGCGGGCCGTTTGCTTCGTAGGTAGGTAGTGGCGTGGATACTATCGGTGGGGCTACGGTAGGTTTCGACGTGGGTTCGGAGGATTTGCCGTTGATGGAGGGGATGTTGTTCGGGAGGTAGCGCAGAGGTAGGGGTGCGTTGGATTCGGACTCCGCGGCAGCATCGGTGTCTTCGTCGTCTTCTTCGGTTGAGGGCGGTGATCCAGGGCCCATGGATTCGCTGGCTGCGCGTTTCCGCCTAGTTTTGTCTTCTTCGTCTCCATCTGTCTCGATGAATTTGCGCTTCTGGCGGCGGGGTGAGAGAGCTTGTGTAGGTGTGTCGATTTCGATGTCGCTTGCGCTTTCACTTTCTGCTTCGGATTCTGCGCTCGCGTCTTCCTCTGCTGAGCTGTTTTCTGAGTTCGGTCTCTTTCCTTTCCCCTTTCCGCGCTTCACGCCTTTCCCTTTGCCGGAGTATTTGCTGCTCTTTGGCCGGAGCACTGATAGCCGCCCTTTCTTCTTTCTTCCGTTAGGTCTGGGTCTGGGTGTGGCTACGGCGTCTTCAGAGGATTCCTCGTCTGAGTCCTCGCTACGTTCCCCCTTCAAGGAAGTATGGTCTCTTCGGGGCCGCAGCTCGATGGCTTCTGCTCTCCTGATATCAGCGGCCGGGAGATCAAGTTCCGCAGAGAGCTCCTGGTAGATGGGCTCCTCGGCAAAAAATTGCTGAGCCTTCCTCCGCGGATGATCCATCATGTAGCGTAGATTCTTCCCATGCACCAAGAGGACATTCCGAGCCATCTCCTCCTCTTCGATCTCGTATCGCTTAACAATGAGTTTGGCTACGCGGTCAATCGTCATGTGTCCGTGGCCTGGCCGGATGATGCGTTGGTTTACGCATTTCGACATGAACTCGTAGAGCGCCCTGGCTTCCCACCAATTGTTATCCTTCTTCGGGGTGTCGGAAGGCTTCTGGGATTGCGGCTTTCCTCGAGGTGCGCGCGGCTTCGACGTAGCGGCCGCCGGTGAGGGTTTTGATGTTTTTGTTTCTCGCTGGACTTGCGCGTAACGGCCTTCTATGCGGGCTTTTCCAGTCTCGAAGTCTTGCTAGTGGTCAAGCTCAGAATTCATGCATCAATGCCTTGTAGCAATACGACTTACAGGGTACTGTCGTTTAAAGTATTGGTAGATTGGCGTATTACTCCACCCAATGCCCTGCGCCCGGTTGAGAAAACACATCATCAGGAATTCATGATGCTTGTGGAATATCTGGGCCGCTAGTACTGGGTCGGTGCAAGGGTATCGATCATCTTCGGCGTACTACACTCTTCGTCAGCTCCAATTGTGCAGCCAGAGTTTCCCACGAGGCTAATGCTCCGCCCAATTCTACAAAGACACACACATACCTCCTGGAAGATCAATTGCGCACTCGGCCCGCCGCCTCTCTTTCGCGGTTCGTTGTAGATGTCGGTGATGAAATATAGCAGCTCGACTGCCTCGACCATATCCTGATATATGCCTTTATAATTGCGCGCCGGCCGGATCTCAAACCAGCCAGCCTGGCCGAGCGCCCATATCACCAGCTCGCCGTCAGTCATCTGGCCGTACGAGAAGCGTGTCACGTTTTTGACTTCGATGTCGACGGGTTTGTATGGTTTCTTCACAACTGATATCCCCGGTCAGCAAATTGGCCCATGTGAGAGTGTCTATGCGCGCGATACATGCATGCACAGACAGCTGCGTGCAGCTGTGTGGAAAGACGTACGGCATTTCAACTGCGCGCGATCCGGCGCTTCCAGTCTGCCCTCGACTCGCAGCGGCGTATCCGCATATGCGGCGAGCAAACTCGCGGGCCTGCCATTGCTCTCGTACAAGACTTGCGCGTTGCTCAGCACGAAGATCTCGTAGTCGTCCGAGTGGGATACAGAAGGGTCGATAGGCTTCAGAACTTCAAGTTCCGGCGTAGACATGTTGGCGAATTGTGTATTAGAGTATGTCGCATGTTGCGCGTAAGGGAGTCCAGTCGACGGGCTTTGAAGCGTGAGCGGACGCGTTGTGCAAAGCCGGAAGCGGAGGCGCGTCGGGCATCGTGCCGCAGCGGCGGGCGGTGGAAAGGGCACGTGCACGCGTGGCGCTGATTGGCCGATTCAGCCCTATGCCTTATCGATATCACGACGTCACTCCGTCCCTTACGCACCGTACGCTATTTACGAGTACTTCTTCCCGTGTCTTTCTCCAATGCCTTAATTCTCGTTTCGCCTTCTATATCAAGATCTCTGACCGCCCATGGGCGCGGCCGTTCAGCCCTTCAACACCAAATCAAGAACAGGACCGCTTTCTATGTGCCTGTACATCAATGCCCGCCGGACTATTTTGTTACCATGGGTTTCATCCGGGTACTCGACTTATACGCAGCCCGCCAGGAGCTGCTTGCTTGGACCCAAGAAGGACCTCAACCAACATGGTTGGGGTTCGGAGTCTAGAAGCGAGGCTGTAGAGCCGTCCAGTCTATGAAATCCATCCCAGGAAAGGTGGTCTCTCTGATTCGGCCACTTCGATCACGCATGATTGATTAAAATTTCCTATTTACAGCTTTGGTCAACATCATGTAGCTAAGAACACCTCCCGTCACTTTCGCATGACACGTTGCCCTTGGGGAGAAGAGAAACGGACTAGCATTGGAGTCCTCGCACGGCCGTCTCCCTTCTCCCACGTATGTTTGAATATACACGTTCGGTCTATCTTCTCTCATTCGTCACTCTCCATATGGAATAACTTTTCTCCTTTCCATGAGAACGCGGAGCCCGTTCCTGCCGCACGACCCAGTCCCCGAAAGCCCAACCGAACATAGGCTTCAGGATCTTAGGTTTTCTTTGGCGGTCCATCTCAAGCATGTTCTGTAGCTTGGAGTGAGCGGCGCTGGGCTGGCTCCCGCATTCGTCGCACTGAACGTGGCTTCTAGCCTTAAAGCTGGTTGCAAGTTCGGGTTTCACGCAGTTTTCGAGAGAGTCCGACGATTCCTCATGAATCTAATCCTTCGCTACTTGTATACGGAAGAAGATTGACGAAGCTGACAAGAGTAGATGGCTTCCCTGAAGACATCCCTCCATCTGCCTTGATTGTCGTTGCAGCTCCCAGTACCACAGCTATTAATGGAAAGCAAGGACTAGGGCTCACGAGCCCGAATTGCTGGAGCGGTCCATGGCCATTCATCATATGATTTTGCGAATGTTCGATTTTGAGGCGAGCGGGCAGGAGCCGTAGGCCTCAATGTCCAGGGTTTTAGCCCCGACATAAGCGGTTGAATGGCGCAATTCCAAACTGATGGCACCAAGCTCTCGACTCTATGACCGAGCCTTTCGGAGAATTTTGACCCAGGACTCGCAGGAGACATGATATGAAGCGATGCCGCTTTGTTTTCCCAACATCAACCAATCGATTCTTGAACATTCGGCCAGAGGAATTTCATGCGCTAGAAGCTCGTGTCGTTGCTTTCGGATCATTCATTACACTGCTAGCTCGGAGCGGCCATGTTTGGCAGAGATCCTTTTTTCGACATTCCTTCGTGTGAATGAATGAATCATGTCTGCACAGCCCGCGACATGTTCTTCAAAGCCTGTTAGGTTTGGCACAAAAGTCCCACGGCGAGCTATCGCGAAAAGCGAAGAGAAGAGCACTGGCATCTCATACATGGGTGGGCCCGGCATCTTTCGTCCCCCTCCACGCATGTGTAAAACATGTTGTGCGTTTTTAGACGCCGGCTGGTCTCCACAGCATCGGCCACTGGATTGATAGCTTTTAGCACGCAGCCACCGCCCTGATACGAGCATTATTTTGAAGCTTGCTTGGCGGGAGTGAAGTTTAGAAGACTCGGCAGGAGGACGCGGGTGGGGATTTTATATCCCCGACTAGTGGAGTGACTTCCGGCTTAATGATCAAGACGAGGCACTCGGAGTCAGAGATCAGATAATTCTTCGACCTCTCTAATTCCCTACTCTTCAGAGGCATGTTCTATGACTAAGATCCGAACTCATTTCCACCTACTGAAAAGTATATAATCTCCCTCTCTCCCCGCCTCCATTCTTCCTCCACACTACCACACTCGAATGCACTGCTACTAAAATGGCACACCAGATACCTATGCCTCGCCGCCGTGCCCTCTAAAATTACAATGGAAGGCTAGAATGGCTGCGGGCCCTTCTGCGTCGTTCCCTTGGGGACTAAAAACAGTGCGGGATCGTTCACAGGGCTCAAGTCCCCCCCGCCAAGGATAAAAGTAGAAAAAAATGGCAAAAGAAATTGCTTTAGGCAGAGTCTAAGCTCTACGGCAATCCAGATACCAGGCGAACTGATTTCTGATATACCCCATCCAAGATTAGCGAGTTTGATATTACCTAGACGGCAACCAGATTCGAACCCTAAGCGTGACCATACAATGGGATTCGCTGATGGCCACGGGAACGAAACGCCTTCTCACTATTATGACACTTGGCTTGTTTAGTGATAGGATTGCAGATTTATCTATAATATATACGACAAAATAATTGAGGGGGGTAATTTGAGTGTGGTGAGGGGAGGGTGGTGGGTTTGCGTGCAATTGCAGGACCCACGACTGACACGTTTCTTTTTCTGCTCGGGCGCCATTTCGTGATAGGCAAAGGTCCTGGTGTGTGGGTGGAGCTGCATTTACACTTCATGTCCGAGAGCCAGGATCGATCACGAAGTCGCCCACATGAACCAGAACTCCTCTGATCTCTTCCTCTACGCCTCTACAAGCCACAGAGTTCCATCAAAATGGCAGCTCCACGACCTAATGTGGCACTTCCTCCCCGTGCCTTCCAAAACCAGGACTCACCAGGTCACATGATTGTGATCAAACAAAGTACCCTAGGCAGCTGCGATGTGTGGAAGCTCGCGGGCGGCGCTCAACATCTGCGCCAGGAAGCTTCACATGCGTGTTTGCGACCGATTAAACCCATGGAATGGCCAAAGCATGTTGGCGGCGAACGACGTCCCTTCCCCCAGCCTACCAACAAACTCCGAACCCCCATGTTATGGAAAAGCGGCACGCGGCAGCTCCCTCCCGAACAAGCCCAGCATTCATCCTCTCGCGTATAAATCCTCCCTCTCGGCTTCGACAAATCTTCACTCAACACGCTCTGCGGGATATTCGGCGGCACTAAAAGATACTTCATCAGAGGCGAATGTCTGAGCGCTGCTTCCCGGCTCTTAACTAAAACATGCGAACCAAGCCGTGCATGGAGCGAACGCTGGAGTGGAGTGGCATAGAATACCAAAAACTCTCTTGTCGCTCATACATGATCCTGCGTGGGAGGCACGGACTGGTCGAGCAATTAAATGAGCCGCGGTTGAGGGGCGGAAGCGTTGTGAGAGGGAGTGCTGCAAAGAGCTATCCCTTGTGCTTCATGGTCCAGGGGAGAAGGCGAATGGGAGTGGCTTGATGTTGTTGTCTTCCAGGCGGAGGTTTTGAGTTGTTCCAGACGGTGGTTGGACTGGCTCGAAGTGAGGGCGTAAGGTGTGAGGTGTGAGGTCAGTTCACAGCTTGCGATAATGGTGAGCAGCAGCACCATCACATGCCAGAAATTGCAAAAAGCCCATTCAGAAGAAGAAGATGGAGGAAGAAAAAGGCGATAGAATTTACACCAGCACACCTTACCAACCTTCCTTGCCACCACCTCCCCAACCCACCTCTCTCCGCCTATCACCTCCCCGCCGCCCACCCCTCCGCAGCACAAAGCTCAATCGCAACGCCCAACTGCTCCGGATCGCTATACCCCTGGTCGGGCCCACACCCCGCATTCGGCGAGACCTTCGTCGTCGTCGCATTACTATCGCAATACCCCTCCGAGCAGCACACATCGCCCGGTTCGCACATAAAAATCCTACACCCGCGCATACTCCCGATCTTGAGGCCGCCGTCCTGGCCCGCGCACGAGCTCATGTTGATGCCGCCCGCGGGGGTGCCGACGGCGCAGTCTACGAAGCTCATGTTGTACCAGACCTTCGCCTGCTTGCGGCCGTACTCGAATTGCATGGGTTTGCTGCCGGAGGAGGTGGGCGCGTCGAGCCGGTATACTTTGAGCGCTGTGTTGCCGTAGACGCAGGGCGCGAGCGTCTGGTTCCAGGTCGCCTTGGGGGAGAGCGAGGCGCCGGAGATGGGCTCGTAGCCTTCGGCGGGGACTTGCTCGAGGGTGACGGGGTAGGGGCAGGAGTTCTTGAGCGTGACTTGTCCGGCGGTTATTGGGAGCGCGGCATCGGGGAGCGCGGACGGGGCTTGGGGAGTGGGCTCGTCGCGGGGTTGGAGCGTTGGGGTAAAGCGCGGGGGCTCGGCGGCTGGGGCATTTTCAGTTGCTTGGGCGCTAAGGATCGGAGATGGAGGTTCCTGAACATGAGCGGCTGGTGGTGGTAGTGTAGCGCTCGATGGTTCCGGGGTGTCGCGCCAGTGATGGTGGCCGTGCTGGGGAGCCGACAGCGCGAGCGCGGGCAGGATGAGTAGCGTGCATGTCCCGGGTAGGTGGAACATCTCGTATCAAAGGTACTGCAGTTAAAAATCGCGTCGATATGAACAAATGACTAAGAATGGAAAGGATTGAAGAAGAACAAAGCGCCGAACGGTGTAGGGATGCCCGGAGAGAAAGAGGTGTTAGGCGTAGATTAGAGAGGAGTCGTCCGCTTGTAGGAGTCGAGTAGATTCGCGCGCAGGAGAAGGGTTACTTTATGAAAGATGGTGTTGAGGATATGGTGATAGGATCGAGATTGTATAGGACGGTTGATGTGGCTCCATTAGTAATGACAGGATCGATCTACTAACATCTAGCAATCGAGGTACGACACGTGTGAAAACTTCCCTTCAGGGCTGTGTGGGTTTTGTTGAGTTGAGGATGACGGCGGCTTCGTAGCCATGCTTCGAGCCTTCCGTCATGTCGCGGGGAAGGAAGAAAGCGGGGTGGCTCCCTTGAAGCAACCTTGGAAGTGACCACCAGTGTCGGTATAGAGGAATCTGAGCGGGTGTACCTAGGTGATTACGCATCGGTCGGGGTATCGTCCTAAGATGAGATGAAATGGATAATCCGCGCTCGGATGAAGACATTTAGGATACGCAATTTTCCTGCATAACCTTTCATTGAAGCTGTGGTCGAACTTCGATTTGTGGAGGCCCAGGTTCCAGGAGGATTACTTCTTTGCAAACTCTGTAATCTCTCGAGATGCTTAAACAACCTCGTTGTATCCACCGGCTTTGGGACGCTTTTGCTCGCTAGCTTTTGGGTCCAGATATCCAAAGGCCCCACAAGCAACCCTGGAGTGGGCGATATACTAAGTCCAGACCTTGCGTTGTCCGAAAGGATGTTTAGGCATAGCACAGTCCCAAACCAGAGCGGAGGAATATAGTATGCGACTGTTCCTAAGAGTTCACCTCAGCGTAGTGCAAGGGAGACAAAAGCTACACGTGACCTGAGGAATGAGCGCAAGGGCGGAATACACCCCAGGATGGAATGCATCGACACCACGACGAAGTGAGAGGCGATGGTTGATCAGAAAATGAAGACAGGAAAGGAAAGGTACACCAGTTTATGAGTCTTAGGTAGCGAATATTGTTTTGTGATTGCTTGCCCTCACTGCAAGCGATTGGCTTCAGCCACCTCAGCAAATGCTCATGTGAGACCGGCCCAGGCTTCTTCATCAACTTCGTTACTCCCGTCCCGTGTCCCGAGACGAACCTTCTAGAGCTTGAAAAGCCGTACGGCCCAGAGGATTCCTGGTAGGAGTCTAATGAGGCCACGTTCGAGACTGACCATATTGAGGTATTTCCGAGAGCGTTTACGCCTCGACGCCAGAACTGGAAGCGCCGGACGAGTCCTCTTGGGACTGGCTCTGCCCAATCGCCTGTAGAATGCTTCGCGTCTGGCCACCCAGGGCTATCTGTGTATCCAATTTATGACCGATCCAAGTCTCCTCCTCCATGTAGCAATGTTCTACAAGAACACGCCCGCGGCGATGGCGGCCATAGCTCCAAAGCCCGCACCGATGCCAGCCCGGGGAGTCGGCATTGCTCCGCCGGTCGAACTCGCCGTGGCGGTCGTATCGTCGGCGATAACCTCCCTCACGATGCTAAACTGATTGGCCACCTGCTGCTCCTTGAACTGTCGCACCGCGGAAGGCAATGCGGTATACCAGTCCGGTACTCCGTCGCTGATGGACGTCGTGGCGGCATCATCTGTGATAACAGCCGGAATACTGTAGTTTTGGGCGGAAGCGGCGAAGGCTTTGATCTCGGAGCGGGCGGAGTCGACGGAGGACTTGTAAGCCTCGCCCAAGGATTGGGTGAAGTCGCCGTACGAGATTTTGGCATTGAGGAAAACGGAGGTGGTCCAGCTTGATGCCTGCCAGGAAGGCGTTAGCCGCGAACACGATGAGGTTCAGGAAGAAAGGAAGAAAGGAAGAAAGCAGGACGTACGTCTGATGGATTTGCGAAGGTCGGCACTGCACTCAGTGGGATGGGAGGCTCTGTGTACAGGTAGAAATCGGCATTCGCGAGGCCGAAGCTCAGCGCTGCGACGCATCCAGCCTTTCCGATATGCATGCTCAAACGATCGTATTTGGTGTGATTAAAGAGGAGAGGCGAGAAGAAGGAACAGAAAAGGCGGAAAAGCAGCAAAGTATTAGTACAGCATCGGCGACTGCGGGATGGACAGTTGGGCGTAAGCACGGTGACGACGACGGATTTTAAATAGCGGCGTATCGGACTCGTCTCGGAACTCTGGGTGCTTCAGGCCGCTCCTCCTGCTGATCGCGTCGCATCGCTGTTCGTTCGTGAGGAGTGGGCTGTGGCGGAGCAGCGCCGAGCTCTTGGAAGAATGTGCTGCGTCACGCCTCAAACGGGAACGGCTTTGGAACGCGCGAGATGGCAACCTCGGTGCGATGAGAGGCGCGCCATCATGAGAAGAATCATCATTTGTTCGCAAGACGAGGATAGATCGACTGCTGAAGGATCAAACGAAGACCGAAGTGCGGCACCCATCGCAGCTTCCTCAAGGCTCAAACCGTCACCCGGCTTAGTCAGGCGGAACAGGCTCACGCTTATCGCGCTTACACAGTACAACTCTACACAGTACACCACCCGCTAATCACCGGGCTAACGAAAACCTCCATCTTCTTGAATTCCATCGCAGGACTAAATAAAGGCAGCCTGCAACCTGGATCGGATCAACTCACAAAGTCGGCAGCGATGTTGAGCCTCACACATACGCCGCGGTTCCCTCTCCTGCATGTTCCCTTTTCAGGGTGTCCACGGGCCTGGTGTATTGAAGAATTGCGCCACAGCTGGACAGTGTGTCCGCTTTAGAATGCCTAACTTCTTCAGCTTCCTGGCGTATAGGCTTCATCCAATGACGTCGTCTAGCTAACGAGTGTGCGCAGGCATGAGGGATACGAGCTCAGCTCCCAAGACCAAGCCGCCGCCAAAACCACCTCGAGGCTACAAAAGAAACGCATGCTCAAACGGACATATAGCGGTGGCTCCGCGCCACCGGTCCGTCTCGCGATGCTACCAACCCCAGGAGCCTGGTAGTGCCCAGGTCGATGCTCACGCCCTCCATCCTGCTCTGGACTACCAGTGTCGTAGCTTTCATCTATCACTCAGTTTCTTCCATACCGTGGGTCTAGTAGCTTCTATCGTGCAGCTCACCGATTTCTCATACAGAGTTATCCGGCGCATCGATGATCTGAGGGGACAGCTTGGAGACGTTCCGAAGGCGTTCGCCCCGGTTCGGAGGGAACTTGAGTACGTTGAAGGATTGATCCAGAGCCTGGACACAGCGGCCGTAGACCGCAGTGACATGAAAGACCCAGTCTACGCACTCATCGAAGGTTTCAAGAAGCAACTTCAAGAGCTGGAAGACTTCATCCGATGCGTCCGCATCAATGAACATCAGTCTTTGATAGCAAACCTCGGAAGTGCGATGACCAGCGTGCGCAAGGATGACGACTTGGATCGTTTAATCAAAACTTGAGAGCGCACATGGCGAATATACGGGATATTGCAACGCGCTTTCCTTCGAAACCCCGACCACAATGCAGCCCGAGATACGCGTACATCGGATCGGTTCCCATCGCCGTATCCCTCTTTGTCGGACGTAAGAAATGTCTTTCCAAGATCGAACATCACACGGACACTCATACAGGGAGCCAAGTAAGGGTCGTCATTCAAGGTCTCGGAGGCCAGGGCAAGACTCAAATTGCCTTGGAAGTCACACGCCGCCTGTACGACTGCCACTCCGTCCTATGGGTGGATGCAAGCTCAGAGTCGTCTATATTGAAGAGCTTTGAAATTATCTGCGATACGATACAAAACGATGGCGCGGTGCCTCAGAATCCCTCTCGCAAAGTGCAGCTGGTAAAAGATATGATGCGAGGTTGGACTGCGTCATGGATTCTCGTAGTTGATAACTACGACGACCCGCGCCGATTCCCCACCCTACTTGATCATCTTCCTAGGGGATCAAGCGCAAAGATTCTTATCACGACAAGGAGCGCCGAGGTGCAGCGATACGCCACTTTATACATTCCCGTTTCCGGCCTCGAAGGAGACAGCGCGGTTCGGTTGCTGCTGGAGCGGTCATGCAGCGAAGACACAGCAAAATCGGTCCCATGCTCAAAAGATCGTCGAAAAACTGGCGCTTCTACCTTTGGCCATCGATCAGGCGGGTGCATTCTGCTTGAGACAACAGTTCTCCAGCCTCGGTCGGTTTCTCGACATCTATGAAGAGAAGAAGCACATCATGTTCAAGTATACACCCCATGGCTGGGAGTACCGCAAGGTTTTCGGCGGCGAGAGGCAGGACTCTGCAGTGAGTGTTTTCACGACATGGGAGATGTCTTTAGAGCAACTAGGGCCAGATGTGGAAAGTCGGAAGCATGTCAGAGACTTCTTGAGCACCTGCGCATTCCTCGACTATACGCACGTATCTGAACTCGTTCTTCGCTATAAGATACGCGAATCGGCGCTTCGACTACACAGCGGCTGTGATTGGCAGCAACTCTTCTTCAATACCCAAGGCTCGTGGGACAATGACCGTTATTAGGATATGGTACACCAGCTGTCCATACTGTCGCTCATCAGTAGTCGGCGTGGAGAAGCCGACAAAGTCTTCTTTTCTATGCATCCCTTGGTTGCCGAGTGGTTGAGACTGACGTGCGACACCCAGCCAGAAGGATGTCGAACAACACTTTTTCGGGCTGTTCATCTCGTCAGCGCCATGCTCAAACAGAAAGTCACTATGCGCGAAGATTGTGCCTCCTTATTGTCAATTTTCAGCGAGAATCAGAAAGTACTCGCTCATATGACAGCCTGTGCCAACAATCTTGCAACTCTTCACGATTCGAATTACGCGCTCGGGACTTATCCATTCGAGGATGACGGGTTTCTCTTCTCAATGTTCTTGGCCGAGACGTGCGAGTATGACAGGGCTACCGAACTTTGTAAAGCCGTCATCGGTTCACGGAAATCCAGACGGGGAGATTCTCACGAGAGCGTTTGGGAGGCTGTTGCACTCATGGGAAAACTTATTCGTCTGCAAGGTCGTCTTAGGGAATCAGTGACCATGCATTTCGAGTTGTATCAGTATCGAGTTCGGCAGTACGGCGAAACGGACCTGCGCACGATTCGTGCTATGTTGGATTTTGCGGAAGACCACGAGTCACTCACCGGTTCCATGGATGCGACCAATCTGGCTTATCTGGTTTGCTTTCGCCAGCAAGGGACCCTACCATCCAGTGTCTATGGGGACGGAAATTGCAGGACTTTACGCGATATCATATAATGTTAGAATGTTCTCTTCGGAAGAAGAATTATTCATCAAAGAGATCGTGCTACGTTTTCAGGAATGGAAGGGGCACAAGCATCCAAAAACCATTTCAGCAAAAGCGAATCTAGCTAGTGTCTACGAAGATCAGAAAAGATTCGATATTGCCTGCCAGTTGAGAGAAGAAGTTACCAAAGATCGTACGGAGGTGTTTGGAGAGGGCGACGGTGCGACAACATGGGCAAAATTTCATCTCGCCTCTACGTATCTGGCACGAGACGACCTGGACAATGACCGAGCTTTTTCAACGCTCGAAGCACTCTACAGTGAGTTACACAGCTCGACCGACCCTAACGAACGTGAGCTCGCCATGGAATGTCTGCACATGCAGGCAAAAGCCTTGGAACGCAAAAGATCCGCTAGGGACGTGGAGAGGGTCCGTGGTAGAATATTGCATTTGCGAGCAAAGGGAGACGAGGTGCAACGAGCTAAGAGAAACCTTCGACCATACTGGTGCAAATGCGCTGCTCCTGTGGAGGCTGTTACGATACCCATCGAAGTCATCGAAGGTCCCACAACACACGCAAAACATATCACAGCCGGGCAGGTTGGCCGGGCATTCAACTCGTTCAAAGAACGGTTAGGGTCCTCTCGCCAATCGCGCGACCCTGGTACCTCATCCGCAAACTCAAATGGTGTGAGATTCTCCATCACAGACGCCCTATCTCAGGTACGTCATCCAGGCCTTTATCCTCATGCATCACTCATGATTACCAGGCTTTCAAAACGCAAATAGCACGCACATCTCCTCCAGCGGCGTCAGCACAAAACCCGTTAACTGCGGCGGTGTCGAACCTCAGCTCGAAACGTTGTAGCGCTACTTCTCAGTTAGTAAGGCAACAGCTAGTGCCCGGTCTCTTGCACGGCGCTCCTGTCGTGGCTATCAAACTTGAGGATGCGAGGAGTAGGCAGGCACAGCATTTGAGATCCAAGAGTGAGACTAGTCTGTTGGTTCCTGTTATTGGGCATATGCGGTCAAGGAGTACATCTGGGCGGAGCTGAGCTGTTGACATAGGCGGGAGTGGATATCTATATAGAGATCGCCGCTTCAGCAGGATAGTTCATCAGTTGCATCTTGCACAGAACTGCATAGCAAATGTAAGATGATGAGATCCGACAGTACTCCCAACAGTTGGAACTGACCGCCTCACAACAACCGCCTTCACCTACCCACGCCCACACCGCTCCGTCCCGCCCTCCTACGTCATTCCCCCATCAACAAACCTTCTCTCACCTTCTCCATCCCTCCGGCAACGCCCGCACACGCACCCCCTCACCTCGCCAAACGCCTCCCCCGATCACGTGCCCCCTGCCGCCTGCGCGCCCGGACCCTCTCCTCCCGTCTATATAAACCCGCCCGTCCCCCTCCTTTTTTCCTTTTTCCTTTTTTTTCCTTCATACTTACCTTGTCAGGGTCCGCGAGCTCATCAATTCGCGCGACCAGCCTGGATCGACGCATTGCACAGCGCGCATTCGGTCCGGTGTCTTGATCATTCCTTCGGGCTGGTTTCTGGCGTAATTTTTGCTGGCGCTCAGGTTGACTTTAGGTTGGCTTTGGCTTTTTCATTGATGTCGCGGCTCTGGCGGCGCATTGAGGAAGGAGGGAGGTGCGTGTGGTGGGGTGAGATGAGGGGAGGTGAGGTGGGCTTGTGGGAGCTGGAGTGTAGGGGAATGGGTGGAGGTGAGCTGAGCTGAGGTAGAAAGAGGATGTTGAAGATGTCGATTGATTGCTCGAATGTCTAGCATACCCATCCACCGTCTATGACTTGTACCGTGCCTGTGATGTACTGCGTGTCGTCGCAGAGCAGCCACGCAATCAACTGTGCGACTTCTTGCGGCGTGCCTCGCCTGTGGATTTGCTGCTTCCATACCTGCTCGCCGCCTCGTGCTGCTACGGATTTCTGCTGCATGGGGCCGTCGATGAGGCCGCTGGTCACGTCAGCTTCGCGATCGTGCAGTGAGATATTAAGCAGAGCCGGCATCACTTACGGCGCTATACAGTTCACTCTGATCTCGCGATCCCCAACCTCCTTCGCTGCCGTCCTGCTCAGCCCAATAACCGCATGTTTCGACGCCGTATACGCCGCATTCTTCGGGAACCCAATGACTCCGCAAATCGACGCCGCATTAACAAGACTCCCGCGCTCCTTCATATTCTGCAGCTGCGCCCGCATACAGTACATCACGCCATGTAGATTGACGTCAATCACGAAATGCCAGTCCTCGTTGTTCAGGTCCTCCACTCGCTCTTTATTGATCACCTTGGGGATCACGCCCGCCATGTTGACAGCGCCGTCGAGCTTGCCGAGCGTTTCTACCGTTTTGGCTATCCAGGCGTTGACGGCGACGTCTTGCCGGACGTCGACGACAGTGCTGAGCACTTTGCCTGATGTGCTGGCTTGAGAGATTGAGGTGGCTTTCTCTTGGAGGGCGGAGGCGTTGACGTCGCAGAGAGAGAGGTGGGCGCCTTGGCGGGCGAGGAGTAAAGCGGTTTCGTAGCCGATGCCTGAGGCGGTGCCGGTGAGGGCGATGACTTTGCCTTTGAGGTCGTAGTCTACGGGCATGCTGGCGGGCGGGGGAGACGAGTCGTGATGCTGTTGGAGATGGGCAATTGAGATGGATTGTGGACGGAGGAGAGCAAAGATGATTGACTTTTGACACGATACAAGAGAAAGACGCGTCTTCACGCGCAAAAATACCTATCCTATGCTGAGGTCATGACCTTCATGCTAAAGCTGGATCGGGATGCGTCCAATTGTGAGTTGAGGCCCGTTCCTGCAGCTCGGCGAACCTTTTCCGCCGTCCCCATCAGCAATTACTAAAACCCCGACCCGGAACTGCTGTCGAATATGGGCCAGTGGCGTAGAGTGTCTCGGAACTTGTACAGGCAGATGGAGGTGGGGGGGGATCAGGAGTTCGCGGATGGTGCGGGGACGGGTTCGTCTCCGCTAGTGGCGCCGCTTTTCGGCTTCCTTCCGCGAACCACCTGTGCTCCAGCACGGATATACACTCCCTTCGCATTATGGAAGCGACAGAACCTATCATGGCCCGGCCGATGTGGCTGTGGCACTTGCGGAAGGGAGCTCTTGAAGCTTCCAATGTCGCGCGTACACGCAGTTTACTTAGCATCTGACGGTATCTCCGCTAACGTCCCATCTACTCGCCATCTAAGATGAAGGCAGCACAGTGGGACCCGGTGAGCTACCTTTGTCTCGCATACAGGAGGCAGATTTCTAACAGCCCCCCAAGGCCCAGCAGAAGGTCGTCGTGAACGAAGTCCCCAAACCGTCCCCCGGCGCCGGCCAATTCCTCGTCAAGCTCGCCTCCGCCTCGCTCTGCCACTCCGACCTCATGTCCATGGCCCTTCCGCACGAACAGCCCGTCACAATCGGCCACGAGGGCGCCGGATACATCGCTGAAATCCATCCCTCCGCCGAGAACCGCGGCTTCAAGGTCGGCGACGCCATCGGCTTCACATACATTGTCAACTACTGCAACGAGTGTGAGGGCTGCGCCGTGCACAATAATCATTGCTTGACGAGGGAGAGCCGCGTGCAGGGCTTCAATGAGCCGGGCCTGTTTGCTGAGTATGCGACGGTGGATGCGAATAGCTGTATCATTCTGCCGGAGAATCTGCCGCCGGACACGTCGGCGCCAATGTTCTGTGGGGGTATAACAGGTGCGGTTACACACGGGGATGGCAATGTCGTGTGTTCAAGGAGCTAGCTAATTGGAGCAGCCTTCCACTGCGTCGATTCGTGCGAATTGACGCCCGGACAATGGCTCGTGATCATCGGATGCGGCGGCCTCGGGCAGCTCGCATGTCAGTATGCGAAGGCGATGGGCTTCAAAGTGATCGGTGTGGATATCAACGACGAGATTCTCTCCATGGCGAAGGCACAAGGCGCAGACGCGGTGTTCAACTCGAGAACGAACAAGAACTACGCTGAAGACGCGAAGGCGTTCATGGACCGCGGGCCGAATAAAGGCGCAGACGCGGTGGCCGTGTTCAGCGCAGCGGACGCAGCTTACCAGAGCGCGCCGAAGCTGGTCAAGCTGGGTGGCATCATCATGGTCGTCGGGCTGCCGAAGAATGGAGTCACGTTCGAGGCGCTGGACATCGCGAGAGGGACGTACCGGATCAAGGGTGATAGTACGGGCATCCCTTCGAGGATGAAGAAAGCTATCGATTTCACGGCTAAGCACAACATCAAGCCTGAAGTAGAGATATATAAGAGCTTGGACGATGTGAATGGGATGGTGGAAAGGATGAAGAGAGGGGAGTTGACTAAGCGCCAGCTCGTGCAGTTCGCGTAGGTTATGAATATCCATTATCAGTCAGATCTCCGGGTCCTCGTGTTTATCTCGATACTCCTTGTTTATGGTTGTCATGCAACTTTGCTCACTCAGCCTATTCTATCTCTCCTATATCAGTTCTTTATATCTCGTTAGTCTAACACTTCTTTCACATGAACACTCAGAAGCCAGGTTATTGTGGTCATATGCGATGCCGAATTTATCCTCTCCAAACCAGGAGATTCATGCTATATGCTAATGCAGCCCCGCCGCTGGTATCAATGCTATCCCGTATTCGCCAACAAACTCTCAAAACTACAACTCAACACCTCAACCACATTCCCCCACGGATCCATCAAATACAGCGCCTTCTCCGTCGGTCCCATAGCCACCGCCTCGCCCACTTGCTTGCCGCCCTCTGCCACCGCCCTCTTCAGCGTCTCCTCCGGATCCGGACTCGTCACCGCAATATGGAAAAACCCCGCTTTGCTATACTCAAAATCTGGCTTCGGCTCGTGCGGCGGGTCGATGAATTCGAAGACTTCGAAGCCCACGCTGTTGCCGCAGCCGAGCCAGGCAATTTTTACTTTTTGGAGAGATGATGGGTAGATGCGGAAGATTGGTTGTGCTGGGTCCGCGCTGCGGTCCGTCATGCGGTCGTTGCTGGCGAATATATCAGTTTGATGTTCACGTGATTTGTTTGAAGTTGGTGGTGGCAGGTATGGCGGTGGGCGGTTCACGTACCGGATTCTCTTGAAGCCAAAGACCTTGCCGTACCACTCGCACGCTGCGTCGCAGTCTGCGACTGAGATTGCGACGTGGTTGAAGACGTGGTTGTGAATCTGCTCGCGTTGCTCGCCGTCAACGAAGTGCGTCTCGCAGCATTTGCTACAACGGAAGCTTTGGCGTTCGGAGGGGTTTTGAGAAAGACTCGCGCGGGTGGGAATTGACTGACTGAAGGCATTGTATTGTATCTCTTCTGCAAAGAAACAGAATTAAAAGTATGAAGTGTCCAAAATGCCTCGGTCTGTCTGTTGATGGTTGGTGGACAAGACAGAATCGGGCAATTCGACGGGCTCCTTTTTGTATATCGAATTTCGAGGTATGACTGGAATTGGATGGGCAGGTGATTTTGCCCGATTGAGGCGTTTAGCGTCGCGGGTGTGCTAATCAGGCTATGGTCGTGTGAGGTGGTGCGTGGGGAATGCGGCGATCCGAGATCTGCCGCCGACTTATTTTCGTGGGATGTTCAGATGTCAAAAGTAGGAGCAATTGTCTCCCTTGACCCTTTGCAGGCTGCATATGCAGATATACTTTCCTTTGCCCCGGGATATGCTTTTCCTTACCTGGCGTTACCCCGGATTTTCCTGTGCATGCGTGGCTTTGGTAAGCTTAGCTAAGATTGCGCCACGCCGGGTAGGGCTCCGCGGTGTTTGATAGGCGAGTATTTGGTCTGGAGAAGGATACGAGGGCGGAAGCCGGGAAGTGCAGTTCCCCTTCACATCGGAGTGTTGTGTGAAGAGGGTGATGTGTGCGGGGTGAGGCTGTGGCATCGGGAGCTAGGAGACGCTAATTGGATCGTTGGAGGCGGAAATCGGAAAGGTAGGGATGCCTAGGTACAGTATAACTCTTGATGACTTTTTCACATGCTGGTATTTTGCGTGTTTTGAGGGGTTTGTGTTGCATGTGGAGTCACAATGGAAGCATCAAAGGAAGACATTGCAGCTGAAAGTGAACACTTCCTTGATTCTAAACTGCCTAACTCTGGGTAGGTAACCGGTGTGTGCTGTACAGTACACCGCTACTCCTCGAAGAACTTCGCCTCACCGTGCGGTTTCGCTAGCCTGAAGGCATTGGCCTCATTCTGTCTGGCCTTCTTCAGGAGCTCGTGAGAATCGCTCTTGATGGCGGCCCGCACATTGGATGACGGCTCAGCGGAGAACTCGTAGACTTGCATCCACGTTGGCGGTTCGGGGGCTGGTGCATCGTCGGTCGTCGGGAGGCCTTTTAGTGCTCGTGACTGCGCGTTTGTGCGAGCGTAGAGGAGCCGGAAGCGGAGTGAGCGCTGGTAGTTTTCGGTTTTTGACATGGTCGCTGCTTGCTACTCCGGTTGTCAGCATTTTGACTGCTCAGAAGGACCTCTACGCCAACTTCTTACCTGGTCGAAGAACTGGTTCACTTCCTCATCCATAGCGTCGCTCGGGGGCTCAATCGCCGAAACCACGAAGAACTGCGCCGGGCCTAGGGGAGCTAAGTAAGCATCTAGACACCTATCTCCCTTGGTCCACATTCGACATACCTTTCTTCACCCCGCTCCCACTCTTCCCCACCAGCCCATAATAGCCCACATCCAAGTCCGCCATATCATACACGATCCCGGACCCGGGCAAGATATCACTCTTCACCCGGATCCCCTTGAATTCCTGCCCCTGCGTAAACGCCAAATCCGGCATGGGATAGAACGCGAGATACGGCTTCGGGCATTCCGGCGTCCCCAGCGGTGAGGCCCTATCAACGTGAAGGCAGCGGAAAGCGCTCGGGATGCCGGATGTTGCTACGATTTCGGCGATGTGGTCGTCGTCGTACCAGCGGAGGAAGGTGTCTTCGTCGAGCAGGTTGGCCGCGTGCTTGGAGATGTTGCCCGTTACCCAGAGCATGCCGGGGCCTTTGATGTTTTGCGCCATGGGTTAGTCGAGGATGCTGGGGGCAGTCGGGATGAGCATGGAACGAGAGAAGTGAATGGAGACGTCACGCTGGATCGAAGCGCGTCCTATCGGGCTTGCAACGCGCCATTGTGAATGCTCCGCCCTTTTGTCAATTGAGACCAACAGTCTTGAGATGGAAGAATAGAGGAATGGCCGGATATGTGTTACCGGAGTGCGAAGGTCGACGGAGAAAACTGGAAGATCCGGGGAGAGCTACCCCGCCATTCACGTGCCTCGACCCCACCTACACTTACCCCCTTTCTCCTAACACGCAGGTACGTCTCCTGCTCGACGCGTCAACGGTAGAGTATTTCCACGCGTGTAGACTGCCTGAAGACCACTCATTCAAACATGGCTCGCCTGAGTTGGACGCCAGCGCTATATTGCTCACTGAGGCGGAGGCGTGTAGTTTGCAGACGAAGTCATTTCAACCTTTCCGCGCTTCTGAGGACAACACTGCATTTAGACTGACAGGTCTGGCTTATTCTCTACGGCTTCCAGCCAGGATGAAGGATCTCAAAGGCAAGACAGCCGTCATCACCGGCGGTGGAACCGGAATCGGCCTCGCGCTTGCGCTCCAACTCGCAGAGCAAGGCTGCAACGTGGTCGTCTCCTCAACCTCCAAAGAGCGTCTCAGCGCAGGCGCCAATCAGATCCGCGAAGCCTCCCCGAACGTCAAAGTCTTCGACATAATCTGCGACGTGTCGGACCGCGCGGCCGTCAAGAACCTCAAAGCCGAGATCACCAAAGCGGGCCTGCAAGTCGACATCCTCGTCTGCAATGCGGGAGTGACGACAAGCGGCCCCTATCACATGCACAGAGACTCCGACTGGGACTGGGTCTACGGCGTCGTGCTCCACGGCACGCAATACTGCATCCAAGAATTCTACCCCGACATGGTGGAGCGCCGGTCCGGCCACATCGTCATCAACGGCTCGCAAGCCGGCATGGTGCCCAACTGGGTAACACTCCACGGGCCGTACACATCCGCCAAAGCTGCCGTGCACGCACTGGGCGCCGCCATGCGCCCCGAAGCTGCCGAGCACGGCGTCGGCGTGACCACGGTTGTTATTGCAGGCACGCAAACGGAGATCATGAAGAGCGAGCGGAGTAGGCCGGACAGGTTTGGAGAGCCGCTCAAGGTCGAGGTTAAGAAGAGGGAGGCGAGGCGTGTGCCGGCGAGTGAGGTGGCGGGCCAGATTTTGGACGGGATTAGGCTGGATAAGGGGTGGGTGGCTACGCATCCAGATTTGAAGGCGAGGACGAAGCAGTATTTTGATGAGATTCTTGCGGCGTATGATCATTAGGTTGCGTGTAAGTAGGAATGGGGTGGCTATTGTAGTAGCCTATCATTTGTCTTGGGTGCTTTGGTTCTCCATCCCACTAGTACAACGCCTTGAAAGTCTCCTCGCTTCCAATTACGAACCTGGACGAATACGTGTGGATAAGCATAGTTGAAAAAGGTGGAGTTGCATACGATGCTCTTCTTCGGTACAGAGTAGCGGGATACGGATAAAAATGCTCAATTATAAAATAATCTATCTAATCCCTCCTCGGCGTCAGCTTCAACTTCAAACTCGGCTTAATCCAATTATTATACACCACCATATTCTCATACTCCCTCCTCGGATCCCACACCCTATTCTCCCCATACATCTCGACATCGTTATGCCACAGCAGCTTCCCGATAATCAGCCTCATCTCCATATAGCTCAGGTTCCTGCCGATGCAGCCTCTTGGACCGAGCGAGAACGGATTGCTAGCACCAAGCTTGTCGGTGGTGTTTTTCTCGCGGTCGAGCCAGCGTTCGGGACGGAACACGTAGGGGTCGCTGAAGTTGCGCTCCGAGTGTGTGGCCGCCCACATGCATACGGAGACCGTGGTGCCTTCGGGGACGAAGTGGCCGGACACGGTGTCGCCGCCGGCGGGGACTGTGCGGACGAAGCCGATGGGGGCTGAGGGGAACATGCGCAGGCCTTCTTCGATGACGGCGGTGAGGTAGGGCAGCCTGACGAGGGCTTCGAAGTTCATGTCGGTCTCGCTCTTGAAGCTCGAGCGGATCTCGTGCGTCAGTTTCTCGAGGATATGCGCGTTGTTTGGACGGGTGATGAGGTTGAACAACCCTGTGAGGAAGCCCGCCGTGGTTTCTGTGCCGGCGATGATGAAGAGCGCGCCGTTGACGATGACTTCGTTTAGGTTGAGGTCGCCCTTGTCTTGCTGCTTCATGACGTAGTAGAGGAAGTCGCGGTGGTCGCTCTGCGTTTGCTCCATGCGCTTGAGGATCTTTTCTTTGCTGTAGTCGAGGTGCTTTTGGCGCGTTTTGCGGACACGATCGGGGATGCAGCGTATGAGGAAGCGTTGGAGGGGGCTTCCGGTCGTGGCCATGCGGCGTGTTGCTTGTTCGATTGCGCCGGCTTTGATGGATTCGCTGATTAGGGGGACCCAAAATCGGAAGTCCTCTGCGCAATGTCAGCCTTGGGATTTTAGAGTGCGCGGGATTGCGTCACGAACCGTTGTGTAAGCATCCAAAGGGCTCCCCGAGCGCCATGTCCCCAATCACATCGAATGTCGTGTAGGCAAACCAGTCCGTAACATCCACGATTCCGTCCCCTCTTGCGAACTCTTGCATCTTCTGAGCGAAGATATTGACGTAATTCATAACGATGTATTCCTGTTCGAGCAGTGCCTTTGTGGAAAACGCGTGTGATAACGCCCTTCTTTGTCGAGCATGGTCCGCGTCATTCGCCATGGTTATCGTAGAAGCGCCATGCACGGCTGCAATAGAACCGACGTGGATCGGATCCTTGTGAAAATTCTTGTGCCCTGGACGCGATCCATAGATGTCCTTCCACGCCGACTCGTCGTCGAAGCACAGTTCGTTGGGAGATACGCGGACGACAGGACCGTACTTGTCATGGCACGCCTTCACGTAGAATGGGATACGTCCACGGAGGAGACTCCATGTTACGGGGATCTGTGTCGCTTTAGCGTCTGTACTTCGTCGCCCTTCTAGAGCAGCTGTACCGGAGTGAGTCGGGCAAACAGCGGCCCTGGGAACCTCGCGAGAGGGTGGAAGTATAATCGATATATTGATAGCGCAAACAAGTAGATTGAAAGCTGACTCGTGGTCAGTTTTTTTTTTTACTTTTCATTGCCGAATCTCGACTTACAATGCCTCCAAAGACGATACCAGCAGCAGCAGAGGGCCCCAGGTGCGCAAAGGGAAGCGTTTCCCAGTTCAACACCGCCATGACGAGATTTCGTGATTGACTGATGACTCTCTGATCTTCTATTGCGGAGAACACATGACAGAAAGATCATATAGCCCACCTAGCCCGCTTCCAGGCCCATCGCCGTCCTTCGACGTCCTGCCCCTCCGGAAATTGACTTCCCTCCAATTTATTCGGAAATCATATGAACCAACTCCATCTCAAGGGAGCATACTCTGACAACGCGGTCGGAAATATGCAAGCTGCAACTGGGGGTATGGTGTCCAGACAGGATGGAGATGCGGGGTGTTCGGTTCGGAGAAGGTCTGCCAGGCGCGCTAAGGAAAGCTTGTCTCTACGCGATCTTCCATCCCTTCATCCCATTTCGGCCTCCTTCATCCAATTGCGTAGGCAGAATGATCTTCCCTTTTGCCCGCAGCACGCCGAGCGCGACTTTGGAGCTGTTTACCGGATGGCGTAGGAAGGATTGAGGACCTGGCGCGTCCTGTGATGCCCGACTGGGTGTCGCGCATCTCTCAAAGTGCTCACAACGTTGACCGCCCTCGATGAACCATTCTTCCTACTTCGCGCTAACTTGACATATTCCGCGTCAATTACTACAGACAACTATCTGGAGGCGATGGCAACAGACATACGCCCCAATGGCCAGACCAACGGGCACACTAACGGCGCGCTGAAGAGAGTGTTGCGGATTGCTGGCGTATCGGGAGGAGTCTTTGATCGCTTTCGATCAATGCAAGATTTGGCAAAAGATCCAAGCATCGATGGTACGCACACGCATTCGCATAGATACAAACGTTGACACTTGAGCAGTGCTTTTCGGGGACTGGATATCAGAAATCAGTATGACGTTTCGCGGCAACGAGCGCGCTACTCGCGATTCGGATGCAGAACGAACAGCCTTCGAGATGAGTTTCGTCGCGGCGCTGAAACCTGCCATTAAAGATATTGCGAAGAATAAGCAGCGAGTCATCTCAAACGCCGGCTCGTGTGACCCAGAAGCTCTCGCTAAGGTTGTACAGCAGCTCGTCAAAGACCAAGGAAGCGATTTGAAGGTTTCATGTGTAACAGGTGATGATGTGACGGAGCAGTTCAAAGCGATGCTGAAGAGCGGAGAGAAGTTTCCATCACTGCCTTCGGATATTCCAATCGATCAATGGGGCCAAAAACCTGTATGCGCACAAGCATATCTTGGGGGAGTGGGCATTGCGGAGGCTCTACGGCATGGTGCGGATATCGTAATATGTGGGCGAGTGGCCGACGCCGCGCCCGTCATTGGAGCCGCTATGTGGTACCATAACTGGGGAAGAGACGACTTCACACAGCTCGCATATGCACTCGTAGCAGGCCACTTGCTCGAGTGTAGCGCGTACGTAACCGGAGGCTACTACACTGGCTTCAAGCAGGAACTACTATATGCGAACAACTGCACCAACTTAGGCTTTCCTATCGGCGAAATCGAAGCGACTGGCGAGTTCGTGATCACGAAAGAAGAGAACGCGGGCGGGATCGTGAACATACAGACCGTTACCGCCCAGCTTCTGTATGAGATCCAAGGACCGCTCTATTACAACTCCGACGTTACTGCCCGCTTCGACGGCATCAAACTCACCGACGAAGGCCAGAACCGTGTACGCGTCACCGGAGTAGTCGGCTCACCTCCACCACCTACAACAAAGATCGGCATCACCGCCCGCGGTGGATGGCAAGCCGAAGTCCATTTCTTCCTCACTGGGCTCGATATCGCGGAGAAAGTGGAGCTTGTGAGGCGCCAGACGCTCGAATCAATGGGCGACTACCGGAAAGAGTTTCAGACTCTGACCTTCAATGTCACTGGGTCGGTGCCAATCAATCCAAAAAACCAGGCAAGCGCGACAGTAGATCTCCGTATCTTCGCCCAAAGCCGCAATCCGGATCTGATGTCGGCTGGTACGCATAAGGGGGTCGCGCCTGATACCCCAAGTTTTGGGAAGTGGTGCATCGAGAACTGTCTCCAGGGGTATCCGGGCGGCACTCCAGCTATGGATCTGCGGCAGAGCATTGGGAAGCCATTCTTCGAATACTGGGTAGCGCTATTCCCCCAGGACAAGATTAATCACGAACTGCACACTTTCGATGGGAAGACAGTACCGATACCGCCCCCATCGAATACTCGGGTATATCCAAGACGACAAGATTCCTACGACACTGCGTTGCCATTGGCTCTGGATACATGGGGAAAGACAGTGCGAGCTCCCTTAGGCCACGTCGTCCATGGCCGATCAGGCGATAAGTCATCAGACTGTAACCTAGGCTTGTTTGTGCGGCATGCCGATGAATGGGACTGGCTGCGCTCGTTGATGTCAGTGGGAAAGCTGAGGGAGCTACTGGAGGAAGAAGATAAGGGAAAGAAGATCGATAGGTTTGAGATACCGGCACTGTATGCTGTGCATTTCCTATTGAGGGATCATCTGGACAGAGGCGCGAACTCTAGTAGTTCGTATGATATCTTGGGGAAGAATTTGTGCGAGTACGTCCGGTGCAAGCCAGTGGATATACCGAAGGTGTTTTACGATAGAGGCACGATATAGATAGAAATACAAGCTTCAGACTGCTACTCCAGCACAACACACTCATGTGACATTCGACACGAAGCCACTCGTTTGAAATTCCTACATCTTTCTGTGGCGCCCAATAGTTAGAGCACTGTGACCTCCTCATGCGGGGGATGCGGGCGCGCTAAATTCCCATCTCCTGCATACCCGGAAATGGTTCTCCATGGTGCAGGTCGACCTGCACGGCGCACGTCACATGCCCGGAGAGCTACCCTTGTTTGTATACAAAGCCAGCAGCTTCGCGTTAGATTCAACAATACCCCCAATACCGCTCCCTACGTCTCTTGTATTCCGCTCCGCCAACAGCTCCCATCATGGGCGAACCAGCAGACCTCCCCTACATCCGCGTCCAGCTGATGCTCCAGAAAAAAGACGAAGTCACCGAGGAATTCTTCCACAACTACTGGAAAACGAACCACGTCAAGCTCGCGCTCGAGAACAAGAAATTCGTCGATAAGGTCATCCGGTACAATCAAGTAAGAGCCCGCCCTTGCTTCTCCGTCCTACCCTACCGCGCTTGCCATCGTTCCCCGTGCTTTCAACTATAGCGCTAAGTGCATGACAGTGGCATGCCTCACCACGTCTCCGAGAAGCCGCTCAGCAGTTCAAGATCCCGGTGCCGAACTACGATGGCATAGCGGAGGTATGGGTGAAGGATGTCGAGACGTGGCAGGAGATAGTGACGGATCCGGCTTTCGTGGCTGCGATTGCGCCGGATGAGAATAATTTTATCAAGGCGCCGATTCATATCATGCTGGGGTACGATAACACGGTTTTGGGGGAGCCGATTAAGGCGAAGTAGAAAGCAGCGCTCATGGAAGCTCACGTGTTGGGAATGGTTGAATTGACCTTGGCGACGTGGTTCTAATGCTATTGGGAAATTGTCATGGCGCAAGCTCTGGCGTGTCGCCAAATGAATACGACTGGAATGAAGGCGGGTATCTGTCCCCAGCCACTTCCACTTTCTCGATCTCTGTGCGTATCTGCTCCACCTCCTCGGCGGTGAGCTTGACGGCAAGCGCGCCAATGTTCTCCTCGAGATACTTGGACTTCTTGGTCCCACTGCAAGCGAAGTTAGTCGCGTCCATATCTATGGCGTTATAAGACTTACGGAATTGGAATAATATCGTCCCCCTGTGCCAGCAGCCACGCCAGGCTCAACTGCCCAGGCGTACATCCCTTCTTGCGCGCAAACTCCTGCAGCTTCTCCACGAGCTTCAGATTCTTCGGGAAGTTCTCCTTGTTATACCTCGGCGCATACTTTCTGAAGTCTCCTTCTTCGAAGTCATCTGGGCTCTTTATCTGGCCCGTGAGAAAACCACGACCGAGCGGACTGTATGCTACGATAGCGATTCCGAGCTCTCGGCAGGTTTGCAGGATGTCAATTTGCGGTGATTCGATGTCTAGTGCAAAAGGACTGTATTCGACTTGCACGGCGTCGACGTGGTGCACTTTCTCTGCGCGACGGATTGTGGAAGCGGAGACTTCGCTGAGCCCTATCGCGCCGATTTTGCCTTCCCTGATGGAGCAAAAATCAGATCAATCTCTGGTACCAAGGGAAGAGAGCCTACTTCTTCAACTCCGCCATAGCAGCGACAGTTTTCTCAATCGGCGTCTTCTTATCCACACGGTGGCAGTAATACAAATCAATCTTCTGCACCCCCAGCCTCTTCAAGCTCTTCTCACAAGCCTGCCTCACATACTCCGGGTCACTCCGTATGGTCGGCCGGCCATCGGCGTCTTTCGTGACCGCGAACTTCGTAGCGAGGAAGATGTGGTCGCGTTTGCCTGTCCGCTCGAACCATAGCCTCAAAAGGTCTTCGCTGTCCGCATCTATATATCCTGAGTCAGAGCCAAATTTGTCTCCAGAATGGGAGCCTCACAAACGTCCGAAGTATCCCAAAACGTTGACCCAAGCTCCAGCGCACGGTCTAGAACCGCGAACCTGGCTTCGTTTTCTTCGACCTTGCCGTACGACGCTGATAATCCCATAGCGCCGTAGCCTAGGGCTGAGACACGAGGCCCGCTCTTGCCTAGTTGCCTCGTTGGTAAGGAATGCATCATGCTCGCGATAAAAGGAAAGAATGCTCAGGAAAACAGTGCCCAAGCAACTTTCGATTTTTGGACGTAGGAAGCAAGTGCGACGCCTGAGCACGTGCAGCAGTTGCCGGCTGCTGAAACGCGTCTCTTCATTGATACCATGACCGCGGGTGATGAGGCGACTGAGACGGCTTGTGGTCGGAAATACAGAACCGGTGCTATGTTAGGTTTAGCGCGGATATACGACAGCCAGACCGACTTCAGAACGGAATCCACGCGTCCATGTATCCGATAACAGCTCTCTACAGGCTCCGCAAATACGCATACTAAGTCGTTTGATATCGTGTAGGAATTCGTTCTCGCCCCAACTTGCACCGTTCCCACCTTCACGTGGCCTCGCTTAGTGCTTCAAATTCATAGATCCCTAGCTGGACCCGGAAATCCATTTTCCAGAAACCCAGTCCAACCCCAGATGGCGCCACGCGTGCCGCCAGTGCGCCTCCGCGCTATTGAACCCCAAATTTCGCGTCAACGTGGACTTTGCGGGGATGCTAGAGTATGCCCACGCATCTGGCTGCCCCGCCAGGTGGGTTCCCCGGCATCCGTTTGGCTCCAGATGCGCGCCGAGTCCAATTCCAGACGCCCCCACAGGGCAGGCTTAGAATACAAGCATGGAATGGCGTGGGCAAGCTTCTATCCTTGGGGTTTATCGTTGTGGTGACCCCGGATGACGGGAACCGTGCATGACCGAAAGAGGCAACTTGGATGATTATCATCCCCCTGCCTCTGGAGTTTGCTGGGCTTCTAGGTTCGCGTAGGTGTCTTGCATCGTGTGCACGTATCCCAGCGGGCTGGGACACATAAAGGGATCCACTTCCCCAGACTCTGTCCCTGTGACTTCGCGATTTCCATCGATCCTTCCTCTTTATTACTCTTCGACTGTTGGTAACTATCGTCCATCATGACACCTCATGCGGAGAAGGACGCCGTCGAGCAAGTGGAGCAGGCTCAGAGCTCTACTGACAGTACTGCCTTGGGCGAGCGCGGCTTCGTTGGTGAAGCCAATGAGCTGCCAAAGGGATACTTCTATTCCCCTTTCTTCATCGGGACGACGTGCGCTATCGGCATGAACTTGATGGTGAGCTCTTTTGCCCTTCTCGATCTGACCTAAAGGATGCTAATGCTCGTGACCAGGCGTCAACGGGAGGCTTCGCCCTGGTAGCTCCTGTCCTGAGTCAGATTGCGGTCGCCCTCGGCCCAACCAACAGCATAATCTGGCTATCCCTCGTCTATACCATTGGTCTGGCTGTCGGACTCACGCTCGTCGGCCGTCTGTCCGACATCTTCGGGCGCCGCTGGTTCTTCATCGTCGGAACGGCATTAGGCTGTCTTGGGGCCATCGTTTGTTCCACGGCGAAGACGGTTCCGGTTCTCATCGGTGGCCAAGTCCTAATCGGTCTCTCCGCATCGACAGGATACTCCTACGCCTTCATCATCGGAGAGTTGGTTCCCGTCAAGTACAGGTTCATGTTCAACGCACTCATCTTCGTGTTCTCGTTTCCGACTGCGGGATTCGGCGCTGCGATATCGACGGCTTTCATCCTGCACACGAAAGCCGGGTGGCGATGGGTGTACTACCTGCTCATCATCCTCAACGGCCTGACCACGATTCTCTATGCGGTCTTTTACTTCCCGCCGACCTTCCACCAGAAGCATGGCCGCGATACCGTCATGAAGTGGCTCAAGCACTTCGATTATGTCGGACTGGTCCTGTACACCGCGGGCCTCGTCCTCTTCATCCTCGGACTATCCTCCGGAGGCTCGCTGTACCCCTGGAGCAACGCGAAGGTTATTGCACCTATCGTGGTTGGGTTCCTGTGTATTGTGGCGCTCTTCCTATATGAATCCTTCATGGACCTGAAGGAGCCTCTCATTCCGATGCACCTCTTCAAGCATCGCGGGTGGGTAGCGTCGATGCTGAGTTTGTCTTTGGGCGCTTCGGTGTACTACTCTCAAGCCATCATTTGGCCTGAGATGACGGTCAATGTCTATGCGCATGGGCGCGTAATGTGGGGTGGCATCGTGTCCTGCCTCGTAGGCATCGGCATCACGCTCGGAGAGATTATCGGGGGCGGAGTCGCAAAGGTTAGTTGCCCTTCCACTATCTTTGCGGAGTAGCAGTATGACTGACGGGTTCTAGAATTTCGGCCATTGGAAAGTGCAGTGCTTCTGTGTCATAACACTCGGCACTCTCTTTCTAGGCCTCGGGGCGCTATGTAACCCCAACACGCCGAAGACGGCCATCGCCTTGGTCTTCATAGCTACGACGTTCGTCGGCTGGAACGAGGCACTCGTTTTGCCGATTTGCACCATCGCCATCCGTGACCAGGAAGAGATTGGCACGGCCGCCGGCATCGCAGGATCCAGCCGGTCATTTATCTCGACAATAGCATCGACGATATACTCTGTCGTACTTACGCAACGTGTGACGAAGACGTTAAGTACCGAAGTTCCAGCTGCAGTCGTCCAAGCTGGTCTGCCAGCATCGTCAGTCGCAGACTACATGGCCGCGATTGCCGCTGGTGGAACGCAGTCGTTGCTCGATGCTGTCAATGGCTTGACTCCGCAGATCATTGCTACAGGTGCAGAGGCGTACAGATTCGCGTATGCCGACGCATATCGGACCATTTTCCTGGTGTCGCTTGCGTTTGGTGGTTTGGCGATTATCGCTAGCTTGTTCATTCCTGATATCGATTCGTTGATGGGTGAAAAGGTGGCCGCAACGCTGAAAGGAAGGGACAAGAATAGCGACGATCTGAAGGTTTGAGTGGAGTTGTCTCGGCTGGATGGATAAGGCCCAGGACGCGTCAGCTAAGGGAGCGTAAATCTGAATTATATTCGTTTCATGCTTGTGTAGGTGTTCTGGCGGGTTCCCTGTTTATCTCCAGATGAATGGTGTGACGCAACAACTCCCAAGCATCGAGTGGTTTCAAGGCTATATGTAAGGCCTGTCAGCAGGACGATGCATGTAAGGCGGTTGATAGGTGTCAGAATGTGGGATGACTCAAGAGGGTAAGCCGCCAGCGCGATGCAAGTAAACATTCAAATCTTGGAGGTGCTGACGCGTACCGCAGCGCGAAACAAGTCATTTTGATAAACGCAATAATCGACGCTGCCAACTCAAGTAAACTTCGAATCTTGATTCTGCAACGGTGCCGATCGCACTAGTTGACACTCTTCATTGCGTAAGATGTCTCTAGAATGTGCCGGGAACGATCGCATGTCGTCCACCATCAGACATGATGATATTACCATCTAGCTGTCAGTTAGCATCCGTATAATTGGCCGATTCGGGTGAGGATCGTCGACTCACTGGTGTATGCACCTGCTCGGCTGACCATGAAAAGGAGAGCACCACCGGCGTCTTCCGCAGTGCCTGCCCTAGTCGCGGGTATCATCTCTGGCGAGATAGAGCCTTCATTTGACATATCATTGCTACCCATCAAGCCCTGCATATCCATCAATCGATTGCCGCGCGTCGTGGACAGCAGCAGGGCGGAGAAACATACCTTACTCATGTCACTTGGATACACACCTGGGCAGAACACATTTGCCCGGATATCAAGCCTCCAGTCTGCCAACATTGTTGTCAACTGCTTTACAATATGAATTATCGCCATCTTAGCTCCAGCGTACGCGAAGCCCATTCCAGGTCTCCTTGCGAATGCACCAATGCTGCCAGTAACAATAAACTGGCTCTTCACCCCAAGGCTCTTACCCGCTTCGCTCTCATTGCCTTTTGATAAGAGTTTGAGGAAAGCAATCAAGGTGTAGAAGCAAGCGGTGGCGTTAACCTCGAATGCCTCATTAAAATGGTCTCTCGGTGTGTTCCATAGGTACTTGTGGATCTCATCTACTGTGGGGCGGCGGTCTTTGGGTAGACCGTACAGATTTGGTCCAGTTGCCCCAGAATTGGCGATCAAAACATTGAGGTAACCGGCTTCCTTTTCAACCTGGGTTGCTGCAGCGGCGAGAGAGTCGTTGGAGGTGATATCGCACTGGATGGGAACGATGGACTTGTTCTTCTGTGATTATGGTTTAGTCGAATACTGGCACAGAACGGCCTAGAGAGCATACTGCGGCAGCAGCGACTTCTTGGAGCTTTTCCATTCGGCGTCCGAGGATATAGACCTTCGAAGCACCGTTTACATCGAGCGCGTTTGCAAACATCGCACCAATTCCTGTGTAATATCAGCGATGCGAGCACTTTCAGATCTAGCATTAGCGAACCTGTTCCACCTCCGGTGATAACGAACACCATCCCCTCGATGCTAAACAAGCTCGACGCCTCCAAACTCGCCATGATTGACCCGGAATGAAAAAGAGGTATTCGGGATGACAGGATATCCTTAGAAGTTCCAATTCTAACACAGTGCAAACAACATATTTGGAGTGCCGAGCGGCTGTATGTAGTAGCTTCCTAACCTATTCTCGGCGTCGGCCTTGTTTTAACTGCCTATGTATCACCCATCTCGGTCGTCCCTGAAAGGCTGGAGGAAACTGAGACCCTGCTGAATGAGGGGTTGACATGCGGCCGGAAAATGTTCCTATTGGCTTTGAGCAGCCGATGGGTCACGTGGTAGAACTTCGGCACTACGAAGCTCAAATGTCCCGAGGTCAGGCAGGAACTTGAACACTGGACGCATGGACTTGAGGAAGTCATCGATTGCCCTCCATCAAGTTCCGGAACGAGCGATCCCACAGCCGTAGAGACATGGAGACGATCGATCGACATTTCCGGCTCGACGCAAGACGCTCCGGGTCGTGCGATGAGTGATGGCAGTTAGATGGTGGACGTAGCAAGCGCGGCCCCCCGTCCAGCAGTAAGTGTGTGCATGTTGGGGGTATTGCGGCCATGTGGCATCCAGAGAAGTGCGAGGAATCGAAAACTGGGAGAACAGCTTGCTGAAGATGGGCATGGTTCTGCTAGTCCCAGATGGATCTGCGAAGCATGCCCGTCTGAGGAGTGATTGAACGTGAGGGGATCCGGCTCCAGGGAAGACATGCATCAGAGGATGATGCTTCTCAGTCCTTGTTGTAGTTCATAATCGACGTTCGTCTGGTCTTAAGTTAAGTGTAAGCAAACATGACCAGCTAGGAGCAGCGTAATCAATATGGGAGACAGTCCCGCTTCATCTATCCGGGAGGTTCCAGTGATATCACCTTGATGCAGCGCGCAGGGCCTAAGGTCTGGATGTGAAGATTGGTAATCCATAGCGATGAGTGTGAAAGCCAGCGTAATGGCTACACGTGACGCAGAACAACACGGCTGAGGCTACAACCGCTGCGCTTAGTAGGGGCCACAATAGCTGCAGGCGGGCGCGGCGGTTGCTGCTAATCGCTCCGAGTTACAGGACCTCGGGATGCTTCATTCGGGGTGACCATGTTGTGGGGGGATAACCACACGGTGGTAAACCGCTAGAGCTGTAGCGTACGGAATTTCGGCATCCAGATGCATGGTGTTGAAGATGGCACAAGCTTGTGGTGACGGGTTGATGTTGACGTCGGGAGGTCGGAGAGAGCCGTGGTGTGGAGGTGAGGCTGGGAAGCCTGACCAGATTTTCGGCTGGAATGCCAAGAGATTTGCGGCCGGGATTTGCAGCTTCCTTCCGTCAGGGAGTCAAGATTGCCCTCTCCACTCCTTCACCATCGTCGAGCAAGTCCTTCGTTCACGAACTCCAGTTTTCCAGCAGTGCTACGGACCGATATGAGGTACGCCGTGTTTTGTTTCATGCCCCTGCTTTGTCAGAGCGCTTCAGCATGTGGCCATCCTCGAATCGAAGAACTGGCTGGTGCGCCGAAACCCCGGAATCCAGCGCCTTCGACCATTGCCGTATACAGCCTGAGGCCTCCTCACTCGACTCAGCGCTTCCCGCATTTGCTTTTGTGGTGTGACTTCGAAGAGCTGCGTCAGGTTAGGGTTCTTCAACGCTCGCACCAGAGGAGATGGGCCTCTTATGGATTATCAACCCTTGACAAATCGACTGCATCTTGGCTCTGTTACTGAACAACCGTCTGTGCCCATTACCAGGAATCGAATAATTTTCCCAGCATGACGATGCAATGGAGCTGATCCGGCTCATCGCGAAATTGGGGTTCCGAAAGCTTGGCCCGAGCGACATCTGCAAGCCACGTCGTATCCGGCACGTCTCGAACAACCGTCAGCCCTCAGCATAGTTGCCTTTTTAACCCCGTGCTGCTGACTTGTTATCTCTCGTGACTCTGTCATCTCTCCTACTTGACTGGGACTGGAACGCCTCCGCCGTGTACCACGCCGCCATGGACCAGTACCTGCTGCTGAGGCCTTCTTTTGGATATACTGCAGCTGGCCGCGTAATGCTTGACGAATTATTGCCCATCTTCAGGCAGTCTTGCAGCTATTCTCGCTTCTGCTCTACCACAATCTGAGCTCGAACCCTGACGGATACCGGGCCGGCTGCAATTTCCGCAAACCGCAAGAGGAGGGATGGCAGAGCGCAATACTGGGACAAAGTCTCCCAACTTCATGGAATACGAGTAGATGATTCCGCGTGTTACTAGATCCATACCAAAATGCGGGGATTAAATTTAACCGCCGATCCGCTTCGAAGCCATATGGATGGGAGTCTTGGCAACGCTCTGGATTTCTTGTAGCGGATTCTACGCCATGATGAGAGGCTCCTGCGACGCAGCGCCCAATACGGGTTGCAGCTCAGCGTTCGGCTCTCCACCGCGGGCCCTTCAAACCAGATAGGTAAGGCCGTAACCGTTTTGAAACCATTCTTGCTTATTCTTTTCCGGGTCGTTCTCACAAACTTGCATTCCCCCGCTAGGCTGTAGGAGCGCCAGTTCTTCTTCTCGTCCGCGCGTTATCGTTCGGTTCCAGGTAATGCTGCAGGCTCATGGCTGGACTGGCGCTAAGATCCGCATCACTCCATCATGACTCCCGAGTCCACTGTCTCTCGGCGCAAGGCTCTTCCAGAGTACTTCAACCGCAGCGGTACAGTTGGAAAGCTTATTCTCATGTCACTGCGGAGCCACCGCCTCGCGAAAGTTGTATATGCTTTCGTATATCACTGGCGAGTACCCCCTTCTGGCAAGCGTTCTCCTACCGAGAACACAGCTATCTTCGCCAAGCGCTATGAGTACTGCGATTGAGTCCAGCTCGTCTCTTGAGTCACCTCCTTCACTTCCACCGCTCGACGAATCAGCCTCCGTGCACTGGACTCTGCCGTCGTTAATTACGGATGCTCCCACGTTATCGCAGCTCGCTCAGAATCGAGCTCACGACCTTGAGATCTCAACACCTTATACCCAGACTGGATCGTACGGAGGCTATTCCTCCAAGGGTGACAAAGAGAAGCAAAATGACGACTCCACGCTACCAAGCAGCAATACGTCCGGAATTATCCTACGCCCTCCGCCGCCCTCACTACCACAGCCATCGATGACCAGAGCGCGAGAAGCGGCCTTCATCTTCATCACATGCATCGCCCAACTTCTCTCGCTAAGCGCCTTGAATCAAACGGTGGCCCCGGTCATGGTGTTAGCCGACTATTTTCATGTTGAAGATTATGGCACGTTGAGCTGGTTTTCAGCTAGCTTCAGCATGAGCGTTGGCACCTTCATTCTTCCTGCCGGTACGTTTCTCCTTCGTTCGTTCCTGAGTTTATTGCATGCCCTCCGTGGCATAAGGCGGAAAACATTACATGTTCTACTACAGGCAGGTGCAGCGCCACTTCGGCAGGCAAATTGTAACTTCACATTTCATGTCACTTCATCGTTGGTATCCTATACTAAAATCTGCTTCAGGTCGGCTAGGCGACATGTATGGCCACAAAAAAATATACCTCATTGGCTGGCTCTGGTTCTCGGTTTGGTCGCTCATATTAGGCTTCTGCTACAAATCGCACCATATTCTCTTCAGCATCTGTCGCGCCTTCCAGGGCATCGGTACGTACCACTGGCCCATTTTCAACTCTCCATTCTAATCGTTTCCAGGACCGGCCCTCCTTGTCCCGAACGCTGTCGCTTTGATCGGTCGCACCCTTCCCATAGGACAGAAACGCATGATCGGTTTTGCTTGCTTTGGTGCTTGCGGACCATTAGGCGCTGCCATTGGCGCGGTTTTCGCAGCGCTGCTGGCGGACCTTGCTTGGTGGCCATGGAGCTTCTGGATACTTTCGATCGTATGTTTCGTTGTTATGGGGTTGACTTTCGTCATTCTGCCCAACGAGAGCGTTGTTACTCCGGCGCTCAAAGGAAACCAGAAACCAAAGTTTGACTACTGGGGAACCATTACCGGGGTTTCTGGTCTCGTACTCATCAACTTCGCGCTCAATCAGGCTCCCCTCGTCACTTGGGCTAACCCTTACATCGGTACTCTGCTTGCAGTCGGGGTCCTTTTCATGGTTGCTTTTATCCTAGTGGAGCTCTATGCCACCGACTACCCGCTCATCCCTATACGAGGCCTTTCGAGAGATGCCGTTTTCGCCCTTACTTGCATCGTCGCAGGATGGGCCTCCCACGGAATCTGGGCATACTACCTGTACCTCTTCCTGGAACACCTCCGCGGACACTCGGCGCTGCTCACATCCGCCGAGACCTCGCCGGTAGCGCTCACTGGCGTAGCCTTCGCATTTTCAACGGTCTGGCTAATACAGCGCTTCGGGGTCAGCTGGGTCATGTTCCTATCCATGACGTGCTTCATGGTCGGCTCGCTCCTCCTAGCCACGATGCCAATCAACCAAACCTACTGGGCGCAAACCTTCGTCTCAGTCCTTATCATGCCTGGTGCCATGAACTTGAGCTACCCAGCTGCCAACATTCTCATGTCGTCCGCGCTTCCGAAAGAAAAGCAAGGCATCGCTGCGAGCCTTGTCAGCACCATGGTCAATTATAGCATCTCGTGCGGATTGGGGTTCGCCGGAAGCATCGATCGGTACACAATCGAGCACGAAGCGAAGAAGAGGGGGTTATACCACGGCGAGCCTGCCCCGCTTTCAGACAGAAGCCCGGAGATAATGGCGCTCAGGCTTGTTGGGCTGAGGGCGGCGTACTGGTTTGCTGTTGCGCTGGGTGCATTGGGCATGTTCGTCGCTTTCATCTTCATAATTGTTGTAGAGAGGAGAAAAAAGGCTCAGAAGGAGGCGACTCCTCCAGCGGGGAACGTTTGAACGGTCCCTTTCAGATGAGCCGTTTCCCATCTTCGAAGGCTTCTTTTCGCATTCATCGCTCCTTTTCCTCGGCATTCACTGGTGGGCACTGCATGGCGTCGAAAAGGATACTGCATTGGGATTTGTGTCAGGGTGGGAGGAACTCTCTTTCTACGGAGCTCCGGAGGGTAGTGTCTGTTGCTGGCAGTTCTCTGTATCATACGTGTCGAATCCAGCCTTACACCATATCAGAAGCTTGCGCCGTCTCCCGCAGCCCGCTCGAAACGTCGTCCAATCAAGGTTGGCGGATCCCTCCTCGCTGATCAACGATCAGCGCTCCGGATGGAACCAAACGGAACCCTAAAAACCTTATCCCATCTTCACGCGCTCTCTTCAGGTATCTCCGTTATCGCACGACACAACGCCGATATATCCTTGCCGGTTCTGATGTTTATGCTGGGCCAGTCAGTTTTCGGGGCCTCGCCCTCGGTCTTTAACTCACCCAGCTCCGCGATCGACACTGGAAATTTCAAACATTCGAAGGGCGCACGGCTGTTCCTGAACTAATCCGGTAGTTTGAGCAGCTGTGGCGAATAAGTGGACGGCTGTTCCTGTCCCAAAGGGGTAATTTTAACAGTTCGGAGGTTCGACAGGGATTTGAAGTGGATCTACTGGAGGGGTACAACACGACCCCACCAACCCATGGAGCCCACATGGATGGCAACCTGCCAACTGCTGCTTAGGAATACCGCGCTGGAAAAATTCTTTGCAAGATATCTCTCGATCGAAGAAGGCGTAGTAGCAGCTCGAGCTGTCTTCAACAGTATATAAGGCTCAATTCCCTCTCCGCCATCCGCATTACTTCTCTCCAAAACCGACGTCACCACTTCCATCCCATCTATTTACCCGCCGCCGCATAACAAAAACACACCTCCCCTCTCTCCAATCCATTCCAGCTTTCCTTCCCCTCCCTCAAGCAACAAACAATGTCCAAAAACATCGCCCTAATCGGCAGCGGCATCTTCGCCAAAGAAGAGCACCTCCCCGCGATCCGCGCGACGCCCTCGCTGGCACTCAAAGCGATCTACTCGCGCTCGCTCGCGTCGGCGCAAGGCCTCGCTTCCGACGACGCGGCCGTCGATTTGTACAGCGAGGACCAGGAGGGGCGGACGTATGAGGAGTTGCTGAAGCGGGATGACATTGTTGGTGTGGTGATTGCGTATGTGGAATTGTCTTTCTTTTATGTATAGTTTGGCTATCTATCAAGAGCTATGCTATGCTAACACTATGGAAATGCATAGATTGCCCATACTGGTGCAGCCCGAGTACATCAAAAAGGCCCTATCAGCAGGCAAGCACGTCCTAGCCGAGAAGCCCATCGCCAAAGACATCGCGACCGCGACCGAGCTGGTGTCCTGGTACCGCGGGCACGCCAGCGGCGTCACGCTCGGCATCGCCGAGAACTTCCGCTTCCTCGACTCCTTCCTGTATGCCGCATCTCAAATATCCACGCTCGGTCGGGTGCTTGGCTCGCGAACGCGCATGCACGCGTTAGTATCGCCCGGCGCGAAATACTACGAGACGGCGTGGCGGAAGAAGCCCGAGTACCAGGGCGGCTTCCTGCTGGATGGCGGTGTGCATTTTGTTGCTGCGACGAGGTTGATGCTCGCGGGTGGGAATGTGAAGGTTGTGAAGACTAGTGCGTTCACGACGCAGCTGCGGGAGCATTTGCCGCCCGTGGATACCGTGGATGCGACATTGCAGATGAGCAATGGGGCGAGCGGGACGATTTCGATATCGTTTGGGACGACATTTTCCGGGTCGGAGTATGCGGTTGCGTGTGAGAAGGGGACGGTTACAGTGTCGAAGGGTAAAGTGACAACCAAGAGGGATGGGAAGGAAGAGGTGAAGGACTTCCCCGACGAGGGAAATGGCGTCAAGCAGGAAATCGTTGCGTGGGCGAAGGAACTGGGCGAGGGAAAGACGGACGAGAGGCAGAGTCCCGAGGAGGCGCTGAGGGATCTGGAGATTCTGGAGGCGATGCTGAAGAGCGGAGAGCAGGCTGGTGCGCCGGTGGAGCTCAAGCTCTGAGAGCCGGTCAAAGCTTCCACCAAAAGGCGGAAGAAGGCCGCGGGTTCTTACTGAGGTCCTCTCTCCGCTCCGAATTGTTAAGCAGTGTCGGCGTCATATAGCACCGATTATGAGGACCGGGTATGCAGGTCCCGGAAGGCAGCAATGAAACAACAGACTTGACAGCGCTGAGACCCGAGCTTGCACGACGGCAGCGGCCGTGTTGTTGTGACGATAAGCATTCACTCAAGGATTTATCGAAACACGGCATTAGCGGCTGACACCGCAGCTCATGCCCCTGCGCTGGCGGCCACCGGCTCGTCTGACGTGGTATCCGTCTTAGTGGCGTTCTTCACAGCATTGGCCTGCCCCTGTTGATCTCTGCTTTCGTGGTCGTCCTCTAGCCCCAGCTTCTTCAAATCGACGGCGAGCGGGTCTGACTCTTTCGTTAGCTCGGTTGCACCCTCATAGCCTGGCGGCGGTAATGCCCATTCCGGGAGGCCGGTCTCGTAATCCCACTTGCCCTCCTCGCAATGGTATCTTCGCGCGTGCAGGTATATGCCCAGCTCATGCACACCCGGGTCGCTGTACAGCGGGGTGTCGCAAACGCTGCACGTCTCGCCTGTCATCTTCTCTGCCTTGCGCTTGTTGTACTGATCCACCATCTCGTCGTGGTATGCCACTGCGTCTGCAATGTCTTCCTTGCCCATGCGTGAAAGCCGCGTCATGATATCCTCGTCGTCTTCCTCTTCTGAATGGCCCCTGCCGAGTGACGGCCCAAAAACTCGCTGGTTCGCGTAGATTGGGTCGTTGGATATCGGATGCCCGAGATACTGCAAATGTACCCGGAGCTGGTGCGTGCGGCCGGTGATCGGAAAGCAGCGGACGATGGAGTAACCGCGCATTTTCTTCCACGCCATGCCGGGATGATGCTCTCCGTTCTGTGCAACGGGCTCTTCTTTATCGTCTTTGGGCGGATAGTACGCAAGCCTCTTGAAGACCGTCCTTGCCTCCTTGCCATTTGCCCTGACGCGATTGAGCCCGAGCTTCGGGCTGATCTGGAGAATGGGCTTCTCGCAGACGACTTCGCCCTCCGGGAACTCTCCGACAACGCGCGTAATGTATTCCTTCTTGACTGTCCTCTCCCGAATTTGCGCACTCATGTCCTCCGCTGCTTGCCTGTGCTTCCCGATAAACATGATCCCGCTCGTTAGCCTGTCCAGCCTGTTGCATGGTAGCGGATTCCAGCCATATCCTCTGTCAGCTCTCATAATCTCGATCACTGAGTTGAAATTGTACCGGCCGGCGGGGTGGACCGGTATGCCCGCGGGCTTGTCGATCACTATGAGATCGTCATCTTCGTGGACTATGCCTATAGGTTTTGCGGTGCTTGGAGGTTCGTGTCGGTGCAGCGTATGCGATATTATGTCGCCATTCTTGACAATCGTCTTTGTAGAAGGTACCGGCTTGCCATTCAGCACGACGCGCCCTTCTATTATAGCCTTCTCATAGTACTCTGTCGGTCTGTCCCGGAACTCGCTCGCGAAGATATCTAGTATCTCCCTCCCACGCCATCGTTGTTTGCAGTAGGTATTATATGTGAAGTGATACGGCTTCACCTTGCGCAACCCATCCTCGAGGTAGTATGGCGGCGGCCACGGATCGCAGGGCGTTATGACGACGGGCGGAGGTTCTTTGAACGGAAATTTGTCGTCGGGCAGCGGGGGGTATTTGTCGGGCAGCGACGAGGGGACGAGAGCCATAGACGGTTTCGCTGGGCCGGGGAGGCGCCCTTTGCGAGCGAGGTAGGCGAGGATGCGCGGTGAGGGCGCCAACGTGGTGGATGGCTCTCTGTAGTTGCAGAGAAAAAGTGAATAGTAGTGATGGCTGCGCGATGATTCGCGGCACGCGTGCCGAGGCATAGATTGCTAGCCGGTCCGAACAACATCTAAGTATTTAGACACCCATGACACGCACATGGAGACCGTGAATATCACGAATCGCCCATCGAGATGGCGTTAGACACATTGAAAACGCGACGGCGACATGACTACAGGTTCCAGCTGGAATACAGGACGAGATGGTACAGGTCCCCACCCTTCACACCCCGCCTCCCGACTTACCACACGACAGGAGCGACAATGACATGTACCATCACTTGAACAACAGTATCTACTACTTCCTGTAAGCCATCGCTAGCTCCATTCATTATAATATGTCTCCTGACAATGCTGTAGATTCGATTCCGTGGTCAACACGTACTTGATCCAGCACTGCTCCCTCCACCCTCCGACCTCGTCCCAGATCGGCCTTGTCGTCCATTCACACTGCGACTACCTCGCCCCAATAGAGTTCCCTGCCGTCGTAGATCTAGCGCTGAGAGTGAACAAGCTCGGGAAGAGCTCTGTCACCTATGAGATTGGCGTATTCGAGAGAGGGCACGAGGAGGTCAAGGCAGTGGGCGAGTTTGTCCATGTCTTTGTTGACCGAGAGAGCAGGAAGCCTGAGAAGCGTGGCATGAGCGATGAGCTGAAACAGGGACTTGGGAGGTTACTTGTGGACAAGGCGAAGCTATGAAGAGGAAACGGCCATCGAAGCGTAACCCTCAAATCGGCGACGACGGAACGACCCGTACAGAACAGAAATGTCCTACACCAGAGCCATCTATGGCGCTTGTTCCTTCTCGGGGGATCGTGCGATACGACTTATTATTCTATCGCCATTGACGAGGGAACCGATGGGATTCGCTTCCGTCTTTGCATGGGCAAAGGACCTCCTTTCCTGGAGGAGAGCCAATGCACCCGGATCTTTCCGACTCGATGAAGGACGGCTGCCTATTCTTCAGGGGACAGATCGTCCCTTGACAAATACTATCTCCAGCCTCTAACGCTTCTTGGGAGCCTCAACCGACTGATTGGAGTGCAGCCGACCACTGGCGTTCAACGTCTTTCTCCTCCTTCCTCTCGCCGTGGTGCGTTGTTTCCATATTGCGCCACTTGACCTAGACGAGTTGTGGCTCATATCGCCATACATCAAGCCACTATGCACCGTACCGTTATGTCTTTATCTCAGCCTATACTTCAAGCCAACACAGATTCCAAGGGTAGCAGGCCAGAATAACATATATTTCCCGTCCAGCTGGCCTTACAGTCGCCGCCGAAACGTATCACATTGTCTCCTCCAGCGACGGCCATTAGGCGCTCCACATGATAGGTCCCGGGCAGTTCAAATCTCTATCGCTCAAGGATGGCTGCAGAGACACCTTCGGAACATTAAAGCTTGATTATAAGCTTGTCCGACTTGGGTCCAATCACGCGAATTTTGCTGTTAAGCTCTAGATCCGTCGTTACCATTTCCGGCGACCGGGTTGTTCTTTCAGCCTCCTGAGCGCCACAATCCGCTCCACAACTCTCGAATTGTTTCTCCAATGGTATGGCGCTATTTCGATCTCGCCATCTATCACTTCAGCGTTCCACACATGTCCATTGCCGGCTCACTGGTCGAGCAACGAAGAAGCCGTGGCCGCCGGAGTCTCTTCCCCAAGCGATCGCCAGCTCCAAGGCTCCAGATCTTTGGACCTGACTACCAGTCTCTTTCGAATGGAATGTCAATTAGTTCTGCCCCTTTCTCTAAGTTCTGCCGTCGCCATCAATGGATCAAACTTTGCCAAATTACGCTCAGTTACGATTCCCTAGATCCAGGTCAGGAACAAAGGGATTTTTCGTTCGGATCTTCCCGCCCCTAAGCAACTACGAGAGGCTACTCTTTTCTCGCCAAAGCTCGCCAAGCGTTCACAAATGTTCTTCGCCGACTACTTGAGCTTCTAGGCTTCTCAGACAAGCCTCTTCCCCTCTGGATCGATCACCACATTTCAAGCCAGGTTTAACACCTCACAATCATGCCTCGAACACTCGTGGAGGATCAGACGCCTGCAAGCCATGGCTTGAGCGGCGCCATGCACACCAGCCAGAGGCTTGGTCAGAAGCTCTAGGTTCACTCATATGAAGCCTTGCGAACAAGGTCGGCGGGACGCAGCATGATCTGGGCCATATTCCTGATCTGCTGCGCATATAATAAGAAACCAAGTCCCGCCTACAAGACTTAGTATCAAGCCGTTCCCATTCACGGACTTTGCTGTTCTCTACGAATTTCGTCTCTCCCGTTCTAAGCTTTGACCTTGTCGTCGCTGTCCACGATGCGCTTCGTCAATCTTGTCCTTTTTGCTTCGGCGGCTACCGCGCTCTCGTTTCCAGACGCGTCCGCCGTCATGCGCCTGTTTACCCGCAAAAATGGCGGCAGCGGCAGCGGCAGCGGGAGTGGGAGTGGGAGTGGGAGTGGGAGTGGGAGTGGGAGTGGGAGTGGTAGCGGTAGCGGAAAGTGCCTTGCCGTTTGGTCGACCATCTCCAAGGAACTGACTAGCAAATTCTTGGAAAGGGGCCAGTGCAACGATGCTGCTCGTGCGGCCATACGATTGATCTTTCACGATTGTGGATGTAGGTTCAGCGATCCCTTCCAGGAACGTTCGTCGCTGACAGGACGCAGCTTGGGACAAATCTCAAGGAGCCACTGGCGGCTGTGATGGTAGTTTGGCTCTCTCCGATGCCGAACTCGACCGTCCTGAGAATGGGGGCCTGCGGCCTATCGCCCAAGATCTCAAGCGCCTTGCCGACCAGTACAAGGTCGAAGTTGCTGATATGATTGGTAAGGTTACCCACTCAATCAATCCTAGTATGGCCCGCAGCTAACTTAGGCCGCAGTCTTTGCTGGCAATCATGCCATCGTCACCTGCCCACGCGGACCTCGTGTGAAGACTTGGATCGGTCGCAAAAGCTCTTCCACTCCCGCTCCGGAAGGGGGCCTTCCCGATGTCAAGGCTGATCCCGCTATTCTTTCCAATCTCTTCAAAGCTAAGGGCTTCGATGACCGTGATCTTGCAGCCTTACTTGGTTAGTATTCCACCGTCATGGTGACCTTCCTCCCATCTAACTTCATGCAGGTGCCCACAGTACCTCCAAGCAATTCGGCTTTGATCCAAGCCAAAGCGGTAAAGGACAGGACAGCACTCCTGGCATTTGGGACGTTAAGTACTACTCAGAAACGCTCAAGCCACCCAAAGGCGCTTTCGTCTTCCCGTCTGACAGCAAGCTCGCCAACTACCGTGACGTCGGCAAGGAGTTCAAAGGCTTCGTGAATAACCAGGGAAAGTGGAACGGGAAGTTCGCTGATGCTATGGGAAAGATGGCTTTGTTCGGCAGCGCCGGCACGAAGGGTATGGTTGATTGCACAGACGCGCTTCCACGGGAAACGAATGCGAAGAGGGAGCTTAGGGCGATGGACGTCTTTGCTCCCAGGAACTAATGAGGATTGGCGATTGTGTAGTATTGTCTTGAAATGATGTTGCGCTTCCTGTATGTATATTTGCACTCGGATGGTGTTTCGGCGTCGAGGCTCGTTGCGGATATGGTAGGCGACGAACCTCTCCTTGACCTACAAAAAATATGAATGATTGATCTTCCTTGACATGAAGCATCCAAATTCGTTGCTTAAATAATGAGTGAAAGATCACGTGATGCGCTAGTCCAGATCCGGATGCGACAGGGGCTGCCGCACATCTGCCGGTAGCCGGTGTCAATTGCAATTTATTCCTCCACATTCTGCCTCACAGCTTCATATCCCGCCGCCTAATACAGCCTGCCAAGCATGATTAAGGCCAGCATGTTTTCAATTGAGCCCTGGAAGGCGCATCGGTGGTTCGAGCTGCGAAACGTGGCTTTCGTGCAAATGGAGATCTCTCTTCGCCCTCAAATTCTGGGGCATACGTCTCTCTTTACGTTCTCCCAATTGAATGTTCTGTTCTTTCCTTCTTCCATAGTCTAAAGTCATGTCTCCGTCTTCGTCGGCGTTCTCCCGGCTGCTACCCCCAAGTCTCCTCGTTCCTTTGCTCCTCGCCACACGCGCAACAGCGCTCTTCGAGACAGGATCTAGCCCGGCGATTCAAGACCCTCTAGTCAATCCACCCCCGACTACATGCCCAGTGCTGCAAGATGGCATCACGTCAAACACCTTCCCGTGGACGCACAACCCGACCTGTGTGACTGCCGTTCTCCCATCCACCGGAGATCACGGGCATTTAGGCGTCCACCAGGACTTCTGCGTCTATACCAACACCAATTTCAATTCTGGTCGAGGGATCAGTCTAGTGACGACCCCCGAAGTAGCAGCAGAGTTGATGAGCGAGACGTACTCGCCGTTCTTTGAAGAGGTAGCTAGCGAGTCGAGTTGGGAGATGAAAGAGACGGCAAGCAAGGGAATGGGGCTTTTTGCGAAGAGGAATATTAAAGCGGGCGAGACGCTGATTCTGAAAAGTCCGGCATTGTTTATCGCGAGGGACGCGCTGGATACTCCGTCCCGGAGCCGAAGGCGGCTACTCATTGAGACTGCGGTCAAGCAGTTGCCTGAGAAGACGAGGGAGTTGGTGATGGTGTTGAGCAGGAGGGGCGGCCAATCTGAATATGAAGATATTATTCATACGAATAGCCACCGAGCCAAAGTCTGGGACGGATCCTCGCATTTGGTGCTCGTGCCGGAGGCTGCGGTAAGTTCTTGTTTCTAACCCTGGGACGTCAATTGCGGAGGATTTGTCACGTGATTAGCAAGGAATGGTTGCTAACTATGGAGCAGCGAATCAATCACGCGTGCCGTCCGAACGCATACTACCGTTTCGATGATTTCACGTTGAACTTCGATGTCTTTGCTCTCAGAGATATCAAGCCCGGAGAGGAACTCACCTTCACTTGTAATCCATTATTGAACCCTCCGCCTTTTCAAGACACTAAAAATTATAGATGGCTTCTCCTACCAGCCCCGCGAAGCGCGCCTCGACGCACTAGAAAACCACTGGGGCTTCACATGCACCTGCCCTCTCTGCACCGCCAACAGCACCGTAATCGCTGCCTCAGACGAGAGGCTCAAGAAGATCAACGAAATCAAAGCAGTCCTCCCCACCGAGCAAAAGGACATCCCGCAGATGCTCGGCCTACTCCCCGAACTCATCGGCCTCATGGAGGAAGAGGACCTCATTATCGAACTGCCGATGTACGAGGAGATCATGGCGTATACGTGGAGTAGCTTTGGGATTGAAGATAGGGCGAAGTATTGGGCGGAGCGGGCGAGGGAGCATTGGGCGGTTCTGGCGGGCCCCGAGAGTTGGGAAGCGAAGAGGACGGGGCAGTTGGAGAACGATGTTAAGGGCCATTACACGTGGATGAGTTGGGAGGAGGATCCTTGGGAGGGCGTGGGGCACGGTCATCCGTGGGGGGATGATAGCAGTGGTAAACATGATCATGATCATTGAGTGGTGGAGCAGGGAAAGGTGCATGTGGCGGACAAGGGCGTGGGCGTTTTGAAGGTGCGTGTATGTCAAAACATATACTGTTATCTGCAAGTAATTTCTGTATATTACAGTATCGAACGACAACATCAATCTCTACTGCTGTTTCTTAGATGGCGGCTGCCTAGATTTATGCCAATCAGAGCCATTTCACGTCACCGCTATTGTGCAACTCATTGCGAATGAAACACGAATAGAACGCCACCTTTACACATGTAAGATCGGAATTATCGAGTACGCTCCACTACAATCCCGGAAGCTACCCCATCCGCTCAGCGACTTTCCAAGGGCAAATCCTCAGCACTCAATGCGATGGGTTGATCCAAGTCCGATAATGTGAATGCCCACTCCTGCTCCATCGCCTCGCGTTCTCTTGGGCGAATCTCGACTTCAAAGTCGTGATCCGGACTTGCGGTGGATTCCCAAAATTCGACCTTATTCTTCGACGGTCGGACCCAATGTCCTGTCGTTGGTTTAACATCGAACTGCATGATCATAACCGCGACGAATGCCATGATCTCGGTGGAAGCGAAATGCCTGCCTGGACACAGAGTGGTTCCACCCCCAAAGGCTCGAAAGCCTGCTGCACTGGGGCGTTTACCGGATCTCGCAAAGCGTCGGTGGTCAAAGGTGTCATTGTCAGGCCCCCATACAACGCTGCTGTAATGCTGAACAGGGCTAGGCATCATAACCGTACTGCCCTTTTTGAGAAGGTATTGGTTGTCGAGCAAGTGGTCCTCCATAACGAGCCTTGCGGACACTGACGTGCTGTAGATGCGAAGGACTTCTTTGAATGTCGAAAGAAACATTGGACAGGATGTCTTCACCTTAGACATGTCAATAGTGTGAGTACTTTTCCCTTTGTTTCCACGGCTAACCGACACTATGCCCAAGAGTTCATTGCGGCAGTCTGCGAGGACTTCTGGATCCGAGTAGATATGGTACAGCATCCAAAACGTCATAGGTACAGTATTGGCCAGCAGAGCGATTCCATTCGTAACCTCAGATCTTGCAATATCGTTAAGAGGGATATGATGCTCCATGCTATGCTTATATCGAGCTTGCACAAGCGCGGCCCCGCTCCGATGATTGTTGTTTCTGAAATAGTTCTCGAAAGCGTCGGCTGCAAAATCTAGAGCCTGGATGGCTTCGCCGGCGGTCCAGGTGGGAAGAACGCCTATGATAAGCTGCGTCATCCCTGAGGTGAATGTCCTATCTCTTATTAGGTATGTTGCCAAATATTGAACTTGTTGTTTCTTACCAGAAGGCTGTCTCAACCCCTAGATCTTTATATGGATTGGAAGGACCATACACAGAGCTGGTGGTAGCAAGCGCAATCTGATTCTTTACCCACTCGTGCAACTTGACTTTTGTGACTGATTGCTCTCGCAAACGGTTGAGTGACATGGCTACCAGCCCAAGCATGACTCGATTCATTGCATCTAGGTTTGTTCCGGGAGACAGGGCAGGGTGAATGGCGTCATTAAATGTCATAACGTATCCCCAATCGCCTTCCTCCCCGTTCGTGTTGGTGTTGATAATCTCGCTTGCCGTCTTGCTGAATCGAGAAACATTGATAGATGCTTTGGCAGCGAGGGGCATAAACGCCAGCGATTTGTGTTGCCGCTGGACTGCCGAAATGAGCCCTGGAGAGTTGACGACGTATAGTCTTGACCCTGGCAGGCGAAGGGTGTAGATGGGGAGATTGTACATGTCTCTACGGCCTCCAGTGTCAGCCCCTTTTCATCCTAGTTTTGACAAGGAGAATTGGTGTACCGGAGCTTAACGTAATAGTTGGTCTTCTTCCGTGACATTCCGATGATGGGACTCACGAAAGGTATCGTGTTGTCGACAACAGGTGGTTCCCGTCGGTCCTGGGTGTAATACAGTAGTAATTGAAGGGATACATAGGCCACGGCGACCACACCGACAAAGATTCCATAGTTGGGGGCCATGGTGCATGTACTTGCAATAGAGCTAACAGTCAGGTCCATGAAGAAAGTGCAGATGGAAAGTGGTGAAGGACAGGTCAGCGAGGAAGTGCCAAGATCCGCGCCTCAACGCTTCCGACCTCATTGGCTGGCAACTAGTGCTCACAATATAGCGCGTTCTTGCGCTATCTGTGCTCTTGCTGTGCCACTACGATGATCATCTGCAACTCGAAGCCATGAATCGCGTAGGCCATCTTATCAATGGTGTCAGATTGCGGGTACGCTTGCCCGTTCGGCAGGATTTTCCAAAACTTTTCCATTTCGCTCTCGGCAGCTGCAAAAGTATCAGGAGTTTCCACTTATGCTTTGTAGACCAGCTCTGGTTTTCACGGCATGCTGCTCTAAAGATAGCTTCATATCTCCAGGATGCTTCTCTCTCTCCTCCACAATAGACAGTTACCTAGGTAAAGGACCGATACGAATGATCTAGTGATATGGGTGTACACGGGAGCGGGGAGAGGCACATGTGACGCATGAGAATTTGGTTTTGTAGGTCAGGAATGGTGAAAATGACATAGGATTACAGCGTGAGTGATTTTCGTCCTCTCTAATGATCCAGATATGCATAGGAGACCAAGGTTTCACTCCATGTGTTTCCCATGAGGCATCTTGGAATGGCAGAAATCGACACATAGTCTAACATTTTGCCCCGTAAACTTCGCCACGAAGCAGTGGTGGACATATTTGCAGAAGGGATGGCGCTCTTCTACCATCGTTGGTCTCTCTTTGCCATTTTAGAAAACGAGAAAAGAAAACCGCTCCATGGGCTCAAATGCTATGATTTTAGTCTTTCATAAGCAGAGGCAAAGTGTGAGGAGTAAGATTCCTCAACGCCTGAAGAGGTTTATATATCCAGACAAAAGTAGAGCCCAAAGGAGTTAGGAGAGATTTAGAGAAAATGTCAGTCTCACTTCCAACGTTCTTAGCCTTATTGGCCATAGTGTGTTTCAGTTGATGCTGTGGTATCCATGGCATTACGCTTCTCGGGCTGCGTCAAGGCCTTAAGAGACGTAGACCTTACTCCAAGGAAGGCTTCTCCCATCGCAGTGGCAGAAATGCGCTTCTTGATAAGAGTCGCCAACCATACATCGAGGCAAGACGGCCTTTTAGCCGTCTTTCGATCGCCAGACTAGCTTCATCTATGACCCTTACATACAGGATTGCCGATATTGCTTTTAGTTCGTCTCAAGTCTCAGCCGCCGCAAACCATTCCCCAGGTGTGCAGATGCTTTTTGGACTCGTTCAGGTTCGACGCATTTGGCGTGGCCTCTATCTCCCAGATAAGCTGGCCCAAATGCCAATGCATGTTGCGAAGTCCAATAAGCTTTCCATTGGACGGCTGGAAGGAAGGTTGGAGCGAGGGAGAGACATATCCCCTATGGAGCGGTACCGCGTGAGTTTGAGTGCCGACACAGACTCCATGGACCAAGAGCAGCCCGGTTTTAATCCGGCAGCGAGGCCAGGTCCATGGATTTTGAACTTTCTTGCTTTTAGACCTGGCAAGCGAAGACTGCTGCGGAGGAAGGAAAGAAGTCCGAGGCGTAAGGAGGACGGCTTTATATAGAAGTAAGGAGAGGAAGCGGAGGAACTGATCCACGCACTAGATTAGCGGGAAGAGGGAAGTCACTTTACGTTGAGAGGTTCGTGTTCCCAAAGAAGGTCGGAGCTGTGGGTCGAAGAACACGACCCAGGCCAGGCCATGGTCAATGATCCCTTGGATTTTAGAAGAGCATAAAACTGGTTTCCTGCATTGCGTCGCGGATTACGGCTTGACCAAGCACTCTCAACATAGAATTTATCTGTAAGCTCTTTGTCCGCAACGATTGCTCCCATGAGGTATTCGGGGCCTAGGTTTTAGGCCAAGCTCGCGCGTTCCCATGATTTCCCTTTTGTCCTTATTTTAGTTCGCATGGACGGCTCTAATAGAGAACCCGCATGAAGAGTTTGTCCTGTATTTTGCGTCGCTCTGTGGCTCCGGTCCAAACGAAGCCGAAGGGCCGCATTCGATATCGATGCTTAAAATTTTCATCCGCGGCGACGACAAGAATGCTTCGCTCCCGAACGTGTATGCGTACCTGCAGTGCTTCTGGAAGAGCAAACCCATGGAAGTAATAGGAGTCGCATTTCGAAGTCGCGGTATTGTTTCTGCAGAAGACGGAGAACCTCCCATGAGACGTAGTGAGGTGCATTTTGGAGAGGAAGCAGGATCCCACATATCCACCCAGAGGTATTGATTCTGGTCGACAGATACTCAGTCCATGGAATGCCATAACCATGCGTTTTAGAATGGACAGTGACCTGAATGCAGTGGAGTAGTAGTGCAGAGAGAGCAAGAGGCGGCCTTATATACTTGAGTAACGAACAGGAAGAGGAGACGATCACGTGTGGGGCTATCCAAAGCGGTCTGAAGGGTTCCTCACATGGGTTTCTATTCGGACGCCAGATTTCTCAACTCCACTTCAGAGCCTAGCACTCTGACCAGTGACCAACTCTCCTCGCTCAACCAAGCATCCCTTGAAAATGCCCGCGATCCCATCGAAGTCATCTAGCGTTGTGACTTTGGAAACATCTGCTACTTGTCAGCCGCAGTCCCACTTTCCGCGGGGTAGTCTTACATTGATCGGGCCGCACGACAACAACTGCACCCGCTTCAGAATCTACGCCGTATTTCTCATACGCGTGGCCGTGTCCAGAGTTGTAATGTTCGTCGTCGACGTAGACTTTGTGAAGATCTAGCATCATCAGCATATCATAAATCTGCGCGACGAGCGGAGTATTGAACTCACCCCTCATCCTCCACTTCCCCGTCACAGGCCAGAAGTACCCAGGTATCTGCTCCTGCTGCGTCTCCAAGAACTTACTCCTCAGCACGACTATTGGCTCGATCAGGCTATCGATATCTTCCGACGGTGGCGTGAATCTCCGGACAAGCGGTTCGAGGAAGTTTGCCAACTAACATCCTATCAGCGTTCCTTCTCAGTCTCGACATTGAATCTCTTACCTTCTCCAATCTGCTCTTACGGCTCGGTATCACGATATCACCAGCGAATATAACAATCCTCCACCGCCCATTGCTCTGCAGAACACGCTGTAGCTGCATCGCTTTGCAGTCGCAGAACCGGATAACTTGCGCACTTGGAAACCTCATCCCAACTGTGCATCCGCTAGCAAGCTCTTGCCTACTCCCTTTCGCATCCGTCAACTCCGAGTCATCGTATCTCGCGGTAAAGCCCGCCATATACCGCCCACTCTTGATGAAATGCTCCGCGAACTCGCCAGGCCTTTCTTCTTTCTGGCTGAACTTGCGGGCGAAATCGCGGTCGAAGGCAATGAGATCTGCTGCTGTCTTGGAGCGCTCGAGAACGTATGTGCGCAGGAGGGAGGGTGAAGCGATGCCGCGGAGGATGGATGAGAGTTTCCAGCCCAGATTGTATCCGTCCTGCAGCGATACATTCATGCCTTGTCCGGCTTTTGGCGAATGCGTATGGCACGCATCACCCGTTAGGAAGACTCTGTGCCCCTTGTGGAATTGATCTGCCAATCTTTGTCCAATGCTGTATGCAGACCACCAGAATGTGCCCGCAAATTCCATATCGTACGGTGCAAAGATCTTCTTTGCAGTATTCTGTAAGTCTTCGAGCTTGACGTCCTTTGGGTGCGAGCCAGGCGGTAGCTGGATATAGAAGCGGACAAGCGAGCCGCCTTCGCGTGGGATGATGAGCAGGTTGCCGGAAGAAGAGTGCATTGTGCATTTCCGGCGAATGTCAGGGAAGTTAGTGAGCGGGTAGATGTCCATGACGCCCCAGACAGTATCTGTAGTGTCGCCGATCATGGTATATCCTAAAGATCTGCGGACTGTGCTGTGCGCGCCGTCGCAGCCCTAGACAAGTCGGTGCCTGTCTTTCGTCTGGTGCTTTCTTGGGAAGGGAAAACTCACCAACACATACTTTGCCAGAAATACCTCCTCCTTCCCGTCCTTCTCCGCGAAAACTTTACAGCAATACGCGTCCGGATCCCCAATCTTCCCCTCATCCACCTCCAAACTCTTGACCTCATACCCATAATCAATCTTCTGCCTCCCGCCACTAAGCTTCTCCATAGCACCCAACATCAACCCATTCATCCGCGCCTGATTCAGTATAACATGCGGCATATGGCTGAGCCCCTTCTCCGTATCTATTACCCTGCTCTGTCTTACGATCCTCCCCTTGCCATCATCGCCCCAGAAGCAGACCTCGAGGATGTGATAGGACTCCCGCAATAGCTCTTCTGAAAGGCCGAATGATTCGTATATCTCGACGGTTCGACACTGGACACCGTCTGCTTGTCCGATCTCCATGGGGCCGGGGCGTCGCTCCAGCATCGTGAAGGGAATCCCGTAGCGGGCCAGCCACGTCCCAGCAAAGATGCCGGCGGAGCCGGAACCAACTATCAGAACTTCTGTCTTTTTAGCCATGTTGTAATGTTAGGGGCATCCGATGGAACAAAATGTCTAAGTGCTCGGAACCCCGGGGTATCTGAACAGAAAGTGTAAGCGAAAGGGAATGGGAAAGATATTGTTACAAATTGCAAGAAAACACCAAGGAGAAACCAGAACGGAGATGCGAAGAGTCTATATATGTCTGGACAGGTATAAAGCTCGGAATCGGGGATAGGTTCCGAGCTCTCAAGAGCACATGGCGGGGCCCCGCTAGTCTGCGGAATAGCTCCGTTACCCGAACTCCAAAGCCGTGAATAACAGCCAAGCTTCTCGAATGCGTACGAAGAAAAACGAGCTACATCATAAGATGCAAGCCATGCGAGCTTAAATCTCGGACGTAGCTTGGAGATTCGTGTTTGACATCGGATGTGATGCTGCCTCGGCTGAGCGAGTCGGCATATCCCATTACATCAAAAGAGCTTCAACAATGACAGGCACGCATTCTCCCGACCTCGGGAAGACCTGCCAGGTAAACGTATTTTACCGCAAGGTACGAAACTGCGGACGGGACTTCACGAGCTCCTACATGACCATGGTGCTCCAACGCTATTCCTACATGACATGTAGTAGCCGTCTTATATGCACAGCGACTTACTCAAACATAATCTTCCTCCCCTTCAACAGCGTCCCACCGACTAATTTCCCAACCGCGTACCCAATGTAAGCCCCAGTGACAATAGTAACAGGCCATTTCTGCCATTCGCGATCCCAATCTAGCGGTATCGGCACTGCGCCCAACCACGCACCAAACACGGTGCCAATCATGCCTCCATAGACCTCATCAATGGGCAGCAGTAGTGCCACAATCTCCCTCCATGTTTCTCCATCCACACCATGTACGTATACGAGCGGTAATGTAGCGAGCAGCGAGATATGCGCGGCGCAGAGGAACGTGTGCGGGTGGTGCGTTGTGACGGGCGCGCCAAAGAGGACGAGGGTTGCGGTGAGGAGTGGTGTCGCAGCGAGGACGGAGAGGACGAGGGAGAGGAAGGCGGGCTGTTGTAGATGTTAGCTCTGATCCGATAGATTTTAATGCGACCCAATGGCTTCTGCAAGCGGACGTACAATTATCTTCCCATTAACCCCGCTCTCCAACTTCCCTGGCGCTGGCTTTTTCTTCTCGCCCGGCTTCCGCTTCTCTAATTGTGCAGCCGCACTTCCACTTCCGCCGGTGGGAGGTAGACATATCGCCACGTATACGATCTGTAGTATTGAGAGCGGTATCAGGGTGCTGGTGAGCGCTGGGACGGGATCCTCGACGATCGAGCGGAATTTGTAGGCGTAGAGTGAGAGCACGAGCATAGGGTGGATATGTGTGTATAGCCGTGCAGTGTCATTGTTAAGGAGGTCAATCGGGGTTGCTGGAGGGCGTGGTTTGGCTTGAGGGTTAATGATGGTGGCCATTTTGGAAGGCGGAAGTTGGGCGCGAGCAGTCGGCTGACAATTGCGTGGAGAATCGAGCGGGTGATGGGAAGAAGACAATCTCTTCTAAGGACTTGACATGCGGAGCGGAGCGGACCTATTTGGCGTTACAGTTTTGTCGTAGGATCGCGTCAACGTCGCGAGTCGGAAAGTTTCGACGTCCGTGCAACTTGAGACCTGTGGCGGTGCGGCTCGCGAGATTTTGTCAATGATTGCCGAAGGGCTTTTCCGATTCTCGTATGAGCATACTGTCGCTCATAGCTAGTCTACGACTATTGCTACCTGCCTTGGTTTTCCGTGGGCTAAGGTTCCCGATGCTTTTCAGCGAATTCAAGCTTGAATGTGCGCCACACCCATACGCCACACACAGACGGCACGGTGCTGTATCGCCCTCTATTGCCCTTACTTCTGCTCCTTCTTCGGCAGCAAATTCCTCAGCGACAGATCGTAGACAACGTCCTCCACGTCCTTGACCCTATATTTGAGACCATCGCTTTTCCTGCGCAATATGTCGTTCTTCAAATTGAGGATCTGGAAGCCGGCATGGACGTCCTTGACGAATTGATTGATGAGCAACGGACGTTCGTAGTCGCCGAGCGTGACGGCATTGCGCGCGAGACGAGTCTGCAGACATGTCAGGACCGGGAATGGGGATGACTGGCCGTGTGAGCTTACCAGGTCCTCGCAAAGAGTGGTCAGCGCAATGAGGTACTCTTCGATCGTCAGGTGGAACGCGTCTCTGTCCTTGAGATTGACTGGGACTTCGGAATGTCAGCAGTGCCCTTGATGATGATGGGACGCAGACATACCCTTGAGAACCTCGCCGACCTCTTCGATAGTCAACAGCCGCCCGCACTTGGCTTCGCCACCGTCGAGGTCCTTTCCGCCGAGCCATGCCCATAGCAGAATCCCGTATACCTGTGATGTAATGAGTGCTGTTGCCGTTGAATCAGGCGTGTCTTGGAACACACCACATCCTGCATCTGGCGCGACCACATATTGTTGAACTTGTAGTACGACTGCTTCGACGCCGTCTCCGAGAGATTGGACACGGTCTTAACCGCATCCTGGATAGGCTCTTCGGCTGATTGCAGGACGCCGGCAACTGTGGTTGAAGTGAGTGAGGTGTTTGCTTGTTGAGGCGCGAGACGTACGATCGGCGACTGGTGTTGAATGGGCTCTGGACAGCACAAACGAGATATTGCGGTCTAGGAGGCGTTAATGCTATTCTGTGACAGCAATGAAGAGCATACTGTTCTTCTCGAGCGCCTGGACGAGGTCGCGCAGCTCCTGTCGCGTCGTCAGTGCGGTATCACGTGTGGTGCTGCGGGAGTCTCACGTCACGAAGCGCGGTATCCTCGTCCACGCGAGCTTGAAGGCCTTGGAAGATGGCCGGATCGACCATCCCAGTTTGCCCTGCCATGATAGTTAGAGGATTTGCTGCGATGGTGTTGTGGAGAGTGAGAAGTTGCTGGTAGACGGTGAGGCAAATGTTTGTTTGCGATCGGGACACCGCAGCAAAATTCAAATTCGCCCGCACGACAGGAATTGAGCGCGAGCAGTAGGAGTGCACGTCAATGTACCTCGATAATACCCCTCTTATTTACAGCACTTTTCAACGTTGTTGGCACTGTTTTTGCGCATTTGTTGTCTCGCAGCGCAAACACTATGACGTAACAGCGATTCATACGAAGGCGACAACAGCGATATCACAAAGTGGTCAGATGAAGGGAGCTTGCTATACAGAGCTCATGCAGCCAAAGACGCTCCCGCCGCTTGCCCACAATCCAGCTCAGTCGGTGTCCGCCAACCTGAATGTGGAGGTATGCAAAGGTGCGAAGCGAGCGCACACAAGTTCAAAATCCCAACAGCCCCGCTACCTACAACTTGCAAAGACAACACAGTCAGCTTCTTCCTCAAGTGTCCAGCAGCGCCAGACAGCTCAATGAAAAAGAATAAAGTTCGCGTCAGCCGGAGGTAGTGCAATACCTAAGTGCTATTAGCTAACAAGTTATGTGACGAAGAGGTGGCTTGCTTACCGGCGACACTGTGGCCTCAACTATGAGCAAGCCCAGTGAGAGGAGGCCCGGGTTCAAAAATAGGAATAATCTTGATATGTTCCCGTAGGAACGTTTCAGAGATTAAACTGCGACAGCTGTCAGTAACTGCGAAAAGCGCGTCTGAAGGAGGGGGAGAGCTCACCTGAAAAGAACAGATACTACACTTGATCTAAGCCAAAAGGCAAAGCTGACTGATGTTAGCAGACGTCGATGCAATAACCCATACGTTGAGGCTCCTTGAGGCCCCTAAAAGCTAGGAGCCTCAACGTATGGGCGGGGAGGGAGTATACTGACAGAGCTGCCAGAGGTAGGAGGGACGCGGGGCGGGCGGGCTTAAATAGCCAGAGGGCGCCAAGTCCGCTAGTGCTAAGCGAGCACGTGACGGTGCACGGTTGCTGCCAAGCACTGCTGAGTAAGGCCTCACAGAGCACCATCGGCGAGCCAGACGTAGCCACACAAAAGCCACCACAATACGCAGCCTGGAGCTCTCCAGAGGATCAAACACAGTCAATACGTTCCCTATTATCGAACAGCGGTTGTCGCCCCTGTCATTTAAGCCCGCCCGCCCCGCGTCCCTCCTACCTCTGGCAGCTCTGTCAGTATACTCCCTCCCCGCCCATACGTTGAGGCTCCAGCCGCCCGCCCTCCGGGCGGAAGTGGAGCCTACCTGCGGTAGGCCCGCGGATCATGTTTTCGTCATTCTCTTCTCGGACATCTCTCGATTGAGGAAGCGATTCCGGTTCATATGCAGACCGCTGGAGTGGGCTTTGTGGCTACAGCACGAACGTGGACTTTTCAGGGACGCAACAGCTGCCGAAGCGCTTCACGTCTCCCTATCCATAACCAAACGATACGCCTAGAATATACTCATTAGGTGGCTCCCGACTATCCTGTCGAGCCGCTATTTATGCGAGCTGTCACGCCCAACCTGATCAGGGAATGAATGTACCATGCGTCTACCTATGGGGCTTCCTCGTCAATCACAGCGACTGAAGGGGTGCCTCCACTACACTTGCCCTTCCACCTTGGATGCTTCTTTCAGGCGCCCGCCCATCCGTAGTCCCCATCCTCACCCTCACCCCGTCATCTCCTCGCCTCCAGCACCACTCTCTTCCCGCTCCATTTCCATTTCCATTTTGTTTTCCTCTTCCTGCTTCGTCCAAGTCTCCCACTCCTGCACACGCTCAGCCACGGCCTCCCTCATCAGCTGATAAGCCTTGTCCCTCCCATGCTCATCCCCGTCAAACCCCGATATCGCATACTGTCCCAGCTCGAACACTGCGTTCCAACCCATCTCGCCCTCCTGTGGAGGCCCCTCGCTCTTCCAGTGAATCCACTCGACACGCATCTCGATCCACGGGCAGTGTGTCGAGTTGTCAGGGTCAAATCTAACGGGGAAGGAATCGGAGCTGGAAGAGGAACTGTTGTTCCTTTCTTGTTCGCCGCCGCTTTGAGAGTTGGACGAGCTGCTTTCCCCTTCCTTGCTGCTGTCGAGCGGAGGGGCGCTTGCGATTGCGTAGAGCTCCGCCGCCTGGAGGTCGTCGACGTAGCGCTTGTTGCGGAGGAGAGTGTATACATCATCTAATTTACGGTGAGTACTACCACTTCATAATCATATTGGTCACTTACTGATAAACTTGTCCTTCTCGTCGTTGGCTAATGGGGCGGGAAGCGCTCCTACAAGCTAGGCGGCGCGGGCTCTCAGAGGATCCGACATAGTCAGCTGGGGGCCTTCTAGAGGTGCGTTACGAAATCGAAGTGCAGAGAAAGTTGAGATTGTTTGCTGCTTCAATGGAAATCATGCGACTGGGGTGTCGAGCTTTCCAGGCGGGTGAGTACATTGACAATCAGGCACCCAAACGACCTTGACTCCACTCACACCCAGCAAATATGCTGGGACGCGGTTCTGACTTTAGACCGAGCTCGCGTGACACTGCAGGTTGCTCCAGAAGGCCCTTTGATCGACGGGAATCAGCGGGAAACAGGCAATTGATCCGCTGCTCGTAGCAATCTTTGCGCCAGCGCAAAGCACATGACGCACAATTGTCACTCAAGTAGTATATAAGACGAGCGTGTTCTCCAAGGAGGCCGACACCACTTAGCTCGCATTGCATTGCATCGTATCGCATCGCATCGCATCGCATCGCATCAGCATGTCTGACCTTCTCAGACAGCACCTTGAAGACCTCCTAGCTTCTCCTCCTCTCCCCAGTCTGGAAGATGCTGAAAAGGAAGCCTTCATCGGTAAGTCCCCATCTACCCTCCTCAATTACAAGCCCTCTAACTCCAATTAGACAACCTCCTCACGCTCCTGCACAACAAGATCTTCATCTTGTCGCAAAAGAACCCGGAGCAGCACATCTACGGGCCTCCCCCCAGCACCCCGTCACCACCCTCCAACCCCGACCCATCCTCGCTCTCAACCCCAAGCCTAACCTCGGGAAGTTGGAGCTCATCAAGCGTCACCACAGAAAGCTCCGCTGCACCCCGCGCCCCTTCAATCTCCCACAGCCACAAGTTAAGCACCAGTTCCTGGGCCACCGACAAAAGGCGCTCCTTCCCGTCGGACTTCAACCCCAATGATCCGGAACACCATGAGAGCGTCGACATCCGGTTGATAAGGGTGACCGGGCCAACTGTGGGCGATGTGCGCAATATGGGTGTCGAGCCGCAGTTGGTGGTGGGCGAGTACATTGTCGCGAAGGCGGAGTTTGTGTCGGAGAAAGAGGAGGGGCATATGGAGAAGGCGTTGAGGATGTTGGTGGAGGTGGTGAGGGAGTTGGTTGAGCGGGCGGATGATGAAGAAGACAAGGTGGAGCAGAATGAGGACGAGTAGGCTATGGAGTGCGAGAGGTGGAGGTTCGCACGAGACGGGGATTCAGGGTTACGGTCCTTACTGAATGTACTACTCAACATCGCTATCTAGTTGTCAATGAGCCAAAAGCTGTCCCCCTATCCAAACAGGTGCATTCTGATCATCCACCAAACACCAAAAGAATGAACCTTCGCGCTCCTCAACCCTCCCTCATCCACTCCCCTCAGTCCCGCTCAGCTCTTCTTATCCAGCCTTTCATCCTTAGATGCCAACGACCCCCGCGGCTCCGGCGTGTCCGATCCCCCGTTCTCTCCACCCACAATCGTCTTCCCTCTCGCCACCGCCACCGCGATCTCAACCTTCTCCTCAATCCCCACAATGGGCCCCTTCATACACCACATTACCATCTGCTCAACCCTTTCGCTTAGCCCAGCCATCGCGCGCACCCTATCAAACACCTAACCGCACACGGCATATTAGCATCACAGCGCCACCCCTCGAAGACGCCGATGTGCAAACCAATTTGCCAACTAGCACCTGGTGCTCTCCCACGTAAACAGACATCCTGTAGCGCCCTTCCTCGCCGCCGAGCACGACGCAGACTTCCGAGTCGGGGATGCCTGCGATGTTGAACCCGGCTGTTGGCGCGGAGGCGTGCAGGCGCTGCCAGTGGCGGATGAGGAAGGTTATGTTGTCTACGGTATGTTAGCTTGCTGTGCGCTTGTTTGAGATGCCGAGTGACGCGCATGGTGATGCCTCGCGGCCGGGGATGTCAAAGGGTGGACGGAGGATATTACGCACTGACGAGCTGGTTGGTCTCTGTATCGCTGAGCGACGACGGTATGTTGAGCCAGTTGTGCAGTCTTTCCTGCAAGACGTCGTATGTTGCATCGGGCTCTGAGGTGACCGTTTTCGCGTCGTCGTCGCTTGGCTGCGCGGAGGGATGCTGGGATAGCGACGGCGATGGGGTGCGTGGAGTGCTCATCTTGGGTGATGCGTGACTACGGGTTTTATTCGGGGGTGATATTTGATCGATATGGATGTGTAGCGGCAATAATAGTGTATGAATGCACTGGGTATGTGCGTTGAATGTTAGACGAGAACGGTGACTTCATGTTGATGTTGTCCGGGTTGGGATGCCAGAAGAAAGGATCGAGGGTCAGTGATTGGAAGGAGAGAGGCGACCATGTGGCTGTTTGGGACATCGCGGCAAAGTGCAAGAGGGAAGTAGAGGCTCGGTAATACGGTCCATCCGCCGCTATTCTTTACATGACAGCCCAGGGCATCTTTAAAATGGAAAACCAGCGCGCTATCGACATACATGCGTCTTCCCTTCTTCCCCGCCAACCATGCTGATAACGTGAGCACTCATCCACCACTTCACTGGATACCCTCTCCCGCATACGGTATACTCTTCCAAAGCAACCACTCCACCCGTTTGAAGAGACCTTCCAACACCCCAGCTCGGCTCTGCACTGTCTCGCCCTTGACTAATACGTGAAAATTCCCGTCGTCCCACTCTCCAAGGGCCATGAACCAACCGCTCATATCTGTTTCACGACAAGTAACGAGGACGAGTTTGTCTGAGTCGAGTTTCTTGAGTCTAGAGATTTTGCTGCGCGGAATACAGACGTCGAGGAGGACTGCTATGTTGCCTGCTTGAGGTTAGATGCATTGCCTGAGAAGAAATTCCGACTTACGAGCGTGGAGGTCGTTATTCATATCGTCGGGCTCGGAGGCTTCCTTGAGTAGCGTCATGAGACGAAGATAGTGCGGGTGATCGTCGGCAGTTATCTTCTGCATTTCGGACACGGTGGCTATCTGCTTGACTGGTATGAGGAATGGTAAACGGATACATTGAGCATCGCAAAGGATGTGGCCTTTTATGCCCAAATAAGGCATTTGTGAACAGGGGATTGCTTGGACAAATCATGTAAGCAAACAGCAGTGCTTGATGCATCCAGTCAAGTAGGCTGGAGGCGAGTGGTTTGGAACAAGACAAAAGAGGCGCCAAGGGAAAACAAGTAGCAAGCGGAGTGACTCGAAAGTCTTCCCAGGGACCGAGATGTGCGCCAGGAGTTTAGAATTGACGAGAAAGGAAAGACGGGGAAGAGGATCGTCAGAATTGTCTTTGTACAGCTCGCTCGCATTAGCTAGTAGTATAGTCGGTAACCGTAGCTTTGGGAAAAGCCTCCCGATACTTCTTCTCCACGGTCCTCCGGAAGGCGTCCTATACCTCCTCCTGAACCTTTGTTTCATCGCCCTTCAGTAGAACTTTCTCGATATCGTCGGTATACGGATCAACAAGCACAACATAGTGTTTCCCTTCGGAGTTATGAATGAGGCGGAACACGATGTTGCCCGTACTAGACATCAGCTGCGAAGGTAGCGGTTAGATTTGAGAACGTCATGAAACCACTTCAAGGCGTTTAGACACAACTTTCCTGCGCCAAAGGCATGCAGATAGATGGATCACGAAGTACGTACCTTATACTCCGGACCAAAGCGCTTCTGTTGATGCATGGCGTACAGCCAGGTAGACAGCGCGTCTACACAGCGTCAGTAACAACGGTATCAAAGGCAGTACTCCAGGCATATGGGAGGATTTGAAATACTGTATATGAAAACACGATCGTCTTGAGGCCAGTGAATGATGCCTTTCACTAGCGTGCGAATGCCGTCGAAGATCTGGCTTGGGGGGAATTCAGGTTGACCGGACGCCATCAAAGGAACGATTGACGCGTGGCCTTGGTTGTCTTCTGAATGTATGAATCCCATATTTGCTGGTAACGGAAGGAGCGCGAAGGGGAGGTAAGTTTGTATTTATAGGAATATTGAAGCACGAGAGAAGCGAAATAGAGCGGCACAGCACTTGTCGGTTCGTACACTAGTCGGAAAGTGGATCGAATACTCTAAGTCCCGTCAGTTTGTACAAAGGACGGCTCGCTATGAACGATCCGGCTGGCTTGGGAGACAACTTGCCGTTGCTCCCTTCGCCGGCGCAGAATATCTGGGGTGGACGATCGAAGACACGGGGTTCCAAGCTAATCGATGAGCTGTTTGCAGAGTTACGCCCTCCAACGAAAGAAACTCCGGAGATCAGTGGACTTTTTCGCGGTACCACAGTGTTGATACGCGCTTGTCAGGGGGTATGTGATTGGTGTATTCTGCCTGTTCTCGTGAAACGTCTCATCCAGATGTCGGCCTCGAGACCGACGAGAGCGGTGAGATGATGCAGGTGTTTCCCCTAGATACCACTAAATGTGAGCACATTGGGCCGCAATGAACGTGAGAGGGCCCTTGTTTCTTCGAGAGTTACTGCGAAGAGATGTAACTGCGAGGATCCACACTTCGTCCTCGGCTACCAATGTGAGATGCTTCCAGGATGAAGAAATCCGATCAGAGAGCCCTCTGGGAGACTGCGACGAGTAGACGCGATGCGGACGTAGTAGCGATAGACGGATATGGAAATGGATGAAGGCTTAGAGGTCGAATACGATCGGACACGAGATGGAAGCGGACCTACAGCTGGCCTGTGCCTTCCTTGGCGCGGACCGTCGCTCCTGAAACAACATTCACTCCCTGACAACCAGACATCACTCCGACCCACCCCGCCCACGCCTTCCGTCGCTGCTGTATTCTTATACATTCACTCGTTACCCGCGCTCGCTCACCCATCACGACTGGGGAACTCCACCGCCACCGCACGCCTCAGCCCACGCTGAGCGTCTTGTTTTCGGCCCCATACAGACTGTCTCTCCATCCGTCACTGTCCACCGAGCGACAAGATGGGCTTCGGCGACTTCACTACAATATGCCAGAAGACGGCGATACCATTGTGCGCCCTTGTGGGTCACCAGGAGATCAACGACGGCGCCGGCATACAGGCGTCATGTTACTCGCGGACCATTGAGCTGGCAAACACACTCATCTTCCAGGCCGCGAACGACTTCATGCACATTCTCGCCCTGATCATGACTGTTGTTATGATCATCCACGTGCGCTCCAAATTCACCGCTGTCGGTTCGTTGAGTTGACCCGAAGATGGAGGAGCGGCGCTAATTGCCGAACAGGTCGCAAAGAGATCACATCCTTCTTCTACATTTACCTCGTCCTCACCGTCGTTTCGCTCGTCCTCGACGCCGGCGTCGCTGCCCCCGGCTCCGCATCATACCCGTACTTCGCTGCAGCGCAAAACGGCCTGACGTCTGCACTCTGCACCTCCCTGCTGATCAACGGCTTTGTCGGCTTCCAGCTGTACGAAGATGGAACAACGCTTTCAGTGTGGCTCCTGCGACTCTGCTCGCTAGGCATGTTCATCATTGGCGGCGCCGTCTCACTCCTCACATTCAAGGGCTGGGCCGGCTTGAGCCCCGAGAACCCGATCGGCATATTCGTCGTTACATACATTGTGAACGCAATTTGCCTCTTCGTTTACACCTGCAGCCAGATCCTGCTCGTCGTGGGAACACTGGAGGACCGCTGGCCGATGGGCGATATTGCCTTCGGCGTCTTCTTCTTCGTCATTGGCCAGGTAATCCTATACGTCTTCAGCGACACCATCTGCAACAACGTGCAGCACTACCTGGACGGTCTCTTCTTTGCGACCATCTGCAATCTACTGGCCGTCATGATGGTCTACAAGGTTCGTCCTACCACTCATGGTCTCTTTAAGTACCCTGCTAACAGTTTGAAATAGTACTGGGACTCCATTACTCGCGAAGACCTCGAATTCTCCGTCGGCGTCAAGGCGCACAACTGGGAGGTCAAGGAACTTATTCCGGAAGAAGACAAGCGCGGCACCATCTATAACGAGTCCGAATACGCCCCGTCGGTGTACACTCAGCCGTATACCCGCACTTCGCACTACTCCGCAGTCGGACACTAACATGCGCTTCGTTCGGATTTTCTGCTTTCCAGAATACCACTTTTTGTTTATACTGATGCGCTTGCATGGCATGGAGTTTCGGCGCGTGGGAGTTGCAGCACGGGACGCATAATCGACGTGTATGGGTTCAGCATCGCTTTTGGTTAAAAGCCTTTCACGAACGGGGCGTAGCCCTGGAGGGCAGGATGTCACTGAGGAGCAATTCGCGGAAAAGGTACTTGGCACATGGCGACCCCAATAGCTTATATGTAGTAATATCTATCATTTCGACATCAGAGGCATGCTTTTGCTAACTCAGAGGTAATATTCTTAGGGATCGTCAAGCGGAGCAGTCGGACGAATTCAGCGAAACTATATTAAATAAGCGCTCGCCACGAAGGGCCAACGGGCGCATCATACGAACGGATACTGATGGACTTATGATGCCTCGTGACGAGCCCATGTTTTTCGGTGTCGGCGCCGATGCGAGCTTTCACACCAACCCCAAGGTTACCGGGATTGCCTATTTGAGGCAAGCCGGTGCAACCATCGTGAACATTTGAGATCCAGCAGCGTTGCCGCATCCAGTATCTCGGAACGCCTCGTGTGCAATATGTCACGACGGCCCATCTTCCGCCGGTTACGTTGTCTGGTTGAACGCGAGCTGCACCCCTCAAAATGGCGGGGTGTTGATCAAGGCGGGGCGCCGCGGGGAGCTTTATATAACGGCCCATCTCCGCTCAGATGAACCGCAGACTTAGCCTTTCTCGCTGTTTCGGCATATCAAAGTTCTACTATTCCGAACTTATGTTTTGGACTTGATTTCAAACTGTCTGGTAGGTGATCCTTCCCTTTACTCTTCGACGTTTGGAATACTTAATAGCTTGATCGCGCGAGCTATTGAATAATGCCATTGACTCCTTGCAGATACTTACAGTATAAAAACTCGCTTTATGCTATCGAGCGAGGAGCTCCAGGCAGTTTGAACCGACCCCACAGCCGCATCAAACGCACGCTTCACTCGTAATCGCCCATCATGTCTCGAAAACACTTCTTCTCCAGCCCCGAGGGAGTTGTAGTCCACATGCTTAACTCTCTTGTGACGCGTAATAAACACATGGGCCTCGACACAACGAACCGCGTAGTCTACAACACTGCACACCCACCGAATCAAGTAACTATCATATCTGGAGGAGGGTCTGGCCACGAGCCTGCGTGGTCGGGATTTGTCGGCGATGGTATGCTTTCAGCAGCTGTTTGCGGTGATATTTTTGCTTCTCCAAGCACTAAGCAGATTATGGCGGGGATAAGGAACGTACCGAGTGATGAAGGGATAATACTGTGCATAACGAACTACACGGGAGATATGCTTCATTTCGGACTGGCGAGAGAAAAGGGACAGGCGCTTGGATATAAGGTGGATGTTGTGTGTATGGCGGAGGATGCAGCATTAGGGAGGGAGAAGAGTGAAAAGGTGGGGAGGAGAGGATTAGCTGGAAATCTGCTAGGTATGCCTCCCCATCAGACATGTCGAAAGAAATGCTAACTCTTGCTTCTATAGTCATCAAACTCATCGGTGCTGCATCCCAGAAGGGCTGGCCTTTCGAGAGATGCAGGAAGATTGGCGAATTGGGTAATTCCGAGCTTGTTACGATTGGCACGAGTCTCGATCACTGCCATGTACCGGGCCGAGAAGCCTTCGAGCAGGTACCGGAAGATGCCTGCGTCCTGGGGATGGGTATCCACAATGAGCCCGTGAGCCAGCTCCCCTCTATGGACTCCAAGAAACTCACTGACCGCCTAGGGCCTCCGAACAATATCTCCCATGCCCTCTGCGGATGACATCGTCAAGGAAATGCTGAGATACCTGCTCGACCCGAAAGACTCCGACCGCGCCTTCGTCGAATTCAACCCCAACGACAACGTCGTCATGCTCGTCAACAACTTCGGTGGCCTTTCCGGCCTCGAATTCGAAGCCCTCGTCAACGTCACGCTTACTATCCTCAAGAGCGACTATAACATCGTACCTTCCCGCGTCTACGCGGGCATCCTGGAGACCTCGCTGAACGGCCAGGGGTTCTCGATCACGCTGGGCAATATGAGTGGCATGGCGCGGTCAATGGAATTGAAGGATGAGGAGATCATCGAGCTCCTGGACGCCCCGACCAATGCTCCCGGATGGCCGAAGAACGGATATCGGCCCGTGGATCACTCACAAGAAATGGAAAGTCGACGCCGAAAGGCCAACGCCACAGCTGAAGACAACGACTCTTCTCATCGTGGCCCCGATACACCTGCATCCCTTATTCCCGCGCTACGCAAAGCTTGCAATGCAGGCCTGGAGGCGGAGCCTAAAATTACGCAATTCGACCTCCAAATGGGCGATGGGGACTGCGGCGAAGCCGTGGCTGGTGTGTGCAAAGCTATTCTGGGGAATTTGGATTCTGTGGGGCCGAACCCGCCTCCGCTGCTCGCCCTCCTGGAAAGCATAGGCGAGAACGTCGAGGACGTAGGAGGATCCCTCGGCGCGATTCTATCCATTCTCGTCACAGCCTTCACGAACGCCCTCCACGACCTCACTATTAAATCCTCCAAGCCTCTGGACATCTCTACCGTCTCTGAGGCCGCGGCCCACGCACTCGAGAATCTGAAGAGCTATACTTCGGCACGAGAGGGAGACCGCACCGTGATGGATGTCCTCATCCCCTTCATAGGTACTTTGAAGGAAAACAAGGATCTGGCGAAGAGCGTGCAGGTGGCGCAGGAGAAGGCGGATAAGACGAGCGAGATGAAGCCGAAGTTTGGGAGGGCGACATATGTGGGCGATGAGATGGGCGAGGAGAGAAGTAGGATTCCGGATCCGGGGGCGTATGCGGCGGGCGTGTGGTTGAATGGACTGCTTGAGGGGTTTAAGGGGTAGTTGATCTGTGTTACTATCGCGTTCTTTTGGTTGGATATGTTTGATGTAAGTAACACTGTTCAGTTGCGCGTTTCGAAGGGTCTATTCTTCTTCATTGTAGTCATCAGCTCTGGGTTGACACGTCTCTCTCCGTATTTTTGGTATAAGGCTTTCCACCGCTCCTATACTCGTACTCCCCATCTAAAGCTTTTTCCAACCAGGATGTCGGCTTTTCTCCATTCCATTTCGGTCAGGCGGCGACCGCACGCAGTACTTTTGGGTTCCAAGCCTTCAACTAAATCACGTGACATCTATACGTCCCGTCTATATAAACCCCTATCCTCTCGCGCTCTCCAGTCCGCTCTCGCTACAACTATACGGTACAATCAAGTCACTAAAACATGCATGCCCCAATGCCTATGCTGGAGACTTCGGGGCGCCACAAAGGATGAGACGGGAAGGTCATGTGACCGGCCTTTTGGACAATAACTAATACCAATGGCAGCTGAATGTCATGGGTCTTCTGGAAGAGGCTACCGGAAAAAAAGAAAAGAGAGAATCTTGCAATGTGGACTCGGGTTGCAAAATGGAACGATGTACGATATGAATGCCTCGTTCGACTCGCCGCTGTTGGAAGTCAATATCAGAATTGGACTTTTTGATAAAAGGCTCTCTTGCGCTTCTAAAACGCACTTACCATGCGCAGAGTTCGAAAAATCTGAATATGGAGCAGCCAATGGGAGGGCCTCTTTTCGAGTCACCTCCCAGAGGACCAGAAAATGGAGCAGAGCTATTGCATGGGCTGGCCCCCAAAAAAGAAACGCAAATTCGGCCATGCGGTCCTTTCTCGATAGTCCTTCCAAATATCACAACGCTCCTGACTATGTCTTCCGTAGGCACGAGGGTGGAGTCAACAACTTTAAATGTCCACAGGAGAGATTCATGCGGAAGCTGGAGCTGAAATACTGGAAGCAATCACATTGCGTCGCTTGTCCTTCGCGCTGGGAGAAGAAGAAAAATTATGGAGTACTGGTATCATGGAGGACGTGTAGTTCCAAAGCGCGAATTTGACTGCGGCATGGCGAAGAGAAGGGAGACGTGGGTGAAAGACTGCGCGTGACGGTTCATGGAGACTTTGAGAAACTGGGGGTATAGTTTCCTATGAGACTAGCCGTTTTAAAAGCGTATTAAGTACTATCTAAGCGTGTGGTCGGCTGGATGAGACTACAAGCGACGGGTCTTTCGCCTCGATCAGTGGCATTCCCTTCTTTATTCCAGCCGATGGCACCGACCAAACTTAATGAATGAGGCACACATGCTGTAACTGCAGTTTCCCAAAGGTTAAATAGTGCGGTCACATGGAAATGCTTGTAGAAAATAGCATGACTTTTTCGTCGGACCGCTGGATCAAAGGTCGCCGGTGAAGATACCAATGGAGAAGCTCAAAACAAATGGGTAACCAAAAGTGCCCTGCTCCTTTCCGGCTCTTATCCAAAAGACTTCGCACCAACTGTCCATAAGCGAGTCGTGCTTCGACTAGAAGGCTGCTAGTCCCAACCTATACGTCCTCGGATTACGACATACTAAACCAAAAAAAAATGAAGCTCTTCACGATATGGAAGGAGAGTTCCGGAAGCGGGAGCGCTACTGCGCTATGTAATCAATGGGAATACGCACTCACCGATGCTGTCTCAAGAGCGCCAGATATATGATCCACCACAGCCAATGAGCAGTCTCACAAACCTCAATCTTTTCATAAAGCTGTCGACCGACTAAAGTAAGATCTCTTTCGGCAGCATGGTGCGCTCGTCTTGGTGCCGAAAGCTGAAAAAATTCACCCGTTATGTTGAGCTCCTGGTTCCAAACCCACCCGAAATTTAAGCCAAGGTCTGGGATATTCAGGTGATCTTACTCCAAATTGTCGTACAATATCATTCATGAGTGGTGCCGTGATAGTCCCAAACTAAAGAGGGAAAAAAGCTGGCAATTCATGTCGGCCGGCTCTTAGAACCGCTGTGCGAGAAGCTGTCGGGTACCTCGACATGAAAGACCGAAGGGTGCGAACAACCTTCAGTGCATTTGGCAGGGACCAAGGCTTTCAAAACGAGCCTACGAAGGAGACATGTTGCTGGCTTCCTTTCTTCGAGCCAATGAACAACAGTCGATTCTAGACGTATATGGACTCTAAAAGGGATGCTCCGCGCCGTCGGTACCGTAACGAAAGTCACTGCCGTCATTAGTACTATTATCGGGCGTCTATTTCTGGAAAAGGTCTTATCGCTGCCATGCCCTTTGTTCTGCGAGATCGTAACGGAAACTTATCATAGTTGTAATACGGCCGTGCCCAAGGGGGCGACATACGCAATCCCTTAAGTGTGATTTCGGAATCAAAGGGGCTGGCAGCGACGGACATCAGAAGGGTTCGAAGACGTTTGAGGTCAAGCCGAACGGGAAGTAGATGAAGTATGTGAATATCGGCGAGAATGCGCTGCAGCGGACGGTGGTGGTAATGCTGGAGGCTCAGGGAACAATGCCACGCGGGAGTATTGCGTGGGAAATCGATGCTTTGGGGCATGTCCCTTATGTAGACTGCGTAGACACGTCGCTCACGGCTTTGAGAAGAGCTGCCGGACAGTCGAGAACCAGTACAAATGTTGTTCCTATGCTTCCTCTTTAGTATCTGTGATCGGATCGTGACATCGTGATCTAGCGGACTCATAAAGAATACCGTGCTATGGGCTGGTGCATCGCCTTTGTGCCGAAATTAGGGAGGCTTCTAACGTTTGGGTCCGCTTTAGAGATGCTCTTATCTCGGCATTGGGGGGAATTCCAGAATCCACCATTGCTCCCATGGCTTTGAAGTTGGTTCTTGAGGAGCTAAAGTGCAAGGGTGAACTGGACGACTGGCTTGGGCTACGGGACGCCTTTGCGTATCATCATACCGAAGGACCAATTTCATCACACTCTGAAATAGCCGCAATGGGGACGAAGAGGAAGAAAGGGGAGGATGGTTGTTGCGAGGCTTGACTAGGGTCAGCGTCAAAAAAGGCGAGAAACTCGCTACGGAGGAACGGCTAAGCGAGTGCTTATCAGATAAGTTGGAGGGGGTCTGCATGTTGAAAGAATTTTGAACTACCTACAAGCTGTTCAATCCCGCAGAGCATGCTTTGAAGTGTTCTGTAAGCCTGATGAGCTAGATTAGAGAACCCCGTACCCTCGTGTGATGGCGCGAGTCAGACGTGACGTTGGTCCGTGCGGCCCTTGTCCGATCGGCCTTTGTCCGATGTCATCGCTCAACGCTCATCCTCCTGTTGACACTCACCCTCCACACCCACTGCCGCCGCGGCGGTTATCTCGTCGCAGCACAATGAGGACCAAAAGTCGCCGACGCGGGATGGATCCTGCCGGAGCCGCACCCGAAGCCTCTAAGCGACCGAGGCTCGCTCTACAACGCTCTAAGAAACGCACCCCGCCCGCAGAACAGGCACCACCCCGATACCGCCAGACAAACCTCGATGACTTCTCAGATGTTCGGCCGACTCATGCAGCATCCCGAGCTGCCCAGCGAAATGGCACCGCTTCGGATAAGCCGCCTCAATTGCAGCCTATTGGTGCAAATGTGGTCGCGAGCTACGCAGAGCTGGTACAACGGAAGAGGCGCGGAAAGGCCAAGAGGGGTGGACGGAACGATTATACGACGGACAATATATCCGGATCTGAGCGGGGAGCTATGCCACTGGGGAACTCGAGGGCGGGCATGTCTGCCACAGACGTCGTCTTCTGCTCCGAGCCCGTCCTGCGCATGTATGATGGGACAGCGGATGAACCGGAGGCGCCGGAAGTTAGAACAGGACAGATACCACCGTATCCTGTGACGAGGCCCTATCATCTCGGCGGCCTAGGGCGCTATGGCATCGATGGCAAATTCGAATCGGCTCGCAATGACACCAATCGGGGAAGTGCCAATGAAGCACGGATACTTTCCCCGCCGCGAGAATTCACTCCTATCAATCCCAGAATTGCGGGCGTCACAGAACAGTCTTTACCCCAGTTCTCGCCTATGCAATTCCAGTCTGACGGCTTCATCCACCTGAACGATGAAGTGGAGGACGGTGGAGAGGACGAGATGGATAAGGACGAGGAATACAAGGACAGAATGGAAGTGGATGCAGATCAAGACGAGGATCAGAACGCAGAGAGCGAGGATACCCCAGGAAAACATTACCGCTTCAATTTCGGCCAGTACAAGGGAACACCTTTCAGCGACGTCCTATCCGACGTCAACTACCTTAAAATGATAGGCGGGCAGCCAGCTCTGCTCAACCGTCGCGGTGGCGATTTACGATCAGCATTCGAGTATTACTGCCCGCAATATATTGCAAAGTCGACCCGAAACAACGCCAATCACTTGTCAGCCGCCTCAATCCCGAATGTACCGATGAGTAATCCCCTTTCCCGCTCAAGTCTGCCCGTCAGGAATGATAGACCTCGCACGCGCGATCCGAAACACCCGAAGGACTACGTGTTCGACTTCGGAAAATATTCAGGAACAAGATTTGACGAAGCTCCGGGGCACTACTTGCAATTGATTGAAGGGCAAGTGCGAAAGGGCTTGATGGACAAGAGAGCCGGCTTGAGAGAGGCGTATGAGTGGCATTGGTGGGGTGGGAAGAATGAGTGAAGATAGCGGTGAGGGTAAAGGCTGGTGTAAAAGGATCTTATATGATTAATACCCGCTTTGAATGACTGAGTGTGCGAGACTTGCGGATAGGAACCCGGGTTCCTGGAACGAGTAGTCGCGATCTCTACAATAGGAAGGGAATGTCTGCGAGTAGCATAGGCTATATGATATGTATTTGGGGAGCAAACGGTGGTAATGAGTAGTACAAACTACCGCGATTTCGCCCTAATCCTCTTCTCCCTACTGTTCCTGTCCCCTTTTAAAGTATAAGTACTGTTTTGCTCCCTTTTCTGAAGATCACGCACCTGCCCCTCAGTAAGGCAGTGGACGGACTAAAAGACATGATCAGACTGGGGCATGGGGAGGGTTTCTTCGGCGAATAACCACGCAAGCGGCAATGCGCATGGATAGTGATATAATCCTTCCATGGGGCGTAATGGTGAGCGTCAAGGTCTATAGCTGATGGTTCAGCTAACGGCACACAGAAAGGCGACTTCGTATGTATCTCCCAGGATTTTCTTCTGTCCACCGCCCCCTCCGGAGTATAAAATAACTTCTTCTCTACCCGAGTCCTCGCTCACACTACGCTCCACATCTGCGAATTTGAAGCACTAAAAGAAATTGGACGCAAGCCCATGCTGCGACTCTGGCTGGTTCGAAAATCTCGCCGCCGGGTCAACATATTTTCGTTGGCACGCTGAGCTAAAATCTGAGGAAGACATAGATGTCTGCGCTGCTCTTGCTGTTGGACGCAAAGCAGCTGGAAACCAAAAGAATGAGTACCTTGGACGTCCCATAGGGAAAATCTTGGTCCAGAGGTACGGTGTCTTGAATCCAAGGAGTGGGGAACTCCTCTCATGGGCGGGGTGAGCGCTTTCGCGGGATTTACAGGCAGGTCTATGTCTTCTTGCGCGAAGACTTCTCGTGAGGAAACGGCTTTGATGAGCGATGTGGATGTGGGCATGGGCACCGGAACAGCACGGTCAGCACAGTTCAATGCCTCTTGCTCCCTACGTGCTTGGCTCACAGTCTCTTTGCATATAAGAGCTTCTCCCCTGTTCCTCCTTTCTCACTTCACACTTCGCCATTTCCTCGAATCACAAAAGTCGATGAAAGCGTCATTCATAGGGTAGACTCCTCGCGAGCTTCATAATACTATGACTACAACAAATATGCCCTGCTACTCGACCCTCCACGAAGACAAGAATGGGACTCTTTCAAGTGTGCCTCTCCCCGACTCTAGCGTCCACCTCCGGCATCATGATGGTGCGCATGGAGCTGGCTAATGAGACAAGAGCGCCCCTGTTGGAGGCTGTGTACAGGTGTGATGATTGCAAGACTCTAGGTCGGCTGCTACGGAATCGGAAAAAAAAACTGGGTGATTCGAAGCTGTTGTTCATGAGGGAGGTGCGGCGGAGGCTGTTTCTTCACCCTCTCTCCCGCTCAGTGATAAGCGAAACTATCATGACAGAAGCTATGCCTCTCCAAGCCCGGTTTAACAAGGCGGCGAGAAAAGAAGCTCCAATATCACGTGATGACCCTTTCGAGTTAGCGCCAAATTTGGCCACGGTCAAGCGGCCGTCTTCGTCCGATCCCTCCTCTTTCTATGCTTCAAAAACAACAAGCATGGGACGCCTCTGATTACTTTACTCATCTGCTTCACCGCTTTGTAACTGCCTCGCCCTTTCGGCACCTTGTTTGTCGCGCATTCTGCTCTGAGGTCTGTAGATCTCTCCGGCATTACAAATGCTTCTGTCCTATTCCTGCGGCGAAGTCCCATCTCTCGCGCGACATAGTAGTTTCCAATCTGCATCACTGTTGACTGTTAATGTTATCCAGGCGATCTCGACTCAACGAAGGCCGCTTCTACAACTCAATCACTGCGACCCTTCGCTTTCGCGTGCGACCGAGATGATCATTCCAGTTGATCCAAAGGGCACTAGTCAAGCGCCCCTGGTCCTGTTTGGGAAATAAATCAAGCTGACTTCCGGGTCTTGGCGACTTACTACGCGGCTGATAGCCCTAGCTACCGCTATCACACCTCGGTTCGTCCGCTTCGAAGATGCCAGGCCGGTCACACGACGCTGTCCTGTATACGCCGTAAGCACAAAGTACCTATATGTGTGATAGCGGGCCAGGTTCCGCACTGCAGAATGCTTGGCTTCATTATTCAAGTCCTGGCATTGGTCTTTCGATCGATATAAAAGTCCAACTGTGTCCACATGAGCCACTCAGCAATTGTCCAACAGGCATCGAATATCCATCGCCATGGAACTCTTTCTACTACTGTGTTTCCTTTCCTCCATTATCCTCCACCTCTGTGCTGGCGAGCTCTCCAACTTCGACGACTGGGATCATCAACGGATCAAGCTGGACGACGTCTCCATCCACCTCCGATACCATGGCTCCGGCCCACCCATTCTCCTCGTCCACGGCTTCCCTCAGCACTCTCTTACATGGCACACTATCGGCCCCATCCTCGCCCAAAATTACACTGTCATTGCCCCTGACATCCGCGGCATGGGCGACTCTTCACTATCCAGCACTGCTAACTATACCGCAGCAGCGGCTGGTGCAGACCTCAAAGGCATCCTCGACTTTCTGCGCATCAACCAGACGTATATTTTCGCGCACGACAAAGGCGTAGGCCTCGCCACCTCGCTGGCCATCGAGCACCCTGAGGTTGTAAGCCGGTTCATCCTCGCCGAGTATGCGCTCCCGGGCTATGGCTACCCCACGGAAGTGACGAGCCCTGATTTGTACCAGAACTGGCAGCTCTCCTTCTTTGGCGTACCTGATGCAGCCGAATTTTTCATCTCAGGCCGCGAAAAGCAGATGCTGAGTTGGTACTTCTTCCACGCATCCTACTCCGGCACAGCGGCAGTTTCGGTAGATCATCTCCAGCGCTATACGAATGAAATCTCCAAGCCTGGGTTCTTGAGAGCCGGGCTGAGCTATTTCGGTACAGCTTGGGACGATGAGAGGTACTTCCAGGGCGCATTTGAGGGTGGGAACAGGTTGACGATGCCGATGCTAGCGCTGGGTGGCGAAGCTAGTTTTGCGCCGGCTTCGCTGCTGAATGAGAGCTGGGGGGGTGTTAGTTCGAATTTTGTGGCCGAAGTAATTCCTAAGGCTGGGCATTGGATTGGTGAGTCGCTGGAGTGGATGGGCTGCTGTGTGAGTGCTAACGTTACACGCGTAGGCGATGAGAATCCGACCTGGACTGCCAACCGAGCTTTGCGGTTCTTTGGCAACGGAGACAGAATACCGAGTGTGGATTTAACGTACCTCAGCGATAAGGTAACTTTGGTTGATCAGTAGGTCTAAACAATGGTGACTCCTGCTTGTGATAGGTGGTCATAGGTCGGCTTGTGGGCATACGATGGTCCAGAAATTTTTGAACTCTTTTATTGCAGGAACATCTATACTACATTTCCAGTGCCATGGTGAGCAGCAGCATCGCAATCAGCATCGTCCTCCTTACCCAGAGAATCCACCACTTAGCCCGCTTTCCTACTTCCCGCTTTTGTTGTTCTCTCGCATTCATATAAATACTTCCTCCCTGTCCCTCTATCTTCTACACATTTTCTAATTTCCGTTCTCAAACGGAAACTAAAAGAGTTAAAAAAAAAGCTCCATGCCTGTCACCTTCAGTCTTGAAAAGCTCTTACCTGTGTGCGTGTTGCTTCGTTTGAGAAGATTCTTCACCAGACTCTCATAGCTTGGAGTTTGCTTTTGCTGCTGAAGAAAAGGGCTCAAGTCAAGATCTATGCGCTTCCGTGCCGGGGACAGATGTAATTACGTCACCGCTGGAGCGATGCTGATCGAGGGCGTCACCTCACCACACACCATCCTTGTGCCTAATCTATGGAACCGGGGCCTGAGCGCCACTACGCTAATTCTCCTACTAGATATATAAACCGCTTCGGTCCTCCCTCCAGGCCGACGCACCTCTACGCCCTCTTCCACCATCCGCGGACTAAAAGCGGCGAGAAGTGTTATGTTTTGTGCTGCAAGCCACTCTAAAACTCAGACTCCGAAGGAATGATGTCCTGACGACTCCAAAACAAAGGCGCTAGGATGCTGTAATATTCTCGTTCCTTTTGCCCTCAATTCAACACTGAACCAAAGCCTGAAGGCGCACATGTATGGTTTTCGCCCCCGCACGGGAATGCGCGGATATGCGGAGCGACCGGAGTGGACAATTTTGCCCTTCCACGAACAAGATGCAGGGGGATTCAAGACGGAGAACTTCAGTGGTATGGTCGCGGAGTCCGAATGTGGTCGCCCTGAAATGGCCCCCCGAGCCACCCAAAGAACCAACGACCTCTACCATGTGGCTCCCCGCTCGGACCGTACCTAGATATAAATGCTTTCCTCTCTCGCCTTCACTTCCTACGCACTTATCTTTATCCGCTTCCAGCAAAGTTTTAAACAAAAACAGGGGGGTTCCGACACATGCGCCGCTGGGCTCCGAGCTTGCCCAAAAACCGCGAGACAATGTCAGCGATGCTTGGGGGGCCAAGTACGTTCCAATATTATATGCATGACTGGGAGATCCCCCATTTCCTTTTGCAACAATAATTGGTTCGAAAAGTTCATGTCGCTAGCATCGATGGGTGCGGACTGCTTGCGGCCTGCGAGAAATCTACCAAGCCCTTCTCCTCCATCAAGTAACCGTCGGACCTACGCACAGGAATTACTGGAATCCCGCGTCACGTGGCTTCTAGCATGGCTCCTCGCTTTCAGGATATAAATACCCACCCCGGACTTACACGCTCCACCACCGTCCTCTCTGCGTATAGCCGCAGTACTAAAAAGCTCAATCCGGCTAGGTCTGTCCTAGCGCTTCCTACTTCTCTAAAATCATCAATGTTCTTGGCAGCCAATAACCACAAGCTCAAAAATAAATGGCCAGTCCGGGCTTTGCTCGTTCCCGCGCCTGAGACAAGCTGACCAACGCTTTCTGACAAAGCCTTGCCACATGCGTGGCACACAAACTCGGCATATAGCCTCGGCCCCAGGCTCATAGTTCCTTAGACTTCAATACATGGTTACCCCTTCACATGGTTGCTGCCCGCTGGCCGTGCCCCGGATACATCTCAAACTACTTCTTTGTAATCAACAAACGTGGGATTCGTGGACTAAATCATCTATTCCTCCAACGTATATGCGCTTCTGCTGAGTGTATCTCTACAACTGCCAGTCAGCACACTGCATGTTTTCGAAAACTATAGTCCGTTCTTAAGCCAGGCTATGTCTGCCCGCTGGAGTTCCTCCCCCAAACAAGTCTGACGAAAACGCCCACGCCTCCTATTCATGACCCTGTTTCTCCGCCGCAGAGCCCAGGAGTCACCGACGCGAAAAGGCCCTTGGCCACCACAACACGTCCGCGGATTGCGGAGTTGCCTCCGTCGGAAGCCGATGACAAAGGGAAAGGCGTCCGCGGAGCTAGAAAAGGACACTGCGCACTGCCATCGGGGACTTCCGAGTTCTTCTCCTAGCATACGACTACCGAACCAGTCATCAAAACGTCAACCACCAAAGCGAACCCAGAGAGGATCCATGTCCGTTCCTTGGGCTGCTACTTGCATGCATAAATACCTCTCCTCCTTCCCGCGCAACAGACCACCACTCTCCTCCTCACCACGAAGACGTGGACTAAAATTGCAACCGGTGCAAGTCATGTTCCTAGGCTTTGGGACCTGTCCAAAACACCATACGGTACGTGAAAATCAGTCCCGGAGAACCAAAAGCAGCCACTCCGCGTTACGATGGCTCGCCCCTGTCTTTCTCCCCACGACATCGTAGAGGAAAGCTGAATAATGCGGCGACAGCGGGCGCTTTTCAAGAAGAGCCGTTACGCTGTAGGTCATGGTTCTCGCAGCCTTTAGCGGAAGAAAAGGCTCTTCTGCTTACTCGGACACTCCGCTGTCGAAGAAACTAAAATTCGAGGATATCTGTGCGATGCGCCCCCGACGCGCGTCTGGTCCGGAATTAAAAGCTCAGCTTGATACGAATCACGTGCGTGCGCGGGCGGTGCTAGAACGACCATCACAAATTCTTCATGCGGACCTTGTTCTTCTCTTCTTTGTCCCATCTCCTTTACTTTTCAGTGCCGGTTCAAGATACGCATCGAACTTCCCCATCTCGGGCACCCCCCCTCCGTTCCTATATAAATACCACCTCTCTACCTCCCTTCGAGACTCACTACCCCCACCGCTCCAAAGCACGAGAACTAAAACGATCCTGCGACACGTACGATGCTTCCGGAGTGGTCTGGAGCCTAAAAGGGACGAACTCATGGACGATGACCTTGCGAGCCGGGCAGCTGGCGCTCTTCCAAAAAGATTGCCAAGAGTCGGGATTCATGTTAGGATCGCCTGCCCTCCTCTCAAAAGCGATTCTCGAGGTCGAATGGAATGGAAAGACTCGAAGAAATGGTGGATGGCAACACCGAAAAGGCCGCGGCACCGCTCTTATTCGTCCGTGTCGGCTTCTCTGCTCTGCCTAAGTCGCGCTATAAGTAGCTCCTCTTGATATCAGGCCAGGAGCTGCTCTGCTCTACTCTTCCCCAACGCTCACAAAGGAGGACTAAAATGCAAGAGCCAGACATCGATTCAAATGCTCACGGACTGCTCCCGCTGTCTAAAAACATATACACTGTCGGCATGTCTCCGCGGCTGAGACTGCTCTAAAAGTATCTAGACGAAATCCATGAGCCGGAGAACGCCTGCCGTGTTCTGAACCAGATCTTCGAGATTGCATGGAAGGTGGAATGTACCGCTCGTGGGAGTGACTAGAAGATCGACATCGTCGGAGCGATGTGTGCGCCTAGTTCGGTGTTCGGTGTCCACGGCATAAATATCTGTCCTCGGGCTAGCTAGAGGAGCGCACCGCCGTCCTCAGTGCTCTAACAAGCGGATTAAAACCGATGTGCAAAGGAGCAATGTGTTCCGAGTCTGGGCTTCTCTAAAACGGTCAAGGACTTCTAACAATGATTGTGCTACCAAAAGTTCACAAAACCTGTGCGATGTGCGTTGCCTCGGGTCTGGGCGGATGATATCTCGGGTCTGGGCATCAGGCGATCTGGTTGTCCAAAGTCTTGCTTGGAGCTCTGAATGGGGAGCGAGGGGACCTCGTGAACAATGTGGCGAAGATGCTAATGATGGTCGTGACGCGGAGATGCTCATCATCACATGGACTGGTGCGGGACGACAGAACGGAAACGGGATAAATATACATGCTTTAGGGAGACAGGGCTTCCTACTATGCCCTCACCTCTTATAGCTTCGCCTTCACCCAACCGTTGACCACCTCTGCGCTTCCCGTTCCGCTGTCCCCCTTGTAGCCAAGCAGCAGCTCGAGGATCATCTCGATATGCGCTGCCTTTGCCGTGATGGCGGTATTTACCCGTCCACCCTTGCCGCCAAAGCCCTTTGTAAACCTCTTCGAGAACTCTTCAATTCCATCGAGCAGGATCTCGTTGCCGCCGGCCCAGATGAGCACCTCTTCAATTACATCTGCAGTCCCTTCCCACCATGAAGCGGGTGCAGTAACAGGCTCGTTGTAAAAGTCGCCTGCGAAGGGCGAATCGCTACCGAGGAAAGCGGTGGACCAGCGTTGGAGGGGCCGCGCGTCGAAGCAGTCCCTCTCCGCGTTTGTTTCGTAAGACGGAGTGTGCGTGTTGAAGGAGCACCAGGGCGAGATGAGGAGAGCGGCGTGGAGTTTTCCGGGTAGTGTAAGCGCGGGGATGTCTGGGTGGGGATGGGCGAGGTGAGAGAGGACACCGATGGCGAGATTTCCTCCGGCTGAGTCTCCACCGAGCGAGATGTCTGCCGGACTGCGCCTTTCGGTCTCGACCAGATGTCGCAGACACTCAATGGATTGCCTCAGCTGTGTGGGATACGGGTGCTCGGGAGCGAGATCGTACGCGAGAACGAGGACGGCGACGTCGGATCCTTGAGCATTGCGGTCGTCTTTCATGGCCTTCAGGTACTGGAAATGGCCCGGCGTGCACGGCGTGACGTATCCGCCGCCTTTGTCGCCCACTGTTAGCTCTATTCTTGTACAGCCGTAGCGCAACGTACCGTGGAAGTAGAGGATAACCTTCTTCGCCGTCTTGTTCCCGATCCAGTGGGCCAATGCCCCGCTCGGAAGCGTGATGCTCTCGGGGGCAAACCCGCTGTCCTTTGCAAACTTGAGGTATGCCGGCGTCGTCATGACGTTCATGTAGCGGTCCGCGGCGAGGTCAAGGCCGCCCAGCTGGGTGCGCATCATGGCGAAGATGACATCCTTGAAGTAGTTGTGGGCGCCCTTCTGGCCCTTGAATGGGGACACCCATAGCCTGGCTGATGCTGCGAGCACTGCGGGTGTTGTCAGTCCATGTTTACAGGCGATGAGAGGGGACGCGCGGCGACGGACTCGCTTTCAAGGTGGTCGACGCGATGGCGAGCTTGCTGACATTGTGGTCCGCCATGGTGTTGCAAGATCGGATGTGGTAGAACAATCGGAGAGATCAGCAACAGGAGAGCGACCTACCTCCGTCTCCCGGCCTCGCGAGCACTACTACTAGTCAGCAGCATGCGGCGCGGCTCCGTGTCGTCGGCCTGGAATTCCATATCCGAGGTTCCATCCATGGCAGCGCGAGGGGAGCTCAGCGCGCCGTCCCCGCACCGTCACGTAAGCGAGCCGGGGCGGCGGTGGCGCATGACTCGCCGCGGCATGCTTGTATGCGCGGCCTGAGTCCTGCTCTCCATAACCCCAGGAGCCCGCAGCCGGAGCCCTACGCTCGGGGTCAGACACCATGGCCGGCCCAGACTCCTCCACCAACGGCGACGAGGGCGCCGACGAGGGCGCCGACTCGACTGCAGGCCCGCAGCCCGCCGCCAAAAAGCGCCGCACCGGCACGTCGTCGCGCGGCGTCGCGAACCTCACGCCCGAGCAGCTCGCCCGCAAGCGCGCCAACGACCGCGAGGCCCAGCGCGCCATCCGCGAGCGCACCCGGAGCCAGATCGACACCCTCAACCGCCGCATCCACGAGCTCGAGAGCCAGCAGCCCTACCGCGACCTGGAGCTTGTCGTCCGCGAGAAGAGCGCCATCCAGGCCGAGAATGCCGATATCCGGAAGCGGCTGGAGAGCGTCCTGTCCATTATCCAGCCCATCCTGCGCGCCCCCGGAGGGCTGAACGGTAGGTAGCACTGATAAGAGAGATAGGGGCGATTGAGCTCACGCATCCAGAACTGGCAGCAGCCGCTGAGCGCTCCCCTCTTGCCGTTCCCCTACCGCAGCACCCCCCGTTGCACCCTCCCGACCCGCGCACCTTCCACTCCACCCTCGGCGAGATAGCCGCCTCTCCTCGCAATGGCATCCATTCCCCAGGCACGGCAGAGCGACAGTGGCTCTTCCCCGAAGCCCCTGGCGGCCATGTGCGACAATGGGCCCGCGAGGCCTCGCAGTACCCGCACGAACCCCCTCCCATGCCTCCCGAGATGCCCTTCGACGAGAGGCTAGGCGTTGACTTCATCCTGGCGGACAATGGACAGCGAAGGCCCGTGGATCCGAACCTGCCTCCGCCCAAACAGCCGCCGACCATCAGCACGAATGGCATAGGGCAGCATGCGCCCGTCATGGTCCCGTACACCGCGCTGCCACGCAACATCGCAAGCACCTGTCCACTCGATGCCATTCTGCTGGACTTCCTGGCAGAGCGGCAGGCCCGGGCCCAGGAAGGCGTGCCCACAAAGGTCCTCGTCGGTCCGCTGTACCCCAATTTCACGTCCATTGTGCACCCGGAGCGCCGCGATGAAGCACATCCCTTGTCAAAGCTCTTCACAGACATCCTGCGCACATTTCCGGACATTTGTGGACTCCCAGAGCAGGTCGCCATTGTCTACGTCATGTTCCTTATTATGCGCTGGCAGATCGAGCCTACGAGGGAGAATTATGACAGACTGCCTGAATGGGTCACGCCGCGCGCATCGCAGCTGTTCGTCCCTCATCCGCTTTGGTTTGATCATCTCCCATGGTGAGTGCTCCCCATCGAGCAATTCCCGATCTGTACATCCGCCATCTCCGATTTGGGGCTATGCGTCATGTCTAAAAAGGGATATTACTAATCAGACTAGGCCACGTCTACGCGATCGCTTGATCGCAACCCAGCCCTTCACTTCTTTCGACACCTTCTTCATTCCTTTCACAACAACTGTGTCTTTGAACTGGCCCTACGAAGCCCGCGACTGTCTCCTTCCAGCCTCTAAGGTCCACCCTTCGAGCCTGTCGACTACATCCTCCGTTCCCGCGTCGAGCCCTTTCTCCACCGCCGTGAATGCGGGGTCTCCTCCAGGACCACCCACGCCCCAACCTAGCGCGAGTACGCCCGGCGGCCTCAGCGCGAAGGACGATGATCAATGGCTCATCAACCCTGCGTTCGAAACCCATCTACGAAATCTCAGCAATTGGAGCCTGGGGCCCTCGTTCGGATCCACCTTCCCGGCCTTCAGAGACACCGTCAGAATCAAAGAAGGCCGCTAGCCGCATTTGTAGATGCAAGCTGCGGCGACCCGGCCGCGCCCTAATTTCGGTTTGTCGTGATGAAATTTTTTTTTGTTGTGAGTATCATGTACCATTTTTATTTTGGAGTATCGCCAAAAGGTATTGATATGCTATTCTTTTACGAGCATGTCCTGTCTATAATAGTCGGCGTTTCCAAAAGGTTCCAAGGTTCCAAGGTTGGCGCCTTGTCACGTGGGTGGTGGGAATAGTCGACATCAATCAAGAGGCGGGTGTTTATCTGGAAGTAGAGATACTGTCACCAATATGGTTAAGAAAATCTGAGGATGGTCACCATCATCAACGTCTCTTCTGTCGTCCTCCCCTCGTCAAGTCGTGACTTCGCTCTCAGCTTTGCCCGTTTGACTTCTCAATCTCTCCACCGCCCTCGCACGTCCCGATCCTGAACACCCAACACCTCAACGCGTAGCCCACAACCACGTCCAACATTCATCAAATTCATGTGGAACTTATTGAACATATCGTGTCGGCTGGCGACCAAGCTCTCTCATAGCCGTCCAACACTCTTTGCATCATACCCGATTACCGATTACTCAGCACCGCACCATTAGACTAACATTGGCAGGAACGAGAACGAACGGTTCATGGAGCCAAAAATCCGCGAAGCTGGCGGTAACTAGGTCCTGATGCCGAGTTGCTTGGAGATCTCTCGTCCTCGCAGCGCTCGAGGGGCACACTTCTCTCCTGCCGTGGGTATGCTCTGTTGGCATTTTCGGTCTCATCGCCAGTCTGACCTCGGCCTTTTTGAGCTCCACAACGGGATCGCACATGTCGTGTCTCGTCATTTTTTGGTTCTTGGCCTTGAGCTGGGGCTCTGGCTTTCAGCTCGGTCGGAGCCGCATGCCCCGTCGAGTTCCTGCTTTTGGTCCTGCGGGGACTTCTGTTTGGGGGTGTTGAAGAAAGCTCCAGGACGCACCGCAGACATAACCACGATTGCGTGCTCTTTGAGAACGCACGCCGACGGCACATTGAATGTCGTTTCTGCGCAAGGCGTGCAGAGACGGCCTCCGACCATGTCATGGTTGACGGTAGGTTTGCAAACTGCGCGCTGGGACATCGTCGTGCTCCCGTTGGATTTTGTAAGAGGGGGTTGACTCCGCGTCCGGCATGGTATTGTTCTGAAAGGTCTTTTTTTGGCTGGACGGTGAGGCGCTGCGCTGGTAAGTGTTGGTGTGGATGGCGGACCGACTGCAAGTTATGCATCCTTACTTCTTTCGCTGTTTTGGTGTCGACTTCGGTTCGGCTCGATCCGGAACAGAGAGCAGCATGCGTGAGTATCGCACGGAGTTTGGGTCTGCCGTGTAGGTCGGGGTGGGAGGCCACGTTTTCGTCGACATGAAGGCTTGACCTGGAGTTTTTGAGCGAGAAAAGGGGAAGGGGACACAGCATGCGGGGTGTCGGTATCGCCTTTTCGAGGTCGCGCGAGCTATTTTTCATGGAGCATCGCGTAGCTCCAAGCGTGTATCGAATGCGCGAGGTCTTGGATTAAAGCCCGGCCCGGAGACACAACGTCTTCAGTTCTGGAATTCCGGAGCGTGTGTCCTGCTGGGTAAAGGACAGGCCATGCTGAACTTGAACACTAGGTTTGAAAGAAGGGGGACGCGCACAGCATCGGTTCAGTTTGGGGTGGCTTCTGGTGCCATGCCACCAACGTAATTCCTTTTTAAACGGCGTGATAAGTTGAGAATTTCTCCTCCGGGGTTTCGGTGCTGGCTGTGTTGGAGGATGAAATCGAAGTCAGCGCCCATAGAGTCTTCCCGTTGAGAGTTTTAGACCGGGTGGTTTCCACTCTTGGGGAGTGTGACTGATTGATTGGCTTTTCTCGTTTTGAGTCACCAACCCATAGAGGTTATGCTGACTACGCCTACGCATAAAAGGACTTAAAAGGCGCTAGAATGAAGAAAAGAGAACAGGGTATCACAGAACCGCGGGGAGGTGGCATGAGTCAACAGTGTGTGATTGTATTGTAGCTCTGGCTCTCCAGCACATAGAAGAGCAACCGTATGCTCTTTTGCCGCCAGCTCCAGCTCCATCGAACAGCTTGCGAAGGAATTCTGTTGCACTTCTATATCCGGCCCTCTTAGGCGAAACTTTCGGTCTCCTCACATCGGAAACTTGTAGAAGATATTGAAGGCAGCTCCACAGAGCAAGAGGGAAGCGAACAGCATGCAGCGATGAGCATGTTCTTTTCTGGGCTCCATGACGGTGGAACTTGCGGTCTTTTGTCGAAGCGGGCATCCAGCCCTTTGAAGACCTATTTTCGAACGCCGTGCAACGGAGAGAGCGGGCATGCGACGTCTGTTGGAGCTTTTTGGAAAATGGAGGGAGCTGCAACATTCTTCGTTCTGCATTCCACTTTTCGGTGGTGCTGAGATCGATGTGAGAGGGCGCCCATAATACCGACGGTCGGAGGTTGGTAGCCGCGCTGGGTGTTTCTAAAGAGAGGACGCTCTTCGGCCATGAAGAGCCTGTGGGGGTGCCTGCGGATTGGCGGAGCAAGGAGTGAGCGGCATTTTTGACGGGCGTCTCTTCCGCTGGACATGATGACGACCGATTGTCAATTTTGGTAGACTGTACTTCCCTGCTTCCAGACCCTTTCATAGAGTAACGCGGTCTTCGTTTAGAGATCCTCGAACTCTAGATATATCATATGAGTGAAGTATTTCCGAACAGGCATGTATACAACAGCCATCGTCTTTTGGAATGGACAAAGCAGCCGGCATGCTCGTCTGCGGATGTTAATTTCGAACTCTTCATGCCGAGCTTGGGGCTGCAAGGGAGCATATGTCGGTGGTATTGCGTTTTTTGGAGAACGGACGAGTCCAACGGCATGCTATGCTCGGGTTTGACTTTTTCGTCCTCCGTGGAGTGGGTTGGAGTGGAGGGAAGGTCTGCCGGGGACCCTACGGCGCATTTATGTAAAATAGGGCGTCTGGAACATCGTTACCATGGTTTCTGTTTGTGTGGCATGGCGCAGGTTAGCTGTATGTTTTTCAGGAGAAGCATAGTACTGCTTCCTCGAAAGCTGGAGAAGACGCGAAGTCCGGCACATGTTTGTGAGTGCGTAGAGTCTCTGGACCTGTTGATATAGGGAAGGGAGATCCGCTGGACACCCATGAGAGATGGGAACAACACCTTTTCGCAGTAATGAGAACTGGGACATGACTGGTGTATGAAGGCCGTTTCGGAGAAGTAGATGGTGGGAAGGTGGATCCTCTAGTGAATAGTAACACAGCTAAATTGTCGTCGTTGTACGGAAGAACGCTATCATATCAAGGTTGACGTGTATGTTCTTTTGAGAACGCCAACTAGCCAGTTCAGGAGTCCCTTGGGAAAGGTCATAAGGAAATGTCGAGTGCCTCTGTGGAGCGGGAAAAGCTCCATACATAAATTTGGTAAAATAAAACTTCAGAACTGGAGAGCCTGATGCGAAAGATCTGTCTCCGGACAGCCACGAAGCGGCGAATCCAGAGATTTTTGAAGAAGACGAAAGGCCGGGCATGGGAGAAAGCTGCCGGATCTTTTGGGTTCCTAGCATTAAGTGAGGAAGAAGCGTGTGGTTCTCGAAATGGCAGAAATTAGTGGTTTATATATCCGTTGAGGAAGACACTTGTACGGAAGCTAGACAGGTGTTAAGTTGGATAGGAGCCCGGGGGTGCGCAACTAAAACAGGCTCAGATCCATATTGTAGCCGCACATGGAAGCGGACTCGGATACTTTTACTCCAGTCATATTTCTGGAGCCGAAGAACGAGATAGTGTGGTCAGTAGTTCTAGATCTGCATAAACTCGGGAGAAAGTCTCATACAGTCTATATTTTCTACCTTTAGACAGTGTGAAACGCGAAGTGTAGGGTAGATTCTGCCGGTCACAGTATCCGTTCTAATCTAAGTCTATTTTTGAGAAAGAAAACTCTCGCACCATGGCATGGTGGAATTATGATTTAGGGAGCACATGATGCACGCGAACAGTGTTCTCCGCGGAGACATGGTCAGTGATTGTATCAAGTTTAGAGAAGTGCTTCCACCAAATGACAGAAGGAACTATTGGGTTTTAGTTCTACAGGTTGTGGGCTTATGGATGTAGAGCAGTGATGCCGTAGTGGTAAGAAAGCGGATTTAAATAGTCGGAAGAGAGCTCTCAGCCTGCTTAACAGAAATCAATTAGAACTCGTGATTTCAGACTTTGGATGGGGATGTAAAGACGGACAATGTATGTTCACTTCGTGACCTTCAGGCATCCAACATGGGAATTGAGCGGTTGGGTTTGAAATTCATGTGGGCCGTCCGTGAGCCGGACTCCAAGTCTGTGCGACGCAAGCACTATATCATCCACGGCGCGTTCTTTTGGACATCATTACCTTGCTTGGTATCTTTCAGGAACGACTGTATTTTTGGCCCTTTTCGACGAGAAACAAACCACTCACAAGCATGTGCCCAAGGCCGACTCTCTAGGTTCAGAACGAGGTAAGAGGCGCAAATCTTCTCCAGAAAGGCGTATGAAGACGATGTCACTCGACCTTCAGGAAGCTTCCCCAGCAACATTGTGCAATGCCTCTAAGGTTTTGGCGACGGGAAGGAGTAGATTGGTTCTCTCCAGCCGAACATACTATCCCCGTCTATGACTTTGGAAGGCCAGTTGCGCAGCACATGGAGAACAGCGACTTTCATTCTAGTGTGGAAATAAGGAGGAGCGCATAGATACGATTTCGTCCTTCCGGAATTTGGTCCAAAAGAGCGCTATGTCCGCAAGCATGCGCAGTCAAATCTAATCTTTTATGCACCAAGTCTCCAGCCATATCACGATGATATCGTGGTTTCAGAGAATAGACGTCCACACAAAGGGGCAGAGCATGGTATGTCCGATGAAGCCCTTGTAGTTGTTGTAGTACTGGCCTAGGTTCGTGAAAACTCTGCAGTTTCCGTCGCCGAACAACACGAAGTCATCGAGTTGCACTTATGCGCCAGGCTAACCGGAACATACCGCGTGATGGGACTTTTCTTTGGACTCATAGTCTCTTCGCCATTGTCTCTCGCCACACTCCCATCGACCGGGATGACAGATCGTTTTAGTATACGAAGTCCACGACATCAATAGGGACTTCGGAAGCTCTGGACGAGAGTGGAAAGTCGCCGGATCAAGTTCTCTGGAATGGAGACATGGCGACACGCAGCACGGATTTTAAGAAGAACGCGGAGGCTACAACATGCGAGCAATGTCGAATCTTTTTAGTGCCTCGGGTGGGGCGAGAAAAGTTAGTGAACTGCGAAAGAGAGAAGGAACAAGGCTTATATATCATTTGGGAGGTAAGAAGAGACAGGATGAATAGAATTGACCCGAATTGAAAGCGGATAAGATGGGAAAGTAAGGTGTGAGAGTCAGTGGTGAAATCTTCGGTGAAGATGATGCATTGAATAAGATATACGGTATGGCGTATTGGGCTGAATGTCTTAGGAAAGAAGACTGAGATTAATGGCTTCAAGGACGACAAAAGTGCATAGGAAATAATGCCAGCTCAGCCCATCTCTTAACATGCACCCCAATATTCCGCTCCATCGTCGGGGGCTCCTCATTGCCACCGCGTTCCCGCTACCCTTTCCCTAAGCATGTCGTCTTCCCTCCATTTAACAGCTCAGCGGACTGCAGTGCTTTCCACAGTGGCACTTGTTCAGCTGGCACCATCCATATCCATTCCATTTACTGCAGCACTTGTCCACATCGTTGGAGGGGCAGTGCTTTACGAAGTGGCAGTTGCACTTCGCGAGAAAGACGTCGTCGACTGCGAAGGTCTCGGCTGGCGCCGCCGCGCGGTCTTCGATGGGGCTGCCGGTGACTATGGCGCTGAGAGTGAAGGCGGCGAGGGAGAGAATGGTGGTTGGCTTCATGGTTGATAGTTGGTGTCGGTTGGAGATTGGTTGTAGTCGAAGGATTGAAGAGACAACTGTGGAAGCGATGGATCTTGTTCGACGAGTTTCTTCAATGATGCATTGGTCGTCTTTTATAGGTCTGAGGGCCTTCTCGTCGGGTTCCTGAGCCCGCTCATCGCCCTAATTTAAGACTTTAGTGTCCTGGCTGCCTAAGGCGTCGTACCTGCGTCAAGATCGTCTCTTCAGCTGTCCGTCGTCGCGGAAGGATCCTTGTGTTGGCGAACCTAAGGCCGATGGCGAAAGCTTGTGTTGAGCCGCAATCCTACAAAATCTAGGGAAGGATCGGCGTTTCTGATTGGTAGTTGCGAATAGAAACGTTGGTGGCCGACGTATGCCGCACACCTACCCGGGGTTAGCGTGGCACGCCTGACGTCTGCAAGAAGACCGCTTGCAGAATGCATCCTCACCAGCACCGTCACGTTTGGTGCTGTATACTAACAAACGCTCTTTTTAATCATGAAGACAGTGGATTTTGAGGCCCTCACTGGATCTGTGAGAAGTGGAGCTCGACGTTGCTGTGATTCGCATAGCTATGTTGGATGGCCGAGATGAACGCCTTCTGGTGTATGCTTGACCCATGTGGTGTAGTTTGCGCAGTGGCCACCAAGAGATGTCCGAAAGAGATGGCAGCGAAGAATGGTCCTTTTAGAGTCTAAGATTAGGTTGAGTGCTTCCATATTTCCTCCGAGTCCATTATCTATGGTAAGCAAACCACATGGAAACCATTTTGCCTTCCCGGAGGTAGGTATGTCTGCGCCGCTCCTACTCGCAAGGTGCGACGCTTCAGCCACAGCCTTACGCGCCACTATTCTAAGAGTAGGCGCAGGGAAAGATCATGCGGCGGTGCCGAAGTCTTAGTGCATGCGAAGAAGAACGGGTAGAAACAGAGCCTCAAACTCGGTGTTGGCCTGATTCCGTACCGGAATACTAAATATGAGCAGGCTGCTCCTAAAGCAACGGCACAACATCGACAGACTCACCAGCACTTCCAACCTCTACAACCTTCAAGCAAGCTCACCACTAGCTCCAATCCAAATCAAACCCACTCATAACCATGAAGACCGCTTTCATCCCCCTCTTCGCTGCCTCTCTTGCCGGCATCACGGCCAGCGCCAGCATCAAATCCCACTTCAGGCCGGACTGTACGGGAGGCTACCTCTCCTTCCCCGAAGTCAATGCCCACCAATGCGCCCACGGCGTTCAACACACCGACGAACGCCTCGACATCCCCGGAACCCCATCCGCCTCATACACTGGCATACCCTCTAACTCCCAACTCTTCGGCTGGCGCTCCACTCACGACGCCTCATTTTGCGGCGAGCTCAAGGCGCGCTACAGCGTCGGGGACGAGAAGTCCAAGTGTGTGACCCACACCGAGGATACGGGCTTTGAGGGCACAAGCTGGGCTAAGAAAGGCGACAATGAGAAGTGCGAAGGCTCGATCGATCCGAGTTGGCTCGTCCTAGACGATGGACATATGTACAGCCTGAAGAATATGTCGCTGACGATGATCTCGGATTTGTATATTTTTGGGGTAAACGGGAAGACGTATGCTGGGTTGCCGGACAGCTATGATGATTACGAGGTGTATAAGAACGGTGTTGAGAGCCGTTTGCAGGATATGTAAAAGGAGGAGGACCAAGTATAGCGCTTTTCGTTTAAGGGAGACGAAAGGTAATGGGAAGGCTTTTTTGAGGGCATTATGTTTCCTTCATTTGGGTTTCGCGTTTGGCAGGACGCTCATGTGGATGTTTGCCCCGTATCGGAATCTGTAATTAGTTGAATAATAATAGACTTAAGGTATCTGATGTATTGTTCAACGCGTGATGGAGACGTACTGTTCGGGTCGCTAGCCTTCGATTTCCTGGCCGGGTCCATGTATGGGGCCCCTGGCGACGCGCTCTTCTATTGCTGTACATATTGCGCTGTCATGAGTGACGCTCCAGCACGGTGATTCTGACATACGAAGGATGGGATTGGAAGGCCACTCCGGGACTTTCCGTTGTTGGAAGAGGTGGAAGGTGGTAAGGCTGCGAGCGGGGAGCGAGCGGTTGCGGGTCTCGGCAGACGCGCTCTCATTGGTTGAGAGCTACTAACGTGACTCTAGCAACATCTACCCAGGCTGCAAGCACAGGAAGCCGTTGAAGGTGGAGTATTAGGGCAGGAAATAAAAAATAGTAATGCTAACGGTGCTGCGCAGCTATTAAGACATACTTGCCTCAGGCTGGGTACCAGTAGATACTAACAGCAAATAAAATTAGAGATAGATTTAGACTGTAAAGATCTTCTAGCTTTGCTAAACTTTATGCGACAGATTAAATCCTTAACTTTGATTTTCCACCAACCTCACATTTAAATCTCTCGACGAGGAGAAACCCATACCAGCCTCGCTCTTCTTCCAAATTGTCCATGTCCTTTAAGCGCGGCCACATGGAGCACGTTCGTCAAGACCCCACAAGTCAAAAACGAAAGAGAGAGGAAAGCGAGCAGGTTCTGCAATGCATCGTTTGTTTGAACCTGGACCGCCAGCTATGGAAGGACAAAAAGGGGCGACATAGTCTCTTATATTCGAAGGGGAAGGGCGCTGCCAAAGCGGGTTGCCAAATATGTCGCTGCATCTGCGTTGTACTCGAACATTATTTTACTTTCGATAAGGTTAAAGAAGGCCAACTGGAGGATATTATTGACGTAGATTTTGACCCAGGCGGCTCTGTCTTCCTCAAGCGGTGGGGCAGTAACTGGGAGACTATTATGGTCTATGCACCCCAGGTAGGTTTAAAGTCCACTTGGTTCTACAAGCACTGCGGCATAATTCTAAGCTTTTACTGATCCAATGTTAGCATTTGGGTAGCGAACCGGCATGGCAGCGGCTCGGCTTTAGCGGCCGAGAAATATGTTCTAGTGCCGGCTCTGAGGAATGTTTTGCACTGGCATCAAGGTGGATGTCGGACTGTATGGCCAATCACGAAGAGTGCGAAGAGCCGATCAGAACACAACTGCCAAAACGGATCATCGATCTCGGCCAGAACCACGACAACAATGAAATGAAGTTAGTGGAAACTTCGAGGAGCACATCGACTTATGCGGCCCTTAGCCATTGTTGGGGAAAGCATTGCCCTTTAAGCACCACGACGTCTAGCCTGTCTCTTCGAAAGCAAAAGCTGGAGTGGATATCACTGCCATCAACATTTAAAGACGCAGTTACCGTCACTCGTAGGCTAGGACTGCGCTATCTCTGGATTGATTCGCTTTGTATTATCCAAGACGATAATGTCGACTGGCAAACTGAATCGGCTAAAATGGGAGCTTACTATCGCAATGCACATATTGTCATTGCGGCTAGCAGCTCCCCGGATCCAACCTATTCTTTCCTTGGGCCCCGCCAGACAGCAGTTCCACATCCTTTCAAGTTGGACATCCAGCATGACGATGGTTCCATCTGCAAGATCAGAGCAAGGCCAGTTGTAAAGACTGGTCTCTCGTTAGATCCACTCGACAAACGCGCTTGGACTTTCCAAGAACAGTACCTTGCGATACGGCTACTCCGTTTCACGGGCTCCGAGCTTGTCTGGAACTGTCGCACCAGGGCGAGCTGTGAGTGCAGGTCTAGGCATTTATCAACACCTGGTGACGCCATCAATATGATGGCATTGGGAAGATATTGCACATCAATCACGAACGCCTATCCTGCCCAGAAATTATTTACGATGTGGCAAGGAATGATCTATTCTTATACTAGGAGGCAACTGACAAAACGGTCGGACAAGTTGCCTGCGATATCGGGTATAGCCGCACTTGTGCAACAGAGAACTGGTTCATCCTACATCGCGGGCCTCTGGAAGGACAATATCGTTCACGACCTCCGGTGGAATACAGCGCCGTCAATGATCTCTTTTCCCAACTTCTCCACCGACGTCCCGGCAAACCACGATATAACTAAGTTGTTCGATTTTCCCCAGCTTCGAACGTCGTCAACTTATCGAGCCCCGTCTTTCTCGTGGGCATCTATAGACTCAGGAGCAGTTGAATACGGTGGATTTGGCGCCCATTATGGTGACGTAGAGTTGGATGCTGTCGTTATCGATGCCCAATGCACTCTCAAAGGAGTCAACGCCTTCGGAGAAGTAACGGATGGCTTCATCATCCTTGAAGCTCCTTTGGTAGAAGCTCGTCTTAAGGTTGCATATGACAACGATGGAAGTATGGGTTTTAACTCGATTCATCGCAACGGGATGGATGCTTTGATGCGAGCAGATCTTCCGCTGGTTACAGGACTGGGCTTGACTGAGTCGGGAGAACAGGAGCCTACAATCAAGCGGGCGTCTGATAGTGATGTTTTGCACGAGCACACTGGGACAGTATACTGTCTTGCTCTCTGCCATGTGCAAAACACAATGGTAGCACTGGTCCTGGGACGCTCTGAAAGAATCTCCGGGGCATACGAGCGACTTGGAATCATGGAACTTCGTAGTGACGATTATCGGTCGATTACCTATCAAGGATGGTTTGAGAGCGTGGAGCGCAGTATGGTTAAGATCCTATAGATCTTCGGCACTCGCACTCATCCCCCATTCAGTACTTTCCGCCGTATTTCCTTCTAAACTAGCAAACAGAGCAAACTGCGAGTACATAATCCTAAGTTATGTTTTACGCCTTTATCTATCAGTAAACCCTAGTATGAAGCAAAACTCGTGAAGTTCTAAAATAGGATCAGCGTTTATATTAGGATTAAAAACGGGTAAGACGACGCGAGGGTACGGTCTAGTGTATTTCTATTCTAGTGAGAGAGCAGGTAAGCTTTCTTAATGTGGCACGCTGGATGCTCGGTGTGCGAAACCAAACAGCTCGCAGAAAAGAGGTACCAACCTCAAGTTTCTGCAATGCTTGACCGGAACCAACCAGATTCCAGGCAGACCAAATACCCAGGTTTCTCCACATTAACGCAAAGTACGTACCTAGACGCCCTACCGTCAATCCCCCTCGCTAGCTAGCATTGCCACCGTTTTACGGAGACAATATGGCATTTGGATATTAGAATGGTATATACGAATTTTGCCAGTACTAGGTATACATCATTCACGTCCACATTTCCGCGCAGCTCTTCTCGGTAGGGTAGCAATTGGCTAACAATAGCTAAATGCTCAACGAACCCGGAAAAGCTTTCACTGTCGAGGAAGATGTATGCTCGGGTGCCTCGAAGTCTTCGGAGTAATTGTGTGTGAGCCCGTTATTTCTACATTAACGGTTCGGCGTATGGTAATGCGTAGGGCGAGAGAGCTGTTGAGGCTAGAAGCGAAGTGGAGAAGGTCCGAGGGGATTCCCTATGCACGAAGTGAGCGACTGTGACAAGGCTCCACGGCCAGCTTCTACCTTCACGAAATCTTGGGAAGCATAGCCTAAGTGGTACGAGGTGTGTGGTGTTGGAGTCGAAATGTGACGCGATAGCAAAGCAGACACTGCAATCGGAATGCGACCGGAAGAATGTCTGGAAGGACTAAGAGTATGCAGCGAAAACGTCGATTTCGAATAGAAGAGGGGCGCCCGATGGCGCGCTTTGATATCTGCGAAAAAGAAAAGTCAGTTAGAGAGAATGCCTGGAGCAAGGATAGGTATTTTCGACTTTGAAATCTGGGGCTTCTGAAGACGTACCGAGAGATACAGCATCCATTAAGATGAAAGCAAAGCCGACACTATCTGGGCGCAGGCTTTACTTTCCGAGGCGTCCTAACAACGCACTCTGGCGTCGTCCACTCTGTCCAAACATTGGTCATGCCGACGTGTCCCCGTTGGCGCATGGGACGAGTATGCTCAATTCATACGACACACTACGAAGACCGGTGCCATCGAGGTACGAATGTATGAACACCCTCCGTTCTAGGCCTTGATTGATTGCGGCCGCCGGCGTTTGTCTCAGTCTCAAGACGTAGCGTAGAGAGCGCGGACCAATCACAAGTTGCTCGACAGAGCGCAGCTTCTGTGTGGTGTGCTATGGTGACCGCGTCGGGGCCCCGAAGACCATGCCGAGTGTTGTCAGGTATCCATAGGAAGGTGGAGGAAGTCGGGCCGGCGCGCGTGCATGAGAGCGTAGGGATTCGTCGAAGGGCTGTTCGCGGTGCGTCTCGTCAGGCGCCGGGCCTGTTATTCTAATGGTCGGCGTTCTTTCGTTCATTGTTTGCCCTAATTGATGCTAAGACAGTCTAGAAGGCCTTTCGCAAGGTTTCCTGCGACCGGAGTTGTGGATATGTACCTCCATGTGTCAGTGACGGGAAGAAATCATCGTACTCTCACTCGTGGCCATCCCTTCGGTGTCCGCTCTAGAGTGGCTTTACAGCGACAGTCTTGTGAGCGACAGTGTATCCGAAGGAAGAAGTTAGGTATCAGGCTGCTGAAATTGATAGGACGGGTTTCGCGTCCAAGGCTGGGGCCGCAAGTGATACGCACAGACCAAGACTCGCAAGGCTGAGGCATGATTCTTCGCGACAACCCATATTGTTACACAGAGGCTACAAGGTTCCTATGCGGCACAGCATACAGCTGCGTAGGGGGCCAAAGATAGCCACGCGAAATATTACGCAATAACTTTTCTTCTATCCCACATCAGCCTGCTTCTTCACACCAACCCCACAGCTCTCGGAAACGATTCCATACACAAAGAGAGAGGATAGTGGCCTAGGGCCTTGCTACCAAATTGGATGTCGTATCTTCAGGTGTGATGCCGGGGTCGCAGATAGCTTCTCGTGTCAGGTTGTCGATGACCTCCTGGGGTATTTGACCACAGGTACAGCCAGCGGATGACGCACTCCCCACGCGAATGTTGGCGCAAAGTGTCATCGGGAGCTCTGCAATCGGGGTTTCAATGTATCTTCCGAGGGCACTCATTCCATCGGTCGAATGACGTGCAAGTCGAAGTGCGAGGATTTGAGAATGATACGGGCAAGCAGCTGTGCTTTGATGGATATTGTGTTGAGCTGTGTATATTTAGCTCTATATCAGGAGAGGAGCTACGATGTTCGAGCATACCTCCATCGGCAATTATACCCTGTAGAGCCGAAGAGGGATGTGATGCTGGAATTGCTTGGCTGTGCTGAGGAAGAGTGGAAGATCCGCCACGATTGGAAATCGCGTTCCTGAGTAAATTTAGCGTGCAGTGAACGTAGTTAAAGGAGAATAACAACACGAACATGTTGCTTCTAGCAATAGTCCTTGGAGTAATTGGGTTGAGAGAAGCCATGATAGAAAGGAGTGCAGCCACTGCGCTGCTTTTTTGAAAGCCAAAGGTCGAAGGCTCAGGGAATGTTTTCGTACTTGGAGGAGGGACAATATTTACATATAAGTGGTAGAGGAAGTGCATGCACTAAGAAGGCGAACGACCTCAGGAGACTGTACCCGCAGAGAGCGATGCGACTCATGGCCATTACACAATGGGGGAATTAATCGACGACCAAGTAAGCATGTCTGTTTCAGAAAGGCAATATTCCTCGACAATATATCTGACAGGGGGTTGGGCTGTGAATTCTTGGGCCATGCGCATGCGCTGGTGATCCTGGCAGCATAACTGATGGCGATTTGCTCACCATTTCTAACTTCACCTGAGGAAGTGGAAAAGCAGGGATTGTCCAGACTACATAGTGGAACTTTCAATTCTGGATCTGGCGAACTGCATGATACACGTAGGGTCTTCTCCAAGAGTGGTATGAACGCGGCTTCCAGCCGGAGTTAGACTGACAAAGCACGGCCAAAGGCAGGCTCACTATTGGGAGCCGCGCCGGGAGGGCAACCAGTGGGGATCTTTTGAAATGAGCCACGTGGTGCCCGTGCTAGAGGGGTCCTCCATTAAAAGATGAGCGAAGCACAGCGCCAAATACGCGACGGTCAGCTGCGGACGATGAGAGGCCACATCGAGCGGCTATGAGAGGTAACGGCGCGCATCGGCAGCGGTCGGTCCGCATAAGCGTCATGGGCGCAGGGGTGTAAGATGAGTGTCCGCCGTAGGCTATCAAGACGCAAGAGGGCTGATGCGGAGGTAATGACTAGTGGGCAGATAAACGGCGGCCGGGGACGTGCGTCGAAAGACATAGTGCTGACAGGTGGCGACAATGGACAAATTGTGGGAACATGGATGCTGCCCTGGAGAGGCCAGGACTAATGGCTCGCAGGTGGTCAAGTTACTAAACGGTCGGTGCTGGAAAGGCGGCCGACGGCGGGCTGGCTGGGCTAAAAGGGCTGGGGGCTAGAGAAGTCGGTGACAGGACGCGCTGGACAGGCTGGCTTCTTCCGCGCCCGCGCATATTTGGTGAGAGCGCAATACGAGGGGCGTGATCCGACAGGGTGGATCCGGATCTTCGTGGAAATCGTCTCCCTTCCACTGGAGCGCAAACACTAGTGCGTGCTGAGTCGCACCCCAACCGCACCAAAGCGAAAGCCGTTTGAAGACTGATAACGTTATTAGGTATGTGTTTGGAAAATCGCTGTGGATGTCTTAGCTTTTGCCAGACTAATTTACGTCGGGCAAGGGTTTGGGCTTCGTATATGCGGACGTCGTGAATGCGTTCATCCAAGGGTCGTCGTTGGACGCTTCTCCAAAAATAAGGACGGAATAAACGAAGCAGAAGAATTCCTTGGGTCCCGCCATCAGTGGCATGGTTGCTTGGAGCATCAGGTAGGGGAACCGCCATACCAATGTCGAAAGATTACCCTTCAACGGCGGATACGACGTACTAGTGGTGGGCTCCTGGCCCTAGGAAAAGGGTGCGGCGGCAATGGAAAATTAGATCTGAGCAGTAGTCAGAGAAAAGATTACCAGGGCGTTTTCCAAACAGTAGCCAACCACTAGGGAAGGGATCGCGGACGTCGGCATCGAGGGCCGGTGGCGGCTGGAATAGGCATCAAGGCAACCTTTCCCCGAGTAATCTCGCGAATGTCGCGGCAACGTCTCTTGACGCCCCCGCCGCTCCAGATCCTAGCCTAACAGCAACGGCCAAGGTTGTGCCAGCGGTGGTACAAGAATCCTACGGCGTCCATTCAGTGGGGGGGGAAATTCCTGAGTAAGGGACAGTGGCTATAATACCTTCCCATGCAATGTTCACGATGGAGCTCACAAGGCTGGCGAATCAGATTTTCGAAGGTGGCATGAGGATGAAGGGGTGATGGTAGTGTGCGTAGACGAGGAACCAATGGATTGCCTTATCAGAGGTGAAGCCATCGGAATCTAGGTGACGCTTCGTCGCTCATCTGAGTCCATGCATCCTTAGGGCGGCTTGCAGACGAGGACTTTTGGCGGGTCTTGCTGGCAAACCCCGGCAGGCGGCGTCCTGATGTAGAAATGTTGGAGAAGCCGACGGCGAAGACGGTGCAGATCCTAACAACACGACCGTCGGCAAAAGAAACAAGGAAGACCCTGAACGAGGGAGGTCTGCGATGAGCGTGACGACGTATCTTCGTACGGTGCTTACTGTGGTATGATGCAAAGCCGACCCTATTGGTTTGGGAGGGAAGGCGGGTGCGAGGATGGCCCCGGCCAAGGAATGCAGGCATCATTACGCGGCCCATGCACGGTTGTGCACTAGAATCGCTAATGCAGACGGACTCATAAAGTGGACGGATGGGCACTGGGGAGGTAAGCAGGTACCCATGCACGGAGAGATGCGGAGCGTGTTGGTGGAGATGGGACGGGAAGGCTGAGGAAGCGCCCGCGAGCTTGTCAGTGGAAAAAGCGCGCTTCCACTAGCGCGGCGCTAAATTAGCATTCACGTTTGGCGAGCAGCCCACCACGACATCCTGATTCCTCCCTAGAGTCCTCCAAATTATTGTCCGTTAACCGAGTTCGCACTCGAAAGTTGGGGCCGACGCTAAATTCCGCACCATATTTTCAATGACGACGTGTGCGGTGGAACCCTCTGTCAGAGAACTGAAGTCGTAGGGCACAAATAAGAAGAGAGTAAATTGAAAATGAAAATTTTGTTACGAAAAAGTGGTGGGTATGTCTCCTGTTGGCCACCAATATTATAAGATTGAGCACCCCCATCATTCCTAGTATATTCCACTCGGTCAAACGATCAGGGGAACATCGACAGGCCCGAGTAGCTAGTATATCTCTGCCTTAGGAGAAGTATGAATAAAGAGCGCCGTTAAAAGCACCACAAGAATCTTTGGTAAGAGTTGAGGCGCCTTACTCTCGTGCTCGCGGGACTGCTAGCTTTCGACGTCCATAAAGGTTACGAGGCCCTTTATATAGGAAGACTTAGAAAATAATGCTTCAGGAATCGCATTACATGCCCCGCTTTGGGTGAGCATCTCACCGGCGGCGGGTGTAATCGGAGCTCCATAAAGCGACTTTAGAACGTCCTGAGAACCCAAGGTCTGCAGCATAGATGAACACCATATTCCAACGAAACACTAGATGTAGTCTCAATAGCTTCTCTCATCCACTTGATGGGAGAGCGAGCTCGGAAGTATGGGATATGTTATTGATGTAGTATAGGAGCGAAGATGGGTATGCGAGGAGTTCACGTTGTGCGAGTCGAAGCGTAAAAGGTCAGGTACCGGAAACCTGTCCGATGGACCGGGCGGAGAACTACAGTATAACGCATTTGCTCTGAAAGAGAAGGCAGGGACGGTATGGTGCGCGGTTGGGATCTCGGTATCTGCGAGCCACGATGTCAGCTTGGAGGATTCCTGAAGAGCATGGCTCCCATGCCCTGGTAGGTCTTGGGAGACTTACTGGTACCCGAGATCTCCCAAGGGCACCTGCAGCTTCCATTGGACCAAACTGACGCAGTGATGCAGGGCGCGAAGGGGTACTTCTCTCAACTGTTCTGGTAATGAACCTCTCCATATCACCATTCCCAACACATCGCCATCATCCTTGATGACCTTCTTCGAAACAGTATTCGGCGCTTCGGTGGGGCATGCGTTCTTACCAAGATTTGGTATGAGATGATTACTGCGGAAGCGCGTCGAATCGGGGCTTCGTAGGTTTGGCCACCTTATCTGCACAGTAAGCCACCTCACAACAGTTGGTTTTGGAGCTCTCTCGTCCGCTCACCGTGGTCTCGTCCTGTCCGGCTTTAGGTGAGTGGTAACGGGCCGAATCGCCTATGTTCGTGCGTGCCAACTGGTAACAGCCCCAAGATAATGGCCTACCATAATAGCAACGACGCGACTAGGTGACGTTTACCACGCGCGTGCTGTGTTCGAGAGCAGGGGAATGATCTCGTCTTCGGCAACCTGAACGATCTCCCACCCTTGTGCTGGTTCTTCGCGAAGGATGCTCGAAGGGGCGCTCTTGTCTCCAAAAGGCTTTGTACGGCCTTGCTCGCATCTCGCTCGAGTCTCGTCTAAGGTCTTCGCACTCTCGCCGTTGCGATCGGGAAAAGGACTCCTACGGAACTTGTCAGTGAAAAGGGGCCAGCAGCATGCCGATAACGCCGGAGCCATAGCATACCGCAACAAAATAGCTCGACGGTGGCACTTCGGTGTTGATGGAGTTTGAGTATACCAGCAGGCTGCAGCGTATAAAGGCTGGTGTTCGCCGGGCGGCAAGGGGAAAGCACGGGCCAATGGACGGCAGACTGGGGGCGATGAGGGACGAAACACCGAGGATCAGGATTAAAGCGAGCATGCGGCACAGCGATAATTCAAACAGGCAGCCAGTAATAAACATAGGTTGTGGAAATAATCGAAGATAACTTTTTCTCCACTCAAACTCACCCAGAGCGAACTTGATCGTACAGTGCCTCTGGAATCTATCGTCGATAAGCGTTCTTCGTCGAAAATTCCCCCAAGCACGGCCTGGCCATAGGTAAGCCTTGACTATAGCATTAACCGCGCTGATTGCAGTCCGTGGACGAAACATTCCTGGTTCCTGAAGTAGTCTGTCCGCACGTACATCCGGCGGAAACTGAGCTCCCAACAGAACCATCTCCAGAGAGCGCTATGGGAAGCTCATTTGAGGGCGTATGTATGTATCGCTCCATGGGGCTCATGTTTTCGGTCGGGCTGCGAGGTGGGCGGAGCTCCAGAATCGGAGCGTGGTAAGGGCAACGTGACGGTTCGGGTACAAGAGGGTGCTGAGCTATATGTGTTTTTAATTGACGCTTCTGCAGAGAAAAATAAGGATACCCCTCACCTCCGTTCACTTGCTGTCCTGCGGCGGTATTCTGAGCTGATGAAGAAGGCTGAGCTTCAGAGGAACCTTGAGCCCCAATAACCTCATTGGTATCCTCTCCATTAATATCGACACCATTTCCGTGGACAGAAGCAACATTCCTAGCTCAAGTAAGTCCACGCTAACTTGGAAAGTCACGGAAATAGGTCCATAGTACCCGTTAGCTCCAGTGGTGACATCGGGGGCGGAGTGGTTCGAAGAGGCCATTGTAAGGAGTGGGGAGTTTGAAGGCGCAAGACTGGAGAATCAACCCTCTGCAGACGGCGCGCTGGTTAGCCGATCAGAGGAAGCCGTCTGCTTTTATTCAACGCAGCACCTCCAGTCGGATAAAGTTCCGCTGGTTTGAGCTTGATGCATCTGGAAATACGTATCTGAGCGCAGCCTGCCATGTGGTGCCAGTGGCATCAGCTTGCAGTTCCAGCAATGCTTGGCTAACAAGAGTTTCCTTCGGCTTCCTGCCTTTGACAAGGCAGCCTGCTCCTGTATCGCAACTAACAGGGATCCCTCCTCCAGCTGTGAAAATAGGTAAGGTGGCTTGATTTTGCATTACTAGTGTGATCTGCGAGCGTCTAGCGGCAGGATTATGTGACGGAGTGCCGGCGCCATCACAATCTTCCCAATAGCCTCTGTGGTCAGCATGCGGCAAGGACCGGAAGAAGCTCATACTCCAAAAAGCCTGGACACGGACTCACTGGAGCTACAGCACAGGACTGTCCTAGTCCTGCAAGCCACTGTTTAGGGTTGCTCGGGTGCAACGTGCTCGGATCGTTAGACGCGACGATATCCGGTGAAGATGAGCGGATTGCTCCGTAAGGGAGGAAAGCAGCTATTCGCTATCTTTCCTGTAGTACGACGCCCAACTCAGCCCCTATCCAAGCGCATTTGGGGCGCGGAATGGGTAAAAGTGCGGTTGTAGATAGAGATTTCTCCGATGAGGCTGCCTGCTCCGGCGCTGCGTGCGGGGCTTCCTTTCCGACCAACCCTGCGTCTGTCAGGAGTCGAAGCATTGGGAGGGATGACGCAACAACCCAGTCTTCGATCTGATGCGAGTGAGCGGATGCGGGAGGCTGTCACCGTTGCTCCTTCCACGTGGCCAAGTCGCCCGAAACAGCGGGCTGCAGGGTGAGGCCGGGGCAACGGCTATTCGGAAGCCATTCGAATTTCCCCGCCGCGCAGATCCAAAGCATTGGCCTGAGACTTTCTTGAGAGTCTTCGATCCCATCCTGTAGGGCGTTTGACACAGCAGCCTGTTAAACCGCGAAAGCAAGGTGGCTTACTGGGGAGAGCCTTGCGGGATCGTGCCTTTGTAAGTTTACCCGCCAAGCAAGGATAAGAGAGCGTGTCAAAGAGGAGCGTCCGGCGATCTGCTAGGCTGTTCAACTGGGGGCGAAAGCTCGAGGTTGCATGAAAATCGCCAAGCACTGTGCCGCCGAAGACGCAATTCTACGCGGACACTTAAGACAAAAGTGCGAAGAGAGGCGAGAAGAGCCGTATGGAGGAATGGCTTCCGCAAATGAAGATGAGCGCCTCGCAGAAGCCACCCGCCTAGCCAGAGACGTGATAGGCTGAAAGCTGCAGAACCTAGAAGTCACGCTGCCGGCCTTTACTGGCTTGCCGGACGGCTTGGGCTAGGGGAGGAAGAGCACTCGCTCGCACCGGGCCGACCAAGTCAAGAGACGTCAATTGTCCGTGCTGGGGTGCTGCCGATGCGCTGCCACTGGCCTCGCCAGCGTATCTTTGATGTCTCGCGTCGAGTGCTCCAAGAATTGGAAACGCGTCTGCGGCCGACAACAAGGCAAACGTCTGCAATCTAGAGGTTCTGTGACCGGCAATCACACGCAACAGCGGCGTTTCATGGCCTGTCGGAATTTCGAGCGACCAGCCTGTCAGCGAGAGCCTTAAGGTAGTACAAAAGTCGTTCACACGACAACAGTATATACCAGGGGATGCAAACCGAACCGTGCAATATTCCAGATGTTTCAGGACGCTTGCAGGGCGTGGGATGTCAGCTCGCAATGTGATTGTTGCAGAAGAGGGACGACGCATTCTCGCGAGGAAGGCTGAGGTTGTGAGCGCTATGCCTAACCGGACTAGCGCCGGCGCTAAACTAGCATTCACCCTCCCGCATCCTGTATTAAAAGCATCATAGCTCTTGTACGGCGCCTCTTCGGTACCGAGAATTGCTGAAATATCCTCAGCTCCCAAACAAAAAGGATGTCTCAAAAGTGAGCCGTTTAGGGCAGACCACGCAATCCGATTGGTAGGAGAAAAAAAAGGTGAAATGCGAACGGAAGGAAACGACTTCCCAATGCACCGCCTTAGGGACTCCAAGGAAATCAATGCTCGCATTCCATATCGTTTAGAGCGCGGTTCCATCATGACGCGTTCATGGTTGGGCTGTGTGCTCAATCGATGCAATGTTCTGCCGCAGTTCCGGGCGCGTATTGAGCAGACGAATAGCCGTCCGGGTCAAGTCTTCGACGGTATCCTGAGGTACGGAGCCGCAAGTACAACCAGCCGATAAGGATGTCCCGATTCGAAGATTATCGAAGAGAGCTATTACATGCTCTGAGACTGGAGCATCAAGGTATCTCTGCATGGGGTCGGCGCTGGATGAAGCGGTCTGGGCGCCCCGAGCTCCAAACAATGAGTTATGATAGGGGCAGTAGGTCTGAATTGGATTGCCATCGAGTGAGTCTAAGGACGTGTCAGTGGCAGTGTCCGATGTAGTGGTGGTGAGGATGTTCGGACTTTGCGATTGACATTCAGTTTTCGAGTTTGACTGAGTTCGAATGCCACTTCGAGGAGCGCGGGAGATAGAATGCATGTCCTCCCGGGATGTTGTACTATTCGACTTGCATTTCCTGCACCGGTTAGCATGTTTGGAGAGGATGTGAGATAATGCGAACTTTTCATCACTTCGCACAAGTCGAGGTGATTTGTTGTCCAGTGAGGTCATAGTCGGTACACTAATAGAAATCATAGGATTGGGAACTTCTTTGGGCCATGGGATCTTCAATAGAACGGATAAAGGACGGGAACCTCCTTCTCTTGTATACCGAAGAGGAGGCGGCGGCAGCCTTTCGTTACATCAGCAAGTCTAGCGTCGTAACCCGCTGCTGCAAAAAGGCAACATGGTGCCTTTTTCGTGGCTTTGTACGGTGTCGTGTGACACCAAACAGGGCGGGAAAGCATGGCGAATGGTCGAAGTGAGCTGCACGATGCTTGGAAGGTAGGGCGCAAAACATGAGGGGCGGGAAATTACGGGGGATCGTTCCCATGCATAGCGGTCATTGGGCCACCACCCCTCGAATGGTCCGATTATTATTCGTAGGTGCTTTCGTAGATCGGTAACTGCCATTTCTGATTAAGATGGCTTTTCTGGACATATTAAACCGAGTATCCTGCATCCCTTGTCGCTCCTTGAGTTCTATGAACCATCTCCCGTGGTTGATGTTGGATTTCCAGTAGTGATGGATTCGGGTTAACGTGCAAGCAACGTGGGATGAAAGGTCGGGACCGCTTCTGTGAAAGCCCCCACGCAAGCCCAGCAAGGCGGTCCAGCGCGGGTCGGGCTTGGAGGCCGGGGTGTAATCGACGTATCCGGTATGGCTGAACTACCACATATGGTCGCTTGTGGTGGAGAGTTTAGCTTCACGTCTTGACCAAATGTGCCAGGCACACCTTGATGCACGCGATCCGCACACTTTTTGTTGCTTATTTTTCTCCAGCTGCGCCAGGCATAGACCGCTCAACTTTCCCATAATCGAGTTCCGAACTGCGACGATTTCCAGACTTCCAACCGCAACTCTGACGACATCCGAATGCTAGATGATCCCTTTTGCCTGATATCGCGGATCCGAAAGTGGTCCTGATGTATCTGAGAAGCATCGGGACCCATCACGATCCTATGCGGGCGTCTCCGTCTTCTGCGATCGTGGACTATCCAATGTGTTCTTTGGGGCTCGGCATTCCGCGAAGCGGCAGAGCGAAAGCTAGTCCTGTATCTAAGCTGTAACTCTAACGCGAATTGTTGCTACCGTGGCGCTTCACCGGAATGCTCGGGCTGCAAGGACACATCTCAGAGACTCATGCAGCACGACGTACGGCTCGCGATACGTGCAGAACGATGGCACGACACCTAAACGAGGCACTGATCCGTGTCTTCCGTGTTGCCGAGCTTCATGACGAAGTCTGAGGACTGTGGGAGATCGAGCCCGTATGTGATGCAGCAGAATGAAAAAGCAAAAAAAAAGCGCTTCACGAGGGCGAGCCGAAACCAAAGTCAGCTGCACAGCGTAGCTGCTTAATCGAGAGCTAATAGGATGGTTCCGCGTCCCGTGTCGAGGAGATGTGCACATCCGGGGCGTATCCGCCGACCTCAAGGCGTTCAGCTCTTCAGCCCTACCAATGGGCGCTCAGCCCAAAAGCCACCCACCGAATCCCGCAGGAACGGAGAGGCCCACCTCCGCAGCGCCCAATGCGGAAAGACAGCCGTTACGGCTAGATTACTGCCTTTTCCCGTGCGTGGGGGACGTTTTCGCGAGACGGGGAAGCGGGAGGGACACGGGGCGCCTAAGAACTGCTGCGTCGGGCCTCTCTTGACAACGCCAGTCGGGCAGCAAGGATGCCAGCCTCTTCGGCTTGAGGGCTTAGGAGCTGCTTTCCGGCTTGAGACAATTCCTATTTTCTATCATGGCGCATCAAAGGCGGTCATAGCGTTACCGAGGCCCGAAGGTTGAGGTCTTTCGCTCCAGACAATGTTGAGTGGTGCGCAGAGGGAATGATGATCTAGGCGGGAACGCAGCTGAGAGTAGGATAGAGCTTTGACTTTCCAGCTATCCGAGGACTAGCTTGGGTGCAGTGCTTGTAACGATTTGCATCCACTCGTGGCTCGCTTGGAGCAAAGGTCGCGTTCGGGTGTCGTGTCCCATTAGACATGCACGAGTCGCTGAATACCATACGATGCCGGAGGCCTGCCGGTATTTTTCCATTTTGTTTGTATTTCGAACGAGAAAGGCTAGCCGACCTTAGACGCCAAACTCAGCGAACAGAAGAACACGTGTTGAGCACGGAAACCTACCCCCACGTTGTGCCTGGGGGCATTTGGTCTGGCGCCGAAAGTTTCGGTTCGGTTTAGGCGTGTGGTATCCTTCCGATTTCGGAGTGCGCGATGGAGTAGTTCGAGCGGAGGGTGTCAGGTATCATTCAGGGTTGCATTAGGGCTAGCATCCAATCGAACCTAGGTAAGGATAGGATCGTGCAGCCTGCCGAAAGTAGAACAACCCTAGCCTTGCTGCACCACCAAAGTCAATGAGCAGCATAAGTCTTCAATACCGGAAATGGAAATGAATCGAGTGAGACATCCTGGGATGCGCTGCGTTCGCAGGGAGATGACATCTGTCAGAGCGCCAAGGGGAAAGATGTTACGATATTGCCAGACGAAGTGCAAAAGCGCATTTCTTTTCGGATCTGAATGGTTTAGTTTTGTGGTTCTTTCTTCCCGGCTTACCTGCGGAACGCGCGTACAAAATCAATACGAGAAAAAAAGGAAATCAAGGGTGTAGGAACGGGTAAGAGGTTAAAGTACGAGAATGAGTACCAGTGAGCGAAGGAAAACGACTAGAGCAAACGTTGAAGGAAGGAGGAAAAGGAAAAGAAATAATAGACTGCCACTTCATCGGACAGTCGCCCCGTGGACATGGCTGAGATTAGGAAACGCCCCTGAAGTCTGCATCAGGTACGACGAGCACCTGGTATTCACGTCGGACTTCTAAAAGCTCGTAGTTTCGAGCAAGCTCATATTGTGTCGAGGCTATCGGTCCTTCATCGATCAGAATAGGGTTCCTTTGTCGAAGAACGGCCGCTTCAGGCAACGAATCCTAACCGTAGCTGGGAGATAAACTTTCTTAGTCGCAAGAGGGAGGTGTTAGATGGTTGGGCAATCGAGCTTGTAGCGGATCTCGGCGGCTTTCTAAAGAAGTCAGCGGATAGATCCAAGGCGAGCTGAATGACAAGCAGAGTTAACATGAGACTTAAGACATCCGAATACGAATTAAGCCCTCGCAGTGTAGGTGGGGAGCGGAATTTCTCCGCACATCGGGTTTCGGTGTATGCTAGATGGCCGGGGGTGTGCAATATACCAAGCCGACGTACTTTAAAGAGCCGAAACAAACGCGGCGGCGAAGAGATGAATAGAGATAAAATTGGTGACGGAGGGTGTTTCCGGAGGTTGAGCTTGGAGAGACTTCGGTTGCCGAGGCTTACCGCTTTCGGATAGGTCCCGAATGTGGGGATCCGATCTACGGCAGGGAATAAGCTAACGTCATAAAGCCTTCGATATCCGTACCTCTTAACACCAAAAATTTAGTTTCCGCACTCCCTCAATTGCGCTGCTCCAACATGCACACGAACGGAGACCAGTCAGACGGCATGAATGGCGCCAACACTACCAATGGCACGTCAAAGAGCCCCAAACTGCTATGGAGACATCCTTCCCCGCAGTCGACGCCCATGTTCCAGTTCCTGGACAACGTAAATCAGAAGTACGGCCTGCAATTATCGAATTATGAAGAGCTCCACAAGTGGAGCATTGATCATATTGACAAGCTCTGGAGCCGCGTTTGGGGTTTTGTAGGCGTCAGGGCGAACACCCAGGCGGTAAAAGTCAGTTTTGCAACACTTCTTCCGTAAGGTGCACGGGCTGATGAGACTTAGGTGGTGGACCCTAAGGCGCCAATGTTTCCTCGCCCGGCCTTTTTCGAAGGTGCAATGCTCAACTTCGCGGAGAACTTACTTTTCCCTGCTCAAGAGGTCGACCCTGAAAGTACCGCCATAATCGCCGCCACCGAAACATCCCGCGAGGTTGTAACGTGGAGGGAGCTAAGAGAGCGAGTTACACACTGCCAAGCAGGTATGATAGCTTTGGGGTTGAAAGATGGAGATCGAGTAGCCGCCTACGTGGCAAACCATACCAATGCGCTGGTAGCCATGCTAGCAGCGACTTCTTTGGGAGGCCTTTGGACTGCTGTTAGCCCTGATACTGGGGTTCATGCTGTACTGGAACGTCTGCGGCAAATCGAACCCGCTATCCTCTTTGCGGATAATGCAGCATTCTATAACGGTCGAAGCCATCCAGTCTTACCCAAGGTGGGCGAAATCGCGTCGGCGCTACCATCTCTCAAGGCCGTCGTAGTGTTTCCCACTGTACCATCCGTGGACTCCTCCATCGACTCCATAGAGGTACCGTCTGGGAAAGCGTACGAATACAAGGCTTTCACTTCCTTGAAGCCTACGGTGGAGCTTACCTTCAAACGCCTCCCTCCGGATCACCCCGTCTACATTCTCTACTCATCAGGAACCACTGGAGCGCCCAAATGTATCGTCCACGGCGCCATTGGCACGCTTCTCCAGCATAAAAAAGAGCACATTCTCCACTGTTCCATAACTCCTCAGTCCCGACTGTTTTACTTTACCACTTGTACTTGGATGATGTGGCATTGGCTCGTTTCCGGGCTAGCATCAGGGGCTACGCTCGTATTGTATGACGGCTCGCCCTTCCGATACGTTGATTCGACAGATCCGCCCACTTCAGTTCCTGATGACCTTGCAATGCACCGCCTGATCGATGAAATGGGTATCACACATTTCGGCACTTCGGCCAAATACCTCTCAGTCCTCGAACAAAAGTCTGTCTCGCCTCAGTCCGCGGGCCTCTCGCTCAACACATTAGAAGCTATCTACTCCACTGGCTCACCTTTAGCGCCTTCGACGTTCAACTACGTCTATTCCGCGTTTCCTCCGACCATTAACTTAGGAAGCATAACAGGCGGCACAGACATCATTTCGCTATTCGGCGCCCCAAATCCGCTGCTCCCAGTCTACGAGGGCGAAATCCAAGGTCTAGGCCTGGGCATGGCCATTGCGGCGTTCGATTACGCAGGTCAGGATATTACCTCCACGGGAGAACCGGGCGATCTTGTTTGTACAAAGCCATTCATATGCCAGCCCGTTAGCTTCTGGGGCAAGGAGGGCGAGAAGAAGTATCGCAGCAGCTACTTCGAAAAGTTTGAGAATAGTAGAGGAGAACCGGTATGGCATCATGGTGACTTCATTCGATTTAACCCCGAAACCGGAGGTCTATGGATGCTTGGACGCAGCGACGGCATTCTCAAGCCCGCAGGCATCCGATTCGGGTCCGCTGAAATCTACAACGTCGTACTTGAGCATTTTGCAGAGGAGGTCGCTGACGCTCTTTGCATCGGAAGGAGGAGAGACCACGATACTGACGAGACTGTCTGTCTGTTCTTGAAGATGGCGGACGGCAAGCGGTTTTCATCAGAGCTTGTTGATGGAATCAAGGCTATGGTCAGGAAAGCGCTAAGTGCCCGACACGTCCCTGGGGTCGTAGACGAATGCCCTGAAATTCCGGTTACTACCAATGGGAAAAAGTATCCATCCTCTCTCCGGTGGCACAGAGCACGAGCTGACCGTATTCAGGGTTGAAGGGGCTGTCAAGCAGATCCTGTGCGGCATGAATGTGAAGACCTCAGCGAGTGTTGCGAATGCTGAGTGCTTGGACTGGTATAGAGAGTGGGCCAGAGGTAACTAAGCCGTAGGGCTTGCGCTAGGATACAGAACTGATCTAGGAGGAGGACCTTGCTGATTGCTTAGAAATGTTTCCACCTAGTCTCAACTAGCAGTGCATACCCGCACTGGAGCAAACGACGTTCCATCCCGACACATAAGTTCAAGTTCTTGTCTCCCTTCCTTAGTCATCTTAGCAAGTCTGGCTCTTCTTCCCACTGTCTCTATACCATTCCGATTTGGTGCCTTTCACCGACCTATTCGTGAATACTCCTGCCTTCCCATCCCATCACAGACACTACTGCCGGCTGCGGATACACTCACTGACACGCAGCACCCTTTTCACGCTCCTGTTTACTCCCAATCCTTATCCCTATTTGACAACATGTGCCTGCCATGGAGATCCTCACGCAACTCTTCCAAGCTGAACACCGAGTCCAACCCAATCACAACCGCAGCACTGGATCAAGACGCATCCCCTCGTCCATCTTCCTTTCTCTCGGGCTCTACTCCAGGGATCAGGATGCCGCAGCTCTATGGCCTCTTCGAGCATCCAACTCTGCAAGAGATGCCCAGTGGTGCTGCCGTACTCTCAGGAAAGCAGGGCCATCCCGTATACGTAGCCATGCTTAAGTTAGCCTCTTTCCGAGCTAATTCGTTGAAGGAGAAGCTGGAGATGATGCTGGCCTGGGTGGGCAAGGGAGAAAAGTTAAGTGCCAGGGAGAAGTGTGAGCTTGCTGGTATGGTCTGAATTGCTAAATGGCAAAATAGGGCTTCTGACGTATCCATAGCTAATATCCAATTCCTCATCGTCAAGAATACGGGCAAGATCCCCCGCAATGAGAGTGTCAGCCTGGTGCTTCTACATGAGGCTGAGCAGCGGTTCCGCACTGATGTTCGGGTCAAGAGTAAGACTGTTGTGGAGGGGAATTGGGCGCGGCATTACGGGGATGTTATGGAGGGGCTTAAGAGCAAGGTTGAGGAGATGGTGTATGGATCGAGGCAAGAGTATATGGGTTGAGGGGCTAGGATTGGGTTGTTGAGTGTTGAAGTGAGGTGACGTTGATGGGTTTACGTAAGCGTTTGGGAATAATACCCCGAAAATGACTTCAGGCTTTTTGGGGAGAATAGCGCTACGCGTATGGGTAGGATATACACGCAATTATTGTTTTACCCATAGTGGCTCTCCTTTCGAGAAGTTTTGAATGATGGGCGCCTCTTCGCTTATCCCAGGGAATGATAGGGTATGCGGGACTCCCCCACACTCGTTCATTCCTCAGATCTGGTATTACACCGTTCTTTGCATTCCAGGAAGTGACTTTCTCAACTAGAGCAGAGAATGGCGACCTGTTCTTTAGCCAGATGGCATGACAGGCTAACTCGGGCCAGAGTGACCTTGGCAGGTTGCTATTGTCTAGCAAATGTTTCTGATAGTTGTCGAGCCAGTCATGAAGGTCACCCGGATTCAGGCTGTCTTGCCACATGGCGGCCGATCGTTCTCGCATAGTCCTGTGTCCTCTCGTTTTGGTGCACTGAGTACATCTCGGATTACCATCGGGGGAGTCACAGCGTCTGTTGAACCGCCGGCATGAACCACATTTGGATTCAAGCGAAAACGGGACCCTTCTTGATATAACAATCCCCTTGCGTTTGGCATACGCTACGTCGGAGTTGTCCTTGGCCGGATATAGGATATTATTCTACAAGAGCAGAAGATGGTCTAGGTGATCCTTTTGCTCCTGATATATTGCTATACAAGTAAGAGTTGGATTTCAGGGCGTCACGTTATTATAGCTCCGTGAGGCCAAGCGATCCCGACCTCTCCAAGCGGCTTCATTCCACCAGCCACAATGCGAAGTTAAAGACTTCTCTAGAGAAGCTGATAAAACTTTACCAGTATGGTCGCAGCACGACGGCTGCGGCGTTTTACTGACGAACACAGGCGAGGTTTGGCCGCCCTACATAGCAGTGTATTTCCGTTGGTCAATCGCCATCCACCCGAAATCCTTGCTCTACTGACGATGCCCACGGAGGTTTATACATTTGATTGAATGAAGGAGGCCCCATTATACTTGTGTGTTGGCCGGTGGGATTTCGCTCGTTCGCTGATGGTGTCTTTCATCGATCAATTTACTCTTTCTAGCATACACCTTCACATCTTCCCCCTATCAGTGTGAGTACCAAGCCCCGAAATACCTCACTGCGGCGTGCAAAGAGCCTGTGAGAGGTCCAACAGCTCGTTGATCATCCTATCTACCTTCTTCCCCAAGGCCACGATAGCATTCTCGCCCCAATTAACCCGCGCCTCGACGACGACGGCGCTGTTCAATTCCTCCTTGTGCACCACCACTGCCGCTCTGTGCCCGCGGTTGCCTATATCGACTACAGGGATGGAGACGCGATCGGGATTGATGATAGGGCCATGGACGTGGCGGATAACGAAGCTGATGTTGCCTTCCGACGATGCTTTAGTGCAAGTGCTGGACAATAGAAAAGGTGCCACACTTACCAGCGATGGTGGAGATGACGTTCTCCGGAATGTTGCCACGGCATGGGTTGATGTAGTTGTAGATTCGTTGGTGGAGTGGGTCGAGAGTGGGGACGGCCATGTTTGGGCTGGGTTGCTGATGAGCTTGCAAGATTTTCGTTCGGGGTAAGTAAGTGTGGGAGGGAGGCTGGATTAGCTTTTATACATAGTAGAGCAGGCATATAGAAGGAACGAGACCTTGTAGGTTTGTGCTTGTATGTGGGTGGAAACTAGATGCAAACTTCATTCAAACTCACAGGCGCAGACAGTGTCAAGCCGACCCCAAGCGATCATGGCCTTAATTCGAACAAGTCGTTCGTTCATCCACTCCAGATCAGCCAAGAGCAAGTTCAGAACCGTATCGGTACCTGAGGTCTCAGGGAACATACCAAACTCCCGTTCCTCCACGAACACATCTACATTCTTCTCTGTCCGCACCGCGGACACCGTACCCCAAAATCAAGTTGCAACCTGAATACATGGGTTGACACTAAGACCGTATCTATCCCGATCAGCAGCGACGAGACCATAATCATACTCCGCGTCGTGCGTCATAAACCCGATGGGATCACAGAGGCTTCCAGTGACAGGTGAACCCAAGGGTCCATAAATGTGTAGGCAAGATGTTCTCCGAGGGGTGAGAACAGTTTGAGGTGCACTGAGGTAGGGGCATGGCGGCGTATTTACCAACTTTTGGAGCATGGCTCCTTGGCCGGGGAAGTTGGGCGCTCTCTGGGGAATCAGTCAGTCAGTCCATGTTAGTAGCAAGCAGACATTAGGAATACGAGCGATGAAACATTCAGAACGAGTGTAGCCATATATTGTTATTTGAATCCCTGTTTCAGCCGAGAGAACGGCGAAATCCAGCTGAAAGATCGTGGAGAGTCTTATGCCATTGAAAGAGTCCAGCTTTTTCTGCAGCTGACTAGTAGTGCTGAACCGAATTGAAGATCTAGCCGGAAAGTTTTTGACCGAAGCTGCTGCGGGCAACCTGGGAAGAATCATCATCAGCACTCGGCCTCCAGTTCTGCAAGACTGCGCTTGACTTACCATTGATCGAAATCTCTTGCCGAATATGTAGGCCGGAATGGTAAGGCAGCAGACGCCAAGGTTGATCAAGGTAATCACGTCAAACACGCCCCTTGGTCCGACCTTCAAGAACCACCCGTTCGCATACGTAGTCGCCATGAAAGTAAATACAGCCTTCGTGAAGTTGATGGTGACGAAAGCTTGGTTGGCGTCCTTAGGGTGGCAGTCGATGACATATGTAAGCGATGCCTGGGAAGCGAACGGAACGGAGAGCGAGTGAATTGCCATGAAGAGGATGGGCCACTGGAGAGGAGCGCCATTCTGGACGCTCATGCCGAAGCCGAGGAAGCCTGCAGTTGCGAGTGGCGTCGCCACGAGCATTAGAGTGAGGCGGAACTCGGGCTCGAAAATGCCGCCGTTCCTACGCGCCATGAACTTTGCGGCTGCATCGGCCATCCATCCTGAGATCGGGGAGCCGATCAGGGCCACACCCAAGAGCGGTAGGTTAGTGAGGCCAATCTGGGCGGGGTTGAGGTTATACGGAGGCATGCTGAAAGCCGTTACCGAAAGCACTGAAATGGTCAGCAGCCATGTGAAGTACGACCCATAGACGACCGTGGAGAACAGCACCGCAGGATATGCGATCAGAGGGACGGGCTTCCAGGCTCCTTTCCAGAACGACTCTCCGGAGATGCGACCACGGAACAAGCGGAGCTTTTGAGCATATGTTTCCTTTTCATCGGTGTCGACGGTCCAGAAAGAGCCCTTCTCTTCGATCTCAATTTTGGAGCCGCCGCGCGGCCCGTTGTACGTGGTCTCAACCACAACGAAGTACATCAGGAGCACGATGGGGATGAAGATCAAAGCGGATATGCCAAAGGTTGCCTCGAAGGAGATGTTCTGGATGATGGCACCGGAGATCGTCTGCCCTAGTAGGACTCCGGAAGCCAACATACAACCCCAAATGCTCAGGCGTGTACCGCGCTGGTGCACGAAGTACATGTCGGAAACGGTGGAAGTGACGAGCGTTTCAAGCGGTGCCGATGCAATACCCTGAAGGATTCTCATAGCCGCTAAAGAAGGGAAGGACTAGCTAAGGTGAGCAATGTCCCAGGGAGATTCTGGCGAGGAAGACCTACACTGGAGAAGAAACCCCACACGTTGGTGGCGAGGAGTACGAGGGCCGAGATAACGAAAAAAGGGCGCTTTCCCCAGATGTTTGCGCCAGACGCGGTGAAGAATGTCGTGAATCCGATCCAGAATGCAAGAAAGCCGATAAGAAGACTGGAAACCATGTCTAGGCTAACGCCATATTTCATCGAGACAACTTGAATACCTGGGGTGATCATTGGACCCAAACTATTGCATGTCAGTACTTGAGAATCATCCAAACAGGAAGCTTGACTTACGCTGTCGTAACTCCTGAGCTGAACGCTAAGATTACCATAATGGACTCTTTCCAAGCCCGGGACCTGGTGCGATATCAGGAATTGTTCACGCGATCGAATGGCGGAAGTACCAGTTGAGGGGGTCATTGGGATTATCGGACGGTTGCGGCTGGAGGATGATATCGCCATCGCGCTTCAGCGAACTTGCGTCCTCCGCTGGATCTTCTGTAGCGACACGAGAGGGTGAGTGCATGTCCTATATGTCTAGACATATGAGAGCAACGCACCGACTGTTGCCGTAGCCCCAATTTTGACTGTCCCCGGAGGGGCAGCCATATGAGCATCATTCAACACGCCTAAGCCCATTTTTTTAAGATTTTCAGAAATCTGAAGTAAAACAAGGGGGAATCGACAAAACGGACTGCCAGCAGACCGAAAGAAAGGAAGCAGAAGTGAAAAGGAAGGAACACCGCCCGGGCGACAGGAAAGCAAAAAGAACGTTGAAGCGAAGTAATACTTGGAGACCAGCTCTTGGTGTTGAGCGCACTCGTCCACCCATATCAAGTATGGCAACAAGGCTAGGGAAGTGGGACCTCGGGGCCACCCACTAGCTCGAAACATCAATGAAGTGGCGCTACGCCAGGGACACCTGATCAGCGAGGCGCGAAAAGGTTTCAGCAACATGTGCTTTGACATGCTTGACAGGGCTGAACTGCCGACGACATAACCCTTGGTGTGGATCTTCAATAATGCCAAGACGTTGGAAGCATTCAACGCGATACGCGTTTCAAGAAGGCAACGCTCGCCTTGACCACATATCCGAATCGGGGTCGGCAGGTCATCCTAGTCGAGCGCCGTACAGGCCACTTCGAAACGGTCGCCTCTCGTGCAACGCGATAAGACGTCGGCTTGATTCCTTGAAGAGTAGGGAAGACGCCTTCGTAAGAGCCTAGCATCTAGGTAGGGCATAAACCTTGGAAGCTCATAACTGGAAGCATACCACAGTAGATACCTGGTTACTCCGCCGGACGTGGAAGGATCCATAGATGTTGCAGGAGTCGGCTCGAAAGAGTGGAGCACGTGACGCGCGGTCGATCATTCAGCGCGTGTAAGAACACCGAGCCTGATATGTGGTAGTTAGGCATTGCAACTGGCGTTCCCGATCGGTTCGAAGTGGGGGATTCGGAAAATAGATCACTCCACCGGGAAGTGGAGGCTGGCGGACGAATCGAGCTCATGAGGCGAGACGCCTAACAGCCTGGGTCTCAGGCGTCGTACAAAGCCTTTGTACATGCTGGTATATACCAAGGCGCTGGCTCAGACAGGTTTGAATAGGCGCTGTAGATAGGGTCTTGTCGAAGAACGGTTTAGACGTATGTGGTAAAATTGGCTGGCTAGTGCATTACACACGTAACGGAGGGGACCCTCCAGGGCTGCGCTGGACTTCCATGTCCATGATTTGCGTATGGATTGATGCACTGCTTAGAAATACGAGACCGCCTACGCAGGACATTAATGGAGCCCCTATGCCGCGGAGTAGGGACGAAAATAGTGGTAGAGATGGGTGAATGGAACATACCGCGCGACTCAGGGCCAGCGCGGCTTTCTCAAACCGCCGACTAGGGCCGAAGTGCGCCACCAAGAATGTGAAGACGCATTAGAAGAAAAGCAACCCCGGCGCCGTAGAGTGGAAGAAGCATAAGATGAGCAGGGAGCAAAGGAAATGGCTATATGATGACGCGGCTAGAAATCTTGGCGCCGGCAGCTAAGGGGATAGCAGTAAGCGCTAGCGAACCTCCCTTCGAACCTCAATCCATGGATGCATGAGCCCATTCACGCTTCGTCATCGCCATATCACATCCTCTGCATATGAGAGAGATTGCATCGAAGCTACTCACGGATCGACAGCCGTGAAAGCAGTTCACCACCAAGATGCCTTCGACGCGGAGTCGCGCTCGTCACGCCGCTCGAACCACCGCTAATAGCAGCGCAGTGCCTATATTAGCACTCCCAGGACAGCTTCTCCTCGAAATTCTCCAGGATCTCGAACCCAAAAGAGGTGCAGGAACCCGAACAGAATCGGCTTGCGTATCCTTCAATCGACCCGCAAAGCCTTCTTGGCACTCGCCGCGCAGCTCCTCTTCGAGCGTTACGACTTGGTCCTGTATCTAAATGGGAACGAAATCTTCGCAGAATCACGGTCATATCACCTTTTAAAGGGTAATCCTACGTTGGTTCGGCTCGTGCGATATGTTCTCGCCCCGGTCGCTCCTAGCACCTTGGAGGAATTCAGGCCTGAAATGGTACGATTTTGCGGCGCCGACCACAACGCTGGACGAGCCCTCATCCACAGGATCTCCTATATGTTGGATATGAAGCTGAGCCCCTCCGTGATGAGCGCCGTCGAGCGATTCCACAAGACATATGTTACAGAGCCTTCATACACGGGCAAGTACGGCTAACGGATTCGGAGCAGTTGAGACAAGAGATGAGAACAAGGATAGGTATCTTACCGAACCTTCAACAGGTGACTTTCGGACGGGCGGGGTATTGACGAGCGCCGTTATACTCGGAGATCCTAGCGTGTCCTACCTGGGACGATGTGTGTTGAAGTTTAGCGATGGCCCTTTCATGGAAGTCGAATGCGACTTTGGCTATCGCAGTATTCAACGCGGAATCTGGGACGGATGCAGTTGCTTTCGGAAGCTACCTCTAATGCCCATTCTTACTACGGTGTTTCACTGAGCATTTAGATACGAAGAGCTATATCAACGGTACAACGATATGGTTAACCACACGACCCCACGGACGAGATTTAAGAGGCAACATCACCGTTCGGACAAAGGGGATGGACCATGACCACAACTGATAGCCTGAAGATTAAGGAGATGACTGACGCCTATGCTACCTTCCCTGGTTCTGGCTCAGGCTCACATGTTGTCTACGCAGAGCTGTAAGATTCTGGACATGGCATTGAGCTAGATTTAATCTGGAGGAGGCTTGGTCAAGTAAAGGAGCTTTTTATTACACTTTTGGTCTACCTATCTCTCTCTATACCCCATCTATCCTGAAGCAAGTCTATGTATTATGCCAATAGGCATTTGAATACATGTAAGCGCGGCTGCTGAACTGCTTGCAGGTGAAGAGAGATCCCAGTATTCAGCTTCCGAGGAGCCAGGCCCGAAGGAAGTCAGCCATGGGGCAAACGCAACTCAACCACCGAAAGGATAATACTTCCTGACGAAGTCGCAGTCCTCTCTCGACGGGACCGTGTTCTCCCCAATAAATTCCGTCCCCACCTTCTGTCCGTCCTTCTTTTTGATCTTTACCAAAGGACACAATCTCCGGTCCTCCATGCACTTGTGCTCGTCGACGGAGAAGGCGAAGGAGGGGTACAACATGATGGACTCGAAGTCGAAGCCGGAATCGCCGTCGATTAGCAAGCCAGGTCGGTTCCCGCCCTTGATGAAATCCCTCCCAGCGAATCCGTATTCTGCGGCGAATTTGAAGTCCTCGCACAGTTTCCGCTTTGCCTCCTCCGGTGGGATATTGTTTGCGATCGCCTTCAACATAGCCGGTCGGAAGCCCTTGACCATTGAGCAATGATATTCCACGAAGTCATCTCCTGTTAATCTGTCAATACTGGATTGTCAGGGGCGTCTAGACGAAGGGGAGACTCACGGTCGTTTCTGGAGTGCTCATGGACCATCCCTAACACTTTTTTCGTTAGCTGATGTAGCGATTTAAAGAGAGTGTACCTCGGTCCTACTAACCATGTCCGATCTGCGTCTTGTTAGCGAAATCTGTGGGAGGGGGGAATGAGAGACTTACTTCGTGTGCGATGATATGGTTTCGATCGGAACGCTGAACGTCCGGAGGAAGTTCCATGAAATGTCGCCAGGGCTTATCGCTCTCTTCACTAGGAATGTAGCCTGTTGTCGACCGAGGCGGTTGATCGGGCACGATTGCGACGACCAGGGTATCAGGCGCAACGACGCCGTTATTCCAAGCGCCCTCTTTCTTTTTCGCGTCGTAGTTGCCCTTGAAGCAGAACGCATGTTGCCCGTCCGGTCCCTTAACTTCCTTGAAGAACAAAGAGTGTCCGGTCTTTGGATTGCTCGGACCACCAAGCGCATCGCTCCAGAGCGTGATTGCGTTCTCGAAGGCGCACTTCAATTTGTCTCTAGTCTCCTGGTCGGCGAAGCAGTACCTGACGACCCGGCGCTTCTTGTGGTCGAGTGGCCCGGGTTCCCGGATACCTGACTGAAGCCAGTCTGCGTATCCCGGACTAGGCCCATATGCATCAAGGATCGAGACAGGATCGTGGGTATTGAAGGAAGGAGAGTCGGCGGCGTTGGAAGGAAACGAGAGTGCGAGGATCGATGGGATCGAGCTAAGTAACGCGAATAAGAGATTGAAGAGCTCCATAGCTGACGCGATTAAGGATTCGACTGAGCCGAAGTTGAAAGAGGTGTCGTTTTCATGAAGTTCAAAATTGGGATTTTAAATGGGACGTGCGGGAGCTCTTTGCCACATTTTTCACTCTTATCTCCACCTTACTATGCTGGACTCGGATCTTGTATTCTTCGGTACGAGCATGAGATCTACTCTGGTGAAGAAGTTGATATCTCCGAGATCGGCCAACTACATCCTAGGTGGAGTCATACCAATTTTCCCCGGACGATAAGTGTGATGCTTCCCAGCATGCACTAGTCCTTCAAATCTTTCCCTGGACCAAGCCCCACTTAGCTTATTTGGAAGAGGATTCTGACGGATTCGAACTACCGGGCGAGTCCAACACGGCTAAGACTAACGCTATACATTGAGGGCCGGATGCGTGGACGCTGAAGAAGATTGCACATGCGTTCTTTCACCGAACACCAGCTCCACCGTCGAAGAGCCTCTTGCGTAGGAAGACGTGAATGTTGATAACCGCTTAAGCCCTGGAATACGAGGGCAGGCTGGACACTGTGAGGAAGTCCAGCGATAGGATTAGCCGAGTGGAGGACTTCGTCTATAACCGAAGCTTTCACACCTTCCTCCATCGCGGCTTCATTGAGCACACCCCAAAACTGTCCGAACAGCATCCTCATTCTTTTTTTGGCCTTCTTCGAATATCGAGCTCTGCTTATGCCGCGCCACCTGGCTTCTTCTGTTAGTGAAGCAAAGCTCCACACGGAACTCCTACCTGAGGCCCTGTATAACCTCCTCTGGAGCTCTAGGTCGTCATCCAATTGTCGTTGTATTACCATCCTTACTTTTTTTAACCTGTTACCGAACCTCAAACGCTGGGTTTTCACAGCCTTGGACGCCTCGGGGCTAAAGCGTACCCTTACCACTGTGCCAAACGAACTCCTTCAGATGTTCAACCAGCTACTCCCCAAAGACATCTTGACCCATGCCGCGGGAGTTGGTGCTGTCGATAGCTACTCGAAACATATATGGCGGCAATCACCTAGGCACGATGTAAACTCATCCAAGGTTACTGTTGTGCAAACGCAAGGAATGACCACTGGTACTATCCCGTACACACCATCGAAGCTCTTTGAGAACGCCGGAGATACTAATCATAGCATGGTGTCAATGGAGCACTCAACCTGTTTGTATAGCAACGAGCACATGCCTTGAGTGTTTCCACATCCGACTACACGTTAGTAAAGCACGTGACCGTGCGACGATGACAAATCATAGGTCGGCGAGAAAGTCTCCGAAAGACTCCGCACCTCGCCGACAGACATCGTCAGGCATCGCTAAGCGGCGGTGGAAGATTCCACAATATTGGGCCATACGAAGAGCACGCGTATAAGATGGCCTGACTAGTCTCTTTGTCTTGATCACAGGAATCGAAAGCAGCACTCACATTCAACTCACCACAGCCTCACAGCTTCCAGGCCCCGCTCACCCCATCGAACGACATCTCACCGCGCAACAACGTAATAAAAGCACGGCGACCTGCTTCGAGGGACCAAGCAAAAGCAGAAGAACCAACTACCACATCAACAACATGCCGATCGAAATCAACTCCCCGCTGCAATTCCGTACCCTCCTCAACGGGCACACCTACCTCGTCGCAGATTTCACTGCGACTTGGTGCCCGCCCTGCAAAGTCATCGCGCCCATCTACGAGCAACTCGCCTCTGCAAACGCCATCGCGGGCAAACTCGCTTTCGTCAGTGTCAATGTCGACGAGCAGCAGGAGGTGACCGCCCAATACGGCATCCAGGCTATGCCCACGTTCCTGATATTCAAGGATGGGAAGCAGATTGAAGAGATCAAGGGCGCTAATCCGCCGGCGCTAAAGAAGGTGGTGGAGAGGATCGCAGCGGATGTGAAGACGCAGGTTACGCCGCCGAAGCCGAAGCCTGCGGAGGAGAAGAAGGAGGGAGAGGAGGAGCAGACTGTCAGTGGGAGCTACGAGATAACTGGTGGCAAACACTGGAAGATGTCTTTGACCTGAAGGACCCGCGCTTCCAGGCGTGGGTCTCGCTGTGGCTCGTAGCCGTGTTGGGATAGCATGGCTCGGACGGCTTCGGGCCTATGACGCTCGTTAGGGGAGAGCTTGGAATGATTTGATACCCAGTTGGATTGGCGTTGGATGTGATATTTTGGGATAGGTGTAACATCCAATGATTATGATTTTGTATTTCTACTGAGCCTTAACCTAAACCTTTGAAGCAATTGAGGCTGGTGACTATGCCAGACTACCACCGATAGTGACGAAGTATCCAGGAATATTGATTGATCTGCTCTATCTGTCCAATTTGATGAGAAATCCAACATTCACAGGATGCTCCCATTCGCTGATCTCACTGCCGATTATCAATGTTATCCGAAACACTCAGGAAAGGCCACCTAGACGTTGCCAAGACCTCCGCCACCTTTCCGCACATCAAAAGCTCCAAGCACAAGCTCCAAGCTCCCACGCACAAACCCATTACACCTCAGCCTTCAAACCCTGAGGCCTCAATTCCCCTTGAAGCTTCAACCCCGCCGCCGATATGCTTTTCAACCGCCTGCTGCCGGCGGCAATCGCCCTCCTCCCCGTCCTCACCTCCGCCTCCGCCGTCATCGACCTCGAGCCCTCCAACTTCGACAAAATCGTGCTAAAATCCGGCAAGCCCGCGCTCGTAGAATTCTTCGCACCCTGGTGCGGCCACTGCAAGAACCTTGCACCCGTCTACGAAGAGCTGGCTACAAATTACCAGCACGCGAGCGACAAAGTCACAATTGCGAAGGTGGATGCAGATAACCACAAGGACCTGGGCAAGAAGTTTGGCGTGCAGGGCTTCCCGACACTGAAGTGGTTCGATGGCAAGAGCGATAAGCCGGCGGAGTATGAGGGCGGACGGGATCTTGACAGCTTGATGAAGTGGGTGCAGGATAAGACGGGGATTAGGCCGAAGGTTAAGGCGAAGTTGCCGAGCCAGGTAGTTATGCTAGATGACCAGAGCTTTAAGGAGAAGGTGGGCAAGGATCAGGATGTGCTGGTTGCGTTTACCGCGCCGTGGTGTGGACGTAAGTCAGATCCCGCTGATTCAAAGCTCGAAAGTCGACAAGGACTAATTGAGATGAACAGACTGCAAGAGCCTCGCTCCCATCTGGGAGACTCTCGCCACCGACTTTATGCTCGAGCCCGGTGTCATGATCGCCAAGGTTGATGCTGAAGCCGAGAACTCCAAGGCCCTCGCGACAGAACAGGGTGTATCGTCCTACCCCACCATCAAATACTTCAAGAAGGGTTCCACCGAGCCTCTTCCGTATGAGGGCGCCCGCGGCGAGAAGGACTTCGTCGAGTTTATCAACACAAATGCCGGTACCCACCGCGCCGTCGGCGGCGGTCTCGATGCCACCGGAGGCACCATCGAAGCGCTCGACACCATCGCCGCCAAATTCCAGTCTGCATATGGCGACGGCATCGAAGAGGCAAAGAAGGCAGCTGCTGGTCTACAGGACAAATACGCGCAGTACTATGTCAAAGTATTCGAGAAGCTTAAGGCGAACAAGGCTTATGCGGAGAAGGAGCTTAAGCGGTTGCAAGGCCTGATTGGAAAGGGCAATCTGGCGCCCGAGAAGCTGGATGATTTGATGAGCAGGAGCAATATCCTGAGGAAATTCCTTGGAAAGGAGGAGGAGAGAAGCGAATTGTAGAGAGATTGAGTATGTTGATTCAGCGCTTAGATATCCTTAGCAAGCAAGGTTTACGACGCTTTGGCAAAGGGAGTACGGGGAAAAGGACGTATATAGCCCATGTATCGATATGAGAATGATACGGCGTTAGTTGTTTGGATGCTCGGAAATTCGTATATTAGATATTGTGTTCTACGTGCACCTGTTTCTCAAAACCCCTAGTTCCAAGTGATCATGCCGGCAATGGCAAGCTGCACGTCCTTGTCATGTCCGAATCAGAATGAAAACTCTACCATAACTCGCCCTACGCCGTGTCCAAAATCCTGACCTCCCTTGCATCACTTGCTAGATCCAGATCCCTTGTTAGCGTCTCCAGCCTGGATCGTAGACTCAAGGTTGTCAATTCGCCGCGACATGTCGTCCACTGTAAAACACGGTCAGCTGTCTCCAAAGTGCCCTATCCTCTTCCCTGGAGCATTCATATGCTGATGACTGAAACACGCGAATGCGGATCATGACATGTTATAACAACAGAGACTCACTCTTCGCAAGCAGCTCGCTACTAACAGAGCTGAACTTGTTGTTTAGCTGGGTGAGTAGGTCGTCGACCACTTGGGCAAGCTCGCCGGAGCTGTCGCCGGTGGCTACCGTCGACTATGAGGCTTAGTCAGTGTGGAAGACATGGAATAAGGCTCCAATGTACATACGGTAGCGTCGCTAGTTGTGCGGTCTGTTGTTGGGCGGTTGGACATGACGGCTGAGGCTGCTTTTTGCTCGAGCTATAGTCGATGTTTGGGTGTGAACAGTAGTCACGGAGAGCGACTACGGGTCGGAGTCCTTCTGGTGTGATATCAAGTTTGTTGTCTAGCTTTCGCACGGCAAGGAAAGTGAATGTACACATCGATAGCAGCCACGTGACGACCCGCCTCGGCTCTTTCCCGAAGTGCGGGCGGTGAGCCGCTAGCGCCAATCTAAATTATTTCTTCGCCAAGATTTCGAAGTCGGTCAATTTTTGGAGCTTCGACGTGCCGCGAGTCGTTCCGCATATCCACATTCCACCATTCAATACCTCGAGACGGACGAAATGGCGCGCAGCAAGCTCAAGACAGCACTCGACAATTACAGGGGCCGAGACATCAAGCTCGAGAAGCAGCGCAAGAAAGAGAAGGAGGCTAGGAAACGGAGGGAGGGGAATAAGCCGCACAACGGGGACAACGAGGAGGAGGATGCAGGAGTGGAATTGGATGGAAAGGCGGCTGCGAATGTCAATGGCAAGCCGAAGAAGGGCAAAGCTAATGGCGTAAAAGCTCCAGCGCCAGCAGACGAACCGGAATGGGAGACGGAAGAGAGCGAGGACGAAAACATTGACGACGACGATGATGATATGCCGGAGCGACCTGCGATAGATCTATCCCGTCTCGAGGACAGCGATAGCGAAGACAGTGGTGATGATGACGAACAATTGGACGCCGAGATCCAGGACGAGGACGAGGATGATAGCGAGGAAGCAGAAGAAGATGAGGACGATATTCCTCTCTCCGACATCGAGTCCCTCGCCTCTGAAGACAAAGGCGATATAATGCCCCACCAGCGTCTCACGATAAACAACACCGCCGCCCTCACCGCAGCCGTAAAACGCATCGAGCTCCCATATTCGAAACTGCCCTTCTCAGAATACATGTCCGTAACCAGCGACGAGCCTATTGAGATCAACGACGTCGATGACGATCTCAATCGCGAACTCGCTTTCTATAAACAGTCGCTTGCAGCGGTGAACGATGCGCGGTCGAAGCTGAAGAAGGAAGGTGTACCGTTTTCGCGGCCGGCAGATTACTTCGCCGAGATGGTTAAGAGCGATGAACATATGGGGAAGATTAAGCAGAAGCTGATCGATGATGCGGCGGGGAAGAAGGCCGCAGCCGAGGCGCGGAAGCAGCGGGACCTGAAGAAATTTGGGAAGCAGGTCCAGGTCGCCAAGGCGCAGGAGAGGGCGAAGGAGAAGAGGGATACGTTGGAAAAGATCAACCTTCTCAAGAGAAGTACGTCTTGAACAACCATTTCCCGCTGTTGAGGTTCTCGGTGCTAATGATTCCACAGAACGGTCCGGCACCGCCCTCACGACTACCAAAGAAGAAGACCTTTTCGACGTCGAGCTCGACAGTGCCGCCAAATCTTCAGATCGCCGGAGAGGCGAGGTAAAACCGGGTGTAAAGCGCCAGAAAAAGAACGAGAAGTACGGCTTCGGCGGTAAGAAGCGGCATGCGAAAAGCAACGACGCTATTTCAAGCGCAGACGCCCGAGGCTACTCCGTGAAGAAGATGAAGGGCGGCGGTGCAAGCAAGAGGCCGGGAAAGAATCGGAGAGCGAAGATGAAGTGAAGGGCGTGAGATTTATTCCGGTATTCGTACTTAGTATGCAACGGCGCCGTAGCGTTTGTCGAGAATAGTCGATAAAAGTACGGGTTTATCTAGTTCAGGCAAGTTGCTCCTGAAACGGCTAGAAGATACCAAATTAAACATCTATCTTCAAGGGCATTACTACTTTCCCTGTCGCTAAGCGTGGCAATGCCCGCATGAGTGGAATTCCCTTTGTCAAACACAGATCCCGCAACCTGACCGCCAGTTCCTCAATTCTTGGTCACGAAGCTTGTGAAAAGGCAGAGTCACATGCTCGGGTTTCCAAGCCAACAAATCAGCACCACTCTCAGTTGACTCACTACTATCTTCTATTCCTCTCGCACCCCACTATCACAAGTACCACGTCAACAAGCAAGCGCAGCCTCCTACAGACGACACCCACTTCTCCAAGTCAGTCACAAAACACCAACCATGTCCGACGACGGCATCTTCTTCGCGGAGGATCCCTACTCTCCCCCAGTCCCAGCGGCAACCACCCCTTCCTCCCCCTCCCCGGTGGCCAAACCGGAAGACGACTTCTTGGCTCCAGCACCGGAGCCAGACACGATCTACTACCTCACGATAGCGACGCCGCACACGGACGCCTGGGCGTTCTACGGCCCGACGAGAACCTTCGCCGAGCTGCTTCCGCTGGTGAGGAAGACTGTTGCGGACTGCCCGGCTGCGGCCGAGAAGCTGGAGCGTCTTCTGGCTGCGGAGGACGACGGCGAAGAGGACGGTACGTTGTGCATTGAAGGGCTCCAGGAGGCATTTTGCATGTGTTGCGAAGAAGGGTAGGGATTGACACGTGTGTGCGTAGATGAAGACCAGGACGGTGACGCGTACGGCTACTACGGTGTGCCGTACGAAAACCAGGAGAAGCCCGCCTTCCTCGAGACGGGCTTCACCACCTTCGTCGCCGAAGCGCAGGACGGGTCCTACAGGTAAGTCTGACTAGTCAGGTCGCAGACCCTCAGTCCAGTCCAGTCCAGCCCTTTCATTCCCCCTCGAAGCCCTCCCCGATGCGTTTTCCAAACCCCCATCTATCCATCTATCTATCTATGCAAAGAACCATTGGTAACCACCACCACCCACAGCATCCTCCGCACCGTCCGCGAGCCCAACGCCCCCGTCGCCGCCGTCCTGCCCGGCCCCGTATACGTCGTCTCCGCCGTCGGGCCGCTTGTCCAGCAGCCCACCATCGGCATCTCCTCCTCCTCCTCCTCCTCCTCCGGCAAGCGCGTCGGCTACGCCCGCACGTCCAAGCTCATCCGCAGCTACGTGGTGTCCGAAGAAGCGAAGACGGCGGCTCGCCGCACCATGCAGGACCTTGTGCAGGGCGTGCAGCACGTCGTGTGCTCTGAGAGCTTTATGCAGGCTAGGGGGTTGGGTGGCGGGTTGGTTGTGGCGTTTGGTGCGGGAAGGAGTTGGGTAAGTCTGCAATTGATTTCATTCTTTGTCTTTTTTTGTTTGGCGAGGAATTGCGCTGATGACTTGCGTGAAGGAGGTTAGGGTGCGGTATCAGGATGTGCTCGTGGGGGTCAGGGAGAGGTATGACTTGGGGCTCGAGGGGAAGGGGAGCTGGAGGATCTGAGGGTGCCTAGGAGTGCGGACGACTTGCGGAATCGGGGCCGGCGGGGCTGTGGCTTGGGGGATTCTGCATGGGGGAACGGCGGGCGGGGGCTTTGGAGATATGCTTCGACATTTTCGTTTTGAGAGGGTGCGTCCAATGAGGGGATGGGTGGGCGTGATGAGTGGGAGCTCAATGCATTGATGGGGAAACACCGGTGGGGATAACAGAGCTTAATGCAAACCTACTCCGCTCATGACCCGAATTCCCTTCCTGGTCGAGTGACTACAAAGTCCGAGAGGCTACACACTTTCAGACGAAGAGGAGAGCCAGAAAGCCTGGCGGTGAGACATCCCAGTCTCGAACTGCGCACAACAAAAGGGACCGCTAGTAATCACCAGAAGCGCAGAAGCTCAGCTCGCAGGAAAGCCATTAATGAAATACCATAGGAACGTAACTACAAGAAGCATAATAATACCCTTCCACCACTCCTTCGACATCCTCCGCCATCCATCCACCCGCCAAGTCCCAGCAAAGCCCTCTCACCCAAAAGATATCAACAAGAAAGAAAGGGTATAAAACGACCGTCCATCCACCGACGACACACCCGCACAGCCCTACAACACCAACAACGCAAACATCCCGCCCATCACAGGTCTAGCCTTGAACTCAATGCCCGGCGGAAACGCCCCGTCGTTCGTCTGATACAGATCGGTAAACGGCCTGCTAGTCGGCGTCTCATTAACCCACTTCGCCAGATCGGCGATGAACATATCCCTCGTCTCTTCGCTCGCAATCGCCGCGCAGAAGACCTCCCAGTCGGACTTAGTATACCAGCGATTCCTGGTATCGAGCGGGACGCCGTAGGTCTCCTCGACAGTGGGATAGAAGTCCGATTGCATGTCGTAGACGGACTGCGGGACGAGGGACGTGTTGAGCAGGCGGTCGTTGTAGAGGTTATACAGGAGGCCGTGCGTGGTGGCGTTGTTATAGTTGAGGATAGAGTGCGGTGGGTTGTCTGCCGTGTTGAGGCCGAGGGTCTGCCACTGGTCGATGTAATCGTGCGCGATGGAGGAGTAGTTTTGCGCGTCGGCGTCTTCGCCTGCGAGCGTCGAGATCTGCGACATGGCTTCGAGGCCGATCATGCCTTTTAGCGCGAGGTTGGTCTGGTTGGCGAGGTGGCCTGCGAAGTCGTCGGTCGAGAGCTGTTCGGCGGGGTAGAGACTGTCTTCTACGAGATACTCGGCCCATTGCTTCAGGATCGGGTAGTGCTGCTTGATGTAGTCCGAATTCCCTGAGCGTTGCGCGTATGCGAGGACCATGATGAGGTTGTTTCCGCACTCCTCGATAGGCATGTGCTCGTCATTGCCATCCGGATGTCCAGTAGCATTGGGGAAATGAGTGCCGAGGTCATGGATCGCGAACTTGTTGGGGTAGTGCCCACTCTCCTGGTTCTCGAAGTGCGGGTCCAGCAGTAGTTTAACGAGTTCCGGGTTCGTGTAGTAGAAGATCGGCGAAGCTGGATAGATGACGTCTACAGTCTGCGTGTTCCCGTTCGACGAGATCTCCTTGAGGAACAAATAGTGCTTGTCCTGCGTTCCCACAAGCTGCACGGCGCCAAATGCTTGGCGGGCCGCCAGGGTGGTGAGTATGGCGTAGTTCTGGCCAGCAGCGGCGATGGAGTCACTGGAAATCTTGGTGTCGAGATCGGTCGAAAGCTTGCTTGACTCCGAGTAATCCTTGTGGGAAAAGGACAGCTGAGGAGTGTTAGCATGCGCATTAATGCATTACCACCGGTATAACTTACGGCAGCAAGATCATCGCTGAAGTAGCTCTTCCATAACGACGGAATGGTGGTCAAACCATTTGCACCAAGGAATTGAATCGCGTCATCCTGGCAGAGGCCAATAGTAAAGAGAGTTGAGACCGGAGAGGCGCCTACGGAGCCAAGATCTGCGGCATAGCCAAATACTGGCCAATTCGAATTAATCGCGCGGAAGTTGGAATCCTTGGAATTCGCAAGCTTCCCCTGTCCCACAAAAGCACCGCGGACGTCGGTATCCGCGCCGGATTGATAAGTCAGTCCATCAGAGGAGTCAGTCGCGTAGTACTGCAAAAGTCAGTGGAGTGTAAGAGCAGTCAAGTTTGAACCACTTACGATATTGCCCCATTCGGCCCGGTCGTTGACTTCGCTGAACGACTGCTGGTTCTGCTTCCAGACACGGTGGTACGAGACGTCATCCGTCGCGCCGAAGTCCCACTGTGCGATGGCGGCAAGATCCCCCGAAACCCACTCTGTTGGGACAAGTGAGCACTCTAAGCCATGTGGTTAGGTGACGCAAGTACGTACCGGCGGATATGTCCGTGTACAGCTCCACATCGTGGTTCGAGCCGTCCAAAGAGGAAACTTCGACGTTCATGTATGAAAAGACCAACGACTGGCGCCTGAAGTCATCCGGAGTGAGCGGAGAGAGGAACGTGACTTTCATCGACACCTTGTCGTCAACCTCGATTGTGAAGATACTTTTCGTGCTCGTATACTCGTACGCGACTTGACTGGCGGCTTCAACGTCCCTCGGCGCTCCCATCCAGGTAAATGCTTTCCCGTCGACTCGGATCAATCCCGCCCATCCTGTGACTTGGCCTCTGCATCTGCATCAGCGGGGAAATGACAATAAGAAGTCGCTAACCATACGTGTAGAATGACGGCCATTGACCGGGTAAGTATCCTCCGTTGCCGCCATTGCTGCCGGCGGGAAACCACGTGGAAAGGTAAGGGCTCTTGACGGCCAAGGGTAACGATGGCGGACGGGCCGGGGTGAACTTGGACTGAGCAGAAGCAAGATTGATGAGAAGTCCACCCAACGCACCCAATAAAGAGAGATGCATGATTAATGATGGGGAGTCTCAGGACTGGTGAGCGGATGGATGATCTTTCCGCGAACCTGGACGGGTTGAATATATACGTGTTGATCATAGCAAGGGACGCCCTCCTACTAGGCTAGCCTGCGGAAGGCTTGCTGGGGAGGCTACGCAGGCGGCGAGACAAGAACGGACCACATGACGGGAAGGAGGATGCACTTACATTAGGAGATGGTACCAACTCTAGCGGACTTGAGCTCGGCGAGACGCTATGGAATCTGCCTTATGGCCTTGCAAGATGATAGCTGGAATGTCGGAAAGCTTACCATCAACAGTACTGTAGCCAGATGCTAAAGAATATCGCGGGACGCGGCGGTACCTGGCGGCCGAAGGTCCTATCTAGCCCTGAAATCTCTCTCTAATAAGCACTACCCGCGGCAGGTAAGCCCCAAGCCAGGCAAGTAGTGCCCAGGTGGTGTGTTCATGCAGTAGGGACCGGCAATGGAGGAAGGAAGTGACATCCTCCCGAAGTCTCCACATTCCCGATTTGGTCATGGAGACGTGTCAGCGAGGAAAATAGCAAGCACATGGGCGTTGAAAGAGTCTATGATTCGGTACGTCCGAGGGTAAAATAGATTAAGGCTCGACGACAAGAGGCCCAAGCAAGCACCATGGCTGGCGTAAGATGTGATGGTGCTGGCGTATCACGTCGATGACCTTGGCGGAGGTTGTATCTCTAGCTCGAAGACATAGTAGCTCGCCTGACCCATATGGCTAAGGCTATGGAGTAAGCTTTCGTGGAAGAGGGGATTAAACGAGAAAGAGGCTTTGGCGTCGGCATCCTCGGAGAAAATCAGGTACCCGTCCGCCACAATGCTTTGCATCAAGCTCAGAAGTGCCCCGGCTATGTCGAGACTGAAGGACTTCCCAGAATCGTAGAGCATCCAGCCTCTGGTCTGTTGTGGATTTTGGTAGCATGCGATAGCGCGATGTGATGCTGTACCTAAGGAGGATGGTGATCCTTGCTGGAGCGGTATCGCAGACTCCACGATCCTCGTGATGCCTTCTCCACAGTCCCGGTATTTAAGAGTTACGGTGAGGCCAGTCCCGCGGTACTAGTGACGTATAGCCACGCTTATTCAATTCCTGGATTTTAGGTGGTCGCCATTGTGCTGCCAGACGCCGGGTTATCGCCATAGTGCGAAGTTTGGCCTCATTCATCCCTTCGCCATAGGGATAAGAACCCAGGGTACAAAATGAAGTCTGACTATGGCAAGAATCGTGGACAAGAAGTGCCGTGGGTCGTTCTTGTGACTGTCCGCGGGAGTACTGCGGGGAAGCTTTCGGCGCGTAGAAGGAAAAGGAAGGAGACAAGCAACGGCCATGGCATCTGCCCACCAGCTCATGCTAGCCGGCGAAAACGTTGCATGCTACGAAGCTGCGGTAGCATGTGGCCAGGCGAGCATGGGACAAGGCACGGCGACCGGGGATGAAAAAGAAAGATGGTGCATGGCGCGGTAATGGGGAGTGCACGGTTCATCTAAATCCCTGCGCGCATCCCCGCCCGGAAGGGAACTAGCCTGCTAGCCTGCGCATAATCCAACCTCGTGAGCTTGAACCAACTATTGAAAAGACGGGCAGGCTAAAGATTCACTGGAGGAATCCCACTGCTCAGAAGCTCCTTCCTCTTTCCAACTTTCTCTCCCCACCAATTCTTGTTGCCCTTGACTCCAGAAAGCGACCGCATGCCCGGGTGCTATCTGGGGCTATGGTCGGCATAGGCTTCCCTAGTTAGTGGCCGTGTAACACCTAAGAAAGAGGCAGTGTGCGACTAGACCCTCCTTCATATTACGCAAGAACTGAGTGCAAAGACTGAGAACGCCCTCCGCCACGTGTAAGCAGCTCCACAGGTCATCACTCTGCGCTAAATAAAGATCACAAATTGGAGAACCTTGGCATGTCGATGATTATAGCATTAAGCGCGTCGCCTTTCCAGAGTCGGACGCTGCTAACAATGTACAGAGGGACATGAGCGTCTTGCCATGCGCTTTCGGTCGCGAGAAGCTATTCAGGTAGCAAGTCGTATCGTACAGAAAATTGATAGTCATGAAGGAACAGACCGCGCATAAACAACAGGACGGACGCTACTCGACGAGGGAGACTGAAGCCGGGTATCCTGAAAACTCAACAGAAAAGACTGAGCTGTGCAACGCTGAAAGCCACGAAGACAAGAAATAGACATGCAACGAGAAAGAACGAAAAGGGTATCCGAAGCGAACCAAGATCAAAGCAACCAAACGATAACCACACCCATACCGCCTTAAACCGACGACCTTCTATGAATCAGCAAGCCAAGGGCGGGACACATGCTCATACAATTGCATGCAGCCATCCAGCCATCGACATCGAAGAATATCGTGAACGGTCCAGCGCTTCTCGGGCTCCATCTCAAGACAGCCCTTAACGAGCGCAATCGCGTCCTCCACGCGGCCGTTTTGGACAGCGTCTGCTTTGCGAATAAGATCGACGTCGTATTCGCCACTCTGGATCTTCAGGGAAGTCTTCGGGTCAAGCCCTCCATTGAACGGTAGGTTTGCGGTAAGAAGCGCATATACAACCACGCCGAACGCCCAAATGTCGGCAGCTGGTGAGAACACCGGACCGGGTGCGTTGAACAATTCAGGCGCGGCGTATTGCAGACTGCCAGCGAGACACGTGCTGGTTTCGGCAGGACCTATATTTTGATTCGCGCCAACTGAATGCGGTTCTGGCCCGTCTCGTTGGTCGCTCACGGTAAAGTCGGCCATACCAAAATCACACAGGAGGAGATCCCCGCCCTCCACCTCTGCGTTAGGTGATGTCATGTCGACGAGGCAGTTCTCCAGCTTGATGTCCCGGTGGACAACCTGCACATCGTTGTGCAAGTACCGCATCGCTGATGCAAGCTGGTACGTATAGCGCTTCGCCAATCGTTCCGGCAACCCATGCTTCTTCTTCTTGCGTAGATCACGTACGAGATCGAATAAAGTGCCGCCCTGGTTCAACTTTGTAATGCAATAGGTTGCGAAATCGGTGGTATACACACGGAGAAGCGGTAGAATGTAGGAGTGTCGCAGGAACCGCCATATTTCCACCTCGTGATCGAACTGCGTCTGAATCTGCTCGTTCTCCAGCTCCGACTTGTCTTTCAATTGCTTGCGCACGATTTTGACAGCATTGACCACTCTCCGCCCATCTTCGATGCTGGTAACCTCTTTCACGACGCTGAAACCGCCATACCCGATCTGTTTGCCAATAATATATTCGCCGTGGTATCCAATGCCTTGGCCTTCGTCGTCTGGTTCGGTTGGCTTTAGTGGACCGTCCGTTGCTTTGTATCTCGAAAGAAAGGATGCGGCCGGGGACATGGAAGACATGGAGCGTCCTGAACGAGCCGAAGATCGACGACTGGCCCTCCGTAGGCTTCCCTCGCCGTCTCCGTTCTCTAAGCGGTAGCTCCTAGATCGCTGAGATCCGTTGCGCCTTCCGTAGTATGGAGGAAACTCGACTGGAGAAGTTGTAGGCAGGGGTGAGAGCAGATATTCGGTCGGCGTCTCTAGCGGTGTTCTCGCCTCTTCTAATGGAGAGGCAGTTGTTTCGGAGGTCAAGGAAGCGACGTGGTCGTTGTACTCGGGGTCGGTTGCGAGCTCGTCGACCGTGGTTTGAAGCAGTGGGTATCTTGGTTCGCCTAGGCGATGCTGCAAACCGTTTCGTTGGCGCACGGGAAGTTCGAAGTATTCGTGGTCGGAAAGTTCTTCACCGTCGGAGGTCTCCGGCTGTGAAAGCCTGGGCGCCGGTTTCGGCAGAGGTTCTTCAATGGAGAGACGGTTGCCGCTGTCAAGCGTGACTTCATTGTTGAAGCTGATGGACTTGGTCCGCCTTCTGAATTGCTCTTCAATGTCGTCCTCCCCTTCACTGCTGCCGACAGCCACAGCGGGGCCATGGTAGGCGCTGTTGTAGGCGCGGTGCCCATTTGCGCCGTTCTCCTCCCACTTTATGGGGATGCCGTGGGCATAATGACTCCGATCTGGGTCGGCGAGTTCGGCCGCCGAATGCGACGGAAGAGCGCCATTCTGGTGAGCATCGTGTCGCGGAATCGAGGCAAAGGTTGAGGCAGCCGGCTTGGGCGACGCCGAGGTGTCGAGTTTGAGCTTCTGGAAAGTATGTGAGGATCCCGAAATGGGGGCCATGTAAACGGCAGGGCAAATATCACGGTGAGTGCAGACCTCAAGGCGCCGGCGGCAGGTATTAATGTGCGGCGACCGTGGGGTGAGGTTGCTCGGCGAGGGTAATCTCAGAGGGTAATGGGAATTTCCGTCGAGGCGGAGCGATGTAGCACAGCGGGGCTGCGTCGCGGCAGCCTCGCGTCGCGCGAGATGCGCTCAGGGCGGCGCGGTGGAAGTGACGATGTGCGTGGAAGCGCGAGTGGAGCGATGGCGCTTGAGCTGGCACAAGAGACTGTGGAGGGCGCGAGGGCTCTTTGTCTGGGGAACGAAGCGAGGATGGGTGTTTTCAAACGCCAACCCCCACGCCGAACGCTTGCGGCGAAGGCCGCCGTGTATATTTCTAGCGCTGCACGTGAAGAGAAAATAGAAACCTCCAGGGCTTGGAAGCCATTCGTCCTACGCGCGCCTATCACAGCCCGAAGGTAGTAAGCCCTGTGTGTATACGTAACGCTGCGGCAGGCGCAGAACCTCCAAATAGACGGAGTAACTGTGCCGCGATGCCCAGGTGCGAGAATCCTCCCAAGCGGAGAGCGCGTCCAGCAGTGGCGACAGCACCTGCCCACGAAGCGCTGATCCTGTCGTGACTGCCCCGCGCCTGTGTGTTGCGGCCTGCGAATCCTCTTGTGACAAGCAGCGCGGGCGTGGGATGGGGCACGCGGAGAATGCGAGGGCTCTGCAGCCGGTGACGATGGTTATGCAGGGCCGAAACAGAAACTAGATCTCGGCCCGTTGCCCGCACAATTGCGCAAAAACTGCGGGACGAGTAGAGATCTAACACGACGAAGGGAAAACAGGGTCAGTCCGTCACCGAGGGACAGCGGGCGGAAGAACGTCGGGCCACGCATTGCCCAGGTGACGTCGGAGCTCTCAGAGCCCTAGAGGCCCGGCGAGCATCCACGCGGACGGGCCCTTGCCTGTTGTCTGCCCAAGTGAATAGCCTCAGGGGCCCGCAGTTGCTTACCATGCTCTGGTGAACTTTTTCTCTTGTTCGACACAGCACCAGACGAGGCTGCGCTGCTTCCACCAGCTTCTCTTGGCGCAGGCGCTAGCCCCAGCCGGCTAGGCGGCCCTCGCGACCTGCTCCGAGCCCTAGAGGTCCAGTGCTTGTCAACGACGTCCTATCGCAGCAACACCCACGACATCCTATCGCCGACACTGCTCGCACGCCTCGGTTTCTGGACTCTGCCTCCGCCTGCTGCGGCCCTCCAGCTTCGACGGCCGCCTCCTGACTCCTGCCGGCGAGTGGCTGCCACGCCGAGACGCTGCCCGCCATGGGGCTCTCCGGCTTCTGCGCGAAGCTCTTCAGTGCCTGCTGCGGCGGTAAGCTCCCCAACGCCGCGTTTCCCATCCCGGCCCGCTGCTAATCTCGCTCCACGCAGGACGCTCAAAAGATAGTATCTATGATCCAGTGCTAGCAGACAGCGAGCGCGAAGCCGTGGCCGACCTCCTAGGCTTCTTGGAAAATGTCCGACCCATCCACACCCCCATCTGCACCGCCCGGGCTGACACTCTGCCAGCGAGCCGAGACCGATTTCTTCTCCGGAGAGCCGCTCCGCGCATTAAGTACACTAGTATATTCAGACAACATCGATTTGCAGAGGTCGGCGAGCTTGACCTTCGCCGAAATCACCGAGAGAGGTACCTGCTTCCCCGAAGCTGGCTGTCGACCAAATCTAACCCTGTCCCACGATAGATGTCAGAGAAGTCGACCGTGATACGCTCGAGCCGATTCTATTCCTGCTCCAAAACCCCGATATCGAGGTGCAGCGCGCGGCAAGTGCGGCGCTGGGCAACCTGGCCGTGAACAGTACGTGCACTATGAATGGCTAAAGGGCGTTTGCGCTGACTCCCTACAGCCGAGAATAAAGTCGCAATTGTTGCGCTCGGTGGCCTCGCGCCGTTGATCAAGCAGATGAACTCGCCGAACGTCGAAGTGCAATGCAATGCCGTCGGATGCATTACAAACCTCGCGACACACGAGGACAACAAGTCCAAAATAGCACGGTCAGGAGCTCTGCAGCCCTTGACTAGGCTTGCCAAATCGAAGGACATGCGCGTGCAGAGGAATGCGACGGGAGCGCTGCTCAACATGACACACTCCGGTAGGGCACCGTACAAACTCGTTTAGACGTCGGGGGTATGCTGACGTGCGGATAGATGACAATCGGCAACAGCTCGTCAATGCCGGCGCCATTCCAGTCCTGGTGCAGCTCCTGAACTCTCCAGACGTTGATGTGCAGTACTATTGCACAACAGCCCTCAGCAACATTGCCGTCGACGCCACCAATAGGGCAAAGCTCGCTCAGACCGAAGGACGCTTGGTACAGTCGTTGGTCCACCTCATGGAGTCATCTTCTCCCAAAGTGCAGTGCCAGGCTGCATTAGCGCTACGAAACCTCGCGTCAGACGAACGTTATCAGCTCGACATTGTGCGGGCCCGCGGCCTGCCGTCGCTTCTCCGACTCCTGCAATCTTCCTACCTCCCCCTTATTCTCTCCGCCGTTGCATGCATACGGAATATTTCCATCCACCCTGCGAACGAATCTCCGATCATTGAGGCCGGTTTCCTGCGGCCGCTCGTCGACTTGCTGGGCTCCACAGAGAACGACGAGATCCAATGCCACGCCATCTCCACGCTTCGAAACCTAGCGGCTAGTTCGGACAAGAACAAGCAGCTGGTTCTCGAGGCCGGAGCTGTACAGAAGTGCAAACAGTTGGTGCTGAATGTGCGGCTCCCGGTGCAGTCGGAGATGACTGCAGCGATTGCGGTCCTGGCATTGAGCGAAGAATTGAAGCCGCATCTGCTCAACCTTGGAGTCTTCGATGTCCTTATTCCCCTGACGGAATCAGACAGCATTGAAGTCCAAGGAAACAGTGCGGCAGCTCTAGGGAATCTATCATCAAAAGGTGAGCAGTAATTAGGACAATCTTTCCACTCGCTAACTTGGAGTAGTGGGCGATTACACTATCTTCATTCAAAACTGGACCGAACCCGCTGGCGGCATACATGGATATCTCCGCCGCTTTCTGGCCAGCGGAGACCCCACCTTCCAGCACATCGCTATCTGGACGTTGCTACAATTACTCGAATCCGAAGACCCCCGACTACTCGAGCGCATAGCGAAGTCGAACGACATAGTTCGCATGGTCTCCGACATCGCGGAGCGCAACATCGAATCGGACGATGAAGATAACGAGGACGGCGAGGGCGAGGTTGTTAGCCTTGCCCGACGATGCCTTGAGATCCTCGGCAAGTCACCTAAAACCCTCGTAGAGGGCTAAAATTCTTGGAAGGTTTCTTATACCCATTTCAACGCTTGATTATCGCTCCTCTCCGTTTCTTACACTCGTTCGCTGATTTCCTAATGTGGTTCATGTGTATTCTTGCTATCATGCTTGCGCATGATAGGCGACGGCGTTTCCTGGAGCAACGATATCTACAATATTCATAGCGAGCATGGGTGGAGCAGGGTTTCGTATTACTGGCGGCATACCACGTTTTCCTGTTGTTTTATCTGGACTAGAATTGCTCCAGCGTTTGATGGAAAGATTGTAATCCTTGGTTTGGATCGCTGGGGTACTTGACGTTGGAGTGATCCCATGTCCAATCCATTACGTGTATAGGGCACTGAAACCATTCAGGAAAAGAGATCCCGGTCCACCATTTTCCCATCTCGATGTTAATTTAGATTATGTGAACCTGCGAATCCATATAATGAAGCTCTACCAGGCTCAGCCCATTCCAAGAATCTCCCGCTTCGATGGGTGCCCACGTGTGTGTAGTAGGGCTGGGGCTCGCGGCATTTCATGTGACGTCGCGCTGCAGTATTTGCCGAGGTTTCACCGATATCGATAAGCAAAACAAATTCACGATTCTAGAGCTACTCACATACAGAACCACACTTCTGCTGTACGACGACTAAACCGCAATGCCACCCAAAGGCAGAGGGCGAGGCGGTGCGCGCGGCCGCGCCCGCGGCACTGGGAGAGGAGATGCAGCTGCTAATCGGCCAGCCACAGGCGCCACCGAGATTTCAGAAGCCACCCCACCAGTGCTCAAAGCGGATACAGAAGCAACTGAGTCGTCCGCGCCTGGTATAGTACCTAAACAAGAAGATGAAGGGAGCGCCCCAACTTCAGCGGCTGAAGCGAATATCTCTGCCACCGTCGAAACGCAGCTCCCACCTTCAGTTGCAGCCTTGTAGGTCACCCAATGCCTCACATCTGCTGTAGGACTCAATTGCTAAGCAATCCAAGCTCGAACTCCTCTCCCCAAACCCCAATAGATTCTGCCGCTCGTCCGCCGAGGAAGCGACTCGACAGCTTGAAGAGCAACGAACCGTCCTCACGCTCTGCGTCTCCAGCTGCCCGTCGTGGAACACCGAGTCGAGGCAGAAAGCCTGTTGCGTTACCACCATTCGCGGGTCGTCGAAGCAAGGAGGAGCGGGATGCTCGGAACCAGGAAGCTATTGAACGTGAGCGTGAGAGGAACAGAAAACTTGAGGCGTTAGAGAGGAAGAAGGAGCAACAGAGGAAGCGTGAAGAGGATCGCAAACGTGGAGGAGGGGCAAGGGCTAGAGGTGGCTTCAGCGGCGCCACCAGCGGGCCGTTCTCGTTAGGCAGTGCTACTCAGGGCAGGTCTTCTCACAGAGTCGCCCTCTGCTTCCGCTGACAGTCGCGCAAAGACAGGAAAACCACTCATCGAAATTTTGCAGGCTTCGGTTCAGGCTCGGGTTCAGGTTCAGGTTCAGGATCCCGTGCCGTCCGGGTCAAGCGCGAACCCAACGACGGCGAGGTCGGGCCGTCACACAGGCCATCCGGTATCTCCATTAAGAAGGAAGACGGGGGATACATCTCTTCAGACGATGAAGATGCAGGTGAATTCCCGCGGAAGGATATTGATTTAATTGAGATATCGTCCGACGAGGACGAGGTGGGACCGTCAGAGCACAGGGAGCGGGCACAACTACCAGTCCGCATTGGTAGGAAGGAGCACCGGGAACGCGTCGTCGGGATCAACACGGAGGCCAGCACCGAGGCATCTGCCAAAATTCTACAACAAGCGGAGGCATCCGGTAGCGCACCGACAGCCGACGCGGTAGAGAGTACCACTCGAAAAGGGAAGAGCAAGGTGAAGGACGTCGAGATCACCGGCGTGCGGAAGCCATACAAGGGCGTGTGGCAGGATTCTGACGAGTCGGATGTCAAAGTCAAAGCTGAACCAATCAGCGACGATGAAGATATGGCCGACGCAGAGCAGGTAGGCATTGTGAACAAGGCAGTGGAGAAGCCATCGGAACAGTCTCCAGACGCCGAGAAGAAACCCAAAGCTCGCTCGAAAGAGGAGCCGAATCTTCAAACGGACGAAGACCGCGCAGAATGGGCCCGCTTCCAAGCAAATCTGCGCCACATCAGAGCAGAGTTGGGACCGGATGAGGACGTTGCTATCCCTTCTGCAGATGGGTCGGGCGACCTGACCATGATCGATGCTGCCGCCAATGCCAGCAGACCGAGTGTTCGAGACAACAACGTCTATCTCTTCCAAATTCCGCCTATTATGCCCGACCTACTCTTACCAGGAGTTAAGAAGGAGCCGTCCGATCCGCAGCATGGCGCCCAGGAGGCCGCTCCGTCCGCGAAGGGTGAAGCAGTACCGATTAAGAAGGAAGAAGAGTTTTCAAACCCTCTAGGAAATGCGCCTGAACGACCTCGGTTTGCCAGCGGGCGCGTCGGCAAGCTGCGTGTCCATCAATCCGGCCGTACCACGCTGAACTGGGGGGGTACAAGCTACGAATTGACGCCAGGCAACAAGGCCTCGTTTTTGCAAGAGGTGGTTTCCATACACGTGGTGCCAGAAAATGAGCGCGTGGTCGAGGAAGACGCAGGCGAGGCTGTTTCATTCGGACGAGTGAAAGGGAAGTTTGTAGTGACGCCGGATTTCTCAAAGATATTCGGTTAGGCTAGCGATATGAGGTGCAAAGATTATGGCACTCCGCGATCAGCATGAAGGCGTTGGGTCGATCAAAAGCATTTACGGGCGTTCAATAATGATAATCTAGATGCCATGCAAGGCTCAGAGCAAATACAGTGTCAGAACGCGACCCCAAACGCGTAAACACGGGATCTGAAAAGCCACTACTGCAAGCCAACAACTTTGTGTGACGAATTTAGTGGGGCAGCTAGCGCCGGCGGTGTTGTGCATTATCTAATCTGATCCGACTAGCGTGAGGCGCCAAACCCGAGAGCTCCGAGCTCCGTGTACAAAGAACGCGTATAAAGTGCCATGGGGGCATGGTGGAGCGGTGAACTGGCCACGCGTGCGACGATTTTCACCTGGCGCGTTCACGATGTTGGAAGATCAGTGGACTGATGTGACATGTTGGTGTCTGTCTGTGGAGCGGCGGATGCTCTAATCTCGCGTCTTGGAGGACATTTTCCAAGCAGAGTGGAGCTCTAATTCAGCCGCCAAATGCAAAACAGATGCAGCTGTAACTCCGAGCGGCACCGTTCCTGCGTGGGCGGCTCATTGTTGTGGTGGGCCTGGCCGAATCAGAGCGCGTCTGCGACAAGGCGCGTCGGGCACGGACTGTTTGTGGTGCGTGAATGGCCGTGGCTGGGAGACGCGATGAACGACTTCGACAAGAAGTGCGCATCAAATTGGGAGAAAAAAGAGAATGATATGCGTATCGTTGAAAAGCGCGCAGTCAATTGACCCTGTATGCAGCCGCGCAGGCAGACATTTGGGTCACGGGCTGACAAAAACGTGGAGATCGATGCTGAAATCGGTGAACGTCATAGCGTCTTCAGCCTAGGAAAGCGCGCCGTCGCCTAGTCACGTGCTCTCGTCTGCCCGCGTACATAAGTTCTGCGCGTCCTCTTCTTTGTCCCTCCGTCCACACCATCATCGACTTCGGCCTCTCGCCACAATTTATTCTTGACATCACGTCCGCTCCATTGAGGACTGTCACCGCCTATACTTATATATCACCCGCCACAATGTCCACCGCGCAGATAACACCATCCAAAAAGGTCCGCCACGGTCCCGCATCTTTTATCCATGCGCGTATACTGACGCGTATATAGGCTGCATCAGCCATTGAGACACTCAAGATGTCCGATTCGCCTGCGAAGAAGCTCAACTTCGAGTCTACGGCGGACAAGGAGAATATTTTCAAGCCCATTGTCGGCATTCCCGACCTCCCAGAGGAGGACGCGACGGAAGACGCGTCTGCGCAGAAGACTGCCATCGCAACTACGATTAAGCCTGAAGAGGCACACGAGCCTCTGCTACAGGAGAACCCTCACCGTTTTGTCCTGTTCCCCATCAAGTACCACGATGTAAGTCGACGCGACCGGACCCCATCGCGCCATGATACTTCCCTAGTCATGATACTGTGCCCAAGAACACCTAGGCTAACACCTCCTTCTACAATAGGTCTGGCAAATGTACAAGAAGGCCGAAGCTTCCTTCTGGACCGCCGAAGAAATCGATCTCTCCAAAGACCTTCACGACTGGAACAAGCGATTGAACGACGACGAGCGCTTCTTCATCTCACACGTCCTCGCCTTCTTCGCCGCGTCGGACGGCATCGTCAACGAGAACTTGGTCGAGCGATTCAGCGGCGAGGTGCAGATACCCGAGGCGCGATGCTTCTATGGCTTCCAGATCATGATGGAGAACATCCACTCCGAGACATACTCCCTCCTGATCGACACTTACATCAGCGAGCCTAAGCAGCGCACCTATCTCTTCAACGCCATTGACAACAGTAAGTTGCGCCATTATTCACATTGAGCGACGCGTATCTGACGCGTCTTGTAGTTCCCTGCATCCGCAAGAAGGCCGACTGGGCGCTCCGATGGATCTCAGACAAGAACTCCACCTTTGCGACGCGTCTCGTCGCCTTCGCTGCCGTCGAGGGTATCTTCTTTAGCGGCTCCTTCGCGTCCATCTTCTGGCTCAAGAAGCGCGGCCTAATGCCCGGTCTGACCTTCTCCAACGAACTCATCTCCCGCGATGAGGGCATGCACACCGACTTCGCCTGCCTGCTCTTCTCCCTCTTGAAGACTCGACCTAGCAAGCAGCTTGTTCAGGACATCATCACAGAGGCTGTCGTGATCGAGAAGGAGTTCTTGACCGAGGCTCTGCCTGTTATGCTGCTCGGCATGAACGCCACCCTCATGTGCCAGTACATTGAGTTTGTGGCTGACCGTCTACTGTTGGCCCTCGGCAACTCAAAGTTCTACAACGCGACCAACCCCTTCGACTTCATGGAGAATATCTCGCTCGCGGGCAAGACGAACTTCTTCGAGAAGCGCGTCGGCGACTACCAGAAGGCCGGTGTTATGGCGAGCACCAAGAAGCATGAGAAGGAGGGTTCATCTTCGCCAAGCGAGGAGCCCAAGGGCCTGTCTGGCGACTTCTCCTTCGAAGAGGACTTCTAGACGCGTCCCCTCTCTCATTTCGTTTCGTTACAATCTCCTAGCTGTATACCTCTTCTGACTTTGGGCATGGGTCCGGGGCGACCCTTTCATCTTGCATATCTGTTCTCCCCTCTGCATTGCCGGAGTCAGACCCAGCACAACCGGCATATCCTTTGGAAAGCGCATACCGGCCTGCTTTTGATACCTTTTTTCCGCGCTTTCGAATTTCCGGCGTTTGCGGTGGGCTCTTGAATGAGAGATGTGGACCGAGGATAAGGGGTGCGGTAGGATACCGTCATGGTTGTTAGGATAATGATGAGTACAAGCGATCAAAATCTCATTTCGCCGTTCGCGTGTGCACCTTCGGAGACCGCTGCTTGGTGTTGAAAGCGCGTGATCGCAGCCCGCGACAAGGGTGTCCTTGGGCTCCGCAAAGACGCGCACAAGCATGACCAAGTCTCGCCCAGTAGTCTAGCCACGTTGCTCTTCCATATCCTTACCTATATTCACTTTAACCTTGTTATTCCAAGCGCTCCTTATGGCACCTATCTTCGCGAGCGACTCCATCCCCGACAGATGGTTCCGTAGTGGTGGCCGCATCGGGCAGAGATGACGTCTGTCGGGGTTGGCTCTTGAGGGCATGACGGCAAGCGAGTGCTTGGGCTTTGTACCTGAGTTTGCGTCACCGACCCCGAGCGACGGAGTATCTTAACGAAATTCTGTATACAACACCGCTACGGACGTAGATCGTATCGATAAGACATACTCTGGCCTTCTCGCGTGTTTATCGCAAGCCACTTCGCATCTTCCGCGGTGGTCCGCACCACATCTCCCCACCAACGCCGCCCAACATCTACAGATACTAGAAAACCGCCGTCCGCCATAATACCCCGCGGCGCAGCGTGCGCGATACGATTCCTCAACATCGCAAGCCTAGCAGACAGGTATACGACCAACTGCGCACAGGCAAATCGAGAAGCTGCAGTTCCGGCGATCGCATCCACCAGCACAGCACCACATGGCAACTAGGTCCACCCATGAAGCTTCCTAAGCAAAGCCAATGGCCGACGTGCTCCCCAAGATCAGGGTGACGGACCCACATACCAAAGATGCGAGTCCCCTGGAGCGGCAGGACACTGGCAAGCTCTCGACGAAGGGAGAGGGTACGTGGCACCCCCGCGCGCAACACCTCTGTCTAGAATGACGAGAGGCAGCCAGCAATGCTTACACTAAAGCCTGTAGGATCGTTGACGAACGGCAAACTCGCTGCAAAGCTACGAAGCCCCACGTTGCCCACCGCACCATCGAACGAGTCACCGACGCAGAACGGGAATGCGGAAGGACGAGTACAGGCTGAGGCGGCTATTGACCCGCTCTCGCAAGTATGTACATATTAGGGACGATATTGCTAGCAGATATAGGAGGCTAATCGCGGGATTCCGGTGTAGCAAATCCTCAAGCGCACGAATACGTCGAATGCGATCCAGAAATACCGCGGGCAGGCGGCGGAAACTGCCGCTCAATCGCCTACATTGCCCAACGATACGCCTACGGATACGAAGTACGCGGGGGAGACAACGCGGGAAGTCGGCAGTGTATCCAAGGCAGACAAAAAGTGAGCATGCATGTTCCATTTAACTTTCCTAGAATGTAGTAAGTGTTGCGATCCACCAAGGCTTAGCGGATCCTTCGTATTCGCCACGGATGCCGGATCGCGTATACTAAGATCCGCTACCCGTTTTGGTCGGTGGTGGCCTTCCCGAAGGAATCCGTCATTTTGAGGCGGAGCATTAACGAGGCTGATTCGTGGGTTTTCACAGGAAAGGAGTATCGTTCTTAAGTCGCTTCATCGGCAACAAAAAGAAGGGAAGTCTCGATGGCGGCGAAGAAGATGGCTCAGAAGCCGGAGAGCCGCGACCGGAGGGGATGAACGCCCAGTTGTTCAGTCATACGGTCGACAATCTGGGCTTCAGTCCCAAGCATCTGCAACCGCCGGCGTATATCAAAGTGAGAACAAAGTTTAAGAAAGAGAAAGAGTTCAATCGCGTGTTTTTAGCCCAAGACTTGCGGGCTGGTACGGCCAAGAGGAGACTTTCGATATCGTCGAGCTCGGCGACGCCCTCTGGGGCTGCGGCTTCGCATAATCCTATATGGGCCCTTGAGTTTAGCAAAGATGGGAAGTATCTTGCTGCTGGTGGGCAGGCAAGGGTTGTTTGGGTATGGGCAGTGATTTCGACCCCGGAGGAAAGGAGAGCGCACGAGAGTGAGGAGACCGATCCACGCGCGTCAGGCGGCGAGTCGACACATCTCAGTGCACCAGTCTTCCAGCAAAAGCCGTATAGGGAATACTGCGGCCACAACTCGACAATACTGGATCTGAGCTGGAGCAAGGTAAGTAGATTTATGACTGCCCTTAAGCTATTAGCTCCTAACACACACAGAACAACTTCTTGCTGTCGTCGTCGATGGACAAGACCGTCCGATTATGGCATGTCAGCCGCGCCGAGTGTTTGTGCACATTTAAGCATACCGACTTCGTCCCATCTATACAATTCCATCCGAAAGATGATCGCTTCTTCCTTGCGGGATCTTTGGATACAAAGTTGCGACTATGGAGTATCCCGGATAAGTCCGTCGCCTTTTGGACACAGCTGCCAGATATGATCACCGCCGTATCATTTAGCCCAGACGGAAAGACATGTATAGCCGGGACGCTAGGTGGACTGTGCATGTTTTACGAGACCGAAGGGCTCAAATACCAGACGCAAATTCACGTCAAGTCGACAAGAGGACAGAATGCCAAGGGAAGCAAGATCACTGGGATACAAGCGACGTACTGGCCACCTGGCAGCGACAGCGGAGATGTGAAGCTTTTGGTCTCAAGTAACGACTCCAGGATACGGATCTACAACTGCAGAGATAAGAGCCTGGAAATGAAGTTTAGGGGCCATGAGAACAACTGTAGTCAGATCCGTGCCACCTTCGCCGATGATACCGGCTACATCATTTGCGGGAGCGAGGACCGCAAGGCGTACATATGGTCGACTACTACGCCAGAAGGCGATAGGAGGAATCAGCGGCCTATGGAGACGTTCGAAGCTCACAGTTCTATTACGACATGCGCTATAATGGCTCCACTCAAGACAAGGCAGCTGCTGAGCTCTTCGGAGGATCCCATCTTTGACCTGTGCAATCCTCCGCCGGTAACGTTGGTTTCCCGCGAAGAGTCAGCCAATGGATCCAAGGCGCCTACTGAGGCGGGGTCTGCACTGCCTACACCAGCCGAGTCCACCTTTACGAGAGTCGCCGAGAGTCCAGCGTATCTTGCCAGATCCGCGCATCCAGACGGTAATATTATCGTTACGGCCGATTATACCGGGTCTATCAAGGTCTTCCGGCAGGATTGCGCGTACGCTAAACGAATGCGTGCCACGGATAACTGGGATACCTCGTCCGTCTTTTCCAAGCGGACGGGCCCAAAAATCGGTCGGCCAAGTAGCATCCTGTCCCGTACCACCGGACGAACGAGGAGAGACAGCACCTCCACGCAACCTCCCAATGAGCGTATCATGTCCTGGCGGCAAGAGCTGTCACATGGTAGCTTCGACTCCGTCAGCGCACCCGGCCCCAGAGGAAGTGTTGGCCGCAGCATGTCACCTCGCAAATCAGTGAAACGAACTAGCATCACCTCAATCCAGCCTTCCTATTCTCCCGCTCTGGGCCCTACACTTACAACCGACACCATCAACTCAGGCCCAACCGGCACTCCTAAGACCTCCATATCCGTGGACCACACTCCAGCACTGAGCAAGACCGCGTCTGAAGCATCCACTCCGCCGCGCGGCCGCAATCCCTCGCAAGCATCAACCTTCGACCCCGTCAAGCCTGTCGATGCCAAGCGCCAGGACGGGGCCAATCCGCTCCACGTCTACAACGGCCAGTCGTGGGCTTTCTGGAATAACTATACATTGCGCGAGCGGACGGTGCAGAGCGGTTCGCTAGGGCCTGCAGATGGGAAAGATTTGAGGCCCGATTTGCTACCGCGGGCGAGCGTTGTGAGCAAATTGAGCAGCGAGCTAGCGAGCGAGGACGGCGAAGCCGGCGGAAGTGGCGAAGGTGAAGAAGAAGAAAACTGTAGACAGTGCGGTGGGACGGAGTTTAAGGTTAGAGTAAGGGGATTAGGCGGGAAGGAAGAGAGAGTGCTGGTTTGTGGGAAGTGTGGCGCTGCTGCACGGTAGCTATCAACGGCCAGATTCGGAGTTTATGCATGGGATGGCATGGGATGGGATGTATGAGTATGTATGATGCATCTGAGGTTTGCATTGCCGCGCGGTTGGGTTTGGATATACACATACACGGGCATGGCGCTTGGGAGAAAAGGGTGGGCAGTCTGCGTCAAAGGCACCGCACCTGCAGCTATTAACGTATACATATACGCTTAGTCTAATACAAACAACCACCTACTAGCATCATCTCACCACCGTCGGCCCCTCATCTCCCCCTCCATTGCTCTCCCCACATCTAGCGCCACTAAAACCTGACTCACGCAGTTAGTTATACGCCGCGACCGTTGCCGTGATCTCCACAACCTGCTTGGCACTAAAACGCTTCTTCAGTCTATCAAACACGGCATAGGAAACGCTGACGTCTAGCGTCATGGCGTCTGCGTACACTATTACGACGCTGTGGGGTTCGTCGAAGATGGTAGTGCTGGTGGTGATGGCGTCACATAGCGGTAAGGTTAGGATGGATTGAAAGTGTTCTTGCGTTATTCCTGGTGGGGTGGCGTGCGATAGGGGCGCGTTGGTGCTCCACTCATGTGCTGGTTGCTGGCCGTTGAAGATTGGGAGGGAAGACAAGATGGTTCTGGGGGTGTGTGTGTGGGTTCCGAGGGCGGATTCCGTTCGGAAATGTTTCCGAGGTAGTCGCGTGTCCTGGGGCCAATCAGAAGGCGTCGCTTGCAGCCGCTGCTCCGTATTAATCCACAAACCTCGACCCCGTGTCTTTCGAAGCCATCGCTTGCGTTCGGCGGAATAGGTATACATATCATGGCGCCTCCGAAACCCCAACCAAAAGCGACCAAGAAGCCCGCCCCGAAAACACCACAGAAAGTAAAACAACAATCGAAAGCAAGTACTGAGCCCATCACCTCGACGATTCCACTGGAGCTGCAACAACTTCTGCTCAACATCTTCAAAAATGCGTTTTCACAATGCTTTGAGTCAGATATCAAACCGTTACTCCAGGAGGTCAAAGGACATCTGTATAATCGCGACTTCTTGGCTGCGTTTGGGAAGGACGAGTACTTGGAGGCGTATGCGGCGAGATGGAGTCCCAGCAGGGCTTTGGGGTATCTGCAGGTTCTAGACGAGCTGGGGGCGGATTGGGACGCCTATGAGAGGGGTGCTGGCGAAGACAATGAAGACAAGAGGTGGAAGACCGTGTGCCTTGGAGGAGGAGCGGGCGCGGAGATCGTGGCGCTCGCCGGGCCCATGAGTATGCGTGGATCCTCCGCGGGGGATGAAGAGGCCGGAAAGGGAACGATGGAAGTCGTAGCTATCGATATAGCCAACTGGTCCCCCGTCGTAGAGAAGCTGCACCAGCACATCACCACCGCGCCACCACTCTCGAAATACGCATCCGCCGCCGCGCAATCCGCCAACGCGCCGCTCGTCCATCCCACAGCCTTCACCGTCTCCTTCCACCAACACGACATCCTCACCACGCCCTTCGCCACACTCTCCTCCCTCCTCCAGAACGCCCACCTCGTCACCCTAATGTTCACCCTCAACGAACTGTACTCCGCCTCCCTCGCCCTCACGCAAACCTTCTTGCTCAATCTCACCACCTGCCTCACTCCAGGCGCGCTTCTCCTCGTCGTCGACAGCCCGGGGAGCTACTCGACTGTGAGTCTGAATGGTGCGGAGAAGAAGTATCCCATGCAGTGGCTGCTCGATCATACGCTGCTGAAGAAGGGTGCGAGGGATGAGGGGGGAGATGTAGCGTGGGAGAAGGTTAGGGAGGATGGGAGTAGGTGGTTTAGGTTGGGTGACGGGCTGCGGTATCCGATTGAGCTGGAGAATATGCGGTTTCAGATGCATTTGTACAGGAGGTTGGGTTGAGGGTTATGGTTTAGTGCTGCTTCGGCGGGAAATCGGACGGTGTACAAGGTCTCCAAGAAGCTCGCTGAAGGCCAATTACCTATGATACCCCATGCGTATGCACGTCTAGCAGAAAATCTTTAATCCTCCAAGCAAAGTAAGGAAGCTAATCGATGTTGCCGGAGGAGGAGGGCCTGGGCTCCAGCATTCCAGTGTTGTGTAACGTAGCCGGACGAAAACATTCATGCCGCCAGCTAGAACACCCCTCGCTATCCCAACACAGACCGAGTGACTCCCCATGCTTCCTCGAGTCACAGCCCTCCCAACCCCCATCACCAACTCGCACAAGCCACTCACGCCCAGCATGTGCCTCCCCTCCCTCTTCCTCTGCTTCCGCCGCCACAACCGCGCTAAAACATCCGACCCGACGAAATACACCACCGACGCCATCCCACCCATGCCGCTCAAAACTAACGAAAAGGGAGAATACATCCGCGAAAAACCGTGGAGTAGTGGGGGAATCAAGGGACGCGAAGTGTTAGCCAGAGCGGTAAGGAGATTTCCCTGCATGAGGAAGAGAGTGCTGATGTTTGAAGCAAGGAAAGGGACCCAGGACTTAGGGACTTGCTACACCATTTGTTGGATGGCGGCGGGGAGGGCGAGTGCAGAGGATGGGGAGGAAGTAGGAGAGGGAAGGGTGGAGCACCGTTGGTGTTGGGTTCTGTTATGGGGTAGCCATGTAAGGCTACTCGTTATGCTTGCGCATTGCGATGGGGCTCTGCAAAGCTGTTGTTAGGGCTCTTCAGCTCGCTGAGTAAGGGGTTGGGTCCTAAGTGAAGTATACACATATGGTCAAAACGAATCACTTTTTGTCCAATCCTAGGGGGCTATTTACATCCGCCTTGTACCGCTACAACCACGCCATCTTCCGCCTTAACGCTAGAAGCTATGGCTATACTCCCCATTCAAGCTAATCGGTCCTTGAATCGCACTCGCTCTGCTCGACTGTTCATACTGCTGCGTCTCGTTTCCGGACGCGTTCCCTCCCAACACAGTAATATTCTTAATCGCCGCATCGGTCTGGTAGCCGAAAGTGCCCGTCATCTTGAACAGCCCATTATCGTAGCTAAAGTTTATCTCCGACGTAGCGTCCTGCACAAGTGCATCACCTTCATCGAGATACAGCGAGCCGACGGCCTGGTTCGAAGCATTCGGCGCGATCCAGATGACGAAGTCTTGCTTGCGGAGCTCCGTTGTGGTATTAGCTGACTCGGCTCGTAGAGGAATGATAGAGCCGCCGCGGATGTGTAGCGGGATGGACGTGAACGGGATATCCGTCAGCTGGATCCAACTCCCACTCCCTTGGATTCTCTCATGCGTCCAGTAGTCGTAGAAGATCTCGTTCGGCAGGTAAATCGAGACATCTGTTCCGTTCTCCTCAGTCACTGGGCTGACCAAGACGTCGTCGCCGTAGAAGAACTGATGCTGGATAGCAAACGCATTCTCGTCCTCGGGATAATGGAAGAACAGAGGATTGAGCATAGGCAACCCGCTAGTAGATTGTCGGTGTAAATGCGTGTATATGTAATCGAGCAAGCGATACCTGACGCTGATAGCATTGCGAGCGGCTTCAGCGACAGTGGGCCAGATGTAAAATTCTTGCTGAATGGAGTCGAGGCCAGCGTGGTTGCGGTAGAAGGGATAAAAGGCACCGAGCGTGGCCCATCGTGCGCAAAGAGGTTCGGTAGCATTGTTTCCAAACCCGCACACGTCGGCGCCGACCATGGGAAGTTGGAAGAGCGCGGCAAATTCGAGGATGTTGGCTATGCTGATACGGTAATGGTCCCAGATAGACAGATTGTCTCCAAGCCACTTCCCTACGTGACTACCCGCCCCTGCGAACTGTGGACGATCAGCGAGACAGGCAAGAGGTGGTGAACAAGGCGGGGGCTTACAGTAGACCGAGTAATGATCAAAGGACGCCTGTTCGGTCGTCGAGCAAGCAATGCGTTCCTGGAAGCAATCGACATCATCAGTCCGTAAAGGTTGTGCGTATCATACTGATGCGTTCCATCATAGTTCTGAATATCGGTTGGAAGGGTCAAGTTGCTGATTGAGCCAGCAGCGTTATGGATCTCGTATTGCGGGTTGATGAGATCTCGGCCGGGGAGGCCGGTGGGAGTGTCTCCCCGATCAGAGTGCCGTGCGTGAAGAGAGCGTTTCGATTGCCCTGGTGGCTGGAAGTCGGCTGGAAAGCCGGGGATAATGCGGCCTGAATTGTTACGGACCGGTGGCGGCTCGGGTGGATTTCCTGCCTCTTCGGCAAAGCCTGGTCCTCTGTTAACAATACGAAGAATGACTGGGAAGGAGTTACTAACCTTGGGGATCCGCACAAGGGTACGGACAGAAATTCGCTGGTTCGTTCATATCGATCCACAACGCATCGATATCAACGCCTGTCTCCGGATCGAAGAACTGAAGGAACTCATTGTTCCAGTACTGCTGAGTGCTTGGGTGGAACCAATCAGGGAAAACCGTAGGACCAGGCCATACCACGCCAGTATAAATCGACCCGTTTGGATTCTTCTGAAAGATGTCGAGATCGACGCCATTGTTGTAGGCTTCGTAGTCGAGTGCCGCCACGGCTGGATCGACCATGACGACGTAGTGCTGTTGGTGAGCGTGGAGGTAGTCGACCAACTCGCGGACCATGTGGAGTGGGAACCTTTCCGGATCGAGAGTGAAGACCCGTCTAAGGTCCATGTAATCGATATCCGTCCACATAGTCTAGGCTTGTCAGCAATCCGCATATTCAGGACTCTCTAAATGGTAAACTTGCCTCCAGCGGAATATTCGCTTGCGAATAATTGGCCACAACTTCCGCGACCATGAACACATCTCTGTAGCCATACTTGCACTGATGGAAACCAAAACCTGGAGGAACGTAAGTGAGGAGATCAGATGAGATGATATTCGCGATTTACCCCAGTAAGGCTGCATAACGGGCGTGCCTGCAACCTCTGCATATTGGACGCTGACGTCTTTCGGTGTCGGCCCGGCAAGGAAGTATAGATCTATGATTCCACCAAGGGCATTGTACTCCAGATACTGCCCGTCAGTGTTATCGATCCTGATGTCCATGCCATTTGAATTGAGCAAGAAGACGCCATGAGTGCCAGAAGAGCCCCGGTGGTCGAAGTAAATGGGGTGATCGCCATATAGGTTGGTGCCGTTAGGCGTACCGTAGGCATCTCGATTCCAGAGCTGTTCCACGTCAGCGTTCGGCCAGAGTGTAGAATTGCACTTACTTACCGTCCTCGTATAATTCGTAGTATTCAACTGAAACGGATCCGTATGTTCTCCCAACCCATAGAGATGCGGAGAATCCGGCAGCCCCGTCCTCAGTCTCAGATACTGACTTTCAAATACCAGACTAGCAGCCGAAGAATCAAACAACGTCTCGTTCGTGCTCTTCCTCGTCACAGCGAAAGAAAACGGGCTCTCTGTCCATGAGAAAGCAAGCGCGGAATCCGACGGGTCGACGTCTTCGCTTGATGGCCTTGGGAAGACCGATTCCGAGACTTGGTAGATTTGCTCTTCCGCATCATAGATCTTAACGTGTAGGCGGCTTTCTAGGTGCTCGTTAGAAACCTCTTGAAATTCTCCCCAATTGCCTGACGAGTGGTAAAGGGACTCACCGGACTGATACTCTACCTCCAACTTCAAGTCCGTCAAATCCTCGCCATAAACATTGCACGGTGGCTCAGCAAGGGTTAAATCTGCCATAACCCTGGCCCCATCATCCTGGACATTACTCGCCGCATACCCAGGACAGCTATCCAGAGAAGAAGCCTGACGTCGGACCAAGACGCTACCAAAAGCGGGCCCAGCTAGTCCCAAAAAGACAGGTGCTCTGAACAACATTGTGACGCACCTTCTTTACCAACGATGCAGTTTTCCAGTTTGCCTCTCTCATGACCTGCTCCGAGGTATACTTATACCTGGGGAAAATCTCGTGTACACCGGGTCACCTCATGATGCAACTCCCCAGTCCAGCGCAGTGAGACGCTAGCATTCCCGCCAGTCAGGATGCATCTGACTGGGCTGTGCCGTCCTAGGTAGGTAACAAGCCTTGCCTCCCCGCAATTTGTAGCGTCATTGCTGGGGTTTGTTAGCTTGGCCCTGGCCATTCGTCCCGACGTTTCCTGGAAAGAAGAGAATAGTGCATGAGTTTGTCAGCCGAATGCCGTATGAGGCTGATGCTATTTGTCCGAAGTCGGTCCGACACGGGACATAGCGAAATGGGCCAGGCAGTGAGAGCGGAGACTTGCGTCCAGCTTGCAACTGCACCCGCCTATTCATGCTAGTACTTTTACTTTAAGCAATCGATTCAGGTTGAAGGTTACGTAGGCCGCGGTGCACACTCTAGCATGTCTAACTGTGCAAAGCTTCTCTTGAGGACCGTTGGCAGGTAAAGACTCAAGACATGGCAGAGGGTTTCCCCTTTATCTAAGAGATTTGGTAAGTGTACCGGCACCTTTCAATGTTCTCTACGCTATTATACTATCCGGATGCAATTCATGCTCGCCTTCATCAGAAGCCTCCTGGATCTCCACAACCGCAGTTTCGATAGGAGCACTCTGTGTTGAGGGGCTCTTTACCAGCGGCAATTGGCTTATGGGCGGTGGTAATCTCAGTGGTGGCGGCGGCGACGGGGGCGGCGGTGGGGGCTCTGGCATAGGCCACATATGCATGGTGATACACCAGTCAGGCTGCACTATATTCTCCCACACCTGAGGGAGAATGATCTCGCCATCAGCAACAAGATCATAATGCCCTTCTTGAACATGAGGGCCAATGACGTCCACATGAAGAAAGGCCTGCTTGATTAATTCTTCCATGCCCTATCATTACGCGTTAGCATCCCCTCGCTCTATGTGCGCGCGGAGACCCACCTTCCAGGTCCGGCAGAGGCGCCAAGGGAAACTGAACTTCCTCCCTACAGCGTCTTTGAATTTGATAGGCGGAGTTGTGTCTCGTTGTGTGTTGGTCCCGCAAATGGAGTCAAGAAGGCGTAAGAAGGTCTCTCGATCTGTGGCCTCTAACTGATTGTCGCCCACGGATACGAGAGTCCGCAGGAGCATAGAGACCTCTTTGATCTTCTCTTCTCTACTTTGCCGGTCTGCTATGATGGAGACCAGCTCGGTAGACGAGAAAGACGACAAGCGGAAGATCGACGACGCAGAAGAAATATTGGTAGATTTCACCGAGCTGCCTTCGCCGGTGGACGAGGCAGTCTCGTGGTCCGTAGGTGATAAGTCTTCCAGAATGACTTCGGAAGACGTAGACTCGGATACACCGTACACCTCACCAGAAGGCCTCGGTCCAGAAGTCGTATCACTCGATTGCCTCACTGTTCCATGAGCCCTTGTGTCCGGACGGGAACTACTGGTCCCCAGATATCGAGTAGCCGCATCATCGGTATCTCTCCAGGCAGGTCAGCGTTTCGGAAACAAAGCCAACAATGATCAAGCCTTACAGATTCGCAGCCGCAAGGAGTACACCCAATGCCGTTAGTCTCGCATGCAGCGTTTCCCTCAGCTTCTTCATATCTTCAGCCTTGAATAGCGACCAACCAAGCTTCCGCCACCCAGCTGCAAGCCCACCATGCGAGCCCAGACCTCCGAGCCTGCGATCATACTTCTTTGTCCTATCCAAAAACGACTGAATAATATCCATGGAGCCCATAATTATGCATGAGGCCGATTCAAACGTAGGGCGCGGAAAATTCTTGTTGGAGCCTAGACAGCTGACGCGAATGAATGCTTGCTGAACACATCCCAACTCTTCGATTGCGGCGCGGTATTCTTCGCCCGCATCTTGGCTACCGTGAAGCGCTTTGATAAGACGGTAAGTTACGTTAGCTGCGCCGATGAGATCGCCCACAGAAAATCCGAAAGACATATTGTGAGAGTTTGATGATGGAGAAACGGGAGCGAGGCATTGAGATATACTGGCGTGACTGGTACACCGGTGTGGCTGTGCTGCCGGATGTCGCTAGTCCGCCTTGTCCACCTTGTCAGCCGGCGCAAGAGCACACATCTGGAAGCCGAAACACGGTAGGCATGTGTTTATGAGGCCCAAGTACTTTATATAGATAGCGGCTGGGGATGCAAAACCCATCCAAGAGGCCTTCAGCTGTCAATGAAATTAGCGTTGGAGCATCACTGGTTAGTGCAGCTCGTCGCTTTCCCTCAAATATTCCAAGGTAGTTTCGCATTTGGCCTTTTGATGGGAAGGCTGTTCGTCAAAAAGAGCTGTATACTGGAAGAACAGTTTGCGACTAAAAGCAGTAAGTATCCAATCCAGATAGTTAGAACACAACGGGTGCGAATGCTCGCCAGCCCAAGTATTATCGATTTCGCTCCTGTGCGTATCAAAGTCGGTATTAAGCTTCCACCTCAGTCTCCTCACCATCTACTCCACGCGGTACCTCGTGTAGAAACCGTCTACTGAGCCTTGGTTCGCATAATCTTGCTCCTCTGCTTCAACATATGCGTGAAAAGAGTGTAGAATCCCGGGATGTACGTAGCCAGAATACCATACAGCGCGTATCCGTACTTTTCGTCCATCTTAGAAGCGGGAGGAATGGCGCGGTAGATGAGCCACGTTTCGCTAGCGACGCCAAGCGGATAGAGAACGAGGAAGGTGTTGTATCTAGGAGAGCATTAGCCCATCGGCTCCGGTATGTCGTGTGAGCGGGCCATGAGAAGCATACCGTAGCCACGTCCACAGCCGCGGGACACCCATTCCACCAAGCACGAAGACAAAGTATGAGTACCGAATGACTTCGGTGACGCTCCAAGCCACGAGCATCGAGCTGTACGCAGGCGAATACTTGGTCGTTTGCGGGAAATTATACGCGATGCCCCAGACGAGCAGAAAGCGCGAAGCGACTTGCATCAGCGTCGTGAGGAGTGGTGCTCGGACGATGCCTGATACCATATTGTCAGCCATCCAAGTTTATGAGCGGCCTCGCCTACAAGCTCCCCAGCGCTAGAAGCAGCACCCCAATTCCGAGCAGCATCTCCACGCACCCTCCTACCACTCTCACCATTCCCCCCAAACGGACTGTAAAAAAAGACTTACCCAACACACTATGCAACACCTCCAACCCCGCCAAACTCTGCGTAAGCCGACACACCTTCTCCGTCCCCTCATACACCTTCCCACTCTCCAGCCCGTCCATCCACCCAATCATAACCACCCTCGCCAGCACGCCCAGCCAAAGCATCGCCGACACCCAATTGTAAGCCTGCAGATACATGTTCTTGATGCCTCCGCCCGGCGACGGCGGCGGTTTGGAGGTGGATTTTGGCGGCATTGTCGTTGTTGTTGCAAGACCTGACAGAAGGTGGAAGGTTGGGGGAAAGGAAGAGGGATCGAGGAGGATGGATGGACGGGAGATATCTTTCGGCGATGGTCGGGAATGTTGTTGAGCTCGGCAGTGAGATTTTTGGGAGCGAGCAGAGCTCAACGCGTGCCTGGATGCTTGGCGCAGGGGTCTGGTTGTTAGCCCCGCTAAACTCCGTGCTATGATCTCATTCTGCACCTTCAAGTACTATTATTTCGAAAGCCTGAATTTTGAGGCTGGGAGGACTGTTGGTTCCATTAAAGGCCTTCATGAGTGGCAAAGATCTCACAGGTTATAAGCTTCAAAACATATCGTAAAGATTGCTTAAAATATATAGTCCGTGCTTTTCCTCGTGCTTCCCATGAGATCCCCAAAAGATTATATCACCTTCTAGAGTTGCCGGGCGCTGTTATCATTGCCGCGCCATGAACCCTACCGAACCCAGTGAACACCGGGGCTATGCAAATCAACACCGCCAGGGGGAGTGTATACTCCTTCTCATGCGAAGGAGGGGCCATATGATGGACTGGGAAGTCTCGTGAAATGCTGAGGAGAGGAAAACCGGTGATGCATGGATATAGGGTATCGTTGATAATTCCGCCCAAATGACCCAGTGACAAAGGAAATGTAGGACACTCCCAAGAAACTACCAGCTGAGTTGGTGTCGTAGAACCGTGAGCAGTGAGGCTGTCATAGGAAGATCTGAGTCATGGCGGCGCGGTTGGAGACGCGCTTTTGGCAGCCTTCGACTACGCACTCTTTGAAGGGCTTTGTGCGGAGAGAGGGCTGCTTCTCCTTGCCCTTTGCGCTCTTCTTAAGAGATCGGTTGGCAGTGCACTCGCCACAATAGACCTAGCAACGATTAGCATCGCTTCTGTAGAATACAAAGGAGGATACGTACGTGACCGCAGTTCTTAACAATCCACACCTGCTTCTTCAGCTCCGACTCTCCAACGCACAACTCGTCCTCGCAATTCGGGCATACCAACACATCCTTCTCTTCCGGGCTCCTTGTGAATCCTTGTGGGGCTTTCTCAGGTGCATCATACGTCGGCGGTGACGGCGCCGGCCCGTCGTTTTCATTCTCGTGATTGAATCCCAAGTTGAAGCCCACCACATTAAAGTTCAGGTCCGGTGGCAAGAAGCCCAAGAAGCCCTGGTGAATATGTCCTCGACGATTCCGAGGCGGCGGGATAGGTCCAGCACGGCGTATACGTTGCATTACGCGATCCACTGTAGCTTGTCGCTGACGCTCAGCGTTTGCCCGACGTTCGATTCGTGCTCGGAGATGATTGACCTCGCCGAGCTCCGGGTCGTCGAGGAGGCCGAGCATGAAGTCGAAGTTGGCGGGCCTTCTTCTTTGCGACTCAGGCAGCGTATTCTCGCCGACAAACTCGACCTCGTCCTCATCTGAGTTGTTTCGGCTAAAGGTAGGCGGGTCCTGGCGTCGTGGCGGGTCTATCGGACGAGACGATATGAACTCGATCTCCGGCGAGCCCGACGGTGCAGCTGCTCTGCGTGCATCCTCCTGCTCCACATCAATTATGATATCTCGCCCAAAGCGTGGCGGACGGGGGGCCCGACCGCTGGTGCGCTGGCGGTCACTTGGCGGCCCTGAGGGCCCCGCATCGTCGTGGGTGAGGTCTATGACGTTCGCCGAAGTGACTGGTCGTCGGAAATCGAAGCCGTCGCCTGGATATCGTCGCGGAGGCCCAGAAGGCATGCTGTTGAGGCGAGGGAGGTGGAGGCCGGAGAGCTGTGGGTGGGAAGCGCTGGCGGAGCGCTCGCGAGAGGACAGGCCGGTGAAATTGCTCCAAGTCGGCGACGACGAGCCCTCAAGTTCCATTTGGGCATGGGAGCGCTGTGGCAGAGTTTGTCAGCAAAGAACAGGGCCATAAACGGCGGCGCCGCGTGCGTTGACGGGGCGCGAACTGACCTTCTGTCTGTGCGTGTAACCAAACGGCAGCTCGTCGCTAGCCATGCTCTGCGCCGTCGAGGCTGACTGCCGAGGGGAAGCGGGAAAGGGGCAAGGCGGTGGAGAGGAGGAGAGAAGTCGTGAGGTCGGGAGAGAGGAGGCGGCTCGGCAGGCGCTCCGAGAAGCGTCGCTGTGGGTGGCAAGGATGAGGTCTTGAGCCGCAAACCTCGCGATTCGGAAGCACGGTCTGGATCCGACATTCACTATCCCCACCCGATCACCTGCAAACACGCATTCACTGCGGCTGATGCCTAGTCTTCTTTCTGCATTCCTTCACCGCGCTCTGCTCTTTCCACCATGAATCAACCCCGCCAGTCAAAGCATGACGCCAAGAAGCGCTTCGTCTAGCAAAAGGAACGTGATGGTGCGTCTGGAAGAATTCCGTGGGTTGCACGGATACTTGAAATAGGTAATATGTGTTACATTTCCAGTGATACTATGCCCTCGCGTCGAAGGCACTCAGCCGCTAAATAGTCTTCGTCCCATATCCAGTCCGTATCCGTCTTTTGGCCCAATCCGCCAAATAAACAAGTGGCGCCAGCAGCCGACCATCTCTTGCAAACGCAGGAGATCGACCCAATCCCGCCCGAAACAGTTCATTGTCCCGGAACTTTCTAGCTTGATGTTGTACTGTATGCCTTGTCCTCCATATCTGGCCCCTCATGCTGCGCTCAAGACGCTCAGTCCACCCTCCGGAGTTAGCGCAACCAGGGACAAGGCACTCGCACCCCAAGCAACGTCCCTTGCAGGCACCGCTTTCCGCACAGGCTCCGACCAGCTCTTCGAAGCCTTGGTGTACTGTTGCACAGACACGCTTCCAGGCCCGGCGGTCGCCAGGAACTGACCAGTGTAGTCCCAGTGAATGCTGTCGATCGGACCACCAACGTCAAGCACCTTGATGGGCGCCTGCTTTCGTAGATCCCACACCGACACGCTGTTCGAGCCCTTCTCCGCTACCGCAAACCAGGTTCCATTTTCCGAGAACGAGATGGCGCGGACGGGGCCGCTAGTCTCTAGGACAGCCATGGATGCGCCGGTCTTGACGTCGAAGATGCGGATGTTGCCGTCGAGACCGCCGGTGAAGAAGAGCATGCCGTCCACATGGAAGGCGCAGCAGGTAATCTCTGCTTCCGTGTAGACCTGCGAGACCGATTCGAAGGTCGAAAGATCGTAGAACATAAACCGCTTGTCCGCTCCGGCTGATGCCAGGATAGCTCCGCTTGGATGAAGCGATATCGACGTTACGGCCCCAGCATGTGATCCCATCTGCGCAAGCTCCTCTCCATTTTCGAATATCTTAACTACGCCAGCCGATGTCGCAACAACGGCTTTGGATTCCCACCACGTCGCCGTGGTCACTGGAGCTCCACACTTCAGAGTATGAACCACCTTTTGCTGTGATATCGAGTAGACGCTGGCAACGCCGTCTGTTCCTCCAAATAAGGCAAGGCCGCCAGTCTGGTCGACGGAAACTGCGCTGCTGCCCGGATAGAGAGGCTCGCTTGACGTAGTAACGTCGAATGCTGTGATGTCGTCGCCTGTAGCCCAGCCTTCAGGAATAGGTCGCTTGCGCCGAGTCGCGAATAGCCTGCGCGGGGGTCAGGATTAGACTTCAAAGTTCTACACGTATATACATACTGTTGCTGCGTCTCATCGACCATGGTTGCAAGCTCCTCCGGCAGGGCCTGGCCATCAACCTGCATCGCATCCCCATTGGCAGCCGCGCCCTTTCCAGTCACCGTCACATTCGACAGTGCCTCTCGCGCCTCATCTCTCTCGCGCGTCAACCTCGCAATAACACGCGTCGCCGCATCGTTCTGATACAGCGCCGTGCTAAGCTCCTGCCGCGTCTGCGCCAGCTGCTGCTTTAGCGTGAATGTCTCCAGCACAATAGCATCCCACTCATTCTGGAACGCGCTCAACAGTGAAGGTATCGAGGTGAGATTCGGGGGTCGGGGGTTCACGATTCGCGGCGACTTGAGCTCGATGAGGTCCTCGACGGAGAGGTCTTCGCCTGTGACGGGATCGGTGTGGTGTTCGGCGAGGTGGGCCTCGATTAGGCGCTTTTCGAAGACGTTCCCACTTTTGCGCGAGGCTACGGGCACCTGGGGAGCTTCTCCGGAGATTGCGCACAGCATGGTGGTGAGTCGGGCGTTGTTGTGGGGATTGTGCTGCCTTCTGGAGCTTCTGTCGCGAAATCTTAGATTCAGAGACGCTAATCTGAATTAGGCAAAGCTTCTCTTCGAGATCACGTGCAGTGCCAATTCACTCCCTTAGAGGCACTCCAGCGATCTCAATGGGTCTCGCCGTGGAAATCCGCATGTCAGACGCGTAAAGAAGCTAGGAAATTAGATTGCGAAATATAACGCGCCTCGCAGTACTACAATGTGGATATCTCTATATCATGGAAGCGCGATTTGCATACTTATTCCTCCGGACAAGCATGGGCAATATTACTACATTATGCATCATGCCATGTACCATGAAAAGTTTCCCTACTACAGCTACAGTCATCAGAATCCAGGCTCCTTAACCGAACCGAGTCACTACTTCCGCGAGGAAAAGCGCCACGCACAGCAAGGCCCAAGTAACAACCACATTACCTGCAGCGCCTGTATTAGAAGGCGATGCAGGATTCGTCCCAGCTTCCGTCTGGCTGTCACTCACAGCTGAATGACGTGAATGCGTAGTCGTGGCACTCGCAGTCACCGCACTCGAGACCCCAGCTGTTCCCGCAATTAGCACTGTACTCCCCTCACTGTTCGTCGTGAGAATATACGTCGTCCCAGAAACTGTCAATGCCGGGCCACCAAAGGACAGCGTCTTGCCTCCAATCATGAACTGCGTTAATGAGTTCGCTGTGAGCGTCGTCCCATCGAGCGTTATCACCAACGGAGCGGTGGTCTGAGAACCGGCTGTCAGAGGGATGGTGGATCCGTCTACGACAATTTGCGTGCCGCCGACCGCTAGGCTCAGAGTCGTGCCATCCACAATGATGCTGCTGCCAGGGAGGAGCGTCAGGGATCCTACGACGATAGGGCTGGTTGGTGCAGCGGTAATTATCTGGCCGTCGACCGTAAGCAGGACAGGAGAGGCAGTTGACTCTGCAGGAGCAGCCGATGGGAGGTTGACAGTTGATGTGTAATCGATGATTACCTGGGTAGCCTGGGGATCGAGGGCGATCTGGGTTCCTCCAACTACAGTGGTCTGACCGTTTGGCAGTGTACTTGTTGTACCGCCTATTGTGATAACGCCGCCGGGGGTGAGCGTCTGTGTGCCGACAATGACGACTGTCCCCGAGGGTTGTGGGGAAGGGGTCGGATTCTGGGGATTGAGATCATTCTGGGGTGGAGAAACAACGGTCGGAACGAGCGTGACCAATGATGTAGGATTGTTTGGTTGATTAAGATCTGCAGGATCGGGCTGCGGATTGAGTGTTATAACAGGGTTGCTTGGACTATTTGGGTTTGGCTGGGTATTGCCCGGTGCGGAAGGTGGTGGAGTGATGACGATAGTAGATGATGATCCGGGCCGAGGGGCGGGATCGTTCGATGATTGAGGCTGGCCGGAGGGAGGAGGTGGGGTTGGTTGTTGTGGTGTAGGTTGGGGAATATCGTTCACACTTGAAGCTGGCGAATCGCGAGTCTCTGCAGGAGAACTGGGCTCCGGATCGGGAGTTTGCTCCGGCAAGGATGGTGGCCTTGCGGTTGCACTCGGCGCAACTGCGCAGGTGGCGGTACATATTAGCATATGTCTTGGCTTTCAACAGACAGGAGTGAGCAGCATATTATGCTCAAGACCCGTGCTTGGCCCCTTGAATGCGATCAAGAATGGCTCTTCGAGGCCATACTAAGAAACGCTAGTATATGCGCATGAAATACGTACCTGGCGTAGCCCCTCCTTGGGTTGGGCTTGCCGTGGTCGGGACCAGGATCGGTGCTTGTTGAAGCGTCTTTGGTGGGTCGTAGAAACCACCGTTGTACGCCGTACCACATTCATTCCATTCTGCTTGGAGCTGATTTATTCTAGTCGGAATGGCAATAACAGGATGACAGGGGTCTGCTTCGATCAGTACTGAAAGTGATACAGATACTCCATTTTAAAGCCAGATGAACTTTAAATGAAGTCTGATAATGAAGTTTGCACTTACCACCTGCCGCCCAAGAGGATGGATTATTCGTGAAGTAGTAATAGCCTTCCAATGTCGAGCCTAAAAAAGGATTCAAAAGTTAGCACAGGGGCTAGTAGGATGAGGCTGGCTATCTTTGCTACTCCTTCCAGGATGTCAACTTGAGGCGGTGCCCCGGGTCCCATGTTAAAGGTTTGCTTACAATTTTGAACCACGTCTGACATTGTTAGAGGCTGAGGAGGTGGAAAAGCTGTTTCTCTGTATGTCACCTCCCCGACGACTCCATTATCATACGTTGGTGTTACAATGCATTCCGCTGTCGTCTCGTGGGGCAGAACGCTGCTAATTTCCGTGGGATCAAAAGCCATTGTTGTGTTGAAGACCGGAGTACCCACAGGCCCACATCGGTTATGGCCACCCAGAGAAGTAAAGCCGATGTAGATGCTGGGGGAGGTAAACGTGAAGCCGGACTCGTCCACATATATTCCAGGGCCATCTACTAGGAGACCTGAAGCAGCGGCTGTTGCATTGGGTAAGAGACCGGTGACTATGGGTGTTGCAGCTTCGGCGGTTTCCGGCCAGAAGAAAAGCTGGACTGTTGCGGCCCGAAGAGTACATTGACCGCAACAAGGAGGCTTCGGTGTAACGGCCTGAGGAGGGTCAAGGGTAAACGTGTATGTTTCGGTCCAAGTCGTTTGCGATACTACGACGTCGCTCAAGCTTCCACTTCCGGGGAACCCCTGAAACATGATCCGCGTACTGGTGGTCCACACCGTAGTGCTTGCGTCCAGGAAGCTCTGAATCGCACTCGAGTCTGCGCCACCGCAATATGTACGCAGACAGCCATCTGCCAGGTTGTACCAATTCGCATCTACGGCCCATGAAGACGCTTCTTGGCAAGCAGTCGTGAAAGTCATGAATTCAACTAGGTAGTCAAACGGATAGGTCGTGGGACAAGTGCCATTGGAGCTCGAACGGGCCGTTGAAGGAAAGCCAGTGATTGTCGCTGTGCTACCGTTGACCGTTGAGGTCGGCGTCGATATCGAAGATGTACTGGGTGCAACGGTAGAATTCGAGAAAGCTGGAAGAAACCGTATAAGTATTCATTCATCCCCTAAGTGTTGAAAAGGTACTTTTTCAAGGAGCGATTCCGTGCTCAGGCTTTATGGAACAACAGAGGGCGGAGCAGAGCCGTGACATAGTTGCTCTCTCCTCTGCTGAAACAAGAACTGGAATTCTACGTACCTTGGCGAGGAAAGGCCTCATGATGAGGCATCGAATGCGCAAAGGACGACAGGAAAACAGGCAGAAAGGGTATCAATCGGAAAGAACAAAACCCACACGCCATATTCCCTCAGTTCTAACGGTGCTGGAGCCGAAAACCTCACGGCATCGCTGTGGCCGACGCCGGGGTATTAAGGCAGGTCCCGGAACTTGCATCGTGCTACGGACACGCTTCTGGGAAATGTGCAGGACATGGACATTGCAGGAGTTGGCGGCCCACCGATTGGTCGTATTTGAGCGTTGAGCGGCGCGGGCGAGGCCGATGCGATGAGCGAAGGGGTATGAACCGGGACGGTGGGGCCATGAGGCTGGGTGGTACCAGGTACTTGCCTTTATCAGGTATAGCGTCTAGCGCTAGCGTGATCAGTAAGCAGCGAAAGCATACTTCGCAGCTGGATGCCGAGAGTACAAGACTACCTTTTTAGAAAATGCTACTCTTGGCTGGGTTTTATTCTATATTCTGTTATGTTGCCGAGCGCCGGCTATCCTCTACGTAGCGAATACGTGACGCATTTTCCTCCAATTGAACTAGATCGTGCTGCTCTAGATCCCGCCTTCACAGCAGTCTAGCCGTCATTCGCCATGGCACCATGTATGAGCGCCGATATGCGTCGTATTAAGCAGCCTGTCCGCTGACACTTACAGCTTTCTACTCTCAATGCTTTGGCCAGGCCGGTCGCAACGGCGCCTCCGATGCTGATGCCAACGCCAGCGACAGTGGGGCTGATGCACAACGATCGATGGAGCAGTTTCCGCTGAGATTCTCTACCCCTCCTTGATCCTTCAACAACGGTTTCTGCATGTATCTGTGCCCTCCTCAATAATGAGGGCGTTAGGGCATGGTAACGCTGCGCTTCCTTGGTTGCTGTCCTCGCAGGTAACCTCGCTCGTTCTGGCGGAACATGGAATGAAACAGGAGTCGCACTCCCGACAGCGATGGTGGCGGGATGAGAATGCAGTGGTGCAACAACAGGAACAGACTACTACTATTCCGGCGCCGATCGTAGCAAGGTAAGATGCACCCCTCCATGATCGACTCTTTGCTAAACCTTCCCAGCGTGTCCCAATACTGGGAAGGAAATGATGGCCCATGGTCTTCATTCGCGATCCAAGTAGGCCAAAGAGCGCAAAACGTCCGCGTCCTACCCTCTACCGCCTCCACGTCAACTTGGATTGTATACGAAGAGGGCTGTCCTGCAGACGCTCCGAGCAATTGTGCAGATACACGTGGAGGTATCTTCAATCCGAACAACTCTCTCACATGGGTCCCGAACTCAATCTTCCAACTGGGACTAGGAGAAAATCTTGATTACAATGTCTTTGGCGATTTCGGGTTCGACACTGTTACCTTAGGATGGCAGGGCTCAGGAGGACCAACCGTGGAACATGCCGTCGTTGCCGGTATCGGAGACACCACCTTCTCATGGCTTGGAGTTCTGGGGTTAAATCCTCGCCCTACAAACTTCTCGACCTTTCCGAATAATCCGCAAGTGAGTTTTGTCCAGGCATTGAAGAACCAAAACAGCATTCCGAGTGTATCTTGGGCGTATACCGCGGGAGCTCAATATCGTACGTGGTGTTTCGATCTTATTCTCTACAAAGACACGCATCATATCTGGGGCCTTTCAGGGTGGTTACTTGTTTTTGCCAATATATACTTGTGATTTGAAAGCTGATCGTAGTTAGGGTTGGACAAAGTCTACGGCTCACTCACTCTTGGTGGCTACGATACGTCTCGCTTTACCAAGCCCGCTGGTACCTCGGAAAATCTCACTTTTCCGTTCTACACCGACATAGCGCGCGATCTACTCGTCGGCATACAATCCATCACGACGAGTAACACAACCTCCTCGACATCGGGGACCAAGCTCCTTTCAGATGGTATATTCGCCTTCATCGATTCCACGGTGCCGCATCTCTGGCTCCCGGAATCCGTTTGCAAGGCCTTCGAATCAGCTTTTGGTTTGACGTGGAACTCCACAGCCGGACTCTACATGCTAAATGCATCCCAGCACTCCACTCTGACAGCGCTCAATCCTAGCATTACCGTCACGCTCTCACCTCAGCTGCCACATTCAGCTTCAGAGAATTCAGTCGCGATCACTCTTCCCTATTCTGCCTTCGATCTTAACATTTCGTGGCCACATGCTGAGACTTCTGCATACTACTTCCCCTTGAAGAGGGCCACCAACGACACTCAATATACCCTTGGCCGCGCCTTCCTCCAAGAGGCTTACCTCATCGCCGATTACGAGCGTCAGAACTTCTCCGTCTGGCCTTGCAAATGGGACTCTGAAACCACGAACGCCAACATCATCCCCATTCTTTCGGTGAATTCTACTGCGGCCAATCCGGGCTCAGACAACCCTAGCGAAAGCACAGGAGGATCTCGTAAGGGCCTCAGTACAGGAGCAATTGCCGGTATAGCAGTAGGCGCTGCAGTTGGTGTTATACTTCTCGCTCTGGCGGCATGGTTCTATATTCGAAGAGCGAGATCGAAAGGCCGGGCTTCCTTTGAGCTCGAAAACACTATCCTTCACGACCCAAACGCTCTCCCCGATTACCACCCCGAGAAAGGCGCTGGCGCCGAGGAGCTCGATTCGTGCGCCAAACACGAACTCCAAGCCCACAACAACAAATTCGGTCCCCTAGAAGCACCAGACAATGTCGGGAAATATGAAATGGAGGGCGACCACACCTCGAACGAAGCAGACGGACGAGAGAGGAGACTGGGCGTCGTTCATGAGCTGGATGCGCAGGAGGATGCAGGACTGGGGCCGAAGATTACGCTGGAGCCACCCACGGCTGTGACTCCTGGTCCGGGTTCCACGTTTCCAGACACAAAGATGGGGGCCAGATCCAGATGATGTTTAAGCTATTGTGCTAGACTTACGATCCAATGTTCCATTCTATTCTCAGGTAGATGCTCCCCTTACGCAAAAGAATCGCTTTTATGTGATGCTACTGCTACATAGGCGAGTCAACCCAGCATGTCCGTGACTCAAACCCCAAAGGGTGAGCATACCGGCATGCGAGGAACTCAAACCAACAACCTTCCGACCCCCAGAACCCCTACAAATTGGCGCTTACAGCCCACACATCTCCAACCACCCGTCGACACGTAGGATCCATAACCGCCCACTCTCGCGCCTTCCTCCTCTCCACCTCCCGCTCCCACGCCCACCGCGCCACAGTCTCCACTTCTGCATCTCCCCCACCCTCCAACTCTCTCCAAACACCTGCGAGACTCTCCTCAGGCTGGGACCGTCCGCCCGAAGCAGCAAACTCCATGCACTTCTCATCCTTCGACCTCGCCCGCCAAACGTCGATCGCTACTCTCATCTCCAGCTCCTCCTGCCCTCTCCACCCCTCACCGGGCATCAATCCCCACTCCTCCTCGATCTCCCTCTGGGTTCTGATCGTATCCACGCTCCTCAGCGGACTCTGCCCGCGCCCGAGTTCCTTCATCAACCTCTCCTGCCTGATTTCCTCGTCGGTCTGCCATTTCGCCGGGCGAGGCGGCGGGATAGTCTCTGCGTCCAGCATGCCATCGGCATGAACGGTGCCCAGCATTCTGACCCGCCCGCGTGTTTCTTTGTTGAGGCGGCCCTGGTTGTCTTTGAATTCCTCGCCTGTGTAGAGATGTTGGTGCAGAGCGAGGCGCAGCTTGCTTAGGCGTGCTTCTGCGTGGCCCTGCGCGCGGCGGCTGAGGTGCGGCTTCTTGATTGCGCCCGTTTCGGGACGGGAGGGCTTGGTGACTTTGCTGGCTGTGGTGGGTGTTGCTGCGGCGCGGGCGCCGTTGAGACGCAGGTCGCGTAGGCGTAGAGCTGCGCGCGACATGAGGCGGCTGTGGGATGCCATGGCGGTGGATGTTGAAGGGTGTGCTGGTGGTCTTCGCAATGGGTGTTGATAAGTTGGAAGTGTGTAGCTGTGGTTGAAGCTTTGTGGGAGGTATGGAGTGTATGTGTTGAAGCAGGCCGAGTGGAAGAAGCGCTAGCGAATTTTCTTGTTTCGGTGAAGGCACGGTTGAGATGGGGTAGAAATTTGCGGGTAGTGGGACTTGGAGATTTTAAAAATGGGCCTCGCAGTGAAAAGGGTTTCGCCGCGCTTCATTACGGTGCGGCGGAGCAACAATAGGGACTAATAACATTAGATGACGTAGAATCCGTACCTTTCACCTAGTTCTTAACCTTCACCCTAACGCCCTTGCTCTGGCTCGGACCAAACGGCGAGAAATAATCGTGCACCACCGTGACATCCCAAAGGCTTGTCTCGTACAACTCGAAATCATACTTCCAAAAGAGATTACCCGCTACCAGCAAAATCTCCTGCTTAGCAAGCTCCAGCCCAAGACAAGCTCGAACGCCCTTCCCAAAGGCGACCATATGCTTGTCCAAGCGAGCAAGCTCCGCCGGATCCTCGACTAACCAGCGCTCAGGCTTGAATTCGTACCGGTCCTTGAATATGTCGGCGTTGAAGTGGATATCGCGAACGGACATGCTGGCCACAGTGCCGGGAGGGAGTACGTAGGTCTTTCCAGTGGGCGTCGTGTATGTCATAGATGCCGTAGGATTGCGACGAGGCAGGCGGCCTACGACCGAGGAGCTGTAGCGGAGGGATTCTTTCATGACAGCCTGCAGGTAGGGCAAAGACTCCACGATGTGGCAGTCAAGCAACGAGTCAGGAGATACATTGTGCTCCGCAGCAGCTTTCTTCAGCTCGGCTTTCATGGTCTGATAAACGGGTGGGTTGCTGATGACGTAGAAGGTCAGGATGGAAAGCGTGTTCCCAAGGGTCTCCGTTCCAGCGCCAATAACCGTCACAGTCTCGTCAAAGATGCGACTAACCGTCTTCTCCGAAGGCGGAAGGGATGGGTGATCGAAGACGGCGTTGATGACTGTTGGTGTTTCTTTAGTCGTCGCGTTCTCCACGACTGCTTTGGCCTGGGAGTAGAGATCCTATCTGAGCTCAGTGATGGTCACGATACAGAAATACATTGAGCTCACGTTCTGATTGTCCACCATAGCCGTAGTCGCGCCGTCGCGATCTAAACAAGCCACTACTCCTCGCGGCATGTGAACTAGGAGTGGATAAATAATGCGGATATGGCGATTCCAGTTGATTACACCGGCAGTGTCCCTCACCACACGAACAAAGACAGAAGCGAAGTTCGGGTGCGTGAGCATAGTTCTCGTTTTAGGCACGGCATAATCAGTCACGATGTCAGTAGCCAAGCAGCGATAAGCGTCCGAAACGCAGATCGGTTTGTCTTCCGCTTCGAACTCCTCGATACGACCGCAGAGTTGCTGAACCCGCGCGAGGACTCTGGGCTCTAGCTTCGCAACATTGGCCTTGGAGAAGAATGGGGCCATGGCTCCTCGTCGAAGGCGGTGCATCTCTGCACTTACGGTGGAGACGGCGGCAGCATCGACGCCGAAACCGCCGTAGAAGAACGGGTCCTTCTCCATTTTGCTATTGCTCCAGAGCGTGTCCATGAAAGGAGGGTCATTAATGTGCACTTCCCACGGATTAATTCTTACGATCGGTCCTACAATGCGTTAGCATAATCTATCGCGAACACTGGAAGGATGAACCAACCGTATTTCCCATGCATCTCCTCAATTTTCTTCCAGTATCGCCCATCCTTAGGGCAGTCCCACCAAAACTCGTAAAGCGAGGAGACAGCGGCATACCATGGCCCCGGAACCTTTGACAAAGGGTGGAAAAACAGGCGCTGGATGACCTTGAAGACAACATATAGGAGCAGCGAGGCCAGAAGCAGCTTGGCACCGCCAACGATGTCGAGATTGCTTGTCAACTCCATCCTGCTGTCGCGAGAGAAGAGGTGGCTTTGCGAAGAACGTGCGCGCGGGGGGAGCTCGTTAAGATGGAGCCGAAGCAGTACGCTAAATAGAGGCTAGACCGAATTGAGACAGATACCAGCATGCTCCCGAGCCCCGCGCCCGGTAGCGTCCGCGCACTATCCCTCAACTGGTGTCCCGCCGCAGAGAGACATGCGTTGACAGGCCCCGCGCAACAATATTGCCTCAGACCAATCGGGCCTACATGTCAAGCCTGGCCTTTCCTCCTCTTACTTATCAACGCATGGGATGATCTGCCCTTCTGATGAATGCGAACTAGCACTCCTCTCTGCACTGGTTTCGTGTGTAACCGATCGTCATCAGACTGCTCTGACTTTCGCACATCGGTTCCTTCCCAGCTGTGATACCTTTGTCGTTCTTCAGTGATCCTGAGCCATAGATGTCGGGGATGATAATGACCCTTGAAACCGCCCTCCAGTCGCCGAACCCAGTAACGCAGGTTGGAGACATCGTCCACGGCCAACTCGCTCACGTCAGCCCATTCATATGCGTTGGTCTCCTTGAGGTGGGCGTCCAGGGTGACGATGTCGAAGCGATGGCCAGCCCATCGGCCTTCTTGGAAATGTAAGGGTACTTCAGACCATGGAAGGTCGTTTGACTGACATGTCAGGACGACAAATATTTGGGCAAAGGTTAGAGGGCTGGTGTCGTAAACCACGTCCGGTAATTGGTGCCCTTTTTGCTTCTTCAACGCTGAAGCGGCCCCACGCTTGAAGAGTCCCGTCAGCTTTGCCAGGCCAGACCGACTCGGAATCTGGGTCTTAAGTTTTGGATCTTCTTTTTCAGTTGGGCGAAGTTTGTCCGAACGGATGTATTCCTGAGTTGTGAGATTGCGAAGGACCCAGACTCGATCCTGTGGATACATGTACTCGTGCGAGAGGTCCTGCTCAACGGCGCTCCAGATGCGTTGGCATCTGCCCCAGAGCTTCGCGGTATTTAAAGCGTGATTCCATTCTTGGACCGGCGTTGCGGTAGCGTGCGCTATTTTGACAGACCAGGGGGCCCCCTCGGGCCAGTAATGGTATGCTGGAGAGTGCTCGTCCACCCATGACCGAAAGTAACTCTCCCCGCGGAAAGCGACTTCCTTCCCGGCCCACATGGCTGTGGACTTTGCGTATTCACGGTGGATGCGATGGAGCACAGCAGGCCAGATGACGGCGGACGAGAGACCTAGCGCGAGGACATCCTTCTTATCTTCGGCTATTAAGTCGATGATTTGATCGAGAAGTTCATTCGGGAGTCGTTCTATCCCCCTGGGATTGCCGGTGTAGCGCAGATGGTAGGTCTGGTGATGTTGTGCTTCGGCAACGGGCCTTGCAAATGAAGCCCAAAGCCAGGAAGCAGGCTCGAGCCAAGGAGCGGATTCAGTCGCGAAGAAATTCAGAAGATTGACATGTGGTGGGACAGGGAACTGGAATTGGCCACTTTCCGGGCAAGCGAGGCAGTAGTTTCGCGGAAAGTGATCTGGGGGCTCGCAAGGAGGACACATGGCGACGTAAACTAACCGAGCGAGTACGTTATGGCGGTTCAGATAGACAAAAAGACGATGGTGAGATGGAGTGACGATGGTTTAAGGTAAGACACGAGCGGAATCTCGCGGCCTGAATAGGGCACGGGCGCCAAGAATCTCACATCCAATGAGGGGTGACGCCCTACGCCTTCGTCAAGGTAGTAAAGCTTGTTTCCCATGCGTAAGAAGACACTACCTAGCTATGCTCGCGGCATGCTTTGCAATGTCCCAGTTGTAGGTGATCTATTCAAAGGCTCAACCTTGGAACCGAACCCCAAGCGCGTATTTGGCTTACTAAGCAATGCTGCCACTCATCGTCCCCGTTGGCTCATAGCACTGGACACAATAAGAGCACATGCAGATCAAGCGGTTCTCTTGGGACATTGCGGGAGGCTACCCCCAAACGATTCTCACCAAATCCCCAGAAATCAAGACTCACGCAACATCTCCGACCTCTGGAGTCAGACTTCCGAGTCATCCTGCCTATGCACTAATCTTCTCGGTCATGTACCTATGCTTACCACAAAGGTTATCATGAAGAGTAGTCAAGGGGCCGACTCGAAGCTCGGTGAGTCTTTACGTCCGCCCAACAAACAAGCCGATCAGTCACTCTACCTCCATCTTCACATTCCCGCTACTCCAAAAAAAATTGAAATCCCTATTTCTCTATCCGCGCTCATCATGGTCCTCCGCACACACATAATCACCACGTATCCTAGCTCTAAACCGCAACCTATCACCACACTCTCAGCACTCCAACTCAACCTCAACAATGGACACCATCTCAAAGACCCTCTCCATGCTCACCCCGAACAAAAAGCAAACCCGCAAGTGCAAACTTGCCAACGATTCTACCCCGACCTCACCCTCTCCTTTCAAAGACACTACCAACGCCGCGAAATCATCAAAGCCCTTGGATCGCGAGTCATCGCCAATGGAAGACTTCCTCCAGCGCGCCAACAAAGTCGGCGTCCGCACCAAGGAAGACGGCTGGGTGATAGTCGACAAGGAGAAGGTACAGAAGGACATGCAGCGCGAGCAGGAAGAGCGCGATGAGAAGGAGTGGGATTTCTTGGATGACGAGGATGAGATTCGGGCGGAATTGACGATTCTTTGAGGTCGGTCGGTCATAGTGTTGTATTAGAGACCGTGCACTAAAGGTTAATAGCAACGCCGCCACGTTGAGAACGGCGAACCCTCCGTCTTTGATTCGACCGAGTTATGAGATATGAGCAGTAGCGACTTCCCATGGTTCCGGAAAATGGTCCGAGTCTCTCCCGGAACTTTATACGAGCTCGCCTTTCATGAACCGACCTGGTCATGAGCAATAGCGATGCCCCACAGTCCTGGGAAGCGATCGATATATTCCTTGAGATGTATATCATATCTGCCACGGTTTTTGGCACAAGCGTATAAGAGCGATACGATAGGTAGAAGAGGTCATATGTGACCTTGCAGTATTGGGGAATCTACGCTATTGTTAATTCGTCGTGCTCTGACTCGTGTCTTCGTGACTCATGCTTTTCGTGCCTCCCACATGACTGTCTGCACTCGCGCAAAGCGTCAACGAGTGCGCATTGCAGCCCTCAGCAGCCTGACTCTACCTTCCCATTATGACGCCGTTGTAATGCATGGGTAACTCTTATTTTGGTCTCCGCAACCTGAGCAGCAGCTCATTTCTTTCCCTTCTTCTTCTTCTTCCCACCCCCTCCGCCCCCTCCTGTACCACCAGCCTTCCCCTCGCCCATTCCACCTACCTTAATATCGTCCTCTATCCTCGGCGTCGCCAATCCCGTCCCCTCAGCCGGCGCACTCAAATCCTCCAAGACCTCCGGCAACGCCGCCATATGCCTGCCCAACCTTCCCAAACTCCCGATCAACCTGCCAACCTCCGCTGCCTTCGTCGTTTCATACTGCAAGCATGTGCCTGACTCCGGATCATACGTCTTTAGTGCGAATGTTGTGGTTGGTTCTTCGGGGTTCTGCGCGGATGAAGGAGGTGGTGAGGAAGTGCGCGACGGGTCGGCGAGTTTCGCCGCTTGTTTGTCGAGATACTTTTGGCGCTTTTTTATTTTCGAGGGGGTTGGTTTTAGAACGGTGTATTTGGAGGTTATGCGTGTCTAGAAGACGTTAGTCTCGGGAAGCCGAAGGTTGGGGGTGTGGACCGGCCCCGACTCCTCGAGGCAAGTGCACGTACGGTGGTCGGACGGGCTTTGAGCAGTAGAGAAGACTGCTCGTACCACTCTGTACTCGTCTTGAAGTACGGCATTGCGATTGCGGTTGTGGGGTATCTTGAACTGGGAATGGGAGCTGGTCGGAGTGCGAGGTAACTTTTGGCGGGGGAGATCGGAGAATAGTCGGACCGAGAGAAGGGCATGCGGAATGACTAGAAACTAACTTTCACACCGCGCGACTTTCTGTTCTTGTATAGGATGGAAATTGCGGTACCTTGATTCGCGAGATTCATCATGACTCGATGCGCCTCTTGATACGGCATAGCTTAACGTGATCGTGAATGCAGTAGCGTGACGCTGCCGGTAGGCATAGGACTTCATAACTCTAACTAGACTGACTCCTTCGGCGTCTCCATCAACTATACCAGACCACATTCGCCGGCCCCACATCAAGATCCAAATGCGCAACAGCTTCCGCCTCCGTCCCATCATCCGCAATCTTCCACACCTCAATAAAATTCGACCCACTGTCCGTAATAGCAAAGTACTGCTCACTAAACGGCGCAGGAGATACCGCATTCGCTGCTCCACCACTAGCAGTGCTTGGGACGAGGAAGAGCTGTTCGCTGATGGCACCGGTTGATGCATCAAGCGCGAATGCCGAGATGTATCCGGTTGCATTGGTCGAGCGAGACCGTGTGCCGGTAATGAGATATTTCGGGGATGTGCCGCTCACGTTGCCGCCAGGGATCGAGAAAAGGGCTTCATCGGCCCAGTAGGAGGAGGTGTTCGCGAACGCTTAACAAACTTAGTTGAACGTAACTGCGGAGTTCGATATGGAAAGCTTACTGGACGGGATGAGAGGGTAGGTAGTGTTCATATCCGTAAGCTTGCCTGTGGTGTTATTCCTGCTATAAACGGCCAATTGGTTTGACTCCTCGTAAATAACATAGACCCAGCGACCGTTTGGATGCACCGCAAGGTGTCGAGGATTGGCACCCGTGGGTGCTGCAAGATATTGAATCTGCTCCGCAGTCCGAGTAGTGCTGACAAATGAGTGAACCCATACAGCATTGCCCATATCGTCTGCAGAATAGACAAAATTATTCTCCGGGCTTAACGCGAGGCCATGGACGCCGGCCGAGCTACCGTAGGTCAAATTTGCGACCGTGGTTTGCAACACGCCTCTTTCATCGACTGAAATGGCTTGCGCAGGACAACCGTTGCTGTAAGGGGCGCCGAAGACTGTGTAGGGTGATGTACTAGCTGCAATGAGGAAATTTGCGTTCGAGCCTACAAGGAGTGTCAGGCATGAACAGCGGACGTAAGCAAGATGACACGCACAGTCAGAGGACAGTGTGATGTTGCTTTCATAGTTCAGGCTCCCATTGCTCGTAATCGCATAGCTTTGAAAGTAGCCAGTCGTCCCGACATAGACATTCTCTCGTTGCTCCTAGTTGCAACTGTCAGCCGTATTATAGTAATGGAAGCTGGAGCGGCCAACATCTATGGCAATCCATTTTGAGCCGTCTGATACCTGCGTGGTGATGTTTTGCGCAAGCCTTAAAGATTCAACCGTATCGTCAAACTCCACCCCAACTATTGTTTTCCCTGCGAAGAAACCGGAGAAGAAGTAATGAGTTTCAGCGAACACTGATGTAGCGAAGGCTATGGCTGGATACGTGAACAAGGGGCGCATCTTCGCGCGCGTGAAACGGAAGGAAAAATTGGCTAGATGAGTTTTGCTCCCAGACCCTGTGGGCACCGCGTCCTTTTTGAAGCTGCTGTATACCTGGTATGACAGGTTTTAGTAGACTAGGGGACCCCCATGGAGACCATCGGTAGGATTACTGGACAGGCAATATCGCCGCGACGGACGCGAAGATTTTCTGCTAAGCAACGGCCCGTTTCCTTGGAGGGACGAAGTCGTAATTCTCCGAGCTGGGGATTGTGGGCAGGGTAAACGCGCGTCTCCATCTATCCCCATATTTGAAACATCGATCTAGCCCAGAAAAAAACTAGCGGTGTATTGTAGGGATGCGCTAGCCCTCGAAGTTGGGGGCTCGATACAACGTACATGGAAGCGCTACCCAGGCGTTGCGAGGTCAAGTGTAGCTTCGCAAATCTAGGAAAGTTCGGAAAGTAGATCGCTGAATGGCCGTGTATGCCGACCTGGTCATCGGAAAGAGCCTATAACCTGTGCCACTCCAAGAGCAACTTGTAGGAACGTGAGGAGCACTACTATAGTTGCAAAACTTTGCGGAATTAGCGAGCATTCAAGCAATGATCTATGCAATCACTCACAAAAAGGTCCAGAATTGCAACGTATCCCTCCGATCTCTAAACAGGATCCATATGCTCCAAGGCTTTGCCCCTTGCAAATGTTCCTCTAACGCGGTAATTCGCGACCATAGGCACGGAAAGAGGTCTTGCGTCCAGTCGGAGGATTCGGTGTTGTTCATTAGCTCGACCACCAAAGGGTCGAACTCGCTCCTCTTCGCGGCATTGCCGCACCTCTTCAGTTTATGCGACTTCGCCCCAACCGACTTCCGATATTTTGTAATGACACTGGTCCGATAACGGTGTGCGGAGCACGACCAACACCAACACATTTTGCGGATTCCTAGGAATCGACCGAGTTTCGCATGCAGTGGTATTTCAGGCCAGGCATTGAATAGAATGCAGTACGACTCTTGAATCTCTTGCGCGAGTTCGAAGGATATACCCACAGCGTTCGAAGTCAAGGTAGCCGCATTGAGAGCGCAGGGGAGGGCGAATATCTCTAGGATGTGACGTCCGCCATGTCGAGAAAGGAGCATATGGCGCGAGATGTTGTGTGTCCATGCTATTCGGACAGCTCCGAAAACTCTCAGAGTGAAGGCATTGAGTCGCGTGGCTTTTATTGAAAGCGATTCGAGAGAGTCCATGGCGTCCAGCGAGTGAGACGAGATTTGACTCTTGCTCGTTTTCAAGGGAGTTTTGGCGCACTCCGAAACATTCGCAGTCGCCTCGAGACGAAGAGTTGAGTTCGCGACTGTTGCGTTATCGTCTGAAAGAAGTGCTACGAGCTTCATCGCGGTGCGAACGATTTCGTCCCCCGGCTCCATGCCATGTGAGACTTGTCCGTTACTCGGCGCAGGGAGCAAACAGCTCCCCCTTACCAGGCTAGTCAAGTTCTCATCGTAGAATTCGCTCTTCTTCTCTTTTTCCCTTGCCCGAATGTTATATGCAGTGATCACCTTTCGAAAGCCGTTGGGTAGCTGGACGAAAGAGCTCAGCATCATTGCCCAAGCACCCATGATGTACAACACTGTATCCTCTACATCGTCCCTTCTCATTGTGCTCCCTGCTTTCGTATCCGCAAATAACTCCTCGCCGTCGGACAATACTAGCCCATCGAGGAGCATGCGTATGCTGTCGGTCTTCAAAGGATCGTTCGCCTTGATCTGGACCTGTGCGAAGTGTTCTATGACGCGAATAAAGAGTCTTAGGTATTCTTCCAGCGTCCCGCGGCCGATATGACGGTTCGCGATGTAATTCAGATACGGTTCGGCGGTCAAATTACCGGGGTAGTCGTCGTAGCCTAAGGCATGGGCGAGAGCGATTCGGAGGTCGTCGGGGGGGTTTGCGCGCCTAGGAGACATTGTAAGTGCCGCTATAGTTAGTGAAGAGCTTCAGGCGGGCAATTGCCAGGCAGAAGACTTGAGCTGCAGCCATTTTGTCTAGTTCCTCGAGGCTGGGGCTGTGAAGCGTGGGCGGCACGACGGCTGGGGCTGAGACTGAGTAGGATACATCGTACGCTAGTCCATTTTGAGCCGCACTAAGCGGTATCGATAACCCATCCCGCCAGGCTGGCAGTCGACAGTTCACCTGAAACCGCCTACAAAGTGTCAAAGAAGACACGCGGATACAGATGCCAACTAGATGTCGCCCTTCCAGCCGTGCTTACAAGAGACAGACGCCTGAGGTAGGCGGATAGAGTCGACGCCAGTCGTACTCACCTCTTGTTTCCAGGCAGCCATTCAAGCACTGCTGACTCCAGCCTTCTCTCGACTCCTAATCAAAACTCATATTTTGCTTCCCGCCTGCTTTGCCCTCCTTGCAAAAGGTTCGCTCTCACTTTAATTGTACGAGCATTGCTTTTCCTCCACTTACGACATCCTTCCGGGAACCAGCATTCGTCTCCTCGCCCCGGCTCACAATGTTCACACGTCTGAAGAAACGATTCTCGCACCCAGGGTCGAAAAACAAAACTGATCGTCCGACTGCTCCATCTCCTTCATCCATCAATTTCAACAGTTACCTCAACCGCGACCATACTCGGGGATTCCAAACCCTGATTGCTCGAGCCCAGCGTGAACGAGCCATTCAGATACGGAAACGCAGCATCTCCGTCGACCGCGAGGACAGAAGAAGTACGACGAAGACGCAGAATCAATCGCCACTTTTCGCAAAGTTGCCCGTTGAGCTGAGAATCAAGATCTATGAGATGGTTTTGTGCGAGACGGGACAGGTGAATATCATCGAGTCTTGGAATCGCCATGATCCTTCAAGGTTCTACGGCAGGACCTGCCTTGTGCCAGTGGTGTATTGCCGAGAGCTTGCGAGGGGTAAGAGATGCACAGTGCAGAGCAATATCCTTTTTACCTGTCGAAGAATGTGAGTACTCGAACGATATGACAGCTCGCCAAGCAAGCCATTAACCTGCCCCAGCTATCGCGAAGCCATCGATATTTTGTATTCTGGCAATGCTTTTATCTTCTGGGACCGTGACAACTTTATTCTATTCTCCAAGACCTTGGTCCCGCACCGTCTGAGGAAGATTAGGGTAATCTGCGTTCAGGAATTTGATCCTTGTTGGAGGCCACGATTTCAGTCCTTTCGCGGGAGCGAGTTCTGGCCCTTGGCATTCCCCGACGACCTCGTTTCTGAGTAATCTCTGCTCAGGGATTACAAACCACGTCACACCACAGCGGACTTTTCCCTTGCAGCGTCCTCTAGAAAGGTAAACTGTGATGTTTGTGGTAGGGAAAAGCACAACGCTAAAGCCGCATAGTCTCTACAAAGACCGAAACCATCCGAACCCTCCTCTTCGCCAAGACGGCGGAATCCGCCCGTCCCCAGATTTCCCCGCGTTGATCGTCGCTCGCAGCACCGCAGATTCCTAATTCGGCATTTGACCGACATGGCCGTTAACGATCCTCGTGGTAGTGCTCCGCAGCGGTGCTCTTTGGCCCGAGCTGCTTCGCAGCAATCTTCAGCCGAGTTCCTTCGGAGGTATTCTCGCGTGGCCCATAATAGAGTCCGCTAGTACCTCTTGCCTCACAAGACTGTCCGATATCACCCTCTCCTTACTTAGCCCAATGCTCGGAGGTCACGATGGCAGTATCTATATCTCATCTTTCCTTTGAACATCATCTTCCAGCGTTTGGTATCGCCGAGACCCAGCCTCGCATTTCTTGGAGATTTGAGGGTACCGCAGTTGACTGGGAACAGACGGCATATGATATTGAAATCACCCGCGGACTTGATGGCGTCCCAAATGTCTTCAACGTTAATTCGTCGGAATCAATCCTAGTGCCATGGCCTGATATACCACTTGAGGCTTCGGAAACGGCAGCTGTGAGAGCTCGAGCCTACGGAAGAGACACTCAGTCGTCAACGGAATGGTCGGACTCTTTTACCGTGGAGACGGCCTTGTTGAGTACGGAGGATTGGGCGGGCGCGATTCCTATTGCTGCAGATCGACAGACGGAAACCGACGCGCCCAAGCGACCGATTCTATTTAGGAAGACCTTCGATGTTAGCTCCAACGTCACGTCCTCCCGACTATACATCACCGCCCTCGGTCTGTATGTGGCTGAGATTAATGGGAAGCGCCTCAGCGATCACGTCCTTGCCCCTGGGTACCAATCTTACAACTACCGACATGTGTACGATACATACGATACCACGCAGCTTTTGAAATCCGGCAAGAATGCAATTGGCGTCACCGTTGGGGAAGGATGGTACGCTGGGCGCTTTGGCTTCGGAAAGCAAGAGCGGAACCTTTATGGGGACACGCTTGGGTTACTGTGCTTGCTCACCATCACTCAAAGCGATGGAACTAAGCAGACTGTCGCGAGCGATCTCACGTGGCACGCCAATACTGGTCCAATTATCACGTCAGAAATATACGATGGAGAAGTGTACAACTCTACGCTACAAATTCCGGGATGGTCCTCTACGAACCTCGATGAAAGTAACTGGCTAGGCGTGAAACAACTGCCTGCACCGGAAGGTAATCTCGTTCCCTCGGATGGAGCACCTATCCGGAGGCTGGAAGAGGTCAAGCCAAAGGAGATCTTCCTGTCGAAGTCCGGCAAGACGGTCGTAGATTTTGGGCAGAACCTTGTCGGTTGGTTGAGACTCGCCGTCACCGGTCCATCGGGTACCAACATAACCATGGTTCATACAGAAGTGATGGAGAACGGAGAAGTCGCGACGCGGCCATTGAGGTCCGCCAAAGCGAGGGATACTCTCATCCTCTCTGGAAATGGAACACAAACCTGGGAACCGTCATTCACTTACCATGGCTTCCGCTACGTCCAGATCACAGGGTGGCCCAACCAAACAGCGTTGACCGGCGACTCTATCACCGCACTCGTTGTTCACAGCGCCATGGAACGAACCGGCTTCTTCGAATGCTCCCACGATCTCCTTACTCGATTCCACGAGAACGTCCTCTGGAGCATGAAAGGTAATTTTCTCGGGGTGCCAACTGATTGCCCCCAGCGTGATGAGCGTCTGGGCTGGACCGGCGACGCTCATGCCTTCATGCCAACAGCGAACTACCTTTACGACGCCTCTGGCTTCTGGCGCGGCTGGCTCAAAGACGCCTGGTCGGAGCAGAGCCGCAACGACGTCTTCATCCCGCCTTACTATATTCCCACAGACGACATCTCGGACACAGATCGTGAGCGCGTCCGCACACCGACCGCGGTATGGGGAGACGTAGTGGTTGGCAATCCCTGGGCTCTCTACCAGACTACGGGCGATAAGCAGATGCTGGAGGACCAGTACGCCGGCGCGCAAGCCTGGATCGACAAAGGAATCCCACGCAACGAAGCTAGCCTATGGAACAGATCGACGTTCCAATTTGCTGACTGGTTGGACCCGAAAGCGCCGTCTGACGACCCCGGAGCGGCAACGACAGCTAAACATCTCGTCGCAGATGCATACCTCATCCAAATGACACGTCTACTCTCCAACATGTCCACGGCGCTTAACAAAACCTCCGAAGCCGAAATATATGCATCCCAGCATTCGGATATAATATCCGCTTTCCACGCTGCCTGGACCGACCCCTACGATACCATCATCGCGAACGTCACGCAAACCGCGCTCGCCCTCGGCCTCGCTTTCGACATCTTTAATACTCCTGAATCCCGTCAAGAAGCCGCATCCACCCTCCAAAATGTAATCGCGAATAACTCCTACCTTGTTGGCACGGGCTTCGCAGGCACCCAACAGCTCGGCTTCGCGCTCTCTGGCATCAATGCCACCTCCGACTTCTACAAAATGCTGCTGCAGACACAGGTCCCGTCGTGGCTCTACCAGGTTGTCATGGATGGTACGACGACCTGGGAGCGCTGGGATAGCTTGCTCCCTAACGGCAGTGTAAACCCAGGTTCCATGACGAGCTTCAATCACTATGCTTTTGGCAGTGTGGCGGACTGGGTGCATCAGAAGGTGGGAGGCCTTGCGCCTGCAGAACCCGGGTGGAAGACGGTGAAGGTGGCTCCTGAGCCGGGTGGTAATATTACCTGGGCGAAGGCAAGTTATTTGGGGCCGTACGGGTGGGTGAACAGTAGCTGGACGGTGGAGGATGATGGATTCCATTTAGCGGTCAATGTCCCACCCAATAGTAAGGCGGAGGTGGTGCTTCCTGGTGGTGGAGGGAACACGACAATTGTTGGCAGTGGACGGAAAGATTTCCTCGTTGAGGGGTATAAGATGTCCACTTAAAACGGGCATGTCGTATATCTATGGGCACAAGCAGAGCCTCCGTCGTGCGTATGCGCGGTAATGAACACCAAAAGTTTTTCTTATCAGTTCATTCGGCGCTGTTTTCCAGTCAAAGCGTTAAGTCTGATGCTGGTTGACAGGTGACCTTGCTTACCAGCATGCTTGGATATCCTGATTCACACTCTCAACCAAGGGTGATGTCAAGTTTCTCTATAGCAACCTCTCCCCATACCCCCTTCTCGACCCTTCCCAAAGCCTTTCGATAGGCTATCCCATCTACCCACTCGATCCAGAGGACATTGATAAACTCATACAGCCCCTTGTGTCTCGGGCACCCTTCCCGGTTCCACTCATCGAAGCTCTTCTCCTCAATCGGCTGATTCTCAACTGCGCCGGCAGAAATCTCAATGAGTTCAAGACGTCCTCCGTGCTCTGTTCTTATAGCTTCTATGAGATCTTCAAAATCTGAAGGGATACAATTCAGTCGAAGGACTCCCACCCATCGTTCCTCCTCACTAAGGAGTTCTATTGCCGGACAGCTTGAAGCAAGAGTTTGGTATGTTGGACCCGCCTTGAGGAGAGCATGGCGGGTCGTGCAATGTAGAAAGCGGGCGCTGATTGGAGGTATATGCGCGAGGTATTGGTTGCGAATGGGGATAGGATAGCGGAAGGGGTGAGAGGGGTCGCAGTGGTGATGGAACAAAACCCGGTCCGGACCATTGGGGTTCGCCACCGCAGACCAACCTGAAGGTAAAGGAGCCAATGTGTTACCGAAGATTGGACGCGCAAACTCGGAGCGGATCTGGACTTCTTTCCGAGCGGATGTCCGGTCCAGAGAGTAGAACCATTTGACTGTACTGATCGTCTTCCAGGAACATTGCTGGTGAGGGTTATCTTCGTCATCCGCTTCCAGGAGATAATTGGCCGCAGACCGCCAGCTTTCTGAGTTCAAATCTCCAGCCCAGGCAGCCCACGACCATGATGGAAGCACTGCTTCGGAATCAGACAATTTGACGCTTTTCCGACGGCACATATATATCCAAGGCTGCCAGAGAAGAGCAGCATCAAAGCACATTTGTGGGAGACCGGAAATAAAACCGCCGGGGTAGATGCGGCTCAGGTGTGATAGGAGACCGGCGAATGCATCCAGTACGTCTTCGGGATATGACAAATTGCGCCGATTGAACATTGAGACAAGCCGCGCATATCTGAACATATCTGGCCAGGACGAGCATTCGAATCCCGTGCTGGGAATGTCTCTGATCAGAGGTGCCTTCGGGATTTGGGCCAGGAATTGCGCAGTTAATGGGGTGGTGGTGGACACGTCCTGGGACTCGTGGTAGGCCGCGCAGAAGCATTCCCAATTAACCGTATCGTTATGAAATACGACTCTGCGTTTGGAAAACAGATATTCCTGGAAGGTCCAGCTCCTAGAGTACCATTTGGTGCGCATGAGGTGCATCGCCTGATCCAGCAATATCTCTTTGCTACTATCTCCGGGTGGTGTGTTCGACATAGGTCGGGAAGTGCTCGACAAATTGATGGGTCTCTTGCCATATAGTCCATCCGTGGGATCTTCACCTTGGGCAGCGACAAGAGTGAAATAAGCCCCCGCATAAATATTTCCCATGGCGTTCAGTTGGCTTTGGTTTGCTGGGCCTTCGTCTTGGACGATGCAGAATCTGTCAATCCATACGTATCTTTCCCCAACACTGCGAACAAGCTCGATGGCGTCTCTGATTGTGCGTGGGAGTGTAACAGTACTAGGATCGTAAAGCCCGCCCCGCTCTTGTAACTTAACAAAGTTTTCATTCGTCGTAGAAGCAGATATGCTCCCACATCCCCATACGTAGCTGAGTGCAACGTACTTGGCTCTTGGGAATGCTGCAACAAGGCACCCGTCTTCCACATCGATCAGCCAGAGCGGACCATTCCAGCCCCGCGTATCTGACCGCAAGCCATTGCCGCATCGGTCACCGTGTAATTGAAGGCAAGTTTGCAGCCAACTTTGGATCACGTCCGTAGAGATGAACATCTCCTTGTCCCACCGAGTGGAATCTGGTGAATCCTCCACTCCTTTCTCAACGTAGGGTACGAATGGAAGAAGGTGGGGTGGCATCCTCTTCTCATCTCCAATCAGTTCCACAAGGCGCTGACTCGGTGTGGGACATTTTTCCGGGTAAGACTCATCGGCAAAAGGACTTAGATATCTCTTGGAGCGCTCGGGTTCCTTTTCCGGTTCCTCATCCAACCGCCGAGCAAGGCCAGATCTCGCAGCGTTGGTGTCGCAACAGTCGGGTCGTTTCTGGCCGCATTCGAATCTCCGAGACCCCGTACTAGCTTTTCTATAGCTATTATGGCTGCTTGGCACAGGAGGGGACATGGCATATGAAAGCCGTCTCTCGTGGTGTAGGGGAGGAATACCGACCCACGCTTTGTATCTTTCGGAGTCTGCTCCCAGGTGGGGAGAGTGTTCCTCCCTTTCGACGGAAGACGGCCGCCATGACGATGAATAAGCTATTCCAAGGGATGGACCAGCATAATATCGCGCGGAGTTGTCCATAGGGTCAACCAGAGTGTAAAGCTGCGTCGAGCCCACATTAGACGACTCGACCTTGTATTCGCGTTGTGGCGCGCCTTCTTCGGGGGATTCTCCAAGCATAGTTCGTTATAACGAATTCAGCGATGATGTTGCGTAATCTGCCTTGAAAGATCGAGAAGAGGAAGGCCGAGCTGGAGTTGGGTCAAGAAGATGATTGCCTAGCGCCACGCAGCCCTCGAGCGTTATCATTGGCCAGTCTTGGGGGACGGCTTCGAAAAGCAACAGCGACTGCGGCGGGGCTTTCATTCGCCTGCGTGCAACCGGAAAGGTAGTTTGGCGGATTGAAAATTATGATTTTGCTAACTTGTAGTACTTAGGTAGGCGAAAATCGAGCAATACGTATTGTATTGGAAGGCACTTTCCGTATTGTCATGAGACTTAACAGCCTACTTACCACCCACCCCCACCTCTACCAAAATCTTCACATGGCTTTCTTTATCATTGATCAAAGCCTTAATCCCGCCCTCTACCAGGCTCTCTAACTTGATTTTGCTTGTGATCATCTTTTCAGGCTTCAAACTCCCTATGCATCACATTAGCGACCACCGCCTGCCGAGACGAGTGAATATAACTCACCATCAGCGAGATGATCAATTACAGCCTGGAAATCCTTTCTCTGGTACCCCAATACCGCAGTATATTTGGCCTCCTTAAACACCAGTATGTTCGGCTGGAAGAGGACTTCTCTTTCCCAAATCGCGACGTTCACCACCGTTCCTCTTGCTCGTACCGCTTGACAGGCTGTCGTTATGCTCGCGGGCACGCCGGCGCAGTCGAACACCACATCCGGCCCATCAGAACCGCTAAGCTCTTTACTGATAGCCACGAGATTATACGTCTTCGGATCCAGAACATGGTGCGCCCCAAACTCCCTTGCAAACCTTTGTCTGGACTTGGACACCTCACTCATGATGATCTTCTTCGTCTTCAGAGCCACAAGGCACTGCACGACCGCGAGTCCGATCGGGCCACCGCCCAAAACAAGGACAGTTGAATCCTGCGTCAGCGGCGCAGCAGATATGGCATGCCACGCCACGCTCAGTGGCTCCACTAGCGCTCCAACATCCAGCGGTATGCCATCCGGTAGCTTGAGTATCGCCCTCTTAGGTACGACGACTGAGTCGCTTAGCCCACCTCCGCCGCCGCTCAACCCAACGAAGCCGCCTTTGTAGCATACATTTTCCACCCCGGAAGTGCAGGCCGAACAGGTCCCGCAGTAGAGCGTGGGTTGTACGACGACATGTTGGCCCGGTGTGAGGGAGGCGACGCCGGGTCCGACTTCGCTGATGATGCCCGAGAATTCATGGCCGAGCGTTATTGGTATCGTGTCGTGGGTTATTGGATGGGGCTTTGTGGGCGCGAAGGTCGGGCCGCCGAGGTATTCGTGGAGATCTGTTCCGCAGATTCCGACGTAGGACGGGGCGACCTAAGCGTATTTCTCAGTGTCGGGGCCATACCATCTCATGAATGATACCGAAGAGTTTACAGAAAACGAGTACGAGTGTTAGAGAAGAACGTACTCTGACTTGTCCCTCTCCACACTTCTCCACTTCCACATCTTCAATCCGGATATCTTCTTTTCCGTAGTATCTCGCTGCACGCATGATGATGTAGTAGTAGTCCCAGGTGCAATTCCCTTCTCTTGTTCACCCGTGATAACTGTATTCACAAACGCCGACTCGAGCGCACACATCGCACCAAAAGGGCTCCTTCCGGAAGCGCAGCCAGGACTTCTCTAGTACTTGTAGACGCAGACGTCGGGTCCTTCAAGATCCAGCAGTAAGGTACTTAGGTAGCGTTGGGACGCTCCCCGCAACGGTGCCTCATGTTTTAAAGCGGAGCAGGCGGATCCTGACGTCCGCGCCGTGGAAAATGTTTGCCAGCCGCATGACGCGTAAATGGGCGTCGGGTACGGGGCTGCGTGGGATGAAATTGCGTCCGTATGGCCGATGCGGTGTGGTCGTCGTGGGTGAGAGCTAGGGGCGATGAGGAATGGTGTTGTGTCAAGCTTTGCGGGGGTGGGGTTCCGCTTGTTGGAGCTCCGGGTTGCCGATTGGGGTATGCCTGTTCGCAGTCCGCGCTCACATAAGAAAGAAAACGAGGACGGCTGCTACAATTTCAGTCTTTTCTTCATGGTGGAAGTGCTGTATGAGAAAGCGGGCGAGAGTTGCTAACGCTAAGTGATATGCTGAGCATAACTGTCGCCGATGTGCTCCCTCTCAACTAATTTCTACGCAGGACTGTATACATTAGATTTGCTCTGTGATTATCTATTACTACAGAAAGTATAGCCAGTACCAAGTCTAATCCAGAATAGTTCGGCTCATTCCAAGGCGAGGCGAGGCTGGGGGGAGCTCATCGACCCCTCTAGTCCATAGTATCCAAACCGCTCGGCTTCCCACTCCGGCGCAAAACGCACTTCCTTCTTCCCAATCTCAAAATGCCACCGCGACGGAACAATTTCCCAGCGTAGTCCTTGCATATCAGTCCCGTGGCTCGGGCCTCCGGCAACACCAGACCGACATCCCCTGGCTTTGAGTCCGACACCGTACTCTCTGTGGACTCCAAGCGAAGGCAGTACAACGTTCCAGGTGCTCCCTGGTATGGCGTAGCACTTGTGCAGCGACAAGGTGCTGATGCGCGGGATATGGCACAATTCAAATATGTCCCACTGTTATTTCTTCCTCTACCGTCCTCCGAGTATCACAGAGCAGCAGTATCACTGCTGCGGCCAACACCTGACATCAAGCAACCGGAAGGCTCTGGAAATCTGGCCGGTAGGCGTCCAAGGGACGTATACTTGAAACACATCCAGGCCGCGGATATCCCGAAGAGGTCTTAGAGAATAAATGTTATCGAGTTCGTGAGAGTTCATCCTAGGCTTCCCGCTGAGCTTGATTCGAAGCTCCCTTAGCCCTTTCATCCTGGCAAGCTCTCGGCAAAGCGACAACCATTCGGCGTGATACTTTGCGCTGAGTTTGCCCTCGAAATGCAAGGGTTGATCTAGATCCCAGTAGAGGCGCACGGATCGGATAAGATCGAGACGCGTGGGAAGGACGGTTGATGCAAACCAGGTGAAGCAATAGAGGTCGTTAAACGAGAACGTATTTTGGGTATAGGCTAGGTCGATGGTCTCGGAATAGCTGTAGGGCGTGTGTCAGCGTTGCAAACTAGTGGTAGTCATTCTACGATGGGAGGCTTGCTTACATTCGCCGACACGTTTTCGCCAAAGCTAGTATTCCGAACACCTGGGGAGCTGAACCTACAGGGTAGGGATTTCGCCTTCCAGGTGAACAAGGCCAGCAAGTGATTGCAGGACCGGTACAGTAGTCTGTGGGGTCGCAGACACGGCACAAGGTGTGCTGGAGTCTCTTCTCTTTACAACCGATATGTACGACGGCACTACCCATGGCCTCGGACCATATCTTCTGTCGCAATTCTAGAGGTAACCTAAAGAGAGCGGAATCGCGCTGATCCAGCGTCTTTTGCTTGATTGTGAAACTGGGCCACTGGTTGGTGCTGCTCTGGAGCGGTAGAGTTAACGTCCGGCTTCGTCGGGCCAAGGGCCGTGGGGCGTTCTTCTGCCGCCATTCGTACTGCTTCAGCTCGTACGGTTTCTTTGGTATCTTCTTCTTCATATCGTCGCACACTTCAATCGCCCCGAAACAGCACCATATAGAGGCACAGCAGAACCAGTAACAGGGGCAGCAGAAGGTCGCGAAGAGGCATTCACCGCGGCCGTGGTGGTAGTCGGCCTCGCTTAATTCGCCGCACTGGGGAGGCGGATTCCAGTAGCAGGGGCACATGGTGGTAGTATTTGTGGAGTGTGGAGTTGATGAAAAATGGTTGTTGAGTTTCGCGAGATGTCTTGATGTGAAGTACCCCGCTCAGGAGCGTGTTCAGGTTGCAATCTCGTATTCGACCTGCTCGGGCTGCGCCACGATTCATCTGCGGATACGAAAGGGCTCGCATTCCTCGGACTCTACTGCATCTCCGTCGTACTTTACAAATCCGTTGACCCTAGAACATGTGTAGGAATCTTTCTAACAGAATAAACTTTTCTCAGTCACATCTACAGTCTCCTCCCTATCCTGCTTCAGTAATCGCTTCGATATGCCACTATTCCCGTCAGCATTCGATGCTCTCGCAGATGTCGAATAGTCGAACTTACGTCCAATACTCTGCTTGTCTAGATCAAATTCGGCGTACAAGCCTGCGAAGAACGCAGCACCCAGCAGAATGTAGTCTGGATGGTGGCTATCCTCATACAGTGGATTGAATGGCAATATGCACCTCTTATGCCCTTCGGGATCAACCACCTCGTGCATGTACTGCCAAGGTGAAAGCATAAGCCGGTGCTGCTGGGTTCCCAAGGTAAATGTTACATTCGGAAAGCGATGCCGCTCCTCGCAAGAGAAGTCATCGAGCCAGTCCGCCCAGTGCAGGTGCTCAGCGATTTGATGAGCAATGTGCGAGGGGAACATCATATTGGTATAACCATTCGTGAGGACGGCGATGTAACGTGGTAGGGCAATCTCGAGCGGGCCCTTATCGCGATATGAGTCTAAAGAAAAGCTAGAAACTGCCACTTGCCATCCCGCTGATGCAAAAGGGATGAAGTTCGAGTCATCGCCATCCGGAGGATCGTTGATGAGAGGAAGTGTGATGAGAGAGTTGCGGAACGCATCGTCTACACCGCCGAGAATCAATTCTCCCTCCTCGTCGTCTGTGCGAGGGTGCCTGAGAGCGAAGACATTCCTCTCGAGGACTTTCTGTTGGACCATATTTTCTAGAGGGCTAGTGACGTTGAAGTCATCGTAAGTATTGGTGGCGTGGAAGCGCGCTAAGCCCAAAACGCTGTCGTATTGCTCGTCCCAATCTATGAGGTAGGCCGGACGCCACATTGTCGCTTCCTGAAATTCTTGTCCAGCCACTGAGACTCCGTCAATGTGTACGGTGTCCCGCGATAGGTTTCCCCAAGTATAGACGCCATAGTAGTGAAGTCTTGCCGGCGTCAGGTCAGGTTGATAGGTTGACGAAACCGTGGAGTTGTACATTAGGTGGGGGAGGCAATATTCTGCTTCATACGAGTCGTTTGTGCAGTTCCAGGAGGGCACAAACAGGTTTGATTGGGTGATGTCGACAATGGCTCTAAACGGTTGAGCTGGGTTTCCGATGGATATACTGGTAGTGTACATCAACTGGTATATTACGGAGTATTTCTGGGTTCTTGCTTTTTTGGAGTGGTCGCCATTTAAGCTTAGCTCTTCCTCGAGCTGGGACGCAGAGGACGGAGCGAATACATCCTGTCGCCCGTCAAGAATGCGCTTCCAGGTTTTTGGTACGTTTGCCTAAGATGCAATTAGCCTCTCGGTATAGTGCAATCCAAATGGTGTAAGTATCTCACTGTATCGATTGCCTCGTACTCTCCACTAACGGCGCTAGCTGGGAAAACGAACTTTCCAGTGACCCTTCTCAGCGGAACGTGTATTTTGCTTCCAAGCAGACAATGCGCAAAAGCGATCTGGAAAGCACAGTGCCAGATGAACCTCCAGGTTTTTCTCATGTTGAAAGATCGGCTCTTTTGCGCTGTTGGGGTAAACACGAGAGTCTGAAAGAATCTTTAGAACTTGAGCGAGAATATGTCAAGTTGTCGCTTATTAACACCTGGCATGAAAGGCGGAAACTCCAAGGCAGATTTCACAAGGCTTGGTATTAGCCCTACGCCTCACACATGATGAACCTCAATCCTGCAACATCGCCGGTAAGGTCCCTCACACCCTAGATTCCTCCATACACTAACAAAGGATGAAACGCTTCAATATTCCAGTGAGACAGTATTTCTACAATCCGGCGGCCATTGCGCAGTAGAACAGCCAATCGAAAGACACCGCGGATCGCAGTAACTCGAAAAAGACACAGGTCATGTATGTATCCTGGTGGCGTTAAAACTTCTCCATCTAGCTGTCTTCTTTTCACATGTCATTTGATAAGATGACACTTCACTTGAGTCATCTCCAGTCATATGGATGTAAACCAGTGCCCCAGATCTGTTCTCTTTCCATCTTGAAAGATGTCAGTTCATTGCTTTACCCCATAGGTAAGGTCAACTGTGTCCAGTTATCGGTGTAGCTTCTCAGGATGCCTCCCTCACCGCCACTTGACAGACAGCGGCGCAGGAGGAAGCAACAGGATCTAAACAGGAGTTAAGCGGAATAGCACTCGAAGCCCAGTTGCCAGAGATGTATATTCGCATCGCTTTGATTAGTGTCCGCCAGGTCCATCTTCAAAGAGGAACAATCCTTCTGAAGCTGCCGTTCCACGGCCATGATTCCTAGCCATCGCTGGACCAACATATTAAAGCGAACTTGAGCATCCAAATCGTAAGTACACTAGCTTTGCCATCTTCCATTCGAATTCGCGATGGTAGCCCACCAAGCACTTCTATTTATCTTCAGTACCTTATGTACAACCCCCGCGTCTTCCAGGTTGAGTACATGCTAACGGGCTATGCCAGGTACCTTGCCAGGATGCAATTCACAAGACACGGCTCTATCGGAGACTCTTGGGCAATCACTGACAGCAAACGCACCACAAATGACGGGCTCGACCATTGCCACTGCTGCTGCTGCCATTCGAACAAGGCGATTTTCGACTCCAGACTCTGCCAGCCCCGATGACTCAGACGAGTACACCCCTTGGTACACAATAGACGGAGATAACATGACCATAAGCAACATCATCCGACCATACATCAATAAGCCTTATCCTGAAATACGCCAATGGAAAGCTCTGGGCGACTCTTTTTCGGCCGGTCCAGGTGCAGGTAAAGATTGGGAAAGGGAAGATCCACATAAGTGTATGCGGCATCAAAACGCTTATCCGCCATCGTTATGGGGCGATCCTCGGTTTTTCTACCCGTCACCGAACCCCGCAGAGCCTGACAGACAGACTACCTTTGACTTTTTCTCTTGCACAGGTATGACTCAACCCTTATCCTTCGAAAGGACGCGAGTAAACTGACTCCCACACAGGTGCTGTAGCCCCTGATCTAATCAATCGGTATAAACCCAATCAGCAAGTCTCACGGGTAAATGAAGAGGATGAAATAGTCACACTCTCCATTGGTGGCAACGATGTCGGATTCGTCGATATACTCAAAGCATGCGTCTACAAATTCTTCAAAAATGAAGATGCATGCCCACGGCAATTGGCCAAATCGAGAGAATTAATGTATGGGAGTCAGTTAAGGAGGTCTCATGGTGCAGTTTCCGATGGTATCTACAATAATATGCGGTGGCGGAATCGAGATCCACATTACACTGGCGTTTATCAGACAGGATATTCGCAATACTTGGACGCCTACACCTCTCAATGTGATGAGGTCAGCTTTATACCTTGGTTACCGAACGGCCCCAGCATGACAAAGGAGCTCCGATCGACACTCAACAATCTGGTTCATCAAACCAATTACGTCCTGCAGTATTACACCAACTGGTTGAATCTGAAGTACTACAATGACCGACCACCTGGCGACGACTCACGATATGCACCTTTTCTGGACTGGGTTGACTTTGACATCGTTTACAATTCACATCGATTCTGTCGCGAAGGAGCCGACGAACCAGACCGACACGACCGCAACATTTGGTTTTTCCACTTCCTTGATGGGTGGCTTAAGGAAGGAAATGGGACAATTCCGGGTGAGCCAAACGGAGATAACCAGACTACACAAGTTGTCCCTGAATGGATTGCACAGACGTTTCATCCCAAATCGGCTGGTCACCGGGCAAGCAAAGACCTGCTCTACCTCAAAACCAAGTTCGAAGTGTTCGCCAGGAAACTGAGCGGCAAAGTAAAACGCATCTGGATGGTTGGGGATGACCAATGTTACCCTTCACATCACCCGAACTCGGGCTTCTATGGAGGCTTTAGGTTACCTCTCCAGCACATATTATTGGACCCTCATTTCTATGGCTGGGACCACTTCGACGAAGGGATGACTGCTATGATTCCTCATTGGGTTGGTTCCCAAGGCTACCTCGGCGCTAGACACGACTGTTATAGAGGAAGCCAGATTAACGAGATACACGATCTTATACGAGCCTCGCCAATGCATAACGAAAGACAAAAGGTGGTTGTACTTGCGCTAGGAACGATGGATATCTTCCTCGGCTATGATCTCGAAAACGCCCATCGCAGAGTCGGCGCTATCCTGAGGACTATCTTCTATCACGATCGCGAAGCTGTGGTCCTAATCAACCACCTACCAATGTTTGGAAAAGAATATCAAGGCGAGAATCTGGAACGCAGGGAAGGTCTACAGCGAGTGGTTGAGTTTAATGCCCGACTTTCTGGACTCGCCAACTACTGGCGGACTCGATATAACAGGCGCGTGCTTAAGGTCTCTCTTCCACTGACAACGGTGGAGAAGAGAGACGTTTTTCTACCCGATAGGCGAGGCTACACTGCCATTGCGTGGAGCATTGCGGAACAGCTAGTTATGGCGGGGTCAATGAACTGGATTACTGATGACTCGAATGACGACGAAACACCAGGTCCAGCGGTCCCTGGCCCTCCAAATCCAGGCGAATCTCAGGCACGGCGAGCGGACTCTCCGTCATCGAGGGTCCATGAGAGGGAGCTGCCGAGTCGCAAAGCTATTCCCCCCCAGTATCAGCTACTACCCGATCCGGTAAAGGACGGCACTTTCATTTGCACACAGAAGCGACCCGACGGCGCACCAAGCGGCGACGATATTCTGGCTTCTCTTTTTCAAGGCAAGAGCAGGTTCGATTGGGCCCATCAGGTTGTCTGCAACACTACCGAGATGTGCAAGAACAGTATATTCGATACATCCGTAAGTAATATCTAGTTTGTCTATTAATGCAAAAGCACACGAAAGCTTGCTGACACTAATGCAGCCCGAAGCTTACTGGGATTGGAACAAGGCCCCCAACGGTACCATGTGCCTTGGAGGAGGAGGTGCTGATGAATGGCCCGATGCCACCCAAATCATGATCGTGCGGCCGAAAGGAGACTTGGATATAAACGGCGGGGACGTCTGCTTGATGGGCATGCAAGTAAGAATGCTCCGCGCTCTAACGTTTTGGACTGGACATTGATTAATTCCAGGCCTTGGTGCACAAGTGCATCGGAGAGGAAGGCTACTACGGGGGATACTTCTTTAGTCCTGGAGACGGCGACAAGTTCCTGTACAACGTGACCAATCTGGTAGACCAAACTTGGTGAAGGTTCGCAAGAGCATCATCGCTAATTCTCTACAGAACTACCAGAACAGTCCTCTCGAGAAACCAAAGTACTTCAAAGAACCCATCGACATGGCTTGGGCTGAAAGGGTTATATTCGAAGGCGAGAAACCAGATACCTCCCTCATTTACAGCTCTCCAAACCCATTGCCAACAGATTTGGATGACGAATGGATTTAATTTGGGTTGGAATGAAGCGGAGTATGGTGAAGAGGGGCGTCGATATAGTCTTCTTTATTTGGATTTTTGTTCGAAATGGAGTATAATGCGCGCAGGTCCGCAAGTGGACTATACCCAAGTAGAAAGGCACAAACTAGTATTGAATGTCAACTTTTAGCTACACGAGGTTTGCCGCCAATGCGCTCCCTTCTAGGGCTGTCAAGCGGCTATTTAGACTCACTCTTGAGCATCCCTATGCTAAACGGAAGGAGTAGTCCTCACGCGTTCGGATAGAGAGGCTAGGCATGTTGGGTCGCTTTGCACAGAATGCCGTGTTCAGCCCCCTTTGCGTACTCCAGAAGCCACCGAAGGTGAGCTCGGCGTAGCGAGAAGATGTTAACTTGCCGCTTAGGTTGCTATGCCTTACACATGACCACTCCTACCAGTGAACTTCCTTTCCTAACTTCTCCTTCCTACATTTTTTTCGCTTTCCGGCTTCTTCCATGCGCTCTATCCACCTATCCTTTATAGATACCATCCAATGATCCTACTCAAATTTAGTGATAGAGTACTTAGCATGCGTAAAGCTATCTTTGATGAAATGCACAATGTCTACAATAAGACTCTTACCCACCTCAAAGAAAACTTCTTCGTTCCACGGAACCCGACCAAGCCATTGTTCCATGTATCCGTAGACGGCGACATCGTCAAGCGATCATCAACATGAAAGTTCGATGGCTTCTAACGTAGGAAACGTAGCATACCACCATATCTCGTCCGATTCCTAACAAGCCGCATACATGGCCAGAGCCACAAAAGCCACCAAACCAACACGTAAGAAGGTATGCCCACGCTCTCCTCCCAATTCAGCCATGCCAGAGCCATGCCACACATGCTCCGAAGCCCGCTGGAAAAGGTACGTAAAAAGCACAGAAAACAACACCTTCGTCCTAGCGCACCGCCACCTACCGGCCGGTCTGCAAGACCACGGCTTCGACGAAATTGACCTCCCCAATCCACCAGCAGGCGACCTGACAAACGCCGTCCACCCGCTCTTCGCGGCAGACAAATGGCCCCTCGAGGGCTTCCCAGACGACGACCTCTGGGGAAGCATGGACGGTATGCTACGTATGGCGTCGCTAATGCTGCTGAGTGAACCAGTGCTAGCCATCCTGCGGAAGATCAGGAACGGCACCCCAAGAACAGATCCACAATCCAGCCACGATTTTCTCGAGTACACTCAGCCCGCCACTACAACAGCAAGAACCACAACTAACACAGCCATCCAGACTGACCTGACCATCCTATCCACCAAACTCCGCTTCCTCTTCGGCGCCATCCCTCCCACCGGTAAGTCAGGCCAGATCCACGCCATGCACATGGTCTCCCTCAGCGAACTAGGCACAAAGTACCCCATCCGCGGCGCCACTACCGCGCTAGCCAGCAACGGCTCCACGCACTCCATCCTCCTCAACGACGCATACAAGACGTATCTCCGTCGCCGGGACTCCAGCCGCTCGCCCTGCCGCGATCTGCGCACCAACTTCGTAGGCGCCGTGTCGCTCGTGCACGAGCTCACCCACGCCTTCTTCGCGCGCGACCGCACAGATGGGATCGAAGACTATGTAGAGTCGTTCCTTAGTCGCATCGCGGCTCGCGCTTCAGAAGGCCACGCAGGCGAGCTCGGCGTCTCGAGAAACGCAATCATGCACGCGGACTCGGGCGCGGAGCTCGAGTACAACGGGGTGGGTCTGGCGCATTGCAATGGGGACCCTGTGGTGCGGCTTGAGGCTCCGGGGTTTGTCACGTATCCGTTGGATCCCGGCTGGATGCACAGGTTTAGTACTGCGGCGTTTTGGGAGGGCTTGGATGATGTGCCGCAGGAGAGGAAGGGGAAGGCGTTTTGCATACCGAGGGGGGCCGGGGTGCGCTGGACTGTTGGGCGGAGAAGAGAGAATGAGGAGTGGAGGTGGGTAGGGAGACACAGGCCGAGGGTAAGGAAGGGTACAATTAGGACGTTTAGGATGAAGGAGTATAAGCGCCTTGAGGATCTGCTCTTGGATGTGATGCCGTGAGCGACTGGTGATGAAGAGGAAAGGAGACGGGGAAGAGTATATCGATTGAAAGAGAAGTCCCGATACATAGACTAGGAGCATAGAATATCATCAGTATAAGTAGACGCGCGTACGCTTTAAACGGCTGGTTTCGAATGATTGTGGCACTAGAATACTGCGATCGCGCCGGGTGGACTTCCAATGCCGCCCTTGACGTGCAACGGGGCACTCGTGAGGAAGAAGGTATATCGGCCATTCTGCTCACACATCTTGCTGAGCTTTTCCAAATCCCACATCTCACCAATAGGCGTGCCCCACTGCACGAGCAGCCACTCGTGCAGGCACCAACCCTCATCGAACTTCGGAGGCCAGGCCTCGAACGCAAGGGTGTCGCCAGCCACACACGCGAAGTGGTGGTCGTAAAGCCAGCGGACCGACTTTTCGCTTCCCTGCATACCGATGGCGATGCTATTCTCTTGGGTGCCGGCTCTGCGCTCAGCTGCGGAGGCATTGCTTAATCTGTTAGCTCCCGCCCTGCAAAATAATGATCAGGGACTTACTCATGCCACCGCACGTATCCGCTTCTGATGATCATGATGTCGCCCGGTCTAGTAGTCGTCCCCTGCCACTTCAACGTCGCCTCCAGGTCCTCTACTGTGATCTCATGGCGCGTCACCGGGCTCGGCGCCTCTCCGTTATGCGTTTCATACCACCGCAGCCAGTCTACGAGCACACCTCTGCCCACGATGCCACCGCGCTCACACCAGTTATGGATTCCGTTCGTGTCGGTCCTCGTGGCTTCCTCGTGGGTCAAGCCGTTGTAGTACTTCTGGGTAGCCTGGTGCGCGAAATGCTTCAAGCTGTCCCACTGACTTCCAGACTGAGTGTTGATATAGAGCTCGTCGTCCATGGCCTTAAAGTTGAGCGTCTCATTCAGGTCGATCTTCGTCTGGCTGAACTCTTTGCGGTTGAAGCCAGGGAACTCGACATTGTGGAGCGGCCAGTCGAGCTGGACGTGTTCGCCGGACTGGATCTCGCGGGAGGCAGCCTGGACGACGGCGGGGGTGAGGAGGTTGATTGCTGCAGCGACTATTGTTAGCTCGGGAGTCTGTCATAAGCGGCTATACGCACTTCCAATCTCATCCTTCTTCCCGTCTTTGTCAAAGAAGCCCCATATGCAGCCCTGCGGCTCTCCATCTACCTTCGGCAGTTCGTCGAAAGCCGGGAACTTGTGTCCAGCTCCGGCTGCTCCCCAGGTCAGGCTCGACGCGACCGCGGAGAGGCGGTTTTGGGCTGACTTGAGCGCCTCCGTCATATTTGCTGAAGTCTTTCGGATCCGGGCTGTAGAAATATCGAATACTCAGGTTGTAGGTGCCGCACAATGGCGCTTTATGGGTTCCGCGGGCCATGGCTCCAACCCCGCATGGCGGCCACGCGCCAGCCACTGTGCGGAGAGGCCTGCTCGATACGGTTTCTCATGGCGTGATGACGTCTAATTACGGCGGGTGCCCCGTGAAGCGCCGAATTACGTCGACGAGTCGCGTTACCTGACCGAGGCGGTTCAATGGTTGAGGTCGGCTTCCGACGTGCGGAGAGCGCCTGCTCCGAAAGACGGGGCCACCGCTCCATATCATTCCAGATCGTGTGGTCGTGGAAAAGCTTTGTGCAACTTTGGTGTCTTATGGTTCCGGCTCGAATTGGTGGTTACTAAGTAATCCGCGGTGACATCTGGGCTGATCCGTTTTGCCTGCAGAATCTGTGCTACAACTGGAGCATATTCCACCCCCGTGTGACCAAAAGAGGTGCTGGCCCGAACTGGGCGAGCATTACCGTATTTCCCCACTCAACGCACAGACCCCACTCAACGCACAGTTTGAGGATGGCCATCACCACTACTTTTGAAGCTGTACAGCCCTATATAGATCTAATTAT